CTCATGCTCACTAGAACCAATAGTTTTTGAAGCTTCGCCCAACAAATCTTCGGTATAGTCCGTGAATTTAGAATACATCAACAACTGGATTCATCTGTTTTCCTTTTCGTGAATTTTTGAACATTTAGAAACTGAACTTTATCAATAATTTTTTTCAAGACTGTTCAATTCTTCTGCAATTAAGGTCACCTTTTTTTATAGCTCATAGGAGAACAAGATTTTCAGCGGGATTAGATTCCTTCGAATCCACATTGATGAAGTATCGGAGTAAAAGAAAAACGATGAATGTTGATCCATCATCAGGAAAAGTGCGAACGGCTCATTAGGAGAGATTTCACCACAGTTTGAAAAAAACGGTATTTTTCTTCTAACTTTCTTCCGGGCTCAAAAGTGAAACTATTCTCTTTCATGCCGCGATATCCTGTGCAATAAGGTGAAAAATTCCACGATTTTCCTGAAACTCGAATATGACTTTGATTTTTCTTTTATACATGAATTTTGTTCTATCCTGATTGAACCTTCTTATAAAACCTCATTACATTGGAAAAGTCAAGATTAATGAATTAATGATGAGTTCAAGCCGCTCTCTATTTTCAAGAAGATGACGGAACATGATTTTCCAATTTTCTTGCATACGGCCCCTCTGATCTTTCTTCCCATTACCAGTTCAACTTTTGCAATATCAGGTTTTTTCGGGTTATAGCTTATTTCAATAATTGCAAACTCTAGTGAAAATCGTACAGATGTAATTGAAAAGAATTCGCGAACTTTCAAATAGAGCTCAGAAAAAGTGAGATTTTTCAAAAAGACGTTCAAAGCTTTTTTTCAATAATTTTCGTCCTATTGAATAGCCTTACTATGTATTTGACGTTATATCTTAGTCAAAAAAAACTTTACAAGAAAATAACTTCTACTGAGGTAAGTCTTCGAACATTCGCGGTTTTTTAGTGAATGAGACAAATTTTACTCGTTTTCATGTAATATCATTCCATGAAACTTTTTAGGTGAAGTTGTCGTAAGAGTAAACTTTAGCAGAATTCGAGCATCCGAACACCTTCGTCGAGCTGCTGTTGACGGATATACTGTTTCTATCCGCGACCGGTAGAAAAAAAATATCGAGGGTCAATTTTATTAATTTATTCTATTCAGTAAAAAAATTCTCGATTGACGCTACGATGTATAGCATAAGTGGAGAAAAATAAATAAATAGTTTGAAAAAAATCTCCCACCATTAAAAAAAGAAGGAAAAAAACTGGCTTTAACAAAAAGTCTCTGAGATGGCCCAAGAGGCTCTGAAAGCTCTCTAAAAACCTCTAAGAGCCTTTTTTTCCAGCCAAAAAAATGGGGGAAAAAGGAAGGCGACGAGAACGACATGTTCAGTAAAACTTGTAGCCGCTATGCAACGAATTTTTCCCGCAAGAAGATTTATAAAGTTTATAAAACTATATCGTTATGAATGAACAAAGGTGAATCGGGAAATCGATACAAGTAGGTACCGGGTAGCGACCGCTAGTGAGGTGGCTACTTATTAGCAGCTTTCATGATACCGGAAAGCATACAGCGATACCACTCCGGTAGAATCTAAGTACCATAGATATAGTACACGGACGCATACAAACAAACACCGATTAGAATACGCTGCTTGATTTCAAAGTTGCTGCCCGGTACAATCTTGTAACGACCTCTCGATCGACCAGTGAACAAGAAAAATAAGTTGAAGGGCAAAAAAATGAAATTCTATTTTTTTACCCCCAGTTTTTCTAGGGAAAAATGGGAAAAAAATACGAATCAAAGTTGCCAGAAAAATTTACTTTTTCACCATTATATCAGTTTTAATAGTTAGAAACTCGAAATAAGAAACGTTGAAAGACAAAAAAAGAGAACTTTTACATTTTTAGGCCAAATTTTTTTAGTTGAATAAATTGCTTTTTAGTTCAATAATTTTTGCATAGTAATACAGTAGATAATGTAAATTTCATATTGTGAAAAAGAAAAAAACATGAAAAACCATAGAAAGAAACGAAATTATCAATAACTACGAAGAAAAACAAGAATGATTTTGAAAAATTAGAAACGTTTGGCAAACCTCCAAGTGAATGGGAAAATATGGTCTCAAAGCGATGAAATAGTGCGCCAAAAACCTTGGCGCCTGCCCAATTTACGTTTTTCTTTTTCGTTGTTGTCGTGTTCAAAGTAATTTCCGCGAAATGCAAAATACCCGTTAGAGAAAGGAAAAAGATCACTAAATTTTTGGAGAGTCAGAGATCATTTTGCATTTCGCGGAAATTACTTTGAACACGGCATGTATTTTTTTGAACAGTATTACATTTATTGATCATTACATCCGTTTTATGAACTGACACATTTCTAAATATTAAACTAGGTCATGTTTCGCACATTAATTTATGTTTTTTTCACGTTTTTTTAAATTTTAGGCCCAAAAAAATTAGAAATTCAATTTTTAATTTTTTTAACCGTTTTTTTCCTGTTTTTTTCTAACTATTTGAGTTCAAAAAAATAGAAAAATAGGAAGTTTTTTTCAATTTTTTTATTCAGAGTGGTTTTCCTTCTTCAAAAAAAAAAATAGGTCTAAAAATGTAAATTTACAATAAGACTTTACGTAAAGTTCTCTTTTTTCTTTGAGTGTTTCAAATTTCGAGGTTTCTAACTATTGAATTGATAGAATGGTGGAGAGTGAATTTTCTGTCAACTTTGATTCGTATTTTTCCCATTTTCTCTAGAAAAACTTTAGGGGCAAAAATAGAATTTCATTTTTTGCCCTTCAACTTATTTTCTTGTTCACTGGTCGATCGAGAGGTCGTTACAAGATTGTACCGGGCAGCAACTTTGAAATCAATCAGCGTATTCTAATCGGTGGTTGTTTGTATGCGTCCGTGTACTATATCTATGGTACTTGGATTCTACCGGAGTGGTATCGCTGTATGCTTTCCGGTATCATGAAAGCTGCTAATAAGTAGCTACCTCACTAGCGGTCGCTACCCGGTACCTACTTGTATCGATTTCCCGATTCACCTTTGTTCATTCATAACGATATAGTTTTATAAACTTTATAAATCTTCTTGCGGGAAAAATTCGTTGCATAGCGGCTACAAGTTTTACTGAACATGTCGTTCTCGTCGCCTTCCTTTTCCCCTATTTTTCGGCTGGAAAAAGGCTCTTAGCGGTTTTTAGAGAGCTTTCAGAGCCTCTTGGGCCATCTCAGAGACTTTTGTTGAAGCCAGTTTTTTTCCTTCTATTTTAATTTTTTATTTTTGAATTGAGATTTTTCAAACTATTCATTTATTTTGCTCTATTCTTATGCCATGTCCAAATTGATCCCGCCAAATTCATAATGTTCATGAAAAAGGGGGAAACATAAAAAAATTTTTTAGTGATGAAGAGAATTGCGGATTTCGCGAGAATTACTTCGAACATGGTGTAAAAATTTTAATTGAGAAAAATTTGGAGAATAAACTTAATGAACTTGAACTACGATCCTTTTTTTACCTCTGAATTGCCGGTCGCGGATAAAAATGGTGTAGTCCGCCAACAAAGCTTGATGAAGGTGTTCGAAGGCTCGTAATCTGCTTGAGCTTACTCTTCCCAGAGCTGCTGATAGAAGAAAGGCGCCCCGCACCGCGAAACGGTAACATTATCAAAAAGAGTCATTTTTTTTCTTAGTTTTTTCACCAACTTCAGCTTGATTTTCACTCATATGAGTGAAAATCATGATAATTTGGAGGTTACCTTTTTCCGACTCCTGCGGAGCGACTGCTTAAATTCACGGGGTGCCCCTGTCAGCAGCTCTAATTCTTCCTGTCTTCCAAGTGCCACGCGCCAACGCCAACTCTTCTTTGAGGAAACAACCCAACCAATACATATTGATGAAAAAAATGATAATTAGACTGAAAAACAGTAAGATTCTACTCATTTACTATGAAACCGCAACATGACGAAGAACTAGCTCGCTTGATCGTATAACCGATTCACGACTAGCTTGGGACTCGAGGAAGCGTTTTTTCAGTGGCTAAAGCCAGTCGTGAGTTAACGAAACTTTCTTTAAAGGTTTTTTTAAAAAATCTCAGTTTCTAGAAAAATATATATTTATAATTCGTATTCGAAAGATCAGCCACTCACGAAAAACATTAACTTCGGGACCTATTGATCGGTTCGGGCTCGAAAGATGAAGTGCTCACTTACGGACCCAAAGTATAGCAGGCCCATTTCGAGTGAAAAACTTTTTTTGGAATGAAACGAATCGTGATTTTGAAAAAAATTACAGTTAAATTTATCTGTCAATAATTAATAGCAGTTTTTGATGGTTTGCAGAGGGCTCTGCAATTATTGAAAAATGATTACCCTGAGAAATCTGATATTACACAGGACGAAATGCGAAAAAGGGAAAAATCTCTTCTAATGAGCCGTTCGCACTTTTTCCTGATGATGGACCAACATTCATCGTTTTCTTTACTCCGATACTTCATCAATGTGGATTCGAAGGAATCTAATCCCGCTGAAAAATCTTGTTCTCCTATGAGCTATAAAAAAAGGTGACCTTAATTGCAGAAGAATTGAACAGTCTTGAAAAAAATTATTGATAAAGTTCAGTTTCTAAATGTTCAAAATTCACGAAAAAGGAAAAACAGATGAATCCAGTTGTTGATGTGTTCTAAATTCACGGACTATACCGAAGATTTGTTGGGCGAAGCTTCAAAACTATTGGTTCTAGTGAGCATGAGATGGTCCGCGTTGGAATGGGTTCGCCTGAGACTTGGTTCTGATTTTTGGTTTGGAACATCATGGTTCGAAAAATGAGCCGGCAGATTTTTCTCGACTTGGAAGTACATCTAAAAAAATGACAAATCATTGCAAAAAGAGAAATTTTTGTTCAAAAAAATTTGAGAAATCAACGGAAGAAACTGTACCTTTGGTTCGGAATGAACATGTTTTTGGTTCGGAATGAACACATGAAAAATTCCCTTTTTGGTTCGGATGATTACTCAATTGGTTCGGAATGAATACTCAATTGGTTCGGAATGATTAGGTTCGGATGAACACTTGGTTCGGATTTGGTTCGGAATGATCAGGTTCGGATGATTGTAGGCCGAAGAGGTGTGAGAAAGAGCGCCCTAATGATAAATCTCTATTTAATTTACGCGACGCACAATGTACAAATACCGGAAGCTATTTTTGCCTGAAAACTTCGTTTTTTTTCAGTCTTTTTTCCATATCACGCCTAGCCTAATCAAGGCAGTCAATCGTATTACGGTATTTTTGATAGGTTTTACGGTAATCAAATGAAAAAGTATGTATTTTTTGTGACGTAAATCATATTGTAACCTCTAGAAATAGGTTTGTAACAGATTTTAAAAGAAGAAGAAAAAAAATTGAAAAAATTTCCTAGCTTCGAATCTGCAGGCGCTATAAAAATTGACAATTGACCGGCCGCCGTAGCCTGCCTTCAACATGCGTGATATTTAAAAAAAAGGCTTGGGAATAAAGCTGCGTTACGGTAGTTTTTTGTTTATAAAACGTTACCGCGGAAAAAATTCCGATAAAATTTCAAACCTGAATAGAGGATAGCCGATGTGCGATCACAATACAAGTGCGACCCAGTCGAGCCTTGTCCAGTGCTTCTTGAACAATCTGTAAATTTTGAAAAAATGAAGAAAGTTCAATTGAATCAAACTTTTTCGCTCTCTGTGTCCAGGGCACTCGTAGCTTCATCGAGCAGCAAAATTTTCGGGTCTCTAAATTTATTTGGTTTTTGCTTATTTCTAGATTTTTTCATGGGATTTTTCAAACATAACTGGCTGGTTGCAGCTTTTTTCATACTCTTATAATGTTTTAAAAACCAATTTGAGACGTATTTCATTAAAATGAACTTCAATATTAAAAATATATCTTCGAATCACCTCACGATCGCCCTTGCTATGGCTATCCGTTGCTTCTGTCCGCCCGACAATCTCCCGCCGCCAGCGCCGACATGAGTGTCGTAACCCTGAAAGAAGCCATTTAAAGGATTTTCTATCGGTTGAAGTCAACTTGAGGTAGACTGATGACAAACGCGTGAATATTTGCAAGAAGAGCCGCTCTTTCAATCGCCTCCTGGGACACATTTTCCAAGCCGTAGGTGATGTTTTCCCTCAAAAAAAAAAGATATGACATTCTGTAAATGATGAAAAAAAGCTCGAAAAATCAAACTTGATAGTCAAATCGAAAAGAGTCGGTTCCTGGCCGACGAGGGCAATGTTGTCGCGTAAATGTTTCACAGAGAGGTCGCGAATGTCGTAGTCATCGATTCGCTGAATTTTGATCTTTATAAATGCTAAAATTCGATTATTATGTGTCGCGAGTAGTGATAAAAAAACATTAAGCTTTTCATAAAAATTTTGTAGACTCATAATCAAATTATGAATGTACCCGAGTGAAAAGTCTTAATCTATACGACTTTCTTGTGTTTAACAGAACACGGCGTTTCTGCCAGTTGAAGAAAATGCAAGGAATTTGAAACTCGGCAAAGTCTGCGCACTTCTCGAAATTCGCCCGCGAAATTTGAAAAAGTGGCTTTATTTTTGATTTTTTGTCAATTTTTTCATATTTTTTCACTTTTTCTTTTCGTAGATTGCTGATAGTATTGCGGGACCACGATCGGGGTATACTCTGGGTTGTTAGACGTTTTTTTTGAAAGTAGTTCTGTGAGGCTAACTTTAAAACTCGTGATGAAGAAGCGTTTTGAAAAATCTCCACCTGTTTGTATGGAACATGTTTCACCCCATTTTATGTTTTTCTTATTCTATTTTTTTGTCGATTGTTCAGATTCCTAGGTTGTGGACATCAATGAGATGAAGTTACATGAAAAAAGTCTGTGAAGTTGAGAAAGTATGTTCCGGAATTCATTTATATCCGGATATTCCGTCAACTTTTTATAATAAAAAGTACTTGCTGTAAAACATCTTTTATTTGTTTCTCCACAGCAATATAGTTTTATTTAATCTCTTTTAATTTCCTCGTCTTTTTTCTTCAATGTTCATTCGTTTCACACACTTACATCATCGGTTAACCTTATTTTCCAAATTTTTTGTGCATGCACTAAACACGTCCTAATTGACGGAGAAAAGTGGGCGGGGCGTCGCAAAAGAAACACCGTGAGAAGGTATCTCCAAATCGAAGGAAACCCTCAAAACCCGTTTAAACGGGCCATTTTGGGGCTTTAAGATCTAATTTCTCGACAACTAAGATATTTTGAAGGTTGAGTCTTTCAGGATTTTCATCCGGTACATCAAGGAATTTTTTTGGTCAATTTTCAGAAATTTCCGATCAGCCGTACCACAGATCCACACAAAGCGTCGTAGTATCGTTCGACGAGCTGAATCGTCGTGCTTTTGCCGCAGCCACTCGGACCGACGAGAGCCACGGTTTCGCCAAACTTGGCCGACATGCTGAAGCCGTCCAGGACGAGGTGTCGTCTTCGATTCGGATAGGAGAAGTAGACGCCCTTGAGCTTGATGTCGCCTTTGATCACCTGTAACTCTAATCATTGAAATTTGAGGCACAGACTTGCTATCTACTGTCTTCGAAAGTGAACCAGAAAAAATGTGTGAGGACCATTTAAAAGAGCTGTAAGAAGACAAAAAGCAGTTCCTTTTGAGAAGAATCCAAAATAACTTTTATTCTTGGTTGGATAGCTCCTAGGCTCACCGGAGTCTCGCCGACGATGCCGCGGTTGTCGATGTGCGACTTCTGACGGACCATCGTGAACATGACTCCGGCGGAGATTCTCGCCCTGACGTACTCCGGGAAGTACGAGGCGGCGGCCATCACGCGCACCGACGCCATGTTCAACGCTTCGATGACCCTATGAGAATTTCAGAGTTTTCATAAAAGAAAAGAAAAGATGTCATTTCGCGCGACCTGTCTTCTCTGCGCGCTCCCCATCTCTAGACGACCCTCTCAAGTTCATGTGTTGTTTTTGTTTTTCTCTAACCTCGCCGGTGAGGGAACCGAGACGAAGGCACTCGGAAAGGTGTCATTGACTTGGGAATGGGTATACTCTTCGACTAACGGGGGAGGGGGATGCCCTGAAATCCCCAATATGCACAACTTTCAAGATTATAGAAAGAAGGTGTCGGATTGGATTTCATGGTTTCCTGACCTTGTGGGCTCTTTTACGAAAAAACAGGATATGGGAGTTTTTCAAAAACTCCTTCACATAGATCAAGGAGCATTCTGGTCAATTTTCAAGAAATTCCCAAACCCATTTTTCCTTGTCAAACTCACTGGAAAACGACGAACGGCGTGGACCAATTGTTGATGACAAGCCACAGTCCGAAAGCGTAGGCGATAGCAAAGTTAAATACGACAAAACTGCTAGCCAACGAGTACGAGAGCGATTGCCAAAGACCTAAAGTGCCGTGGAGCACACTTGTGGCGAGAAAATAGCTTCGAGTCCTACCTCGGACGATCGCTCTTCGATGGGGATTTTTCGACGAGATGGCGAACGCCTCCAGCATGTAGTCTTGCTTCGTGAGTGCTTGAATCGTTTTCCAGTTGGCGATCGACTCCGTCATCAGCTGTTTTTAATAACTTTGAAGGTGAAATGGGAAAAGTTTCAATTTTTTTTTTGTTTAAGGTCTTCGAAATAACTTATAGGTCGGCCCAAAAACTCTCAGGTGTTTTTCACGAATAAATCTGCTGATAGGTACTCACTAAAGTTGATATGGCGCCTCTTTAGTGCCTACTTAAAAGTACAAAAATCAATCCGCAAGTGCTACTCGTGCATAACTGATGCGCGCCGGCTTGTCACAATTATTACTTTTCCTCCAAGCCACAAAGCTTTTTTTTTCTTCACTGCACGTGTCATGTCTCTTTGCATGCGCCTTTAATATGGCTTGAAAACTTCCGTTGTAATACTGATTTTTTACCAGGTACAAAACCCTTTAATTCGATGCGCGTAACCTGTCTTTGTTGAGACTTTTTGAAAAATCTGAAAAATTTCGATCCTCACCCGACTGGCTTCGATTGCCGAGTCCATGTCGGCCTGGCCGCGGAATTTGAGATACTGGGCGACTGCGCTTTGAGAAATCACTGAAAAATCAACTAATACCAAGGAGTTTCACAGTGAAGAAGCTACCAAGAAGAAGAGCTGTCGCCAGTCCGATCGGAGCCATGTTCCAGCCGAAGTAAAACGCTACAGAAATGCCGGCAATGAGAGATACAACGCCGGTGAGAACTTCCGATAAACGTTGGTCAACTGCCTGAAAAAAGACCAAAATCTCAATTCTTCCGTGTTTTCCTTAAAGGTTACAGTAGGTTTGTCACCATTATAAACATTTTTTTTGGCTCAAACTTGAAAAATAACCAAATTTCTTTCTTACCGCTTGCACATTCGGCGCATCAGTAGCCAAACGCGATGTCAAATTGCCGACTCCGTGTTTTGGATCGTCAAAGTAGCTGGCGTCCTGCTGCATGATGTTCTGAAACGGAATGATGACTCGATCAATATTCTTTTATTGTAGCCGGAGCCGTGAAAGACTCTAAATAGGGGCAACTATGGGCCAGAAATAGGCGGCACTGTACTCTTGGGAACTCTCGGGGTGCAGCCCGATGATTGCAAACAGAACTGCCGACGGGGCGACCCGATCCGCAAAGTTGAAAATGAGTAAAAAATTTGAAAAATAGTCTAGTGAAAAAAATGAGAAAAAAAATGGTCTCTTCGATAAAGTGAACGCTTTGAGGATCGAGTTGCCCCGAGGCGCGCTCTCTGATCGGAGCTGTAGTTTTTGAAAAATCAAATGTATTACTGAAAAGTCATATCGCGAGAGGGGCGATGCCTTCAAAAAAGGGCAAAACTCGGACCTCCGCTCAACCCTGCCCCAGAATAGTGAAGAGTTTGCAAAAAATCCAAAAATTTCTCTCTTGGTTCGACCTTGAAGACGTCCATCCGGAGACGACCGCTCATCTTCTCGCCAGATTTGCCGAGAAGCGAGCCGGCGACGTAGGCAGCGACTGCGCCGACGACGGCCAGAAGCAGGAACCAAACCGAGTTGACCAGACTCTGAGAGACCATATCCGCCGCTTGGGCCGATAGGATCTCAAATATCAAGAGTTGGGCCAAGTTCAGGGGGAAATCTTCAGAATTACCTTGAAAAGTTTACCATACAAGATTGAAAAGGCGGGCCAGGTGAAGCCGCTGACGATTGCGAAAAGGATTGCGACGACAATGGATTTCATCTCCTAGAAAACGCTTAAATGACCTATTCGACAAAAACAAGCTTACAGGTTTCGAATATTTCAGAATTTCGAACAAAGACGCTTCCATGCCGCCTTCTTCGAGCATTTCCTCGCGGGCGCTGAAACATATTGGACTCGTTTTGTTCAAAAACAGAATAAATTGAAAAAGAGAGCAAGTTTTTTGTTTCGAAGCGGCTTTAAAGAATATCTTAAAATTGAAAAAACTCGACAGGATCCTCTTGAATCGTCTTTATTGAAACTTTTTTTTTCGAATTTCGCCCTACCCTCCAGAGTTTCTGTGCTGGTTTTTGTGTATAATCCATTTTTAAGGCTTGGAACGGCAATGTGGAATGCGTTTTTGGCGGCAAGTCAAAAATGATCGCGTTATTTCTACCGCTTTAATGACAACTTTAAATGATTAGTTAGTTTTGTTGACAAAAAAACGAGAAAAATTGGAAAAAACTCGAATGATTTAAACAGGCGCCAAAACGCGACGCGACCGCTTCGCCCTCATTCTGCGGTCCGACCTTTGAAGCCGATAAAAATGGATTATAAAGTCCGTTTTTCGCTTCTTGAAGGGTGAGACTTCTCTGCGCCCTGCTCGTCTCTCGACGACTCTCTCATGTTTACGTGCTATTTTCATGTTCCTCTGACCTCGCCAATCAGAGAACAGAGAGACGCAGACACTCGAAAGTCGCGCCGAACGGATTTTACCCTTGAAACGCACCTCTCGACCTCCCACTCGGGCTCCTGAGTCGTGGTGCTGATCATGCTTTGACGGAGGCGGATCGAGTCGTGAACCAGACTCTGGCGCCGTTCGCGCTCCTCCTCCGACTGGGCCGTGTCGCGGTTGAACGCTCTGATCATGTCCTCCATCTCCACGTCTTCAGAATTTGTCTATTTAGTTAGATGCGTCGATTCGACGTCTCCAAACCATCCAAAGTCGTATCCTCTTGTCCTTTCGCAATCTCCTGCGCTTTCACCATCCCTCGGTAAACGCCGACATCGTCCGTCATCAGTTCATCATGGGTTCCTGAGCAAATTTGTTCGAGTTTCTGATAAGTTTACTTCATTTGGATAAATTTCCATTCAGTCACCATCTCTGAAAGTTTCCAGTAAACTTTTTTATAAGAAGAGCAGGAAATTTCTATTGACAATATTCGCATTTGGAATGACTGCCAGTTAGAATCGCACGAAATTTTTTTTTGCTTTTGATGCCGCTGCGCGCAAGTAGTTTAAGGTCGGGCTGCATGCCATTTGAAATGCAGTCATCTGTTCTCCCTTTGAAAAGTGGAAATTATTTAGTGCAATCCATACTTCAAAGATCTTATCATTTCCAACATAAAAGTCCTCAGATTCAAACAATAATCATACCCTGTTCAATAATTAGGCCGTGGTCGAATACAAGAATATTATCAGCATTTTTGATTGTGCTGAGTCGGTGGGCGATACACAACGTCGTTCGTCCTTTCGAAGCCTTGATCAATTATATTTTGGATATAATTTAATTTTTGTTGTTATAATGAGAACGATGCAGAAAAAAAACACTCAAAATAAAAAAAACGGTGCGGTGAAACTCAAAGTATCACTGAAAAATGAGGGAAGCGAAAAATTCAAATAACTCGAATTTTATAACTCTACCACTTTTTTCTATTGAGCCTGAATTCTGACAAAGAATGTCCAAAACTTTTTGATTATTTTTGGTTTTTCGAAAAAAACTCCAAAAATGAAAAAAACAGCTGACTTGATTCATAACCCTCATGAAACGCTTTGTCAAAGAATGAGCATTGAACACCCATATTTTCGTCAATGGAGCATATATTCGAGAGAAAAATCTGCCACTAGAGGATTCTAAAGATTCTGGACCTGTTTCTTAGATTTCGTTTCCTACTTAGTTCTTGAAAAATATTTAAGAAACTTCAAGAATTCAAAATGAATCACCTTATCCAAAGCGGTCTGAACCATTCGTTCGCTCTCTGTGTCCAAGGCGCTGGTCGCTTCGTCCAGAAGCAATATTTTCGGCTTCCTTCAATTTTCACTCGATAAATTTTTTTCGGAGGTTTCGATTCGTTTTGGTTAGTATACTAACTAAAAAATATTAAATTTTTACGAAATAGTAAGCTTCAAGAAAACTATAAACCCTTAAAAGAGGCTCGAAAAAATAACCAGCTTTTTTGAAAAATACAGTAATCCTTCTACAGTACCCCAAAAACAGACCTCACAAGAGCCCTTGCGATAGCGATTCTCTGCTTCTGGCCGCCAGAAAGCTGAACGGCGCCGGCGCCGATGACAGTATCGTAACCCTGAAAAAAAGGATGCGCTGCGGTTGCGTCGCGGTCCAACCAACATCGCTCAGTTGCATGATGAACTCGTGGGCGTTGGCCGTTTGGCAGGCTTCTTCGACCGCCTCGTCGGTAATGCTGTCGTCTCCCATTCTGAACCAGATTCACTGTGATCATTAAAAAGATCTACATTATTTTACCGTATATTTTCAGATACAGTAGCAACGAAACAGATCGGCTCTTGCTGGACGATTCCAATTGTGCGGCGGAGCCATTGGATGTTGTAGTCGCGGATAGGGATCCCGTCCAGTTTTATCTGAAGATTGATCTTGAAGATTTATTTTTCAGTTTATCTCATCACCACTCCAGCTTCCTGGTCGTAGAATCTCATGAGAAGACCGATCGCCGTCGATTTTCCGCATCCAGAATGTCCGACGAGGGCTACAGTTTGTCCAGGTTCGACCTATATTATTTGATCAACTCCAGTTTTTAAAAAGCTTAAAACTTCGAAAGAAACGCCTTTGAGGATCTTGGTCTCAGGTCTCGTGGGATAGGTGAATTCAATGTTTTCGAAGGTCAATTTTCCGACGATTTCGGCCGGTTCAAGGCCTCCTTTCTGCATGCAGTTGATTTCGGGCTCCTGAAGCCTTTTTGCTCCAATTGGTGTGAGTTCAACACCAACATGATCGATAACGGTGAAAATGTCGCGAGCAGCAAGTCTGGCGCTCAAAATAGCTCCCAAGTGAGGCGCCGCATCGCCCAGGCGTCTGGTTCCGATCAGAACCGCCCAGAAGACACCGAAAATTCCACCGGGGCCGACGACGCCGTCAGCAACCAGAATAGTTCCGTACCTCAAGTGAAAGGGTATGTTACATTGCAGTTTTAAGAGGCTTTTTCATTATTAAAAAATAATTTTTTTAAAAAAAGAATAAAGAAACAAAAAAAAAATTAATAAAGCTTCAAAAAAATTTTTAAGAGGTTATTGAGCAAGTTTCTCTACTTTTGAACCTTCTCAGTTCATTTCCCTGAACCAACCAGAAAGCGGCAGCCATCGAGGCGAACATGAGGAATAGAGGTACTGCTGAACAGGCGGCCAGGACATTCGCCTTCCGGATTCCAAGCTTCTGAGCCTGCGTCAACTGCTGCGAGTATCTTAAAAGGGATTGTCAGAGAAACTGTGGGATAAAATGGGGTTATAGCCAACTCGTGACTAGCCGGGGATTCTATGAGGGCGTGGAATGTCTCCGCTCTCCACCAACCAAGCATTATTTCTTTTCTTATCGTTTTGAGGCTCTTTTTTCGACGGCTCAAGCCAGCTGTTAACCGCTATACACCAAGAGCGAGTTTTCAATTATCGAAGAATACTGTAGGTGCATTTTCGCATTCCTAGTTTTTCACTCTGTGTGTTTGCATTTTTTGGCGTGAAGTTTTTGACAAATTACTTCTCTGCTTTCCTATTTTTATGATACGACTCAAAATGGATGGTTGATGTATTTTAACTGTTTCTGTGGTTATAATCCATTTTGAGAGAATTCAAGATCGAAAAAAAAAACCGGGAAAGACCACTCGCGAAACAAAAGTTCAAGGACACAAAGTGAACAACTGCGGACTTTCACATACAGTACTCTTCCGAAATGGAAACTGGCTTTTCTCGTAGCACCTCTGAGGCTAGCTAGTAGCCCCCTTGGGCTAAATATTCCTAAATTTGCGAAACGGGTACTACTGCCGAAACGCGGTACGTGTGCGGCAGAAATTGCGAAAAACGAGTGAACGAGGGCAGCATCCGCGGTTGCCACTGGTCAACATGAGATCCGATAAGGTGAAAAGAAAACCGTTGAATCTCAAACAGCTGGGCGTTGAAAGCTATGACAGTTCGGATCCCGGCGATAACTTCGTTGGCCATGGCGCCGGCGCTGGAGTAGGCCGTCATTTCCGACTTGGTCGCTCTGGACAGCATCTAGAAGGTCATAAATGGTATCAAGAAGGTGGCATTTTTTCGCAACCCTTCCTGAGACGTACATGGAGGCAAGCAGGAAAGGAACCATTATCATCATGGCGAGGGTCAGTTGCCAGCTAGAAAAAGAAGAAAATTGAAAAAAAAAAGTGAGTCGTTTATAGCAAAGTTCGCCGCGACTTGAGAGTTTTGGAGTGTCTGCGTCTCTGTGTTCCCTCACCGACACCAAGGAAATAGCACGTCAACATGAGAGAGTCGTCGAGAGACAAGGATGGCGCAGAGAAATTCCGCAACTTCAAGTCGCTAACAATGGACTATACTCCCTCACCACATGTAGAATCCCAAAGCCAAGCCGCCAATAAAAGTCCCGATTCCCGAGCTGACAACTCCCAACTTGTCGCCGATGCCGTCCTTGATCTTTTCGATGCCACTGAGCATTCAGTTCTAACAAGACTTCTTTTTGAGATGAACCTGCTCATTTTCTGGGTGAGAGCGCCGACTTGCTGCTCGTCGAACCACCTGGCGTCCTGTCGAAGAACCGCCCGCAGGTAGTATTTTCGGATGGCGTGAAGGCGTCGCTCACACATCGTGTAGAGGCATACGTTCTGTAGAGAAATCAAGATACTCTTGATGATCTGATTTTATCAATATCTTTTTGGATTGATCTTCTATAATCGTGGAACACTCAAAGGACTCGGAACACCGAATTGAGACTTTTACGCTTCCAGCAAACCGCTATGACAAGGGAAGTGTCTGAGGTGAGAATAACGGGTACCCCAAAAAGATTTTGAAATTTTCCGAAACGCGAAATCGCTCCCAGGAAAATGCAACAACGGGCCAGCTAAAGCAGCAATTCGCGATGTCGTCAATGTACCCCCGATGACCTCGCGCTTATCTCCGTTATTCTTAGTGTAGCATATTTCTATTTTGTATTTAGGTAACGTAACCTAGGCACGCTTACGGTACTCACCTGTGGGAGCCGGTCCGTTTTTATGGAGGCCTCAAGCAAAATGGCCGGCACAAAAAGCCCGAACTTTCTACAAGTCGAATATCAAGCTTTGTCATGACAAAAGTCACGTTTTTTTTTCCACTTGGCGTTCAACAGAAAAAATGATTCAACAAGTAAGAAAATTTTTTCGGTGAAAGCTTTCGTTTTTTTTCCCGAAGCCTGGTCTGCCCCAAGACCGCGCAGACTTTTTCTCAAAAATGAAGCCCGGAGCCTGTCAATAACCCAATCTTCTGCCTACCGCCGCATAGGTGATGACGAAGATGGCAACGCCGAGGTAGAAGTACATGGCGCAGTAGTGAAGGACTTCGTGTTTGAACCAGGGCATGTCCAGGCTCCCGGCATCGTACTCGGCTTGGCCTTTCATCAGAACGTTCGTCATCCCTACGTTGTTCAACTGATTTTCCTTTTGTTCAATGTTCCGCGATCACCTTCAAAGATGAGGCTGTTCAGTGGGAGCATCACGCCGTTGAAGAAGCTCAGCAGAACGCCGAAAATGAGGAGGAGGTAGTCCCGCCAGTCCGAATGTCGCAGCTGGCAATGATTCATTGATGTTATGGCCGATTTCATTTTTGAAGAACTTACAACATCGAGAAATCCGGCTTTTCGTGGCGGGTTCTGTTTTTTGGGTTTACTGGTGAAGTTCGCATCGAGCGACTGTTCCGGCTTGATCTGACAGGAAAAAACCAATTGAATTGAAGAGATGCATCAAGGAATAAGAGTTCATCATTATTCTGATGAAAAATTCAGAAAAAGGGAATATTGAAAAAAGTCATTTAAAAATCATTCCAAGAAATTTTTTTTTTTCGAACGAAATAAAATGAATTTGAGCCATACTTTTAAAAAATAAATTTCTCAGAAACTTTCCGTTTTGTTTTTTGAACAGAATTAGTATTCAATACAGTGAAATTATTATAGTGTTGTAAAAGACAAAAAAACCAATAATACTTTAAAAAGGTGTTTCCGTTAAAAAAAAATTTTTTTTAATCAGCTCTCATTAAAATTTTCGAAAAAATTATCTCAAATATTTATGTTTTCTTTCAAGTAATTTCCTTCGTTAAAGTAACTGAAAAATAGGTAAAAAGATAAATTTCAGGAACTTCAAATCTCCAGACATCAAAGGTACCCTTAGAACGTTGAAGTCCAAGAAAATTCAAAAAAAAAAAATGCTCAAGAAAAAAAAATAAGCTCGTTAAAGCGGGAAAGGGGGTTGGAAAAAACTTTGTGAAATGATAAAATTTAGAAAAATCAAATTATCATTTTAGAGCGGCAGAATGGCCCCTATAGTGGTCAGGGAAAAAAGACAGCCCATATATAGGACAAAAATGGCCACTTTGAGGAGTTTAGGGTCTGACCCCTGAATCTTAAAGCTCAAGTGGTCACTATAGGGTCTTTTAACTTTTGTTCAGATTTTAAAATTTCAACAAATGAGCATATATCCTGTTCATATTTTTACATTCAAATAACTCTAATTAACTGAATTTTTTTTCGCATGAAAAATGCTTCTCAATAACAATATTCGACTAGCATGACTCTCTAGGGGTATGTAAAGTGGTCCCTAGAGAAGAGCCTCCAAGAGCCCCTGAGGTTGCTCTTAAAGGGGCCACTCTGGAGTTCCTAATTACTTCAAAAGTATTATTAAAAACTGATAGTTCCAAACAAAAAAAAAACGTGAAACACAAAACTCACCTTCATGGCGGACGTCAAAGTTGCCGATTGAGCCAAACAGCGGCGTCAATCGTTTTCCGAATTTTGAATAGATTATGGAAAGTTTTTGTTTTTGATGGTGCTGGACAACTCTTTCGGGTTGTTTTAGGGAGGAAAAAGACGTTTTCGGGCGTCTGAAGAGTACTGAAATGAGTGCAGTTGCGCTGGGGGAATTTTACGATGTGAAAAGAAAGGTTGTTGGGTAAGGAGAAGGGCTCGCAGGGAAAAAAAAAATCCAGGATCGTACTTTCTCATCTTATCTCTCTTTACTTGAACTTTAAAAATTTCAACACTTTTTATGATTTTGAGACCTTCTGAACTCCGAAACCGGCATTACTTTTTGAGCCAAATAATATTTTTTTAAAATTTTAGAAGTCCAAGACTTTATTTTTTTCTTTTTTTCCAATAAAGTACCCAGGGACATTCAAAACTCAAGATTTTCAAAGGTTCAAGTAAAAATACAAAAAAGGATCCGTTTTACGGAACTCCGCGCTTCAAACTTTTTGCAAAAAGGGTTAGGAATATTCTAAATCATTTGAGAAAAAAACAGTCAACTGAACCTTGAGTAATTGATAAATATTTCAATTTTTGACGCGTAAATGTTTGTTTTAATGATAAAATCAAAACGGGGTGATAAGAGTTGCGGTCACTGGAACCAGCAAATCAGAAAGAAAAACTATTTTTTTTCGGGTAATTTGAATTTTACTGTTTCCTTGTAGAAGTTGATGTGCGGGGGAGGGGGTATCGTAACTTGAGAGGCGACTTGATAACTTTTGGTCGCACTTGGAATGGCTCACCGAGCGCTGTGGTTCAAATGAAATAACGCCGGCCATTTTATGTTCAAGATCGCGCAAGTCGTTTTGAGGTCGGGCGCGTTTAAATATTAGGCAGCCAGAGAGCCGTTCCTTATGCAATCTACACTTTGAAGTTGCGAAAATTCAAAATTTAAAAATACCTTTTTCTCGAACAAAATTCATGCATACTCATTTTTTCCGTGTTAATGAAATAGTGACGGAATGAAACGAAACAAAAAAAAGATGACAATATTCCATTTTTTTTTTTGTTAACATTGGAGTTGAGAGGGTCATACAGTAGAAAGCTCATGAATCTTCTTTTCAACTCCTGGAAAAATAAAAAGATCAAAAGGAAATGTTTACCTGGAAAAGTGAAGAGCAGCCAATCATTTTTTGCTTTTTATATCGGAGCTCTTTCATGTCGATTCGTTGTAGTTCGTAGCCCAGCACTGAACTTTCTAGCCCCACACAAAGGCTTATCAAAATTCGGCGCACAGCACTGGAACAGTTTTCAAAAATTGAAATTCAGTGATCTTTTATCATTATTTTGTTTTCAGGCTCGTCTTTTTTTTTCACCTAAAATGACGTTTTCCACAAAACAAGACGTGTGAATTTGAGAAAAATGAGCGAATTTTATAGGAAATCAAAAATGCATAACGTAATACGCTTCATTTCATAGACGTCTTCAGTCATTTTCAACTTCCTTGCTAGGAAACTTAAAGGAACACCAACGATTTTTCATGAAGGTTCCAAAGCGAAGAGATTTTCTGATAATATTTTGGGTAATCATTTATTCTTTCAAGGATTTCTGAACAGAGTGAAGCAAGAAGTTTTTGATCAACTGTTGACTTTTTGGCCATGACTCAAGTTTTAGTTTGAAGTTCGAAACCTTTCAAAATTTTGCTCAACGATCTCTAAAGCTGTAAAAATATATGATATCCTCAAAAACTCATTTTTTTGAGAAGTTGGTTTGAAAAAAATTCCTTTTTCAAAAATTTCCTTGTTCTAGATTTGCTTTTTCTAATCACTCGTTCGTAGATCTTCTCGTTTTGGACCAGATTGCACATTTGTTTTCCATTCAACAGTGAAATTCACATGAATCATCTTCGAACTAAAAAATGGGAATTATTAGATTTGAAGTTATATATATATTTTTTCGAAACTCTTGCTTTTTTCAAAATAGTCCTCTTTGAATTTTCTTGAAAAAGTCATTCCATCGTTTGAAGTTGTTTTTCCGATCCCATAAACTTTGAACAACTCGAAAAATCCCCAGCTGACTCACCTTCTGTATAATCTGACCATTTTCTCTCGACCCAATTAATGACTAAAACGGACAGGTGAATAACCCAATTCAATGAGACAAGCAGCTGAAACCTGGAAATCAACAAGTTTACGTGATCAGCCAAAAACTTCAATTTCGAAGCCACTCTTTTTTGGAAAGCCTTCAAGTTTCCCTCAAATGTCTTCGTTTATTTCTTCAAAAAAAAAAAAACGAACGGAAACACTTATAAATACCAAATCTCCATATCACTCCGGGGGAAGGAAAGGGGGTGAAGAAACGAAACGACACAAGAATAGAAAACGAAGTGGGAGTAAGGGAACAACAGTGACGTAAACAATGAAAAGAAGCGTCCGCAAAACGAAGAAGAGAGAAAAAAAGAGAGCCCAAGAAAGGAAGTTTGATAAATTAAATTGAAAAAGAGATAAACTCAAAATCATTAATAATAAGACAAGTCAACAACAGGAAAACAAAAAGTTTCACTAAGAGAAAAAAAAAAGAAGAAACATCCTCAAGTAACAACATTTCTCCAATGAATATAAACAAAAAAAAAGGATACAAAAATATGTCTGCCTTGGAAAGGGCATCTGGTACACAATCAAAAACCAATCTGGAAAAGGGAGAACTTTTCCGGATCGATGATGATATGTGGATAGAAATTTGGAGCAAAAAATGGGCGGCGGGTGCGATTCAAAATATATAGAGATAAAAAAGGCAAAAATTTATGAGAAATGTGACATTTATGGGCACAACATAGGTCTTTTTTCATCATCATCTCGAAAAAAGAAAGGTTTCTCTTTCATAAAAATTCTCAGAACTTATTATTAAAAACGAAGCAAAAAGCCGGATAAATGTCACATCGAGGGAGGAGGATTAAGCTATAAAAAAGAAACAGAATTGAGGGAAGAAATGGAGGGAAAAGACATGAAAAAGAAGAAAATGAAGTGGGAAGAAATTCGTTCAACGACGCTGAGTACCCGTCGGCAGAGGCACCGTCTCGATTTCGCCCTGGTTGATGCGGTCCGACGCAGCGGCGCCGCGGAACCCGAGGATCGCTCCGTCCAGAACTTGGCGAGAGCTCTGAAATCCTTAGAGTAGACACCAAAAAGCATACTCATCAGTATAGGAGAAAATAATGACTTACAAAATTTTTCAAGAAATAAACTAATTTTTGACCTCAGGGAGGTATCTTCGAAATGATTTTTTTTTCTACCTTGAAAGGTAATCCGGGATACTTTAGATAAGGAATGGTGGATTCTTAGACTTTCCGTCTGCAAAACTTCTCAGTTTCTTCGGAATAAAATGATCAAAGAAAAACATCAAAATAAGTGAAAACTAAATCCCCGTTTTTCGAAAACACGACACTTCTTTCTTATGCTCACAAAGGAGCTCTTGTTATGAAATCTTAAAAAAAGGTTTCCGTTCAAAAGAGTACTAAAAAGATGTATCCAAAAATATTCCCACAGATTTAGCTTAAACATGTAAGATTCTAGGAAAGGCGGTCCTAAGAAATACAAATGTAGTACTTCTCATTAGCGCAACAGGTTGTGTGCTTGTCTGAGGTTAGATGGTCACAAGTTCGATCATCAACGAGACCCAATCAAGGGGTTTAATCAATTTTGGTAGTGGAAAACTACGGCTTTATAATCCGCAGCCGTCACAGACAAGGACGGATATGTCACTAGAGCCAGTCTACTGATTATTCAAGATAGGACCTTGGCTCATGGACTTGGCGTTCAAGCCATAAAAGGAATGAGAAAAAGAAGATTGAGAGCTTCTCCTTGTGGATGCGAAATAAATTATTATACCTTCTTCTTCTTGTTACGAAGAGCCGCCGAAGAGCCACCAGAGCCATTACCCGCTGCATTGCTACCCGCTGCTGCAGCCGTCCTTGCACTTGAGAGATCCTGAGAAAAACAACGCTTTTTCCTCATTATGAAACATGTTCACGAACATCTGTTTCGGGCTTCTCGCCACGATTGCGCAATTCGATGCGCTTTTGAAGGAATTCGCGGACGAACTCCTTGACCGCCTTCGATTCGCTGAGATACGACATCACAAAGTCTTCAACCTGCAAGAAAAATAAATTATCACACTGATGGATCCTCATTTTATGACGTTTCTACAAACTTTTTTTTTATCAAAATATCTGTCTAGACGTGTCAATCAACATTTAGAATAAAATACCTAATACGTGTTGACTGAAACTTTAAAATGACTTAAACATGTCTTTTTCTTTATAAAGAAAAAGCTATAATTTTCAGACGGTTATTTTTAGGCTTAATCAGGGATATTTTCTTAATTAAGGATGAATAAGTGATAATTCATTCAGATGGGTGGTAGGATGGCCAAAGGAAGAAGTCTGAATGAGAAAATATTTTTTTAAGACGATTCTTTAGAAATTCTGCAGATTCGACCTGCGTTTTTTGGAACGCCAGATGCCTAGGCGCTATCTTTGTTGAAAATCTTCTCAAACGAAAAAAAAAAATCAACTCAAGTACGAGAAAAGCGCCACACAAAACTGAATCTGCCAACTTGAAACGAAAAGCGAAACGGATAAAGATTGTAGTGGGCGTGGCGAATGAAGCCCCGCCCGCCACTAAAAAGCCTCGTAAATCATAACAGCTATACGACTCTCAAAGATGATAAGAAAAATGTTGGAAGGGAGCAGATTAGTTTGTTGAGAAGCGCCAAATCACAACAATTTTATTTTTCCCCGAGGATTTTCATATCCGACAACATTTGTGAACAAAAAGTCCCCTAAAAAACTAAACACCAAAAATTTCAAGGGCTATTTCAACCCCTGGATGATAAGGATAAGATGTTCTCAAATAAACGTGTTGAAATGACTTTCTATTTTGGTTAGTTTTTTTTTTCTTTCTTCTTCCTCTAAGGCCATATTTATTTTCACACTGACTCATGTATAAAAATACACTCTTTTGCCTGAAAAACAAGCCGAAAGTTCCAGTAAATACAGCGGCTATTTCCGGGACTTTACATAAATCTATTTTTTTTTGGAAACACTAATCCTGGAAATAAAGTGAGAGGAGATGGGAAAAGTGGCTAATCGAGAGATCACTACAAATCGCCGAATTATTCACCAGCCAAGTTTCCTTGTGAGTGAGACAAACTTATTTTTAGCCAGTCTCACACAAGATTTTGTTCCTAGAAAATCATGACATCTGCAAACTCGAATCTATATTATAATCAGGAGATATTCTCAGTACGACAAGCAAAGTATTATAAAAAAACATTGAACCATTTGTTCTTTCTGTGGAACTTTTAAAAGGCAACAGACTTTTTTTCTTTTCAAGCTGACTGCGGCTTAGGTTAGGTATGTACTCAATTGAGCGTAACCAAAAAAATTGATGAGAGTTTTTTTTTTTGCGATTCCAGACAGCAATTGATTGGAGTCGAAGTTTTTGTATCCAGAGACGTACTACTTTAAATTGGTCAGACATGTTCTTGGTATGCCTACAAATGACGCTAATGTTAACTTTGTTTACTGTAAATTCTATGGTACAAAAAATTCTTATTAACTTCTTCCAAAGCTTGAATATATCAAAAAGAAACATCTTAAGAATTTTCACTTTTTTGTCAAATTTATCCAGTTTTGGTCAATTAACCTTTAAGAGCCAAAAAGCAAAGTTTGTTATTTCGCTCTTCGAGAGATCTTCAGGGCTTTTCATCCAATTTTCAAAAAAGAGATGTATATATTTTTTTTCAGAAATAAAGAAAAAATCAAACGTTCCTAGAGTGGTTATTTAAGGACCACCGTAGTCCGCGAAAAAAAAAGAAGAAGATAAAGGCCGACGGAGCCAAACAAACTACAGCAGCACCAATGGGGGTTTATAAATACTCTGAACACGTCAGGCGCGACGAGAAAAATCTTAATTTAGCGCGCTTATCAGTATAATTCGGCTTTTAATATCCTGTTTCTTCATGTTCACCGGTTAAATTAGTCGAAAATAGACTCTTTCCACGGTTGCGGGGCCATCGACAGTTTTATTACCACCCAAATCAGAGCTTCCATATTTAGCAACAGCGATGGATAATACGGTCGCTGGTCGATCGAAAACGCTTTTTCAGCTGTCCGAAAAAGCGGGTACAAAAATTTCATCATCCATTACAACTACAATTATCTTCGCCTATTTCCTCCGGAAAAAAATCTCTGCTCGGACCTGATGTACTGATTCACACATAGCGTTTTTCCCAACTTTACGATCTCTCTGAATACAATTTGCCTTTTTTTAAAAATATTATGGGAACATTATATTGGATTTTTCACCTTTTCACAGCGAATCGGACCATAGGTTCGGAGTTCTCAGCAATTTTATATTTCTCAACAGATAGAGTTTATAATGAATCCAATAAAAGTTTAAAAATAAAGCGATGATTTCCGGTCACTTTTCATCAAAACAATTAGCTCTTGTTTTCAAGTTTCAAACATTGTGAGATAATCTGATTACTCACCCTATGAACTCTGTTATAAGGATGAAAAATCGTACACACTCCGAAAAAAAACGTTGCATATTATTCAAAAAAAAAACTGTGACTGAGTGTTGAACTTAACAATTTTTTCCAGATATGTTTCGAAAGTTTGTTTGTGTTTTTCAAATTGAAAAATTTCTTTGCTGAAGTCTGACTTTTGATATTACACTTCAATAAAAAAATTACTGCACACTTTATGGGAAAAAGAGCTCTAAAGCCAATTAGCCTTGCGAAAGTAATCTCATTAGACTTCCGCCGAAGAAAAAAGACTTGATAGCCTTTTAGAAAATCAAAAATTATGGCCTGCAAACTACTTGCGTGTGGGGGGAGGTTATGATGAATTATTTGAAATTCGGGAAGATGGTAAGAAATCTCTAAATTGCTAAAAAAATAAAGCTACCAGAATTTATAACTACTTTTCCAAAAAAACATTAAAAACGAGTTCAATTCGTCTTTTTCATCCGTTAGAATTGCAAAAAAAGTAGATTTCTGATCTTGCTTCATAAAAAAACTAACACTACAGATTAAACTTTACTCTTCATCAAAACACAGAAAAAGCACGTTTTCTGACTCATAATTACGTTAATTTTCCAATGCTTCTGTGAGTTAAATATAGAAAAAGCAGTCATATCATCTAATAATTAAAAAGAATTGGAATCGTACTAGGGGCCAGAAATAACCGATTCAGGGTGGGAAAATTAGTCCGCGACACATAAAAAAGGCATGCACTATGAATAGGAGAAAGCCCTCGTTCCTCCATTTCCAAAGAACACTTTTTTTCCTTTTTTTTTTTGTCCAGATAGCTCCAAAAAATTAGTTTTATGTGACACGTGAGGGAGAAAGTTTTTTTGAGAAAGCGAAAAAACAAGAGGAAGTGTGTATATCACGCCTTGGAACGATGCATATTTTTTCCTTTCTCTTTTTTTTTTTGCAAAAAGAGAACTCAAACGTTCCTTCTCTCGCGCTCACCAACTCGACTATTTTTAGATATTTTAGTCGGAGGCGGAGCTTTTTTTCTGCGTGTTTCCCCGTTCCTCGAATACTTTCAAAAAGCCAGCTCGAAGGGAGATTATCTTCGGAGCTAATGATCGGTTATCAATAAATGGGAAAAATATGTTTTATGAAAAAAATTATTCTTTTTTTTCTGAGTGAAAAGAAGACAAGAAATGAAAAATTTCCAAAAAAATGTCCCAAAAAAACCAAATAAACTTCATTAAAAATCATAAAACTATGTTCTTTGGATTTTTTTGTTTTTTTGTTGGTGAAAAAAATTAATATTTTTTTTAATCTTCAATCTGAGAAATGGAAGATTCGCATAACTTCTCTGCCTACTGAAGCGAGCACTGAAAAAACTCTGGATCCACTTTAATGACCACTAGTAAGCTAAGAGTGACCCGCAAAATAAAAAACCGTGTACTCTTTTCTGAACTTCAGAAGTAATCGCAGAACTTTCTTTTTTTCTCAAATATCAGTTTGAAGAAAAAAAAAATTTAGCTTGACTTTTAAATCCTCCTTATGACACTCATATCAAGAACTACAAGATTCTTATACTCCTTATCGAAATCCAAATCTGTTTTCATTGATGGGACGCGTCCTTTTCATCTATCAAGGTGTTCTATAGATATCGAGATCATCTGCACTTCTAGTACAGATTCTTCGTAGGAATCCTTTCACGATCCCCCTTTTTTCCTTGAGAGCCGAGGCCAACGAAAGGCACCTCGTTAGGATTCTCCTCGTCGATGACGACGCCGTAGAGGAACTCGACGTCGATGACGTCCTTGCCAGAAGAGAGCGTCTTGAACCGCTTGACGAACCACTTCTTCAGCTCGTTCAGACCTTCGTCCACCACCACCGCCGGCTTTTTCTTGTTGTTATTGTTTTGAGCAGGGGCTGGTTTCGGTGCTTCGGGCTTTGGCTGAGCTTTCTTGGCCGGTGGAGGCGTCGGAGCGACCTGAAATTGAAAAATATTTCAAACTTCTTTATATATATATTTTTTTTCTAATGTTTTTAACCAGAAATTTCCAAGTTGATCTGGCTGAGCTTTGTTGGCCGGTTGGGGACTTGCATAGACTTCAAATTGAAAGTTATTACGATTCAATAACGAAGCTTTCGGCGTCTCAAACTTTCCTTTTTGCATGTCATTCCTTTATTGCTTCTCTGAGATCATTTTTTTCTAAGTTTTTTTCAAATAATAAACAGTCTGGAGCCTCCTATTAAATGACGAAAAACTTGTGAAAATCATATAATTACAGGATTGTAACATCCATACTTTAAGGCGCGTGGAGATGTTCACCTATTATGAGTGATCGGTTAAAAAAAGTTTCCGCGAAGGTCCAAATTAAGATCCCTCACACCCCTGGGAAAATTAAGTTCTGTACTTTTTCATGTATGACCCGGTTGCGCTATAAGATCCGAAAAGTTCGACTTTGGACCTTGTTAGCAGCCTGAAGGGAAGGTCCGTCGAGGAAGGGCGAAACGTAGCTTTTAGCCGAGTCGGCCGCCTGAGCAGCCGCCCATGGATTCTTCGACGAGGCGGGCTTGACGACGGGGGCCGGCGGAGTCCACTGCAGCCGCTGCGAGGCGTTGCCCCATGTCGAGGCGACTGGCGGCTCCTGCAAGTTCTCATAATCAAAATACTCTTCATAATTTTTTTTGGTCTAGATATTCTCAATTCGAAAAATTCGTCCTCAGATCTACTTTGAGGCAAAATATAATATATTTACGGCTGTTCTGAGCCATCGAGAAAAGGGTCCTGACGCGATTAAAAAAAATAAAGAATATGTGGTTGGTGGAGAGCGCAGAAATTGAAAGGTATTTTCGCGCAAAAAAAAAAAATCAAGTTTTGAATCATAAGAAGACGTTTGGAATAATTAACTAGTTTTTCGTATCTATAGCTCCAAAACTAAACGTATTCATAATGAATTATATCGATTCTAAAGTTTCAGGTCAAAGTGACCACGTTAGGGTTCACACAGTTCTATGATGAGTCATCATTATCCCTAAAGTAATTCCTGACTTCTTTCTTGATCTTGGCCAGACGTTCCTGCTCGATGCGCGCCTGTCGTTCCTCCTCGGCAAGAATCTCGCGCAACGTCTTCTCGGCCGCCGCCTGCTCCGACTGTTTCGCCGCCCACGGTGCTTCTAGACCGAGAAACGGAAACTTGGACAAAAGAGAGCGGACAGACGTTTGGCTTTTTGTTGTTTCTGCGCGGCGGAGATGGTCTGCCAGCCGTCCTGTGATTCTTCGCTCAATGTCGTCGTCGCTTGTCGAGGCTTCGGAGCGGTCTGGAAAAGGAACTCATTATTCAGATTTTCCTTCAAGGAGGAGAGAATATTCGAGGAAAAAAATAAATTGGTAAAGGCTCCTCAGACAGAATTTTTAGAGCTCGAAAAAACTTCACCCTCGTTAAATAATTTCCCATCAATTTTTTATTTTTTTTTTTGCTTCAATTTGTATCAGTTTTTTTCCTCCGGAAGATCTAGGTTCCAGCTTCTAAATTTTTTTCAAATTGATTTTTTTGGAATCATTAATAGAAATCCTTGTTTTTTTCCGTAGAGCTCTCAAGCGAAAAACTTGGCACATCTTTCCGAATCTCTTTTTTTCTCTCCAGTTTAATTTTTTTAAGACATTTTTGCCAGGTATTTTTTTTTTTAATTCCTGAAACTCTCGCCATTGAGAGCTTATTTATAACGTTTTCAATTGAAAAATATTTGTCAATGGAGCACATATCCACTTATATTTTGGGCTCAACCTTCTACATCTGTTGTTTTTTCTCTAATCTCATCATTCATTGGTTTCTTCCCGTTGCTTACCGCCCAGGCCTGTTCGATTTCGAAAGAATCCGACTTTTCGACCTTCCTCGCGACTTCGGAAGCTTTCTTCTTCGCTTCTTTCTCCTCTTCCGCTCTCTGCAGGAGTATTCTTCTTTTTTTGCTCCCCTCTTCTTTGACAAAACCTTCTTCAACTCGATCTGTCGAATTTTTTCGGCGGCCAACTCGGCTTCCATTTCCAGTCGCTGTCGTTCGCGTTCAGCCGCCTCTTCCGCTTTTCTATAAAAAAAAAGAAGCTCCAACTGTTTATGGAAGCTCTCTTCTTTTACCTGAGCCGTTCTTCCTGTCGCAGCCGCTCTTCATTCTGAAGCCGGATCTGCGCTTCCCGTTCCCTCAATCGTTCTAACGCTTCTTGTTCTCGGCGCTCCTCCTGAATTTTGCGATTTATTATGATGAAAAGAAGCCAAATCTTTTCAACGATTCAGATCGCCTTTAAAAGCTCAAAGAAGGCGTGGCAAAATTTTCGCAAGAATTTGAAAGTTGATATTCATTTGAAAACTACAACTGATACTAACTTAGGAACTTTAGAGTGGTCCCCCAAAGGTAAACCTTAGATGCTCTTGGAGGCTCCCCTCTAAGGACCACTTTACCAACGCCTTTTGGAGGCCACTAGAGCTTGCAAAAGTGGTACCTATATGGGTTTCAGTTAGTGGCACCTATAGGCGACCGATTATTGTTATGAACCTTATGCGAAAAAATCAATGAATAAGAGTTTTTTGAATAAAACTATCGCCACTGGGTAAATTGATCAGGCTCTGTCTCCATTTTCATAAGATCTAATATTTTTTCCCAATGCCGATTCGGTGATCTTCTCCTGACCTCGATCTTCCTAAGCCTCTCCTCCTCGATGGCCTTCGCCTTCTTCTCCAGCTTCAACTGCTCCTCCTGGAACTTCTTGAGCGCCTCCATTTCCTTCTCCTTCATCAGTTGCTCCCTCTTGGCCAGCTCCTCCTGGATCATTTGTGTCAGAGAATCGGACGATTTGAAACCTGTTGTCGCAGCAAAAGTTCCTCCTTCTCCTGCAGCCTCCGCTGATAGTCCAACTTCTCGGCTTGAGCTTTTTCAACAATCTTCTCAGCCTCCTCTCGAATCCGCTTCTGTTCATTCATATAAAGCTGAAAAAACTTCATGCTTTTCCCTTTTTTTTTTCAAGTCACCTGTGTTTGTAAAGCATCGAGACCAGTTTGTTGATTGGGAAATTGGGGAAGTTGCATGTTCAGCCCGGTGATTCCTGGATACCAGGGAGAGCTGAAAACAAAAATCCTCGATTCATTTTTTTTCGATTAAAAACGGCTTTGCTCAAAACTTATATCTAGATATGCCACGAGTAGAAAGTTTGAAATAAATTTGCCCTTTTCCCTCAATGCGGTGGTCGTTGATCGGCGGGCGCCACAATGTTTCACCCGTTTTTATCCCGCGGCTTTATCAGAAACGATATTTTCGCCGCGCCCGTTTTACTCGAGCGGGTCCACCCGAGCGAATTTTCACCAGTTTTATTCTAGCTGGTGCTACACAACGTCGAAAAAAAAACCAAGTGAGCATAAAGTTTAAAGCCCCGCTAATCACCCTTTCTCTGGAAAATTAAGAATTGTTTGCCTATCGGGTCCCCCGTATTAGAGCTAGGCGCAAGCAAACGAAGAAATTATTGTAACTTTTTTCTTACTTCTCCATAAATAGTATAGCACTACCGGTTCTCAGTAACGAAATCCCCCTTCAAAAACATATCAAAAATTGGCGACCAGGATGAGAATTTCAGAAACTCATTTACGCTGCGTGAAGTTTCCAGCAGATGGGGATTTCTTACCCGTAAAGCCCGCTCAAAGGCGGATTCGAGGCGGCGAAAGTCAAAGGGTCGAAGGACGACAACTGGGAAGGCGCCGGTTGCACTGGAGCCGGTTTCACTTCAGGCGGATAGTCAAACGGCGTCGTCGCTCCGTGGAGCCGCATCAGGTCGCCGAAAGTTTTGAACTCTGCATCCGTCGTCCGTTTGATTTTCAACGTCTGGTCGTTGAAATAGCCCGCTTTGAACCATAAGACCATGTTATCCTGAACTTTCAGCCAATTTTTTCCAGTTTTATTTTTTTCTGATTAATTTTTTTGTCTTTTCATACGTTTCAAAAAGAAAACCTGACCACTTTCAAGCGCACAAACGTGTTATCTCCCACTTGAAAAATCATTTTCCTAATTTTTTTAGTGGAAATTCAGTACTGGGAAATTTTTTGTGTACAAGCGCATAATCATTTCAAATCGACAACAGAAAATTGGATTCAAACAAATTTCACATGGTTTACGGTGTCTTAGAGTAGATCTCTCCTTGTTTTTACCAATATTTTAATCTCGATTATTCACCTTGGTAAAAGGCCCTCGAGAGGTGCCGGTCGGATCAATGTAGACGAATTCCGGGTCGGCGGGAGGCTGTTCTTGTATGGCGGGCGCCGGCTGGATCACCGGCGTCAGTCCGGCGGCAGCGGCCAATGACGACAACAGCTGCTGATGTTGCTGCAGCTGCAGGAGCCGTATCCGTTCCACATCGAACGACGAGCTGCCAAAGTTGTCCAGCAAGGAGGATACCTCAAAAGTCAGATTTGTAAGTATCTCAGAAATGAGCTGTGTGTGCAGGATCATCTGCCACCTATGTTCTTTTCGGAATATATTTCAAAATTAGACAGTTCTAATAGATTTATCTCGGATTCGGATGAAAAAAAGAATAAAATAAAAAGTGGAGTGAACTGTAAACGCATAATCGTTATAGTGTGTGGACCACAAGTTGAAATTCCACGGAACGACATTCCGCTGTGTCTTCGCGCCTTTGCGAACCTTGGTCGCGCTTTTAATTTTTCTTTTCTTTTATTAAGGTACTCTACTTTCATGTGCTCCCACAGCAACAAAAATAAATTGAAGGCGTGATCTAGATTTGGAAGACGCTTCGCGAACACACGCAATTGCAAGTCGTGGCACACAGACTATACACAGGTAAAGAAATGGGAAGGTAGTAATGAAAGTAACGATTTCAATTTTTCCTGTCCATTTGTAGAGACAATCGAACAAGCAGAAAAGTGTTCAAACCCGAGTTTTCTCTTTTATTTCCTAAGGTTTGGAACTTCATTTGAATGAATAAAATATTTGAAATTTTCTTTTTCCTATTTTTTTTCCATTTTATTCTGGATCTTTTCGCCGAAAACCGCGTTCGTATAAAGTCACCCTTTGTGAAGCTCAATCCGCGCTACCTTGTCACGTTTTATTTTCATTTTGGAAAGATACCCGACTCCTTTAGACTACAGCTATTCAAGCGAAGAGCGCAAAAAAATTTGAATATTAAGGATCTTTCTTTTTTATTTTTGAAAACGCAAAAAGCTCCCACGAAACCCCCTAAAAATATTTTCGGAAACCTGTGGTAATGATCCGGTGCCCATCAGGTTGGCGGCTGACGACGCAGGCACGTTCCAGTTGTTTCCAAACGCTGGCGTAGCTGTCGAAGGTGCTGCAGAAGTTGGCCTGAACCATTTCAATTCATAAGAACACTGCGAAAATGATCTAACCGTTCACTTTGAGCTGTGTTGACGCTTTCCGACGATGTTTGATGGGTAGATGTTGAAGCCGTTGCCTGAAAACAGTAAAACCATTATAAAAATTTGTGTCTTTTTGAAAATCTTCTTCACAATTATATCTCCGTCAAGATACGCGGTTCGAATCACATTTAATCGATAATTATAAAGAAAAATGTGTAAAAAGGGATTTTCTTGATAAATAAAAAAATCATCGAGAGGGTAAATTAAATGTTAATGAAAACTTTAAAATCAACTCAACAACTTTCGGTGTCACTGTAAAAAAAGTCACTGTAAAAAAAGGTCATAAAAGTTTTCTCTCCGATTATTTTTCTGTTCAAAGTGTCTGCATCTTTTACCATCGCAGTGAAAAAAATAAAGACCTCTACATTTATTTTCTTTCATCGAAAAAAACTATTTTTACTTTTTCCTTATAAGAGATTCTTCCTTCATCAAAACTTGAGGCCTAATTCACAACAGTGTTTGGAGTTTTACTTTGAAAAACTGAATGAATGAACCATAAGGTCATACATGAGCAAGTAGAGAACCCCACTTGACCAGGTGGAGGGGTCGGCTGACAAAAAATGACCAAAAAACTGAGTAAGAATTATTTCTAAGCCTAGGAAGGTAGTGTTGGCAGCAAAAAAAGCACAAAATTCAACCTCAGAGGGATTTTAACGGCTTAAAATTCATAATACTTGGAAGGGAGGGTTGGCGGCCTCCAAAAATTATTTGCCCATATATGAACAAGGCCATGTTTTGGACCTAATACGTTTGCTCTTCTAGTCGGTCAAAAAGAAATTTTTCGATAAAGTTGAAAAAACTCTTGTTTACCGCCTATTCGATAACATCTATGAGCAAAGCAAAAATGAAAAGAATGCTGATCCACTACATCTTGGACCCTAGAACATTCAGCAAACCATACGTTTGAGGTCTGTGTCTTGGTGGGCGGTTCTTGTTTGGGCTGGAGAGCCGTCGAGGACGTCGATCCGAGACCTCGGAAAGTTCCATTTTCGTCAAAGGAGCCGCTGTTGGCCGTCGAGGCACTCGTCGCGACGTCCCTGGAAGATTCTTCAGAGTTAATTCTCATCTTATCCTCAATATATTTCTATCCGCTCAGTTTGAAACTTCTCAAATACCGACTAAACGTGTTCGGATGAACTAATTTACATTATTTTTGATCAACAGCCTCTTATGCTTTTTTTTCATTAAGTGAATAAACCTAGCCCATTTTTGGCGATTAGAAAAGAAAGGATTATTTATGAGGAAATAAATGACCTAGCTGTGCTCATTTCGAAAATCAGAGGACCAACTGTGCTGATTTAACCTCTTCAGCCTGATAGGCCTTTCAAGCTAGAGAAGGTTAGCGGTGAAATTATCAAACCCCTTGAAGTCGCCGTCGTCCATCCACTCGGGCATGCTCTGAGCCTGGAGGGACCGAGGCGCCGTCGAAGAAGCCGAGTTGGGACCTTGGTCCGTGTACGCCTGCTGCACCATCGACGCTCGGTCACGCCAGGCGTTAGAATTGGCGCCATTCGTGGCCGCGTTGCTGTTCTCACGGTGCAACGCCCACTCTGGAAGAATTATCAACCTTTCTTTTTTTTTTAAATGTGGGTGAAAAATTTTTTAAACAAGTTTTATTACGCTCGCGAGCATGGGACGTGCGGACGTTTGTCTTTTTTCTCCAAAATTTCTATTTTATTTTATTTTCTCAGTTTTTCTTTACAAGTCATGAGCAAAACAGAACAAGTTTCAAGGCTTGAGCATGAGGTAAAGTATGCGCTAATAAAAGTTCTCGTTTCTTATCTTATTCAAAATCCAAAATTTATAAAAAAAAATCTCAGGGACCGCATGGGCGCTGATGAAAATGCATAGATGAAAAATAGAGTATACTGTTCGGATCGATATACTTTTTAAGATATTTTTTAAAAAATAAACCACCATCTTCATTTATAACGGGCCAAACTGATCAATAATTTCTGCGCGTAGTATTTCAAAACAGAGTATTCCGGAACAAGCTTTATTTTAACCGTTTTTAGGAGCTTTTTGCGTCCCCATTCTTCTCGTGAGGACTATTGGCCGAAGAGAAAATAAATTTACCGGACAAAGTTTTTTTTTCTCGCAGACAAAGTTCTTTGAAAATCACTAAAAGGCACATGATTCATTTTTTTATTCGTGTTCTCTAGCCCGTTCCGCGCTAGTTCGTCACGTTTTTTTTTCACCGAGCTACAGAACCCTTCCTTTCGATTCTCGTGGTCTGCGTCTGTTCATGCGATTTTTATTCGACCCGAAAATTCCGTTATATTAAAGGCGCATAGACATCCGCAGGCCACGCGCATCGAAGGAAAAGGTTCTGTAGCTCGGAGGGAACTAAAAAGCTTGAGAGGCTGCTGCGGAATGGGCTAGCGGGAACAAAGTAGACAACAACTCAAAAAGTCTTATGAGATTTCAATGTTCCGGAGTACTCAGTTGCCCAGAATCATATCTCTTAACAAGAATGGTAATTTTACTGTGCCGTTTGGAGTTTCCTTAAATTCGCCAAAAACACCCCCTCATGTACCAGAATGAAATCCATAACCACATATTTCTAAGCAAAAAGGGAAGCAAAATAGTCTAATTCGAGAGGGATTTCGAGATTTTGGTTGATTTTGAATCGACCTTTCTCAAAAAATAGGATGTCGTGTAGGTTGAGACTTTCCCGGTTTTCATCTGGTTCACCAAGGAGTGTTACGGACAAATTTTTCAAGGATTGTTATGGCCATTTACCAGCCGTTCAGTAAAAGAACCCCTCTTGTGAATTTTCCTACATTCCACATACGTTGGTCATTGCGTAACCAGGGTGAGCGAGGGGTCGTCGTCTCGTTTTGTTGAGAAATCGCGCGGCCCCAGGGTGACCGCGAGCCCACCGTCAGCCATCCGCCTTCATCTTTCTCATTTTCGTCATTCTCCTCACTAGCGCTTCTCAATGTGGTGCCAACGGCTCGGGGGCGATCTGCCAATTTGAACAAATACTATTTTCTCTGATTTGAGAAATGAAAAATAAGAAAGCACACAGGGGGTTAGTACTGAACGTGAGCTCGCGAAGACAGGTTGGAGTTATTTCTTGTTAATTTTAAATTTTCCCTTCGATCCATACACAGAGTTAATTTTTGCACTCAAAGGATGAAATCCAGTAAGGTTTTTTTTTTCGAAAACATAGACGCTCCAAACGATTTGGCTCCGACAATCAATAAACTTTCACGAGACGGACAAGAAAAAGCGACATGAAAAACACGTTTTACCCGGTGTATCCTTGTGATAAAGCCCTTGAGCGCGGGGATTGAAAGAGCCGGCCGTTGTGCTGCCGCCACGTGCGACCGCCGCCACTCCGCCACCACGACCTCGTCCTCAAATCCCAACTTTAACCAATTGTTTCAGGTACTTGAATAAGGGACAACCAGTCTCGTCAACCTTTTTTGAATAATTTCTATCGGTTTTGGTCAAAACTAAAATGATCAAAAAAGCAGAAATTTTAATATAAAATCAAACGACTTCTCCGATAACTTTTTGACCTTCATCGATTTTTTTCTCCAGCAGTTATAGAAGAAATTTCACGCTAAGTCCCCCCTTTTTTTTTAAATCAAAAATCAATATATCAAATTGAGACTAGTTTTTTGGGGATCGTCTCCCGCGGAATACACTGAAAAGGTTGATTTTTCGAAAATCTCCCAAAGCCGTACCAGGGAATCTTTGCCCAAACGGCGACGACATCCCGGCATCGTCCGGCGTCCCAGGCGCCGAGCCAGTCGGCGTCGATCCGAAGCCGTTCTCGCGAGATCCGCCGCGCCCGTAGGCGAACGCCGTCCCACGGACGCCTGGGCTGTTGTTTCCACGTTGTGACGGTGGAGTTGCCGCAGTGCCACGACCTGAGAAATTTTGAATGTACTCCATTTTAAAAAATAGTTTTCGGTAAAGTTTTGGAAAAAATCCAATAACTAGGTGAAATATTATAAAAAGTTGATCAAACTTTGCGGAAAAACTTATTTTTTTTTTTTGCAATTATGTTGAATAGAGCTGCAGCCTGGATCATTTTGATGAATATTTTCGAGACGAGAACCCTCATCAATTCTTTTTGACAGTCCTACAGAACTTATTCAATTCAAGAGAAACTTGATGTCAAGTAACGCAATTTTTTGAACATGAACTTTATTCATTTTTATGTAAGCTATATAACCCGTTTCTTCGAAACGCGTAGACTGCCTAAATTTGGCCTAGATATTTCCGCTATAATAAAGGCACAGAGACAGGTCGCGCGTATCGAAAAAATGGTTTTTGCAGTCAAAGGAAAAAAAAAATCAAGACAGGCTGCCGCGGAAAAGACTACGACGTTACAGACTTTTAACACTACTCAGAATGCAATTCTTTTCATGTTACTTCTAACCAGCACGACCTATTCCTGCCTAATGGAGAAATGAATGTGGATATCTCACCCCAGGACGGTTTGACCGAGGTCCAACCGGCACGGGAGGCGGAGCTAGCCGCTCCAGGACTTCCGGCGCCGTAACCGTTCCCGAGGGCGTTGCCCGAGGCGATGTGGGCTCGTTCGGCGTGCGACAGCGATGACATTGCTTTTGATGAGTTTATGTTTTGTTGAAGGCGCTGAAAAGTATGCGTTTACTACAGGAATGGCGTCGAGAAAATGAATATCACGAATAGGAAAAGTATTGATAAACAGGGACTTTTTAAATGTTAACATCTGGTCCGATCGAAATTCTTGAAAATATTTATTTTAAGATGAAAATCGGTAGATCCCTAAATTACCTATGTAGGAAATTTTTTTCAACGATACGACTTTTTAATGGGAGTTCAAAAAAAGGCATTCGATCTCAAATACCGAAAATCCGTAAAACGGTTGAAACTGCCGAATTTTTCATTTGAAGAAAATTTTCAACTCGTTCAGTTTCTGATGAAAAGAAAAAAAAACAAATTCATTCATTTTTTCCTTGGAATAATGATTGGATGGTTAAAAAAACTGTGTTCAACGTCCCACACAGAACATTCTCACTTTCATTCAAACCATTAAAAAAAGTTCATTCTTCTGTTTACAAAAATTTATTCTGCGAAAATTACATTAAAAAAAGCAAACCCATTCTTCTCAAACCTATAACTCTCCAAACTTCGTAAATGTTAAGTAATTCAAAAATCATAAACTTCATCTGGAAACTTATATTGAAAGTACAAAACTGGTATGCGACTTTTGTTGAAATTCAAAAAAAAAGCCGAGATTACGGTTGAAAATCCATTCCGATAGGAAAATCACAAGAAAACTCGTACAAAAAACGTCTGAAAGAAGATGGAAAATGGTGATGAAGGACATAAAACGAAACAAAAAAAAGAAAAAAAAAATCGGAAAGTGGGACGAAAGAGCGTAAAAAGAAATACGAAAAAGTGGTTTCGCGCCAGACTGGTCAACAAAAACGTCGTCTCTGACTCACCAAAAATGAAATGGCAGGTCAAATCACGAGATTTATCAGATATTAAAAGCTTTCAAATTGAAAACGCGCACTCAATCAAAGATCTCATCTTTCAGAATGAATCTATAAGAGAAGAACAAATCTTGTAATTCATAAATGGTAAAATCAAGGAAATCGAGACGAAATTCTAAAAATCCAAAACATTTTTCTCATAGAAATGTACTCAAACGTTCGCGAAAAGCACTAAAAGTTAATTGGGAAAGAAAAAAAAAGAGACATGTTTTTGTTGTCGAACTTTTGAACGCTAGTGGGAACTTGCATACTCATTTATGATCTAATCTTTTAGACCTTCAAAAAAAAAAGTCTGCTTATGGTGCACTTGATGGGAATATGGTTAACTTGAGAAAAACCAAAACGAAAGGAGCAAAAAAGTAGTTTTACGTTGTTTTTTTCTGAAGGGGTTTTCTTATCTTTTTTTTTTCTTTTATGACAAACGTGAAATGCGATGATAAATCAATACGGTGTTCCTGTTATCTTTTAAGATCGATTAAGGTCAAAAATTCGTGATTTTCCTCCATTCCTTCACTAATCTAGTCGCATTATTAAAAATGGTCCATAAGAACACATTTTTTGAAAGAAAGAGTTTACGAGTTTTAGATTTTCAAGAGAAGAATTCCGGTTTAAAGCAACTTTATTGATTCTGTAGATAAGATATTGAAAACAAAGCTCTGGAAAAAAGCTTCCTGAAAACCATTTGCGTGCTATCAACTACAATTATCTGTGGTCAGTATCCGCTCATTTCCTTTTCGAAATATCCAAAAACCAGAATAAATGATAAATTTTAATGAAGAACCAAATTTGGACTATAGTAAAATTGAAAATGAAAAAAAGTGAATCATCTACTTCCACTAAAGATAAAGATATACTAATCAGACATTTACGTCATTAACACTGTCTGCGTTCATTTTTATGATGACGCTCAAGATTAATTAGAGGAAATATTTCAGCTTTTTCAAGAATTGCTCGTTTTTGTTTACGACGCATTGGAAAGGAGAAACGGTGCGTGTTGTGAAACGGAGCGGAAACGCTTCAAAACAGCGAAAATTCCATGTTTTGGAGCAACCCAAAGAACAAAAAGGATATATTTTGAGAAATTCTTTGTTCCCTTTGAACTACCGCCTTACAAGGGTTATATAAAACTTGTGAGAACGGAAAAACTACGATTGCGGTGAACAGCCGAAAAAAAAAAATGGATTCTACAACTGGCTCATGTCGGCGAACGCCTGGGGAATAGAAATGAGACTTTGATCGATGCGAAGAACACCCGTTTAAGCCAGTTGCAAGCCTATCCAGCCGTTTTTTCTCTCGTTTCATTGCCATGAATGGAAAGTTTTAGCGATCCACATCGATTTTCAGTTCATAGCCCGTGTGAAAGTGTATTGAATCGAAAAAGAGAACCGCACTTGAAATGAGCCTAACTTTCATGATCCAAAAACAGAAAAAACTACAACTGACACGATAAATCCGCGTTAATCGCTCACAAGTTATAGCCTTCTTCCCGTATTTTTTTTTGTCCGTTTCGGTTCTCTCAACATGTCATAAATCACTCAAAAAGATGCTGAGCAAAGGCAAAAACAAGTATCAACAACGGGAAAATATTGGTATTCGTTCATCAATTTTCAAAATTTACGTTCACAGGATTGTGAAAAAATTTCATATCACGTGAAAATGAAAGAAAACATCAATAAATCGATCAAAAATACTGGAATCTCTTAAAAATATAGTTTTTTTCGCCTTTTTTTAAAAAAATTAAATCGCGAAAAATAATCGATGTTTCTAAAATGTTAAGCATTTAAATATCAGTTTTTATGAAAAAAATGAAAGTGATAGCAATAGAAAGAGTATACTTTGTTGTTTTACCTGCTCCTAGTTGAAATTTAATGAAATAAAAAAAGCGATTCTTGCGTAGAATTGATTTCTCGTAAAATTAGAGGAATCTAAATAAGAAAAATTATGAATTTTTTGAAAAGGAAAAAAAAGAAGCCGGCAGGTAACAAAAAAAAAACTGAGCGCCATGGTCATTTTCACTGCCAGAACGCCACATGTTATACGAGGACCTGGGCCAGGGGAAAAACTGGAGAGAAAGCCGAGAGGGAAGAAAAAAAAATGAACGGCTCCAATGTTTAAACAGCACTACGTTCGCCGCAGTAAAACCTACGACAAGTGGAAAATTTTATTTTTTATCATTTATTTATGAACATTCGTCACTTTGTCCTTTCAAGGACAGCTATTCTCGCTACAATTTTTTTTCAGTTCAAAGTCAAAAATGTTAGTTGAAACTAGAAAAAGTAACTCGCTATTTTCAATAAATTTAAACGAAAAAAATCATAACAAAAAAATAAATGGTTACTTACTCTACTTGCTGAACAAGGGAAGGAAGAAATGGCCAGAATCTGAGAAGAAAACGTGTTCGATCAAATTTCCTTTCATTCCCACAAAATTATCAGTGTAAAATTCGAAAAAACGAATCATTTTTGAAACTCCAAAAGACAGGCCAAAAAGAAATCGATTTTATAACGCTGTAAAAAAGATATATCGAAAAAATGTCCGAAAATGTTTTCCTTTGCGTGGGCATACGATTTTCTTTTTTTCCTTTATCGAAACAGCGGCAGATTTCTAAATCGTTTTGAAAATGTTATAACCGATTCCAGAAAAGATGTTTTCCAGATGAATTCAGACTTTTTTATAAAGTTTACGTACAAATAGGTGTCTTTTTCAGTTAATCAAGGTATTAAGTTGAGCTTTCCAATACAGCCTTTATTCGCCTCGAAAAAAAAAAGAAAAGAATAACTGGTGATATTCCAAAAATCTCGTTTTGAGCGTTTTTTTTCAATTAGAAAAAGCTTTCACGTCACTCATTCTACAGTTGTTTCAAGTAGAAAAAAAAAGAACTTTATAAAGGTTCTCAAGGTGATTACAGTTAAAATCATGAAACGATGTACTCTGATTTATGTTTTGCAAAAAGGGTGTACCCCCTCCTATCAAAAATAATTATATGAGAATTTACTGGATTTTCATTTTTCTTTGAAACTTCGCCTCATATGTGTCCTAATTGTCGCAACTTTGAAAATAAGGCAGTCCGTTCAATTTTAAAAAAACGAAAAGTTAGTTTAGTGCAAAATTTAACATGCAAAAAGTTAGGGCTATTATTTTCGAAACACGCACAAAAAACTCTGAGAAGTTTCACAGCCATCAATTCACGTTGAAAAAAGGTGGCCCCTTTTTTCTTTACCGGTTAGTAGAAAAAAAACACCAATTAACTGAGATAAAATGAAAAACTCCTTTCATCTTTAGTTACAAACCAAAGTTTGATTCAATTTCTTACCGATTTTAATATAAATCAACTAAATACGCGAATCACTTGTAAATTTTCGAAACTCAGTTGTTAAGGGTTTTCGAGTGTTTTTTTACAAAAAAGTGAAAAGTTGCCAACTTTCTCATCAAAGCCATAAAAATCGTATCAAAAAAAAAGTGAACAAAAAAGACAACGATACCAACAAACCGTCGTTTCGAACGCTTGGAAACACATATACAAAAAACCGGATAAAAATATTGAAAAAGGCTTTATACAGCGGAAGAATGAATGGTAGGAAACCTGTTCAAGGTCAGAAAGAGGCTGAGTGTCGATGGGCGGCTGGGCGAGCTCCACGAAGAACGGACACTCGACGAGGCCGTCTGGGGGACGCGAATCCTTGGGCGCCAGAATGAGCAACTCCTCGCGGGTGTAACGGTAGTCCGGCGGCGGGAATTTCAACCCGAAATCCTGGAAAAAAACCTTTTAAAATTTCTTTCTTTTTCATCATACGTGAGCAAGCAAAGAACTCAATAAGTCCCAAAACTTTGAGAAAAAGGTATAAAAATAACTTTCATAACTTGGAGGAGAGGTTGGCAGCCCTTGGAAATATCTGCATTTTTGCATCGACTTTTTTTCTTACAGAGGGCAAGGAAAAAAAACATCAAAGTGATTTCCATTGAATCCGTTCTTTTTTTTTTTGAAAACATCTTCGCTAATATCTGATTCGGTGTCATCTGTTAAGGTTTGTTAAAACAGAACAAAATGAATAACAAAGAACAAAAATCAAAAAAATTTCATTTTCAAAAACTTTCCGTTCTCCTAACTTCCGCAGTTAAACTAAACATTGTTGCGAACTTTTTTTTCATTATTTCCAAGCGAAAAAAGGCCAAAATGTCACATTAACTTCTTAAATTGAAAAAAAATGTGTAATACCTTTTCTTCATTGTTGACTTGAAAAAAAGTTTCTAAGCCATAAAACAATGAAAAACTCGAGAAAAGTTAAGAAAAAAGTGACAAACTTCTTCATTAGGTTCGTCGTTCATGGAAGCTCTAGGAGTGGTTCCAACGGAGCCTCCGCCGCCGTGGAAAGCGGATCGCATCCTTAAACAAAAAAATTTTTAAATAAGGAAAAAAATAATTTAACAAACCAAGAAGGATTAAAGTTTTGCGCAGGTGCAGTGTTCTGCTCGCCAGAAACGATTGCCGACATTATAAACGGGGGTTGACTGAAGTCTGAAACGATCTTCGATTTTATTTTCTTCCAAACGAACATGGAGAGATATTTCATTCATAAAAAAAACGCTGGAAATATTCGGATTGTGGTACTTCTGATCTTAACACGGAAAATAATCCGAAAAAAAGGTACCATTCATAAACTTTTACAGCAACTGTCTTTTTTTTGCGTTTGATTGCAGAGACTTTTCTAAATTATAGGTTGTTCAACAAATTTTGCATTGTTAGAGGCATAGGAACTTTGAATGAAATAAAATAAAAAACAGAAAGGATTTTCACTTCGAAACCTTCATAAAATCCGTCCATATACCTTAATACACCTCAGCAAAGGCTTTTGAACTACATATAACACAAAAACGGTCTGCGAGACTTTCATGACTTTTTCGGTTTTCTCACTCGTCCAGCAAGCTTTTGGAATGCAAAACATCTCCAATTCAAAAAACGGGTTCAAAATCGAAACAGAGGCAAAAAATAAGCACGAAAATAATGAAATAAGAATGAGATGCATGTTCTGCGAGACACAAAAGGTTAAGCACTAAATATAAACTTTCTACTTTTAACAATGATATTGAGTATTCTAAATATGAATTTAAAAACATATGAAAGACAACAAGACACTTTCCTAACTCGAAAATTCAAAAATTTTTAGGAACATGCTTTGGTGCGCCCAAAACTTTTTTTTTTGGGAAACCGGTTTTGGGAGGAGACAAGTTTTTGCTGTACACTTGGCGCAAAGCTTCATCTACACATTCGAGGATGGCCTATCAGACCATTTGGTTTTCCGGAATTCCTGAGATGAAGCTTTGGCACGGTGCCAGGAGGAGCGTTGCGGTCACGTGCCGCATCGCGACCCCTCCATCAAAGCCCCGCCCTCCGGCGAGTCGGGCGCGGTATTTTCTGCCGGTCGCGCATGGAAGACATCATAGTAAAAAAAATTTCTTCAAAACGTGAAACTTGTTATTTCTGAAAAATCGTGTTGAAAGATGATGTACTTCAAATCGGAAGGAGAACAAAGTTTCAAAATTTTATTTAAACTGAATGAACACTGAAAAATTTATTCAAATTCCCTCAAAGTATTCATTGTTTTCAATTGCGCTTCGCCATGTTAGCGATCAGATAGGCGTTGTATTCGGCTTGCATCCGCAAAACCTAGAAGAATTAATAAGGTGGAAATTTCGTGGATTTCAAACCTCGGCTTTGATCGGTTGGTAATTGGTTTGGGCTTTGGTCGCATCGATTTCGGCCTGCTTCTCCGCGTTGCTTTCCTTCAGCATCTTCAGCTTTTTCTCCAGTCCTTTGATCTAAATATAAAAATTGGTGAAAGTTTTTTTTTTTCGAGTAACCTTTCCATAGTTGGGAAGGGACTCGAGCTCATTCCGAATGTCGGTAATCATTCGTTTCAAGTCTTTGACTTTTCTGGATAGTTCAGGCTCTTGGGCGCGGAGTTGTGATCGCTTTTGTTCTAGCTGCTTAAAAATTGCAAAGCTATGGCATTTTTCTGAGAAGTTTCGGACCTGAACTTCATGCTCGGTGTCGTTCAAAGTCTCCTCTTCTCTGCGATATTCTTGGATCTTCTGATTCGAGACAGTAGCGCTCTCGGCGAGGTTCCTGATGTCGGCCCTGAGCGACATTTCCATATCGCCGAGCATGATAAGCTCCTCTTGCAATCGGACATGCGCTGAACAGTGAATGTCAATAGAAAGTGGGAGATACAGAACCGTCTTTCAACTCGCTGATGTTGCCGTTCCCGCGAAGCTTCATTTTGAGTCCTTCTTCATCGATATCGGTGATATTGGCTCCAAGGTCAACCTGAAGAATTGGCTTGAAGAATGGAAAAAGACTGGGAAAAAGAAAAAAGGTGTTCAGGAATGCTCTTTGTTTTCTTTCTGTGGAAAGTCTTGTAAAGTTCAGAGGTTATTTTTCTGATTTATCTGAGAATCTCAAAAAGCACTGTCTAAACCGACATTTTTCTATCTGTATACGTTTTTTTTTTTCAATCTTCTATGAAGTCTAGATATTCAGTCCAAATCCTTATATTTCTAAAAAAAAAATATGAAAGCTTTTTTCACATGCATTTGTTACGTAAGTTGTTGCAAATTCGAATAAAGAACTGGTTTAAAGTACGTGTATCTTATCAACTCGATTCCACTCAATCTTTCAAATATGCTCCTAGGAAAATTCCTGAAAAAAGATAAAACGGAAAACTTTGCCCCAACTGAAGAAAAACCTTTTTAACATTGGCCGAAATCTTCCGAAGAATCATCAAAATGGCGCCCGAGTATTCTTCAAGTTCGCTCTGTAGCAAGGGATACTGTTTGGGATAGTTCCTGAGCATTTCGTCGATTTGATGGTCCTTGACCATCAGTTCCAGGTATTTCGTGTGGTTCTTCACTGAAAATATGTTCATTAAAATTATCCAAAAAGTCACCAACACTGCTGAGATTCGCCGCCGTGAGCATCATACTCGTGTAGTTCTTCCGAAGTCGTGTCGATCTGTTCCCTCACTTGCTGGTGCCTAGTTTTTTGTTTCAAATTATAACAAAAATACCATTTCTCAACTGTTTTTCAATGGTGGCAATGTCCTGGTTGATTTGTCGCATTTGTTCGACCAGCTTTTCTTTCTTTTGTTCTGGAGTCTCCTGTAAAAATGATGGTTTTTTATAAAGACTGGAAATCCTTCGGTCACGCGAAGAATGGCTAGTTAACCGCCTATCTGATTTTGAGCAAGCTCTCATGTTTTTTGATGCCACCACGCGCAAGTAGTTCTAAGTCGGTTGCAGGTTTAAAGCAGGTATTTACCGCAAAAAACGCATCACGACGGGGATAAAGACTTAAAGCCTGTTCACGCCATCGTTTAGGACGCTAAAACAATGCCTGCGCCTCCACCAAATACAGTTATTTTCTATCGTGGTAGGACCCTTTTTTTCGACAGCCGTCATTCGACTAAAAACTCACTGTCAAAGCCTTCTCCTTTTCCAAAACTTCGAGCTTGTCCTTGAGCACAGCGATCGTTTCTTGTAGGTGTACTGTAAAATTCCCTTCCCGTGGGCGGTTCATACATAAAATCGGCTCTACCCGCTTTTTTCTTCATAGGCGACCCGTCGACCTCCATCTCGAGCTTTGCCTTTCGATCCTCGAGCTCTTCGATTTGAGCCTCCATCTCCGAGACTCTCTTCTTCAACAGCTCGCTCTCCTGTTTCAGCTCATCATACCGTTCACGGACGCTGGGATCCTGACAGAAAAATCCAGAGTAAATTCCGAAAAAAAAACAAAAATGCGTTATCTCTGCGCTTTTTTTTTCCCAAGTCACGCTCTCATGTTGACGTGCTATTTTCATTTTTTTTTTTCACAACCTCAACTATCAGAGAAGAGGAACAGACCGGTCAGATTACTGCAACTACATAGGAACGACCTCAAGAGAGACCGGAGGAAAACAGCCTCATAGGCGGCATGATCCCTAAAGTGGCTACTAACTAAACCCTTAGATTGGCCATTTTCGTAAGCTTGGCTCCTCTAAAGGGAGCGTCGCTAAGTTTGCCCCTCTAGGGACCATTCTGAGGTTACTAAGAAGTTAAAAAGGAGACTTTTTCAAATAACCAATGCAATAAAACACAAAAACGGTTTTTTTTTTCTGAACTAAATCGAAAATCAAGACCATGGCCGTGGTGACCGCCTCGTTGAGCTTCTTCTGCTCCTCGATTTGAGCATGAAGTTGCTCCGCCTCTTTCTCCTTGGCCAGACGTTCATTGACGAGTTCTTGGACGTCGGCTTCCATCTGACATATTTCAAATATCTTTGTAAGCTCTTCTCGAAAAACCCACCTCATCAGCCTTTTCTTTCATTTTTCTCGCTTCTAACTCGATATCAGACATATCGGCGTTGACGTGCATCCGATCAATAATCTATTACCCGAACAATTATGACGATGGAAGAAGTTTTCAAACTTACAACATTCAAGTCAATGAGCCTTCCTTGAAGGTCTCGAATTTCCAGAGCGCTTGCTTGGGCTCTGAATCGAAAAACGCATTTGAAATATTGCTAATTCACGGCTGGCTTGAGATATTGAAAAAAAGGTCTTGAGACAATAAGAAAAGAGACAGTGTATCGTTGTTGGAGAGCGCAGGCAGGCCACGCCCTTTTGCGTCTCAAGGTTATAGTCGTGAATCAGCTATATATGAAACTCATTGGTCACCAGAGAATACTCATTTTTATCGCGTTGTTCGTCAAAGCGTCGAGGTAATTTTGAATATGCGCCCGATTTTAAAACGACTTGCGCAGAATGTTACCAGAAGCCTTGGAATGGCAAAAAAATCGAGTTCAAGCTTCACATTGAGCCATTTTAAATGCGACTACGTAAGGCCGTCTTTTTGCAAATGGGATTGATCAAAATGAAAAATAAACTTGAAAAAGCTACGCAGATTTCCAGTTTCTCTTCACAAAAACTGTTGGAAAATTAAATTTTTCTTGATTTTTAAATTTATGATTTATTGAAGATGCCAAGCTGGTGAATTTTTTCGATTAATTCGAACCTCTTTTTCAATTTTTCGCACCAGTTTCTAACACGTTTTAATTTTTAAAAAAACGTAATCCAAAGTTAATTTTTTACTGGGCCTTCGAAAAAAACTTCAAAGGATCTGAATAATCTTCACTTGTATATTAAGTTGTTCTATGCATGCGAATGAAATAAATACTAGAATATTCAAATATTCAAATAAACCAGACTGTAAAAATAAGCTTGAAAATGCAAACCTAGCCTCGTAGGCCGACAATTCAGCTCGGTCCTTGTCCCCGATCTGTTTTTGCTCGGAAAGGCGGGCGATTTCGACATTCAGTTGGTTGATTTTCGACCGGAGAAGGCCGATGTAGTAAGTTTTGTCGAAAACTTGTCGAGTGCCTGAAGAAATGAATATTTTCAAGAAATAAATCTCCAAGTTTCCGATCAACATTCTTTTTTGATCGCACGGTAATCGTTATTTGGTCTTATCAAATACCAGAAACGGACTTCCTGTGCCCATCCGAGTAGGCGCCCGGAGGCCGGCGATGCCTTGCTGCGTCGGCGGTCGAATCGCGGAAGACGGAGGCCGCGCCATCCCCGTCATTGGCCTGTCGTTCATCTGTGATCGGATTTATGATGTAGCTCAGCTGGTAGTGATCCTGTCTGACAGTAAGACTGTCCCAGGTTCTAGTTCTCCGAAGAGGAATTTCTCGTTCAACTCGGCTAAAAGTTCAGGTTTTTTCAAATAGTTCCAAGAAATATCTCCTTGAAAGAGGAAATAATGAAAGCGGGACCGAAAAACTACTATTTTCTACTTCTCAATGAAATTTCACTACTGAAAAAGCATTTAAAAAATTCTTGCCTTACGGTTAATTAACCCCCCCTCCTCTCGAAGCGAAAAAAATTTTTCTTTTTTACTGCGCGTTTTTTTAAAAAAACAGAAAATGGTTTTAAAAATCTCTTAAGAAGCAAATGAAGATCTAAAAATAATAAAAACACAGAATATCGGAGCAAACGGAAAAATTATATTGACTCCTACCTTTCACTCTAATCAAGGTCTTTTGAAAATCTCATCTGAAAGGCTCAGGAATGCCAAGAAAAAACTCTGGATTCATCTTTTCTACTTTCAACGACATAATTCAAACTCACAGCTGTGGGAACTCGCTGCATGGCCGAGCTACCGATTCGTTGACCTTCAAAATTGAAAATCAAATAAAGAATGATTTTATTTGCAGTTTTGATTGAACATCAAATATTTTTCCCGCTAAAAAGGGATATTTTCTAGTCCCCTTTGGTAAAAGTGCAAGAAACTTTTTTGTTGTGGAATCAGCTGTAAAAGTCTCCTCTGAATTGATTATCCGAAATTCCATCCGGGGGCTAGAAAAGTACCCTCGTGAAACTTTTTTTTTCTGTTATTTTTGAATTGAAAAGTCACCCAAACTGGAGCGAGGTGGCGGCTGAGGAATATTTCCGTTTCCCATCGCGGTGCCCATTCGCGACATTGTTTGGCGGGATGGCGGCCGCATACCGGATGGAACCGAGCCTTCAACTATTATTTTGAGAGTAAATTACAAATAGAGAAAAATAAAAAGGGAAAAAAATTTTTTTATGGACTTTTAATACGTTCTTCAAATATACAAAAAAACTTTGAAGAAAAAGTGATTATTATATATCTTCCGCTACGAAGTTATTCATTCTACTTTGGAGTTTTTTTCATTATTTGTAAGAGCACTATTTTCGACACATCTTATAATACAACTTAAAGCAAAAAAAAAAATTGACTCTAAACTGGAAAAAAACCGCCATTGAAAAGCAAAATGATTATTTTCCACATCTTTTTCCTTGGAAGTTAATGAGAAAAAAAGCGAAAATTTTTTTTTCGAAAACATCTTCTACGTACGCATGAGAACAAAAAGACTTGATTAGTTTTCTAAAACTAAAAAAAAAAGGAAAAAAGATAAAAGAACAAGTGAAAAATTCACGTAAAGGCCAGGATATTCTAAACGACTCAACCATGAAAACTTGTAGTTTTTCTCTTTTTTTTTCCTTCCTTTTTTTTTAAATCTTTTCTTTTCAAGTTTTTAAAAGAACTTGATAAATTGATAAACCCTCAATCAGTTATCGAAAAAAAGTTCTCAATTTCGAAAAATGCTGACCATTGGTGGGTGCAGGTTGACGAGAACGAGCTGAAGCGGCTCGTCCAGCCGAAGTTTTCGGCCTTGAAGACGGCGGTCGCTCCATAATTAATTATTGATAATCAATTATGAAGATTGATCACAGTTGAAAAAAAGATTGGAATACATTGCAATATGAAGGTTTCCAGTACTAATTGTCTAGCCGAAATGAAAAGAGGGCTTTCGTTCCCATGGCAACAATGTTCCACATTGGGTGGGCCACTGGTAACGAAATTTTTCAGATTTCCCCTGTCTCTAGAATTATAACAAAGCTTTATTTTTGTATGAATTTTGATAAAATTGAAGAATCTTTATGAACCAGAATTCAATTACACTTTTTCGAACCTTCTTTTGACTTCTAAAATCGCTAAAATTCATTCAATTTTTTTACAATCCCGCTTAAAAAGTAATTTTTTTCACGAAAAATAACCTAGTAAGTCGAATGGAAAAGATATATATTTAAAAAAAACTATATTCCCGAACTAAAATAAAATAAAAAGCTAAAAAATAACAAAAACTTCTTCTAACCAGGTACACAATTTCTATTCGACGTAAATTTATTTTTACGTTCTTTTGTTCATGAAAATATATAATTTGAAGTTTATTGTTTCTTTTTTCAACTTCCAGCTCATACAATCACTGTCCAAGATTCCATGACACAAAAAAAAAGAATGGAATTTTAATTTAAAAAATTCTTTTCTTCACTTTCCAGTGTAAATAAGACCTGTCTTGATTCATACTCAAGTTCTCAAAATTCACAAAAAAAAATGAAAATATTTATGTGGCAGCGAAAAGTAAGGCACAGTCGGGAAAACATATTCACAAGGTTTTTAACAGAAAAAAAGAGAAAACCAATAACAAAGAAACAGATCAGTTCAAGTTTGTGAGGTTCGGCTCCTAGTATCGCGAGTATGAGAATTCATTTCAAAATGCTGGGAGGAAAAAGTTTATTGAGGTGATGTTGAACTGGAGCCAGCCGCGATTGGTCTGAATTAAAATAAAGTTTATTTTAAATGGGGATAATCAGATTTTTACGTCGTTTGGCTTGATCCAGAGTTCGTAGATGATGATGGAGCTACTGAACTAGATGATGCCCTGAAAAACAGATTATTTGGAAAATGGGATGAAATTTCTCACTGTGAGGAGGGGTTCACAGAGCTGCTGCTTCCAGTGTTTCCATTGGCCGTTCTGAAAACCAGATTAATTTTTTTTATTGGTAGGATGTATATTCAATAAATTGAAAAAAAATAAAGTCTTCTATAGCAATTTCTGCCCGAATTGAATATCTTTGGGCTTTAAACAAAATCATCAGCTTCGACAGGGATCGACTAAGAATCCAACAAAAATTTTTAAAAATCTCAAAAAAAAATTCACGTTGATGGAACGGTTGCTGACGACGATGAAGAGCTAGGAGAGCCCCTGAAAAATAAAAAAATATTCTTTAAGAAATAAAAAAATTTCCTGAAGCCTTTCTGGAGTTGAAAAAAAGTAAATATTATCATTTTTCTTCAAAAACTCCAAAGAATTGAAAAAAACTTACGTCGGACCAGGTACAGGTGTTATTGTTGTAAAAGGAACCGGTTGATCTGAACATTTTTTTATATTATTTTTTTGTCAGCTGAAAAAAATCTTGTTTTGAGAGAGAACTTTTTTTTTGAAATAAGCAGAGAAACTTGGAAAAAGGTTCACATAAACTTTTCCAAAACAAAAAATTTAATTAGATTTCGGTGTAAAATTAGTTTTTCATTTTGAGTCTTAAACTAGCGGCAGTATTTCTGAGGAAAAAAATCGCTATTTTAAAAACTTACGGTGATTGGCTGGATCCGACCACAGTGGAACTAGGCGAAGCTCTGAACGAAAATTTTAAAATATGACGTTAGACTATAGTCTGGAATCCTCAAAACTCACGGTGATTGAGTGGATCCAGGAGAGGAAGACGGAGCACTAAAATTAAAATTTTTGAATCAAAACACAAACCCATGAAAAGCCAAGGAAAGCTGGAACTTACGGTGATTGGCTTGACCCGACCACAGTGGAACTAGTGAAAGCTCTGAAAGAAAGTTTTTGAATTTAGGATTGGACTTATAATTAGTCTGGAATCCTCAAAACTCACGGTGATCCGGGAGAAGTGGACGACACGGCTGTCGTAGAACTGAAAGAAGCTCTGAAAAGATTAAAGAATTTCGAATTTCCTTTCAAGAGGCTTCAGCTCAAAACTCGGAGAACAAGCTCAGGCTCATAAGGAAGATAAGTTCACTTTGCGGTTGGAATTTTTCTAGAAGTTAGCCAGAAATCTCTTTGATGTATCAGATGAGAAACCTGGAAATGTCATCCTACACAACGTTTTATTTTCTGAAAAAGGGCTTCTCGAAGTAAAAGAAAACTCTTAAAATAATTATACTAGGCTATTTTTGGGCTTTGAGCTTTTATTCCTCGAAAACTAGGAAGTTGTGCAGGTTGAAACTTACAGAATATTGTTTGGGTACATAAAGAATTCTGACCAAATATGAGAGTACCCCAACCGCAAAAAATTTTGTATTTTCAAATAGAAAATAGTTTTCTGTTTTTTCTCTAGTTGCGCATCAAGCTTATGATTCTATTAAAATCAGTTCATTCTAAAAATGTGAAGGTGCAAATAGATTTCTGAGAAAAAAAAATCGCGCAGGTGTTTAAAAAAATGATATTCATTGATTATCTTTTCACGGCAGATCGAAAGAGAGTGGGAACATTTTCTTCACTCTTTCATTTCTAAAATGACTTCTGTCCGCTATGTTGACAATCCGTAGAACTTACGGTGATTGAGTGGATCCGAGAGAAGTCGACGCTACGGTTACTGTAGAGCTAGAAGGAGCTCTAAAAAACTGTATGAAAGAATCGTTGAGAGATAGGAAATTTACGGCGATCGGCTAGGTCCAGTCGTTGACGATGCCGCCTGTGTAGAGCTTGAAGATGCCCTGAATCCAGAAATTCACTATAAAATCGAAAATATTCAAAACTCACGGCGACTGACTTGATCCAACTACAGTAGAACTAGGAGAGGCTCTGAAGATTTTTTTTTACAATGGAAAGTAATCTGGAACACTCTAAACTCACGGCGACTGAGTTGACCCTGAAGAGGTCGGTACTGTAGAGCTAGAAGAAACTCTAGAAAATTTTATGAAAGAATCTTTGAGAGATAGGAAATTTACGGTGATTGGCTAGGTCCAGTCGTCGACGATGCCGCCTGTGTAGAGCTTGAAGATGCCCTGAATCCAGAAACTTTCTATAAAATCGGGAATTTTCGAAACTCACGGCGACTGACTTGATCCAACTACAGTAGAACTAGGAGAGGCTCTGAAGATTTTCGTAAGAATGGAAATTAGCCGGGAGCACTATCTACTCACGGCGACTGAGTTGACCCTGAAGAGGTCGGTACTGTAGAGCTTCCAGGCGCTCTGAATGAAGTTTTGGTCAACAGAAAAGTCAATTCATTGAAGACTTACGTTGATTGGCTTGATCCGGTTACAGTAGAACTAGGTGAGGCACTGAAGATTTTTTTTTTCATTTTCTTCAAACTCGAAAATGCTTCAAAATTTAAAATTTACGGTGACTGTGTAGACTTGGGAGAGGCGGACGAGGCGACTACCGTAGAGCTAGAAGAAGCTCTGAAACTAAAAAAAGAATGCAACAAATAAAAAGTGAGTAAAGTCTTCAAGAATTTTCTTTTTCGGATTTTTTTCAAAAAAGGGAAAGTCAAGAGATAAGATGGTTGATAAAACAATAGTGAAAAAAGATTAAATCACTTTCTTTGATTGAATTTTCACTCAACACTTTAGGAAGGCTCTAGCTGCATCCTGATATTCAAGAAACAAGGGCTCAAAGACCAAAAATAGTCCATTTTTAAACGGATTTTTCAAAATTTTGATGCGTCTTTCCTCGAAAAATAACTTTTTGCAGCTCGAAACTTTCAGGGTCTTCCTCTTGTACACCAAAGAGTCTTTTGGCAAAATTTTCAGGAAGTTCCCAACAACAAAGTAAACTGACGTCACTTGTGAGGAGAAATCGACAATTTTAAAAATAGAAAAAGGCGTTTTTTTAAATTTCCGTTTTATGACTTTTTGAATCTTACGGTGATTGTGTGGATCCAGAAGAAGTCGATGAAGCGACTACTGTAGAGCTAGGAGAAGCTCTGGAACGGAATTTAGTTAAAGAATTCAATAAAAAAGGAGCTACAGCAAACCAAAAATAACTTCTTTGGAATAAGAGAAGATTACTTTTTGTTTATTTAGGTTCATGACTATAAATTTTATTTTTTGAATCTTACGATGATTGTGTGGATCCAGAAGTCGATGAAGCGACTACTGTAGAGCTAGGAGAAGCTCTGGAAAGTTTTTAGATGAAAGAAGCCAGAAAAAGCATCTTGAAGTTTCCTCATTTTCACCAGAATTATATTATATATTCAATCCAAAACTTTTTCTTTCACAAGTTTATTTAGGTTCATGACATTATTTTCCTACATTTCCCCTACATCTATTTCGCAAATTTTAGTACTTGTGTTTGTGAAAAAAAAAAATTCGATTGAATTGATTGAAGATTCGATTCTTGCACTTCTAGAAGTTTCGTGAGCGCTTTAGGAAGATCAAAAGTCAAAAATTTCGAAATTGCGAAATCTCTCACGTTGGCTGACTGGTCGTCGGAGCAGCTGTGGAACTAGCGGCACTTTTTTTCTGAAAAATTCAAAATGATATTTATTTTTTTTCAGAGTATCTCTTACGAGGTTGAAGGTGGAACAGTGACGGGAGGTACACTGAAATATTTCCAATCAAAAAAATCGAAAGCTGGAATAAAAATACTTACGTTGTAGGCGGCACGTAACAAGGAGCGGCAAGGTTAGCTGAAAAGAAGAAAATTTAAATTAATTTTTTTTCAAGTTTCCCATAGAAATAGAGGTCTGAATGTATTTCTGTGAAATTTGAATTTTTGCATCTTCGTTCTTTTAAAAAAGTTGTTTTTGTGAAGATTTGGTCGGAGCTTAACCGAAGATTTGTAATTCAAAATCTGAAAAGATTCACAGCTTTGCGGAGAAGTGCTCTGCCAGCCTTTAGAACTAACCCAACAGTTTGTCGATATCATTGGCGGTCTTCTTTCGAGCCGCGTCATCGGCATTCTGAGCGTCCAGCTGGAAGGCGTAGTTGTCGGCGGTGGCCAGGGAGTTGAGGTCGAACGCCGTTCCCGTCGTCACACTCACGGTGAAGATGGTCACGCCGGCGTCCTTGAGTTGCGTCGCGACGGTCTGAGCTCCTGCCACACCATCAGCCCTGAAGAACTCATTTTGATTGATCATTCGATCATCTGATACTATGATGCTCCTGTTTCGAAATAAAATTACTCTGGTCAAACGTGGGAGTGCAAATTGAAATATTCCGTTCGGATGGTAATGAAATGTGGAAAAAATGAAGCTCTACACAGTCTGTGGAGGTTTTAAATGCCGTGTATAATAACGTCATTCGAAAACGCTCTGTAGATGGCTCACTCTCTGTTTGGTTCATCGCGCCATTAGGGGCGGAGCTTTAGCGACTAATTGAACTTTAAAGTTTTAGCAGACTATAGTCCGTTTTACACGACTTTTAAGAGCAAGACTTCTCTGGGTCCTCTTCGTCTTTCGGTGACCCTCTCATGTTGACCCGTTATTTCGATGTTTCTCTGACCTCCCCTGTCAGGGAACGAAGAGACGCAGACACTCGAAAACTTTCAAAACGGACCATAACAGACGCGCTGTAGTTGGATTTTGAATTCCAGAAACTTGCGATTTTCGATTCCTCTGCGCGGAAATTGATTTTTGTCGGGTGCAGCTTCAGCGCTACTGCTAGCTTTCCAAATATCGTTAAATTTGATTAACAAATGTCTTGAGCTTATTTTCAAAAGGCTGAATTTTTTAGGAAGTCATTCTGAAGCAGTAGGCGTCAAGTTTTGCATTCAAAATTTCATAATTATATAGTCTATTTTTCGCGGCTTGAAAGGGCGGGGCCTCACTGCGCCTTCCTCATCTCTCGACTTTTCTCTCATGTTTACGTGCTGTTTTCATTTTTCTCTGACCTCGCCGGTGAGGGAACAGAGAGAGAGAGAGAGAGACGCAGACACGCGAAAACTGTCAAGTCGCGGTGGATGGACTATAGAGTCCCCGTATTGGATCAGAGGCGAATTTTTCACGTCTTTCAAAAGAAATAGTTTGAAAAACTGGACAACTTACGAGTCAGCGAAAATCAGAATGTTCTTCTGATCCGGCACGTTCCATCCCTGCTGTGAAGTTATCGAACTGATACCGCTAGATGCAAAAAAGATGAACTTTATCATAAGGAATTCGAAAACCCGTTGATATCCGAATCTCCGTCGAACATACTTCCGACTTGGTATTGAGCATCCAAGATTGCATTGAGATTATCCCTACTCTGGATAGTTCCGAAATCGCCGCCGAGACCGGCGTATTGATCCGAATTGGGGAAAGGAATTAGCGAAAAGTTGGCTCCGCCGTTGATGATCGTCAGAGTTTGCGACTGCGCAGCAAGATAGTCCTTGATGAACGTCTGCGCGGCCTGAAACAGAGTTTGATCTTTGATGAAATGAAAAAAAAAGTTTCGAATTTTTTATAACTACCCCCTCTCTCTCACTTTAAGAATTAATAATTCGGACCTCGAAAACGGACCCATTACGTGCTCCGAACGTTTGTGAGATTACTTGAGAGCGATGACGCTACTGAAGGAGTTTCTAGAAATGCTTTAGCGTCCGGTTCGCGTTACGAAGGCCTGAGAATAATTTTCGTATTCTTAAGCGGCAGTTCAATAGAGCGCCGTTTCAGTAGTTTAGAATCACTGGTCAATCGGCGCATCCACAAAAATAGCTAACGGAGTGCACTTTCAAACTCAATCGGGATTTGCACGCGGTCAATCAATAAATAGCTTACAGAGGCTAACTTTCTGCTTTTTTCAGAACTCTTTGTGTGCACTCCGATACTATCCCTATGCCTTCTGGATTTGAGAGTGCTGACGAAGTTTTAGAAGTATGCTGCCGGATAGCACTCTCTCCGCGTATCCTATTTATTGACTGACGATGTGGATACCTCGATTGACCTTTGACCTTTTTTTGTCTTAAAAGACTTCAAACTTTGGCGAAGATGATTTTTGAGGAAAACATTTCACTTGAATTAATCAAAAAACTCGTCACTTTTTTTTTAGAAAGACGAGTTTTAGGTTATAATGAGAAGATTGAGAAGCTGCGAAAAAAATCAGGTTTTTTTCATTTCTCTTCTCTCTTTTATGTTTTCCTTTGTTCTTTTCCAATTCCATTTATGTCTGTTGTTCACAAGGCGACATCTATGACTGAAACAACAAAACTCACTGCCCCGATAAAACGAGGTCGCTTGCGGTACAATGACGATCTCGCAGATGTACTGCTTGTAACCGCGTTACTTTTCGGGGCGATCTAGCCTTTTTCTCGTCTCGGCACTTCAGAGACTTTAAAAGCGGCCGCTGCCCAAGTATGCCCTGGGCGCGTGAAAAAAAGTTCGAGGTCACGCCAAGAGAAACGCGAGTCCGGCGCGGCGATAAAGCGGTTACGTCGCGAGACCGTCAAAGTATCGAGATCAACTTTGCAGGTCTTTGCGGCGGAAATTTCGATATTTTCGAGCGCTGCTTTCCGATTTTGAATGAGATAAAGTCACCGTTGCAGCTGGGAGGTTGTTCTTTTGCAGTTCGTAGGTGACGCCCAAGATCTGCTGAGTGGTCGGACAGCGGGAAGTTGTCGGAGCTGCGGTACTGGTGAGCTGTGTCGTCAGAGGGGCGCTGCTCGTGATTTGCTGCGGAGGTGTCGAGGAAGCCGCAGAACTTTGTCTGCAAGCACATTATTGTTCACCCTTTTTTCGTTTCAAAGCAGACTTGGTATTGGTAGCCGTCGGCGAAGTCGAAAGAGTGGTTGCGACAGTAGTAGGTGCCTGCCGATGATAGCATGTTGGGGACTTCGCAACTGAATGAAAAACGTTGAATTCATTGAACTTTCAAAGTTTTCCAAAATATTGTTTGATGATGGTTTGAACTCAGTTTGGCGAAATCTGAAGTTCCGGTTAGAAAATTCTGCGCAATGACGTCACTATTTTTAATGACCTCGCCCACGTATGCTTTGAACCGTTTTTGTGCGTCGAAAATACCGTTTTTTATTCTAATCGCAACTATTTATAACTATTTTCATGTGTAAGAGAACATCTACTTGCGAGTGAGAAAAATTTCCGACTAAACCACCCGGAAAAGATAATCCAAATAACTTTGAAATTTGGGGAAAAAAGATTTAGTAAAACTGAAAAATGCCGCACCACGATGATTCAAATGAAACTAGAAAGGGAACAGTTCTTATCAAGTTAAAAATCAGAATTTGCCTTCGAAAACCAACCAAGGGTCGCAGAAATAGAACTCGCAGCCGTAGAACCATCATCAAGGACTTTGAAGTTGTATTGATCGCCTAGAGGGGAAAATTAGATGTTTTCGAGAGGTTGAGGTCAAACCAGGAGTGGCGAGACTCGAGAAATCGCCAGCAGCACTTCCGATGGCGACAGTGAAGACGATGTAGCCGGCTTGCTTCAGACTGTCGGCTGTGGCCTTGGCGTTGGCCACTTGTGAAGCGCTGAATTTGCTTTTATCATCTTGCCAAGAGCTGATCTCACCAGGAAGTGTTTTTAGCCCCTGTTGGACATTTGATTCAACTTTGAGAAAAAGAAAACGAAAAACGAGAAATTTTATTCTTTTTCTGAAATCAGGAGGTCCAGCGAAGCTCACAAGAAGGACATTTTTATAAAGATAAAGTAGCGAAAATCAGTGGAAGTACCATGATTTTTGTGAAGGAATAAATTTCTTCGAATTTTGCGCTATCTACTGGACCAAGTTAAAGCGAATTTTCAAGTTTTTGAACATCAATTTTTAGGAATTCTCATCAACCTGATTGATATTTAAGTTTCAAACCTTTAAATTAGAAAGGTCTTTTGGGAAAAGTTTGAGCGAAAAAAACAAAAAGTAGCCTCACTTATATATAAGTCTTTGAAGAAAGTAATGGGGTCAAAGTTGAAAGATTAAGTCTACTCGGTCAAGTTCATTTTTTTTTTTTCAAAGTCTGAGTGACCATAAATTTATCCACATGCCTTCTTATTTTATCTGGCGGTTCTCATTTAATATCTTGGATCAAGAAGTTTTTTTAATGCTTATAAGCTGGTGAGAGTAGTTTGCGTTTCTTCAAAATCTAGTCTCCCTTACTCGACGGCGACCAAAATGACGGCGGCAGTATTTCCAGGTGAGCTTGGAGGCAATTGGTTCTGGATATACACGAAGGCGCTATAATTAGTGAACTTCTTTCACAAGGGATTTAAATTCAGTGGTTACTCATTGATAACAGGAGTCGGATCAAACTTGTTGGCAGTGAAAAAGAAATCGTAAGCTGCAATTTGGTCGCTGATCGCGCTGACTTGTCTGAAAGATATTTTTGTCTCGTTTTTTTCTTATCGAAACGTACTGAATAGATCCATAAGCAGATATTAGATACTCGGCACTGGACGGATAAGGCACAAGAGTGGCATTGGTTGGTTGGACGAGGGTCAAGTAGTCGCCTTCCAAGCCATATCCTCTCTGAGCCAGTAATGGACCGCTCAGGAAGTCGGTTATCGCCTAAAGTTAATTTTCGGAATCAATCAAGGGTTTTGATGAGAGACCTTGTGTGCGGCATCGGTGGGAATGGACTCATAGGCGATGGCGATATCGCCGAGGTAGACTTGGTCGCCATTACAGACGGTTGTTGTAGGGTTATTCGTAGTCGTCACGATCGTCGTGGATTCGGGTTTCGAGGAAGATGGCGATGAAGACACTACGGTGCTGCTTGCAGGAGCTTCTGTGGTGGTGCTCTGAACGGGAGCCGTGCTTCCTGCCGAAGTAGAGGAGCCTTGCTGTCCTGAAGTCGTACTCTGAAGTGCTGCAGTGCTAGTTGCAGCTCCACTGGTCGTGCTTGGAGGAAGAGCCGTGCTTCCTGCCGAAGTAGAGGAGCCTTGCTGTCCTGAAGTCGTACTCTGAAGTGCTGCAGTGCTAGTTGCAGCTCCAGTGGTCGTGCTTTGAGGAAGAGCCGTGCTTCCTGCCGAAGTAGAGGAGCCTTGCTGTCCAGAAGTCGTACTCTGAGGTGCTGCAGTGCTAGTTGCAGCTCCACTGGTCGTGCTTTGAGCTGGAGCCGTGGTTGACGTCAAGGCTGGAGCTGAACTAGATGGAGCTCCACTGGTCGAACTCGGTGGAGCAGCTGTGCTTCCTTTCGCCGTCGATGAAATCGCAGGAGATGCTGTACTTCCGCCCGAAGTGGACGAAACTTGCTGGCCTGACGTCGTACTCTGCGGTGCGGCAGAACTAGTTGCAGTTCCGCTGGTCGTGCTCTGAGGAAGAGCCGTGCTCCCTGCCGAGATAGAAGAGGCCTGCTGGCCTGAAGTCGTACTCTGCGGTGCGGCAGAACTAGTTGCAGCTCCGCTGGTCGGTGAAGCCGTGCTTCCTGCCGAAGTTGAAGATTGGGGAGTTCCCGGGTGGAAGCAGGTGTAGGAAAGGTCGGCTGCAAAAAAAAAAACTCATTCGCGTTCTGAACTTATTTTAGACTGACAAAGAATCTTTGCAATCTTGTCGGCAGTGCTCTGGTAGGCGCCATCGGTCGTTGTAAAGCTGTAGTCTTTCCCTAAAATCTTCAAATTGGAAGAGGAATCGAGATTTTAAGTTTTACTCGAAGCAAGTGGTGAGAAATCTCCTGCACCCGCCGTGATTCCTACGGTCAGGATTTGGAAAGTGTTCTTGAGATTGTTTGCTGCCGCAATCGCATCATTCACACCAGAAGCGCTGTAATTTTTTTTTTCTTGTAAAAATGATCTTTCTGAATGTTCAAAGAATTTCAAAACCAACTTCGTTCCGACGATGACAATGGCTGCAAACTCTGTGGCCATTAAGTTTTGACTTATGTATTGCAAAGCACTGAAAGTAACCCGAAAGTTTGGAGAAATATTTTCTAAACGAACTCTACAATATTTGGTGAGCTTTCCAGAGTAAGCGGCTGTGTCTTGATTTCACTCTTAATGTCATCAATACTTCTGAAATTTTGTTCTTTTTTTCAATGAACTCAATCAAAAAAACGAACGTTGGAGTTCCATACGGGAGAACATTGTAGTTATTCGATGTGCCTGGATAAGGGACCAAAGAGGCCAAAGTGGCTCGATTTCCATCTCCGTCCGTTCCCAAGGCATATCGAGTCGAGTTGAATAGATTGTTTCCAAGGAACGAGGTGATAGCCTGACGTTCCAGAAATGAAATGACGTCTTATAGTAGGATAAAAATTGGTTAGCTTATGTTTTCGGTTTCTCGGAAGGCGTTTTAGAGCTTTGCAGCAAGGGGTCTTCCATTTAGCTTCCCAGCCCTTTCCCTTACCTTTCAGAAGCCGGTTGAAAAGATTCTGGCAGATATTTTCATTTTTTTTTTGAACCTTCCAAGGGCCTTTCCAAGACCTTCCAGCTTCTGTTCACCTTCCGACTTCCTGGTGGTTACCTTTTCAACACCTTCCCAGGACTGGCCTGCTCAGGTCTTCAAATCCGGAAAAATTTATAGAAAGAATGCAAAGTTCACAGCAAGGTAAAAAAGTGAGAAAATTGTTCGAGAACGCTTTTTCTGGTCGTTCTCACTCTCAAACTAGCCAAATGTTCGAATGTCCAAAAACTTTGCACCAACTTAAAACAGCTTTGAGCGTTTTGCTGACTTTTTCACCTTGTAATACACTTCAAAAACTTTGCTAGCTAAGAAACTCTCACCTGAAGTCTGTCCGCGGGAGCATTGTTCGTCAGCTCGTAAGCCACCGCGATTTGGCCTTTGTAGACGTAGCGACCATCGCAAGGGGCTCTAGATGAGGTGGGAACATAGATGGTTGTGGTAGGGACAGCCGTGCTGGAAGCTGTCGCGGAAGAGCTTGGCTGAGAGGAGCTCGGCTTGTTGGAGCTCGACGGGACCACAACGGTCGAAGTAGATCCGCCCGGCTGGCTGGTGCTGGCCGTAGAAGCCGCGTTGGTCGAAGAAGACGATCCCAATTGGTTTGTCGTGCTTGCTGCTGCTAAAAAAGGTTATTCAGTTAAAGGTTAGGAAAAGAAGAACTGCTCAATGATCAAATGTAAACAATCGAAGCTAAGTTTTAAAGAAAAAAAATAGTAAAGAAGATCGTAGGAACAGCATGATCTCGCCGATGAATTTATGACAAAAATTATGAAGGAGTCGAAGCGCTGATCCCCAAAACCGCGATTATGACGAAAATCTCCAAGTTCTTCGTTTCATCTTGAACTGCACCCAACGAAATCTTTCGATTTTTTTAAAAATAAGCTCGAAATCGTTAAAATCAACGAGGCTGTTGGAAGTGTACTTTCGAGCAAGGTTTTTCCTAATATAATATTTTGAAAAAGCTGAAACAGTTTTGGATCATCTTATTTCTATTTTAAGGATAATTTTCAGGATCTGCAAGAATTTTTTTCACATTTTACTAAGTAAAGGGTTTCAGAGCTTCTACTTTCAATTTTAAAAGTAGCTCTAGTCAAATTTTAATCTTTACCTGTCGTCGAGGAAACTATTGGTGGTTGGGAGGTACTTGAAATTTTGGTGGGCAAAGCCGAAGTAGAACTTTGGGATGGGATACTCGTTGAAGTGACTACGGGGGGTTGACTGGTGGAAGTTTGGACTCCAGGTGTCGTTGAAGAGGCTATTGGAGCCTGAGAAGTACTAGGAGGGCTTGCTGGAGCCGTAGAGGAAGTCTGAGCTGGAGCTGTCGTTGAAGAAAGAGCCTGGGTTGAAGTTTGAGCTCCACCTGTGGTCGAAGATACTACTGGAGGTTGAGATGTGCTCAGACTTGATAAAGCTTTCGTTGAAGTTACGACGGGAGGTTGAGAAGTACTTGGTCCGACGGTTGAAGTTTGAACATTACCTGTTGTAGTGGACATTACTGGAGCCGAGGAGGAACTTGGAGGACTCGGTGGAGCTGAGGGAGATGTTTGAGCGGAACCTGTCGTTTTCGATACTACAGGCGGTTGAGATGTGCTTGGAGGGCTTGGCGGAGCCAAAGTAGATGTTTTAGATCCTGCTGTTGAAGTTACTACTTGCGAAGTAGTTGGAATCGGTGAGGAAGAAGCCGTGGAAGAGGAATGAGCATTACCTGTTGTTGATGAGACTACTGGAGGTTGAGATGTGCTCAGACTTGATAAAGCTTTCGTTGAAGTTACGACGGGAGGTTGAGAAGTACTTGGTCCGACGGTTGAAGTTTGAACATTACCTGTTGTAGTAGACATTACTGGAGCCGAGGAGGTACTTGGAGGACTCGGTGGAGCTGAGGTAGATGTTTGAGCGGAACCTGTCGTTGTCGATACTACATGCGGTTGAGAAGTGCTTGGTCCGACGGTTGAGGTTTGAGCATTACCTGTTGTGGGGGAGGTTATCGGAGCTTGTGAAGTACTTGGAGGATTCGGTGATGTCGAACTAGGAGTTTGAGTTCCCCCTCTCGTTGTCGATACTACAGGTGGTTGAGAAGTACTTGGAATCGGCGAGGAGGATCCAATCGAAGAAGCTTGAGTTTTACCTGTTGTGGAAGAGACTACTGGAGCTTGAGAGGTGCTTGGAGGACTTGGCGGAGTCGTAGGGGAAGTTTGAGCTCCTCCTGTCGTCGTCGAAACAATTGGAGCTTGAGAAGTACTTGGCTGAGCTGTGGTAGAAGTTTGAGCTACTCCCGTCGTCGTCGATACTACTGGAGCTTGAGAAGTACTTGGCTGAGCTGTGGTAGAAGTTTGAGCTCCTCCCGTCGTCGTCGATACTACTGGAGCTTGAGAAGTACTTGGCGCGACTGTAGAAGTTTGAGCTCCTCCTGTTGTCGTCGAAACAATTGGAGCTTGAGAAGTACTTGGCGCGACCGTAGAAGTTTGAGATCCTCTTGTCGTCGTCGATACTACTGGAGCTTGAGAAGTTCTTGGCGCGACTGTAGAAGTTTGAGATCCTCCCGTCGTCGTCGAAACCATTGGAGCTTGGGAAGTACTTGGTTCGGCTGTAGAAGTTTGAGCTCCTCCCGTCGTAGTCGATACTACTGGAGCTCGAGAAGTACTCGGAGGGCTTGGCTGAGCTGTGGTAGAGGTTTGAACTCCTGATGTCGTTGACGTCACAACTGGAGCTTGAGAAGTGCCAGGAGGAGCGTTGGTGGAAGTCACGACCGGCGGCTGGGAAGTGCTGGCAGCTTTAGAAGTTGTTAGGGCTGAAAGAGTAGTTGTAGATGGTGCTCCGGGCTGAGTTGTGCTAGCGGCTGCGGAAGTAACCGGAGCGGTGGTCGAAGACGCTGACTGAGTAGTGGTAGGATTCACCGAAGAGGGGGAGGTGGCCGATGGTTGAGTCGTGGAAGACGTCTGATAAGTGTTTGTAGACCTTGGAACAACCGACGTGTCGACGGTAGGATTTTCTGTCGTCACTGCCCATTGTCCGCTGCAGTAGATTTTCACTGAAAACTTTCCGATCATAGAGAGAAGAAATATCCGCTTATTTTTCAAGTCTTTTCGCTGCTGAATTTACAAAAGAAAGTTGACATTTGATTTTTTCTTAATGCGAGAATTTGTTTTTGGCGAAACTTCGAAATTAATTTAAAAATATTTTGATTCCAGATCAAAATTAAATAGTCAAGTACCATCGAATTTGACTCACACAGCTCATTTCCAATGGCTTGCGCAATCGTGGCTTCTTGAGATTTATCCAAAATTGTGAACACCAGGCTGGGGTCGGACGCAAGCTTGGAAAGGTTGTCCGTCGACCAGAAAGCCACCGTCGCCACATTGTAGCCTAGAGATTTCAGGTTTTGAGCAGATGCCAGAGCATCATCCGACATGGAGCCGCTGAAAACACACAGGACTCTAGAATGAGAAGAACATCCCAACGAACTTATTAGCTACGATGATTACTGTAGTTGGGCCAGCCGGTGGATCGATAGGAATCGATGGAATATAATTGAGAGCACTGAAAAATAAGAAATATTCAAGTTTTAGTGGTTCTCAGTTAGAAAAAGACAAAAATTAATAAAATTTTCATTCCCAAAGACTATTTTTAGTTAAAATAGTTCAATTGACAGCGCTCGCGAAAATTAGAAATTTCAATTTTTTCCGATACCCTTGCGTGTTGTTTCCCAATAACCTACATACTTTAAAGTTCCCTTTTTTTTAGGTTTATGTTTTAACTGCTGTTTTATGTTTTAACTGCTCAAAATAAAACTTACGACGACTAGTTTCAAAAACGTTCCCTAGTCAGCGCGATTTTACAAAAAGACTCACAAAAGATTCTCTAAAAAAGTTTACCTTGAAATTTGCGGCAAGCCCTTCATGCCGAAACCAAAATCGTTGAAAAACTCCATGACCTGGTCGAGCGTCCCCAGATTTCTGGAAAATAAACTTTCAATCTCCAAAATCTTCTGCAGGACTCACATGACAGGTTCTCCATATTTTGCATTAGGATAATCATCCGTGGACGGATATGGGACTAGAGCAACCTAAAAGCTTCCAATATTCATTTTTCTAATTTCATGAGATTCCTACTCGAGTTAAGTTTGTAGCGACGGTGCCGAGTTGGTAGACATTTCCGGGGTACGAGAACAAGACAGTTTCGGCGAATCGACGGATCTCCTGAAGGCATCTCGTTGGAATGATGAATTTTACTCTCTCCTTTCAAATTTGACATGCAGCCTGTGTACTGCGACTTCGAGTTTCACCAAACAACATTCCGCTGTGTAACTTCGCGCCTTTGCGAAGCTTGGTCGCGCTTTTAATTTTTTTTCTTTTATTAAGGAACTCTACTTTCATGTGCTCCCACAGCAATAACAATCAATCGAAAGCACGGCTCAGACTCGAAAGACGATTCGCGAACACACGCAGCGGAACAGCGGAATGTCGTTCGGTGAAATTTCAAGTCGTGGCACACATTTCAAAAAATAGCTTGAAAACTTTAATTTGAAGCTCGTAAGAATTTTTCTGCAAATCGTTTTTTTACTGGAAACTCTCGAAACTTTATAATAGCACGAATTTCGATAGATATTAAACATCAGCCGTTGAATATAAATATCCTATTTCCCAATAGCAAAATCGAAATCTTTTAAAAAAGAGCCGCACGGGGAATGGCTCAACGGATAACGGCAAAAAATGATTCAAACTTAGGATCTTTCCGGGATCTTGGTTAAAATGTCAATTATTCTCAGCTAAAAATTGAAGTCCAGTCGGAATTTCAAGAAGAGGAACTAATATAAGCACCTTATAAAGTTTTTACTCTTCTAATTTATTTTTTAATAAAATTAATAGGTTTTTCCCACTAACATCATCAACTGTGACGTGCATGAGTTCGTAGGCGAGAGCGATGTTGCCAACGTAGTAATTACAGGCTGCTGGATTCAGAGTCGGAGTTGTGAAGGTTGTGACTGGAGCCGTTGTAGAGGGAGCTTTTGAGGTGAGTGGAGCAGTCGAACTTCCAGCAGTTGAAGAAGAAGCAGATGGACTCTGGGAAGTCATCGGAGCGGTCGAACTTCCCACTGTCGTGCTAGCCGGAACTGTTGAGATGATGGTTGAAGATGCAGCTGCTGAACTTCCCGCGGTCGACGGAGGACCTCGAGTGGTCACTGGAGCTGTGGAGACGGGAGTAGATGGTTTCTGAGAAGTGACTGGAGCAGCCGAGGTTCCAGCAGTCGACGAAGGACTTCGAGTGGTCACTGGAACCGTCGAAATTTTTGTTGAAGCAGCTGGACTCTGTGAAGTGACTGGAGCTGCCGAACTTGCTGCAGTCGATGGAGGAGTTCTGGTTGTGACGACCGAGGGTGTGGTGCATGGTACGACCGGAGGGCAACTACAGCTTGTCGTCACCGGAACGGTGACTGGAGGAGCTACGGACGGCAGGGTGGGACACGTCTGAGGCGTCTGCGTTGGGCACTGGATGTCGGGACAGAAATCGATCGAGTCCGCTGCAAAATGATTCCGATGAAGAACTAACAAGGTAGTTTATATTTAAGAGTTTCTAAAAATGTTCAAAATAGTAGCGTTTCCTGAGAGAATTCCAAAACATCTAAACTAATTAGTGGGACGTTTTGCACTTTTTTTTAATTGGAAACGTGTATAAAAAAGTTGCTCACGTTGAACAGTGGCATTGCGGACGACGGTGGTGTCTTTGGTGAGCTGCTGGCCGACGACTGTGTTGTTGGGAATCAAATTGATTGGCTTGGCTGCAGAAACGACGCCGGAACCGTAGGCAATCACGCCGTTCGGTGTCGTTGTGTCTTGTCTGAATTATTCTAGACAATCGAAGTTTTGGACCACCCCGGGGGACTTGCCCCGCAAAGCAAAAACAAATAAAAATCAAGTTGATGAAAAAACGGCACTTTTGAAAATGTGACTGCGCGCGTCGCGGTTCTGGTTAGAACGACAATCATTGCTAAGAAAATAATTGAATCTTCCTTTGAGCTAGCAAATTGAACGTAATTGACGACCTGTCGTCCAAACTTTTCCTCTTGCATTAATTGCTAAAGTACTTGAACTATCATAAAGACTACACCCTTTTTATTTTATAAAAAGGATTAAACGTCAAAAAAGAGGTAATATTAAAGAAAAATATAAAAATGAGTCTAATGACTAGATTTTCCTGTTTTTTTCTCCCAAAAAGACCGTATATCTAATTGGCTTCCAAATGTCAACACTTCGCTTCAAGACGCTTCCATTTTGCTCTCTTTTCAGCAGTTTTAAAGAGCAAAAGTTCAAAAAAGTGTGTAGCTTTCCTTTTGAAACTTGACCTTAAGATCCGTTATGCGCCGAGGAGTAAGGGCAAACAATGATAAAGTTACTTAAACTTCGATAAAGAAAACATGACCCAAAAAGCCACTAAAGTGGCCCCTAGAAACTCTCTGACCGTCCGAATCGCGTCCGGTTCATGTTGCCAAGGTCCGCGTGGAGCTAAAGATGAACTGAGTCCAATTACAGTAACTACAGAAGCTCTAACGCGGTGGCCGTTGACCGGCCGATACCACAACACCCGTTTTCAACCCGCGGGTACTCCCAAAACCAGAGCTGTGCTCTGGGAAAGCCCGGCTGGCCATAGTGCTGCAACGCGGTCGAAAATTTTCCATTTTTCGAACATTTTTGTCTCGGAATTTTCACAGAGTGTGTGATTGGGAGAGTGAGTGATCGAAAATGTGTTATTTGGGGAAGATATGAGATTTAACTTTGAAGTGAGATGAAAAAAGTTCGCGATTTCGACGATTGTGGGTCGATTCGGCCATCAACCTCGGCTCAACGCACAGCTCTTCTTTCATCAGTTTCGGGACAAACTAATTTTCAAGCCGAAACTTACTGAAATCGAGCGATTTGCACTTGAACTGCATTGACGGAAGGATCAACGGCCAGGACGCGCATAAATCTTGAGCTGGGATTGAGAGAGGCTTGCAAGCTGTCAGCTAACTGAAAATTTCATCGCACAATAATTTTCCACATCGTTTCAGATCCACCGACCTGCTGGCCAACTTTCGCAGCGCTGTCTTTGAAAGTTTGTGAGTTTTCGTCGCCCAAATCGTCGCTCCATTGCAAAGTTTCGGTGGTGAGGCCAGTTCTGATCGAAAATAAGTTGGAATTGCACTGTGATGTGACCGTTGTCGTCGTGTTTGAGCATTGGGCTGTAAAATGCTTTAATTATCTTTGGATATTATTTCACAGGAAGTGGCTATGAAACCGTGTTGTTCTAGATTTCGTTTTGATATCCCGAGACGTGCCTCAGAAATGTCTCGTGTCAAAAGCCGAGAAAAAGAGACATTTTAAACACTACATACAAGTAAATTTGTGACATGAGGGGCGCAAAAAAAAATAGAAATGGCGTGTGGTTCGATTTTCTACCGATATCAAGGTTAGCGCAAAAAATGGGATTTTCGAACAAGTCCGGTAAACTTTTTTGAATTTCTATTTCCATTTCTTGTCAAAGTGTTTTGACAAAATTTACACTATCCTCTCTTTTGTTGAACTTCCAGAATTATAGTTTTTCGAAAATTTATTTTGATAACTTTTACTTATTTTTCACAGGTTTTGTTTGCAAGTTTTCACGCAAAAGTTTGTCAATTTGTATGTTTTAGATTAACGCGTGAGTGATCGTTCAATGCCCGATAAGAACGTGGGAGAAAAACGCTATCAAAATCTTTTTTCCGATGCTAAAACCACTGAACCAACGGTTTAGGCCATAATACCGATTTCTTTAGATTACCTCGACGATTTGTCAACGTTGAAAATTTCCATACAAGCTTCAATTGAGATCACATCAGGATCAAATTTCAAAAAGTTCAAACTATAGACGTTTTTTTGGAAATGAAGTATAGTTCCACGTTTTTGGCGCCTATCAGCCGCCAATTTACAGTGGCCAGAAACCTTTTCTATTCTATGATAAGAGGTGGAAAATAATAAAAGTTTGAAGATGTCAATTTTGAGTCTTTGGTCTCATCGAGTGCAATAAAGTGTCTTGATTTATGAAGAGAAAAAAACTTTAATTTGAAAAAGGTAAATTCTGAGAAAAATTTACGAAAATATATAGTTTGAAAAGAAAAATTTTGAAGGCTGAAAAAAAAAAAACTTTTTTGGAGGCTCTATAGGCAGTTTTTTCAAAAAATTAAAATCTCGATGAAATTAAAAAAATTTAAGATTCAACTGACATCTAGCTGTTTGAATTCGGAGGGTTTATAGATTATCCATCTTTTAAAAAAAACTATTTCTTCTTTTTAGGAAAGAAATTTTCGTGACCAGACTTCACAAAAATTTTCCACTTGGAACTTGGTAACGCAAACCGGACGTGTCAGGGTTTTTCTGGTGATCAGTTAAGTAGGGTCCGTGCTTTTTAGTGATCCCCAGAGTTGCTCAAAAAAGTCCATAGCGCGTCCGGTTTTCGTTACTGAGATCCGAGCAAACTTAGAGGGGAGACCAGCGGTCAGAAAGCTTATTGCTTAGATAACTTCACAGTATACTGAGTTCCAGATCCGTATTTCTCATATTAGCCCTTCCCCGTCCTCCTTTCGGAAACTTCCCAGACACACTTGTGCCAAAAACGATGGCGAGAACGATGCCGACGATGCCGATGACGATGCCGGCGCTTCCGACGACGAACGAGGCGACGTGCAGACGCGTCAGCCCGCTGCCTGACACCATCGCCGGGGCTTCTGAACCTCTGAGTCTAGGTCTAGATCCCTTCTACAGACTCCTTCTACAGACTCCTCTGCACCCAAGGCGAATGAGCCTGAAATCAATCTTTGGTCGAGTTGGCAAAAAAGGCTTATCAAGTCGTCGCCTGATTTGCCACGACTCGTTTTTTTTTCGAGAATTAGCTCCAAGGTTCCGTTAAATAATGACTTGGAACTACTTAGGACTTCCTTGGTTTTTAAGAAGAGTCACGGCTTTTGGTTCAAAAGTTTATCGGAAACGAAAGCATTCAGCAGAGCAAAAAATAGTCTGAATATCGGGTTGAAAATGAATCTTGGTAGACTTGTAGAAAGCGCCAAGGCAGGTTTTTTAGTTCGAAAGTGTATTCAAGATAATAAAGAAACGAGAGTATTTAGAGAGTTTTCAAGAAAGGGTAAAAACTTGCGATAAATTTTGGAAAAATTGTCGCGACATGGGACCTCGTGCTTTCGAGGGGCGTAAGTTAATTTTATGAATGAGCAAATCAAAATTATTGAAAATGATGTACAATAGAAGAATTTGAAAAAACATAAAAATTGGCATAAATCTTGATAAACTTGTTACGACTTGAAACTCCTTCAGTTTATGAGAATGGCGTAAGTAGCTTCAAGGTCGGGTGTTTGTTTAAAATCGGTCAAAAAATAAAATGAAAATACTTCGGCAGATAAAAAAAAAGAGCAAACAGATTGTTTTGAAAAAAACTCCTGACCAATAGGTTAGATCTTGAATAAAGGTTTCTTCACAAAAAGCTAGGAAAAACCTGATCTCGAGCCAAAACCATGAACAAAGAGAAAAATTGTTAGAAAAACTAATCAAAAAAAAAAATTTAGTAATGAAACCACGGAAAAATTGAAAAATTCAAGTGACTCATAAATAATTTGAGATAAAATTTTACAATTCAAATGATCCTTGTGAAGTGCTTATTTCAATTTAATCGCTGTTTTGATCAATAAAAATTCGAAAACTTGGACCCTGACTAATTCATCAAAAAGCGGATATAGGTTAATTCAGCTCCGTTATAAGATTGCGGAAAAGACCTTCAGGACCCAAAATGCGATTACCAAAGGTTAAGACGGCTTTTATGCGTATAAACCTAGCATTTGGACTTTCCTATCGTTTTGCAACGCCCTAGGAAAAAAAAGTGACGTAAGCAGCACATGCAGATAAAAATTGGCATTTGGAGAGGAAAAAAAAAGATGCGGAACGATAAATAGGATGCAGTTGTTCTGGTGTTCTATATAAACTTGAGTTGAAGCTGATAAAGACTTGCGCGGGAGGGTGTGGTCGGCAAAAACGGATGAGTAATAGACTGTGGGAGTAATTTTCAACTATTCGCAGTTGAGGAATATACTTTTTATGAATGAATATTGTGATTCCAATGGTAATTTGAAGGTTTTTAAGGAAAAGCTATAAAAGTTGTTCCTCAATAAACTCAAATTTTCTCTCATAGTCGATTCACAATGACTTTTAACCTTTCGGTCGCATGAGGAATGGTTTGGCTGTGAAGAGCTTACTAGAAAAGTGCCTCAGACCATGAAACGACTTTCGCGCATGACACTTCGTAGAGGATTTTTTACTCCAACGACTTGTTGAGCCATTCTCCATGCGACCAAAAGGTTTAAAGTCGCCGAAGGAGTAAAAAATCTGAGTGGATACATTTTTTTCAGATTATCGATAAATGAATATTTCAGGCATTATTTATTCTCTCTCCCCTATGGAACGTTCTTATGGCCTGGTCGAACTTTTGATGCAACTTCTCAGAATCTCCTGATCCCAGGACGAAAAATTATCACAATAGACATTGTTTTGATTTATTGAGCTTCAAAGTTTGCAAAATACGCAAGTTATGCTAAATTTTTCGGAATATGAGAAAAGCTTGAAAAGTTGTTAATAGCAGAACATCCATTGTCCCAGTTCACGAAAAAAAATTTTCCTAGAGTTTCCGGTCCAATTTTCAATTTCTGTGGTTTTTGCAGTAGAATGGATTCATAAGCTTTGTAAGGCTCATAGGCAAGTTACAGTAACCAAGACCAAAGACAGAATTTTTCCAAGAATCATTAGCAGAGAAGAGAAAACAAGAAAACTGCTTGAAACGTAAAGTCAAAACTGAAAAGCGGTTCAACTTGCTGGTCAACCGCGATAAAAGTGCACGTGAAAGTGTGTTGCAACGGTGGACAAACATGGAAAAGAGATATAGTTTGTTGAAAAGTACTACTAATGATAGTAAAAGGTGATAATGAGCAGGTTATCACCAGGTTTCGATGGCTTATTTAAAATTTTCCGTAGGTAGTTGATTGGCTAGCTTGGGTCATAATTCAATGATTCAGAGATTCTACAATTGCGTTCTCGAATTATTTATAAGGTTTTAAAAAGGCCATAGAAAAAATTGATGAAGTTCTCGAGGTGATTTTCAGTGTTATTTATGGTCCGAACTGGTCCAGAATTTTTGGAGTAGAACTTATGCGCCTTCAAAATACTCTAGCGAATTTTTTGAGCGAAATTGGTCTCAAAGGGATTGTCAAAAATCAGCCCAATATTAGAAATTTTTTGAAGCAACTCCAGAATGCCAATCTAGTTTTTAATGCCGTGTTTAAAGTAATTTCGCGAAATGCAAAATGATCTCTGACTCTCCAAAGTTTAGTTATACTTTTCTTTCTCTGACGGCTATTTTGCATTTCGCGAAATTAGTTTGAACACGGCCTAATGGATCATGAATCAGAAAGATCAAAAGATCAAGTTCGAAATATGGAAAAAAATTGAGCTTCTCATGCGGAAAGCTTCTACAGATCATATTCGAAAAAAGCGAAAAAAAAGCTTTTAAAAGGAAAAAAAGGAAAAATTTTCAAGCCGAACTGAAACTCGAAATTAGGTCTGAATTTCGGCAAAAGGTGTTAATATCGGTGTCGCAGAAGAATCGGAGTACAAAAGGAGTTCGTTATCGTTGGCATGCGGCCCGATGGCACCTTTATCGTTTCGAATTTGCAAATTCGACGCACTATACGAAGGGGTCTCAGAATTCCCCAAATACTTTTTGGATGACGTTTTTTGGGACGGAAATAAAGGCTCGAAAATCGAGCCATTTTGGAGAGATCAGAAGGTTCAGGCCTTAGGAAATTTCTATAAAATATGAAATCGACCAATCTTCATACAGTTTCAAAGTAAACTCGCGTTAGTTGAGCTGTTCTATACTTTTCTGTACCATTTTTTATTTTCCATGTGTCAATGATTAACAGAAGAAAACTGACCTCCAGGGTTGTCTTTTTGTGAAGTGTACTGAGTTTTCAAAGATCTTTTGATGTTAAAATGGAGTCCCTTCGGTATAAATTTTAACAATAATTGAAAGAAAAGCATTTTTTTCAAGTGGCCTTCTGTTTATTGTTGTAAAAGGCTTTCCCAAACTTTTTTTTCGGAAGATAATCTTGTATTAATCTTCCGAAAAAAAAACGAACTGAATCCATTAAAGGATCATTTTCTAAATTTTATCAAAATTTCGATAGATAAAAAATTTACCATTTCGATTCCTTCAGCAGCGAACTATCCATTATTCCACAACACTCGAATTACTTTCCTCTGACTTCCGCATTTCTCTCTAAAAACTTCAAAACTGAAGAAGAAACGAAATCTCAAGATTTTCGTAATACGAATGCATGTCTATAACGACGAAGACTTATTACGAATTAAAAAGAATTACAGCAAGTTCGTAAAGCAAGTTGCTTGCAATATGATTGCTTTACGGATTTGCTGTTGTCTAATAAAAACGTTGTCTAATATAATATAGCAGTATAGACAAAAAAAACAGACAGTTTTCAATTAAAAAAAAACAAAAATACACACAACGTAAGTGCCTATATCGCAGTGGGCCGCAGGCGATATAACCAATGCTTTTTACTAGTAATTAATTACTGCGATCTCGTGAAAGTCTCGCTGCCATATCGCTTCCTTTAAAGTTTTCAAAACTTTGAAATTAAAAATTTGTTTGCTTTATTTTTGTCTTTTATGGTGAAACGAATCAAATTAAAGAAAAAACATGTTTAAGGAAAATTTTTCAGAGAGCGATATATAGCGCAAGACGTTTGCGAGGTCGCAGCGAGAGGTAAGCGATATTGCTCGCGGCTCCCCCGCGGTATAGCACTACTCTCGCGAGAGTAGTGCACTATAGTGCTATACCGCGAGATCTCGCTGCGATATATAGAACTAGTGAACATTCTCAACATTGCACTAAGAATAACTGCCGAGATAAACGCAAGACGCTGGCGGTACATTGACGAGCTCGCAAACATCTCGCGTTTTTTCTCGCCCCGGTCTCGCATTTTTCTGGGCGCGAGCTCGCACTTTTCTAGGCGCGAGCTCGCATTTCTCTCGCAATTTCAAAATTTCCGAAATGCAAGATAAATGCGAGATGGCGCCGAGAAAAATGCGAGGTCGCGCCGAGATAAATGCGAGATCGCGCCTACAAAAAAGCGAGATGTTTGCGAGCTCGTCAATGTACCGCCACCGACCTCGCGTTTATCTCGTCAGTTTATTCTTAGTGTTGGGTGTGGAAAAAAACTTTTCTCGTACGGTTTTGAGAATGTACGTAGTTTTGAACTCATGAACTCGCGACATTTCATTCTACGCGCATGAATTTCTTTCTCATATTTTTTTAATTTTGTTCTCTCATATGAATCCTCAATATCACTAAGAATAACTGCCGAGATAAACGCGAGACACTGGCGGTACATTGACGAGCTCGCAAACATCTCGCTTTTTTTCTCGCGCCGGTCTCGCATTAGTCTGGGCGCGAGCTCGCATTTTTCTAGGCGCGAGCTCGCATTTCTCTCGCAATTTGAAAATTTCCGAAATGCAAGATAAATGCGAGATGGCGCCGAGAAAAATGCGAGGTCGCGCCGAGAGAAATGCGGGATCGCGCCTAGAAAAAAGCGACATTTTTGCGAGTTCGTCAATGTACCGCCACCGAGCTCGCGTTTATCTCGTCAGTTATTCTTAGTGATGATCAAATACACCCAATATTGTGGACTTATCGCAGCGAGAGCAATGTTATACCGCGGGGGAGCCGCGAGCAATATCACTCGCCTCTCGCTGCGACCCTGCCAACGTCTTGCGATATATCGCTCTTTGAAAAATTTTTATTTCTTTAATTTGATTCATTTCATCTAAAAAGTCAAAAATAAAGCAGAAAAAAATGTTTTTTTTAATTGCAAGTCTTGGAGAGGGAGTGGCAGCAAGCAAGAAGACTTGGCTATATCGCCTGCGGCCCGCTGCGATATCGGCAATTATGCTGGGTGTATGATCATAGGCGAAACGGAGAAGATTCTTTGAGGATCCTAAAAGGACTGATAGGAGGATCAAAGGGTCCGCAAAAAGTTCAAAAAGCGATGTGAAAAAGCTTTTGAACTTTTTTTTCATAGCCTCGAACCTTTTTGAATCCTCCGGCATCTTTTTAGTTGCTTTTTAATGTAACACGTCGTCCGTCGATCGGTTTTTTTTTAAAGATTTCCGAGACAGGGTTGTGCGAGGGCCGGCTCATCAGTCTAACGGCCCAGCATTTTCTGAGCCCGGGCTGAGCGAAGCCTTAAGCAAGAACAGGCACGAAAAACTCAAGTTTTCTTCAAGTCGAACATCAGTTTTTTTTGCGACATGAATAATGTCTCTGATACTTTTTTTTACTTCAAGTTCAACAAAAACTACGAATTTGAATATTAGCGTTTCTTTAAGTCCTGCTAGATGCACAAGCCCGGATTTCGGTACCGCAAAATTTACGCGCCCTGGACGTTTCTGGGCGTTTTTAATAATTCCTTTAGCACTTTTTATTGTTTACTAAATATTCTAAGAAACGTCCAGGACGTGTCTGATTTGCGTTACCGAGGTCCGAGCAATCGAAACCCGAAACAGTGAAGTTTGCATCGGCTCAGACCAAGCCAGACTTCGAGAAAAATTTTCGAAGTTCATCAAAAACATTTTCATCCTAACTCAAAATTTTCGCAAAAAAGTTACTTTTCACTTGTTTCATTAAAGTCTATCAAAAGTTATTGGAAATGGACCGAGGCCGATAGGTTGACAATCTGGACCTCGCACAAGCCTGTCTAGCCTGTTTTGAACAGAAGTCTGTCAGTTTTGAATAATCGATAATTGCATTCTGTGTACGAGTGAGAAGCAATTTTGTGAACTTCTGTTTTTTCCTTTTCTCCTTTGCAATACAACACATTTTAAAAAAACCGTCAGCTGCTTTTAAGAGCATTGGGCTGGTACCTGGCATTTTTTAGGCGGCCTCGCAGTTGATCGAACTCAGACCGCGAAAAATTCGTAGAGAATTTGATTGACGAAGGCAGACGCGATTAACTGAATTTTAGAAGATGAACGAATGCAAATGCGGAAAAAAGGATATAAATTGAAAAGTTGAATCAAAAAGAGCTTCTCGTAGAGTTAAATCATTTTTTTCGCAGCCACAGTGTCTGCGGTCTTGAATCATAATCGATTATTTATCGCGCTCGCGATAAAAAATTGATCAAACTGAATAAAACCGCCAAATCTGGCGTGAGAGTTTTCAACAACCACATTTTTTTTCAAAGTTTATATATCTCGGGCAAATTCGAAACGATGGATAATGGCCTTCCTTTTTCCTCACCATAAAATTTCTCGAAACTAAACGTTTAAAACCTCACATCATTTTTTCCAGTAGTAGTTGATCTCCACTTTCCGATCGTATTCTCCAAAATTCTTTCTGAAGAAAAAGCAACTGAAAAAGAATTTTTGAGAGATCAAACTGCTTTGTTTGAAGTATTTGAAGTTGTGGCCGATCCTCCATGGATTGACCTCGTTCGTTGAAAGCTTCCTGCAATGAATTCAAAATTGAGAAAAGCAAGTCGATTGCATTATTAGAATCGCAATATTTTGACTGATTAGCTATATGAAGTCTTAAGTAAGTTAGGGAACATTTATACAGTCAAAAGAACTAACTAGGCGGTGCGCTAGAGCTCCGCTCGGCCTTGTCAGAACTAAGATTCCTAGACGCCGAAAGCCGTGACGGCATTTTCCGCGGGGGTCCCATCATCGCTTTGTCAGCATCGCGCTGCCAACAGTTTATGCCTCGGCCACAGGAATGGGCTTTGGCGTGACTTTGCGTATCCAATTTGCAAGCAAAAAGGATCGGCACTCCGGGAGTCCCGCGGGCCTAATCTACTAGCGCTTACGAATCAGAAACTAATTTTGAAAGTTAGAAGTTTCATGGAAGTTAAAAACTCATCTTAAAGTTGAATCCAGGAGCAAGACGAAACGTGAGGGAAGCAAGAACAACATTTAAACCCAAGCCGTACAAGTAGAAATGACACGTTGCCACGTGGTTTTTTGTACGTGTTATTTTTTTCGATATCAAGAAATTGACGCCTCGTCACGAAGTTCACGTTTTTTTTTTGCAGAAAATGAAATTTTTGTTCTGAATAAAATAATGGGTCATATGACGTGATAGGTAGAGCTAGTGGAAACACTAAAAAACTTTTTAAAGTTAAAATTTTTCAATTTTTGAGCTCTCTAGTTTATTTTTCGTTGTTTTGTATTTTTTTTTTGTCCTCTTGTAAGAAAAAAATTTGCGTAACTAAAAACCAAATTGAATTTTCTGATGCAATTCGAAAATTTTAATTTATAAATGAGGCCCAACACTTTCTAATTTCATATCAATCATTTTTCAGGCAAATCAAATTACACGAGAACGTCGTGGCCGGACCTGACAAATTGCAATTGACAAAAAAATCCGCTTAAAAGAGGTGGCCCCTCATTTTTTTTGATTCAAGTTGTTTCTATTGAACAGTTGACTATCCATATACTATATTTTTAGATCCCCGTCTTTTCTCAGCGAATTTCGACGAATCATGTTAAAAGAAAACTTTAAAGAAAAGAAGACCTGACCGTTTTTTGTTCGAATCCATGAACGAATTTGAAAAAAATCGTTTCAAAAGCCTTAAAAAACACTTTTGATTCAACTTTCAAGTAAAATTTTCAGAGTCGACAGTTTCCCATGGACTAGTTTAAGCTACAAAAACAATTGACTGTAAGGTAATCTTGTTAAAAATGGGAAGATTGAATATCAGCTTCAGCGGTTGTTCAAGATTGGAGAAACATAGTGACTACGAACTTGTGATAGCAAATCCGGGTCAAAGATGAAATCATCCAAGACCAGAAGAAGTCGGGTACAGTTGGACGCAGATGACACCAGGATCAGAACGGAAAGCGACTTTCTATAGGTATGTTTTTTTTTTCCAAGTAATCTTAAGAGAAAAAGTGAGTTCATGCCAAAATTAATCTGTGGTCAAGTTGGCTCAAAACAGAAGGTTTGACTCAAATTCTCATGAAGCCTTTATGATCTTTCTCTCTTTTTGCCAATTTTCAGTTCATTCTGATGACTTTCGAGATCAAATTTTTCAATTGATTATTTTTTAACTTTTTGATTTCTAAATTTCCTTTCTCTTCCTTTCAACTTTTCAATGCGCATTATTTTTTTGAGAAAAAAATTAAATGCAAACAAAAATTTACTATAGGTTTGATAATGGAAACTAATACAATCAATGTTCATAATTATTATGCTCTACAACAAGAAAAAAATATCATTGGCGCTACGGAACTTTTCGGCTTTTCAAGTTCACATAAAGGAATATGTTTCAAAAGGAATTGGTAAATTGTTGATTGAAAAAATACATTGGAGTTTGAATAAAGACTGCAGAAGGGCAGAAAACAGAGTCCCATTTTGAAACCTTTCCTTTTTTCTCTACAGCTTCAAAGGCTCAAGAAATGGTGGGAAAGGGGGAGGGGCAGCAAAATGCTGCATAAAAGCCGATAAAATGGCGCAAATAAGGAGTCATTTTCACCCTTCCGACTTTGCCTATGGAACAAATAGATAGGGATCAAATTCAATAGGTGGGAAAAAGAAAACGGTAGAAGATTTTTAAAAAAAATCACGATGAAAAACAAATGGGTAAAAACAACGGATTGGTGGCGAAAGGAGCACCGGTTATATCAGGAAACGAAACAAAGGACAAAGAAAATGAAGAACTGGGAAAGAGTTACTTTTCACATCCAGAAAGGCCGTCGCTTTTTCGTCATGGTGTGGGTAATTTGATCGTTGATGGTCCATTCTCTGACGAGCCTCTTGTTTTCTCTGCAAATGGATCAAGTTCTAAAAATACTGTTACTTTATCAAACTTTTATTTTGCTTACTCAGCAAGCAAAGCACGGATAATCAGTTATAAATAAGTTCTAACTTCAGGAAGGTAGGGCTGGCAAAAAGCTAAACTAAATTCCAACTTAAAGGAGTTAGTAACGTTTTTAATTCTAGAAGACTCGGCAGGAGATGTTGGCGGATTTTCGAAAGTCGGTTTCCTTGTACTGCTAACGATCAGGAAACGTTACTCAATAAAGTCTTAGAGAAATTGCGTTATAATTATTGAAGTTGGAAAAAAACTCACAAAACGCTGAGGAGCGTTTCGCCCGAGAATTGGGAGAGGGTGCATGCCGCTCTGGCGACAGTCGTTCCCTTTTCCGGTTTGCCCGTCGTCTGATCAACAGAAAGAGTCAAAAGAAGCATTCCCATCAACGTTTCCTCTTCTTCCGACACGACTCCACGGTACTTACTGAGCAAGTACAACTCCGGCGGAGAGTAGATCTGAAAAACGATTTCCATCGAAAGGTTTTCAAAAGAATATTAAAAACAGAAAAAAAGAACCGACGTCCTCGTCGACTTCCTTTGAGACCCAGAAAGAGCTAAATTCAGGTCCCGAATAAAACTTTCGTGACGATCCGAAAGTTCCAATTCCTGGCCTCCCTTGCTCCCTTTTCACGGCGAATCTGAAAAATTCGTTGCAGTTTTAAACTTCAAAAAAAAAAAAACGCACTTCGAGCCGTGGTTCGGCATGGATCCCACCAAAAAGAGCTCTGGGGCATAAGGTCTTCGGTAGTTGAAAACCTTGAAATCGTGGCACTCTCTCAGAGCTTTTGCTATCGTTTTCAAGAACGATGCCTATAAATTTGAGTTTAGAATTTGAGTCGAGGGGTGGAAAAATGGTAACGTTTGGTGTTATAAATTTGGATTATATGGACTTGAGAAAGGTTTGGACGTAGGCACAAGAAAAATTAAGCCCTCCGTTGTTGAATTCAGTTGAAAATTTGAGTTTCCAACGAATTGGTGAAAATTCAATCGTTTCATTTTGGCACTTGATTTTCCATGCTCGAGAACTTACGGTGTCGAAAAGCTCGTTGTTGTAACGAGAGCTCTGGACGACTATCCGACTAGGGAGCTGATGAGCTTCTTGGTAAAATACCTTGAGAACTTCGACGAAGAAATTCGCAATGACTCTCAAAAGATAATAAGTTATCAAACTTCGACTTTGAATCATTGGCCTACGTTCTCTTCTTCTCCAGATTTGTTGGCTGAGCGAACACGAATCCGCCTATCTTCTCTAACCTCCCAAGCGTGTAGGAGAGCTGAAAAGTTTCTTTCTGAATACACAACTTGAGAAGATTCTCACCCCTACAAAGCGAAAGCTGTTTGAGTCGGCGTATTCGTGTACTATTTCGCTTTCCTCAAGGCCCACTACCATTATTTCTCCAGTTTGTAAGATCTTGACCCTGGAAAGTTTTTTTAAAAAAATTAATTTTTTTAGAAGTTTTGTCCAAACATTTCATTCTTTTGATCAGAAGCCAAAGGCATCACGGAAAAATTGACTCCGCCTGATGCGATGTTCAGGTTTCGTATTAGTTCGTTCTGCAATTTCTGTATTTTGGAAAAATTGGGGAAACAATGAAAAAACCGATGCATTGAAGAGGTTCATCCGTGCTAAGTTCTTGATCGCGAACGAATAAACTTGGATGTTTTGAAAAATCTTCAGTTTTTTTCAGCTACGCCTAAATCGGAAAAATTTTTTTCACAGCTTTTTTTAAAAATTATTTCTTACGAGAGACGAGTTGAACTTCGCCAGCTCCAAAGTACAGAACCAGGCAAAATAACTTTTTCGATGTTCCTCGAAACATTTTTTTCGCCGCCTCCTCTAAATTTCCAATCGAGGAAAATTTCAAATTTTCTTCGAGATCCGCACTCATGCCAGTCGCCTCGATTTTCTGGCGGATTTCACCGGCGAAACTTCTGAAAACTTTGCACTTGTGACAAAATTCTGAAAACTTTTCACGTGTCTACGTTTCACTTCAACCTTTTTTTATATTCATTTTTTTATTGATAAAAAATCCAAAAATCACCTATGTACTGCTTCCTCCTCCAAAAACAGCTCTTTCGTGTGAATAAATTTTATTGCCAGTTCCTGGCACGGCTCCAGATATTTCAACTGTCTCCAAAAATCATCGACTTGCCCGGAGTTCCAAGGAAATGGCACACTGAACAAGATTTTCAGACGTTTCAAGTTGAAAAAAAATCATACCCCCGAGACAAAAGTTTAACGTCGTTGAGGGACGAACTTCCATCCAAATACATTATTTTTCGAGGTTTCACCTAAACTTGTCTCAATAATTAATGTGAAAGCTAAAAATTGAAACTGACGTCCATAGTATCGTAGAAATCCTTTTGGGCGAGCGGGTGATTATCACTGAACATCATATGCTGAAAATGGATTCGATAGAAGTTGAACGTGAAAATCAAGGAAAAAATGATACTTTTTTGACAAAACTTGGAAAAGAGGGATTGCTATGTTCCCACGAGCCATTCTAATTGGGAAAAAGGCCACACGCAATTCAGTTAAAATGCCACCTATCTAAAAACCTTGAGTGATATTATCAAGTTCCAGAGGAAAAAACTGAGATATAAATTTCTCAACGATTATTGAAAAAGCTATGGAAAAGAATGCTGTTTATTTCAGTTCGATTCCGAAATTTCAAAAATTTCAACAGGTACCAATTCCAAAAATCGTTATTAAAGTTTTGCTTATTTCAAACAATATATCAATTTTTAGTTATCACCAACTTTGAGAAAGATAATCTCGAATAGGTCAAAATAAGGCGCCGCAGACCGATAACTACTTGCGCTCGTCGGCATCCAAAAGTTCGGAAGGGGCAAAATCTGACGTAGTGAGTTGGGTTTTTTTTTTCCATTTTTCACGTTTCCAAATAACTTAGAAAGCTGTGGATGAACTTTCATTTATTTAATTTTCGTACCATTTCGGTGAACGACGATGTTTGCACAGAACGTTTGACCTCTGGCGCCATTTTCGAATCGATTCTGAAAAAAGTGAATAAAGTTTTTTGATAATCTGTAACTGACGTCAAGAATTTCGGACGTCAACGGGAAAAAGTTGAAGGTAAAATACAATAGTAGGGGACTATTTTTTTGTTTTCTAATCGAAAACTTGATCAATAATTTTGTGATGTTAGTGTAATTCAGACGTAGTCAAGAACTTATTTTTTTAAAAAAATAAGTGCAGAATTCGGATTCGTAGATGAATTTGATGTTTTTTATTTTATTTTAATCATGTACGTGTGTACACTCCCTCTGATTCTTCTAATTATGCTTTTTTTTTAAATTATCTCCATATAGATTGGACGAGCAACCAGCAAGGTTTTTCAAATTTAGAACTAGTCGACGAAAATAGTTGCGCCAGGTTTATAGTCCAAATAAGGCTCTAGGAAGGAAAAGTTTTCGAAAATAAATTTTTGGGCTAGAAAATGTTAGGTGTTACTCGTTTGAAAATAACGAAATAAGGAGAAAAACGCGGCCGGTTTCTCAACCTTCCGGAACGTTAATAATAATTATTATTATTCTAGTTTATTCATTGCCAATCAAAAATCAAGTAAGAGGAAAGTTGGAGCCGTCGGAGACCTTGGAGACCTTGAAGCTGTTGGAGTTGTTGGAGGCGTTCGAGCCGGTTTTACCGGTAGAGCCGTTGGAGTTGATCGAGCCGTTGGAGACATCGGAGTCGTTGGACACGTAAGAGACGTTGGAGACGTTGGAGACATCGGAGCCGTTGGAGTCGTTCGAACCCTCGGAGCCGTTGTGGACGTTGGAGACGTTGGAGATGTTGGAGACATCGGAGCTGTTAGAGTCACTGGAGTCGTTGAAGACGTTGGAGACATCGGAGTCGTTGGAGACATCGGAGCCGTTGCTGATGTCGAAACCATTTGTACCGTCCGAGCCATTGAAGCCAGCGGTGTCAAAGAGACCATGGGAAACTTTGGTGAACTGGAGAGCTCTCGAAGAGCGTCTAGCCAGAGCGGAGAATGATGCAAGAATGAGGATATCAGCCATCTTTCCACTTACGTCAATATTGCTCGTGTCAAGACCTTAGGCGGCTCGTGCCGACCCATGTTTTCAAAAAACTCGCGCCTTTTCTGCCGCGTTGACCTTCGCGGCTGAGGTCAAGGAAATATATAAAATTTCTGGAGCAAGTCCGTTTTATACTGTTTTTTTTTTGTTGAAAAAAAAAAAGAGAGGAACTGAAAGAGCAGTTTGAAAGTCATAGACTTCTCTAATATCAGCGTAGCTGACTTAGATGTCGGTCCTACATCTTTCGGCATGAATATTACAGTTTTAACTAATTTTTTGGATTTTTTCTCTCCTATATTCAGGTCGGAGAGGGGTTCCGAAAATGAACTAGAAAAAAATTTGGTCGCTTAGCTTTAAAATTTACCTCCTAATTTCTGCTCATTTCGACTTCCCTGACTTTTAAATTTGAAATCTTGAAATTTATTTTTTCTAATTTTCATGTCCTTTATTTTTGACATGCATAAATTTAGTTTTTGTCCAATTTTTTTTTCTAATTCAAATATTTATTACATGTTGGCTGCTGGGTGATCGATTATATCGAGCTTTTGAAAGATTTTAGAGTTTCCCGGCGTGTCTATAATTTAAACGCTATAAAACAGCCATTCCTTTGTAAATTTTTTGTTCTTTCTTTTTGGTGAAAGCTTCAGAAGCTTAACAGAACGTCACACTATCGATATCGATACGCGTTTTTATCGCCAAACGTCCTGAGAACTGTTTGCTCAGTGTTCTCGGTCATATTCTATATATGCATGGGCACACTCCCTAAAGTTCTCTATTTCTTTGTACTTTTTTCGATTTTTGAACTTTTTGGATTCTTATTCATGAAAAATCTCTTTGAAGTAGTTATTAATTCCAAATTTCTCCTTCAAGTCCTAAACAATATACTCTGAGTTTTTTTTTCTGAGGTGTCGACTCAAAAGGAAAGCTGTTCAGCTCCAACTTCAGAAGTTTGCTTCCATTGGTCCGTGAAGCATTGTTAAAATAATCTGACTGAGGATAATAAGTGGGGACTGGAATCGGCTCGCGTTGTCAAGGCGATAGTCCGCCTTGATATTCAAACTTATTTTCTCTTTCTTTCCTCAAATCTTCCTTTTAATATTTGAAATATAATATAATATGTTCGTTTCTTTGGTTTGGAAGTAAGTTTTTTTGTTGGTATAACAAAGAATACATAAATGAGCACCTCCGTGTTAAAATTTTTTTCCATTATTTTTTTATCTCAAAAACGCGGTGAGACGGTTTTCTATTGATCCAGTTTGAAAAATCCCCTCCATTTCGCTAAGAACCGCTTTTTTATTTTCTTCTTTTTAACAGCCTAAAAAAATATTTTGATACAGACAAGAGTTTCATAACTTTCCTTTCCATTGAAGGTTTTTTTCTGAATTTTTTTCCTCTAACAATGGGAGATCAGGGATTTCTATAGTCTCGTCTGATCCAGTCCAAAAAAAGCTTTCCTGCTCTAGACTACAATAGGATTCCATGTTTCGTCTGTTTCATTGCTTTTGGAAAAGGTGAAAATTGAGTTTGCAATGTGGAAATTTTTTGATGAGGAAATATTTTTATTTTAAGTCAGAATAAAATGCAATTGAAGAGCTTATAAACGTTTGGAAGGCCCGAATTTGTTTGTAGAAAAGTTTCAAATGACCGGATTGAATTTTAAACTGACGGGCCATATTTCTTTCGTCGTAGTCCCGTGCAACCAATTCCGATTGTTTCCGAATTCTTTATTCATGAGCTTTTTTTGACTTCACGTTTTTTTGAATTTAGTACGTTAGAAATTTCAAAAAAATGAAAAAATTTTTATTTCTTACTTTTTTTGCGTTTAAATTTTACGAAATTTATATTTAAATTTATTTTCTTATAATAAGAAGCATCGAGTCCAATTTTTTAATCATCTCATTTTCTCCTATCAGTTTGCCTTTGACTGCGCTTTTAATGAAGCACGGCATTATTTTTGGATTCAAAAGAATTCCATTCACATGAATGGAAACAGATTACATAAAAATAGACACGAAAACTATGCTAAATTCTCGAAAAAAAAAAAGAAAAGCGTTTTTTTTTTCACCTCTCTCGAAGTTCTTCGAAGTAGCCAGCTAACTTAACCTTCGTTAAGTTGTTAAAATTGAGATTTTGCTTCGAATAGATTTTTCTTCGATTTTTTTGCCGTTCAAGCTTTTAACGAAAGTATAGAGGGAAAAAAAAAATTTAAGATGAAGGATAGTTTTTTCACAAAAACCGCAAAAAATTTGCACTAGATACTGAAAGGAAATTTCCTCTTATAGTATAGTTTTTGAACTAATTGTGCACATCATTCGATCCAAAGTCCAGACAGTTCTAATTTCAGCAAGCTCCGGAGGGCGATGGTCCGTTATCAGAGACTGGACGGAGGTCGTTCCAGTTCCTCCACCCTCTACATCGCTCTCACCGTTATAGTCACACTTTTTCTCCTCTTCTACCTTTACCAAACTCGCTCCAAACTTGGTTGGAACTTCTCCGGTTCGTGTGGCTTTGCAACTCTCATAAAGATTAGTTTCTAGGTGAATATGAAGAAGAGAAATCGTTAGGGTACAAGGAGATTTTATCAAACTTGCGGGTAGATCTTCAGGAGAAGTTGTCAGAGATCGAGCAGCTCCAACTGGATCTTCTCCAACTCCAACGCAACGAGAAAATTGATGTTTTCGAACTTTTTTTTTCAAATTGGAAGTTGGGTTTTCAGCCAAGTGTTTCTAAATTCCGAAGACGGCCTGAAAATTCGAAAGTCGATTGCAAACGAATTTTCGATAACGACAAGGTAAGTGGATCTTTATCAAGGTCAAATTGACGAGAAAATTTGAGAATTATATACGGGAGGTTGCAAAGAATCGAATAAAAATGAGGCCTTCTGATATTCTCGAAATGAACTGCAAGGCTATTCGACGGCGTGTTGTTCCTCCAGTTGCCTTGGATTCCCTTGATTTTGGCGTCGCTTTCGCTAGAATCGTTTACAAGGTGTGTTCAAACTGAGTTTCGCGGGAATAAGATTGAATTTTCCTTTCGTTAGAAATATTTTTTGAAGCAGATTATAGTTAAAAATACACCAAAGCCGCCAAAAATTGAAAATAATTGTTTACATTTCCGCTTTTTTGATGCTCAAGAGAAAAACAAAGCGCAGAGATTTCAGATTACTTCAATTTTCGGGTAATGCAGTGATTTTTATTATGAAAAAAATTCAAGTAGAGAGATAAAACTTTGATTTTCCTATACTATAAATTTGTAGTTAGAATCAGATAGACAAAAATTAAAAATTGCACAAAAAAATGGGATATAACGAATAAAAATTCTGTTTAAAAATCCCCATCAAAGAATTCTTGAAACTGATCGATAACTACAACTTTTTCACGAAAAGCTGGAAGCTATGGTTTTTGAGAAAAAAAAAATAGTTTTATTCAGAGTTTCAAAAAACACAGAAAATCGGAATATTAAGGTATTTTCCTTTTTCTTTTTTTGAAAACGCAAAAATTCTTCCGATTTTCGTAGCTTCTTAGAAACGAAGCATTTTTCGAAATGTACGAAAAATGCTGAAAAAAAAATTTTGTGTCTCGAGCAACCGAAAACAGCTTAGAGGATTTGGAAAAATTCGTTACTCGGTTTTATGGCGAGAAAGTGCTCGGGCAAAGTCGGAATGGTGGAAATTAGCCGCTAAAAGGGAGAGGCTCAAAAAAGGCTCCAAAAAAGGCAGCAAAAATAGCCCCTTTATCGAGACCTCCATGGAATTCAAAAGACTCAAGAAATGTTGGAAAATGGGAGAGGCAGCAATGGTGCATAAAAGCCGATGAAATGGCGCAAAAAAGGCAGAAAAAGGAACTTTTGTCACCCTTAAAGGAACATTTCTCTGGATCATTTTTTCCATCTTTTCGACTTTACATATATGTATGAAACTTTTTTCAAAAAAAGAATTTTCTTTTAATTTAAGGACTACGAACTGATTGAAGACCAAGTCCGCGCCTCATACCATCCGCAGAACGTTTTTTGCTTCGCCATCGACAAAAAGGCCGACCCGAAATTCCACAAGAATATGATCAGCCTGGCCTCGTGTCTACCCAATATTCTCTTGTTACCTGGTTTTCGAAAGATTTTTTGATTTTTCGCATTTTTTTTTCAGATGAAGAAACTGTAGACAGCGGCGGGCACAACGTGAACCTCGCTCATTATAATTGCATGAAAGCTTTGATTAATAAGCCAGGATGGGGATATCTCATTCTGTTGCAGGTTTGGTTTTTATTTCCTTGGATAAAACTAAGGGGATTTATAAATTTATGGTTTAAATTATTTTTTGCCTTTTGAAGGCTCCAAGTGTTCTGAATCCACTATAAAGATATATTTCTCTAAATTTCTACGGTTTCCGCTTTTTCAAGAAATATAAGGGCTCGAACTTCTTGCGAAAAATTTATTCAAAATGATAGTTTTTAATTGAATTCCTTTGAGCGCATTGAGAGAATCAAGAAGGCCAAGAAAGTTTCATATAGTGCTCGGGGCCTCTTGCGATGACCCCCCGAGACTATGCAGTGAATGAGATTGAAAAAAAGTTCGTTTAAAAAAAGCAAATAAACAATATAATAAAAAGTATTAAATCAAAAGGATGATGTCGGGGGCCGCTGCCGGGTCCCCGGCTTGTCCTGCCGTCGTCGTGGCGGGCTTTTATAGTTGTCGACGGCAGCCCTGAAAGCTTGTAAGTTATAATTGGCTTTCGATAGAGCGTGGGCTCGGGTGAAGGATTGTGTGATCTTGGAGGGCGTCGGGGTCGACGCCTCTGCGGCTCTTAGCGTCGCGATCGGCTGATCGTCGCGACGGTAAAAGCTGATGTTACCGGCGCGCTTCGGAATGTTTTCTTAAAAGCCTTTGGGCCGTCTGGAGGACTTTGTCCAGTGTTTCAATGGAGCGGAAATATCTCTAATAAGCTATGGGCTAATACAATATCTTACAGTGTGTAATTCTTGTGTCAAAAGTTTTCGAGATAACTTATAATTTCTTCAAAAAGTTATGCATCATTTAAAAAAGCGTGTTTCAAGGAAGTGATGAGAAAGAAAATCGGAAAAATCACCAATCTATTCAAGTGAAGTTTTTTTTCAAATTTTTTCTCTTTTTTTTGTGAGGAATTATGTGGTCTGTATTTTATATCCTGTGTGATATTTTTAAGAGAACTGTAAAAAAAAACCTATTTTTAATAAATTATAAACTCTTCATTCCCAATTCGAACCCTTCAGAACCACGATTTTATCATCAAAAGCGTCTATGAGCTCGTGAAAATCTACGGGTTGCTCGGCGGAGCCAACGACGTGGAGCTGACGCCAGCCGGCGGCGACCGAGTCGACAAAAAGTTTAAATGGGATCCCAAGTCGTTGAAGCTATTTCGCAACGGTATTTGAAGGAATAACTGTTGAAGATTTTGAAAAAATTTTTTTTAGAAGCAGGACGGAGCCAGGCGCAACTTGAAACGAGCATGAGCTTCGCCAAAGGAGCTGCACAAGCTTCGTTATCTCGCCAGGCTGTCGACTGGATGGTCCGGACTGCTGACCTCACCCTTTTCATCAAGCAAATGAACGCCGGGGTATAATTTAATTTTTGCTTGTGCCTGGAACACCATGTATCCGTAGTTTTTTTCAGTAAATGAAATGAATCTATCAAGCCTCATTTTTTTGATTCGGGTCAAACTTTATTTGGATTACAGTCCTTCGGAGTCGACGAGCAGTTTGTGGAAAGTTTCCAAGTTTCGAAAGAACTCGGAATGCCTGGCCATTTCACGGACGAATGTTTGAAACAAGGCAAAAATACCGACTTTATTTCGAGGTATTAATTTTAAAGTTGTGGTGAATTCCAAAAAGCCTTACATAAGAAGTCAGAGACAAAAATGTCAAAAAACATATAAAAGTTAAGAAAAGTTTTAGAAAAGCATAAAAATTAAACATTTTCTACTCTAAAAAGGCTGAAGGCGATAAGTTATTGATGAAAATTTAATATTGCAATTTATATATCACGTTAACTGAAAAGAAGCAAAAAATGATTAATAGTTCTAGATTTTGGACATCATTTACGCATGATAATCGACAATTTAATATTGAAGGAATGTTCAAAAAAATTGGGATCTTGGTTAATTTTTTCGATAAATATTGTGTCAGATCTTACTTTGCAAAAACTTGATAGAATTTCGATTGTGGTGTACACAAATACATTTCGATAATAGATCACGTGAAAGATAAAACCACTATATAAAGGTATGTTCTCACAGACCTTGCCATGACTTCTGATTTCTTCTTTTCTACATCTCTCATTAATAAAAGGATGGGAAAGACTGTTTCCTTTACGATCACGCACTTAAAATGAGATGTAGAAAAGAAGAAATCAGGAGCCATGGTCTTGAGTGGGCGACACGGGATCCTCATATTCGTCGCTGTCGGTGTACTGCGGGCCCGTGGCGAGGGAATTTTATTATCTATCCTTTTTCGTTATAGTTTAAAAAAATCAAAAAAGTCGGTCGATTATAATTAATTTTTCATTTTTGACTGAAGTTCGAAACCCGTTGGAAATCCTATCAGTACTGTCATTTTTGAGGATGTCGCGTTGGGTGTATTCCAACGCGAACGAATGTGCGACAAAGACTGTCCGACACGCGATTTGTCTTCTCGGCGTCGAGGATTTACCTACGATCGCCGGCCTTCCCAATGTTATGATTAATAAGGTTTTCGAATTATTTCAGGCTCTATAAATTTTGTTTGACTGTTGGTATGAGGGTATGGCTGACTTTTTTTGTTGTAGGACAAGACCTTTCCAAGATTTTTGGATAAAAATTGTTCTCTAAATATTGAAAAATCATTTTCCTCTTCACTTCTTCATCGTATTTGCTCAAAAATAGTAAGTTTTCGGCTTTAATTGACGGGTTCCTGGGACTTTTCTTGTTTTTTCTTCTCGTGACCTTCTCGGCTTCTAAAAATTTCCTGAAAATCCATGAAAATCAAGCAAAAATGGACGGGGGTTTTTTTTTAGTTTTGTATTATTTTGGTCTTTGCCATTTTTTACAATCATTGAATCATATAACTGATTTTGGAAAAAAAGAATTGAAAATTCAGATGATGCCGGACTTCGACTACGCGGCTGTCGATTGTCTCAACGAACTTTTATATAATCGGACGGTTTTCAAGCAAAATGATCATCCTCTTGAAACGTCTTATTATGAGAACATGGTCAATGTAAGGATGAAAATGACGCGAAAAAAAAGATGAATTTGTCGATTTCAGGTCCTTTATCACAAAAACCGGGATAACCCAGAGTATAAGCTCAACTGCACACCGAGTTATCATAAATGGAGCATGAGAAAATATCCAATTTGATTTCATTTTCCTGGTCGCATTGGGAATGGCTCAACGCGTTGCGGTTCAATTTGCAGTTTTTTGAAGTAAAATAAAAATTGAGCCATTCTAGATGTGACCAACGCGTATCTAACCTTTATAATCACCTTTTATTGCACTAATCAACTTGTACATTCCCCCTACATCGTGTCATAATTTGATTGATATTGATAATATTGTGATATTTTTTCGGATTCTACACGGTTACAGCATTTCCTTCTCCTTACGAGTGTTCCTTCTCTTCTTGTCAAGCTCCGCCTCCTCCTTTCAAAAGCTCCGGGCGCCGACCCAAATTTTGCCGGCTTTTTATGCGAATTCCCCGTTTCCAAGGCCCCACCCTTGAAATATTCACGAAACGGCCGGACTCTTGGGTTTCCACTTGAAATATTTTGGTCAATTATTTATCTTTATGTACTTTTTTCACATAAATTTTATAGATTTATTTGAGATTTTTTCTTTTCTTTTTTCGCGACGTTTTTCTTTCGTACTACCTGTTGTTCACGGCGTTTTTTTTATTAAGCAACACTAAGAATAACTGCCGAGATAAACGCGAGACACTGGCGGTACATTGACGAGCTCGCAAACATCTCGCATTTTTTCTCGCGCCGGTTTCGCATTTGTTTGGGCGCGAGCTAGCATTTTTCTAGGCGCGAGCTCGCATTTCTCTCGCAATTTGAAAATTTCCGAAATGCAAGATAAATGCGAGATGGCGCCGAGAAAAATGCGAGGTCGCGCCGAGATAAATGCGGGATCGCGCCTAGAAAAAAGCGACATTTTTGCGAGTTAGTCAATGTACCGCCACCGAGCTCGCATTTATCTCGTCAGTTATTCTTAGTGAAGGTCAAGACTTCTCGTAAATTATGATGTTTAGGGTGTAAGCACACCGAGACGCACTATCGCATGCTCAAAAATTGTTTTTTTCAATTTTAGAATTTGCAATTTTAGGATAATAACTTCTGAAATGTTCGAAATCTTGTCAGTTTAAAAAAATTATGATGTGAAAAAAACATTCATTTGCGTTAAAAATTTAGGAACGATTTCGGAAGGGGAAAAACTCTAAATTACTGATTACAAAATGAAAACAAAAAAATATTATGAAGGTGAATCAGCTCTCATTGAATAAGCAATTGTAAATACGAAAAAAATATTGAAATGAGGAAAAATTCGAGGAGAAAAATGAAAAAAACATTTTATATACCTCGAAAAACCTAGCTTCAGAGAAACAAATAATGGATAGGAAGCAGAAATTTTCAGAAAAAAACCTCGTATGGCGAAATGTTTGTTTAAATCCGAAAAAAACCATGAAACAACTGGAAAAAAATATAATTTAGATGATTCATATAACAAAAATCTTCAAACGGCATCAGCAAATTCAATTTGGCTCTAATTTACACGAAACTGGTTTCAAACTACGCCAAAGGAACTGGATAATAACTTGTACTTATAGAAAAAACGTTAAAAGAAGTATTAATAAAGAAAAAAGGCAAAAAAATGCTTTTTTTCAACTAACTCTTTCCGTAAATCTTGCGAGAGCTTTAAAGGGTGGGTATTGTAATCCAAAAACGGGTCCTGAACAGATCAAAACTACTGCTGCCGTAAGATTTACGGCGCCCGCCCCTGGTATTTTTTTTCTGCATTTTCTTTCACTGACAAGAACGCCGTGTGTTGGGTACGTGGGATTTTCTCACAAAAAGTTCAGAAAATTGATAAAAATTAGGCTTTGGAAATCTTTACCCACTAGCTAAGATGAAGAAAAAGATGCGAAACAATGTGAGTTGTCTGGATTATTTTTTTTCCGATAATATTTGTCAAAATTTGTTAGGGCTCGGGTTATACAGGAAAAATGTATCAAAAAATGAAATAAAAATAAGGTTCATAAAATGTTTCCTTTTAAAATTGAAATCTTAGTTCAAGCTCATTTCTATTCCTAGAGAAATTGGAGAATTTCAAAAAGTTAAAAAAATTTTTTTCAAAGTTACTTGGGCTCCCTTCAAGGCAAAAAAGTACAAGTTCAATTGTTAAGAAGCAAATTTCTAATGAAATTGGCTTCAAAAACTTCTTATGTGAAGTAAAAGCTCTAACTTCATTGGAAAGCAAGGCTCGAAAAAAAAAAACCGAACGAAACTGAATAGATTTGTCGAGCCGGGCGGCTTTATTGGGCCAATTAGCGCGCATAAGTCATAGAAATAGAGCCCCCCGACCGGAAAAAGGCGGCCCGTCAGTTTGTTTGTTGCCAACTGATCCAGTCATCCCAGATATATATGTTGCAAGGGCTCGAATTTCTTTCCCCCTTCATTCCTCTCTTTTCTGTTTGATCCGACCCAATTTTTTTGTTTTCTCATCGAGGTTGGGTTATGTTTTTCTATTGTGGTGTTCAAGGCGATTCCGCGAAAGAGAGTGAGAAAGATAACTAAATTTTGGAGAGTCAGAGAGAATTTCGAGTTGAGCCAATATTTTTCTACAAATTCATTCGGAACTCTTCATCGTTTTTTTAGACGTAATTTTTGAGGGTCTCGAAGCGAAAAGCCCTTTTCAGTGCTATTCTAGGTCGTCCTGTCCTTTGAAAAAAATGGAATATTTCCTATTATTTCTCATATTTAGTTCATTGCTGTTTAATCAAGGCCGACAAGGGCGGCTGAAAGTAAAAAAATATTTAATTTGCATTTTCTGAAATTCAGCTGAGGCTTACTTTTTAAGCAGATTTCTTCAAATTGAAAAAAATAGAAAAATTTTTTTGCCATTTGACTGCTTGAACCCCTCCTTTTTTTTGCACTAAAATGATCGTTCACGCATTTCGAAGCGTTAAAAGTCGACACTGCAAAAAGAAGCGTGAAATTGGTTTCTTATAGATAGCAGGGGGTTTTGAAGTACATTTTGTCAAGTTTGAGCAGATTTTCAATTTTTTATGTTACTTTCGCTTCCTTAAAAATGGACATGGCCAAATTCATCACAGTGGTCAGCTTTTTGTAGTTGTCTTTTTTCGAAGGAATTATGAGTTTTCATCAATTTTTCAGCTCACTTCATTTTTTAAAAAGCTTGTAAGTCTATTCAAAAAAGCTTTCTTTCGGTGTTTAAAATAACTCATTTTCAAATTCAACAAATCTTATTTCTAACAAAATTTCCATAATGAATATTATTTGCATTTCTTTTTTCAATCTTTATCAAATTATAAGAGCTTCGTAAAACTGAAACAAAAGTTATGAAGTAATCAAAGCGCCGTCTTACCGAGTAGAGGATGTTTTAGAAAATTGAGCTTTTTCTGGGGAACACCAAAAAAAAACTTGAAGCAGAGCAAAACTGGTGGGAAACGTACTTTTCCTCAGTAATTCCAAGTTGGCGACCGACTTAACTTAATTACCCGCAAACTTCATCAACTCGAAGTGAGAAGGACGTTCTGTTTGAAGTTAGAGCGGAAGTCTTTCGAGTTCATGGAACTTCAAAAAAATGTTTGAAAATTCATTGAGTGCTTCTCTTTTCAACTTACTACCATTAAAAATGTCGACAGGCTGCTTAAAATCCACTTTTTTGCTCCGAAAACTTCATTTTGCTGTAATTTGATTTTCTGTTTTTTTCTTCGAATCTTCGCATTAAACTCTGAAAATTGAGGAAAGTTATTTGCTATTTTTTTTTAGCATCTTGATTCCTAACGACAAAGTTCTCAACACTGACTCAATTAGAAGTTCTTAAAGTTTCTAAAAACCTTTTTTTCTTTTTTAAAGTTCAAAACTCGAACCGCGGTTTCTGAAAAAAACTCGATTCTTATGGAAAATTTCATTAGATTGTAAAAATTTAAGCCGATATTCCTAGAATTCGCTGGTTTTATTCAATTGAAAAAAACTTCATTAGATTGCATGAAAAATAAAAACCAAGGTTTCTAAAATTCACTCGATTTTTATTGAAAAAAATGCGCAAATGTGCAAAAATTTGAACCAAGATTATTTGAAACTCACTCGTTTCCCATGGAAAACTTCACGAAAAAATCTCGTTTCAATCCTTTTTTGAGAACTAAAATCAAAGCTTGAACTGATTTTATTCAAAAAGGGGAGGAAAAGGCAATTTTTCAAATGCTCAAAATTCCTCGCATTGCAGCCTTCTCAATGGCTTCGGCAATGGCTCGCGAAAAAATAGCCTTCAGAAATCGAAAAACGGAAAGATTGACCTCCGTTTTGTTCCCTCAGGGGCTGCCCCTTCCTCCCCTTCTCTTCGCATTTCCTCTCTTTTTTTTCGACCTCCCATTTCTCTTATCTTCCTACCTCATCCTCTTCCATTTTTTTCTTTCCCGTGAACCTTTCCATCAAGTTTTTCGAATCTTTCATTTCAAAAAAAAGCTAGCCTTTATTGTGCTCCTTGACAATAGAAGTTATGTTCTCTGAGGAAAAATAGAGGTTTTTTTTTCATAAATAGAGCAGTAATTTCTTTGAAAAATTGCTGAATTTTTTTGCCATTTTTTTGCCTTGAGACCTTCCTAGAAAAATATATGCTTTAAACTTTTGTGGAACCCTTTTCATTTGAAATAATTCAAGATTAGATTTAAAAATAAAAACTGTTTTGTGAACTTTGAAATAAATTTTTTTATTTCTGTTTATCACAATATTTTTCTTAAGAAAGGATTTTTTTTTTCGATTTTTCGAGCCAATAAGAAAAACTAGTGAAATTTGCACTGGTGTGGTTTTTTTTTAGAAAAAACTAAAAATAGAACTTTGTATGGTTTTCTGCATTTTAAGAACTGTAAGAAACGATGTTTTGGACTCGTTTCCATAAAATTCTGGCCTTTTTGAACATTATAATCTTTCAAAAATCGAGATTTAGTTTATTTTTTATTCTGTTGTAATCTTATTTCCAACCTAACATTATTCCGAGCTCTCTCTAAAAATAACCAACAAGCTTGTTTTCTTCAAGAAATGCCCCTCTTCTTCCAATAATTGCACCTTTTCCCAATTTTGGCTTCTTCTGAAGATCGATTTTTCTTATTTATCCAACTCTTTCGAATCTTCTCAAAACTTTTCTCAACCAGTAAATTAAGAATGGACATCGAGTCCGGTGGAGCGTCATTACTGGCTGTAAATCGCCTCAAGTCATATGAAAGGGACGGACAGCTACTTTTGAGGTCGGTTTTTTTCAATTTCACATCGTGATATATAATAATTTTTTCTGTTTATTTTTCAAGTGATCAGCTGGAATATAATTTTACTTTCTTGAAAGAAAAACTGGGAATTTCAAGCTAAGAGGAAGCAAAACTCTTAAGGGACTACTTGGCATTTTTTCTCTTAAGGGACTACTTGGCATTTTTTCCTGTTCTTTGAATTTCTGACAGTCGCAGTATATGACCACTAAAATGTCTTTTTTTGGAATACCTTTAATGGCCACTTTAGGGTTTTTTTGGAGTTTACTCAAAGCTTGAATGTTCCGAGTTGAAAAATTTGCTATAATCTCTACTTTTTCCAATTTTTGGCCTTGGACAAGCCAAAGGGGTTTTTGAGTGGCTAATTAAGAGATTTTTTTGAAGTTTTAATTAATAATTTAAAAAAACACTTTCCGAAACTGCATTCGCAATTTTTTTTTTGAATCGAAATGTTGATTTTCATAACTACGACTTTTTTTTTATCATTCATTCATTTTTTCTATGGTTTTTTTTCAATTTTATCGAAATTAATTAAAACTGTGAACTCTATTTTTGTTTCCTTTCGTAACTCTTTCTCAATTCATTTTCAAATGACTCCTAACTCGATCCGCACTTTGAAAGGCCACGACTTGCTCTCATTTTTCCCAGCCATGCATTTTCATCTCGCACTTTTGGCGCCCCCATCGGCTTATTGTTTTTTTTTCTCGGCCTTTCTCTCACTCGAAGTTTGGTGGTTGGGGCCAAAACCACTTCATTTCCTCGATAATGACCTCTTTCGAGGGGTTCTCGTTGGGAAATTATGCAAGAGGCTCGTAGTTGATGGATGAACTTGTACTTTTTGTAGAATTTTGAGAGTGATTATCACTTTTTGAAAAAGAAACATAAATTCCAAAACCGCTTCGAAAAAGTTTACAAAAAAACCGAAAAAAATCAGGTTAGTAGAATTTAAAAAAACTCGAAATTCAAATTTTACAACTATTTTTTTCGATTTTTTTCCTTCTCTTGGCGCTCAAATGGAGCAGAATCAGAAAAATTCAAACTTCAAGTTTTTTTAATTTTTTTAAAGTCCTGATTTTTTTCGCTTTTTTTGGTCAGAAACTTTTTTTGAATGAAGTTTAGAAAAATTTTCAAATCACCTGATCAAAAACTCACTCAACTTTACTATACTAATAGTTTTTGACAACAAGCTTACTGATGGTGAGATTTGCAAAATAAAAAATAAAAACACGTGTCAAAAACATGACATCAATCATTGGACAATCGTGTTGTAATCCCTCCAAAAATTGTGACATTTGAGAAGAAGAAAGAGAGAAAAAGTTGGTTGACTTGCTCCGAATCCAATTGAATCAGTAGTTATGGCGAAATCTGAAAACGAAGAAGAAGGAGACGTGTGACTTGCTAACGAGCTTTGGATGTATCTATCCTCAAATAACTCGATTCCTTTGACCTGGTATGACCGTGGGGACATATAGAAAAGTTTTAGTAATACTTTTTCAAAAGTTCAAATTTTTTTATTTTGTACAAAAAAACTTTAGAAAAAAAGGGAAAAAAATCATTATTTTTTTGCTCCTCAAAAGATTTGGACACAGAAAAAAACGTTTTTTTAAACAAAAAAATTTGATTCACTTAAAAATCAATCAGTTTTTTTTCTCAATTCCTCAGCCAATTACGACAAGTTTCGTAACAATTTTTATTATTTTTCATCCGTCTAGCTTGGCCCTAACAATTTCAATTGAAGAGAAAAATGGCAAAAAAACTTTTATGGCTCAAGGGATTGAACCAGCGATCCTCATTTTATGACCAAGTCACTTAGCCGCTGCGCCAAACTTACAGAAAGAGCTTGTGTTGATTGGTATTCAATGGAATGATTGATTTCGGCTTTTTTTTCGATATTCAAGGAGTAAAATTCATTTTTTCCACTGTATTCAACTCAGAATTGCGTTTACAAAACAAAAAAGCGTTCTTTTTGTCTGAATTTGATTAAAACTAGACTGAAAAGGCATCCAAGCCCGACCTAACAATATATCCGAGTGGCCCTCCTAATGAGTCTCTGTTCGGACGTGTCTATGAACTTCCCCAGGGACCCGAGGCCCAACAAATGCAACCAAATTAGGCCTCCTATGGCTTTCAATGAAACCCAGGGTCATTGGTTGGATGTTTGGCTCCGGGTTTGCAGGGCCCGAAATTCGTATATCTTTGATTCATCGCTGGTTTTGAACGAAAAAAAGTCGGAATATTATTGAGACGAAGAAAACTGTACAGTGTTTTCAATAATCTCCTCAAAAGAAAAAAAGGGAAATTTTTCCAAGATTCAATTGAATGATAGATCTAAATGCGATTCCATTAATTCCATAGATTTTTCCGTCCAGTTTTTTAAGACTCATTTTTGTTTGAGCATAGCAAACTCCTTAAAGAATGAAAGTTAAATATGGACAGGTTTTTTTCACAGGTACTTTCTCCAACTTTTTAAAGGCATGCTGGAAAAGTCGGTCACTTTTTATGGTGCTTTTTTTCAATTTTTTTCAAAAATTTTAAAAAGTTTTTTTGAGCTTTATAAAGGTGTAACGACTTCAAAGTAGCCGTTTCTTCATTATATGACCGTTTTGAAGTCAGTTTTTTTCAAAAAAATTCAGGACAAAAATATATCATTTGTTCTGAAGTTTTCCATTTCCGCCAAAAAAATGCTCTCAAATCATTTAACATATTTTGATTTCAGGTCAAATTTTAAAAAAATTTGACATTTTAAGCCGCCAATATTTTGTTTTTCAAAACCTAAAACCTAACCACAATCGAGATTCTCACACATTTTAAACACTGGAACGATTCAGAACTGAAAAAACTTTTTGAAAAAGAGTTTTCAAAAAATGACATCTTTTAAAAAGTGGCCGAACCGACCGAATTTTCCAGAATGCCATTTTTGAAATACTTTCTATTTTCCAAGCTCTGAAACCGCTCTAACACAGACAAAAAATAGAAAAAAGTTCGCGTTACCTGCCTCCAAGCGCGAAAAAATTACCTCCGGTCTTGGACGACTGTTGATGGACAGCTCCTTCCGTCGTGAAATGACCCGTTATTTCCGTTTTCTCTGACTTTTTGGAGCAATTTCTCTCAGTGCATATTCCTTTGAAGATCCCAATGTTGTTGAAGAACAATTACGAGCCAAGTGGTTTCTTGGCTCCGCCGCGTATTACTGCACACGATTTATGGCCGTCCCTTAGCGTCAACCCAACTGTCGTCGGCATTTTCCGACGTTCCCTTCTTCCTTTTCCATTCACCTTAACTTTCTCTGAGTTTGTTGAGACTCAAGGTTGAATCCATGCTTAAAATATCAGAAAATTGCTGATATCGGACCTCTTTCTAATGTTTATTCACATAAATCTTCAAACAGGACTTCCGTAGATCATTTTATGGCCTTTTTGTTTTTCCATTCACCTTAATTTTCTTTGCGTTGTTTAGCCTTAAGGTTAGGTTTCAAATTATCAGAAAATGTTGATAACGGACCTATTTCTAGTACTTATCCACAGGAAAGTGGGTTCAGGACTCCAGTAGATTTTTAACTTATCAAGTTTGTTTATGACTGACGAAATCCAAAGAATTTTGCTTCCGAAGTGTGAAAAGAAGGATAAGTGTGCTCTGAAATACATACTGAGGTTTTTGAGTCATGAAAAAGGTCTTGAGGCGAAGATCGGTTTACGGTACTATTTGAAGTAAATCAAAGCTTATGCGGGAGTATCATCACTTTACCCAAGATTTGAAGCAGGCTTACACCGAAATTAATGTTTTTCGGGGAAAAAAAAAACACGAGTTGTAACAATATTCCAACTAAGCCGTTAAAAAACTGTTTATTGCATCTTCAATGTAAGAGTACATGTGCAATCGACTTTCATTGAGTTAACTGTGTTTAAACGGCGGCAGGAGCTGTGGCTTAGGCAGAGAAGTTGTGAATTTCGCTCGAAGAACATCAGGTACAAGAGAGGTCGTAGGAAGAAGTACGGTGCCTGCTTTTCAAAGGCCGATGGCAGAGATTGAGCCTTTTCACTGCATGCAGCTCCCAATTCATCTACCCCGGAGGGATGAAAGGCTTGGTCGACTAGATGAACCGTATTCGAATAGTTCAAATTTTCTTAAACTAAAACTTTTGATTTTACGGATAACTTCATGACTTACGTGGAGAACTGAATTTATTAGACAGGTCAAGCTCTCCGGAATTGAGGTATTTTTAAGATTTTCTGTGAATTTGGGTGTTATAAAAAGTGTTTTTCCCGTTGTTGGTTAAGTTTCATTCGACAAAATTTTAAATATAGCCCCAAGTTGTCTTGAAAATCCTCTGAATCAGTTAAAAACAGATCAATATTCTAGAAATTCGTGATTTCAAGTAAAAAATCATTTTAAAACCAATTTTGCAGTCCCTTTTCGGAAAAAAAATCTCATATTTTAAGGATTCTTTCTAGGAATTCAATAATTTTTTAGAAGTATGACGAATTTTTCTTTTTTTAGTTTTAAAGGTGCCTCTAAAATAGGAAGTGTAGTTTAATGCTTGGACGGCCGTTGATCGGCCAGATTTTGCGCTCTGCCGCACCGCCACCGGAAGCCGCCGGTCCGCCCCTGCCGCCACTGGCCTTTCCAGACCTCCTCCTGTCCTTTTTTATATTATTATATACCCGTAAAAGATTTTTCTCGTATTTTTAAAGATTCATAACGCATTATTTTGCAATATTTTTGTGAAACTAATTCGATGACATACGTCAAAAATCAAAATCGTATTACCACTCAAATTTAATACCCTCTGCTAGAAACAGAAAGTATAACGATTAGCTCAAGTTTGATATTTATCATCTGTCAATAGAATGGAATCAAATTGAAAGTTTCGTTCAAATCGATGGATTTGGCAAAGAATAATCTCAATTTTCTATAACCGATGTCAAAAGAAAGCTGGAATCTTTTTCAATTCGTAAAGCACTAGCCTTACCTGGTTAGAGCATAAAAAACTCATTTCTATGAATTTTGCAGCTTCTCTTCACAATGATGGGATAGCACAGCTTCCAGTTCGAAAAAAAATAGAAGTTTCTTTTTCTTCTTCTATTTTGATGAACTTCATTTGTTTTTTAAACATAATATATCTTCTTTATATAAGCAACTGAAGAACTGCCAACCGTCCAAACATATTTGACAGCATAAATCCTTCATTATCAACTTTTTTGAAATTTTTCTATTTTAAACTTCAATATGCAATGTTTGCAACAAATTTAGGAAAAAAAAATCCCTATTTTACCCAATTGAAATTACTATGCGCGCGCAATTGAAATAGCAAAAAAAAACGAAGTACTCAGCAAGAAAAAAGTGACCCCGCAAGTGGGCGGACCTTGGCGGTCCCCAAGCAAAAAAGATAAAAATTTGTTTTCATCTTTCTCAATGGATCTGTGAGCGTTTACGGTACCCTTTCAACCTCCTTCTTACACGATACCAACTGATAGCTTTTTCTCTCGATTCCTCTTAATACTAACTATCTCACAAGTTTGAAGTAGATTTGCAGTTCTCACCTTGGAACTCCTTTGTGAGGTCAACTTATCGCCCCAAACCGAGCTCATATAAAAATAGTCTTCGTTTCCTTTGATCGAGGTCCATTTTCCAATCTGAAACAGATTTTGAATCTTTTTCGTCATTGAAACACTACATAAAAAAGTTCCGTTTTTATGAAAACCGAGGTCAGTTTTTTGCACCAAACTGAGCTGATGCAAAAATGGTCCCCATTTGCTCAATCGAGTCAACCTTTCAACCTAAAACAGAGCTAGAAGACTATTTTAGGAAGCACTACACCCACAGCGTTGAAAATCTCGGATTTGAGAGACTCCGAGGTCAAATTTTTGCTTGAACCGAGCTGGTGTGAAAATAGTCTTCATTTTTTATGCTCGAGGTCAAATTTTCGACCTAAAACAGAGCTGGAGCATTTTTTCATTCATGAAGCTCTACACGAAAAATCTCAGCTTTATAAAGACTAACCAGGTAAGATCAACTTACCGGCGCAAACCGAGCTGATATAAATGTAGTCTTTGTTTCCTTTGATCAAGGTCCATTTTTCAATCTAAAACAGGGCCGGAATCTTTTTCGTCATTGAAACACTACATAAAAAAAGTTCCGTTTTTATGAAAACCGAGGTCAGTTTTTTGCACCAAACTGAGCTGATGCAAAAATGGTCCCCATTTGCTCAATCGAGTCAAACTTTCAACCTAAAACAGATCTGGAAGACTATTTTAGGAAGCACTACACGCAGAGCGTTGAAAATCTCAGATTTGAGAGACGCCGATGTCAAATTTTTGCTCTGAACCGAGCTGGTGTGAAAATAGTCTTCATTTTCTTTGCTCGAGGTCAATTTTTTAACCTAAAAGAGAGCTGGAGCATTTTCTCATTTATGAAGCACTACATGAAAAACATCAGTGTTTATGAGGACTGAAGTCAATTTTTTGCCTCGACTTGATCTGGTGAAGGAACAATCCTCATTTTCTATAACCGAGGTCAAAATTCCAACCAGGAACAGAGCTGGAGCTTTTTTCCTCCTTGGAGCACTACATAACAACCTCAGTTTTTATGAAAACCGAGGTCAATTTTCCGCCCCGAACCGAGCTGGAAGACTTTATTGTTATTGGGCCGGCGATTCGGCTTCGTTTTCTCGAGGAGGACAAATGTTCGAATGTTTACGTGGTTCCGCTGCTCTACACGACATGCGTAGGACTCTCCATAATTGTCCATCCGCACGCAATTTCTCATTGTCTTCCCGTGTCGTTTTTTTTTCCTCCTTTTTTTTGCTTTTGGCCCTCCTTCGTTTATTACTTCTTTCCGTTCCGACGTCTTGGTCTTTACTTTTGCCCCCATCCATCAAGAGGAATTTTTTCTTTCCTGGTAGAAAAATAGGCTTAGAGCTTTTTTTTGCCTTTTTTCCGGCTGCCATTCTTGGATTTTTTTTTTACAGCTTTTGAAAAATCTTCAAACTTTTTTAATGTACAGAGAACAGCGAGAAGGCCGCCTGAAGGTGACAACTTATTCAAACTTTGAACGATATTGGAGTTTTTTTTTTCAAGCCTTTTTTCGGATGGGTTGTTTCTCGACAAATATCATAAGAACTGGAAAATTGCCAAAAAGGTTCTCAATGAGTCTATCGAATAATTTGGAGGGTAAATCTATTTTTTTGAAATAATAAAATTTTTGACTTTTGTGCTTTTTACGAATTTGAACCATCTGGTCGCACTCAGAAAGGTACAAAAAATTTGAAATTTTTTATTTACAAGTTGCGGCGAGCGTAAGTCGTTTCACGGTCGGACGCAAATTCTTAACGACCAGATACTGACTGAAACAATAATAATAACGCCTTGAAACTTTCCCAAAAAGTGTGTAATTTCTGTTTTTGTCCAGCATTTTCGCTTTGTTCCAAGGCATTTGAACTGGCCTTCAAGATATCGATCCATTCATACTTTTGCGTTTTTTCTACGGCTGATATTACCTTGGCAGAGCTGAATAATTTATGTTAATGAGGCCACGTTTGGCGGCATCTCGAGGAAAAAATGGAGGAAAAAGGTCCCAAAGGCTCTGGGACCAAACCGGCGGATATAAATGAGTATTCGGCTTCCCCTGGGGCGGTCGACCGAGGAACGAACACTTTTCCGCTTCCCCTAACACGTTTCCTTTCCGTTTTTTTTTCACTTTAACTTTGGTTTTCAATTATTTTTGTATTGTAGTTGAGAATCTAGCTTATGGAGAATGATACTTTCCATGGTATAAAGCTTCGTCGGAAAGGTTTTTGAAAAAATTGGGCCCTTTTTTTTGGTTTTTTTGTTCGCTTTGAGCCATCCCGCATCAGAAAAGATGGGACAAAAAATTTTTTCAGGATTTTCGAGCATTTCAACTTGAAATCTTGAATGAAAATTGTACTTTTTCACTAATTCTCATATCTCTAATCGTTTCAAGGACATTTTCTTCCGAATATCCAAACTTGGCACTTCTAGAGTGGTCTCTAAAGGGATTAGTTTTTAGAGGAAAAAACAGTCCCTGTAAAGGACGAAAAAGTGTTCCATAGGTCTTTTAGTTTTCTGTTCTAGCTAATTGCTCCAGTCAGCCGTGAAACAAAAAAAAAGTGTCTAGAGCTAAATATAGAACGAGAGGGACACTTGAAACTTGGCCGGACGCCAACCAAAATAACGAACCAAAAAAAAACGACGAAAAACTCCATTTTTTCTATGCCTGACTCCTCCGTTTTCCGCTTTATTTATCACCCGTCGTCTCACGTTTCCTCCCAAAAATGTGTGCATTTTCTAGTGGTAATGCTTGGTCTCTCTCTGGCAATGTGTCCAGTTCTGGACTCTACTATGATGGTTTATACTTCTTTTCTTTTTTTTTCAAGTTTTTTCCCGGTTTTTAAGAAGATCTTTGACGGTTAGTAAAGCTATTTCAAGCAGAAACGGTTTTAAATAGGAGTTGATTTTTTTTTGAGAATCTGCTAGAAATTCGCCATTTTCTATTTTTTCGAGTAAACCTCCAAGCAGGTGTACCCGTATTGAACCCGTTTAAGTGTAGCGGGTAGAACTTTTGGCTTTTTTACCGAGCTGAGGCACCTTTTTAACTTTCAAATGCCAATAATACTTTTCTGAATTTCATTTCTGCACTTTATTTTGGTGATTTTTCGTTAGCCAACCTCTCTCTCTCTAGATTAAATGAGTTCTGTACTTCCACACGGATAATTCTGATTTTTTCAGACGACCTCTGGTGATGGACGGCGCGGGGAGCAGCGCCAGCACGGCGGTCACCGAGTTCAGCGAGCAGATGCCGAACTGCTCCACCGGGACGCCGGTCCTCGTGAGCAACGGCGCCGGCTCCACTCCCCGTCCTTCTGGCCTCATCGGCGGCTCCAGGAACACCTCGGCCTTCCATGTCGCCAATGAGATGAATGGGTTCGCATTTTTTTTTTTTCTATGCTTCATAAAGCGATATTGAACTTTTGAAAATTAGTCCCTATTATGTTAGCCAAAAAAGCTTGAAAAATATTTTTCTAGAGTCACGTCACGAAATTGTAACACTTTTTGATCACAACTGCGTTGTATGGAGCTTAATTTTCCTGAAAGTTTTTGAAGTTGTGATAAACTTGAGTTTTTTTTGAGCCCACAAAATTCAAGTCCAGTTTTACGGCTCCGGAGATTTTCAAGCCGAGTAAGCTTCAAATTGGTTTCATGTACTTTTTTTCGCGCAACTGTACATATTCTCCTGGAAGGAAGGTTATTTCACTTTAAGGATTTTTGGAAAATTGGCCCAGAATACTCGTTGAACACCTGAATGATGATCCTAAAGTCTAAAACTGCACAAATACCCTATTTTGGATTAAAAAACCTCAAAGTCATTGTGAGGCTCCTTGTTCCTTTGAAAATTAGGTTCTAATATGTGATATGGAAAAAAGGCTTGAAAAATATATCCATCCTTCCTCGAAATAGCTAGGCTTGATTTGCGTCGATTTGAAACTGTATATTTTCTCTGTACCCTCTTTTCTCTCCGTGATTTTTTTTTTCAAACGATAATGACGTCACCCGATAGCTGACACAGACACGTCAGACTGTTTATAGTCGCGAAGAATAAGTTATTCATGTGTTTTAAAGTTTCTTTTGAAATTATTGACATGAAAAATTACTGGCTGTACATGGAGTTGCTCAAAGCGTCGCGGTCGCGTTGCGGTTCCAATCTAATTTGTCAAGTTTTATTTCTTCTGTAGTTTTTTCACTAGGGAATGTTCTTAGCTCAGACCAGGTTCACTAAAGGAAGTTTTTTATGCTGATTACAAATCTAGTATCGAAGTACGCCCCCGAGGCCTGTGGAAAAAGTTATCGAGCCTAGAAAGCCTTGAATTTTGGAAAGTATTCAGCCTTTGTTCCTCTGATAACAAAAACCATTCAACTTGAAAAAAAAATTGAAGCCCAGCTATGATTTTTCAAGAAAAAATACGTAAGTAGAATATCATGAGCATCTGAATATTCATTTCTTGGCCCAGTTACTCTCCTATTTGCTCATTTTTCGTTCAAATTCTTCCATTTTGCCGGCGGTTCAATTTGAAATGCATCGTGTAGGATTACGGGTATATTTCATCCCATTTTCCCATCATTTCGCTGCCCCCAAGGGTTTTCATTTTCTTCTTCTTCTTCTTCCTTTCGAGATCCTGCCGCTAATTTATTTCACCACCTCTTTCTTTTTCTTCGCCCTCTTTTGCGACTACCAAGGCATGTACTTTTCATAGAAAAGTAGTTATTCTGAAGTCTGTATATTTTTTCTTGTAATAGGATTCGGTTCAATATTTGTCTGTAAATGTTAATTTTTGTTGCTTGACTCATATCAAATTATTCCTCGATAAGAAACTGCTTAAGGAACGGAAAATTAATTGATTTTCCATTTTGATGTAACGTTGAAGAGCAGATACAAAAAAGTGGACGGTTTCTATTTGGGAAAAACTTTCTGAGAAATATATCAAGGCAAAAGAAAATAATGCTTTTCTTGAAAAACCGAACCATTCACTCCTTAATCGAATTCCCGGACTCTGAAATATTTCGCTATTATATCAAATTTTAAAGGATTCCTGGGATTAACCAACTTTCAAAAAAAAAAACAACAAATAATATATCTTTATTAGGTCCTGCAAAAACTTTAACAATTTTCCTTCGATGTCACTGGACCTTTCCCAAGTTTCGGGAATCATGTCCTGGCCTCGGAAACAAAGCCTTCCACTTCTTTTTCGGCTGCTCGACATCCACGATAATTGCCCCCCGGGCGGCATCGAATGTTGCTTGGTTCCGTTTGCCCAGCCAGATTTCTTTGTTCTCTCCCCTTTCGAAACGGAATTCTTATTATTCTCGTAATAACATCTTGAACATTTTTTTCTGAAATTGAAAAAAATACAACCGAATTTAAAAAAATTTTTGAAATAAGATAAAGATTGTAAAAATCATTTAAACGCCCGGTCTTCAAAAAGTCTTTCTGTCAAGCTTTTTCTTTGACATTTAGAAGCCCCTTTAGAAACTTTTATAAATCTCCTAAGTTCAGAGAAAAATTAATTTAAAGGCGAAACGAAAAAAAATTCGATCGAAAAGTTCTTTTTGCGGCAAGGCTTCTCTATTGACAAAGTTCAATGAACTTTTTTCTAAATTTTTTCATTCATTCAGGTTTTTGTGTTGTTTTATATAATGTTTCGTTCATTCAGTCACATCGGATTATTGTTCCGACGAAACGCAAATTCTAGAAAAAAATTTTTTTTTAGATTATATCTCAGGATAACTGAGAGAAAAATTACGAGATTTTCTTAAAAATTCTAAAAAAATACCTAATTATGAACTTTTCCAAAAAAAGCTTATAAAGAAAGGAAATTTTTTTTTTTTACAAAATTGGGACTTTTTCCCTTTTATTTTGGTGATTTTATCATGGGAATCGATAACGCTTGAAGCGAAAATTCGCTCAAAAACTTCATTTTCCAAAAGCTTTTTTTGCAGCTGAATTTCATTCATTCTCCCTTTGTTTATCAGAGAAACTCAGCTGTTTTCCGATGGAACGTCAGAAAAAGCTCAAAAGAGTGTAGTTAAATGAGCATTACACAGAGTTTGACGGGCTGAAACCGACAAATTGTAGTCGGCCCGTCATAATCTCGTCAACTTTTCGTCAATGTGTAAAGGTGCTCTCAGGTTCCTCTACCTTTGCACTTAAGTATCGGTCTTTTTCTTCTTTTTTCGAACTTTATGTGATCTTTTTGAAGTTTTTTATTCAATAAGTTCTGATCCTTCAACTTCAAGTTTTACCAAAAAACAGTTTCTGAAAAAAAGTGTTATTTAGAAAAAGCTTCGCCGCATGAAAATTTTTTTCGACAAAAAGGTTAAAAAGTCATATAATTAATTCCAGAAACGAGTACCCGACAAATTCGCGCTACGGCTATTCAATGAACATCGACGAAGAGGCAGGAGAACATGTCACCGTCATACAGGTAACTTTATAAAAAAGGCTTATTTTGAATGGAATTTGTGCTCTGCTGATAAATTTTCTGAAATACTTTTCTGTGCACTTCTGTCGGACTTTGGTGACGCGAAACAGACGTTTTCGAGCATTTCTAGGGACCACTTTAGTGGCGTCAGCTCTCTTAAGGGGTCACTCGAGTGATCATCCGAGCTCACCATAATTTCTGATTGAAATCGAACTCTAATATGTTTGGTGACAAATAAAAAAGAATATCGAAGTTTATTTTGCATAAAATCCATTCTCGGTTTCTGGACGTTGACTGTAAAAGATCATGAAAGTTTTCTGGAAAAATCTTAGTTTTTGTAGCCTGGCGGCTCGCGGGACAACGACGAAACGGACATCGAAGAGGAACTGAGCCATCCCTACACGTGTAAGCAGTTGATCGTGCCGAGCAAGAGCCAGGTCCTTTTCTACGTCTCGACTTCCACCCGGCTGCGGCTCAATCACACCGGGACCGAGCTCCAGGCGAGTTTTCATGATCTTCTTCAGGCAGAACAAAATAAAATGTACAAAAAAAGGTTTGGAAAAAGAGAAAAAAAATTTGTCAGTTTAGCCTGAAATAAATAAATGAGAGGCACTTGATAGGGTTATTTTTCTTGACTTCCTAACATTAAAGTAATGAGGATGTTATTCAAAATTATTCGTCTCATGTTTTATTCACGAGGAACTTGGTCAAGTATTTATTTCACTCGAACTGGATATATTTGGGTATTTACTAGAGACGTGTGTATTTTTTTTCACACGACGATGATATTACTTTATTTCAAAGTCAACAACTGCAACGGACAGATGAAATTAGCGAATTTGGCTAGGGAAAACAATTTAGTAAGGAGTTTTGAACGGTTTGAGGATCTATTTACCCTTAAGTGAACACTCTAGGAGAAAATATTTGCGGAAGGTCTTACGGATCAATTTGATTTAAATTTGTCTCTTGAATTGAAAAAAAGAAACTTTCTTTTTTTGGAAAGCCACACAATTGCAGAAAACTTCGAAAGTTTAGGGATTTTTATAAACCCTTAAATGTACAATCTAGGCGCAAAAAGGTCTCATGAATCAATTCGATAAGTTTTTGAAAAGAAAAAAGAATGATTTCAGGTAACAGATCCGTCAGACTTTCCACTCCTTGACATTTGGTCGGAGAATGTCTGCGATGAGACGCCCGTGTGGATTATCGAGTCCTACGGTAACTATAAATGAACTTTGAGCTTCTACAGTATCCATTTTCAGGTCGAAGAGTCGCCGTGGTTTCGGACATGACGCCGAGAAGCCTTCTCAGTGTCTTCCTGCCCTTCATGAGGCCTAGAAGGACACTTCATTCCGGATTCTCAGTTATCGATTGGAATGGTGACGTCATTGGGTATTACTGTTTAGGTAGAGATTTTTCGAATTACTGATTGAAATCTCATGTTTAGGTGATCCTATCGAGATTCAAGACACACGGAGAGAACCCATCGCGAGGTGCTTTTGCGAGTCAGACAATGGGTGAGAATTTTATTTTTTGAAGAAATTATTTTTCCTGTTTGAAAATCTATAAAAAAAAAGAACTGCAGCGACGCCTGGCGAGTGATGTGCGAAGCGGCGCCGCAGCGACAATTGGCGCGACTCGACGCCAACGGAGCCCTCAAATTCGGCGACGACCTGACCCTGCCGCTGAAGATCCTGCTGATCGCGACGCTGTCGCGGGCCGTGATGCGAAGAACTCGCTCCTCCTGTTTTCCTCTCTTTCGCTGACAATCGCTTTTTCCGACGCAGCGAAAGTCGCCAATTTCTCATCAGTCGCCACGAGAAAACCTGCGATCACAGTGAGACCTTTGTATAGTTTTCGATCCGATGACTGGGGCTTGGTTCTTGAGAATTCGTGTAGAAAAATAGTAAGGTCCTGTGAAAGCTCAGAAACCTTAGCCGGATATTGGTGAATGTGCGCCCCATGGACAATCTTCATTATACTGGTATATTACTTTTTTGGACAGTCTGCTCTACTAACCAAGCTATGATGAAAGCTCAGAAATCTAAGCCTAGTAGATTAGTGAATGTGTGCTCCAAGGATATTTTTTTATTAAACTTTATGGATTTTTTTATAAATATTTTGCTCTGTTGAGCTATTTTTGAATAAGCCAAGATAGACTTGTCGGAAAAAAATCTCTCCGAAAATCAAATTAGATCAAACCAAGAACTGCTCCAGTCATCCGCATTTTCCCCAGAAACGTGTACTTCACAGCATATTATTTTTTTTTTTCCATTTATCGAAATTGTAAATTTCATGCAATAAAAATATACTAATCGAATTTCTACAGTACGAAAAACGAAGAAATGTCACAATTTGTTGCTTTCGTTGAACTCTGGATGAGCGAGGTTGTAGGCACGGTAGCCGGCCAGAAAACAGGCGATCAACTGCAAAATTCCTTGGTTTTTTTTTTGAAAGTTAAGAATTGGACTGGTGAGAGCCATTCCAAATGTAGTCACGAAACCTCAACGACCAAAACACCCATCGAGGCGGCGCCGAGGTATTGAGCGTCACCGGAAATTCGCGATCGGATTTTCTTCTCGCAGCCCTGAAATGATCATTTTTCGGTTCCCCTGTTTTTTTTAACACATCGAACTTTTCGAATTTAGTAGGTTAGATTGAAAAATAAGTTGATTTAAGTTTTTAGGCCATCTGAGCACGATTAGTACTCGAGTTACCGTTCAGGTTCCTTCAGTGAAAAAAAAAATAATGAAAAATAATTATTTGCTTAGTCTTTGAGCTCAGTTTTTGACTAAATGATTCAAATGAACCTAAGAGATACAATGAAAATATGAAAATCAGGAAAACGAGACCAAAACTAACATCATTATAATGGGGCTGGTAGCAATGAATCCCGTCGAGTTGGTTCATCGGAACTGCGGCCGCCAGCCAATCTTGGCTGTTCAAAACTCCGCAGCAAGCGAACTGCAAAATTTTCAGTCCTTAGGAACGCCAGAGTGGTCCCTATAGGGGTTAGGGGCTAGAACAGCCCTATATAGGAACTAAAAGTGCTCCCTAGAGGGGTTTAGGGTCTGACCGTTAATGCTTTTGCTCATGGATTTACTAAATGAAAGAATAACAATAAAAGGCAAATGCTCCCCTATAGAGGCCTCTTTTGCAAGCTTCAGTGGCTCTTATAGTCGACGTGAAGTGGCTCCTAGGGGATAACCTTCAAGGGCCCCTATAGAGACCATTCTAGCGTTCACAAGTCTTATTTCTAGAAAAAATATGAAAACCTAAATAAGGCGGTAATTTTTTTCGGATTCAAAAAAAAAAAAAACTAACAACGTCTTGTGTGTGGGACCAGAACTGAACTTCGTCGTTCGATGAACCTGTTCCTTTTCCATTGATTCTAAGAAAAATTCATAGAAAACTACAGGAAGAATGAACTCCTACTTCGAAGCCGCCTTGTAAAGGGATTCGTAGAGAATATCATCGCTGGCCAGTTGGTTGATCTGGTCCGAATATGTGAAAGACAAAAGACCGGCCACCAATTGGACCACGATCATCAGGCCGATGATCGCGCAGTACTAGAAAAATGTTAATTTTTTTAATTTGAATAAAAATGAGCTCAAAAAAAGGATTAAATTAGGCTCAACTCGGGGCAGAAGAAAAAAGATAGTTAAAAAAATTCATTAAGAACGAAAGTAAGTTATTTTTTTCTAAAAAAATATATATATTTGAGAATTAGGATACGATTCTGGGTGATTCAAAAAAATTCAATGAAATTTTTTTAGAGTTTTAAGAACAACAATTTTTCCAATATGGTCTAATTATCAGTTTATTTGTTGCTTTCATAAGATTTCATGACTTCTTTTTCGAGTAGTTCTCAACTTTTGAGATCAAAAGTACCGTCGAAAATCGGCAGTTACGATGTTTATTTCACGCCCCGGAGCGCTGCCGTCAAACGGCTTATCGCTCCTTTTAGCCACGTTACCGGATTTTTATGACTTTTTTGAGATAATGTCGCTGAAAATAGTTACGAGCACCTTTTTTGAATGAAGAAAAGTAATTAGGTTGCACTGAAAGTATACTAACGTTTGAAGAAAAACTAGATTGAAAAAAGTTCGTTCGGAATTTGGACTGACCAATCGTTTGAAGACCCGAATTTCAATATATTTTTTTTGAACTTAAGTTCATAAATAAATGGAAGTATTCAAAAAAAAGAAAACAATCTCAAACAAAAGTTGAACCAAAAAATCACCCTTTGAAAATTATTCTTACAAAAGGAATTTTTTTTCATGATTTGTTTTGAAATATGCATCCGGAGTTCAAGAGTCATAAATTTTTCCTCGTTTCATTATTTTTCCATCATTTTTCAGCTTTTTCCAAACTTCATACCAAAAATTCTCACGTGGAAACGCCATAAAACTGTATCAAACTGTCATAAAATGACCCATTCTGCAGTGAATTATTGGGCTTTGGTTTTCGTTCTTTTTCTTTGTAGAAATACGGAATTCATCGAATAATTGATGAATTGTGTGATTGAAGATTCAAATTCGAGATCAAAGAATCGAAAAAAAAAGAGAGTCAATTATCGAGGTTGCAATCAACATCTATTATTTTTCATTGCCTCCGATAAAATTATTTCTAATAAAATTAGAAAATTGAAAGAAAAAAATATAAACCAACCGCTCTTAACAAAAACTTGTTCTGAGTCCAAGCCGCATAAACTGCGAGGAAAAACGAAAGAATCAGGATTCCGGCGGCGGCAACAAAAAGTCCGAAGATCATGTCCAGCCGCTTGAGCTCCAGGAAATCATTATCCTGAAGTTTCATCTCGATTTTCGAAAATTATAGAGCGTAAACTAAATGGGAAAAACTATTTTAAATTCAAGAGTAACTCCAAAATAGAAAATTTATTGACCAAAAATAATTTCACGCGGTCAAGTGCGCGCCATCGATCTCGCTTGGAAAAGAAATTTATTTTTGTCGCATTTTTTCAACAAAAATCTTATTCATGTTCACCTTTTGAGCATACGTGCTGAAAGTCGCGAAGCCCCCACCAAAGCGAAGAATGAACCCGACGACGATCAGAGCCGCTCCAACCACCTGTATCAATTTTGAAGTTAATTATCATTTTTTTGTATTTCATCAGTAAAATAATAAATAAATAAGTAATTTTTGGTTTTAGGGTGTCTTTTGAAGCGAAACGAACCGCGGTAGCGAATGTGGCGACAATGAGCACCTTGTCCTGTCCATGGAGTCCCATCACTCTCTGTAAGTAGATTTTTTCAATATATTTTCTTTTTTTGCGAACTTCTGCAGGCAGAAAGTTTGATGGTTTCTTAAGCGAAATTGAAAAAAATCGATTATATGAGAAAAAAAAACATTTTTGAACTTTATTTCCTTACAAGTAGTTGTTTGAAGGCGCCTAACAAGATTGAAACATTCATAATTTTATTTGCGTCAATAATTAAATTATTCTCGAATTTGAGCCTTTGAAAAACTTCAGCCAGTTGTAGAATAATTTTTAAAACCTCAAACTTTTAAAAAAATTCTTTTTTTATCAAGTTCTTTTCACAGTGAATTTTTCCAGTTCCTCTCATGAGAAAGTAAAGTAGAAAAATTCAGCGGAAAAAAATATATTCCGCTTAATGGCACGAAAAAAATTTGAATTTTACTAAATGTACAAATTATTAGTCGATCAACCTAAAAAAATTCAATAAACAAATGAAAAACTTTTTTTCTTGGGAAAGTGACTATTGAAACTAGCAATCTTCACTTTCTAGAACTCACCAAACTTCTCTGAAAATTCAAGAGCTACGTTTTTTTCCAATTTTACCTGGTAAATCCCGCTCGGGGGCTCATTTCGACCATAGCCGGACATTTTCTTTGGCAGTGGTGAACAGAAAAGAAATCCGAGTGGAAAATGGGTTTGATAAGTGGAGAAACACCACTCGATTTTAATGCTTTTTCTCCAATTTTATGGCTCTACTACCCAAATAAAAACCGTTTCGGCCACGCTCCACCTATTTCTAAAGATTGTCTATCCATGAGGCTTTGAATTAATTTTTTTTAAAGGTATAAAGGAATTATCTGATTCTTTTTTGAGGCTCTGAAGGCCAGTATACTGGATTTTTAGTTTGAAAGAAAAAAAAATTGAGAAGAGGTGAAAATTTTTTTGAGCATATATGAACAAGGACGGTGCAAAACGTTCCTCGATAAATGAACATGCAAATGACTGGTTCGTTAGCCCTGTGCGCCCTGTCTTGATTAATTTTTAATGGCCCTATTTACGATCTCATCGGCTTGATAGGGAACGTCGCAAATGACAGCCAAGTTTTTTGCTCCTCGAGAAAGAAAAGGAATGCGAAACTTCTTCAGAATTCTTGAAATTGAGAAACTCTAACACGTAAATTGTAAATTTGCGTAAATTTACCATTGACATCATTCTAGACTTGCAAAGCGCCGTAGCTTAACGGGTTGTGTGCCTGTCTACGATCCACAGGGCCGCAAGTTCGATCCCCGGCGCCGCTCCAGCGGTGCAAACGTGAACAGATCTGAGTTACATGTTTTGTTAAATTTTTTTCTCACAATTTGATTCTTAAAGTGGCCTTCCGGTAGCTGATCTTCTTATAAAAGCTTCTTTCAAACTCAAGTTGACTCGAACCTGAGACCGTCCGGCTCTTAGTAAAGTAGCTTACGCGCTGAGCTACTCTACCTTCTCGGAGTCATTATTGAAGTCCCGATTGCGCAGGACTGAAACGACACTTGATGGACTCAGAATTCCCTCGACGACGCGGGTCTCGCAACGACAGCCCCAGTGACAAACTGCCGTCGCTTATCGTGGCCTGATCCGCCCCGCAGCCGCAACAAATCATCTCCGCCGACGGCCAGCCACTTGTCGCGTCCATTTTCGTCCTACCGTAGGACGTCAAGCCGTGCCTACGGTAGTTTCATCTTTTTCCAACCTCAATTCGTGGTTTTTACACCTCAGTTCGGGTCTGGTGTAATTTATCACACTTTTTTTCGAAGTCTTGGAAATTGACTTTTTAGAAAGCGACGCATGATCAGAAGTTTGGTCTTACCGTAGGACATCAAGCCTTTCTTACTGTTGTTTCGTTTTTCAACTCGTGGTTTCTTCCTATCAGTTCTGCTCTGTAATTAAATCATTTTAAAAAATCGGAGGACATGTATTTTATTTTTAAAACAGCGGCCTTGTCGGATCTTAAAAATTGATGGCTTAAAGGAAGATCAATCGTCAAAAATTTGGGTTTTTATTTCATATCTGTTTTATTATTGAGCACTCTGCACTGATCCTGAAAAAATCGATTGAGTCAGAAGTTTTATAATTTAACGCCCAGCCCTTTTTGGCCGAACAAAAGTTGACTTTCCGAGAGACTTATCGTTGAAATTTCAGTCTTACCGTAAGACATGAGGCTTTGCTTACTGTAGTATCTTTTTTCGAGTTTCAGTCCTGGTGTGCAATGTGATCGAAGCGTAGTTCACATGGCAGATAATTTTCGTTTAATGTTTGAAATTTTCTGAAAATTTTTTCATTTTTTTGAAAGCCTAGAAAAAGTCCTTCCTATTCGTTACCTTCACAAACTTTTACTTTCTGACATTATTAAGTTCAAACTTGGCGTCTCACAAAAAGTTAGACATGAAATATATTCTTCAAAAAATTTAAAATTTACATCTCGGAAACAAACAGTTCGCCCTGGTAGCCATCATGAAGGATCTTTATTTAAAATCCAAAAATTCATTCACTCTTAAATGACCTCCCTCCGACATTCGAGACCTTAGAAGTCATCTGCTTCTGAACGACTGACAGAGTTCCGAGCTTTTTTTTGGCTTCGTTTTTCTTTTCAGGTTAAAGAATGCCAGATTAAAACAAAGTAGTTGGAACTTCTAGTTTTGGGACTTTCAACTGCGCCATTAAACAATTTTGTTCAAATCTTCTCATTTTTTTAAAATTCTACGCCAAGAAGGTTTTCAGTTTCTGTTATGAAAAGCTTCACATGAAACGACAATTTGACCGCTTGGCGTTCTTACGCAATTTATTTAAATTCTGAACTTTTGAAAAAGTTTTACGTGAACTGATTTTACAAAAAAATTGAAATTTGGCACATACGTGGATTTTCATTTTAACTCAAAAATTTCATAATAAAACGCAAAACTTTATTTTTTCTTCCTATCAAAAAGTAATTCAATTTCAAGATATACCGTTTCCAAAGTTGTCTCATGAACAAGAAAAATAAATACATTTATACCACAGTAAATTCAGAATCAAAACAGAAAATCCCAGTTCACCGGGAAATAAAAGGCAAAGAGAAAAATCATACAGAGGGCTTGAAGCTATAAAGTTTTTTTTTTCGAATATTGTAATTGATATTCAAACTGATAAGCTCGAGAAATAAGGAAAGCTGAGTTAATGTGGGGAAACGGGCGGACGAAGACTACTACCAACTAACCCGAAACAGCCTTTCAATGGATAAAGTGAGAAAGAAGGGATTGAATTGAAGACTAGATGGAAATAAAATAGAAGAGAATTATCGAGAAAACCGGGTGAAAGGACCTTAAATTACAGGGGACTACAATTCTAATTGTGAAATGGAAAGTAGGGTAAAAATTGGAGGGTAAATAGATTGATTCAAGGGATTGGCTCAAGTTTTTTTGCAAAAATCGGTTTTTCAATTTATTTTTTTCACTTTCAGTATGATTAGTCTGTTTGAAAAATATTCATTGCTTAGAAATATTCATTGCTTCGAAAATGATTAACAGTTGTTTTTGCTCAGATCTTCAGAAGCTTTCTAACTATCAAGGGAAATGTTCAAAATTCAATATTTTGGTATTTTTGAGCCGATATTATTTCGAAAACCTCTTTTTTGGCAATGATATTAATTCCATTTTTTTCTTTTCCGTGATTATTTTGATAATAAAAAAAGATAAGTTAGTTTTTTTCAGCCTTAAGACCGGTCGTTTTTAATTGCACAGGGGGACACAAAAGTTGGGGATAAGGTTAATATATGGGTTTGAACCACTGAACTTTCAAGCTTTCAAATTTTTTTTCCATTCAAACTTTCCTTAGGAAACCCTTGAAAAAAAGTTGACAACTTCGATTTCAGTTGTTCAAACTTTTGGCAGAGGTGTGGCTAAAGACGTGCCGGCTCGGCTGATGACGTCGCCGGAGGATCGTTGGTCGACTGGGCTCCGAGGGAAAATGGCATTTGGTAGAGGAGCATCTGAGAGAGAAGCGACGGTCCGATCGGCGGCATCACCCGGACTGCCGACGCTTTCGCGTAGTCTGAAGTTTTTGGGGCTCTATTTATTTTTAAAAAAATGGAGAAAACAATTCAATTTCGTCGCTACCACTTTTGATAAAACTTGGCTGAAATGTCCTCTAGAACCTTTTGATAGAACAGAGATGTATTGATCAATTTTTAGCTTTCAAATCCAAACAAAATTTTAATAGCTCTCATAGGGACCACTTAAGCTCGAGGGGCTTAGGTGTCAGATTATTTTCCCTAACCTCATAGTGAGCAATCGGGCGTTCCTAAGATCTAAGTCGAATCAAGTTTCAAATTTTAAAAATTTTTTTGATGAGAAAGAAGGTCTTTTGTTTCATAACCGGATTTTTCACTGAAAGTTGATCTCGCCGTTTGTTTTACACATTCTTTTGTCCTTCATATATCTCCATACTTATTAAAAAGGCAATGAAAAGGAGAAACCAACATTGTTGTAACAAAGCGTGCTGTAGAAGTGCTGGCTGGTACATGTTGGGCAGGAGGAGAGATGGAGAATCGTTGCTTCTGAAAAATTGCTAAATTTTATGTTTTTTGAGCAGTTTTTTGTTCTGTTTATTATTTGAAACTATTCAAAAAATAATTTTTTTTTCACATGTATTGAAAAAATAATATAAGAACAAAAACTCACGGCTCATAATCCGGAGACCGGCCACTTGGGTCGCGAAAACCCTTGGCGAAGGGATTTTTCTCGATTTTCAACTTTGTTATCTGAAGTTTCGATTTTTGAATGCTTAATGAAATTCTCAACTGACTAATTGATTTTGGTAGGCGGTGACCGCCATGAACTGCGTCTCGGGAAATACAAAAGTGCCATGTTCTTCGTCGGTCAGAGTCATCTGAAAACTTTGGAATAACTCTCTCTACTGACAAGGGAGGTCTTTTTTTTCACGGTTGGGATTTTCCTGAAAATCGTGCAGAACACATCTTGATTTTCCCGATAAAGATTCCGAAAGTACCAAACTGTTCATCTTCTTATTGTTTGGGACACCTCTAAGTCAAAGAAAACTCACAGAAGCCGTAAAAATGGGCTATTTTTTGGGCTTTGAGCCCTAATTCTTTGAAAACTAGGATCTTGTGCTGGTTGAGGTTCTGAGGATATTTTTTTGGTAGATCAAGAAATTTTTCGGCCAATTTTCAAAAAGTGGAATGATCTTCCTTGTGAGGAAAATATCAATTTTTTTGACTTGAACCGAGATTTTAAAGTATTCTTGGATAATCAACCGATTTATCCAACGTTTTTTCTATCATTATAACCTCATAACAAGAAAAGTGGGTGTGACCAGCCAATAAGACGATTATTCATCAAAAGAGTACTTGTTACACTTGAATATGATAAGTTAAAACTTTCCATTACTCGAAAAATAACGAAGTTGTATCTTTATTTTTCATAACTGTTGATTTTCCAAAAAAATAAATTTGATTTTTTTCTAACTTTAATCACAGTGTGACTTATTAATTTTTACATGAAACAATCAAATAAAACATACTTTATTTGCATCCAATGGATTATGTCGATCTCTTCTCACAACGTGTATCCTTGGCTGGTATTTGTGCATCGAATTCAAAATCAACTGAAGTAAAAAAAATCATCTATATTTAATAAAGGACGATCACTTACATGTCCCGCCTTGTCCACCTCATTATTCGTCAATTTCGCCTTTTCGAACGATATTACTTGCTTCAAAAGCTTAAAACGATGGATAAACTGCTGATATCTCCTGAATATCACCTGTTCACCGCTGAAAGGACTGTCGGGGTGCAAATAGAGTCGATTTCGTGGCGCTGGCTCGGCTTTTCCGGCCGTCAGCCACGCGGATTTGTTGTAAATGTACCGGTATCTGAAATAGAATGGTTTAAATTTAGTATTTATCCTGGTACTTTTATGAGGTTCTATTCTATATCTCTGTTTTCTTACACTTACACGTGTTAGAAAAGAAACTATCCAGTTTTCTGTGTTCATCTGGCGTCTCTTCTACTATCCATCTCTTCCGGGTATTTTATAGCTTTAAAAGCCTCGAGATAACAAATAGGTATTTATTTTATGGAAATGAGTGAAATAAAAATCAAATTTAAAATCATAGGGCTAAAATAAATAAAAAGAATGAGCGAGAACGAAAGAGCATCGCCCGCCGAAGAGACGCCAGAGAGATCAGATTCCTCTCTTTCTCTGCAGTCTCTTCAGGTCGTCGTTGTTCTTTCTTTTCGGAAAATGTTGATAATTATCAACCGAAAAAAGATACCACGGCTTGAAACAATTTTGAAACGCTGAAGTTTATTTCGAAACTCAAAAAAGAACCTCTTAGCGTCAACTGGAATGACGTCGAGAAAAACGTAGTAGAGCGCGTCGTAGTCGACGTTCGACACGGAGACTTTGACCGTCGGAAACATTCTTCTGAAACGAAAAATTCGGATAATAAGAAAATTTTTAACTTTCTTCTCCTTTTCTGCCCACTTTCCATTCGGATTTGTGAACATGTTGAGATTTTTTCAAATCGTCTGTTGTGCCCATTTGGACAGCGGCATTGCGACGCTGCATAATGAAATGGGTTGCGTTTTCGCACAATCGCGCCCCAATCTTTTTTTTCTTGAGTCAGGTTACTGTATCAGCTTGCATTCTTGACAATTACTGTTTAGAGGTTTACTGATAGAGAATATTTAAGGCTATCAAAATCGGGTTTATTTTCGGAAAGCTAAATTCAGAAGTCATTCAAAAATGTACTATAGTCGCTCGCGTGAAAAATCTGCTCATTATAAGGTATTTATTTTCAAAAGAAGAATATAAATTTTTAACACTCGGAAAGATTAAGGTTTCGGAAGTGTGAAAAACGAAAATTTTCATTTATTTCTGATCTTTTATTGAAAAATCTATCGCTTCTCGCCAAATTAAGTTTCTTTAATAAACTTTTCTTTTTTTTTTTTGAATTTGCTTCAGCTGTATAAATTTTCAACTTTTTCTTCCTTTTTCCTTTCAATTTCATTCTAAAACTACAGACGAACTAGGGAACAGTACAATGACTACAGTAACCCTGCGGTTGCCTGCCTGAAGATCAAAGAAAGTGCCGCTCAAAAGGCGCGACACACCTATAAAATCACCTTCCTCTTCGCATTCAATATTGATTGACGATTCGAATTAGGAAGAAAAAAAATTGGGTAGGTGTAATAAAAAAAAAGATTACAGTTAATTGATAGGGTTTTTATAGATTTTTTTGAACCTTTGTGCTGCTTTGATAAGTTTTAAATTTTAAAAAAATTCTAGGTCCTTGTAGCGAAAAAGAAGAAAGCCCTCCTGGCTTTTTTTAAGCATTTCTAGGGACCACTTAAGAGTGCTGACGCTACTAAAGGGATCACTAGAAATGCTCTGGCGCGTCGGGTTCACGTTATTTTCATTTTTTTTAGAAAAGAAAGTAGAAATTTTTCGTACCTTAGAACCGGACGTGTTTCGAACGGTTCTAAGCATTTCTAGTGTTCCCTTTAGCAGAATCAACTCTCTAAAGTGATCACTAGAAATGCTCGAATACACTCGGGGCGTTACCGAGGTCCCAGTTGTTGTATTTCCTATGTCTTTCCTCCAAGATTAGCCATGGAGCGCACTAGTTTGCTCGGAAATTTTTGTTAACACTTCCCAAAAATAAATTTCGAGAGTCCATAAATCAGTCCTCTCGCCCATTCTCATACTTCTATTTCCAAAATCAATAAAAATTCTTCAAGCGCATCATCGTAGGAATCGCCATAAAAGGTGTCCCTGGCAGATAATTGATAGCGCGTTTCCCAGGCTTCCAATTACCGTGAATGGTTTGGCCGTCGGAAATATATATATATGACAAAGGGCGGCTGGCCGGTTTTCGACTCACAAAAGGCGCTTCGAAGGGAGATTACTGTAGAAAGAACTCCTCTTCTCCCCTTCTTTTTTTCGCAATTACCGCGTTTACGGCCCACGTCGGTCGTACGTCATTTACCGCCCACGGCTAGATTTTGGGTTACTGTAGAGAGGGATTATTGATTTTTTTTTTAATCAGGACTATCTGAACTTTCGAAAGCTTTCCAACAAAAATTGGTTTACTTTCGAAGTCTTCTGGCGCCTTTTTTTAATTTTTAGAAAAAGGAATTTTTTTTTCATTGGAACCTCTTCTTTTGAAACAACTGAGTATTTTTCTGAACATTAGAAACAATTGATTTTTACTTAGAAAAGCGAGAAAATTTAGTTACAATAATAATATCTCAAATTTTTTTTTCGGAAAAGGTTATCCATATACTTTGAGCCTGTAAAGTTCAAAAAATCTCTTGAAACAGATCCAGAAGTTTTACTAGTATAATTCAATAAATCAGAAGCTTAAACTAAAAATGAAGCCGTAGAATGCTTCTTCTATGCTTTTCCTTTACCAAGGAAAGACGGGAGCTGGAAGTGATCTCACTTAAATGTTATAAAAGCTCTGATTGAACTGTCAGAAGCTCAATACTGAAAGCAACGTCCTAAAATTCTTCGTTAGGTTTTTCTCTTCCAGGAAAAACCGGATTTCAGAAGTGATCGCACTAAAAAGGGCTGTGATTGAACTATCAGAAGCTCGAGTTGGTAAGCAACCCCTAGAACTTTCTTCTAAGCCTTTCCTTCACCAACAAAAGACGGGAGCCGGAATCGGTCACACTGAAAAGTGCTGTCGACTATCAGAAGCTCAATATTTGAAGCAACGTTTTAGAATTCTTCTTTAGCTTTTTCTCTTCTAAGAAAAGCCAGATGCCAGAAGCGATCAAACTAAAAAGCAAAAATGCTTAGTTTGAACTATCAGAGGCTCGATTTCGAAGAAAACCCCTGGAATGCTTCTTCTAAGCTTCTCCTTCACCAAGAAAAGACGGGAGCCAGAAGTGATCACACTAAAAGGCAACAACCGGGCCGTCGAGCGACGAGCTCATTTGGTGAAAAGGGGGTGGCGGCGTTAATTGTCGGCCGACGAAAAACTCGAGTTGCGGTCGTTTTTGCCGGTCTCGTCGCATTTGCCAAATTGCCAACACCATCCTTCGGCTTCTTCACTCGTTTTGAGTGTTGAGCAAGATGTTTTTTTTTCTGTTTTCGGGTACTCAAGAGGTATTGGAACCTTGAAGTATCGGATTCCAGGGAAAACATTCGAATAAAGACAAAGGAGATTGTAAAAAAAAAGACAAGAGAAGAAATATATTATGCGACCAAAAGGTTTCAACTGACCTCCCACTCTTGGTGATGATCATCTCAGTGCCCAAATCGTAGAACTTTGTCCACAATTCAGCTCCTTCCAACTGACAGTCCACTGCCAAATTGCCTTCCTGAGAATTTTCAAATATGAAAAACTTGAGATTCGGCGACACCTTGGTCCTAGCGGCTGGAGTTTTCGGCGTCGGCGTGGTTGCCGATGGAGTCGTCTCCGTTGGCGACAACGCGACGGCGATTTCTTCGTTGTCTTCTGAAGACTCGCCGTCGTCCAGTAGGGTTTCGATTGAGAACTTGGGCTTCTGGAAAGATTTTTTATATTGGTTGGTCAGAGAAAAGAAGAGGTCAGAAAAATGAATGAGATTCAGATTATATTAATTGTAACTTTTATTCCATCAGAATGTTTTCCGATGAACACTGATTTATGAAAATTAAATGTTTCGGAAGTTTTTTTTTACAAAATTTAACTTTTTTTCTTCTCATAATTCGAAGAGATTGGGGCCTTTTTCAGAGTTTTCAGAAATTTTGAGAAGGTTGAACCTTTTTTTTAAATCAGTATTTTGATCGAGTTGTTGAGACATGAAAATGTCTGACTTGTCTGTGTTCTCTTTTCACTCACCAATCCTTGAGAAAAGTGTGACATCTCTTAAAGAATCGATGAAAAAGTTAACAGAAACTTTTTTTCAAGTTTTTGGTGTTTTCTGAAGTTTGAAGATTGCTCCTTTCATCGGGAGAGTATAGTATGTCCCCGATTTAATATATCTTCGAGATTAAGTGACTTATCATTCTTATTTCAAAAACAGTATCTTGGCTTTTCTTTGGGATCCCGAACCCCATCTATGCTCCTTCAAATAACAAGTATTTCATATCATAATGAATATACCTCCTTTTGCTCACTACCCTTGTGAAATCAGTCCGAAAACAAGGCGACAAAAAGACATGGAGCAAAAAAAGGAAGAAGCTATTGAGCTTTCATAATCTCGGTGCTCGGCGAGCCTTCTATGGCGGCGCCGGCCCGGGGGTGAGGAAAAACGCGATGGGAAGCTTTTGATTTACGAGCGCCGATTGCCGCCGAAAGCTTGCTCTAATGCGAAGGCGCTACCGGTGAGAAAAGATATTTTTCATCGCAGGTGTACGGTAGCCGAGAGACATCGTTTCTCGAACCGGTCGGTACGGGAAATTATTAGATTTGATGGTCATTTATGATCAGGAGAGGATGATGGAACGAAAAAGCTCCGCTTTGAAGTTTTAATCGGTTCGGTCGCACAGAGAAGGGTCAAGAGGATGCTATCTTGGATCTCAAAAAATGTCTAATTCTAACTGCAGCGCAACGCCTAGAACCATTTAAAATGCGGCCGTTTCAATTTTTGAGAGTTTTTCTATTCGAGTACGATTCTAAAGTATGAAGAAGTTTAAAGAAAAAGTAAGAAAAAAAGAAGAGAGAAAAATAAATTGATTGGAAAATCAGTAGTTATAGTTCCATACCATGCTGAAGTTTACTTAAATTTTTTTTTAAGCTTCAACTTTCTTTTTCAATTTTTTTAAACTCATGTTTTTTTCATAGAAAAAGGCTGTAACCATTATTAGAAAGTGAAAAAAAGTATTTTTTTGCTCTCGTAAAGTAAATTTTTTTATAAGAAAAAGTTTTTGTTTTATTTTTCACACTATCCTTACAAGATAATTTTTTTTACTGTTGAATAATAAAAAAATAGAATCATTCAAATCATTGATTTTGAAAAAAAGGAATTCATTTAAAGAAAATTAATAATTGAAGTTTTAAAGGCTTATGTAAACTTTTCATGAAATTAAATGAAGGGGAAACATGTCTTCTTTTTTTTTCTTACTCCTGTGGAAAAAAATTAAGTTTCTCTCAGGAAATTGAAGATTGTTCTCAAAATTGCGAAGTTCCGAAAATAAGACAAGAAGGAAAATGTATTTTAATTGCTTCGAGGAAATAAATGGAGTTCAATTAAAAGTACAAAAATTGTTACTTGATGTAAAAGCACATAATTGAAATTGGAGGCATGAAAAAGCAACTGACATTAATTTCATGATTAGAAAGCTTTCAACTTCATTTTTTTTCCAACAATACCATAGTTTCAAAAATTGATATACCTATCTTCAATATTAACCTACCTTGACAATGACGTCCGTACTGACGATGACGTCATCTTCGGCAGGGCGCTTGGCCATGGTCCAACCAGAGGAAAATGGGCCCAGGTCCTGGAAACTGAAACGTGAAGATATGCACGAGGCTCGGCTTCAAGGAGGCCGTCGAATGGCCGCGCAGAGAACTCGCGAAAAGTGGGCGGAGCTAGCGAATGGCCGGCGTCGACACCCGCGGCTGTCGCCAGGGGCGTCGCCGCGACGTCTTCTGTTTTTTTCTTCTTTTCGTCCTTCTTTGCCTCACAACCGCTTTGCGCCGTTAATGGCTTTTGCGAGGCTTGGCGGTACGGTAGGATCGTCGGAGGGACAAGAATAAGAGAAAAAGAAAGATTGAGGGCGCCGTGAGGCTTGATTGATGGCTGGGATAGGACTTGGGTGGTCGGATCAGCACTTAGGAGCATTCATTGGGGGTATCTGATAGTACCTAAGAGAGTTCAGACGCCTAGATTGTAGAGTTAATCAGTTTTTATAGTTTATCCATGACGAATTCTCGATTTTTCCGGCTCCGTTGGAACTTTAACTGGTTTTTTTCGTCTCATCTAGCTCCAAGTCATTCTCAAAATCTTAATAAAGATATCGAGTGGGATAAAAATCTGTTCTTTAATTTAAAATATAATGAAACAAAGTTTGGATCAAATTTTGGGTTAATTTTTCTTATCACTAACAAAAAACTTCAAAAATTGTTCCTTCAACCAAAGTTGAGTATTTTGAAAAACGTAACCTTTTACAAGGAAAATAAACTCAATTTTTTGTATTCTTAACAAGAAGAATATTTTTAGTGGCTTGAAATCGATTGATAAACATTTTTTAAAAAGTTCAAAAGAAAAAAATTTGATTTGGTAATATTTGAGATCATGGAGTATAACTATTTATTTTTTTCTAATTTTTTTTTACTTTGTCTATTGACTCTTAAACTTTCAAGTGCTGACCGTAAAAATTTAACACCCTGAAAATGGGCTCTAAATTCTTAACGATCACGTTAAAAGAACTTTTTCGATTTTTGCGTGAAGTTTTTGGCACTCTCGAGAAATGATTTTGAGTCTTGGGCTTTCTCGAGTTCTGGGTAATGCCGTGCAAGGCAAGAAGTGACAAATTTGGTAGGATTAGCAAGGTTTAAGAAGCGCCGCTTCTGGAGAGTTACTCTGAAAAAGCAGAAAAAAAAATGTGAAAACAATTTCTGGAAGCTTTTTGTCATGATAACAAAAATAAAATAAGTATTGGCCGAGAAGAGGTAGTGATATTGTGCAGTGGAGCGCATTTGTACCGGAAATAATAGCCATAATTTTTTTTTTCGATTTTTCAAGTTTTGGGTAAGAACTTTTCGAATCTTGTTGGGAAATCGTTAACTTGTCATTTCACATTGGACGCTTTATTCATGATCAGTTTAGCAAATTTTAAAAAAATAATAGATTTTTTTGAGAGGGCTGGATGTATATCAATTTAAAAAGTTAAGCCTGAATTTTTGAAATTTTTGTCGTTTTAAAATTTTCTTGATTTTTCAACCTTAATAAAAAAAGCAGAGGCTTCAAATGCTAAGCCTTTCGAAATGGATTAGTTTATTAGTTTATAGATGTAAAAGATTTTTCGAAGGGGCGAATGCCCTTTAAGTTGAGCTAGTCAGGCTAAATTTTTAGATACCTTTGTCATTTCAATTTGAAAAAAAAAATGGTTGAAAGGGATTTTTTTTTCTGCAACTGAAAAAGAATAATTATTGCTATAAGGAAATTATTCTGAATATTATGTTGAAAAAATTGCGCCAGAACCTATAAACTTCAAGTTTAACAGAAACCGAGAAAAACTTTCTGGTGACTCAATGGTTTTGGATGGAAGTTAATACGGACAAAGATTTGAATTTGATGAAACTTGGTATTTAGGTACTTTAAAGCACCCTGATTCCAATAAAATTGAAGAAAATTGCGAATATAGAGTTGAGGCGCCTCAAAGATCCTATGTTAGAAATTTATAAGGTGGAAGGAAAACAAACACCTAAAACAGTTTTCCATGACCCCACATACTCTCAAAGAAAACAATCAGACATTCAAATCCGTTGATCTGGAACAAAAGGACTCGAGAATGGGCCCCAAACTGATAATAGGCGATAGCGGATCGTAAAATCGCGCCCCGTCGGCCTGAAGACGTGCCCGAAATGATTATGACACGGCACTTGTTAACGTCCTGAAGACGTCGTCTCCCTCCCTCCCGCAGAAGGCGATCGGGGCGGCCCGCCAAGGTCTTTACGACCTTACGGTAGTCATAAAAACTGTACGCAGGCCGGCCGGGCCGTAAACTTGCCCTTGCCGACACCTCACGACATATTGCGGACACGCCTCCTATGTCATGCTAATTGGCCGCCTTTTGATCAGTATTTTTGCCACTTTTTCTTTTCATTTTTCTCTTTTTTTTATTGAATCGAAAATTTAGGGGATTTCTAGTTATGTTGTGCTCAAAAAAATAGAATTAAATTGAACATTTTAGGAAAATAATTTGTTGCTCAGACTGCATCATAATGGACGAAACTCCTTGATTTTAAAAAAATAGAAGTTTTTTTAAACTCGAGAATAATAAAAAAATCCAACTGTAAATTTTTTTTACGCAGGTTGAATATGAATATCAAGCTTTTAACAGTACGCTTTAAAAAGATTAAAAGCTCAGATTTGCTGGTCACGCCCATTTTTGTGTTGAGGAAAAAAATGAACTCGATAGAAAATTTCATAAAAATTCGATTGATTATCTACAAATCCTCGAATATCTTTGTTGTATCCAATTTTTTAGATGATTTTGACCGAGGAAGAACATAGAACTTTCGTATTTCCTGAGACGCAGTTCATGGCAGTCACCGTCCATCGAAGTCAATCGGTCAGTTGAAAAAGACACCTTTTTAACTTAATAATCGAAGCTTCAGATAACAAAGTTGCCAAAGTTTTTCGCGATCCAAGTGGACATTATGAGTCGTGAGTTTTTTGTCTCATAATCTTTTTCAACCAAGAAAATATGACAAAGAGGGAATAAATAAAACAGTATTATTCATTTTAACCAAAATTTATCATTAGAACTCGCAAAAAGTGATGGGGAGGTCATTCTTTATTGAATTAAGGGTTGATTAGAGTGCAGTTCTGGTTAATTCTATAAAAAAATACACTAAAAATGGAGCTTAAAGGTTGAATTCCATCAAAAATAAGTTCGTTTACAATAAATTAACATTAAATCACAGTAATAAATAACTTTAAAAAAAGCGGTTGGAAGCTCAAATTCGCCACTGCTTCAGTTTCCGTCAAAAAAAGTTCATTTGAAACTTTTTACATAAAAAAATAAAAACACAAAAAGAAGAAAAAAAGGAGCTTGAGGCTCAAATTTCACAGACTTTCCGATCAAATCATTCAATCAAACTAAGTTCATTCACAGTTTATTTACATCAAATTAAAATACAAAAAGAACAAAAAAAGCGACTCGAAGCCTTGGGAGCCGTGCGGAAGAATGAAGGGCTCTGGGTGAAGCTGACGGCTCTGGTTGTTAGATCATATCGCGACATCGTCGCCGGCCAATCGCTTTCCAAAATTTGCATCCGATGGTGTCTTAATCCGCGCGAATTCATTTCAACGCATTCCTTGATCGATTCGTTCCGGCGGCCGGGGAGGAAAGTGCGGCAAAATCAGTCGGGAAAAATCTTGGAGACAATCTCGAAGCGATGACTGATGAGCCAGATGTCCGTTTATGGACTTTGGCTTGTATACTCGATTTTTCTGAGACTTCCAATTATTTGCATCTTTCTGTTGTGGTGGTCTCCCTGAAGCTGTTCCAGGCTCTGAACGATTTCCTTTTCATGCTACGAGGTGCCACCGTGCGAAAGTAGTTTTTTCATCGGGTGCAATGAGACAAAAGCTGTCTGAAGATGGATAAAAGTGACTGCTTCGCGGGTTATACTCTCGATTTTCTAATGCTCGAAGTCTTGACATGAGAAACGAAAAGCCTTTTAGGGTATTTCATCATTCTGAAGCTTCTGTAGAGTCTGAACGGTTTCCTCTTCATGCTACAAGATGCCACCGTTCGAAAGAAGTTTTTATAGGGTGCAATGAGACAAAAACTGTCCTAAAGATGGTTCAAGGAGGCCGCTACGCGGCTCAAACGTGTTGAGAAATTTTTGAGGCAATATATTTCAAGAATCTTCTGCCGAAAAAATAACTCTTTTTGTCCTTTTTCGTTATCAGAGATAGCTTATAGAGTAACAGGTTTTGCAGTAACAGTTAAGGTTTTTTTGTGGCTTCTTATTTTCTTGTTCTGTCGCCGCCAAGAGAAGAGAGGGCGCAGACACGTCAGACTTTCTCGAATGATTCAAGTTCACTTTTCGGTTTTCTTATTAGGAGGAATATTCTAGTTTATTCATTTTCTTTTCTTCGAAGTAGACTACTTTGTGAATAGTAGAAATTAGAACAAGCAGCTTCTTAACGGAACTCATGACAGCCTGGACTGGATTAAAAGACAAAAAAAAATAGCTGAAGAAGAAGAAAACGATTTTTGCCGAACCGCTCAGGTCATCAAGAATCCAACAAAACTCGCGCGCGCTGGCTGAAGGCAGAGGAGCTCGTAAAGGCCTCAACAATATGCGTTTTCGGAGGCCGCGAGACGTTGGAAAAAGGGAAGGAGAACACACTCGAAATCACTTTATTCCGTTGTTAGAACCGATTAGAACAGGCGGGGTCGGCAGAGACGACGCCGCGGGTGGTCTGCAGCTACGGTAGCCTCGGATCTTGAGGGGGAGATATCTCTAGATTTCTCATAAGGTGTGCAAAATGAGCAATATTTCGAGATCTCAGGTTAGGTGGGATTACAGTTCAGTTCACTCGAAACGAAAATGGAGAATGGTCTTTCTTGATTTTCTACTTTCCGTCCGGAGAGTTTCAACTGCACAACTTTCTAGTACTTGAGAAAGATCACCTCCAAGTTAAATATAACTAGTGCAGGTTGAGACTTCTAAAATCTTATTTCGGTACATCAAGAAGTGTTCTGGACATTTTTCAAAAAATTCCTAACCGCTAATTACCAAGCAAGCCTTGGAAAAAGCTTGAGAATTTTCGAAATTAAACATTTTTTCAATTTTCGAACATTGAAAAATATTGAAAATTATAAGTTTTATGAAAAAATCTTCTCATCACGTTTTTGATAACATTAACTTTTTTTCCATGGAATTTTGAAAACGAACACAAGAAGTTCTGAAACGGGAATAGTATTTTCAAAGAAAGTTTCCCATTTTTGCTCTAAAGTTCCACCTAAAGGAAATATAATTTTTTGCTCCTAAGAACACTCAAACTATCGCTTTTTTGTGATCAGTATCCAATATTCTCAGCCTATTCTTTTGATGTTCACATTCTAATTTTAGGTTGGAAGAACCGATTTTTCCATCTCTTTATCGCTAATCCTGGCTCCAACCTCTCGTTTCGGAAAATGAACAACCAAATCCCAGTCATTAATTTCTGCGATGAATATCGTTTTTTAATCTTGCTGGGGAGATTAGTTGTGGAAAAGATTGAAATTTGATCAAAGCTCGAGTAGAAAGATTGAGTTGGGAGGAGTATTTATTTAGAGGGTTTTGTCAGTACAGACTTGGAACTTTGTGGCCGCATGTGGAATGGCTGGAGGCGTGACGGTTGGAATGTTTTCTCTAGCCTTTTTTGTTTGATGAATATTGAGATAAAATAGAGTTAGCGCTTTCTTTTCCTAGATCATCAAAACCTTTTCATGAGGTCAAGATTTTTCATAAAGTTTTGAAGAAAGTTCGAGATGTTGATCTCTTTCCGCCCCCATAAAAAAGTGTCATTCGTCAACTCCCAACTAGACTTACTAGTCGAATTGTAGCAAAATGATGAATGAACTTCTCCCAACAGCCTCTCATCCATTTGACCATCCTCAGGAGCTGCAAACGCGCCATCCTTATCGCGGCGAATTTCCGTGAAGATGAAGACGAATCGTCGAAATGCGCCAAGAAACGTGTCGCGCAGCGCTGCTCTATTAGATAATCGTGAGCCATCCTGATTTATGTCTTTCTCGCTTTTGTTGCATTTCAAGGAAGGGGTTGTTCATTTTGATTTTTTATTAAGTTATTGAAATCAATGATAAGTGCGCTTCAAGGTTTATTTTCGATTAATTTTTCATCACTTATCTGTTTCGGTAAATGAAGAAGAGCTGATGAAAATTTGAGATTTTTTGTTCCGAACCAGCTGGTAATCACTCTTTACAATAACGAGAACTGTTTCAGTAAATTTTTCTTTCTACGTCTTGGCAATACCAAAAATTCAGTCCGAGAACATCAATTCTAAGATCGAAAGTTGAGCCTCACGTAAAAATAGTCACTTTTGAATATTTAAATTTCTTGATTTAGAAATGAAAGTGATTATTTTTTTATATCAGTGCTCAAGTTTTGCGATCGAATAATGTTTTTTTGTCTTGTTTTTCCAACTTAAAGACAATGGAAGACCTTTTCCTGTTTGTCCTACTTATTCAGTTTCAATTAGTTTCCTATTTAACCAGGAACAGAAGAATTGTTCGTTTCCCAAGTTTTCAGCCAGAAATGGAAACTCCCTGAAACGATGACCAACATGACACTCAAATGACCATCGCGAGCATGTTTCAAATAGCTAAACAAACTTTTTTTTTTCTGAAGAAAAGCCTCAGAGTTGACGGTCTTGGCGCGAGAAGCCTTGGAAGGGCAAAGCTTCGCGAAGCCGGCGACAAATGGCGCGCGGCAGATGCCGAACGCCGATAGCGACTCTTCACGTCGCACGACGACATCGGGACGCCTTTTGTTGAATTTGTGGCCGGCGGCGCAACGGATTAGAACTATCACTCTCCTGGGGGCGATGTCGCCCTCCGGCACACTGATTTTCGCAGAGAGACCGATGAAATTTCAATTTGCGCTTGAGACCGAATTTATCCTTGCCGTCTTTGACTTCTGGGGGTCAAGAAGCTCTTTCTTTTAAAGCGTCTTTTTTTTGAAATTATTAGAGATGGAAGAGTTCGAAAGTTGAAGTATTTATGAAGCACGACGTCGGATTGAGAAAAATTGAACGGCCCAAGTATGAACGGAACATAAAGAGTCCAGCAGGACTTGCGAAAATTCTGAAAAATATGGAATAAAATTTAGTTTTAAGCTCAGGAGGTAGTTTTGGGTGTGGCTCAGGGAGTGTTGGCAACTGTTAAAGTAAGATTTATTTCTAGGGGCCATTCTGGACCTCAACTAGGAAAACACTGGAGGAAAAGTTGGCTGCCTAAAAAGCGGCCCGGCCAAGTGAGAACGGAACTCTCAAACTTTTTCATCGCTCGATTTATTTCAATCAATTTTCCATTTGTCTATGTGTTCGTGACCTTCTCGATTTTCCTAATGTAGACAAACAATACTGATCACTGTTGTCGTATTTTCAAAATAAACCAATTTTTGGCTTTTTTCTGACCCTCTGAGAGAAGTATTTGACTTCTGGAGCTTTAAAAAGCAAGTTTTTTTGTAGAAATTTTATTCACTTAATATTTTTTTGCAACAAAGTTTGAGTACCTATTCTGGAAAAGGTTAACATTTGGTCTTGCACTGTAACTCTATTGCGAGCATTAGTACGATTCCCAGAAGAACTGTTTCCAAATTCGAAAAAGTTCCAAGTTTTCCTCTAGATTTCGAACTACTGGCAAGTTATTCCTAAACTTCATTCTCTAAAAATTTCATTCAGGATCAAAATTTTCTCAAACGCCTCAAATCTTATTTCTCTTGCGCCTTATTCGCTCCTCCTCATCGTTTTAAAGAAATCGTTCAATTTCCAAATACCTCTTCAAAAAACCGACCAAAAACCATACCAGCCCAGCCTCCAGTTCCAGTATAGCCTAAAAAAGGCAAGAGTTGAGAAGATGTCGGGCAAATGTCGTCTGGTCGTTTGTTTGGAAAAATGAATGTCGCCAGCGCTGTCAACGGACTCCCGCGGGACGTCATCGAGGGCCTTCTGTCGACGTGTTAATTCGTGAAAACGTCTTCTTCATCTTCCGTCGGCGGCGCGACAAAACTTTGTCCGGTGGGACTTGGCGACTTGAGGAACAACTGGAAACAAAGTTTTTTTCTTGTTTTTGGGTTGAGGGACGAAAAATGGAATAATTTGTGAGTGAACGAGGAATCGTAAGCTACAGGCTCAGATGATGGATGGATGAGAATATTTTCGCTTCAGGCGAATAAAAGGTCCGTTGAAGTGGTCATACCAAGAGATTTTGTTTTTTTACATTGCTCAAGTGAGAAAACTTCTCAAAGTTATATAGACCAATTCAACAAGATTTTTTGAATTGTGCCTCAATGAAGACTGCAAAAGGGCTCTTCGCTTCGATACTTTAATGAAATTCAACCGTGATTTTTTAAAAAATTCAGAACACTCATGAATAAACTAAAACTGTTCTAGTTTCAGAACGCGAAAGTTTTCGACCGACCTCAATTTTCCATTTTCTATGGTCCCTTTAGCCGTTTCATTAAACCATGGAATTAGAAAAGGAACAAGGAAGTGATGAAAAAACTAAAAAACCGAACATGCTATATGGGAATGATATTTTGGACGAATTCTCACGACCTAACAGACACTAAGAATAACTGACGAGATAAAAGCGAGGTCGGTGGCGGTACATTGACGAGCTCGCAAACATCTCGCTTTTTTCAAGGCGCGATCTCGCATTTCTCTCGGCGCGACCTCGCATTTTTCTTGGCGCGATCTCGCATATATCTCGCACTTCGGAAATTTTCAAATTGCGAGAGAAATGCGAGCTCGCGCCTAGAAAAGTGCGAGCTGGCGCCCAGAAAAATGCGAGACCGGCGCGAGAAAAAAAGCGAGATGTTTGCGAGCTCGTCAATGTACCGCCAGTGTCTCGCGTTTATCTCGGCAGTTATTCTTAGTGGAGTTTCATCATGCTTAGAGACCGCAGAGCCACGCCCCTTTTTGCGATGGTGAAATGCACTGGTTTTTTAGATTTTGTGTTTGATGTTTTCGTAAAAGCGCAATACTGAATCAAACACAGAGAAATTTGGTGGAAACATAGAAAAAACCTTTCTCTTTAATCTGATATACTTTTTCACCCGATTTTTCGAAGCGTTTTTAGCGGAGTGTCGTACAAAAAACCAAAACTACTTTTTTTTCTTCGGGTTTTTAACCTAGTTCCATGTCGTTGGCGCCTTTTTTTATTTTTCGAATTCGATTCTTAAGTGAAAAAAACAAATCTTTTAAAACAAAAAAATTAAAAATTTTTACGGTGCCTAATCTTCGTGAGGCCGCGCAAAGTTGAAAAATGTTGTACTCGCTTTCGAGAGCGTGTAAGTAAACAATTTTTATTTTTAACTTGTGGATTAAATTGTAACTAAAAATTTTATTAATATAAAACTTATTCCGAAAAACTTGGTTTTCTGAGAAAAAAATAGACAGTCAAAATTTCGAAATTCATTTTTAACATGGTCAGATGTCGTTGGCGCTTTTTTTATTTCTTAAATATTAGCGTATCTCAATTTTCAATCAATTAAAAAAATAAAATAAAAAAATTTTTAGCGGTGCCAAAAAAATTTAATCAGTGTTAGTTTGAAGCCAACGTTAAAATAAGAAAAACACCGAAAAACGAAAGCATTTTTGAACTGAATCTCTATGAATAAATTATTTTCAGGTGGTCCGAACACACGTGACTAATAATTGTTCAACTATCATAACTTTTTTTAAAACAAGATAGTCGGTAAATGCTCTACTTTGAGGTGAAGTTGTGTATAGCGCGAACGCCTCCCATCTCCGAGGGATGGACGTGGAGCAGCGCAAGTGCGCTTGCATACAGTTTTGATATCGCGAGTTCAATCCTCGCAGCGGCAATTTTTTTATTTTTTTCAAGAAAAAATAGCTTTTCTTTTCAAACTTGTGGTTTTATACTGTTTTAATGACTTATTACGACTTTGAAAACCAAACTAAACTACTAAAAAATTTAAATCCGATATGAAAACAAAATGAACGACCAAAAGTGTAAAATCTAAACTTTCAGTACTAAATTTCGCGACTTTTTTTCACTACTGTTTTTGACCATAACTTTTTCTCAACCTTTTTTTGAAAAAAACTAAACTGTTTTGAATAGTAAATTAGAGCAGCTATCCAACCATAGTAATATTGAAGTTCGAAAAAAATTTTTTTGAAAATTCGTCTGCGGTCCCTAATCATGCTGAGTAGGAAGTAAAAAAATAGTTTTGAGCCTTAGAAGGATTTCCAGGTGTTTTCACAGTGTTTGGAGGTTATCTGTAATGTAAAAAAAAACTTCAAAAAAAAAGTTTTGATGACCCCAAACCAGCACAAAAGTTTTTTTCGAACAAAGAAAATGAATTTAAAAAAATTGAAAAATGCAAATTTCGATAGCTTCAAATTATTCTTACTCACTGTGATAATGAAAATGCATTTTTTTTTTTGAAAGAGGCCATTTTGGGGCTTTGAAGTCTCATTTCTCGGAATTTAGGAAATTAAGCAGGTTAAGACATTCGGTACCTGTTTCTGTTAGATCAAGGAGTGTTTTGGCCTAATCTTAAGAGGTTCCCAACTACAAAGGGGGATCACCTCCTTTGTTAAATCTTCAAGCTTTACCAAAACTTTGCGGAAAAAGAAATTCCCAGCACCTACCCAACCATTATCGAAAACATCCATTGCCTCTTATATTATTCACATCTTCCTTTCATGTGTTTTTCGCTAACCCAAAGCTTTTTCTCCCCTTCTGAAATCCAAGAGATGAGGAGAGGGCGGATAAAAAAAAAAGAAAAGCGAAAAAAAGCATCCGCGTACATATCGATAAGCCCAATGCCTTGACAACCGCTTTCTGGCCCCTTTTCCTCGTCATTTTCATTTTTTTCGCTGAGATTTCAGAATTATTTCATTGGTGATTATATCTTCAAGGATCAAATATTGATACGAACAAGTATTAAAAGATTTAAAAAATAAAAAAATGGGGGCAAAAACGGATAATTGAAAGGTGCAAGGTAGATATTAAACTTTATGTTTGTTGACCGGAGATTTATGATTTTTTTTTTGAGAAGCGCTCAAACATCTCTCAAAAATGTATGTAGTGTGATTTTTTTTGTGTTATGAATTTTTTTCTCTTATAAATTCCAATTTTTTTAAATTAAAAAAACAGGCCAGCAAAAAAATTTTTTTTGCTGGTAGCTTTGTTGAAAAATCTAGTTCAAAAAGATCGAAAAGGATTATTTAATATTTCAAAAAGATTGAGAAGGGAGATTTATGATAATTTAAATTTTTCAAATTCATATTATTTTCTTTTTGTTTTTTTCAACCTGTTTTTTTGTGAGGCTGTCAAAAAATCTAAAAAGGATTATTGTATTGTGATTTTTTTGGATTGGGTAGAATATTTTTTTATAATTTTTTTCTTTGGGAATGATGTTCAAAATGGACTTTTTTTTCAATTTCTAATCAACTTTTTGCCTTTTTCGGGGGCTTACGAAAAAAAAAATCTCGGATTCAATCTTAAATGAAAGTTTTCTCAGAATTTCGATTCTGGCCTATATTATTCTATTCCACTCACTCTTTTTCAAAACAGAAAGTAATTTCCATGAAGTGCTATTTTTCTTCATTTTTCTGTTCTCAGTACGTTTTCTTGATTGCTTTTTCCGTCAACTCCTAACAATTTAGGGTACAAATTGACGCCAAGGGATTTCAAATTATTAATGTGAGGAAATATTGAGAAACCCCAAAGGTTCACGTCTTTCGCCGGGCTTCAAGTCACGAACAGGAAAAAAGCTTCCTAATCACTTTTTTATGCTTCTAGACTTTTGAAAATTCTGCTCTCTGCTTCCAGACAAGTTGAACTTTTCCCCCTAAACGCTGTTTTTTTTTAAACTTTTGCCATGATTTTCGATTTTTATAATTCATGCGATTATCCCGGTTTTGTGAGCTTCACGAAGAAGGTCTTGATGAGAAATGTAGAAAAATCAAAAAGAAGTATTTTCAATACAGTAACCCGCATTTTTTCGGTCACGAGCTTTCCTTGAATGGATTATAGAACTCTTTTTTCTGCCATATGAAGGAAATGGGATTATGTTTCCTGTCTCTGAAGCATGCAAAAAGCTTAATTTCTCTCTTCATTTTAGGACTTACCTATCAATATTGCGTTATTTGTTGGAAAAACTTTATTTTGTTCATTTTGAACTTAAAGAACGTGTGAATTTGATGAACCAGCTAGGAGATATCATTCCCCAACAACGTTAACACGTGTAAATCGACCTTTAACTCTAGAAAATCAGCTCTATCTTCAAAAAAAATATATTTCTGCGTAAATTTATGAAACAAAAACTCGTTGTTTTGAAGCAAACTTCTCTGTCTGTCTAATTTTATTATATTATGTTATATCTAATCATTTTCTTTTCCTAACCCCATTCCCGAAATCTGTAGTTATTTTTCATTGATAATAATTAAGGGTATAAAAAACGGGGTCGGAAGGAACATGACCACGGTGAAGATTGGCAACGAGACGGTAAATTGTGCCCAAGAATTGCTCAGAGCGGTGAAATTGATCAACAATCAGCTCTACGCCGACTATCAACAGTCCGAGGCTAGTTTGATGGAAATTTGACGGAAAAGCTTCTGTAAAAAGAGCGTGACGGTGAAAGTACGCTCCATGGCTAAGAAGGGTTTTATCATGACTTTTTTTTAGTTTTTTGGTAAGAAAACTGGATCAAAGTTTGATAATACATCATTTTGAAGACTAGAGTGTTAAAAAAACATTTCTGAAGACTCTGTTTTTTTCATCGATAATTAAGATCTCATCTTCTAGTGGCTTCTTCGACCATGCAAATATCTTTGGAACAAAAATTAATAAATGAAAAAAATTTTTTTGAATCTATGGGAGTTTTGTGAAATTTTTAGATGTTATCGCTGTTATCGAGAAACTCCTATTTTTCTGAATTAAAAAGAAGGTTCCTAAAGCATGATTTTCAAGTTCGACGGGGAGCCTGAATTTTGGTTATTTTTTCGAAATGTTTATAGTTCGCTCAGCTATATCTTTTGGAGATCTGGAGGCATCTGATTACGTTTTTTTAATATTGGATATTCTTTCAGGAACACCGCCTTGGCGCAGATTTGTACACAATCACCATAATCGGCGTTTTTGCTTCAATAATCATCCTTTTGATGTTCCGATCGATCCGTCCCAATGAGAATTCTGATGATCAGGTTATTATTTCATTTATTTCAGTGAGTTTTGAACTTTAAATTTGTTTTAAAGGTTGTTATGATGCTGGCCTCGATGCAGATGAGGGTCGACGTGGAGGAATCGGCAAGACGAAAAAAGAAAATGAGGTTCGGTTTTTTTTAGCTGATTTTATGAGGTATTTTGAGTTTATTGCAAAAAAAAAAGCTATGTGAAAAATGTCAAAAAAGGGTTCCAAGTTAAAGTTTCGAATTATTGATGAGTTTTAAGGAATGTATCATAATAAACTTTGAAAAATCTGTAATCTTTCTCTAGAACTTTAAAAACCGATTAAAATCATAGCCAAAAAAACTGATAACTAGGCTTGAAGCTCCTTATTTTTACTTTGAATTTTTTACTTGAAATCGAATTTGAAGCCGGCTCGGCCTTATAAATTGGTTTTTTGCTGATGCAAAAAAAAATCTTACTAGATTTTCGAAACTATAGTAGCCTTCTAAAGCTAAAAAAAAGTCTTTAATGACAAAATGTCTTACTTTGAACAAAAAGCTAAGCTTTGAAGGCCTTAATAGGAAATTTCGTCTCGATTTTGAATCGGTAATCAGTTTCGCTAGAACTTCAAAACGGTGCCAGTCCAAGATGACGTCATAGCTGAATGTTCTTGTTTTGATCTCAAAATCTATCTAACTTCAGCGTTTGTTATTTTAAAAAGCCGAATTTCCAGAGAAGCGAAAAAACGAGCACAGGAGTGGATAAGAGACGTCCGGACCACTGGAGTGAGAGCTCTATCAAGACGTGGCTCGCGTAAGATTTCCAGGACGACTGCCGATTTAACAGGTACTTGTTTCAAAACTACTCATTCTAACTTCAAAAAACTTTCAGAAGTCCAATCCCACGCGTCTGTGACAAAAAAAGACTCGGCGTTCCAATACTCGCCAAAGACGCAGTCGCTGATCGCCGAGCCGATCACGTCGACACCCGAGGTCGACTCGCGGCAGAACTCCATCTGCAGCGTCCCCTCGAAGCGGTATCCATCGACAGAGCCGCTGATCAGACCTCCTCCGAGGCCACGGTCCCATCTCGGCTTTGTCCCGGAGATCGTCGTCACGGAGCACCAGCTCTTCCTCGTCTCGCCCCCGGCACACTCGCCGCGCACCCGCCGTCGACCTTCACATCTCTCGAGGTCAGAAAAGATACTGAGACACGACTACGACTACGATTTTCTTGTAAGAAGCCGGTTGAAACAAAAAATGAGCTTAGCATTCAAAATACTGCCTGGCGGCTCAAAAAACTCCGCATCTCGTCGAGCCATTCCCTTGCGACATTAGGCCTTTCTCGAGTCACAGACTTCACAATTAACCAAAAAGCATTTCCTTGTATGACGATCGAAATTGGTGAAACTATCTGCAGCCGTCTTCTTTTGGAAATCCTACAGTGTGTTAAAATAGTTGTTATCAGAACCTTTTTTTAATTCAAATCAGGAGCTTCATATAAAAACATTTCCTGATTATAAAGAAATTTTGAATCTATAAGTTGAACCGCAACTCATTGAACCATTCCTTCTGCGACCAGCGTACATAAAATCATGTAGAAGGGACAATGAAGGCTTTCTGAACAACTTTAAAACTAATATTGTCAGACCCAGATGTGAGTTTTAGAATAAAAAAGGTTAAAAGTTCATCGAATACCGAGAATTCCAAGAACCAGCCATTCTGTAAGTAGATTACATCAACTGGTTTGTCAAATCGTGCTGCCCTTGAGTTGTCACTTCAAATAACTACTAATTGAAGCGAAAATTAAATCGAACTGATTATCAACAGCTTTCTGCGGTTTTTGGAGTTTTGATGCAAATTAAAAATGGAAAAACTTTTTATACGATTCTTTTCATGGGTTTAGCTCCTTGAGTTGGACTTCAAAACAAAGCGAGAAAATGAAGATAATAATCGAAATATGGTCTAAAAGGGTATAGTTTGAGCTCCCTGTGGGACTTCCAGATAGGAAAAAAACTGAAAATTGAAAAAAAAACAATATCTCCAATAAAACGTATTAGTAAAGGAAGTTTTAAGGCTTTGATGGTTTCAAGTTCCTACTCCGATCATTGCAGACAGGACTCGGAGTGCAGCTACAACAGCGGCTGCTTCTCGGCGGCCATGTCGGAAGACATCGTCTTCGAGTTTCCCGACAGCAGCTCCGGCTCCCAAAACGACTCGCCGCCCTACGATATGCCTTGACCCCAGCAATCTTCTCATTTAGCCGCCAATTTGTTGCCAAGTCTCATTTGTACATTCACGTCATGATATGATAAAGGTTCCTTCCTTGAAATTTCTGCCTTCAACGTGACGGTTTCTCGCCGTGTACTTGTTTAGCACGTGAGAGAACGCGGCTGTTGCGGTTTTAACAGCGAGAAAGTTGAAAATAAAACTTTCTTCTTTATTTTTGAAGCATCTTTCCGGGAAGGACTTGATTGAAATTAGCTTGTCTTGTTTTGGGAGTCTAAACTTTTTTTTCCTAGCCTGCTTTTGAATCGAATTATTTACTTCACAAAATGGAGGTTCTTTGCTTATTGGAAATACGAACGTTAGTGAAAACAATCTAGAAACTCAAATTGACCAAAAAATAAAACTCTTCCGCGTCATAATTAATTTAAGACGGGGTTTCCAGTATCGTTTCTCAGATTTATCAATTAATTCGTTAAATTTATATTAAACCTGTAAGTTTAATGACTTCAAGGTTGTGAAATGTCAAGGAAAGGCAAAGAAAGATAAAACGCGCTCCATGGCGAATTGGAGAACGGGCCTGCTGCGTCACCCGGCTACCTCTTTTCTCTCGCAATCTCTTTTCAAACTCTCATCGTTCTCGTTGTTGCTTTTTAAATTTTGGTGTCTTGCACACTTTTTACGGTTTTCAACAGTACGATGTTTGATTTGTCAACGAAACAAAAAAGAAAGTTGACTCACAACAGATGAAACGTCAACTTCAAAGATTCCCACGGTTCTTTCTTTCATTTCTTTTTTCCCCCATTTTCATCTAACGAATTTGTTTTTCGATTGCAAAGAGCGTTTAGGAGTCAGTTTCAATCCGATAAGAAGCAAAGCATGGAGAGTTGATAACAGGAGACATATTCACGTTGATTTTGGCGGTTTTAAGTTTCAATTTCGATTCAAATCGACCTCCAACAACAAAAATTAAAGTAATGTCTTTTCCATTGTATTATAACCGGTTTTTTTCTCAAAAGTATTCCAAGAAAATTGCTCTTCCTTTGTGTGGAAATTTCCACGAGAGCTTGTTTTTTTCGTCGCGCCATGCCCTATGCCTCATGACCGATGTGAAAATCGGAACGCGCCGTTTCGAAATTTCAAACATAATCTTTTTAAAACTATTTTTCTCGAAAGAAGAAATGTTTTTTCATCGTCGTCATTTTCCCAAGAAACTCAGAGCTTTTGGTCTTGTTTGTTTCAAAAATCTTTGCTTTTAGACCTTTTAGGGCAAATCAAATTACAGAATTCATATAAAAGGGTGCGTTTTTGGTCAGAAACCCGGCAAACAAATCCTTTTGTTGTTTACTGCGTTTTCCCTCAAATTCGCTGATTTTTTTTTTGCGAGTGTAATATTTTCGAATTATTTAACCAGCGTTTTTCATTTTGGAGCTTTTTTAAAGGATATTTTCACGTTTTCAACTGGTGAAGCCTCATTTTCTTGCTCTAAAAACTTTTTTCATTCTGTGCCATCAAGTCTGAAATTTTAGATCAAAATTTTCAGTAGTGGCTGTTTGAAGGCTTTTGAATTTTCCTTTTTCCGAACTGAAATAAAACTTCAAATTTTATCTTAACTAGGTTTTTTTGTGCTTATTCGAACCAGAAAAGCGCTGATAATTTTTTTAATAAAACGTGAAATTTGATCTGTTTCGAAATTCTTTTTCATTTATTTGAACTCGCAGAAAAAAATTCGTGGATTTTTCTGTGCTTTTTACAAATAATATCAACCTTTTTTTCTTATGACAATTTTCAGAACGCTGCTTAAATTTAACGGGTTTTCAAACGCAAAAATAGGAAAGGAGGGGGCAGTCACTCGAGTTATTTTTCCACTTGATTTGAAGGAAAAAAGGGAAAAGCTTCGTTGGGATACCGAAAAAATTGGGTGTTCGTAACAGATGGTGTTGGTATTTACTTTGTGTGCCTCGCTCAGTTTTAGCGACTGACGGAGCCTCCACTCGTGGCTCTCTTTTTTTTTCTCTTTTCAGCGTTTTCCTGACTTTTTTTTTTGCGAACTGACGTCGATTGTTCTATGGTTTGAGGGAGCCTAACCGATTATTTCTTCTTTTATTTATTTTTCATTTTTTTCGGTTAAGTTATGTGAGAATTTCCACGGAAACTCAAAGAGTTATGAGAAACAGCGATTTGTTTTTTTTTTGAAGTGAGAAATTATTTTTTTTTTTTATCGTTTTCTGGTTTTCTTTGGCCTTGAAGGTTAAATACAGGTTTCGAAAAAGTTGAAGTTGAACTATATTTAACAACACACTAGCTTTTTTTACACCTATTAAGTTGATAAAAAGAAAAAAATGATATTTTTGCCTTCTTTAATGCTTGATAATACTTTGTAACTTTTCTGAAAATAAAAAATTTAAAAAAAGCTTCGAGTCTTTTCTTTTTTTGCAGGACAGGAGTTATAAAGAATATATTCATCTGCTGAAAATTCTCATTGTTTTTGAATTTTTTGAAGCTTTTTTTTCGTAATACTTCTGGAAAACGTTCACACGAATGACTAAAAGTTTCTTATCAATGAAGAAATCCTATTTTTTTTTTTTGGTTTTCTCGACGTTTCTTTGTTTGTCCAGGGGATGTTTACAGCATTTGCAACGTTATCGACATTTTCAGGACTTTTAAAGCCATTTCGAATCGATTTCAAGCTCTGTTCATATTTCACACTCTTTTGGACATAGAAGCTAGAATTTCCTGACTTTCGTCATTGATCTTATCATCATTAATAAGGAAAAATTGGCCTCGCGTTTCCGAGATAAAACTGATAAGCACCGTGATGATCAAACCATATTTGACAGTGGTCACTCCATTTTTGGGTTTAATAATCCTAATTTTCTAGAAAGAGTTTTTTTTTTTTGGCAAAGTGATAACTCAGAAATTGCCTGATTTCGAAGAATCTTCTTTCTGGAAAGTAATTTCAAAGAAAAAAAAAGTTTCACTATCGATACATAGTAAATAGTGAATATTTTATCACTTCTAGTTATATAGAAACCTTCTTTCTGCTGAAAATTTTTTTAAATACAGTAAATCGGATTGAAAGATCAAAAAAAGTTGGTCAAAGAGTATTCAAATTTTCATCTGGCAGTTCTCTCTTTTTCCGCACCAATTTTTTTTATTTCACATTCAGAGAGATTTCCCATCTCGTGAATTTTACCGATATAAATGGTCACTCTAGTGTAATAAAAAGCCACCTTTTCAAAAACTCATCGTATTATTTTTCCTTGTCAAACGCCCCAGCTCATTTTTCTATTTCAGGAGTGTCCATAATTTTTGCACCTGATCATTTTTTCTGTTGCTAGGGCATAGTTTATTTCGCTTGCGTGCAATTGTTTATAAATAAATGCGTCGAATTTGCATATCCTCCGTTGGTTTGGCTCAATTTACAGTATATAAAAAAAATAAACGCGATAACTGATATGCGTCATTGTTTTATTTATTTGAAAAAACAAAATCGCGAGCTTTTCCCAGAAATGTTTTTCCTTGTTCGTCACTCTTACATTTCCATTAAACGGTTTCATATATTTCATTGAATTTTTTATTTTTATGATTCATCGAGAAGGGCGTTTTTCCCCTGTCTCACTGGGAAAAAAAAAATTAGAGAGGGAAAAGTCTTGTAAACATTGTCGCTGATCGATAACTGCCCCCGACTCTTGTTTGACTGTATCGTTTTGTACTTATTTTTGTCGCTTCATTTGGAAAAAAGGCTCAATATCGTCACGGTTTCACGTTTTTTGAAGACTACGAAAAGAAGATAAAATATGTTGATATTTCAAAAATCCTTTGGAAGAGTAAAAAAAAAATCTTAACTTTTTAGGGATTTTCTTGCAAATGAACCTGTTAATAGAGCGACTACAAAGTTTCATGAAAATGGTAAAAAAATTTCAAATAAAAAAATTCATATAAATAAAAAAAGTTTTAATTCATCAACTTTTTTTCACTCTTTGTAGTTTATTTTGTCCACCTCGCCTTTTTTTCCCTTCACTTTTTGTCCGCCAATTTCTTCATAAATATTCACTTTCAGATTTCCACTTATCGGGCCTTGTAAATATTTCAAGTTTTCTATATTGGCTGTAAATTTCTCTGCGAGAATGAAGATGGGCTTTATTCGGCTCGGCAGCTACGCCCTGCTGGCCTTTGTTTTGCTGAGTTTTTCAACTTCCCAGGCCGCCGCACCGCCAAAAATTGAAAGAGGTTTGTTCTACGTGCAAAAAGAGCTATTAAGAAATAATTGATGTAGGGGGGGTGATTCTTCTTTTTTTGTTCTAGGGAGAATAGGTTGGATTTTTTTGAACTTCCGTACTTCATATTGAATAATTATTTCCGTTTTTCACGTTTCCTCAAACTACTGTATTGAAAATGTTCAAATCGAGGGTATGTTAGAGTATCCTGTTTGAATATTCATTAATCAAATTTTCTGAACTTCTCAACTGAAAATTAGGAATCTTGTAAATTTAATCACGTATAAATCACAGCTCATAACTTGAATTGTCTTGAATTTCAGCTTTTTTAAATGTAGAAGTTAGAAAAAAAAAACGCAACGCCCAAAACTTTCTCAAATGACCGTGAATTGGGGTCGACGCGAACTTTTGGTGCGCGAGATTTTTCGCCAGGGACACGATGTTTATCGCTTCCTTCGCCCAAACATTCTTAATTTATCTGCACTGCAACCAAAATCAAGACAAATTTCGAGAAGTTTCTCAAAATTGACGAGTTCCGTGGCTGGTAATGATAAGGAGAAGCGTAGGCGATGATAACGGAGGCTTAAAATTGTCTGCGGTCGGTTTTCGCCGGTCACTGCACTTTGATTTGATGGTTTTCGCGGAATCATCATAAACTACGAAGAAAGAGATAATAAATGTCCTTTGATGGCTTAAGAAATTTATGATTTTTAATATTGACAAAAAATTGGTCGGTTTTTTAGATCTAATCGAGAAATTTTAATATAACTACAAGTTCACGTCTATCTGAACATTTTGGAATAAAGTGAGAAAACAGTTGCATTTTCTAGCTGAAATCATTTTCGATATCGTAGCTCATATAAGAAGTTTGTTCACAATTTCCGCGAGTATCTAAAAAAGCCATTTTTTTTTTTCAATTTTTCCAATCTTACATCCAAAATTTTGCCGAACTGTTTCCCTATGCAAACTCATATTTGCTAGAAAAATAAAAAACCCAATTTTAGTGCCGATTTCATCATTTAAAGATTTTGGTGAGTTTTCTCCGTTGTCAGTGACTTTTTTTCTTTCCAATTATTCAAACTTCAAGCATGTTCACGGCACATTTTTCCCCATCTTTCGCTTTTTTGGGGTTTTTTTTTAGTTTAAATATCAATTTTCGGGCTTCTTTACCTGTGCATTCTCGTTTCTGTATAGGTAGTACGGGGCATTTTTCGCGATGGCCGTCGTCAACTTCGCGAATTTCTGCCAAGGGTTCGTTTAAGGGGTGGCTTTCTTGCACTAATCTGTTGGTTGCTTTTTTTCATGTTGGTGGAAGTTTTTTTTTAATACTTCGTGGCTTTGATCATTTTTTTTTTCCTATATGAAAATGTAGAGTCAAGTTTTCAAGAAAAAAAAAATCGAGGATAATTTTTGAAGTGAAAACTTGTGGTTTCCCTGTTTTCTATTTTAAAAATGTTTAAGAGAGGATTTTTATGAATAGCAGATAAGAAAGTAGCATTTTGAATATCAGAAAAACTTTTCTTGGCATAAATTTTCCTTGTACTTTCCTATTTTTCGCATTTTATTTGATTTATCTTTGTCCCTCGTTAAAGTACTGCATGAGTGTGTGAAGAAAAAGCGAGAAATTTCCAATTTTCAAACCAGTATTCTGAAAAAAATCATACTTATAGAAAAAAAGAAGCTTGTTTGAAATTATTATTGGAAAGCTGGAAATTTCCAGAAAAATTTTGCTCAATTGATCTTACAAGTTAGGAAATTTCTGCTCTTTCGTTTTATTTCGAAATAAACAATTGATTTTTTTCAAAAAAATAAATGAGCAGAGGTCAACTCTTGCTTTACACTACGTGTTCACCTATCTTTCAAATCTCGTGACTCACGTTTTCTCTATTTGTTTTTTGTTTTCTGTCCGCCATCGTTCAAATCGAGGGAATGTTATGAAGCGATTTCAAAGGTCTTGCACCCAGTTTTACGGACGAGGTCGCAGCGAGAGAAACGCTATATCGCGGGGGAGCCGCGAGCTATATCGCTCGCCTCTCGGCGCAAGGTCGCTCACATCTCGCTGCTATGTCGCTCTTTCAAAAAAATTTTTAGCTCGATTGGGCTTTTTCTTGATTTGCTTTCTATTCTTCATACTTTTTATTGGGTTGTAAATGATAACATATCGGTCTTTATCAACCTTCTTTACTTTTTTTATTTAATATAAACAATATATTTTTAATGAAAAACTTGAGAGCATTAAAGAAATTTCCAAATAATTGATGATACATTTTCGAATTCGAAGTAAACTGAAAGTATGTACAAATCTGAAGAAGATTGAATTGAGGCGAAAGAGTGAAGCTTCAAGTAAGAATAAAAAAAGGACAATATGAGGAAAAACATGTGTATCGTTCACTTTTCATAGGAAAAAAATGTGACTAGGAAAAAGAGTAGTTTCAATAAAAAAACAGAAAAAGTAAAACCGATTGTAAGCTCGTAGATGATCTTTAAAAAGTTCAAATTAGAAAAAATGAATGAGGGAGGCTCGAAATGAAAATGAAAGAAGTTTTGAAAAAAAGAAAAATTAAGTTAAACAATCAGATTGACCCTAAGTTCCCTTTAAAAAAATGTTACTGTAAGCTTTGACTCGATAGTTTTTCGGCATATCCTTCATTTGCTGCGTCAAGAACTTTTTCTAAATGATAAAACCGGTAAAAATGAGAAATACTGAAAAAAAGTCCAACCTTGAATAAGAGAATAACTCACAGGAGCGACTGTATCAAGACAGCAGTTCGTGCTTTCTCGAAATCATGCCTCATTTCTTCTTTTTCCTTACCCATCGACGCCAAAGTGCAAATCATATCTTCAAGTAAAAAAATGGATATACTGTTTCAAAAATAGTTTACCAAGAATCTTATTGATTGTATCCAAAAAGCAAAGTTTCGGTGCCATCTCCCACGGATCTTTCTTGACTTTTTATTGATCGAAAAATGTTAGATGCCATTTTGAAGTACTAATAACCTGAAATTCTTGGTTAAAAACATGAAAAATGCGAAAAAAAGGACTTTCAAATTCAAGAAAGGTGTGCAGTTCCGTCAAAATATATACAAAAAAACGCTTTTTATCACAACTTTCTTTAATGGGATTTCACCCTTTGAAACTCTCTGGAAATATGATGACTGTTGATTGTAACACCGTGGTGAAAAACTTAGAAACACAGCTGAAAAAAAGTTTCAGAAAGATTGAGCTCTATACGAGGAAGTTGTGAGCGAAAAATACTTTTCCTCTTCTGACGGTACTGTATGAGCGTTACATTAGTTGTAAAATTAACATTTTAGAAATATTAAGTGAAAAAAAATAGACATAAAAAAAATCAGAGAGAATATAACACACGAAAAAAATAAAACAATTCAAGTAAAATTTTGATGGCACGTAAATAGTGACCAATCGATAATCCGCGACCTCGCGCCGATATCGCGCCGGGAGTTTGCTAGAGCTGAGCGAGATGGCAGCGAGATATGTCGCTGCTATGTCGCGCCACTCTCGCTGCGATATAGTCCACGAAACTGGGTGTGGGAACCGAAAAAAAAATTTCTCATCAAAAAGTGTCCTGGAAAGAGGTATTGTTGATGGGAGTTGGGAATGGCTTGGAAATTATGTTTTTGTACGATAAATTTGATTTTTTTTTTTGTGAAGCGCTAACCGCTTTTCATGGCTTGGCACACTTGCGTTCAGTTACAATGGGAAAATTCCAGTACTTGGTGAAATTTGCTGCAAATCGGCTACATTCGTGAAGAAAAATCGGTTGAAGCTTAAAAAATTCTGAAATGTGTTCCAAAACGTAAGAAAATAATCCAAAAACGAAAATTATTACGGTTTCGGAGCAATTTTAGTCCGCCGACAGACACTGTTTTGCGTTTTGAAACCCATCGGACTTGGGTGAAGCGAATCGGGCGTTTCGAGGCATTTATAGTGACCACTTTAGTAGCGTCAGCACTCTTAAGTGATCCCTAAAACGTCCGGAGCGCATCCTGTTCTCGTAACCGAAGTTCGAAATGTTCCGTATCTCCGATGGACACGAAAATTTACATTCGAAAAAAAAAAAATCAATTTTCAAAGTTATACTGATTTTTTTCACGCAAAACCTGGAATTCTCCCATCACTTGATTGAGATTGATTCTTTTTTGTTTTTGATCATTCTTGCGCTGTTTAAATATTTGTTTACATTGCAGGATGCGGGAATGAGACGTTCCAGTGCGACGACGGCCGCTGTATCCCGGTGGGGTGGCGCTGCGACGGCGACATCGACTGCAAGAGCGAAGAAGACGAAAAAGACTGTCCCAGTGCGTTTTCGATGTTTTTGGGGAAAAATCAGTATCAGATCGGAACTTGTTCCATGGAAGGAGATTACAGAGGATAGCCTAAAAGTATAAATTATTCGAAAAACGGACTTCTACCTTTTTTGAAGTTTTTTCTATCTTTTTTTTTTTAAAGAGAAAGTTTTCTATTGAATGAGCTCACATATAAGAACCCAAAACTGTCTTTATTTATGATTTTTCACTTCCATATGAGTTCAAAAATTATCTTCTATCGTCTCTCGAAGCATTTCTCTGGGTAAAAGCAAGAGATTCGATAACTCGAGCTGCGTCTTTTTCAAAAAGCATACTCAATTTTTCAATAGAACCTGAAAATGAGGAGAAAAGAACGTCCGAACCTCTCCTTTTCGCACATTCTTTTGTTAACGGTGAGATTTATTTAAAAAGGTGATTCACTCCGTCTATGTACTGTGGCTTCAAGGAATTATGGCTTTTCCTAGTTTAGAACCAAAATTTTCGAATCCACATTTTGAACAGTTTTATTCCAGCCGACTGTTCGGTGGGAGAGTACAAATGCACGAACTCTTTCCCGGATTCTCGCGGCGTCAAACGACGTCTCCAGTGCATTCCGGCGCGCTGGAAGTGCGACGGCGAAATCGATTGCGAAGATCGTAGCGACGAAAAAGGATGCGAATGTTGGTTCAAACTGATGTTTCGAATAATGATGAAGCTTTTCCAGCGGTCAACTGCGGCGCTGATCAGTTCAAATGCGACGAGTTCGATGGCAACTACGCTCTGTGCATTCCCAAGACTTGGGTTTGCGATGGACAGGTTGGAAATTGCTTGGAACTTGGGCTGGATCCAACCTCGGAATGGACAAATTGCGGCCATTTTAATAGATTTTCGAGTTTTTTTGCGCGCTAAAGGCTTGGATTGGATCTAGCCCACGTATTCTTGAAAATATCTGAAAATCACTCACTTCTCGAAAGTTGAACCAGAATAGACTTGAAAAAAAAGCTGGACGTAGAAAAGAAACGTTTTCGAAACGATATTTAAATCTTTAAAAAAATCAGTAACTACTCCCAGGGAAATTTCTGGCTATTTTATCTAAATCGGAAGCTCTCGATACGGATTATATTGTAGGAACTACTGAAATAAGGGATCAAAAATAAAAGGACATAAAAATCACATAATCTTTTTCAAATCATTAAAAAACACCGTTACATATCAAAATTTTAGTAGATTTTGATCATTTAGAGCGAATTTATAGCCAAAGAAATCAAATATGTATAACTTTTTTCACGTCTCAATTCAAACTTTTTTTTTCATATCAAAAACTGTTTCTGAGCTTTGGAAAATTCCACAATGAATAACCTTGCTCTAGTATTTTTTCACCTAAAATTTATTTAAATTTAACCAAGGAATCACGTTTTACGATTTTGTCGCTTACAGAAAGATTGCGCCTCGGGAAACGACGAGGAGAGCTGCGTGAAGAAAACTTGCGCCGACTCTGACTTTACGTGAGTTTCAAGCATTATTTTTATCCGAAAAAAAACGTGAGGCTCTTTTCAGAAGGAAATGTTATATAATTTTACTTTTCTGCTTGAAGTTTTCTGTAATTTCGTCAAAACTTGAAGGTCCTTGCCTTTTATTAGCTCAAGACCTGATTTTGTATCAATTGCAAGTTTTTTTAAAGGTCTTAGCTGCTTAACGAATAGTTTGCCCAATTATCGATTGTTAGGTACTTAAATCTAGTGTTTCAAAGGCCGATTCAATAATTCCAAACTGATAACTGACTCTCCCTCGTCAGGCATAGTAGTCATTAAAAGTTGGAAAATATTCTCTCTCATTTGCCTTTTTTCAGCTGCGGTAACGGAGTTTGCATCTTCAAGAGCTGGCAGTGCGACGGCGAAGATGATTGCGGCGACGGCACCGACGAGTTGGTCGGAGCTCCTTCCCATTGCAACATCACAACGGCCAAGTGCGACCAGAAAGAAATGTGGAAGGTTTGTGTTGATGTAGAAATGAATACTTCTAGGTCGAGTAGATTGGGTTAATCTGAATAAAAGAGATCACGTGAAAGATTAGACCACGAATAGAGTATAAAAGGGGTCAATATGCACAGAACGGCATCCAACTCGAACTACTCAACCACCTTCTTCCGCCTCCTGATTCCTCACTGCCATGCGCCGCCGACGATGACGACTAAGCCAACACTCAGAGGGTTTTTATTGACCTTGTGAGTATTGGAAGTCATCAGGATGTGGTGGTGAGGATTCAGGAGGTGGAAGACGGTGGTCGAGGCAGTTTGATGCACTTCTGGGTATATCGATCATGTTATACTCTTGCCATGGTCATCTCCCACGTGATCTATTTTATTAAGTTTGTTTTCCCGCGAAAATCGGCCGCAGTTTAAAAACGCCCGCCGTTTCAGTGCCGATCCGGCGACTGCATCCCCAGCAAGTGGCGCTGCGACGGCGAACCCGACTGCATGGATCACTCTGACGAGAAACAGTGCGATGACGTCGTTCATCTCTGCAAGATTGCTGAGGTCTGAGAGGGGGCAGACGGATGGATAAAAATGGCTTTGGCTAAAAATAACAAGAAGCTCATCGCAAAATTCATTTGAGAATATAGTTCAAAGAATCTGATTGAATAGACATTCTTTTTGAAAGTTTTCTAGTTTACTTGAATTTTTTGTATCAGTTTCGAATTATGCGTAATTGAGCGTGGAAACCACGGAGAACCCTGAAAAATATATTTTGTTTTCTCAAGTGACTTCTTCATTCTAATTCCTCCGTGTTTTCTTAAACTTCTCTATTAGGTTTGAAAAATTGGTATTTTTGACGTTATTTCTTGAATTTGACCATATTTGGTCACTTTTTTCTGGAGTTTTGAGGTGACTAGAGCCAATCAGAGGCGCTGTTCGTTTTCAGTTCCACAGAGGCGTTAATCAGTTTTTTAGGTCCCTTTTTCATGATACCTTTTTATTCCTTGTGAGCGTTCTTTAGAGTTTTTAGTTCTTTAAATTCCTTCTTCATGGTTCTATTTTAGTACCTTCTTTAGAGTTCTTCAGATTCCTACTTCAGACTTCTCTTCTCATTTCTCTAGAAGCGTTCGAAATATTTTTCCGAAATTCAAAGAAAAAATGTTGAAAGCAGTCTTCAATGGATCTTATGAAGGAATTCGCGTGCCACGCGTCGACCCACTGCATCAACAAGCTGTGGGTGTGCGACGGCGAGGAAGACTGTCCCGACGGCTCCGACGAGACTTCCTGCGACAGGCCCAAGGAATGCGCCGTCGGCGAGAGAAAGTGTCCCACAGACCCTTCCGAATCCCACATCGTCACCTGTCTGCCAGAAACTTCTTGGTTTGTCTCTTTTCGTGGTTTTATTAGTTTTGAGAAAATCTCGATCAATCCATTTTCTAAGAAAACGGAGAAAGTTTGACCTAGAAGCCTTTTTGAAAAAAGGAAGGTCTATTTATTCAGTTATCGCTCATTCGGCGTTAGCTTGTCCCGATTTTTCTATTCCTCCGACCCCTTCCTTCGATACCCGATGTCTATCTCGGCGTGCGCCTATAATTTAACCTAAGATATACGTCATATTAAAGGCGCATGCCAAGCTGCGCGCATTGAAGCAAAGGTTCTGTAGTTTGATAGAAAAAGACGTAAAAAGATGGCGCGAAATGTACTTTGTGTAGTAGAAATTTTCGGAGCTGAAGTTCTTCTTTTTTGAGCTTTCGGAACTCCTTCTGTCGCTGGATATGCGCCTTTAATTTAGCTTAAATTTTTCGTTGTATTAAAGGTGCATGCGGAGAGTAGCCGCGCGTATCGAAGAGAAGGGTATTGTAGCTAGGAGGATAAAAAAAAGTGTAAGAAGATGGCGCAGAATGTGCCAAGAAACGACAGATTGAAAAATATTTAAAATTATCTTCCAAAAATCAATTTATAATTTACAACAGTTCACGTTTTTTTCTAACAGTTTTTAATTCTCTGAATTTTTCAAATTTTTGTCCTGGTCCGGAATCATTGATATACAAGGTTTTGTCTTTAAAAAAAGATATTGATGAATTTTATAATATTTCCAGGTGCAACGGCTTTGAAGATTGTCCCAATGGTGGCGATGAGAAAGACTGCAACGTTACGAGAGGTAGATTATTTTTGAAATTGTTTATGTCGTGAGCAGATATAAAGCTATTAAAAAAGAGAATTCGAGAAAAGATCGAAAAAAAAACCGACGTTTTCAGAAAGTTTGAGGAAAAAGGGTTTTTTTGTAGTCACCGAGTGCAAAGAAGGCATCGAATACACGTGTCCGTCGACCCCAACCCAATGTTTCAATTATTTGGACCTTTGCATGAACAAAAACTCTGACTGTGGCGATGGAAATATGGCTGTCTGCAATCAGGCCGACAAACTTGGTGAGAAAATTGGAAAATATGGAAGGAAATAAGTGTTGGCATTGTTCAGCGTTCTGTAAGAAGAACACGGAAGGCTGTCGATGCCGCGATACGTACGTCAAAGGCGTCCAAATGTGCCATTGTACGATCGGATTCAAGCTTGTCAACGGCGCCTGTGTTGGTGGGTTTCTGGGGGGAAATCGAAGGAAAATTTGAATTTTGAAGAGATATATCCTAAAAAAAGCTTTTAAAAATTCGGTTGCGTAAAGATTCTGCCATGTTGAGAGCTCATGAAAAAAATCACCCTTGCTGCAAAAAAAGAATAAACCCGCCAAACTCGAGCTTTGCGCCAATGTCAACTGCTCTTTGGGCTAGAATTTCTTAAAATTTCATCGAATTTTTCGAAGACTGAAATTTTCGGAAAAAATATTTCAAAGAAAATGAGAGCTTCTAAATAAATTTTGGACTCTCGCAGCCATCTGTTTTAAAAAATAATCAGAGCCAAAGGCGGAAAAGTTCATCTAGAGTAAGCAAAAGAAACGAGGGTCTTTTGCCATTTTTCATGAGGTTCTAAGAACTTTTCACGATTTTACCGTATTGAAGACATTTGAGTTGCTCAATAGTGTCCAGAATTGATCTTTTTTTATTATTAATTTTTCACTCTTTTTCGCCAAAATGACTTCGAACGAACTATTACGAAAAAAATCTAATTATGAGAAAGAAAAATGAGAAAAAAATATTTTATCTGCAGACATCAACGAATGCGAAGAGTCTGGCATGTGCGACCAGGTGTGCCACAACACAGCTGGATCCTACACCTGCTCCTGCATCCCCGGCTACAAGCTCAGCCGCGACGCGAACCAGCCCCGGTCCGTGCCCGGCCGTTGCCGCGCCATGGGTGGCGATCCTCTCGTCCTGCTCAGCAACCGGTGAATTTCACTTCTCTGGAAATTTAAACTTGAAGAAAAGAATAGTTTTGGGAGATTGATAACCGATTTTTCCTAAACTTCCGATTTTAACAGTCCGTTTTTCGCGACCTGTGAAGGCGGGATTTATTTGCAACCTACAATTAAAATCTCGAAGAACCTTTTTTTAAGTTTTTGATGGAGAATAATCGATTTTGTTAACGAGAAACGTGACTGAAATTATCCAAAAAAAAAAACGGATGTTTATCATATTGGCGCCAAAAACACATTTTGATTGCTGCAATACGCCGTTTCAAGCCCAGAAAAAAATGGATTTTATAGTATTTTTTTTGATCTTCAATATTTTTCGCTAGAATGTCTTTTTCATTTGTCTTTTCATTAATCCTTTTTTTCTGAAAAATAAGACATTCCTGCTAAATTTTTAAAAAAAGCATTTTTTTCCTTTTTCGATAATTGTGAGGGAGATAAAGAATCACACTAATTGAATAAAAATTCTGAAAAAAATACTGAGTTTTTTCCGTTTTTCAGCGCCACGATTCGCCAATTCGACCTGGTCACCAATGTTCACTTCCCACTGATCACCAGCCCTGGATCCGCCGTCGCCATGGATTTTCACTTGACCAACGGGGTTAGTTTGGAAAACAAGCCAAAAGAGCTAGATTTTCTTGATCCAGATTAAGAAATAGGGCTGTAGTAGAATATTCTGAAGGCACTTTACTCAATTTCAAACTTAACAACTTCCCCAAGCTTAATCATACATGGGCTGGGATCCCATTCAGCACTTTCACTCCCCCGATCCATTGATCAATGAACTTTTACAGACCCTCGTTTGGTCGGACATCACGACGAAGCAGATCCTCATGTGCAAAATCGGCAACGACTCCGGGCCCCATCACATGATTTCCAGCCAAAAATGCGACCAGGACCGCTTCATGGTGGTTGACAGCGACATCCACACGCCGGACGGCCTGGCCATTGATTGGATCCACGACTTGCTCTTCTGGACCGACGGAGCTCTCGATCAAGTCTCGAATGATAACCATAAATATATAAATCAATGCATAACTTCAGGTCAACGTTCTGAACCTCAAGACGAAGAAACGCCGCGTGCTGTTCTCCTCGGATTTGGAGGAGCCCCGCGCGATCGCCGTCGACCCGGAGATGGGACTGATCTTCTGGACGGACTGGGGCAAGGAGGCGAGAATCGAACGCGCCGGAATGGATGGACAGAACCGAGTGGTCCGTTTTTTCTGGTTTTTGTAGACAAAATTTATTTTTCCAATGTAAATGTGATTACTTTTGTTATTCAGAAGTTAGTAATCTCCCAAAAAATTTTTTGAAGTTTTGGAGTTTTTAATAATCTGAAAGTCTTTGAAAGTCGTTTTATGAAAACTGCACTATTTTAAATAGAGGGTAGAACTTTTAATAAAAATTCATGAAGGAAATTAAAGATTAATCGAGAAACTAGAGAAAAATAAATTCCTCTCTTTGAAATATTCGGAAAAAAAGAAATATTTTATGCAATTTAGGATTGATATTTTTTTATTTGGGAGCTTCTATTATTTCAAGTTCGTACAGCAAAAATGGGTGTTTCTCGCCAATTTTGAATAAACACTAGAAGATTGAATCATGCTCAAAATCGATGGCCTATCTTTTTTTTTCAGGTGATTGTGAAAGGTGATCGCGTGAAATGGCCAAACGGCTTGGCTTTGGACTACGTCGACAAACGCGTCTACTGGGCCGACGCCAAGATCAAGAGCATCTTCAGTTGCGACTACTGGGGCAAGGATGTCAAGGTGAACAATCTATGGCACTTTTCAAAAATACATAGATTTTTCCTTTAATCAAGATTTAATTTTTGAAATTTACTGCTTGCAAGTTTCTGATAAAATCTTCTACAGGACTGAAAATGGAGCTTTTTTGAGATTCTTTTATTTTCCCAAGAAGTAAATTTTCATTTTCAGACGGTACTCCACTCGCACGAGTATCTCCGCCATCCATTCTCGATTGCCGTTTTCGAGGACCGCGTCTACTACACGGATTGGGAACACGATGGCGTCATCACTGTTAACAAGGTGAAAACCCTAAAAAAAAAAGCATTTCGGGTCGTAAAAAGCAATCTTTGATAAAATTCATCAAGGAAACTCATTGTGGGAAAATTTCATTTTATTGGGAAATACATTTATTTTTCTTCTTTCTTAGGCTTTGAGAGTGTATTTCGAATGTTTTGAAATTTAAAAAAAAAAGTAAAATCAGCTTTGAAACCATTCAGAGTGAAAAAGATTGAATTTCTCTTTCTATCTTAAATAGATCTTATTTCATATAATAGTTTTTTTCTAACTAGGGATCGTTTACTCCGCATGCACTTTTGATGAAACTCGACTGAATTGTATTTTAGGGCTTCCTGATTGCAGAACCAGAAAACAATTTTTCGCCACTGGTTTTCGGATTAAGAAGCTCCAAAGTTCGCAAAAAACGCAAATTAATAAAAAAAAAAGGCGCTATTTCAAGCTTTTGAAGAGTCAAAAAGGCTCTCTAATAAGGATAAAATTAATTTTTTAAGCTGTATTCAATAAACCATTATCGTTAGATTATTTTCAAATTTCAGTTCACTGGAAGTGATGTTCGCAAAGTTATGGACAAGGTCTCCTCGCCGATGACGGTCCGAATTTATCACAAGCAGGCGCAGCCCCTCATGGAGAACAAGGTGGGAAAGAAAAAAAACTTTCAGAGCTCGGGAGTTAAAATATGAGAAAACTATATAATTTTATTTCAGTGCATTGCCTCGAAATGCGATCATATCTGCCTCCCGCGGGCAGTCATTCGCCAATCGGAGAAAAGTTCGGAGACGCCTTGGCACGATCGCCCGTTCTCCTGCGCCTGCGAGGGGACCACTCCCTCCGATGTTTTGGAGTGTCTTTGTGAGTTTTCAAAATCATTGGCGCGGTGGAAGTTGAAGAAAAGGTTTCATTAAGGTGCGGAGATTTGAAATATATTTAATAAAGATTCCAAAAAAATTTGTTTTCATTATTTTCACGAGGAATCTACTCGCAAGGTTTAGAAGCAGAAAGGCCCTTTATGCGCTTTCAATGAAATTTCAAGCTGATGTGGAACAACAACAAAAACTTGATCATAAAATGTCTAAAGCGATTTTTTTTTCTTTCTTTAAAAAGAACTGATTGGAATTTACGAGTTTCAGCTGAACTCGAGACCGGATCCGGAGCTGGCTTCTCCCTTTTCACCATGCTCCTGATCCTTGCCGCCATTGGAGGCTTCGTTGGGGTGAGTTTGGAGAGATTTGTAGGAGCAACAGCTCTCGAAGCGTGAAAAAATTCTTAGGTTTACTTCTGATTATGAAGGCTTTACTGTCCGCCAATCTTTCCTGGTTATTTAAAAACTTTTTGAATGTTAAATTTTAGGCCAATCCTTCTTGGTCTTGAAATAAACTATAAAAAGTTTGGTTAGAACTTTCGAGGGCTGGAAAACTATTATTTTTTTTTTCAATTCTAGTCAAACTCAAAATTCCCATCGACAAAACCGTGTTAGTTTATTGAATCTTAGGATTTTTCCTCTTTTTTTAATTTATATGTTTTCAAAAACTAATTTTAAAAGCTTAATAGTAGCCTTTTTCAAAAATATACCTCTCTTGGAAGAATAATGGAATAGGTGAAGGTACCTAGGGCAATCTGTGAACAAAAAGTTACAATCGGATCTAGAGAATTGAGTTTTTTGAAGTTCAAATGCCTCAACCATGTAGATACGATTGAACAGTTGTTCTTCTTACACCTGAAAAAATGTCCAAATTTTAGGTGGCCCTGTTCTACCGCCGCCGCTACACGCCCGGCACTTTCACCGCCCTCAACTTTGACAATCCGATCTACCGCCGAACGGTGCATGACACCGAGATGGACGATCCCTTCCGGGACCCGTTCCGTGAATCGGGCGCCGCCTCCCTGCCACGTCTGATCGTCGAGGACCCCGAGCAGGACGTTCAGAATACGGCGAGTATTGGAAAAAAAAAATTAGCAAGGACGGTAAAAAATTGAATTCGGCGGTTTAGAGAACAAGCCGTCGTCAGTATTTTCCTTGTTGTTTTTCTGAATTTGAACTTTTTTGGTTTTTTCCAACAATTCTTGCGGAAGAGTTCGTTATTCAGTCGCCGAGGACAAAGGACATTTAAAAATCGAAAATTTCGACATCCATTCTCACTATAGTACTCAACGTTTGAATAAAATTGTGTTTCCTTTGACCTCAAAAAGGTGAAAAAAAATCAGAAAAATCGAAAAAAAAAATCAAAAAGTCTCATTTTTGCTCCAGTTTTTTTTTATGAAAATATTCCACCTCGAAAAAAATATGAAAGTTTCCCGTTAGGGCTGAATATTTTTTTTGTCCTGAGAAATTCACGGAATTTCTCTATGCTATGCTCTCAACAGTCATAATGGAAATTCTCCAATAAAATTTTTTTCGAAATGAAAGAAAGTTCTTCAGGCTGCTCCCGCATCAAACGTCATTGCTTAGACGTCTCTCGACACCACGAGAAACTTTCTGAAACTTTGTCACTTTGTTCTCTCACTTCTTGTTTTTTTCTTTCAATTTGCCAAATTTTTCATTTTTTAATTATTTTTATTCTTCTCCATTACCTGTATATCGAATGCGTGTAGTCCATTTTGTTGAAATCCGATTCGGATGGCGTGTGAAACCAAAAAAAAAAGCAACAAAACCAGGTCGAAAAATGTGTATTCTCAAGTTTCCGGTTGTAGGCCGTTTTTACATGACCTATCCATTTCTAGAAGCTTTTCCATCAGATTTCTATTTCCTCAACCTTCTTGGTGCAATATATAAATTTCTTCTTCAAAAATCCTCAAAATTGTGATAGCGGCTTATCTCCACCCCCTGGTAGCTCAACGTTGTTTTTTCGCCTTACTTCATTGTGTATTTGTTTTTTTCTTTTATGCTTGGGGCGATTCGTTGCGGGGCAGTTCCGCCCTACGGATAAATTTTATTATATTTTCCGTTAGATTTTCAATCAAATCGGGCGAATCGATATATAGTCTATTCATAACTCTTGCTGGGAATTTAAAGGCACAAGTAAGTCGAGACGGCTTAACAAGGCCCGAAAAATCGTTTCGAAATTTCCTTTTTCGGTTTTCAAATTTTCTCAGACATTGGTAACGCGAAACGGACGTGCTCCGGACGTTTCTGGGCGATTCTAGGGATGTGCTGAAGCTACTGGAGTGGTCACTAGAAATGCCCAGAAACGTCCGATTCGCGTCCCGTTCGTGTTACTAAGGTCCGAGTACACGAGATGAAAGAGAAGAACCTTTTTAAGCAAGACTTTTGCATCTTTAAACACCCAGGAAGCGTTTCTGAACTGACTATTTTGGGTTATGACCGACGGTTTTGAGGCTCCAGGTCCTTCCAAACTTTTCTCCATCTTCACCTTTACTGCGCTCAAATCGTCAATTGAAACCTTGTAAACCATTCTTGATCCAGAGCTTTTTTCAATTCCTGTGGGATTTTCTTTTTTCTTTTTCACGTTCGATGTATGAAGCTTGTATACTTTTTACGCGTCGCCTGTGATACTTTTTTTTTTCTTTTTCCTGATGATTTTTTGCTTCCCCTACCACACAATGCCTTAAACGTGCGCATTTTTAAATTATTATGATTTTTTTGAACAGTTTGATTCTTAATTTGTTCGTTTTCGGTATAAAATTTTGAAAGAATCGCGTTGTTTCAAAAAAATTAATGTTTATTTGCATCGTTTCGAGGTATTTGAAAAAATGGATATTGTTGGAAACATTCATATTGACAGAAGGAATGGAATATCAAGAAAAGCTTCGATTTGCCGTCAGCTGCTCCAGCAATATGAATCGCAGCATGGAGGCGCATAGTATTCTCAAGTTCGTTATTTTATTGAAGTTATCTTTGATTTGTATTTTTTTCCAAACGGTCATCTACTTCCACTTTAAATATTTTTTTCAGATGGGAATTTTTTTCGACTCTTCGAGCCGTAAACTTTATCAAAAGCATGAAGAATGAAAATTTTCTATAGAACGATTTTTTTTTATTCCTCAGTCTGTCTGTTTTTTATTGGTTTGTTTGATAGAACTAAATAAAAATTGTTTGATGTGAGAAAAATTCATTAATTTAAATCTGTTAGAAGGATAATAGGAAGGCTTTCTACTACCAGAAATAATTATCCGAGAAAATAATATATGGGGCGAAAAATTTCGTTGAAAATTTGAAGGCAAAATCACGATTTAGACATTTTTTTTGTCAGACATACACTGTCAAATTACTGCATCAAATTTATATTTTGATAAGGAACGAAAGTAGTTGATTAGGTACTTCAGTTTTGACCTTTTTCGATAAAAAATTCTGAAAAATTGCTTGAAGTCGAGGCAAGGCTTTCACACTTCAGAAAACGGGGTTTCAACATCGAATCGTACGGTTCGGGAAATCAGGTGAAGATGCCCGGGCCAAGCATCGACCGGCCGAATTGCTACGAGTTCGGCACCACAACCTACGATTTCATCTACAATGACCTTCGTCATAAAGATGTTCATATGTCGGTGTCCTCTTTGTGGGAAATTCTCGGAAGGAAAGATTGAAGGTACACTCAAAACGGCCTCCTCAACATGGTCGACCGCAATCGACGCATCAAAAAGTGTCCACAGAGGTTTCAAAACGAAACGCGCGAATTCGACATCGTCATTTGTTTAGAAGAACGAGTTTATGACCAGGTTATCGTTGATTTTATATGGCTTTTTTCCAAAGATTTTAATTGATCTGCAAAAATAAACTTTTTATATGTTAAGAGAACTTGAAGCTTGAAAGAATGATTTGAAGACCAGGTATCGTTGATTTTGAGCGAACTACTATTCTGGATTTCAATGTATCATTTTTTTATAGGTTATTAAAACTGTTTATTTAGCTGAAGGTTCATCTCCGAAACAATTCTCAATAAGATGAATCCAAAAATGGCTTTTGAAGACAATTTTTTTTTCAGCTAACTAAGGTTCAATGGTTACGACTTCAAGCTCGCCAAAAATTCATAAAATTCATAGAACCGTTATCAACTCATTTTAATGTCATGTCGTAATTCACCCTTAAAACTTTTAGTTAGCTAGAAATCACCTTCAAAGGCGTCCAAAATCTAAATAGGTTTCTCAGTAGGATTTGAATATAGCTGAGAAAAGCCCATGAAGTTATGAAGAAACCTTTTCTGAATGGTGTGAAGATCCTGAAAAGATCAATCCGCAAAATTTTGATGAATTTGACATTTAAAATTTGGAAGTTTTGAATAGGTCTTTTTAGTTTTTTTTTGCTCATAGATTCATTCCTATCGGTTTCTAGCTCACATAAGTTTTTCTTTTACTTTTCAACGTTTTCCGAATTAAACTTAGCAAGAGTTCTGAAATGTTGGAAGGCTAAATAATTGAGAAACCTTAAAAATTCCAGAACCGCTTGATTATTTCTGATCATTTCTCAGGTAGTTGACCACCTGACGCGAAGAACTGGTCTGACGGGTAACGTGGTGCACGTGATAAACATCGACATCGAGGATAATCCCGAAGAAGCGACGTTAGGCGCTTTTTTCGTCGCCGAGATTTGCAGCAAGGTTTGAAAAACATTGAAAGTTGGAAGAATCTCAAAATCATCTTCAAAAAAGATCCTGAATTTTGTTTGAAAAAGCATGGAAAAAGTATGGATCTAAAAAAAAAAATAAATTCGAGTGTTTTCAGTTAGAGTCTTGTGAGGACGTCGACAATGAAATCGACGAGATTTTGGCCGAATTTGAGGTGAAAAACCCGCGACGGAACATGCTCCACACGGTTTGCTACTATTAAGAGCAACTGTGTCTTTTTCATTCTGTGATCTCTTTTTTTTGTTAGATTTTTCCGATTTAATGAACTTCATTCCGTTTTTACATCAGAAATGTCTAAAGATCTTCCTTCACTCAGATTTTTTGATGCCGTGTTCAAAGGAATTCCGAAATTTGAAATTTCCTGATTCTCCCAAATTTAGTTGTCTTTTTCACTCTCTAAATGCTATTTTCAATTTCGTGGAAACCCTTTGAACACGGCAAAAGAGAGAAAAATTGAAAATAATAGAAACGAGTTTACTCAGAATTAATTAAACATTGGATGAAATGCGGCAGGGACTAGAAATGACAACTGATTCGAACGAATTTAAACGAATATTTTCCCGGTTTGATTGAGCGTCGTGTAGCTCATTTTTTTAACTGAAATATTGATAAACAGATTTTTTTTTTCAAAGCGCAGAGCAAGGTCAATCAAATACCTCTGCAAAAACTATTTTCGAACTTACGTCTTTGAACAAAAAAAAAGGAACCTTGTCATTTATCTCACGAAGCTTGACTCTGACGACTTTTCCGGCGGGAGTTCTCGGAATTTGCTCGATGAAATGAATCCCGGCCAGTTTTTTGTGTGGCTCCAAACGTTCTGAAAAATTAATTTCCGTTGATTAGCTTATGAATGAGAAAACTTCCAACTTTTGTTTGTAGTCAATTTTTTTTAGTCCACAGAAGTAGAAAAAAATACCCAACCTTTCAAAAACTTGTGAACGTCTTCTTCTTTTAAGGAATCGTCCTTTTTGACGATAAAGGCGAACGGCGCTTTATCTTTACCATTCGAACTAGGGAAACCCAAAATGCCGACGTCCGAAATCAGGGGATGCGCCAGAAGTTCGTCTTCGATTTCTGGCGCTGATACCTAGAAAATCAGTACTTGAAAGTTTCTCGAAACGAGTATATTTCTATCCAAAAACGTACAGCTTTTCCGTCGACCATCAAAATCTCGCTCATCCGGTCCACAACGTAAAGTCTTCCTTTTTCATCTACTCGACCGGCATCGCCTCAATTTTTTCACTGTTGATGCCGCTTTTAAAGATATGTGGCTCGCGGGTTTTCAATGCGACATGAAGGTTCCAGAATCAGTTTCCTCACCACTATGTAGCCATCCATCTTTCAATTTTGGCTCCGTTTCTCCTGCCAATTTATACCCAGCCATCATCATTGGGCCGCGGATTAGAATCTCGCCGACTTGATTTGGTCCCAGTTCTTCACCCGTTTTGGGATCGATAATCTAATTTTATTCCGTTGAAGTTGAAGCCTTGATGGGCAAACCTTGCACTCAAAGGTCGAACAAGGGCTTCCGCATGTCATGAAATCTTCTTTACTTTGGTTGAAGTCTGGACAATGACTTGTCATCCCTGTTTCAGTCATCGCGAATCCTTCACGAGCGAAGTCCTCATTTATGACTATGTGAAACCGTACCTTGCATAATCTTAACATTCGGGAACTTTTTCATGAATTCTTTGGCCAAGTTTTTGCCGAGAGGCGCTGCGGCGCAGAAAACGATCCGTAGAGAGCTCAGGTCGAACTTTTCGACGACCGGATGTTTTGCCAAAACTCGCAAAAGCGCTGGGTTCACCGAAAGCCACATGAACTGGAGAACTGAGCATTGAAGAAATCATAATTTTTGGATAACCTTGAACTTTTGTATATTTTGCAGCAAGACGAAAAGGTCGAACTGTTTCATTTGAATTTCTGTCTTTCCGTTGAGAATTCCCTGTGTTAAATATATTTTATTTAATCTTGCCAATAACAACTTAACAGGAGATAAACCTTCGGTTTCAATAAAGTTTCTAAGAAGGCTTTCAAGAAAAGAAATCCTAGGATAAAATATAACCTTTCCCACTTTTTTTTAAATTATGAGATCCATCCTTTTACGATGAAATAATCTTACCTGAAAAGTGACCAAGAACCCGGACATGTGAGCCAAAGGTTGCTGAACAAAAATGTTCTCGCTTTTGTTGCCCATCACCTCGTCCCATTTTTGGCTGTGCCTTCAAATTTCCCTATTTTACCTGAGAATCATCATCGGTAGAATGATATACCAGCTCATACTGTCCAGAGACGTGCTCATAGCCTTATGAGAGAGAAGAATGGCCTTGGCTCTTCCAGTTGTGCCCGAGGAGAACGGCATCAGCGCCACCGATTCCGAACTAGAAAAGGAGACTATATCGTACTGGAATCGATAGTTTAATGAACTCATAGTCAAATTTGATATGACTCAGATCAGAGTTCTCCTTGGTGACTTCCTGGAAGTCGATGACGCCCTTGGGCAACGGCTCATCCGACTGCCGGACACAGAGAATGTGCTGAAGGAGTTTTTTAATGTCATTTCGATTTGAGATGAGTCAGAACCTTGACCGCGGTATTTTTACAAGCCTTGATAATGTCTCCGATTTTGGGCTCTTCAGCAATGATAACTGTTGCTCCAGAGTCGATCAATTTGTTGCTGGCTTCTTCTGGAATTGAACATCCTTTATTCTCTCTGAATCTGAAGCTTATGAACGCATGTAGAATGGCTCGAAGCGTCGCGGTCGCGCAGCGGCCCCATATATATGTCGAACCGCTCTACTCGAGCGTGCCTATCCCGGCCCGCGCTAGTAGTTTTGGTCGGTCGCATCGGATATTTTGAGCCATTCTCCGTGCGACCAACGTATTTTGAATCACCAGGCGTAAAAGCGTAGTTAGAAGGCGAGACGACGCCGCCACAGGCCAAAGTTCCCAAAATAGTGGCGATATGCTCGATGGTATTCGGTAAGAAGCAGGTGTCAACTTCACCGGCTTTGAAACCACTAAACATATTTTTTATTTTCATTTTTTCCAAATAGCAAACGTACATCTTATTAAGGTAAACGGCCGTTTGCATCGAGAGTTTTAGTAGATCTTTTGTTGAGGCTTTTGATGTCAAATCTTCGGCTTTCACCTGAAACAGTCTTTTTGGTGCTTTAAAAATTTTCCAGACTCGATGGAAAGAGTTATCACTAAAGGACAGCTTAATGAATGTCCGATGTAATTATTATTTTAAAAGCTGCTTTTGTGAATGGACGATAGAACTAAAAACCCTGTAGATTCGAAGGAAGCTTTTTTAAACTAGGAAAAACTGCAGTTGTTGAGCGTTAAGCGATAAGTCAGACATATGAAAATTTTTAAGTATTTTCCAGAAACTTTGAAAAAAAAAATTTAAAAACTTGAATTTTTAGTGTATTTTAGATATTTTTGAGGCTTATCTTTCAAAACTGACAAACGCAATATGATTTGGGTTTTCTGCGATAGTTTTCCGCATAGCTTGGAAGATCTTCTCGTGAACTGGCGTCGTTGAAATTGGTGTATCGGGATCATTTGAGCGCCAAATCAAAGATCGACGGGTCTATCAAAGTATTTTGATAGAAACGATAGTAATGGAACCAACCGAGTGGAAACTCCTTGAATAAAATGACGAGTTCAACTTTGCAAGTCCACTGATTGGGCGGGGAATGATTCTCGGGCAGGTAACTCGGGAGTAGACGAGAACCTTCCATAACATTATTTTTGAAAGGAATGAAGGTGGGTTTCACGGTTTTTTTTTGAAGCTGGTCAGAGCTTTTTTTTTCGAAATAATCTTACCTCTAGTAGTTCGAAAATGGCTCTTTTTTGCAAAAGACATTTAGAAGAAAAGCCATTCATTAACATTAGCATGTACTTTATCACACAATTTTTTTTAATATTAAAAAAGGGATTTCCAGAAATTTCGAATTTAACGGCGTATCTGAAGATCATTTGGTTAGAAAAAAACTTGAGTTGTTTAAGTGAACCTTTTCAAACATCTCGATCAACTGTTTCTTAATGATTTTGCCAGTTGAAGTCCTTGGGATTTTGTCAACGAACTCGATTCCGCCGCTGAGATGTTTGTGGTCGGCTAGGCGGCCTGAGAAATTTGTAGTGATACAAAAACAATTTATTATGATGTTAGCTATTATTTAAGATAGTTTTTGCTGGGAGCCGAGCTAAAATTTTTTTTATTTTGAAAAAAAGAGAGATCTTGACCTAAAGATCGATTTTTCTCTTTACTGTCGAGGTTGTAGAGTTATGTAAATAGCACATTAATATAGCAGCACTGTTTTTTGTATCTATCATCACTTTCCCAGTACATTTTAAAAAATCATGAACATCGGCCTCAGTCAAAGTCTCCACTTTGCGAACGATAAATGCAAATGGCGCCTGTTCCTTTCCTTCTGAAATCGGCGCGCCCATGACACCGACGTCCATAATCTGCGGATGCGCCATGAGTTCGTCTTCGATCTCTGATGGTGATACCTGGAAATACCTGATGCTCTTCAAGATTTTACACGTTGAAAACCTTGTATTCACCGACGGGAATGAGGTCACTAACTCTTTCCACAGAGAAAAGCCGACCTTTTTCGTCCACATAGCCGGCATCGCCTGGGATATTTTGTTTGAGACTTCATTTATTAAGGACTGGTCAGTGAAAATTTCAATGATGATAAATTGTGAAAAAAAATCATTTTCTTTACCTAGTAAGGAGAAGCTTCTCAGAAGCCTATTTGATGCATTCAAAATATTCACTTAAAATTTGCCTAGAGCCAGTGTGGAGATTTATGGCTTCACAAAATAATAAAAAGGCGACAGAAAAAGTGCCGACTTGCTTGCTGGAACAAGTGAGCAAGTTTAAAAAATCATAACTTGCCTCTCTTTCAAGAAATTGAAAAAATAGCATTTTTTTTTTCGTGAACATCACGGACAGCTTGACCCAACTTTCAACCTTGTCGGGGCCATTTTTTTCAATTTGGGACTTTCTAACTTTTTTCATAGACCTCACAAGCAAATTTTGTTCCCAAAATTTAAAAAAAGCGATTAGTCTGCACCAGAATTAAGTCTCCTGGTTACCTAATTTATCAAAGGCTTGTTCGTTTTTCCGTTTTTTTTCTACCCAAGCTAGCGATTAATGAACTCCATCAAGAGTTCTACCAGAATAGAGCCATCCATCAAGAATGGCCTTTCTCGTCGCCTCGGCGTCTTTGTAGCCAAGCATGACTGTCGGACCTCGAACCACGATCTCGCCAGCTTCATTTATTCCGAGCTCGTCTCCCGTTTCAGAGTCCATGATCTACAATACTCCGTATCAATTATCTCATCTTCCCAACAAGAACCTTGCACTCAAAAGAGGAGCAGACACTACCGCAAGACATGTAGTCGTCCCTACTCTGGTCAAAGTCGGGGCAGTGGCTCATCATCCCCGTTTCTGACATCCCGTAGCCTCAACTAATCTATTATTCTTGCTTGGGAGTTATCTAACCTTGCAGAATTTTGACCTGTGGGAACTTGTTCAGAAATTCAAGAGCCAGGGTCTTTCCCAATGGAGCCGAAGTGCAAAAAGCGATTCGAAGTGAGTTGAGGTCGAATTTTGGGACGATTGGATGCTTGGTGAGAAGCCGGAGCAGCATAGGATTGGCTGACACCCACATGAACTGAAAATTCAGTCATTTGGCCTTTTTCGAAAAAAAAAAACTATAACGTCTAGAAATTCAATTCAACGTCTAATCAGTCAATACGCGTCGAGCCAAAACTCGAAAGTTTGAATTAGAAAAATCTCGCCTTAAAAGTTTGAATAGTTTGAAGAAAAAGCGGAAAATCAAAGGTTCTTAGATGAATCCCTGTCCGGCCGTTCAAAATTCCCTGGAATATTCGAATTTACTCCAAACTAGATTCAATTTTTACCTGAAAGGTGACTAAAAACCCAGACATGTGGTACAATGGCTGCTGCACGAAAATGAGATCGCTCTCGTTGCCCATCGTTTCGTCCCACTTCTTGCTGTGCCTTAACTTGTGGATTATTATCAAAAAACGTTTTTTTTTAAAATTTATTAGTTTTTCAAAAACCTCAGTGATAAAAGTATTACCAGCACATGCTGTCAAGCGTTGTGCCCAAGTTTTTGTGGGAGAAGAGAATGGCTTTTCCGCGACCAGTGGTTCCAGAGGAATAAGGAATAAATACCACTGAATCTGGGCTTAAAAACAACTATTTATAGCATCTTCCCAGTGTTACAATCACTTGTAATTGGTAACAATGTGAGTCAGATCGGAATCCACTTTAGTGACCTCTTCATAGTCGATCACGTCTTTGGGCAAAGGTTGGTTGGATTGTCGAACACAGATGACTTTCTGAAAATTGATCAAGTCTTTTCGCCGGGACTTGAAAATTTTCGAGTGTCTGCGTCTCTCTGTTCCCTCGCCGACGAAGTCAGAGAGATATAAAAAGAAGCAGTTTTAAAGCGCAAAAATTGGATTCTATCTTGAACGAAATTTGTTGATCGTTTTTAAATTCGGAACCTTGACTTTCGTCCCTTTACAAGCCTCCAGAACCATCTGAAGTCGATCTTCTTCGGTCAGAATCAAAGAAGCTTCACAGTCGTTGAGTCGGAAGTTCACCTCCTCTGAACAGTTTTCAGGGTTTTCCACATCAATTTCGATGAAACCTGTGGTGAAGGTGTAGTTTGTCGTGGCCATGACTCCTCCAGACGTCATCACGCCGAGAATGTAGGAGACGTGCTCGACCGTGTTCGGAGCGAAGCTCGTCGCCACATCGCCCGCTTTGAAACCACTGAAACTTTTTTTTAGGGAAATGTTGAATTTTCAATGTGATTTTTCTCTTGCAACCGTCATCTCATTTCAAGTTCATGATTAGTGATAACGTTTTCAAAATTCAATAAAACGTATAGAAGTTCCGATTCTGAACTTATTTATACCCGAGGGTACGAAAATGTCTCGAAATTGAAAAAAGGGACTTTTGTCGTAGAAAAAGCGGTTATATACAAATACGAGACTTTATTTTAATTGCGAAACATACATTTTGTTCAGAAAAACGGCAGCTTGCTTTGAAAGCTTCAAAAGATCACTCGTTTTCGTCTTGCAATCCAATTTTTCGGCCTTGATCTGAAATAGTTGATGAAAAAAGGAGGGGAAGATTTGAAAAAAAAATATATAAATTTTAAAAATCAGGGTAAGGAAAAAGACGGACAAAAGCGACGTGTTGAGGATCCTTGGCGATGGTCTTTTCCATAGCTTCGAAGAACTTCTGATGAAGTGGCGTCGTGGAAATCACGGTTTCTGGATCAGAAGACTTCCACACGGTCATTTCCTCCCAGTAAACTTCTTTCCGATAAGAAATGTATTCATTCGATTCGCTTTATATTATTCCCATCAAATGCTTTTTTTCTTGCGTGCACTTTCTTTTTCTCGCTACATTTTCTTCTTTTCTTTGTTTCTAAATTTGGGAGCGCACGGGAAAGGGCAATGCTTGCTGGTATTTTGGAAAGAACATTCGGAATTTTTTTTTCCCTGCGTTTCGAAGCACGAAACTTCTTTTCTCTATGCAAAGCTTTGATTCACCCCTCTGAAAAATAATTTGCAGCTTTCGAGTCTATACGAAACTGATACTTTTCGCATTTTCAATAGATTCAAACCCCCGCGGTTTTCCGCCGTAGGCGGAGCTTTCATGCACGCAGAGCGCGATGGTTTTGCAACACCCCTATATTTTTTCCATTTCAACTTTTTCAAAATTTTGTTTGTTTCGTCGTTTTTTGTTTATTGATTCGAGTTTTCCTTTCTTAGTTTTCTCATCTCAGATGTTTTTAGTATCATGTCGGCACGCGACGCGATGGCGGCGATGCTCGATGAGCTCATGGGGCCTAAACGTAATATAGAACTCGGTAAAGACACGAAAGTCTCTTTCGATGTACGTTTTAATGTCCATCTTTAAATTTTGTTATTGTTGATTTTTTAAGGACCCCAAGATTTGCCCATATTACATTGTCGGCTTTTGTCCCCACGACATGTTCACCAACACGAAAGCAGATATTGGTTTGAAGTTTTCATAATTGAGCTCCAACGAAGTTTTGTTTTTAGGAGCTTGTATTAATGTTCATGATGATAATTTGCGGCGAATGTATACTACCAGCTCGGAGCGCGGGAAATTGGGCTTTGAGAGGCGTCTTTTGCGATTCTTGATCGAGCTGGAAGACGACAATCAGCGGCGAATTCGAAAGAATAAAGACAAGTTGAAAGGAATTGATGATCAGGGACAGGTTGGATTTATTTTCAATACTCTAGTCTGATATTATTACTTCGTTTCACTTTGACACAGTTATATGGTGCTTAAATAAATTTTGACTCGATTTCAGAAGAAGTTCGACGAGGAGAAGCAGAAACTGCAAACGGACATTGACGCATTGGAAGTTGAGTATAAAGCAGCTATGAAAGAAGCTGAGAAGGTTGATTTTGATCCAATTCATCATAGAAGGATATTTTTCCAGGCGGGAAGCGCTGGTTTGGTTGAAAAATGTCAGGAAATCGTTGACAGAGCTGAGGTCATTGAAAGACAGAAAAATGAATTGAGGATTGTGAGTTTCGAAATCTTTGTATTGTAGTGAAGTTAAGCTTTCTTTTAGAGACTTGAACAAATTGGGCATCCGACGGCTATGGCACCGATTTTGGAAGAATTGAATGTGAAACCGATGGAGGTTGGTTTAATTTCAAATATTCACCGTCGCAGTGTTTTTAGTGATAAATCAGTCCGAAGTCTTCAGAAATAAAAGAAAAACGAATAATTCAGGTGTGCGAAACCTGCGGAAGTATGCTGATCATCAACGACGCGGCGCAGAGAGTCGAGGAACATTTGACCGGAAAAATGCACACTGGATTCCAGAAAATCCGCACATCAATTGAGGAGCTCAAGGTTGGTTTGAAATTGCAATTTCGTAACGCAAAAAATATATATTCCTCCTCAAACGATGCTGCGCAAGGTTTCCTTTTTCTCTCTTCTTACCGAAATAGAAAATTCGCCTCGAAATTCAAAACGCGATTTAGTGCGTAAGCCCCATCGGTACGGCTGATCATTCTGCCACGCCGCTACCTCTTGTTTTAGAAGGTTTCCATTGTCTTTTTCCGTTGTCAAATTTTCTTTGTTAGTTATTTTTGGTTGGGAATCGAGGTGACCCACAGGCGAGACAACCCCAAAACTGTGCAGGTATTCCTTGCTCGAAATTCTTGGCTTCGAATTTATTACTTTTTTTTTCTGGTTAGAAATCGCCTTGACCTTTGAATTAGGTTGGTTTTTATTGTCATTGGGGCGCCTTTGTGACGACTTCTTCCCGCTCTGTGCAATTTTGCTCCTCGGCCACGGCTGCAGGTATTCCGAAGTGATAAGTAGCTGAAGAGGCTCCTTTAGAAGTTGAATAGATGAAAACGTTCTTCGAGACCTTTATAAGTCCTTTTAAGGACATTTTTTGTTTTTCACGGCGGCTGTTCCAGTTCTTCTAATGCGCTTTTTACTAACGCGAATCGTCTCTTTTTGACTAAGAAACATTTCAATGAACAAAGTATTAGGGGGAAGTATTCCTTAACCTTCACTTCTAACTTTTAGCTAAACTTGAAATAGACTTGCATCATGAGAACTTTTTTTGCCATTGATCAAAATCAGAAAGGCAGTTTTTGTACGTATTGAAGAGATAATTGATTGGATATGATAGTTTTTTTCTTTTTAAAAGTTTTTAATTGTTTTTTCAACTTTCTACGGTTCGTTCTGCTCAAGCTCGGCGTTGTTGAGACACCGGAAAAAGGTTTGGAATTGTGCGATTTTTCAGGAAGTTGTGAAGAAAAATGACGAGGAGGACGACAAACGGCGCGAGAGTCGCGAGGGCCACAGGTCGGCGAGAAACGAATGCCTAATCGAATTTGGTTGTTTTCTTGTTGCAGGTCGAGTCATCGTGACCGTGGCGACAGGAAAAGGTCGGCGTCGAAGGAAAAAGAACGCAGTCACAAAAGGTTCGTATTGTATCGAAATTCATTTTACAAACGTAAGGTTCAGTTTTTTTTCACGTAAATGACGTGAGATTATTTATGTTGTGCGAATTATTTTACGATTTCCAAATTCGCGTGTTAATTGGTTAGAATGATAACGCGAGATACGCAAAATTTATTTTTGAAGCAATATTGGGTCCTGGAACAAAGGAGATTGCAGAAAATGATAAAATGAAAAAAATTCTAATCTCAAATCACGACTTTCTTGTTCCTGATTAAGGAACGTTTTTTCGAGCTTTTGAAGTGTCTTGAAAACGAGATCTATAGTGAGACATTTTTTCTCGTTGTGCTATCAGGAATTCTTTAAGTACACACCGAAGTTTCATCAAAATTTCAACCGCGCGCAAAAAACAACCCTAGTAAGAAAGTTATCATTGGATTTTTTTCATTTTCTATTAAAAAAAGTCATATTTTATCTATGCGAGGTTTTTTTTTCTTCAATAGAGTGAGCTCTCTCAGATCGCGTTCTCGTGATCGTGGAAGTGATCGTGGACGACACGGCTCTTCGCGACGCGAATCCAGGGACGACGATCGCAAAGACCGACGCGACCGCGACCGCGACAGACGCGATCGCCACGACCGCCATGATCGCCACGATCGCGGCGACAGACATCGCGACAGTCGCCGTTAATATCCTCTAGCATCCTATTATATTAAATCTCTTATCTAATTATTCCGTTGTTTCTTTTGTTTTGTTTCCTTCGCATTTCGCGTTGCTGTTATGTTGATTTGGCTTCCTCCAATTCAAATTTTCCTTCATGCTGTTTTTTTTCAATTAATATTTCCCTAATCGTCACGTTTCTGCAGTGATGAAATCTTGATTACTGGTTTCGCCCTCAAAATTTGCTTTTTTCCACCTTCTTCGTCTCATTTTGAAGCTTTCTCTTGTCACACTACTTTTTTATTTCAATAAATCCAATCATTTCTCAGTTTTTTTTTTTGGATTTTTCGATTGTCTAGAGGTTTTTGAACCTTTTCTTTTTGGAAATGGAGGATTATGTTTTCAAAAACATGTTGACTAAAAATTGCAATGATCCAAAGAGAGATTTTGATAGATAAAATGCGTTATTTGAAATTCAGCTATCAGTTTTTTTGTTTTGAGGTTGAAAAAAATATCGAATTTGAATATCGAATTTTTCGGTTACTGAAATTTTAAAAAAATTAACCCTCAAACTCTCTAATATCCGCTTTCTTGAATGTTCATGTTAACTTGAAAAATTTTTTAGGAACTGAAAAGTTAATTTTTCAAAGTTTCAGATGTTTTTAGAAACATGGATGCCCACAATTTTATCACGTAGACATCGATTACTGCACCTATCCATTTTATTTTTCATCATTCCCTTTTTGTATAGGTAGGAATTGAAAATTTTCGAAAAGAAATGAAAATTTTAGTTACTATAATGAACAAAAACACATGGCGTCGTATTCGGTGGAAACGGCCATGTTTTTGGCTTGGGAACGGTTTATCGTGAAGCCGGGCGTCATGTTCCGGAAAGCCGTCGTTGGGTGAGAAGTTTGAGATGAAAAAATTTTTGTGAGGCAGAAAATAAGAGAAACTTGCAATTTTATGGTTAATCATGGTTTTTTCCTTTTTTCGTGTGATTTAGAATTTTCAGATTGTTTAAAATTTTCTCAGTAATGGAGGTTTAGGCAAATAGTAAGATAGGTGTCAAAAAGACGACTTTTTTTCCTCAATTTTCTTGGTTGAAAGATGAAAAAAAGGCTGAATTTTTGAAAAATAGAAGATCCATGTTTTTATTAAAAAGTAGTTCCTACTGAAAAAAAACAGCTTTTAAAAAGTAAACAGTGAAATTTGAGGAAAAATCCGGATTTTCCGGTTCTTTTTTTCAGAGGTTCTGTGTTTATATTAAATTTTTCATTTTTTTTTCCCCTGTTAGTTTCGATTTTGAAGTGATTCGTAATTGGTCTCCGAACGCTTTTTTTAAGCATTTTCAATCTTCATGTTCATTTTGCAAGAAAAAAAGTTGATTAGACTTTCACTCAAAAATCAAGCCAAAAATGATGAATTTTTTCAAAATCCCTTCCCATTAGTTTTCTTTGATTTTTTCAGCTTCAACTGTAACGTTGATTTGATTGTGTCGGGAGTTCGATTGGTCGATTCTTTGAATACAACTTGTTCGGAGCACAAGGACAAGGAGTCTTTAGAGGTGAAAATGAAACATGTTCAAGAAATAAAGAAAGTTTTTTCAGACTCTAACAGATCTGCATCAAACTTTTGCGCACTTCTTTCAAAGAGGAGCTGCGGCGGAAAGGTACAATCTTCTTGAAAAAGCTTACTAAGGGTTTAAAGGAGCAGGGACAAAATTGATAAAGGTCCCGAGACGAAGAGCCGGGTTCTTTTAGGTAATTTGAAGATTTTACGTCTTTAGAGGTATATAAGTCTCAAAAGACTAGGGTTTTAAAGGAGCAGTACTGCAAGTTTAATTTTTTTAAATTTTTTTTTTTGAGTTTTGTTTTTTGGTTCCAAATAATGAAAGCATGAAAGCTTCCAATTTGCGTCAAGGTGGAAAAAGTTCAAATATAACATCAAAAAAACAAGTTTTCAAAAAGGCACTTCTTTCTAGATATATGTCCGACGAGGAGCAATTCAACTTGTTAGTTCGACAAGCCGAAAGTTCCCAAAGGACGGTCTACCACATCGGCGGCAACGCGGCCATTATGGCCGACCGTATCGCCGCCAGTTTTCCCAGTACCGAGGTAAAACGAGAAGAATAAATGGGCTTACACTTGGAAAAAGTTGTTCATTCTGATTTCACAACGGGCTTCGTAATTGAAAAAAAAACGTCCAAAAAAGAATGTTCAAAGAAAAAGTTGCTTCAGGTTTACCTGGTCGGTCCAATTGGACCCCGAAGTCAGGCCCTATTACATCCGTCTGTTAAGAGGACCAATTCGACACGGATTGTTAAGGTTTGTGATTTTTTTCTTGAGGTGAAATTATTGATCGATATTGATTGATTGGTCCGGGGAACTACAAAAAAATGGAGAAAATATATTAAAATTTCAGGACGAACTGCACGTCATCATGGAGTACAAACAAGGCGAAATTTTGGACGATTGGGTCGCGCCAAGTAGTAGTCGATTCATCACTAGTCATGATCATTTCAGGTTGATTTTCTGGAATAAATATTAAAGAAAGAAGATTTTCAGTGGTAGTACCGTTGTGATGGAGATGTTCTTCCGGGCCATCAGCCAGTTCAAGCCCGATTTGGTCATCGTCTCCGGGATCCACTTGTTGGAGTTCCAAGTACTTGCTTTGTTATTAAATTTGAATTGGCTCAAAAAAGCTTCTTGTCAGCCTAGAAATTGATATTATATAGGAAAAGTGTGCAGTTTTTAGTTGAAAAAAGGTTTTTTTTTGTTCAAAACGCAGTTTTGTGGAAATTTTATGACCAATTTTTTTGGGCGGCTATAGAAAATCGCGGAAGGAACAAAAATGCCTTTTGAGAATTTTTCAAAATAAATTTTTTGGCCTGACCTTTCTCCTATGTGAAAACTTGGACCACATTTGAAAAAAAAAATGGTTAAAAAAAGGCAGATTTTTGACCCATGTAGGTGAAAGATACAAGGGAGCTCTTAAAGCAAAATGGTGAAGGAAAGGTGCAAAAAAATTCTTAAAGGTGTCCATTTTTTGCTCACGCTTCATTCTGCATCTATCTTCGGACATTTTTTTATGACTTTAATTATAATTTTTTTTTTTAGATAAGCAATGAGTTGGTTCAGAACAAAGAAATGCGGTTGGAGAAGCTGCGGCTTGTGAAGCGCAACCTTCTCCAAGTGAACCCGAAAACGCCGATTCACTTCGAAATGAGCAGTTTCGGTGACGCCGTCTTCGCCAGTGACGTTCTTCAGCGGGTTCTCCAGTTTCTGCCCAAAAACTAGCTGAAAACGCTGATTTCAGGTCATTCCCTACGTCGACTCGTTGGGTATCAACGAGCAGGAATTGGCCTTTTTGGCACATATTGCCAACGGACCTCATATGGAAGCGTATCCAGTCCAGGCCGGAACTGTCCATGTTCACAAGGTTTATTTTTTTAAATTTTGAATAGGAAGTTTCAAAAATTGAAAAGCAAGTTGAACCTCCCTCAAATCGATTAATTCCTTCACATTTTTTTGAGAAAAAAAGGAGCCAATTATGACGGAATTTGAATGGCTCCAATTAAGCTTCAAAAATAAATTTCTGTTCAGAAAAAGCTCTGAAAAATATATGAATTTAATTTAAAAAAATCTAAATGATTTTATGAAAAAAATCGACGTTTTCAGGTGTCAAAAGAAAATTCATTCAAAAAAATCTTCTCAGAATATTAAAACATAATTTATTCCGGAAGTTGATCAGTTGAAGTTTTTGTCTTTTTTTCGATTTCAAAAAGTCTTTTGTAGTCAAAACAAATTTTGTGAGCTATGCTCCAACCGTAAAAATCTTATAAAAATAACTGAATGAAGAGTAAATAACTTTACAGGTGGTTGAAATGCTCCACTGGCTTCTGAAGACGTTCGGCCGTGACATCAAAGATCCCAACACGACGAAAACCGGCTATCGCCTTCAAAGAATCCATTTCCATTGTCTCACCTATCACATTATTGTATGTTTTCGAAAAATGTTACAGGTTATTTGATAAAATTGCAGGTGACGGCCGGAAATGAATGGACAAATTCGGCGGCTTCCCTTGCCGCTGGAGCGAGGTTGGCCGGTCGACTGTCCTGCAACGTTAATCCTAAGGTTCCAAACGTTTCGTTCCGAGAAATGAAAAAAAATACAGAACATTTTGGAAGTTCAATTTTCAATTTTTTTTTTTCCAGGCCGTCGAGTCGGACTTGTTAGAGGTGAGAACGGCGGCGAATTTCGTTCTCGACAAGAAGATTGGAAAACACTATCAATTCGAGCCGCATAGGTACGATTTTTTCGAACTCAAGAACCTAGAAAACTTTTTCTTTATTCATTGTTTTGTTAGAAATATTGACTAGCTTCTTGTGAAATATACCCTGCGACTAGTGAAAAAAATTTTTTTTGTTGGAAATACCAAAGACAAATGAGGAGTAAAACCAGAAAGATTTTCTTGATGTCAAAAACTGACGTTTTAAAGGTCGCTGGTACGAAAATTATTCAGGAGGTTGAAATTTTGAAGAATTTTATCTTTTTCTGAAGGAGGAGGTCTGTAGATTGAGAGGGTTATGTGTTAAATTAAAAAAATGCGGTCGTTTGAAAAAACTTCTTGACACCAACATCCATCGCAACACCATTTTTCAAGGCCGCCAATCTTTTTTCCCGAGATTTTCTGAATTAAACTCGTTACTACCTCTTTGAAGTCAAAGGCCATCATATTATTGTAAAAACCATCTCTCTGACTACTGGTGAGATGAAAAGTTGGATTCTATCTCTTTTTATTTTTTCAAATTTTACGTAAATCCACCCTTTCTCCTAGACTGATTTTATTGCTTTCCTTGCACACTATGTTCGTCAAAATCAAACGTTCAACTTTTTTTGGAAAAATTTTGATTTCAATCGTTGTTTCTGAAAAATTTGTTATTAGAAAGTTGACTTTCAATCCGAGAACTGTTTCAAAGGTATAGAGTCTGATCAGATTTTGAATGCCAAGTAGAAAACTCCGCTCCCAACAACACTCGGTGGTTGGCTCGCTCTCTGATTGGTTTGATCAACTCATAAGGGGCGGAGTTTGAGCGATGACGTTTAAAATCTGAACAGACCGAAGAAGTTGAAATTTCGACCCGAAACATTTTTTTTATGTAACGCCCGTATGCTCAGGAGATTTCTTAAAAATTGAAACCGAAAAAAGTGGAAAATTCTGAATGTAAGTCCGAAAACCGGAAAAATTGTTCAAAATTGAAGTCCGATCGCCTCGTGGATGCGTGACGACGTGCTGTTCGTCTACACGCCGGTCCTGGTCTGTCGTCTGCCGACGAAAACGGTTGGCGTCGACGACGCCGTCGCCGTCACCTCCTTGATGTATTCCCAGTTCTACCGCTTCGACAAGAACTTCCATTGGTAGAACCTCTTCTGTGATGTAACATTTCCTTCATTTTCCTTGCCATAGGGTTGCTGTAGATACTTTTTTTTTGCCCACTCTCGTCTGTATTTTTTTTCTTTCGCATTTGTGGCCTTCTTACGTGTAATTTTCTTGGATTCGCCGAAGATTCTTACTCCTAGACCCGTGTAGCTATTTTTTGTCAATTTCAAAAAGTTGGTATTAGTCTACTGCCTGATTTTTTGACGTGATGATAAATTTTTCGAATTTTTTAACTGTGTTAATCATTTTTTGTGACCCATAGTTCAAATATGGCCATGTATCGTGAAAAAATGAATCTATGAACAGATCATGAAAAGAAAAGCATGAACTAGACTGTAGTTTGAAAATTATCATTATAACTCCATTTTTCATGATTTGAAGACTTTTGAACGATGCCAACAAGTTGTTGGTCACGCGGCCTGATGAAGTCCCTTCTAACGTCACCCTCGATGACGTCATCGGCGTGCAGATTCATCAGAAGACGTGCGCCGTCTCCTCCGGTGGATTCTGGAGAGACTTCGACGTCACGGATGCTCGACGAAGCCGCCACGTTCTCCGACGTCCACAACGTCATTCTGACGCCGACCACGCAGCTTCCTTATCCGGAGAAGGTTTGGAAACACTGATAAGGAGGAGTCAGAGAGGTCATTTAAGGGTTCTATAAGACCTCTGAAGTAATGACTTATGCTTTAGGATTTTTACGGTTTTTCAATTGGAGAAGTCGGAAAGGTCACTTAAGAGTTCTTTTTGGGGCTCAATTTTTTTTTTACTTGAACCGTAACCTAATACTGAAAAGTGTGAATTTCTGAGGTTTGAAAAAATTTTACGATTTGTGAATTAGACCAAAAAAATTTTTTTTATGAATGGTTTGGAGAAAAAAAAAATTAGTCTTACATCGTCAGCACACTAGCTTTTCATTTCACGGAGTGATAAAAAGTTGATTTTCTTTCAAATTCCGAACTTTTTCCACCTTTTTAGTTAGTTTTTTGACTTATTTTTCAAAGCCTTGACCTCTAAATTTTAAACTGAGAAATCGGAAAATTTCCAGCAACTCCGAGAACATTTGGACAAGACTTCACGGGAACTGTTGAAGGAGAGGAATAAAGTTCGGTAGGTTCATAGATTGGCGTAATAGAAAAGGTCTTCGCACGACTAGGAAAATAGTGTGCAAAATGAAGAATTGTATGTCCCAAACTTGCCCCAACAGGTGTATAAAGGGTAATTTCTATTTGTAGTTTAATTATAACTGTTAGCTTGAGAGGGGGGGGCTCTGAAAAATTTTAATTTCTCAAATTTCGCTAAAAAATGGCTTCAGTGAACTTTGGAAAATGATGGTTTGGACCCAAAATTATGTTTTATTCTTTCCCTTTTTAAGTCGAGTATGGAGCAAAAGAACCGAAAAATCCCAAGAAAGTATTAACTTTCGAACACTAAAACGAAAAGACGTTAAATCTTTTAAGATGAAGTTTCAGCAAATAATAAAATTATTTTTTCGAATTTCCTGATTTATTCATCCGATCAGATACGGTAACAAGCGAAAAGCGACTAGCGGCATCGCTTTCACGCATATTCCCATCGAGAAACACGTCGTCTTACTTTTCCCTGGCCAAGGGGCTCAGTTCGTCGGAATGGGTGAAAAAGTCGTCTTTTCTCAATTGTATTCGAGAAAGTTCGAAGTTTTGTAGCTGGAATCAATTCCTGAAGCGAAGAAAGTCTTCGACACGGCCTCCGAAGTTCTTGGCTACGACATGTTGGAGCTGTGCAAGAAGGGACCCAAAACGAAGTGAAAAATTATCAGTAATGTCATTTTTTGCCGATTTGAAAGGCAGGGTGACCTTTTTGCGTACTTATTTCAATTATAACTGTTGAAAACGCCTTTCAAGTCGGTGAGAATGTTTCTCTGCGCTCTCTTCCTCCCTCGGCGGCGCTCTCATATTGCCGCTCTATTTGCATGTTTCTCTGACCTCGCCGCTGAGAGAACAGAGAGACGCAGACACTCGAAAAATAACGGCGAAAAGACTATATTTTTTTAGACTCGACCAGACACTGTACTGCCAGCCGTCGGTGGTCACCTGCGGCGTAGCGGCTTTCGAAGCCTTCAAGGCACAGGAACCCGGCGTCGCCGAGTTCATCACCGACGTCGCCGGTTTCTCCGTCGGCGAGTACGCGGCCCTAGTCGCCGGCGACATGATGAGCTTCGAAGATGGTCCGTTCAAAGAACGTACTAATTCGTTAAAAAAAATAGACGTAACTATACTCTTTTGAAACGAGCTTTTTCGTAAACATGGATGTTTTCTTGTGTTGATGACTGATCAATCAATCAATCAAATAATTTATTTTGTTTTTTTAGTCTGATGTAATCGACTAGGCGGTGAACAAGAACTATTAAAACTATCACGAACAACCGCCTTTGGCGAAATAGAAGTCCAAACGTGTAGTCGAAAGAGTTGAAAGCATGGTCCTACGGCCCTTCGCACCGTTCTTCCGCACGTAGTCCATCCAGTTGCGCCTTGGCCAGCTCAGAATGTAGCGGATCTTGTGCTGGAGCCCGGAGTCCGTGCTCTAGGTGGGTGCCTCGAAATGAGAGCGACCACTTCGAGTGAAGATTTTACACGCAATCCTTACACGGAATTTATAATACCTCTCAAGAAAAAATAGTTTCCGAAAAAATAATCCTTTTGAGTTCTTTTTCAGTGATAAAGATTGTGAAAGTTCGCGCCGAGGCGATGCACGAATGCGGGCAGCTGATCCGAAGCGGAATGGCGACAGTGCGAGTGAAAGCGGCATCGCGACTCGAGGAAGCCATGCAGGACGCTCGCGATGTCGCAAAGTTTGAATATTGTCTTCTCGAAAATCTATTCATCTTTACAAAGTCACAAGAGTCGTTTATCACCAAAAATACTACTAAAAAGACTTGCCAAGGGTTTTTGAACAGGCTGTAGATATCAAGAGCTTGGGCATTAATGAATAAATAAATTTTTCCTCAGAGAAAAAGGCGAACTGGACGTTTGTGAGATCGCCAACTTTTTATTTTGCGGCGTCCGTGTGATCGGCGGCTCGGAGACTTGCCTGAAGTTCCTGGAGGAGCATCAAAATGAGTACCAGTTCCAGGTTGGAACTTAAATAATTCTATAAAAAAATAGTACGGCTTTGAAAGAAAGCTTCAAATAGAGATATAAATTGAATATTTGATTTTTTTAGGTCGTCAAACGGTTAGCCGTTTCAGCCGCTTTCCACACGCGACAAATGGATGACGCCGTTGTCAAGGTTCTTTTTTTGAATCGATTTTTTGAAGAGAAATTTAAAAAAAAGAAAAGTTAAAGTCTAAAACTGTCTTTATTCTTTCTTAAGAAGTTTATGTGATTCAAAATGAGTTTTACGTACTTTTTTTTGAAAGTGAGGGCTGAAATATGTCTTCTGTACCTTTTTAAAGATCTTTTTTCAAGGGTCTTGAGACCACAAAAACCAGCTTTTTTGTACTTATATTCGAAATTTATGAATAAAATCTATACTACGTACCTTTTTAAGAAAATTGCGTGAGTCAAAACATGCTTTTCGTGCTTATTTTAAATGAAAATAAAAACAAAATCCGTTTTATTTACCCTTATCAAAGATTTTGTGATGTCAAAACAAGTTTTTCAAACCTTTTTTCGAAAATTGAGATGGAAATTATTCTTGCTTGTTACTTTTGACACGCCTTTAAACAGTCTGATTTGTCTGTGTCTCTTTTCTCTGAGCGACTAAGATGAAAATAGGGACAGTACGTAAACAAGAGAGCGCAGAGAAACCAGGATCCTTCAAGTTTTAACGGAAGCACTTCAGTTTTCTAGAAAAATAAGAAGAAAATCGGAGTGTTTTCATGAAAAATTCGATTTCTTGAGGTCCGAACAGCCGTCGCCCGAGCTGAGCTCAAATATCCGGCTTGCAACGTTTATTCCAACTACACCGGCCACATTTTCCCTGCCAAGAAAGTAATTTTTCCATTTTATTGATTGAAGGTAACCCGAATACTTTTCAGGGAGAAATCCGCGCGGCGCTTGCAAAACAGGTCAACAACCCTGTGAAATGGGAGCAAATCCAGCAGTTGCTCTACAGAAAGAAGCAGGTTCGTGTTTTACTATGGCCTGTCTGCTCCCTCTCGTTCTCTCGCTTTTTCGAAATCTTTCACTGATCGTAATAGCGAGAGAAAATAGGGAGCAGACAGGTCAGAATTTATCAAGTTTGGGTAATGAATAATGCATTTATTTTGAGGAGTGGAAAAAAGAAAATAAAATTTTGAAAAAAGACTGAAAAAAGGACCTTGCTTGCTTTGAATGCGCTCTATGGCTAAATTTATGCTTGAAAAGGAAGTTTTCATTCTTTTCGGAACCATAAAAAAGATGAAAGTAAAAAAAAACGGATTCAATTTTCCGCATCTTTGGTCTTCGTAGAAGCATATTCAAAAATTCATTTTTATTTTTTCATGATGGCAATTCTTCTCTTTTTTTAGCGCCGTTTTGGCTGTTTTTTCAAAACTTGTAGGCTTGATGTTTCTATTTTTTTTATTTTATGCAAAAATAACCCTTTTTAAAACTTTCATAATTTTTATTTGCCACCTCAAATATCCAAGTGGGTTTCATGGCTTATTATTGTCCTACTAAAAGTAGCTTCAAAGCTTTCATAACTTTTTTTGTTTCTAAAAGTACCCTCACGATTTTTTTCTAATTTTCAAGGAAGACCTCTTCCCTCGATTCGTCGAAGTTGGGCCAGGTCGGCAGTTGGGCGCCATGTTGCTCCAAACGAGCAAAAAGGCGTACGCTCGATACGAACACTTTTCTTGTTGATTTACGTTTGTCACAGTTTTTCAGTTTATTGAAAAAAGAACATTCATTAGGTACATCAATAAATTATAACGTGTCTATTCGAAGTTTTGAGCTTTTTGGAAAAATGAAATGAACAGAAAAAAATTTCTTGAAATGCTTGACTGCTCGTGACGATTTAGGTCTTAAAAGTGACCACTAAAGAGGCTTTGATACCACTTAAGGGATCACTGACTGGCTCAATATTGCCCCGAAAAGCGTCGAGGATCCTTTTTCAATCGTAATTGATAATAAAGCAAAAAAAAATTCCCGCTCATTTCATTTAACTCTGGAATGGAATAAGGAAGGACATTTTGGGGGTTTTTTGTTTTGGTTGTTTTGAAAGACCCGAAAAACATGAAATGATGTGAAAATAAAAGTCTGAATGGGCTTGAGCTACGGTGTGAGCCTGAAATGGATAAATGGACAAAAATCTTCAACTTAATAAAAATGATAATCTTTACAGCTTCAATAAAATACGTATGTGAATTTGAGAAATAGGGAGTTGCTTAAATTATTAAATCAAGAATAACTGACGGGAGAAGCGCGATGTCGCTGTCGGTACATGGACGACATCGCAGAAGTGCTTCTTTTCAGCCGCACCGGCCTTGCACTGTGCGGGACAAGTGCAATGTCGCGCCCAGCGAGTCCGGCGCGGCATAAAAGAGTTTTCTAGGTTGTCAATGTACCGCGACCGACTCGCGCCTGACTAGGCAAGTATCTTTAGTGTTAGAATCAAAAAAAGAAAGAAAATGGATAATCGGGAAGATTGGTTGGAGCCGTAGACGCTGTACTCGGACTTTGGGTGGGGGACGACGAAATGACTACGTTCGTGGCTCAAAGCCGTCCGTCTCTGCAGAGAAAGCAGCGATTTGCAGGCCGCCGGCAGCTGATCCGAGATCCCCAGTTGGGAGTAGAGCTGCTCGAAACTGTAAATTCAAGGAAACTTTTTAGAAGATTCTCGGGGATTCTTGTAGGGATGTACGCGAAAATCTTATAGGGAAAAGCAAAAGTTAAGAAAAAAACACCGTCTTTACCTTTCTGAACTATTTATACAAATCGGTAGCCTATTATTTTTTATATAATTTTTCGTTTGTTTTTTTTTAATCGAAAAGGTAAGAGTTTACCTGCTGAAGCCAACAGTGATGAATCGAAGCATCATTCTGGCGGCTTGATCGCCGCATCCGATCCTTGTAACCGGCTCTACACAATCAATCATAGATCCGAGTTTCCTGTAAAAAGGCTCGTCTAAAAACTTTTCTAACAATCTATTTCCAACAATATATTTCCACCACATGCGATCTATTTCCAATAATTTGCTGAAACTTTGAAAAATATCTGATCTCACCACACAAAAAAGTCAGGAGAATATTTTTTGTACGGCAAAAAACAAGTAAATCCTCTAATTTTTTGAATTTTTCGTCAATTTCGAGAAAAACGAGAAGAAAATATGTAAAAGCGAGACGAAATTATGGAAATAAATGTCTCAAAAGTTGTTTCTTGTATTTTCATAGAAAGCCTTGAAAACTTTTTTAATTTTTCGCCTTATGATTAATTTTCATACTTTTTCGTGTTTTCTATTAGAAATTCACGCTATATCAAAACTACTAACAAACGATTCGAACTTTTTTCGAGCCCATATTGTGATTTTAGTTATTCATTTTCAGCTCCACCGAACTACAACTCTGATTACCTGGTCACGCTTTTTTTTCCCAATTTTTTTAAGGTACGTATGAACAAAAAAACTTTCTTTCAAGGCTTTTTTCCAGATCTTCTCGGTAAAACTCACTTGCAAAGAGTCTCGAAATGCGACCGCAGATTGTGATGCTCTTTCTTGAGAACTGTCACCGAGAAACGGTTGCTCGCCGAGAGGGAGGCGTTGATTTCGGGACGACATCGCTCCAGCGCCACTTTCTCGTGTCTAGTGAGTGCTTTAGTGGTTTTCCGTTCGGTTTTCGTGCAGGCTTGTGCGCCAAGTCCGGGTGGCTTTAGGCCTTCCTTTTTGAAAAAAGCCCGCGCGGACTCGGGCCAGGCCGGGCTTCGTAAAAGTTTAAAATTTTCATTAAAAAATTTTCACCAAAATTTATTTTCACTTGTTGAATCATAGTTTCTAATAACTCTATGAGGAAAAATAAGCAAAAACCTCACTTTTCTTTTTAAAAAAAGCGATAAAATTCGACATGACGAAGATTTGAGCTTTTTGGGCCGGGCCGCCCTTTTTTGCTTGAGACCTCCCTAAGGCTGCGCCGGGCTTGACACAAGCCTGTTTTTGTCTTAAAAAAGGATTATCTGAGAGAAACGATAGAGATGACGGCGTTTATAAATGAAGACGGTCAATAACAGTGAATTGCTGCAATTTCACTGAATTCGCCTTCTTGTGGTTGCTTTAGTGATTTTTCGTCCAGTTTTTTTTTGTGGTAAAAGCGGAGTTCTTGAAAAAGAGGTAACGTTGGTCTAACAGGGGGTCGCTACGATTTGCCTTCTAGTGAATGCTTTAGTGATTTTTCGTCCAGAAAATCTGCGAGAAGTGTAATTTTCGAGAAGAAACACAAGTTTGTCGAAACTTCTTTTTTGATGATTTGTGAGACTATTTTTTGCCTGTAAAGGTGGTCTAACAGCAAATTGCTACCATTTTATAGAGCTTGCACTCTAGTGACTACTTTAGTGGTTTTTCGTTTGTTTTTATGAGAAAATGAGTGGACTTTGAAGAAAAAGGGAACAGTAACAAGAAAATTTGTGAAATTTGATTTCGGAATTGATATTTTATTGTAAAAAGACCATCATTAGATTTCTTCAGTTTAACTCGATTTTCATTCAAGTGGCCGCTTTAGTGATTCTGATTTTTTTTTTCTGAGTTAAAGAAGCTGAGGAAAACAAATACAGTTGCCAGAACATTTTTGGAAATTTTCAATTTTCCTACCAATATACTTCTTCATTTTCCCTCAAACATCACTTTTTTCCCTTCCTTCTAAGCCTCCAGTTCTCCCAGAGAAGATACTTCTTATGAATCTTTGGGAACCGCGTCAGTTTCTCAATAGAACTTGACTTGGCGCCAAATGAATAAAGCATTCGTCGGGGCTCGGCCAGTGAGCATGAACCTATTGACTTTAGGCCATTCTCAAGATAGAAGAAATATCCTGGGTTTCCATAGAAGCTGCAGTTTCATATTGGAATCTCTGTTGAAAAATTTTCCCTTAAAGAGAAAAATTAGGCTTTTTTCACTTAACTGGAGGAATTTATTTTTTTTTTAAATTTTTCCTGAGGAGATTTACAAGTCGAGCTATTCAATGCATGTAATTATGTATTTTTTTGGTTTCTTCTACGTTTTTCAAAGTTTGCGAATTAACTTTAAACTTATGAAGAAAGTTCAAAAAAATTGAGTTTTTCAAAATAAATTTCTCTTTTTTTGACACAAAAAAATTTGAAAGAAATAAAAAAACTCACTCAGCGAGGCAGGGCAGAGATTGGAAGAACTCTGAAAAATGGAAAAAGTCATTTTTTAAAATGATAGCCTAAGCTGAACTTTGAGAATTTCATTAGAAAAAAAGTATTATCAATGGAGCGATCTATCTCTCAGGCTGTTTTTTCCCATTTCTTAAGTTTAATTTTGATGTTGATAGCTCAGTTTCTATGTTATATAATTACAGGTTAATTTTGAAAACTCGTTATTAGAAAATATTATTTTAAGACCATTTTCCAATTCCTTCAATCATATATTTTTTGGAAACTTTCTAACGTATGGAATGAATTTTGTTTGGTTACAGAAGTGTAGTTATCAGTGGAGCGCTCTTTCGTTGAGCTGCAAGGTCAATTTTTCCACTCTAGGAGAGCATGCTAGTGGTCTTTTCAACTTCCAAATGGAGAAAATAATCTACAAGACCACTTAAACTTGGGGAGCTTAGGGGTCATGCCTTTAGCTCTCATATGGGCCACCTAAATTTTAATCCTCTGGCAGCACTATTTTTCCACCACAGCGACTTTTTTCCCTAACCTCTATAGTGACCACTCTGGGGTTTTTCAGAAGCTCGATTGGAGATATTTCTATTCGAACGCTTCTTTGAGGCCATTTTTCAAATTTTCAGAACTTTTTTTTTATGTCCCTCCTGCCCTTTGACTTCTCCGACAATCGACAGGAAATTTTGTGCCCAATAAATATTTGCAGGTGGTTAATGGAATTCAAGAGAATGAATGAGGAGAAGAAGGGGAAGCCCGTCTGTCAATCCAGATTTATTAGCCTTGAGGAGGCACGGCGAAGAAAAAAAGCGCCAAAACGGCCTCTAATTCGCCCTATTGACTTAGAGAACTTGGATTGTACTCGGGAAAAATGGAATGATAGTGGATTTTTGAATGGATGATCATTTTCAGTAGCTTGAATGGACTTGGATCGGTTAAGAAAATATTAAATTTTTTTTTTCTGTTTCAAGAGAGAATCTGTGAATAATCAGCTCGTTATGAAGGGATTTTGTATTGAATCTAGTCGATTTTTTTCTAGATCTTGATTTTATCAGCCTTTTTTTCAAAAAAATTATATCATATTTTTCAAAAATATAGCTAGAAGATATTCGAAACCTCTCCAAGATTGTCATGATCTTCATGCGAAATTTTAAAAAGGTTTTTCAAAAATTTGCCTTATTGGAAAAATGGGTAAGGAGCTCTAGATTCTTCGATCAGATGCATTTTCTTATTTTTCAAAGTTCGAACTCTTAGGATAGAGAAAATCTGAAGAAACTATTTATAAAATCTAGAAAAAGTTCATCGCTTGCTCGAGTCTTCACAAATTAAAGTCAACCCTGGCGATGGAAACTATTTTTTTAAACTTAACTTTCAAAGTTTCTTGGAAATTTACTCTCCTTCTTCACTGATTTAATCTGACACTGATTTAATTCTGCACTTGCCCACTTATACTCTAGAATAGCTGAAATTCCATCTAAGGTCTCGGTCCACCTAAGAACTCGGAAAAAACAAAAAGTAGTCCTGTCGCCGATCCCATTGGGACAATCATGACGAGGCAAAAGGGCGGCAAGCCGCCTTGGAAAGTGTCCTGGTGACTAATTGGCTCTGTCCGCCAGGGGCTCGCCGAGCATCTCGAGCTCCATAAATCTTCGCCCTACGGCTATGTTCTTCATAAATCCTCAAATACCGCCGCTCGCGTGGAACCCGCTTTTTTTCCTCTTCGAAATGTCATTTCCGAAATGAAGTTTGGCATTTGGCATTTTCAGGAAATCTCTTCTTTTTTCTGAGACATTGGACTTCCATTAGAGAGAAAATATTTATTTTAGAATTATTGAAAAAAATGTGAAAAGTTTACTTTCCTACAGGGCAAAAAGAAGCATGTTCCCTTTGATTTATATGAAATTTTTCTGAATCTCCGAGGATTTTAAATCTTCTGATCGGACTCCTAATAGGTTATGGCCTCAAATTTTTACCTTCGCTTCAATTTTGGTCCCTTTTCGACCTTTCTAAATAAGTTTTAGTATGAAAGGTTTTATAAGTATGCCCGGAGGCCAAGACTATAAAACATTTGGAGATTTGGGTAGACCGGCAGGAAAATATCTTTAAAGTTTATTAAGAAATTTTGAAAAGAAATCTCAGTATCCCGTGTATATTTTGAGACTTTTTTCGGGTCCCCTCTCAAGACGAAAAATGAAGCGAAAGAGGTCCACGAGCCGGAAAGCCAAGGGCCAGTAAGTGGAAAATCTGGGGGCGAGCGATTTCTCACGCATAACTCGTTGTGACACCCTTACCTCCTAACATTCTTAAGTAGCACCCTACGTCATACGGTATTGATTTTTTCTTCCCCTAACTAAATGAGTGTATAAGTGGACCTTGAAAAAAGTGAACTTTTGGTTGATGATTTCGGTACACCCCGAGTTGGACTTGAAGGGTGTGCACCCTTGGGGCAACAGGTCGGAAAAATTAATCATTTTTGAGATACAGTAACAACTTAAGGTGAAACTGTAGAACACTGTCTTATTTAGAGATAAGTCATTTGGAAATCATGTACGGAATAATAACGAGGTACCTCGTGGCTACACTGCGGGGTGCACCGAGAGTTCAACACAAGATGCACCGCCCCTTTTGTTAGATTTCTTCCCAACTTTTGGAGAAAATATTAGTAGAAGAATAACAAAAAACTAACCGTCTCGATGTTCGACGCAAATGAAGCGTATTCCCGCGTAAGTCTTACGGATGCTCGCCGAATGCTGCGACACTTTTTCGCAACCGTGAAGACACAGGTCCACCCTACCGTAGGCTCTGAAAATTATTGAGGTTCAACTTTTTGAGTTATTGTAGGAAAAAGCTTGAATTTGATAATATATACTCGGCCAGTGGTAACGCGAAACGAACGCGCTCCGGACGTTTCTGGGCATTTCTAGTGACCACTTTAGTAGCGTCCTCACACTTAAGTGATCCCTAGAATCGCCCAGAAATGTCCGGAGCACGTCCGTTACCTATGTCCGAGCAGGTGAAGAAAAAAACAACAACTATGTCAGCCATGGAGCGCGATTCAAATAGTCTGGCGAGGCTGTTTTTCTGTTACCATTAAATTAGACTTTTTTTTTTGAATATTTTTCGCCAAGCCAAAAAAAAGTCAATATGACTATGGAATTCGCAATGGAGCTCATTATGACAGTGCTGAATTTTTTCCCAATTTGAAATGAATTATTTTTATTTTGATAGAACATAAATCATATGGTCGCACGCGAAAAGGCTCGAAGCTTCGCGGTCGCAAAAAGTTAACCAAATTTATATCTGGAAACTCATTCGAATGGCTCAGAGCGCAAGTCGTTTTAAGTCGGGTGCGTTTCACAAATCTACCGGTTCGAAGTTTTCAAGTATTTAGCCTTTCCAGCTGTGAACCTCCTTTTTTTGATTAGAGTAACATTTTCGAGTCTCGTTGCCTTTTTTATTTTCAAAAGACCCTTTTTCAAACAGAAATAGGCTCGCTTCTTCGTTTACACCTTGCGCTACCTGCCAAATAAGGTGACTCCTGTCTGGTGGAAATTTGAGCGCAATTCGCTCGGCGACACTCGAAAAAGGTTGTGGTTTTGACTGGCCCTGACGTAATGACTTTCAAACCCTACACAACAAACACTTGAGCCACAGAAGAGTCTCTGGGTATGTGGTGCAAATTTGGAAACTCCCAAAAAAGGTCAAAGAATTGAAATGGATATTTTTCATAATCTGTCTTTTTTTTTATAAAAGAAAAAAATCGAATTTCCCTCGAAAAAAACATGCTCAAATTCTGCCGTCCGCACTTCCTGAATATCAGGTGCGCGGCGGAATTCGAGAAAAAAAGTTGAGCAGAGGAAGCTTCGAAAAAAATATAATGAATTTGAATGAGCTGCTGCCTAATTGAGGTAACTTTTAGGAAATTAAGAATTCTTTTTTTGCATATCAAAAATCTGGTGGAAAAATTTTTTTCTTCTGTTGACAATCATTAGAAGGCTTACAGGAATATATCAGGGAACTGAATAAAGTTTTTGATATTTTGCAAAAAAACTGATGATATATTTTTTTCCAGGGAATGGCTTCAAGCGTAACGTCTGCGAATTTTGAGTAATTCTCATTTTATTAAAAAGAAAATTGGGAAGAAAAAAACCCAAACAATGTCCCACAAAAGATATTTTATTTTTTTGTTTCAGAACTCATAAAGAAATTTTTTTAAATATTTCTGTTTTGTCTTATTTAAAAATTCCTTGATTTAGATATTTATTCGTTTCAACCTGTCTTTTAATAATATTTCGAACATAGTAAGCACTGAAAGTTAAAAAAAACTGACTGGCAAATGTCCTGAAAGCTCTTCTCGGTGACGTCCTTGTCGGAGCTGGCGCCAATGAGAGCCGACAGCGAGAGTTGACCCATCTGCTCGGTCTGCAGCAGTGGCGTCGACTCCAATGACTACAATGATAAACCACCACCAGCACATGTGAGTGTGAGTGTGAGAGTGCAGCGTTCGCATTTTAGACCATATGAGAAGCTCCGGCAAAACTTGATCAGGCAATATTCATTGTTAAGACATTTCAAGAGGCGGTAGAGGAAGATTTCCAGAAAAAATAGCTTCTGCTTTGAAAATTTTCCACGTTACTTTTTATAGGTAGAATGGTTTGAAAAGCCATTTTATAGTCAATTTTTCCTGACTGGAACGGCGGGAAAAGTGAACGGTTGTGAAAATTAAGGTCAAGCCCCATGAAGGAAAAAATTTTTTGGAGTCCAAAAAATAAAAAATATTGAAAAACTGTCAAAAAAAGGGCAAACGCGTTTGACCGCGAGTTTCCCGCCAAAAAGCCGCGTCGCGTACGCAACGCTTCACCTTTGCCAACCTACCCCTATCGCCTTTCAAGTCGGAAAAAATTGAAGAGAAGTGGCGGTAGAGGAAGAGATCCAGAAAAAGTTAAACGAGCTTCTGTTCCACTATATTTGAAAATTAGTTTTTTAAGTCGTAACTCTATAACTTCTTGGAACTATAAAACATTCATGTTAGGTGATACTTGCAGTTTTCATATTAAAAACGGAGTTGAGCGAAAAAAATGGAATTTAGTAAATTCGGCAAAAAGCAGTCTTGATGCTAACACAACCGTAACGTGACGAAACGTAAAATCAAAAAAAAAATTGAAGCGAAGAAGTTGATTTTGAATATAGTCCATTCACCGCGACTTTAAAGTTTCCGAGTGTCTGCGTCTCTCTGACGAGGTCAGAAACAAGAAAATAACACAACAGAACAAGAATTGCGATGATCCTTTGGTTTTTTTTTTGCGTTAACAACTTTTTTTCTTAAAACTTCAATCATCAACCTTGACCAAAAACTTGAAGAATTTCGTTTCAATACATATATTTTTTTGCTCACTCTTTTTTTCAAGTGCACCACCTCGCATGCTCATTTTTGTCGAGTGTCCGTGTGCCTCGCAGAAGCTTTGAAGAGTGCGAAAATGTGGGAAAAGAGGATGAAAAAGTGAACGTGTAGGAGTGCGGAACGTTTCTGGCTTGAACCCGTTGAAATTTGTGAGAAAATTTTTTTTTCTAACAATTTTTGTAATTTTTTTTGTGGCTGAGTATTAAAAAAAGATGCAAATAGCCTTCAATTTTTATTTTTCGAAAGAAGCCGCGGTCGCACGTGAAATGACTTCCAAGCGTCGAAATTGTAATCAGCTGTGAAAATTTTCATCACGCGCAAGCCGTATTAGGTCGGATGCGTTTCAATATATTCACTTTCAGCCTTTTCACTGGCTACCACGATATTTCAAGTGAAGACTGACTCAACTTGATTTTCCTTATCAAAAAAAGCTTCTAACTTCAAAATCCAAATGGGTTCACGCCAGTTCCAAACTGAATATATTTATAATTACCTGTTGCATTTCGGCGATACACGGTTCAATGCAGTCGCCACCCGGAAACGAGCCCCCAGCCGGTTTTAAAACTGAAAAAAAACCGTAGAGTACTTTTTGGAATTGGAAAAAGATTCCAGAATGACCATTTTTTGAGGAAAAGCTACTTTTGAGCCAAAAAAAAGTTCATTGAACTTGATTTGAACTATTAGAAGTTAAAAATCCAGTTTTCGCTACATTTGGGGAATGTAAAAATCTTTTTGATACTTCTTCCTTCTTTCTGATTTTTGAAGTTCTGAGACCGAGGGAAAAGTGTAGTCGCCCACACTTCCGGAATACCCAAAGCGTTGAAAAAAGGCTTTTTTTGAAAATTTTCCGAAATATCCCATTGAAATAACTTTTCGAGGTTTTAAGATTCTGTGAAGTTTGAAAAGAATCAAGACTTTGATTAGCACTGAAAATTACATCTCTTGTAAGATTTCAAAAATTGGACTCGGTTCCTTTAAAAAAAGCCGTAAGCTATATTTTTTTTTTGAAAAACTCTAGCTTTTGATTCATTTCTAGCTTCAAGAATTTCAAAATTTGTGAAATTTTCCGTTTTTCGCACCTGCAAGGAAGAAAAGCAGCAAATTGGCCGAAAGACGCTCCATTCTCATGTCATTTCTTCGGGCTTTTCAATAGATTTTTGTTTTCTTCGGCCGTTCCTTCCCCTACTCTTTCTCCCCGTGAAAAAGGTCCTGAAAAGAGCTTATTTCATAGAAATGAGTCGAGAGGAGCGAAAAAATAGCGATTTTGAATTGGCGCCACAAGGCCAACAACAAATAATAAATAACGTTTTTTTTTCCACCGGAGGCGTTATAACGTTACTCGGAGAAGGAGAATCTTTGAATATTTCTGAAATTCATTCTTAAGGAAGCAAAGTTTAAAAAAATGAGTTAAAAAGATACAAGGATGATTTTGTTAGAGATTTGAGAAAAATTTCAATTTTTTTCAGGCTTATTTTATTTGGAAATTTAAAAAAATTTTTAAATAATGATTTTTGTACGCAAGGTTTTCAGAAGAAAGATCAAAATTTTCATTTCGCATCTTTTTTTCCAATTTTTCTTCATAAAAAAATTTCCTTCATAAAAAAATTCATAAAAAAATTAAAAATAAACATAAAAAGCAATAATGAATTTGAGAAAAAAATGAAAAAATCATATTATGACAAAATGTGCGTCAAATCGACACCTATCGGCGTATTTTATCGACTTTTAAAAATTCTAATTTTACCTGATTTTTTTCAATTTTTTTCATATTTTACGATAGTCTTATTCTGTGTACGGCATTCAGGTAGAAACCCGTTTTTTGAAGCAAAAAAGACGAAAAAGTCGAAAAAGTCGAAAAATAGAAAATAGCTTTGCAATTATTATTATTTTTGTTGTTACTGCCAGAAGCTAAGAAACACAAAAACAAAAACAGAGTGTGAGGTGCCAAAAAAAGAAAAAAGAATACGACGGTGGCCATTGGCGAAACGTCGGCCTTTGCCATTCTCCAGAACCTAGGCTCCGCCCCCTCGGCTCTGGATGGATGCCAATCACTAAAAGGGTGTGGCTTCATGGTTTCATGCAAAGATTCCTTTTTCTGGACCATTTTTTTTTCGAAATAAAAAGTCGAAAGAATCATACTTTACACGGATTATTGTAGACTTCAATTTTTGAACAGGATGTTTGATTTTAGCTGAAAAATTCACGAGGGGGGTGGGGGCTTGGCTCTTGCCAGTCATGCTCATCCCATGTATGCTTTCTTCACATTAGTTGGAGGAATTTCGGTTTGATAAAATACAAATTTTGGATAATTATTTATACTTTTTGTTAAAGTCAAGCTGAAACTCAGGGCTTTTCTGAATATTGAAAAGGAAAAAAGCTGTGTTTCGGATTTTCTAACGTTTTTAGAAGTTTCCGAAGAATTATATGTGTAGCAATATTCTCAGAGTTTCGAATAAACAGTTCTATCTTTTTTTTCGGAACATGATTAAAGTTTTTTCCACCCCCCTAGAGCTGATAGAGGTGATCTGATCAATGATCACCTTCATTTTTGAGCAGAGAATTCGAATCTCTTTTTATTTTGACCTATCATCATCCATTTAAATCCCTCTTCACAAAAATGTCGACTCTAGAAAGAAAAAATCAATTTTGAGAACAGAGTATACTTTTTTATCAAGTCAAGCTAAAAGTAACGTCTTAAGGAGTCCAGAAGGTACTACACGTAGAACCTCAGATTTCCTAATAAGCAAATGATCTGATCAATCCTCATTTTTAAGAAGAAATTCCGAATCTCTTTCTAGTTTGACCCATCATCATCCATCCGAGTCCCTCTTCACATCAAAACGTCGGTTGGAGAAAAGAGTGGCCGAAAAATCAAAGGAACAGCGAGACGTGCAGCGGTGATAACGGGGAGTTAAGAAGCCGCAAGTCGTGTTTGTGTGTGGACAGTTTCTTTTTCGCGCCCCCCTCCTCGCGACACAATGCAATAATCACGGCGGAGCGCTTTTTCTCAGATTAGTCGGGGCTCATTTGGCCTTCTTTCTTTTTCGTCGCCGTTCGCAAAAACGTAGTTTTTGAAGTTGATCGGTACTTGCGGAAGTAAGGATGAAATTTGTTTTTTTTTCCAAGGAACTTTTTATCATTGATCGGGCATCTGACAAAGAAGATCGTTTTGATTTGAGCTCGGGAATTTTATAAAAATCGCCCAGGAATTTACTAGATTAAGATCCTGAAATCTCAAAATGAGAAAACTTCCGGTTTTCGAGAAAAAAGGTACACTAAAACGAAGAAAATAATCAAAAGTCGTAAAAATTGGCTGTTTTCGGGTTTGGAGCCTTTTTTTAATCGAAAACCAGAATTTTGTTCAGTTTGAACCTCTCAGGATCGTCATCTGGGGCACTAAGAAAATTTCTGATCGATTTTTAGGGAATTTAGACTCCTAAGTAAATAAACATCCCTTTTAAGAAACTGCTCGAAAAACTTGACGTTTCTGGGAACAACTTTAGTGGCGTCAGACCCCTTAAGTGATCACTTGAAAAGCTCAGAAACGTCTGATTTGCTTCAGCGAGGTTCAAGTGAGCCTTTAGAAGTTTCACTGAACTCGAGAACAAATTTTTGATAAGCTTTTTCAAAGATTTCAAAAAAAAAAAAATGAGATTCTTCAGTTTTTGAGCCCTGTAGATGGTCGCTCTTCAATTCCCAAGGCGTTGGTATAGTCTAGTCGGTTCGGCAAATTCATGAAGCCGGAAACGTGAATCTTCTCGCACCTGCAGACGATGTAAACACGGTAGCAAACTCCATCGAGACAGGAGTTACGGTCTGGCGCCAACTTCTGTTTTCAGCTCACACATTTGAGAGCAAACGTCCGTTGGGTCAGACTGGACTGAAGCTTTGAGTCTTGGAAATGGTACAAAAGATCATCTCTTTTCGATATTTTAGCGCCTAGGAAAAAGGGGTTTTTGCAGATCTTTTTCACTGGAAAGATTGAAGTTTTGATTTTACGGCTTTTTATAAGATCTTGAGATTTTAGGAGTTTGAATCTGGGGTGATTTTAGTTCTAGAGGATTAGAAAAACGATTTTTCTCAATTTGATCAATTCGGTTGTTTTTCTGGCAACTGGTACCTCAGTTTTTCAAAAATCAAATTCCAAAGATGAAGATCTTTTTTGAGGTTCATGAGATACTCAAAACATTTGATATGCTGAAAATTTATATTTGTCCCACATTTCAGCTTTCTGGAATTTCGAGAAATTTTTCAAAGATTTGCAAAAAAGATGAAAAATATTGAACTTCTGCTGATGCGAATCCTTGCAGGTTTTGCAAAAAAAAAAAAAATATTTTGGTGATTTCGATTTTTTCTTTTTGGAGAAGAGAACCCCAATTTTTGAAATAAAACTTGAAAGCTGAAGCTTTCTGAACTATTCAACACATCTGATCTTTCGAACTGCCTCCCACGCCTCAGGCTTCCTAAAGAAAGTTCGACCCAGCAGACGTTTGCAGGTTTGCTCGAAAAGAGAACCAACAAATAAGCGACAACACGGCTTACGTAACTTCCCAAAAGGCGCCAGTTCGAGGATTGTCTCGATGGAGTTTGCTACCGTAGTTTGTCTTTGTCTGCAGGTGCAAAATGTCTCACCTTTCCGACTTCCTTCCTATCAAACTACATTCAACTCCTGTTTGGTGTCTGACGGGGAGAGGTGTTAGCTTCAAAATACAGTACGGTCTATTTCTGAGATCTTGAAACGAAATGGTCGCATTTGGAATGGCTAAAGGCGTTTAATTACTTCAAAAGTCAACTTGTCGATTCTTTGCAGCTTCATATTTTTTCTGTGACACTGCGCAAGTTACTTTAGGTCGGATGCGCTTGGAAAAAACTTCAAAGCTTGAAAACATTCTTAACGCAACCGAATTTTTGAAACTTAGAGTTTTTTAATGAGAAATTTGGACCCCTTAGGGCTCTTTTTCGCCTCCTGTAAGGACTTTTAAAAGAAATACCCTATAGGGACTCCTCAGAAATACCTCATTTTGAAGCATAGTTGAGCTCGTTGACTCAAATTCCCATTCTGGCATCTTCAAAAAAAAATTACCAACCTAATACGGAGTCGAACTCGCCACCATTTGACTGATAGATTGGCCTCTTGCCAGCTGAGCTATTTTGAAGTTTAAAAAAAAAAGATCAAGCTCGTTTTTTTTTCAGATAGCTCCGTAAACGTTTGAGTTAGAAACTTTTCAGGAAGTTTTATTTTTCCGATTTCTAAAAAATTTTATCAACCAAAATAATGAATCTTCGATTCTTTTTGAGGTTTTCAATTTTTTCGGATAGATACCAAAAGAAACTCCCCGGACTCTTGAAAAAGATATAATTCATAACTTTTCTAAAAAAAAAAATACTTTTTTTAAACGATAGATACCAAAAGAAAAATCCTTTCTGACTGGACCCTCGAAAGGAGGTGCGGCGGCGAAAGTGCTTATATCTGAGCGTTGTGCAGCAGCAGCATCTTCAATCAGCTTCTTCACCCCTCCACAAGGCGCGCACGAATAATATTGACACTGATCAACACCTTTTCCGTTTGCTTACTGTTTGTCCAGAGGCGCTCCTCTTTACTTCTTCTTCTTCGTCTTCTTCCCACTGCCGGAAGTGTATCAAGCGTTCTTTTGGGATAAAGTGATGGTATCAAGGAATTGGAAAATTTCCCAGAAAGTTTTTTTTAATTGAAGGAGACCTGAGAAGGGGACCATTTCAGTGTGAAGCTTGGAGTTTCTTATAAGTTTGACATAAGATCGACTGAAGGATTTTATGAAAGTCTGTATGAATATTCAATTCCTTGTGATGTAAACTTTTAGTTTGGAAGTTATAAATATTGAAAAAAGTGAAGGGTTTTAAAAAAAAAACCGGAAAAGGTCTCGAAAATTAGAAATTCATACAGTTCGCAGCTATGAAGGATCTTGGTCTACTTTCTCAAAGTTTTTGGGATGATTTTCAAGCTTCATACCTGGAAAATCTCACTTTTCAGGTGAGCATTTTCTCAGATGCTTAGCTTAAGATGTTTTTCTGAACAAAGGCCTACAAATTTTCGAACAGTTTTGTTTAAAAAAAAACCTTGAAGAAGAACCACCTGGAGCATTTTGTTGAGAGCTAGAGAGATTTTACATCACTAGAAGTGACGCAAGACTTCCCTGGTCGCACTTGGAATGGTTTGACGCGAAACGGGTGGGCTCCCGACTTGAAACGGCTTGCGCGCGAAGAAATTTGAAAGAAAACTGTCTTTCGACCGCAACTTGACCGCGACACTTTGAGCCATTCCCTAGCGGCCTGTCAATGCATAAATTTTATTTTGAACTGTCCGACGCCCCCATCGAAGAAGCTCCTCTTCAAACTGGTATCTAGTGGACTGGTCTTTTTTTTCCAAGAAAAAAGATACTTTTCGTTCCCTTTTTGCAGTTAACCTAACCTATTATATCGGTCAAAACGTCCTTCACACAAGAGAGAAAACTGTGCAAATATTGTAAAGGCCTTTCCTCTCGCCGGCCTCTCCCTCTCTTCTGTGTTTCTTTTTGCTTCGAGCAAGGCAAAAAAGGCCTTTTCGGCCCGATGTTCAACACGGCTCAGATTAATGCGGTCAACTTCTTTTTTCTGTCCAATCATCATCGGAACATCGAACAATGACGAGCGAGTCTTTTCGGGTTCCAAGTTAAGCCCTTGGCCAATCAGAAAACGGTACGGCTGCGCTCAGATCAAAGAGTAGTCGGTTTTGCAGAAAACAATGAAGTGAAAAAATAAGATCAAAGGAAAATCTTCGAAAAAATCCACAAATTTGCCAGATTTTGAAGAGTTTCAGGCTTCTCAAAGCATCGATCAGAACATTTTTTTCCAGCTTTGATCTTCTAAAAAAATCCATTTTTTTCAAATAAATTTTTTTATTTTAAAAAAGTCCTAAAAAAATCATGAGCTTGATAATTCTCATAATCCCCTTCAAAAAAATTTTCGTTCAATGAGAACCTTTTTAACCTTCTAGAAATTCTCACAATCCAAAAAAATTAAAAAAATTCTCAATCATTAAAAATAGCAGGAATGTCAGATAAAACTTGAAAGAAAAAAATGTTTGAAAAAAAGGGTTTTTAATTTTTTTCCAAGGAGATATTTTCAAAATTCATCTGGTTTGATATTCTCAAACAACTGTATAAATTTTAAAAATTTTTCAAAAAGTTAACCTTTTAAAGATTTTTTTCACACCTAGGAAGGCACTCGGAAATTTAGAACACCAAAATACTGTGAGGTCTTCGGAAACATTAGACATTTTCGGAAAACGTCAAATGGCCAGAAAAAAGGTGTTCTGAAACAATAGAATGCCAGAAAAAACGTGTGAAACATTAAATTGAAAGACGTGGTCGTACGTAGAATGGCTCAGAGCGTCGCGGTCACGTTGCGGTCAAAATAGGTCCGGTCCGACTTATTTTGCATATTTCTCTGATACTTTCAATGATCAAGTGCTTTGCAACCGCCACGCAACGAGACATTCCAAATGCGACCGATTCTAAAGAAAATAAAGTGAACTTTATTAGAAGCTTGCAACAATTTGAAGCTTTATCAAAGATTCGAGAAGCGAATTTTAGTTTAGCTCCCAAAAGGACTCCCAGGAATGTCAAATTTTTTCGAGCCGCGAAAATATTTCAATCAAAGGTATGTGGTCTAAAAATGTCCGTTGACACTTCTTCCAGAAATCTAACAAAACGAGGAATTGTATGCATTGAGGATCAAAACCGAACACATATTTTTTCTCCCCTTTCGCGGCAGAAGGATAACCTTCCCGCGACGAGATTCCACTCGATTCAAAACCAAACTACTCCACACAATACAATGAAGAAGAGCCGTTTGCTCGGGAAAAAAGAGCCCAAAAAAAGAAGAGCCGCCGCCGTTTTCGTGATTGTTTCAGGGCAAAGGTCCCGCTGACCGTTTTGTTGTGAAATGTTTGCCTCGGAATGAATTCGAGGCGGCCGCCGCAAACATGGAAAAGAAAAAGAAAAAAAAAACCGAAAATGGGAGGACGCTTCTGGAGCATCGTGTACCCCTTGAACCGACACGTTTTGCAGCGACATGGAGAAGAAAAACAAGTGCGAAACTGACCTGTGACTCTTTTTGTACGAAGTCCACAACCACACAAACAATCTTTGAGTTTGTTCTATTGAACTTTCGAGTGTTTTTTCATTCCCACAACACATTTGTTGCTCTTTTTGGCCTGGTTTGAAAGAATGTAGCATGCTGGAAAGTGAACAAGATGATCCCAAAGTCCAGAAGGACCCAAAAAGAAGCTTTAGGGGAAAAGGCCCTTAAAAAAGCCTCATTGCCTTTTTTATTCTTATGATAAGGACCTTATTTGAAGAGGATTTTTTAAGGAGAAAAAGGGGAAAAAGGAAATTTGGAAAAACTTTTGACACCTTTTTGGGAGCTCAAAGAGAGGCTTTAGTTTCTTATTTTTGAGGTCTTTTGGATCTTGCCCGTGTAAGATTGAACCCCTCAATAGTGAAGCTCAGTAAAAATTCAAAAAAAGTCCCTCAAACGACGGGAAAAAGTAATGGTGAAAAACGCAATACTGTAAATAACTCCTTAAAATATAAACTATGGAAGTTGAATATTTTATTCTCTCTCATTCAAAAAAATTTTCATAGTGGATTTAAAAAAACTTATAGAATAAAAAAACCTTGAAAAAAACACTTAAGTGAAACGAGAACAAAAAGTTGTTTTTCTTTTTGGTGGTTGACGTATTTGTAAATTTCAAAAATTTTTCCTTCTAATACATTGATTAACCATGGATTGTTAAAAATGAAAAATTATCATTGAAAACTGTCGTCAAAAAATTTGCAATCATTTTTTTTCCAAAAGAAGTTTTTTGCGCGTCACGGTGCTGTTTCGCGTCGTTCTGCAGCTCTCCGCAAAAAAATTTTTTTTGATTGTTTGACATGTTATTTTAAATTTTTCTTTCTTTCTTTTTTCATTGTTCAATAACCAGATTCATTTTGAAAATCGGCTCTATCCTTTAGGTAGTTGTCAGGCTCTAATGTAAAAAGAAGTTCAAAATGAGTAAAAGAAATTCAACGCATTCTCGTCAATTTTTATTATTGCAAGGGTTAACTAAGTTTAGATGTTTTTCATATTATTTTTTTAATGTTTTTGAAGCGCAATTTTTCGAATATTTTTTTTATATTTCATATTATTCAGGCTCTCATGTTAGAAAAAAAGCCGGAGGATTAGAAATCTACGAGAACTGCCGATTTGGAAACCCTGGCTACTTTCAAAGAACCTCTATATCGAGGTTGTTTATTTTTTTAACTTTCAATTTATTTTTTTGATAATTGAGAGTTTTATTCCAGTTATTAAAGTAAACACCAAGTCTCATTATTTGATAACTTCCAAAAAAATAAATACAAGTTTTTTTGATTTTTTTAGTTGAGTCGTCATACAATTTCACTTTTTTTCCACAAAAAAATTTTTTTAAACCTGTTTAAAACGAAGCCAATAGTTTTTTTTTTCAAAAGGTTGCGCCAGAAACTCGATTTCAGATTTTAAATAATCAATCCGCGAAAAAATGCTGTAAAGTTTTTTTTCCTCTGTTGAGATTAAACTTGTTCCGCGGCCCTTTTTCGCATAATGAAGACATTTTATTTAGACGTTTTTTTTCCTGATTTTAAGAATATAATGCAGAGGAGCCTCAATCACCTTCATTGGGATAAATGGAGACCTCGAAATTCTCCTTATAATTTTTTCAAAATTTTTTTTTCCGTTAGTGGACGCTTTGAAATTGATTTCCTTTGGCTTCGCTAGGTCACAAGAAACAATGAAGCGTCGGATTTCGAAAACTAGAATTTTTGCAAGCTGAAGCTCTTAGAATCTTGATCCAGTACATCGAGAAGTTTTTCGTATTGAGTGAAGTCTGAAACCTCTCTAGATTGTCTGATCATTTACTTATTTTTATTCATCCTTCAAATCGAATTTGGGTAGACTTCGTGAAACCTTGAAGGCGAAGAAAAAACTTCTCAGACTTTGAAAAAGCAGCGCAGCCATTCAGGTATCATGTTCAGGATTTTTTTAACCGTGTCTAGTGTGGCTAGGCCAAAAAGGGCCCATTAGCGAACTCGACCTTTAGAGAGTTCAACCGCGTTCAGTCGCGATTCCAAATTCGCAACAAAAAAGGGTGAGCCCGAGGCGGGTCGGACCAAGTTTAAGCCTTGGGTGCCCTAAAAAGTAGCTGCTCCACCCCGTCGACGAGTATAAAGCTCCGTGCGGCGGGACCTTCTTCTTCACAACCCTCACATTCACAGCTCCGCCTCCTCCCCAATTCTCCTCCTCTTCTTCGTTTTCCGTTCGGAGAGACAGTGAGAGAGCTCTTTTGTGTTTGTGCGAGCCTCCACCCCCAAACGGTCACTCCATTTTGATTCTTCGTCGAAGTCGCCTCGTTCTCGCCCCCCTTTTTTCCCTATTCATCTGAACTTCTAGTTGATATTGCTCTTATCAAACCGTTCTCATTGATATTCACAGAGCCATGCGTCTGCTGTGCATCGTTTCAATTGCATTGGTTTTACCAGGTGAGAAAAACTTTGGTCTTCGAAGCCGCAGAACTTGACAATTTTCTCCTGTTTCACATATTTTCATAAGTTTTCTTGGTCTCGTAATATAATTGAATCCTGAAAACATTGGAATTGATGTGTGCTAGTTTTTCGAACATTTTGAAGATTTTTGTTTGCATTTCTTTTGAACTGTTTTCTTTGAAGCTTCTTCACATCAACTTTTGAGCTTTTATCAGAAAATCCAATATTCTGAACATTTTCTCATTCAAAATTGGATTCTCGCTTTCTAACGGAAATAATCGAAGAATTATGAGAAAGATGATTTTTTTCAAATTAAATTTCTCGAATTTTTTTTCTTTTGATGGTTTTTTTCTTAAACGTTGTACTTTTTCTGTTTGACTAGTCTCTCAGATTTTTTCGATTCTATTTGAATATTGATAAAACTATGAAATTTGACAAACTTGAAAAAAAAAACCTTTTTGGAGTTTTGAGGTTTTTTTTTAAATTCTTCCTCTTCATATTTTTAAGAATATTGGGTCCAATGACTTTTGGAAAAAAAAACTTGATACAAGAAAAAATGGAAACGGAACATGTTTAAAATAAGTATCCCAATGCTTCAAAATTGAAAATAACGATCTTTTTTATGGCGACCTAACAAATGCAAGTGTTACGAATTGATATGAACTTTTTTCGATTTTCGAATTTTATCAGCAATTGTTAGAGTATTCAAGAATCGAGAAATAGGCGAAAAGTCCGATTTGAATCAATCTCACTGATTATTTTCGCTCCTTACTTTTCTATGGTATGATCTCATAAAAGAACTTGGAAGCTCTATTTTTTTTCCCTTTAAACTTTGATAGTAAAGTAGAAGTTTAAGGTTCCTTACAGAACTCAAGAAGATATTCATCTTTGAAATAATTTAATACTTTCAGCCGTAACGCATGGTGCGACGACAGAGCAACTACGACAGTGGATCCTATCGAACCGAAAAAGTTTGCCGACAGGGGAAAACGGCGAGTCCGACCTGGCTGGAACCATCTTGAGGTACAGGGAAAAGCCAAGTCTGATGGAAGATTTTCTTTGAAGACTCTTCGGCTTCGGACAATCGACGACCCCAGAACCGACGACCACGACGACAACGGTAGCTACGACGACCACTACTGAAGCGGTCGCTGATGGTTTGTTTGGTTGAATTTATAATCCGGTGGAGGCCTGATAATAGAAGGATAAGAAAAAACAGTTTCAGCATCTATGATTAAAAAAAACTAGTCAGAAGTCCCAAAAGCTGTCGATAAGCTTGAAAAGTTGAAAAACAGAAATATTTAAAATATATGATGAAAAAAAATTTTGGCCAAGTAGAGTGTAGTCTGGAAACCTTGATCTGTCAAGCTTGTATTTTTTTTTCGGTGTGCGTTTTTTCTGAACATACGGATCCTTGGTTCTTTTCTTTCGTTAATTAACAAACTGTTAAAACCAGAATGCCTCGAAAAACTTCGAAATAATGAATCGCAACTCTCTAAATTTTCACCATTTTCTAGGATCTTTCAGTTTTTGGATCGTTGAAAATTCATTCGAAAGTGAAATTTCAAAACTTTTCTCAACCGGAGAATTATCTTGAAGCTCCTTAAAATACCAATTTTTTTTGATTCAAAAATGGCTTCCAAATGGTTCAACTTAGGAGTTGGAAAAGTTCATCTTTAGGACTTGAATTTCTTCAAAATATTCCGAGCGAAGTTTTTTGATAAACCGAGTTTAGTTCTGAATTATAAAACGTATCATGTTCAATCATGGTTCCATTTGATAGTTTTTAAAATTCAAAAAAAAATGAGAGAATTAGAGAATTAGAGACTTAACCAGGATCATGGATATTAGAACTCCACAGCGAGGTCTTGACTCATGAAAGATTCAAATTTACAGACTGTTTTCCGAGAAGATTGTCCAAAATGGCTTCAAATTTCAAAAAAGGCCCTTTTTTGTCTTTTTTTTTCCCGAAATTCCTTAAGTGTTAGACAGTTTTTTGCCGTCGGCGCAACTTTCATATTGTTTTGCGGGCCACTCAGAGGGCCTTGCGCTTCCACGGATACACATGATAGGCAAACAAGTGGAGAGAGGGCTTCTCACCCTCTCGGCCACTTCCTCTTTCGCCGGTGTTCCCCCGCTTTTCGCACCTCTGATTAGTGTTATCCGAGTAGAAGCAGGGTTTTGGAAGATGTGAAAAGCTCGAAAAGTACTTCAGGGGATCTCAATTTTTGAGCTTGCAGTGGTTGAAAGAGTAATTTTTGCACCTTCAATAAGTTTTATGCGAGAGGAAGAAAAGATATGGAACAGACTAAGGGCTCCAAAATCCTGTCTCTAATTTGGAAGTTTCACAGTTTGTAGTGTTTGAAAAAAAATATTCGTTTGCACCTTTATTTTTGGACGAAAGCAGAGTTTTAAAGAGACAAGATACTTGAGAAATGGAAATTTCAATTTTCTCTAGATTTGCTTCACCCACATTTGAGATTTTTCTATGAGAAGGCGTGAGAATTTATTCTTTTTGTTGATATTTTTGATTCTTAAGAAATTTTTGTACTGGTTTCAAAGCTTGCAAAACAGACAGTACTCTTAGCTCTCAAATATTCGAGTTTAGTGTCGGTTCAGGCCAAGTTCGGCTATTGTGCCTTTAAAAACACCCAACAGTTCCTTTGAACTGAACTATTGGTCTCCAAATGGAGTCCACAACACGGAGAGCTCAAAATAACTACAGTATTCCCGTGACGCAAACTAGAAACGTTTCCTTTAGAAGGAACGATTTCCTCCAGGCTCGCCGCTCTACCAACCCCTGAGATTTGTATGTGAGGGAGCGTGAGTGTGTATGCACGCCGGGAGTAACTCTAGACGACGTTCGTGTCACGGAATGCGCACAAACAAGAACCGAGGATGAATGGCCCCGCGTCAAGTAGTGTTGTTGGCGTTGCGGGTGCAGTTTGGAATGCCTTCCCATTGAATTTCGTTGCTCCTCGAGATCATTCGACTCGTTTTTTTTTTGTTGTTGGATGAACTCAAAAAGACTACAGTGACTGGGTTGGAAGTTCTCAATGAGTCATTTTTGTTGGCTAGGAAAGCTTTCCTGGCTTCTTCCATAGCTTATTATATCTAATGGATAGTGATCCTGAAAATAGTAGGCTTTTCATTTACCATCTGTGAGATAAGGTCCTCGTTAGTTTAAAATTTTGAGACGTTTTTTAGCCGGAATTCGAAAAGGCAGAAAGGAACTTTTTGGGTTTACTAATATCGAATTCGAAGCTTCGCCCGGCTTATTCGTTTTTTCTTTTACCTTATCAAAAGAGTTTTGAATCATTGAGAACTGAGTTTCAGTATGCAGAGAGTTCAGTTCTAACAAAAATGACCAGGAAAAGAAGGAAAAAACAAACAAATGGAGCATGCACGTCAAAAATGTTTGCGTCGGGTCCGTGATGACACCGCGCAGTGTCACCTCATCTCACGACTCTTTTTGCGTCTGAGAAGCATCAATTAATTTTCCGGCTTCCTGTCGGGAGGGTATTACGATAGTTCTCCCGCATAAGGATTACATAGAAAGTTGATCGTATTCTCTTCGTCGAACAAAAGTTTTCGATTCGGCTCGTGTTGTTTCAAATGAGATACTGACCCTGTCTTGTCTCCCAAAAATAGGTTTTTAGCACATTCTTGTATTTCAAAAAACTTTTTCTCTCGATGAAAATTTAATTAAAATTTCTCAAACAATCAATAATATAGTTAGAAAAAAGACAGTGAATCTACAAAAAGTCACATGATACCGTAGTGGGCGACATGGCGATCAATTCAGAAAGAAAAAGGGAAAAACTGACTATTAGGAATATTGAAAATAACTTTGCAGTGTGCCCGTTCTCGGCGGAACCCCTGCTTCTGGCCAAGGACTACGCCTACTGTCGGCCGTCCTCCATTGGCGACTGTCCGGTTGGATACCTCTGCGACCAATCTTTCGTCCTCGGCCGCTCTATCTGCTGCAAAGACGTCCGTCGTGGCGTCGCTCCTCACAGACCAATTCCTCGTGAGTTTGATTCCAGTTGTTTCGAAGCTCTATCTGTCTCCTAACTTGCTCATATTTATCTAAAAATGCACACAAATGATCAAAAAGTCTATCAATAAATCGATTAATAGAGAGTTTTTCGGGTTTTGAGCCGGAAAATGTACATTTTGGACTACAATCTCAGGATCAGAAGATCGAAATTTTCAATCTTTGAACAAAATATTATTCCACGACATGTTTACTCACCACCTATTCATTCGATTCTTACCCAAACCGTTTCCTTGCGTTGACGGGAATCGAACTTGTAACCCTTTAGCCATAGATATTATCGCAACCGACTGCGCTAAGAGTTTTGGTTTTCTAGTGCGCCCGTCTTCCGTCCGACCGCCTTTCAACTGGAACACAGTGACGCCGACGTCGGCCCCGGCCAAGTACAGCTCGACCTCGACCTCGAAAAAAGCTCCCTGGTACATCAAGGTGAGGAGAAATGATAAAAGCAGAAAAAGCTACCGAAAAGCGGCAGGTTTTCTGAGGGGACGTTCGGTGATCCTTCAAGTGTTTTTAGCGCCTTTTAGTTTTCAAACCAGAATTTTTCAGTTTCTGCCGGAGTAGGCTGAACTTTCAGTCTCTAGATGATGTCAAAAGGGTCAGAAAGAGGAATTTTCTTAGTCCTCATAATACTTTTGCAGTGAAGATGTGTTGAAACTGAGAAGTTCGAAAAATAAATAAATAAACTTCATTCTTGAGCGGGGAAGTGTAGTTTGGAGGCGGCATGAAGCTCTTGATGACGTCAAAAACCCAACTTTAGAGTTTTTACAGGGCTTGAAATCGTCACTGTTTTCGGAAGTTCAAACAATAATTTCAGGACCGAACCACCTGGCCGACGGTCTACAACCGCGTGACTCCAGAAGCCCCGACGACGACGGCCGCCACGACGACCACCACCGAAGAGCCGACCACGACCACCACGACGACGACGGAAGCGCCAACGACGACTCCGACGACCACCACGACGACCACCACTACTACCACGTAAGCAAGGAGTTCAATCAATATTAGTCATAGGTGTATCACACCAAACGCTGTACAAGAACCTTTGGTGACCTGAAACTTGTAGTTGATCAAGTTGAAAGCTTGTTCTTACGGTCCTCCGCTTTTTTTTTCTGTGCGAAGTCCATTCAGATGCGCCTTGACGAGCTTAGAATATAGTGAGTTTTTCAGAACCACGACCCCCGCCCCAACGACCTCCACCACCACTGAAGCGACGACGACGACTCCCCGGGCCAACCCATGGGCCCGATTGTGGACCTCGACCGCCGCGCCAAAGAGCTTCGTCAACGTCACGGTCCTCCAAGCCGGCAGCGTTCGTCCTCTTCGGGTGCGTCCAGCAAAGAAGAAATAAAAAATGGAGAAAGCATCTGCAGGACGGCCAGGCGGAAACCGTCGGCGCCATCACCTTGGTCAACGACAACGGCTTCGTCGTCCTGATCGACACCGGCTCGAGCAGCGACACCGAACGTCTTCTGCACAGTGAGCCTTTAAAATTTCTTCATGGAACTTTTAAAGTTTGTCAAAATTGGCGGCTAGATCTCGTTTCTGGAAAACTAAAAATTTGTCAGGTTTATTTTCAGAAAATTCCGAAAAATGACCTCCCTTGTCGGCCAGAACTGTAGATGAGGCATGGAGTTGAAGAAGTTTAGAATCAAAAAATTGTCTTTGCGGAACTTTTTTTTCAAACTGGACTTTTCGAAAACAGCTGGAAAACTCGAAAAGGAATATTTAGACGCTAAAAATGGGTCTCAGCTTACTCAAAGCTTTAAGGAATGAGTCAGGTTTAGAAAAATAAAAAAATTAGAGCCTAAAAAAATTGAAAAATGAAATAATCATTATCAAAATTTAAAAAGTAAATATTATTTTCTAAGAATAAATAAATTAAATAAAAATTGAACAAACTGAGCTCTGGTTTTTCGAGAAAAAAAAAGTCTATTCCGCATAAGTCAAGTTTAAAATGTTCTAACTTCTCATACTTGGTACCTCATGCAAACTTAATAATTTATACTGAAATCAATTTCAAATACCAAATAAAAGAGCAAGTTTTAACTGATCTTTGAATTTTCCAGTTGGTTCAAAGTTTAATCCTTGAAAGACTTTCTGAAAACTCAAAAACAATCGAAAAAACCAATCAAGCTCCTTAATTTTTTTTCGAAATTTGGAGAGAAAGAGATTGAGGGAAAACTCATTCCAATTGGAATAGAACGTTGAATCTAGTTACCCTTGTCTCTTCTTCTTTTTCCGTTGGACAAGGATCTTTGATCAAAAATTGGGTGCTTGTGGATTTTCATGTGATGGGCTTTGGAGGCTATTCATAAGGACGAGTAACGCAATTTTCGAGGCGCTCCCGAAAAAATTCAAATTTCTCGCTCACTCTTTCTGAGAAGATTGAGTTGTGTCGGAGTTCGGAGAAAAAGGCGTTGGGGCTGGTCCAGTCCATTCATCTCTTCTTTGTCCAACCAACTTGGACCCTAATTCCCCGTCTATAGGAGCCGGGAGAAGCTTAAGGCGAGCAGCTGCTTCTCCTCGTCCGTCTCCTCCTAATTCATCGCGACACTCGCCTCAGCTAGGCCCCGCCTTTTCCGACTCAATTTCCTGGACTCGAGTCTACGCGGCTCCTCTACGGCCAACACATGCGAATCGACATGTCCGACCTGGAAATCGACACGACGCCATCGCCGTTCTGCACCCCCGTCAGGACGGGAACCGTCGGCGTCGCCATCGGCGTCTTCGACATCGTCTTCCTGACGGTGGCCTTCTTGAAGAGCGTCCAGTTCTTGCAGCAGAACGGCTTCAACCTCTTCGCCACCTCGGCTGTCGGAGCCATCGGCGTCCTCTACAGTGTCCACATCATCTGCACCTTGCTCTGCTGGTATGGCCTGGCCAGAGGTCGCAGCTCCTGGATCGTTCCCAAGATCATCCTCAAGTTCACCACCGTAGTCATCTGCGTCTGTCTGACGCTCCTTCTGACGTTCTTCGTCTCCTCCAACTCGCCTGTCATCGGCAACGCCATCGCTCGTGGCTTCAACGCCGAGTACCTGGACCATCGAGGAGCCATCGAAATGGGCTGCATCGTCCTCGTCGGCATCTCGGCGACGCTCTCAATGGCCCAAACGTGGCTTCTCGTCCTAATTATCAACATTTATCGACAAATCCGAGAAGACGAGCTGGAGGAAATGCTCGAGAAGGCGTTGAAGAGAATTGAAAAGGCGGAGAAGAAGAATAAGGAGAAGGCAAAGGTCAACGGTGTGAACGGACATAGCAATGGAATTCCCCGGACTTCCGTTGGCTTCGGATTGAGTGGACAGGGATCAAATCCATCCGATGGAAATCTCACTTTTACCACCTTCATGTAGATGCCGGTGAATTTTTGAGCTTCTTTGGGGGATAGGACATAAAATATTGTTCATGTCGAGTTTTAGAAATTCCTGTTTTTTAATATCACCTTCCTTGTAAGGGATCGCTCTAATTTTTGAAAGCTGGAAAAATAAGTTATGAGCGGAAAAGAACGGAAAGGATTTTTAAAAAATGAAAAATAAGTTGATGACCTTGATTTTTCATTTCGAAATATTTCAGGCCTGTCGAAGGAATCGGTGACGCTTGACCAGATCAACACTGTAGTGATCACTCACGGCTCGCCAGGACACATGGGCAACATGAATTTCTTCGCCCAGAAGCCCATCCTTTTCCACGCCATGGAGTACATCGGCCGCCACGTTTCGCCCACCGAGCTCAAGGAGGTTTCTAAAATTTGAGAATTTTATCAAAGAAAGTTTTTTTTCTAGCTGACCTTCATTGAAGAATCTGATCATTTTAAAAAGTTTTCCCTGAAGTTTTGATTCATTTATTCGAAAAAACCGTTTTTATGATTTATTGATTTTATGGAGGCTGTTATACGCCAGAAAAACGACCAGTAAAATTTAATTTTTTTGATTTATTTTTTTACCTATTTTTTTGAACTTAAATTAGGTTTTTTTCTTCGTTCAACAGCTCAGAACGTTCCAAATTTGGCTGAGAAAACAAAAATTTGAAGATTCTTATGTACACGATTTTTTTTTTCCTTTTTCTTGTTTTCTCCGTTTGGCCCACTACTTTTCCGTAAAGCTAATTAGCCTTTCAAAAAACGCTCGTAAAACTCTTGAAAGATGTTTTTTTCCACCCGTTCTTCTCGCTAAACCAGCTTATTTTCGTGAAGATGCCAACTTAAGCGGATCGGAAACGCTTGAGTAACTCACCGGAAGCTTCGCAAGATGTTTTTCTAGACATTTTCAATGGAAAACTTTTTTGGAAACCAGGAAAAACTTTATTTTTCGAATAATATGGATAATAGAAATATGGAGGCAGTAACAGTTGATTTTTCAATAAGATTCGAGATATTCCATGAAAAATCATCGAAAGTTCTTTAAAGGAGCATAGGAAACCTTTTTTTTAAGTCTCAACGCGAAAAACCAAGCCAATCTCCTGCGCTTTTTACAAGCCTAGCAAAGATTTTAATAACAATACTATTTCAGATAACCCATTTAAAGTTTGAAAAATATGACAAATATGTTAAAATACGTGGACGCAGCCGACCATTCCCAAAAAAAATGTGGAAATGTTTCAGAGACCGTACCGAAAGCTGTCGCAGAACATCGAGGTCTGGAAGACACCCGGCCACACCCAACAAGACCTGACCGTCCTCGTGCACAACGTCGCCGGCTACGGCAGCATGGCCATCGTCGGAGACTTGATCCCCAGCGAGCAGCTCGTCAGCGAAAAGGTACAAAACACTCTCGAAAATGAATCATTTTTGAGAAAAGGTGCAAAGTAGTCCAAATTGAACTTATTTCCAAAAAGAAAAAGGTAATAGATACGTTGAAATTGTTCTATTTTAAAGATTTTAAAAAACTTTCAAATTAACTCATTTTCAAGAGGAAAAGGTACAAAACGCTCTGAAGCTAGCTCATTTTCTATATGTGAGGTATAAAGTAATTCGAAATTAAAATGTTTTTCGAAACGAGTGGTTCAAAAATGTTTTGAAATTAATTTTTTTTTTTTTGAAAAAAAGGGCAATAAAAATCTTTGAAAGAGTTTTTTTTTTCATAAATAAAAGGTCCGAATCACTATGAAATGTTAATCATATCAGAAAATGAAAAAAATCATCTCACTATTGCTCACGTTACAGCGTGACGTCATGGCTGACGAGGGCGTCTGGGACGCGGCGATCAAGCGCCAGAACGCCAACCTCATCGTCTGCATGGCCGACTGGATCGTGCCCGGACACGGACAGCCGTTCCGCGTCTTGCCTCACTACAGGTTCGTTTAGTGGCTCTTTAAGTGATTTCGAAAATATTGTAAGCTTTTAATCCTTATTTTTAAGGTCATAAAAGCCAGAGGCCTCTTCTTAACTGATGAATAAGTTCCTAATATTAATTTAAAAACCTTACTGAGGAGTTAGAAGTCACAGGAGAAAGGACGAGTGACGTCACTCTTTTTTCGCTTATGTCATTCTTAAAATTCATAAAACAGTGACGTCACTGATTGACTGGATCAACCCATTTTTTCTCCGTAAATTAATATTCTCCCTTGTGAAATTGAGAATGAAGATGACGTCATCAGTTAAAAATTCGCCTTTAATTTAAGCTGTTGTATTGAAATTTCTACTTGCCATTATTCTTAACACTTAAGGGCCCACTGGGACCTACCCCATGAAAGTTCAATTTTTATCGATTATTTACCAATAATTCTCAGGCAAAAGGCCGGCTGCACACGGCTGTTGGCTCAACGCCACCTCTCCAACCAAGTCTAATCGATACGGTCGCGAAACACGTCATTAACTACCGTACACGATTTGATGCGCCTATCAAATCGTGTCAAGACATTAAAAAAAACACACACAACCCCACACAAGCACTGATTTCAGTTTTCAAACGAAATAGTTGTTTACGACACAATTTCCTAACTTATTTGTATCTCTATGTCTTTACCTTTTTTGTTGTTCCCTCTGCAGTCAGTCGAGGGAAACGCGTATGTACTATGTACTATTGCTCATATCGTTGTTTCATTTTGTGATTGAATTCATCCCCCACCCATCGTGCCTTTTTGCTTTCTAAAAGTCTTTCCCCCTCCATCGAGTCATTTGAAATTAAGTACTGCTTCAAGCCAAAATGCAGTATAAACAAAAAAAAAGTGTAGTAAAACAACAAGCGAACGTCCAATTGAAAGATATCAAGTATGAATAAATATATATTGCTTAAAGTTTCATTTCACAAAAGTTTTGGTTAGTATGGTTGGTGGGAGAAGCATGCACGGGGTTAATGATTAGAAGTGATTTCAGATTAGGTTAGAGGTATATAAAGAGAGACGAAGCTGAAGGGATATTTCAAACTTGTTTTAAAGCTATACTATGCAGATTTAAAGTGATTATTTCGTTGTTCGGCGGAGCGTGTTTATACATCAAAGCTATGCTTTTTGTTCTAAAATTTGAAATTCTCAATTTTTCGAAAAGAAAAAATTCGAAGCTCTCAATTGTACCGGATTAGTTCTACCAAGAAAGGTCTCAGCTGGAATAAACGCGACGCTATTCCAGGTTCGATCAGAGTTTGAAACGTCTCTTCAGCCATCACCATGTTACAATGAAAAATGTTGGGAAAATACGAATGACTATTTTAATAGGCAGGGGTGATGCGGCCGAGCTCCTGGGCCATCGACTCGAACTTGTAAATGAATCCGAGCCACTTGAACTGGAAGCCGAGCGCAGTCCGCTGATTGAACGTCGTGACGTAGGGTTCGATGAAGCGCAGAAGGACGCGGTAGATGAACAAGTAGTGGAGCATCGAGCCGACGGCCAAACGACGTTGTAGCCGGACGAAGACGCAAGCTTCCAGTACTGGGGTCATGTCCTGCGGTGCGCCTGGAAAGTACGGAATTTGGGAAGATTCTAGACACGAAATTGTGGGGGTGGTAATATAACAAAGGAGAAAGATAATCCAGAAGAATTTTTTGAAAATAAAATTTGAAATAAAATTCATAGTAAACCTCTCAAGTGGTCATTCTTCATTTAAAAATTACCATGTTCCAAAAAATGGACCAATTCTTAAAAACTACCTTTCAAAAAGTTCATTAGAGCGACTTCGATCGCGACTAGGGTTCCGGATCGTGAGCATCCGTCTATGCACTGAACAATCGTTGGCGTTTTCTGTAGCCGTGCTCTGGAAAGTGGACACTTAAGCAAAATTCGTGCCATTTCTGTTTGATTTTACAGGTCCTGTTAATTTACTCAAGAAAAGGAAAATTCAACTATTGATGAATAATCTAAATATAATCAAGAAACCTTCAAAAAAAAATTTTTCAAGTGGCTGTAAGACATTAGAAATGGTTACCTTCTCAAAACTCGGAAAGGCCAATGAGCATCGCCGAGAAACTGCCAATTCCATTGCCAGTGTTCCACGGTCAGAAAATCCTCTTCGTCATTTTTGTAGACTTCCTAAAGTTTCCAAGTAGTTGATCAAAGTCAAAAATAGAAATATTGACCAGTTTCGTGATAGTGAACAAGGGGTCAGCCGTTGCATCGACGAGTTTGCATCGGATTGTGAAATCTCCAAAACTCAATTCACTTCCTTCGACTCTGGAAAAAAAATCAGGAAAAACAAGGTGAAAAAGAATAGAAAAACTTTGGCCAATAGTAGGGACAATGGCTTTTTGGGCTGTTGTCCAAGGATCCCAGCAAATTCGCGTCCACCGCCGGGCAAAGCATCACGATCATTTGGCTTTTCTCTTGGTGCACCTGATAATTTTTAAAATTTTTTTTTGCTTTTCATCACAATCTTTAAAAGTTATATACACATTTCTCGATCACATGCGAAGTCATTTTAATTTGCGGTTTAGATTATTCTACAAAATAGCTTTGAAAAAATCTCTGCAGGTTATCCGTCACAGTTGCAGCCCGCGCCAGCTCCTAGTTTTCTGAGATAATTAATTTTGAAGTTTGAAAAGCTAGGCTTATAGCTGACATCTCGAAACTTTGAAAGTTGTATCTCGAAAACTAGAAGCTTGCGCAAGTAGCGACTATGAGGGATCTTCATCTAGACCTTCAGAGATTGTTTGAGGAAATTTTTAGAAAAGTATAAATACCTCCCTTGTCAGAGAAGCTAAAAAACCGGATAGGACTTGATGAAAATATTAACTTTAGTGTATCAGCTGATTAAAACCCACCAAACGCCAAAAATCTTCCTGAGTATTCAAAAGAGGCGCTTGAGCACAGATAAACGTGTTCATCAGGGGACCACCTCGGACGTAATTGGCGTGGATGAAATCCGGGGTACCACTGAATTCTTTCGTATTTATTGCTTATAAAAAAATTCATGGCAAAGTTGAACTTCCATATAAAAAAATTTTTTTATCCGGACAAGTTTGACTGATGATAGGAAGGAATTTTGGGTTCCCGAATATTCGTGAGCGTTAATTGTGCATACACCAATATTGGAGGCTCGAATCTTTGAAAATTTGAATCTTTGAAAACGATTCTTGGGAATATTTCCCTCTTTTTTGAATTTCCTTCTTTTTTTTCCTACATTTTTTTTCCTACATTTTTTTTTCCTTTTTCGTTTTATTGTGAAGATGCCGTGTTTCGACCATAAATAAATTTTTTTCAACTAACTTTTTGTCAAATAATGCGTCTTTCTCGCAAACACGTAATCAAATATTCGCTGCAGAACAGCTACGACATTTTCATTCACTCTATATATATTCTCCATCAACTTCTGTTAACAAAAGCATTGAAAAAATTATAAAAAATCAGAAAAGAGGTGAATATTCTCAAGAATCGTTTGCAATGATTCAAATTTTCAAAGATTCGAGCCTCCAAGATTGGTGTATGCACAATTAACGCTCACGAATGTTCGGGAACCCGAAATTCCTTCCTACCATCGTTTGACTGTTGTATGGAGGTTAGTTTTGACTACTGAAAACCGCGCAAACTTATCAAGTTTTCGTTGAATGAGAAATTAGGAGGACGACAATATCTAGAGCTTTTTTGCGCGCTTCGTTTCGAGACCTGAACGTTTTTTGCCCCCGCTATTCGTCATTTGGAGCTTTGTAACTGTGCAAAAACCCTACTAGGGAGCCGAAGTAGGAAAATCGATGTAAAGTTCATCATCCTGACGGAACATCGACGACATTACGTTCCTCCGTGACGCCGTCCCAGTTTTTCCATCCACAAGTTTAACGCGCGTATAATCGCAACACGGGATCACTAAAACTAATGTTTTTTTTCCAAGCTTGGACAAGTGAAAAAAAGACATTTGCTTCGGGCCTTTGTGATGTGGTTGGAGTTGAACGCCGTCTGGGCCGCTTCTGCTGGCGCCAATTCGTGATCCTGGAACATTCGCTCCAGCCGTCGGAACTCGTTGATGAACTCCTGGAAGAAGTAAGGGTTTTCATTCATAAGGATTCACGAAAAAGCTTTTTCCATTGAGATTGAGTCAGTCTTCAAAACTTTGCACTTTCATGAGAAATAATTTACCGTTAAGTGACAGCTGAACTTCCCCGGCTCGACGAGCAATGACCATTTCACCTTGTTCGTCATCTCCTCGGTAAACAGCGCAATTCTCTTCGAAATCTACAAAAAATAATATGAAGGGAGCGAAAAATTGTCAACCTGAGCTACAAGATCCGCTGGGAGCTGCCTCCAAATACACAAAGGGTCGTCCTGAAAAAATCGAAGATGAATTACTTTTCAAATTCTTTTCAAGTAAAAAAATTACCCGTTTAAAGAAAAATCCTAGAAACCTTTTTGAAGTGATAAAACTCGGCGGCGGCTCTTTGGAGCACCGAGCCGCAGTCGGCCATTGTTGGCACCAGCCGGTCACGAAGCCATCCCGCCATTTTTGATCTCAACAATCTTTTTCTTCATCCCTCCGTTCTTCCTTCACACTCACCCGTATGTCTTGACGTATTCATCGTGCTGCAGCGTTGGATAAGACCTAACTGTGAGCATTTTCTCGATCAACGCTATCCGAGTTTGCTCATCGCAAATGATTCCGTCGACTTTGAACAACTTCTGAGCGATGAACGTCTGTAGTTCTTCCAGCTCGTGTTGCTCCTGGAGAATTTCATTTTTCAAAAGCGTATTTTTCCTTCAAATCACAATTCTTTGCATCAACAAGTCATGCTTTTTCCGCTCCTTCCTTCGTACGGATCGTAAAGGCTCGGGCTGCAAAATAATTCATTTTCAATCCAAGTCCAATGAGAGGGAAGCTACTTGTGCTGCGAGATGTCCTTTTTTGTTGACGGCGACCGATAACCACTTCTCGTTGATGATTTCATCCTGAAATCGGCTTGATTTTTGATCCAATTTCATTTAAATAAATACTGGGAACTCGATGCTGCTGTAGCGGGAGATCGGCACATCTTCTCGGAGTTCGTACGCTTCCTCGATTTCCACCATTGTCCGTTGGCCTCAAACATTTTTTCATCAACTCAAATTGAAGTACATGAAATTGAAAAAAATAACAATCGGGCACAAAAATCAAGAGTGTCAAAAACACGTTGCGAGGGGTTAAAAAAAGCAAAAAAATGTTTTTTTGCTATAAAAAAATTAGCAAGGTTTTTTTGAATGAAACAAACACACCTCAAAAAAAGAAAAATTAGAATTGAAATTCAGTAAAAAATTTGTCAAGGACCAATATTGATCTCCTACTGTTTCGCTGTGATCGTTGAACAAGTCCGATTGGCAACTTATTCAGCGGTCTTGTTTTCAAGCAAACTTCTCCCGATTTTCCGACTTCTCTGTTTTAAATAAAAATCATTGATTTTGAAGTTTTTTTTTTTGTTTGCCGCGGAGAAGAAGAATAACGAAAGGAAAAATAACTACAAAAATGCGACATCTGCTTGGCGTGCCCTTGCTTGAGCAGCTAGCCTAAAAAGAAAAACCGGATAGTTTTTTCATCATAAAAGAATATAAACATTAAATAGATCATAAAACAAGAGAATATGAAAAAGAAAAACGTTGGAGCAAACAATAAACAAATGATGATTTTTTGCGCCAAATGTTCTACACATAAATCGCGTCATGGTGAATGCAGTGTTACACTGAAAATTACGCTAAAAAAAAATTGCTTTTTGAGCTCATGAGCCTGCAGGCTGTTCGTTTCGCGAAACGAACAGGCTCCGGACGTTTCTGAGCAGTTCCTCGGATAGTTTTAAAAGGCTGATTCTACTGAAGTGGTCACTGGAAATGCTTCGACAGGTCCGAATCGTGTCCGTTTCGCGTTACGAATGTCCGATTTTTTTTTCTTTTTGCGAGTTTTCATGCCCTTTTCGAAGTGTTTCCGCGAAATTCAAGAGCGGTCAGACAGTGAAAAAGAACTCAATTTTGAGGCGTCAAAAAAATGAAATTGAATTTCGTGGAAGTTACTTTAAACACGTCATTACCTTTTTTGTCGCATTTCATAGCATTTTGATTGCAGGATGCTATGTTCAGTGAGCTATTTATGCAGAGTTTCAACTTTTTTCTGACAGGCGTTTCTTTTTCAGTGACGATTTTGCTACGTAAAAAACTTAGGTTAACAGAAAATAGGTTTAAAAGCGAAGAAATCGAAGTGAATTTCGTGGAAATTACTTTAAACACGGCATTATCCTCTTTTGTCATATTTCATTGCATTTTCTAGATAGTAGCTCCTGGAATGTTTGAAATTTTGTCAGTTTGTAGAATATGATGTGAAAAAACATGTCCGGACGTGTTGGAGAGTTCCTAGAATTGCTGCCGGTATTTGTACAGATTGCCTCACGGTAAATCGACCCCAGATTTCTCAACGGGGCGCGCTTTCTTCCATCCCGTTTGTTCCTTTTTCATTTCTTCATTGCAAATATGCTTCTCTTCCAGTTTTTCTACTCTTTCTATTGCACGGCGTTTTGAAAAGGGTGGATGTGAAGAGAAAAATTGGCATGCGATAAAATGTGCCCTGATGTAAAAGTTCTAACAGCGGACTACGGTTGGAGGATGCATGTTTGTGTTACAGTAGGAATACTATCTCTCTCCGTTCTATTGTATTCATGTGTGTACGATGCTCTCGGCGTGTAATTGCTCCGGCAGACACGCCTGTATCTCACTTGGTTCCCCTGCACGCGTCTTGGCCACACGCGTGTGAGGCTCACGAATAAAGACTTCATGACAGTCTGCCTTCAACACGTCTAAAGCTTACACGGAAGAGCCGGTGACCCTTCCGGTGTAACATTTGCAATATATTTTTATTCATTTCCCCGTTGTCGTATCGTACTTTAATAGAGCTAAGATTTAATTTTTGAGATTTTTGGATATTTTATTCGTTCAGTGAAATTATTACAAAATTCGAATTCTAAGCATAACAATTTTTTCAAGCGGTTTCGTTCTCATCAGTTTTGAGGTCATGATAAACGTATATTCCTCCTTTGCAAATACAGACTTTCCCAGGTCTGGCAAAGTCACATTCAAAATGCACCTCGCTAGTACCGGTCCGCCGCTTTACCACTGCTCCTCGCTGCCGTTGCTTCGGCAGTCGCCAGATCACAGTACCACACCGCGCGCGCATTCTCTTGTATGCGGCTGCGCTTCGAAAGGTCATATCTTGACTCCGAAATTTTTTTTTTGAAAAATCTGATGATTTTTCCACGTTCCTTATTTCACATGACACTGACTATTGGATGTTTTTGAAACACAGCGCATACTTGCAGAAAAACCCTAAACTGAGGCATATTTTTTTCAAGAATTAAAGATTCGAAAAATCTCAAAAAAATTAAATCTCAGCTCTATGAAAGTACGATACGACAAGGTGAAAAATGAATAACAATAGAAATAGTAGAAAAAACTAGAAGAAACATATTTGCAATGAAGAAACGAAAAAGAAAAAAATGGGATGGTAGAAAGCGTGCCCCGTTGAGAAATCTGGGGTCGATTTACGGTGAGGCAATCTGTACAAATACCGGTGGCTCTCAGAAACGACCGGAGCGCATTCGGTTTCCGTTACCGAGGTCTGAGACAGGCTTGTGCGAGAGTCGGCTCATTACCCAAACGGCGCAGTCCTTCTCTGAGCCGGGCCAGGCTGAGAAAAGCCTCAGGCAAAAAGCAAAAACAGGCCCAAAAAGCTCAATTTTTTCGGAATAAAGTTCTAAATTTTCAGGAGCATGGCCTCGCCCAAGCTCGCGCAGGCTTCTCCGCAAAAATCAGTCTAGCCAGACGGACAAGCCCGGACCTTGGTACCGCAAAATGTAGACGCCCCAGAAGTTTCTGAGCATTTCTAATAGTCCTTCAGCGGCTTCAGTACTTTTAAATGTTCACTAGAAATTTCAAGAAACGTCCGGGACGAGTCCGATTTGCGTTACCGAGGTCCGAGCACTTGAAGCCCGAAGCAATGAAGCTTGCGCGGGCACGGACCGAGCCAGGCTTTGAAAAAATGTTCGAACTTCATCAAAAACATTTTCATCCTAACTCAAAATTTTCACAAAAAAATTACTTTTCACTTGCGTCATTAAATTATATCATTAGCCATCGAAATAGAGGTATCCTATAGATTGACAAGGACCTCGCACAAGCCTGTTTTGATCAGGTGTCAATGTTTTGAATAAATTAATGTATAACTCTTTGTACTAGTGAGAAGCAATTTTGGCCACTGTTATTTCTTTTTCCTTTGCAATTCAACACAAAATAAAAAGCCCTCAGCTGCTTTTAAGAGCATCGGGCTGGTACCTGGTAATGTCTAGCCGGACTCGTAGTTGATTGAACTCTGTTGAATGGGGTTCGAAAACGTCCTCGCGAACAACTGAATTTTCAAAGATAAAATATTTTCGAATTCTAAAAAAGAGAATATAAGTACAAAAGTTGAATCAAAAAGAACTGCTCGTAAAGTTAAATTAGTTTTTTCCGCAGCCAGATTCGCGGCCTTGAATCATAATCGATTACTTATCGCGATCTCGATGAAAGTTTTTACTAACTAATGCCGTGTTTTCACGAAATGCAAAACTATTTCTGACTCTCCTAAGTTTAGTTTTTTTTTTTCTTTCTCTGACGGCTATTTTGTATTTCTTTGAATCAATTTGAACACGACATACATTTTTATAGGATTTTGAAGACTTAAGAAAATGTGGAAAAAGGAAGAGGCAGCGAAAATGGTGCATAAGAGTTGGTGAAATGGCGCAAAAGGAGAGCAAAAAAAGGCCTTTCTCACTCTTTCCGACTTTGCCTATGATATCGGATCAAGGTTTTTCAGGTTTTAATCAAGTGTTATAGGCCATTCCACGCCAGCTTGTCACGTTTTTCTTTCCGCCAAAAAGACCGTATACCAAATTAGAAACAATGGTCTTGAAGCGAAAGTTGGTTAAATTTGACCTGGCCTTTTGGCGGTAAGAAAAACGTGACAAGCCGGCGCGGAATGGCCTATACTAAGTTCAAGCCTTCCTTTTTCCTCATCAAAAATTTTTCAAAACTAAAAATTTTAAAACCTCACATTATTTGTTTCAATAGTATAGTCGATATCCAAATTTCAATCGTATGCTCCAAAATTCTTTCTGAAGAAAAAGAAATTATAAAAGAATTGTTTAGATATCAAACTGCTTTATTCGAAGTTGTTGCCGATCTTCCATGGACTGATCTCGTTCGTTGAAAGTTTCCTGCAATTAATTCAAAATTGAACAAATCAAGTCGATGGCATTATTATAATCGCAATATTTCGACTGGTTAGCTATATGAAGTCTTAAGTAAGTTAGGGAACATTTATACAGTCAAAAGAACTAACTAGGCGGTGCGCTAGAGCTCCGCTCGGCCTTGTCAGAACTAAGATACTATACGCCGAAGGCCGTGACGGCATTTTCCGCGGGGGTCCCATCATCGCTTTGTCAGCATCGCGCTGCCAACAGTTTATGCCTCGGCCACAGGAATGGGCTTCGGCGTGACTTTGCGTATCCAATTTGCAAGCAAAAAGGATCGGCACTCCGGGAGTCCCGCGGGCCTAATCTACTAGCGCTTACGAATCAGAAACTAATTTTGAAAGTTATAAGTTTCATGGAAGTTAAAAACTCATCTTGAAATTGAATCCAGGAGCAAGACGGAGTCGTGAGGGAAGCAAGAACGATATATGAAACAAGGTCAAAAAAACAAGAAATGAAATGTTGCCACGTGGTTTTTTTCACGTGTGAATATTTTCGGCATTTAGAAAATGGGGTTCACGTTTTATTACTTTTTTTTTGCAGAAAGGTGAATTTTTATTTTAAAACTTTGGGTCAGATGACGCAAAAGGTAGAGATAATAGAGACACTAATAAACTTTATAAAGTTAAAAGTTTCTAACTTTCAGGCTTTTTTTAGTTTATTTTCCGCCGTTTTGTATCTTTTTGTCCACTTGTAGGAAAAATAATTCGCGTAGCTTAGAGCCAATTGAATTTGCTGATGCAGTTTGAAAAATTTTATACCATAAATAATCTGAATAACATTATTTTTTTTCTAGTTTATTGATGATTTTTTTCGAATTTATTAAACAATCCGCCATACAAGGCTTTTTTAAGTGCTCAACGTTTCGGCGATCGGCGAGTCGACGTTTTATTTGTTTGAAGCGGGTTACGCGAAACACGCAGAATAGACATTTTGGGAGTCTTTGGAGAAATTCGGTCCTACAACGAGAATATGAAAATTATTTATCTTTCTCACTTTCTGGCGGTTGTTTGAATTTCGCGGAATCGGAATCCAGCAGCGCGATTTCAAAAATTTCAGCTTCGCCTTCGACGATAAGTACGCTCCAACGAACAATAATCGATCGATGCTCGCTATTTTTCGTTTGCCTTTTTGAAACCATCGTTTGAACCTTATTCAAATAATTACCTTTAATTTTTAAGAATTATTTTTCATCTCGTCTACGGGACAAAACATTGATTCAAAATGGCTATGGCAAGTCGTGCTTCCCGTTCGACCAAGCTCCCGCCAGAGGTTTTTCATTTTTTTTTGCTTTTTTTTCATTCAATGCTTCTTTAAAGGTTAACCGAATGCTGTACATCAAGAACCTCCCATATAAAATCACCACTGACGAAATGTACGACATTTTTGGCAAATTCGGTGCAGTTCGGCAGATTCGAGTGTGAGTTTTTCTTTTCATAATTATTTAAGTCGGAACATGAAACTATTTTTCAGAGGGAACACGCCGGACACCCGAGGAACTGCATTCGTCGTTTACGAAGATATTTTCGACGCCAAGGCGGCTTGTGAACATCTTTCCGGTTTCAACGTTTCAAACAGGTAAATTCTTTGGATTTAGTCTTTTGCTGAATTTGAAATGATTTACAGATATCTCGTCGTCCTGTACTACCAAGCAACAAAGGCCTGGAAACGAATGGACACTGAAAAGGTTTTTTTTATTAACAAATTCATAAGTTATTGAAAAAAATTAACTTTTTTTCATGATATATATTGCAAAAAAATTATAACTTTATCTTTTTTTATGCCTCTTTAAGCAACTACATAAGCATTCGTGTAACTTGTTTTTTTAGAAGAAATATTTGAAAAATTTTTGTCCTTTTTTTAACTTTTTGAAGTACATCAAGGCCTTTGAAAATAAGTTTTTTTTAAACGAAATTTTAACGAACTCGTTAAGGCGCGAGAAAAGCTGGAGAACATCAAGGAGAAGTACGGAATCGGTGGTGATATCGAGAAAGAGAAGGAGAAAATGGGATTGATAACTCCAAGAAGAAATAACTAGCTTCTTTTTTCTCTAATGTGTTTAATATTCTCCCACGGTTCCTCATGATCTTTTTTGTTGTTACTTTTTACTTCCTTACGTTCCTTTCGCAACTTGTATGAAATAAAAATAATGGTATAATGAAATGAGAAGGATTTTTTTCAACAAAAAAATTTTAACAGAGATTTCGTTCAAAAATTGAGTTGATGGAACCCTAAACAAGCTTCCAGTTCGAGAAATTATGGTTTTGAATAGAATTTGTGATTTTTGTTAGTTTTTTATGTGTAAGAAACTTCAGATTTTCGTTCCAAATGAGATAAAAAAAGATGCCGTGGTTTATCTTAAGTAAAATAGGGAGATATGACCATTCCTCCGCGACTTGGAATACGAGAAGTTGTCAGGAAGAGTTTTTTTTTTGAGACAAAACCGCTCAGGGAGAATTTGGTACACCTTTTCAGAGAGAAGACCTCTAAATGTGTCTTACATAGAGTTCCCAAGCTGATTGGAAAGTTGTTAAATGTTTGTTGAAGCGATGCGATATCCACTTATAATGACTCCATCGAAGATTATGAAGCCACGGTAATGGTGCCGGAAACATTCGATCATTGGCAACAAAATGAGGCTGTTTTGGGGGCTATTTGATAGTCGAAAGCCTTATTAACGTTGTGTGTTTTGCGGAAGACCAAAGACTTTTGGACTTTGGAAAGATTCTAAAGAAGGCAGAGGAGGAAATATTCATAAATTTGAACTTAAAAATTCGAGGAAAAGCACAAATTTTCCTCTTCATTTCACTCACTTCAAGTTCAGGAAGAATAGAGTTTATTTTGCACCTTCAAATATGCTAAGAAGCTCAGTTTAATAATTTCTTAATTATAAACGCTCGGATATCATTAAAAAGTGGAGAGCTTCAAAAACTTTGATTCAAGGCTTCATTAGGACCAGTTAACAAATTATCACAAAAAAAAAACTTTCGAATGATTCGTCGAAAAGTGTGAAGCAGTGAAAGCTGACTCATACAGTCTTTTTTTGGATCCGAAAAGAAAAAACCAAAAAAAAAGACTTCAAAGTAGCTGTTTCGGCGCAAGAGCACTCGACTTTTTTGACTGCTTCAAGGGATTTTCGTTTCGAAACGACAATAGTCGGGGCCAGGATTTTGGTTTCCCAACCAGAACTTTCACTGTCACTCACCGTCATCGGCAGACTTGCCCAAGGGGAAGCTACTGCGTGTTAACAGCGCCGCCCACTTTCCTTCACCCTATGCTTAACCTCAGCCACCTTCCTATAAAAGCTTCCATTTTCCGGCTTTTTGTGCCACTTTTGACTTTCCTCTTGTTTTATTTATTCTCACTAGACGTATAACTACGAGAATTACCTGAGTTTTAGAAAAGAAAACTCGAAAAATTTAGATACGTCTTCATAAAGTTCTTCATAGCTTTCAAATTCTTAGACCGGCTTTTTTTTAGCCAAAATTTTTTTATTGAGAAGATCAAAATGTCCTATGAAAGCTTCCATTTCCCAACCTTTTGTGCCCCTTTTGAAATTCTTCTTTTTTTACCAATGTCTCATTTACGCGGAAGATTTGAGCTTTTGAAAAAAAAAATCGAAAATTTAGTTTCAAGCTTAACTTTACGCACTTCTGTATATTCATTTGCATCTCAACCTCTACTTTAAATTCTAAAAAGCTTCTTTTGAAATCCAAATCTTCAAAAATCTGACCTCATACGAATTTTCTTTTGAACAACGCATCAAGACCTTGAATGCTCTGAAAAAAATGGTTTTTTTAAAAATTATTTAAGCTAAAAACTGTGAGAATAATCTGTTTTTAATGAAGCAAATTTTCTCCATTACAACAGTTTGCGCTTATCTAGAAGGTCATGACCGCACGAGAAATGGCTCAACTGCGACGCAGCTGCTCTAAAAGAGCTCCCGACTCAAATCTACTTGCGCTTATGAGCATTGGAAAGCTTTATAGCAAGCTGTGGAATTTTTAGTTAGCTACGACTTTTTGAGGTCTAACAGTTATTAAATTAGTTCGCTTCTTGAAAAAGAAAATTTCTTATTTCTTCGTTTTTTGGATAAAAAAAAAGAGAAAACTTCCTTAGAATCTCAAAAACTCTCAAAAAGTACTACTTGTAGAGCCTTTCAGTAAGAATTTCAGTTTGAACAGATTATCGAAAAAAAAATTTAGAGAAAACACAGGTCCGGAAAACTTTCTCTCCTTTCTTCAGCCAAGCTTCTTCCCGACCCAAATTGTTTTCTTTACCTGTCTCCTCACACTTCGGAGCGAAAGTTCATAAATTTTCCCGCGTGAGAACGGCAAAACAATAAAAAAGAGGGCTTCCTATAATTATCGAACGATATCCAGCCCTCTCAAACTGCCGCTCTATAAACCTACAGTTTTATTTGGTTCAAATGGCCTTTGTTCATCAAATCAAGAGTTGATGCGCAGCTAATTCCATTCATTTTTATTCATTATTTGCTCATGAACTAGAAGCTTTTCACATTCGAACTCGACTCAATGATCACTGATCGAGACGTTTCCTACTTCAGACTTGCCACAATGTTCTAGTTTCGTGTTCCATTTTTTGCCGTTTTTTTGGTCCTTCGACTTTGAAAAAAGAGAAAAAAAAAGGCGTTTTGATTGAAAGGAATATGATTTAACAGAGGATAAATGGACGACCGCGGCGTCTCAGAAGAGCCCTTGAAAAACCGAACGAATTCACACCGTCGCCCATCGTTCATTCTGTCATTTTTCTCCCATTTCGCTTCTTCTTTTTTGCTTCAGCTTCCAAATTTGTTCGAAAAAAGTCAGATTGAGCTTTGTACACTCGGTTCCGATAGTGCAATTTTTGCTTCAACTTCCAAAAAGTTAACTGTAGAGACAGATACGTTTCAAAACTTTTCAAACTTTCCGTTTTTTGGAGCTGAGTTACCTGTTAGCTTGTCACGAAAAGTATTTTGATTTTTAAACCTTTTTATTTTCGCAAACTGTTTCACTATTTTCGCGCCAGAAACCTTCTAGAAACTTAGCAATTTTCCGATTTGTTTTCCAAAAAAGAACAGTGATTTAAATATTTTTTCATTGACCTCTTATCTTCTCCTGAGTTAAATAAGCCTTTTTTTAACGCTTGAAAGAGCCCAAAAACTATAAGAAAAATTTGATTAATAAATTATACTTTTATTACTACTTTTAACACAGTTTTCTCGCATAAAATTCAAAAAATTCGTCAACTTTCAGTTTTTTGAAAGTTATCAAAGTTTCGCTTTTTCTACCAGTTCTCCGAATATCCCCTGCTCTTTATCTCCTATCCAACCTGAGATTTTAAGTTTCAGAATGTCGAGCGACGACCCAAAACAGGCGGCACATGAAGCCGAATCATTACGGAAGCTGGCCTTTTTTGGTAAGTTGGAATTTCAAAACTCTTAAATCCTTCTTTAAAAAATTTATTACCATCGGGAAAATGTCTAAGAAAAGAAAAACTTTGAGATTAAGGGAGCAAGAGGCTGATTTTCAATGAACTCGCCCAGAAAAAAAGGCAAAAAAGAGCTTCAGAACATTCTATCTAGAAATTCAGAAAGATTTCGAGATGTTTCGGAGATTTTTTGAAAGTATTTTAAGACTTCTTCTTCGTTAAACCCACTAGAAAGTATTTCGAAGCTCTCATTAGTTTATAGAGCGTATTTTAATCATCCTGATTGATTTTCTAAGCCTTTTTCGGTAAAAATAAGGGACACCTCTTTCCAGGGATCACGATTTCAACAGTCGCCACGTTGACCGCAATTATTGCTGTCCCGATGCTCTACAACTACATGCAACACGTTCAATCTTCACTTCAAGCTGAGGTGAACTGAACATTTTTTGAAACCTGCGAGAAATACGTTTCTAATCAGATAGAAGGACGTCCAAAAAACAGTAATATACTTTTTTGACGGTTGTTGAAGAGATGATACGAAAATATGGTTTTATGAACTACATTAAAGCTTTTTCCTTATTTTGAAAGTGATTGACTTTATTTTTCAAACCTGAGTTCATTAACAAAATTTTTTTGGGACTCTCTACCAAGTCTCAAGTAAAGATTACTTGATTTAAAAAGTTAATTTTTTTCTTCTATAAGAAAAAGTTAGAGTGATAAAGTGTCTTTAATAATATTTGAACTTTTTTTTAAAAATAAAAAAATAAACTGAATAAAAAAACTGGTAATCATATTTTTCAGGTGGACTTCTGCCGCCACCGGACAAACGGCCTTTGGGATGAGTACAATCGAGTGAGATTGAACTGAAATAAAATTCAGAAAAAAAAATCCTGGGTCTGAAAATTTCCAAAAACCTGTATTTTTGCCACTTTTTTCTGAATCAGATCATCCTAGGCTTCGAGCTTAAAATCAGAAAAATTTCTATTATTTTTTGTTTTCATCGAATCATTATTTTCAGAATGCTTAATGCACCTTTAAAATCCACAAAGCCCTTTTCAAACGGTCTAACTTCCAAAAATTCTAGGTTCTTAGCCAGAAAATCTTCTTGACAACAACTTTCCGTTTTTTTTTTGATGCGCAAGCCCTTTTCGTTACTGAGCTTGATGTGTTTTTCAAAATCCCACGAAATTTTTTGCTGATTGACTATATCCTAGTTTTCTTTTTCAAACGTCTCAAGATTTGCCAAATGGAAAAGAAAAGGAAAGAGAGGAAAAAAGACGGGTTCACTCGACTTTTCGCCCCTTTTCCAGCCACCGACACACACACATTATTAGAAGGAAAGTGCCGCCGGCAATGGAATAAACGTTTCAAAACTGGTGGCCATCAAGTGGTTTTGGTTTGGCGGATGGATGTGTCTGTGTGTGTGTGAGAGAACGAGTAAACGAATTAGGATTCGGACCGAGAAAACCCATTTGGACTGTGAATATGTAGTTACTTGTTTTGCTGCGCCTTGGAATAGTGAGGTACAAGAAAATGGTGGCTGAAAACAGACGTGAGGGATGAGAAGGAAAAATAACAAGGTTTTAGAGAAAAACGCTAACGTGGTTATCGTTTTTTATCACTAAAGTGGTCATGAAAAATCACAGAATCACAGACAATCATTTTAAAACACTTTTTAATTTTAAAAGATGAACATTTCTTCAGAACAACCAGCAAGAAGATATGTTCCATTAAGGTCACAAGGCTAAAATGGAACACAAAAAAGGCTTTAAAAATTACGTATAGGCCTTCAGGCAATACTGCTACTTCATAAGAATTGACATCACAGATTGAAAAAAAAGATCAACTATAATCAAGTGATAATCAAGACTACCTTCATGATTTTTTAAAGAGACACGGACGTTTCAGTTCGAGACGATAACCGGCACGACTGGTCGGATCAAGCGAGCGGCGGTCGTCAGCCAGCGTCGCTCTAACGGAGTCAGTGGCCGACGACGTCACGCAATCGCCCGCGGCGCTGCCAGCTACAACGGCGGCTACGCTACTGAGACGGCCGCCGTTGAGGCAGGCAGCTGCTGCTCTTGCGGAGTTGGAGCTTCCGGACCACCAGGACCTCCAGGCGTCGACGGCAACCCAGGAAACGACGGTCAGCCAGGTCTCGCCGGCCAACCCGGCGCAGATGCTCATGGCGACGAGCAGCCGACTGCCACCGACTTCTGCTTCGACTGTCCAGCAGGTTAAAAAAATTCAGAGATCAAAAAGCCTTGCTAGAATGAAACGAAAAGGTTATTCTGCTTTCAGGACCAGCCGGACCACCAGGTCGCCCCGGACCCAAGGGCGCGACCGGAAAGCCAGGTGCGCCAGGACCAAGCGGCGGAGCGGCTCTCCCAGGAGCTCCAGGTCAAGCCGGACCACCAGGACCACCTGGAAACGACGGCGCTCCAGGCAACCCAGGAGCGCCAGGTAATCCAGGACAGGTGATCGATGTGCCCGGCACACCTGGGCCCGCGGGACCACCAGGACCACCCGGTCCGGCCGGACAACCAGGACAGCCAGGACTTCCCGGAAACTCGCAGCCAGGACCGCCAGGACCTCCAGGAGACGCCGGACAAGACGGAGCACCAGGAAACCCAGGAGCGCCAGGTCTTCCCGGGGAGAACGGAGAGCCTGGCGCCGGCGGCGGCTGCGACCATTGTCCGCCACCTCGCACAGCGCCAGGATATTAATATTATGATAGCTTTTAAACTAAACCTAATTCTTCCTGCTTTACTTTGTCTTTTATTGTCTATTTTAACGAAGGATTTTAGCTGAAATGCTTTTTTAAAAATTTGATTATAATTCTGCTGGAAAGTCGAGTATTTTCCGACTCTCTGCTATAGTTTCACAGTAGGATTTTTTTGTAGATCCATGAAAAAGTTTTGCCTTTGGTTATGCTTAGATTGAATTTAAATCTATTTTTCGACGCAACGTGTTGAGCCATTCTAGATGCGGCCGATTCTTTTCAAGCCGTCCTGAAAAAAATACAATTTCACGCAAAAAAATCCTTCGTTTCTGTTCATTTTAATCACTCGCGATCTTTCATTTGAAGTCGTTGGTAATGATAAGATGAATGGCTTGTTTATTAAAAATTCTAAAAAAATCAGAAACTTTAAGCCAATTTCATCATTTCATTGCTTACGACTCATAATTTCCGGTATTCGATGTCTTCGATTGGGTCATGAAAAACCCGCAATAAAAATTTCAACGCAAAAACCTTGGAAAATAAATTTATCTCCAATAAAATTCTCTCTATGCGATAGAAAATAAATAAAACGGTCAAAATTCAACAACAAAAACATTCAGATTGATGCAACCCATAGAAAAAAATCTGTTACTCGTTCAATAAGGTGAAACAAAAAAAAGGTTAAGAAAGTAAAGTTAATATTTCTGGTCAAGGGTTTTGCGATTCGTGTCCAAGTCGAAAAAGCCGCGCTTCTGGCAACAGAGAAGGGCGAAAAGCATGATTCCAGAGATCTAAAGTGTCAAAATGAGGTTATTTGGAGGCCGGGGGGCTTACAAAAAGGTTAGCGCCACAGAAAACGAACGACATTACGTAGTTTCCAGTGATATCGGCCAAATAACCCGAAATCGGGGGGCCGACAACGGTTCCGACTCCCTGAAAAGAAGGAAAATCAAAAAATCCTAAAAATCGTGTTTTACAACATCTTTGATTTGTAGAAAAAGTTATCATAACGCCCTTTTTTTCCCAACTTATCCTAAACCCAAATGGCGCAGAACAAGTCTGCACCTAATGAATGAAGCAATAACTTTCCGGTGATAAGAACCTACTGAGGACTTTGTGTCAACGAATGTCAGTTTTTCGAAAAAAAAAAAGCTCAATCAAGATTTCTTATCTCCCCTACCTGCCAAAGAAGAAGCAGGCCGAAGGCGTTGGTCAACTTCTCGAGGCCCAGCAAATCGACGAGAATCACACTCGTCAGGCAAACGTACGAGGCGATCGTGAAACCGAAAAGTCCTCCATAAACGGTGAGCTCGAAGAATCCGTTGAACATGTAGCAAATCATTGTGATGATGCCGCAAATCTGAACGATTTCAACAAAGTTGGGCGTTTTTGTCTTTCCGAAATCTCTTGGAAAAGTTCTAAAGCGTCGGGAGAAAATTTAAAAATGAAATTGACGAACAGCAAGGGACACATTGTAGATCCAAAGACGATTCCGCGCCGTATCGTTCCCAATTCCGTAAGGAAGCGGAATCCGGTGATCAGCAATCAGTCCGAACAACAGACGTCCCACAGTGTTGAAAATGCCTTAAATAAAAAGGTTACTACTGAAAAATGACTTTTTTGAGAAGGAAACAACTGAAAAATCTTGTTTTTGAGAGAAGAAGACAATTTCTGTAGAAATTCTCATTACTGTAATGTGCCCAAGTTGCAAATTGATATCTTTAATTGAATTAAAGAATTTTTAAATGCGTTTTCATCAAGCTTAAAGTTACGCTTTCCATTCAAAACCTCCTTTTTTGTTCCAAGTTTTTTCAACAATCCTGCGGCTTTTTTTTTGTCTCATTTCAAGCTTTAAACCGTACCATAAAAGGCGAGAACACTGGATCCTTGTTCCTTGGAAAGGCCCAACTGTTCGGCGTGAAGTGGGAGGAAGTAGAGCGGCGAGTTGAAGCCGACCGACGTGAGGAGGTTGGAAAATGAGAAAAGCAGGAATTTCGGATCGGCGAGCAGTGACAAGTCCAGCATTCGGTTAACAGTACTGAAAACTTCAATAAAGAAGTTTTTTATTCGAATGCAACCGTGAGATATTCTCCTCGCCGGTGGTGTCCAGAACGTCCTGAACGACATCTTCCGAGCCGATCGATTTGCGGGCCGCGATCTGTTCTTTTGACAAGGAGCCAGTGGATCTGGACAGGTAAATAAGGAGATTGCTAAGAAACAGATTCAGTACCTGTATTTGACGGGATGTTCACGGAATTCTTCGACGTCATGAATCGAGCCCGTGTAGAAGACGTCCTTTCGGTTGATGAATCCAGATTCCCGTTCGCCGACTTCAATGTGAGCTTGCCCTGGAAGCAAAAATATCAAGGACTGAAAAATCAGTCCATAAAATCCAAAAAAAAAACACCAGAGAACTTTTCCTAGTTGGGAATTCAAAGCTATTTCGTCGCGACATTCTACTTTATCTGGATTAACACAATTTATTGCAAGTGGAAAAAAAATATCTGATTATAAACATAGACTTGGAATGGCCCTGACATTGAAAAAACATGGGAATAAAATGAAATAATCTGATTTCTCAAAAAATGACCAAGTTATTGAAGATATTGAAAATCTCTAACATTTTTCTCATTTAATTTATCAAACTATACATCTTGATGGTCCACCATTTTCTCTGCAATTCTGTAAGATCCTAAAACTCGTCGCAAACCTTCAAAGGTTTTTTAAAGGATTTATTTTGAGAAAGGTTGAAGTAAACTTAATTTCGTTTCATTCCTAGATAGCTTCTCCAAAAATCGGTCCATACCTTCCTCATCAGGCTCCAGGTGAGTGAGCGACCGTGCCGGCCGCACTTCAAAGACTTCGACGTTCTTTTCTCCAGGCTCACTGACAGGCGACAAAAGGGCCGTCGATTCTTTCGAGAAACGTTTCTGGTCGGGTTCCACGCGATTTCCAGAAGTCGTCAGCTCGATGATGGGCTCATTTTTGGGCTCAATCGCGATTGGCTCGTCAGAAACCAGCTCAAACTTCAGCGGGCGGAACACCAAACCACAGAAGAAGCAAATGATTATGGCAACTGGAAAATGTTATGCTTTTCTTTTTTAATAGAGGGGTCACTGAGATCCGGGGTCTCTGATTTGAAAAATTCCTTCCATTAAAGATGCTTTCAACTCAAAGTTTTAAAAAAATAAAAATCTTTTTTTCTGTTCATTTTTTTACAAAAACGGTCTCTCTACCCACTTGAAATAAATCTTTTTTTTTGTGCTTTTGCAAATTTCAGCCTGATTTCCCCACAAACCCACCGCCAGTGGCAACAAAAACGTAGCGCCAGCCGTAATTCGTGCTCAGATAAACGTTGATTGGAGCGAAAACGACAGTGCCGACTCCGGCGCCAGACACTGCGATCCCAGTGGCGAGAGATCTCCATCTATCAATGGAAAAAATCAATATTTCATTAAAATACAAGAGAACCTCTCAAAATACATGGTAACAACGACAATCGCCGGGCAATACATCAACCCGAATCCGATTCCCATCACGATTCCCACGCTGAACATTATGTGGTAGATGGAGTACGACATGAAAGCGCAGAAGCATCTGAAACAAAGAATTTCAGATAAAATATGAAACTTAAAAAAATCTTATTTCTCAAAAGTTATATTATAACCTTTATTTTTTTTTTTGCATAAAACCTAAGCATCAATTTAATTTCAATAAAAGTTCTATTTTGAGAAGAAAAAATACAATGAGACTGTATGGTTAACATACTATAGGTCAAAGTATGAAAGACCACAAATTAAAAAATAATAAACAAGTCTATTATCTTTAATTTTTTCAATAATGAACATTTTACGAAATTGAACCGTTGTTTTTTTCCTATGAACTGGTTTAAAAAAAGAAAATTCTCAAAAACATAATCATTAAAATGATGATTTAAAGGCGCAGAAGCCTGGTATGTCAAAAAATAATGAGAAACCCAGCTTTTTGTCTCGTTTTCGTGAAGAAAACGCCCATGAACCTTCAAAAATGATGTCAAGGATTTCGAAAAGAAAACCATGAAACATTCCACTCTAATATTTTTCCTGACCAAAGCAAACCCAATGAGAGAGATAACGGCTCCAGTGATAGTCGTGACCCGGCAACCATATTTGTTGCAAATAGCCGAGGCCAGGGGGCCGCTTCCCAATGTGAGACCCGTCAGAACAGAAATTATAAGCGATGTGGTCGCGTTGCTGGCGTTGAACTCCTTGAAAAGACAAAAGATTGAAAAAAAAAAACTCAGCAGTGGCAAGCCTCTCAGTTCACATCAAATGCTCGTGATTAATCAAGATTATTTTTATTTTACTGCTAAATCACCTTGATTAGATCATCAGCCAGAGTTCCAAAGGAATAAACGAATCCGTCAGCGATGACGTGGATCAAGAAGGAAGCAATCACGACCATCCAGCCCCAACCGCCATCTGGTGGCACAGGAACCAAATTCACTTCGGCTTTTTTTGTTTTAAGGCCCATATTTCTGAATTACAAGTTTTATTTTTGAAAATGTTTCCATATTTTAACAAAAGGAAAGTCAAGCTTATATTTTTATATGGTTCGAAAATTTCATCTCAATATGCTACCGAAAATAACAAATAAACATAGCAGATGAGCAAGCGATGTGAAATAGAGAATGTATCAAAATGTGTGTGTCGATGTACGAATACGAGGGAAAGAAGCATTGGTTTGGTATTGTTCCTGGGAAAACACATAAAAACGATGGCGCGGCGACATGGAGTGAGAAAAAAGGAAATTAAAAAGAAATCGCGAGATATTACGTTAGGAATAAATATAAACTGCAACTTCCAGAATTCGTAATAACACAATTTCTGAACGAATAGGGAAAGCGGATGAAAATTTTGTTTATTGAAAACTGCTCTCGCGAATGCGATTTAGAATAAAAGTGCAACAAATAACTAGCGATTCTTTAGCCTCCGGTATTTGTACAGCAGCTTCCCTCACGTAAATTGACAAGAGATTTATCATTGGGGCGTTATTTTTAACACCTCTTTGATTCTTTTTTTTTCTTCTAACTTTTCGGAAATTGGTGACGCGAAACGGACGTGCTCCTAACTAGAGAGCCCAAAAAGTTAAAAAACTTTTTAACTTTAAAAAAATTTTTTTAGTGTCTCCATTATCTCTACCTTTTGCGTCATCAGTTTTAAAATAAAAATTATTTTCTGCAAAAAAAATAAATAAAACGTGAACCCCATTTCTATGCCGAAAAAATTCACACGTAAAAAAACCACGTGGCAACATTTCATTTCTTGTTTTTTTAGATCTGGTGTCAACCATCGTTCTTGCTTCCCTCACGACTCCGTCTTGCTCCTGGATTCAAGATGAGTTTTTGACTTCCATTAAACTTCTAACTTTCAAAATTAGTTTCTGATTCGTAAGCGCTAGTAGATTAGGCCCGCGGGACTCCCGGAGTGCCGATCCTCTTTGCTTGCAAATTGGATACGCAAAGTCACGCCAAAGCCCATTCCTGTGGCCGAGGCATAAACTGTTGGCAGCGCGATGCTGACAAAGCGATGATGGGACCCCCGCGGAAAATGCCGTCACGGCCTTCGGCGTCTAGGTTTCTTAGTTTTGACAAGGCCGAGCGGAGCTCTAGCCCACCGCCTAGTTAGTTCTTCTGACTGCAAAAAACTTCCCTAACTTACTTAAGACTTTACATAGCTAATCAGTCAAAATATTGCGATTCTAATAATGCAATCGGCTTGCTTTTTTCAATTTTGATTTCATTGCAGGAAACTTTCAACGAACGAGATCAGTCCATGGAAGATCGGCAACAACTTCAAATCAAGCAGTTTGATATCTAAACAATTATTTTTTGATTGCTTTTCCTTCAGAAACTTTTGGAGAACACGATTGAAAAGTGGATATCGACTACTACTGAAACAAATTATGTGAGGTTTTAAAATTTTTAGTTTCAAAAAAACTTTGATGTGCAAAAAGGAAGGCTTGACTTAACACTTGATTAAAACCAGAAAAACCTTGATCCGATATCATAGGCAAAGTCGGAAAGAGTGAGAAAGGCCTTTTTTTGCTCTCGTTTTGCGCCATTTCACCGGCTCTTATGCACCATTTTTCATAGTTCATTAAGAATAACTGCCGAGATAAACACGAGGTCGGTGGCGGTACATTGACGAAATCGCAAACATGTCGCTTTTTTCTAGGCGCGATCTCGCTTTTTTCTTGCATCTCGGAAATTTTGGAATTGCGAGAGAAATGCGAGTTCGCGCCCAGAAAAATGCGAGACCGGCGCGAGAAAAAAAAGCGAGATGTTTGCGAGCTCGTCAATGTACCGCCAGCGTCTCGCGTTTATCTCGGCAGTTATTTTTGATGGTTAGTAAAAATTTCATCGCGAAGTAATCGATTTTGATCCAAGGTCGCAGATCTGGCTGCGGAAAAACTAATTTAACTTTACGAGCAGCTCTTTTTGATTCAACTTTTGTACTTATATTATCCTTTTTAGCATTCGTAAGTATTTTATCTTTGAAAATTCAGGTAACTGTGATGACAATGAATGCGCCTACCCTAAGCTAATTCGCGACGGCGTTCCCGAACTAGATGCAAGGCACACAGAGTTGGATCAACTGCGAGACCCGCTAGACAATACCAGGTACCAGCCCAATTCTCTTAAAAGCAGCTGAGGGCTTTTTATTTTGTGTTGAATTGCAAAGGAAAAAGAAATAACAGTTAATTCACAATGGCCGAAATTGCTTCTCACTGGTACAAAGAATTATTCATTAATTTATTCAAAACATTGACACCGGTTCAAAACAGGCTAGCGAGAGTTGTGCGAGGCCCTTCTCAATCTATAGGCCTACGTCTATTTCCATAGCTATTGATAGAATTTAATGACGCAAATGAAAAGTAATTTTTTGGTAAAATTTTGAGACAAGATGAAAATGTTTTTGATGAAGTTCGAACATTTTTTCGAAGCCTGGCTTGGTCCGAGCCGGCGCAAGCTTCATTGCTTCGGACTTCAATTGCGCGGACCTCGGTAACGCAGATCGGACTCGTCCCGGACGTTTCTTAGAATTTCTAATAAACATTTAAGAGCCCTGAAGCCGCAAAATGTGTTATTAGAAATGCCCAGAAACGTCCGGAGCGCGTACGTTTTGCGTTACCAAGGTCCGGGCTTTTGCGTCTGGCTGGAATGATTTTTGCGAGGAAGCCTGCGCGAGCTTGGGCCAGACTAGGCTCAGAAAAATTTGAAACTATTCCGAAAAAATCGTTTAAAGAAGGTTCATATTCGACTTGAAGAAAACTTGAGCTTTTTTGGGCCTGTTATTGCTTTGTGCTAGGGGCATTGCTCAGCCTGGCCCAGGCTCAGAAAAGGACAGCGCCGTTAGGCTGACAAGCCGACCCCTCGGTAAATTTCCACGAAATTCACTTTGAATTCTTCGCTATAAAAAAACCTTTCTGTTAACGTAAATTTTTACGTAGCAAAATGGTCACTGAAATAGAAACACTTGTCAGAAAAAAAATTGAGACTCTGCGTTAAAAGTAAATTATCTGGAGTGAAAAATAGCACAGTGAACAAAGCATCCAAAAAAAAAGATGAAATAATAAAAAAACAGGGAACGCCGTGTTTACAGTATCCATGAACCTCGATTTTACGTTTTCTCCGACTCTTCAAAATTAAGTTCCTTTTTACTGTCTGACCGCTATTTTGAATTTTGGGGAATCTCTACGAAAAAAGCATGGAAAACCGGTGAAAAAAAAGAAAAAAAAAGATCGGACATTGGTAATGCGAAACGGAAGCGATTCGGACCGGTCGAGGCGCTTCTAGTGACCACTTTAGTAGCGTCAGCATTCTTAATAATCCATAGAACTGCTCAGAAACGTCCGGAGCACGTCCGTTCCGCGTTAGCAATGTCCGAAAAGTTAGAAGAAAAAAAATAATAAAAATATGTTAAAAATAGCGCTCAAACATAATTCTCTCGTCAATTTACGTGAGGTAAACTGTACAAATACCGGAGGCTGCGAATCTTCAAGAAACAAAAAAAATAATAAACGGTTTTTGAAAATGTTGTCGAAAGAATCAAAGACTGGCGTGAAATGAAATGCCGCTTGTGCATGGCAGAAAATTGTACTTTCTTGACAACCGTATTTGTTTTTTTTTTCGCGATTCCACTAAGAATAACTGACGAGATAAACGCGAGCTCGGTGGCGGTACATTGACTAACTCGCAAAAATGTCGCTTTTTTCTAGGCGCGATCCCGCATTTCTCTCGGCGCGACCTCGCATTTTTCTCGGCGCCATCTCGCATTTATCTTGCATTTCGGAAATTTTCAAATAGCGAGAGAAATGCGAGCTCGCGCCTAGAAAAGTGCGAGCTGGCGCCCAGAAAAATGCGAGACCGGCGCGAGAAAAAATGCGAGATGTTTGCGAGCTCGTCAATGTACCGCCAGTGTCTCGCGTTTACCTCGGCAGTTATTCTTAGTGTCGATCGATTCGATGAAGTTTAACCTTTTCAAAAATTTTTAGTTGCTTTTTGGTATGGTTCATTTCACGACCGGCACGAACGTTACTGATTCACGACCGCTCGCAATTCTGCTCTGTCACTAACGTTACTAAAATCCGACCGTTTTTTAATTCTATTTTTTTCGCGAACGTCCCTGAAGTATGACCTCTTTTTTTCTCAATTTTTGATGAAATTTTTCATATTTTCTTTAATGTCCATGGTGTCTTTTAATTTTTTTAATTGAATATTTTTTTAAACACTTTCAAGGTGCCGTAAATTTTCGATGAGGTTGTTTCACGCAACTACTGGGTAATCTGAAAATATACTTTTTTTCTGATATTTTCATAATTTCTGCTTGTTTCGAGAGTAAGTTCAATTTTTTTCTCAACTCTTTTGAATCAGATATAAGCTTTCTTGAAAGAAATTGTGTAGTATTTTATTTTTACATTTTTTCAAAGTTATTTTTAACCAGGGAATTTGAAAAATCATATCCGCTTTCCGAATTTTCTATTGATTTAAAATGATTCAAAATGTTGGAAAGATCTAATTTTTCAAATTTTACAGTCCCTATTTTTTTCACAGGCCTCGAGGGCAACTTTTCAGCACAGATTCGGGATCAGTGTGAAAAAAACTACATGGTTTTTTTAAAAATTGTTTTCATTAACTTCTAACAGAGAATCGAGTTGATGAAACTTTGCGATGCATTGATAATAATCCTAACTCGGAAAACGAGAGAAAACCATAAATATTTAAATAAGTATGAAAAACTTCATAAAATTTGAACGAAAAAAGGGGTCGTACTTTAGTGACGTTCGCGAAAAAAAAAAAAAGCGGTCGGATTTTAGTAACGTTCGCGACAGAGCAAAATTGCGTAGGTTTTAAACTGTATCTGATTATTATTTTATAGAGTTTATGGAACGCGTCGACACTTTACGGCTTGTTCTTATTTACATCGTTCTGTCGGCAATCACGAATTTTCCTTCTGGCTTCACAAACTCTTCAGTAAACACAGCCGTTGAAGAATTAAGCAGGTTTAGACAGATGTAGGATTGAATCCGAGCTAGTTATGTTTATTTATAGTTTCATTGAAACATCTCTAAGAAAACGCGGTTATCCTCACGATGAAAGTACGGTTACCATCGTTCAGGTTTGATCTTTCGAACAGAGGTTGTAGAAAAAGTTGTTCTTTCAGTCAGCAACTTTGAATTCTTGGTTCATTGCACAAGTCTTCGGCTCAGTTTTCACACCACTCGTCACAGATACCTACGGAAGAAAAAGTTCAATTTTAAGGGACGATTATGAGAAAGAAATAATTTTACAGTAGCCTATATATGTTGTCAAGTGGTGACGATTCTCGCCACACTAGTCCAATATATTTCCGTGTGTTTTGGACTACCTGAATGGCTTATAATTGGACGGTCATTGACCGCCTTGGTTTCTCCACTGGGAGATGCGTGTCTCCTTCTTTATCTTCAGGTTTCTTGAACTGCTCCAGTAGAAAAGGAAAAAATATTAAATGTTGTTGAGGTTTTTTGGTTATTTCTGGAGTAACGTTAAAGAAAAGTTGGAAAAATATTCAAGTTTTTTTCTCTAGGAAACCTCACCGGTCAATATAAGGGGAATGTCTTCATTCTTGTGCGAAATCGGCTACGGCTGCATGTCCGTCCTTGGAATGGTGAATATTTATGATCCAGTCATAATATCTTTCTTGGTCTTTTAAAAGCGCAGCATTCAAACGAAACCGAAAAAGTCGGCTTTTCTAACTGAAAAATCTCTTTGAAGTTTTCTGAAATGCACAAAATCCTACCAAAATATTCAAATTTGCAGGTACTTGGAATGCGATCCGTGCTTGGCGCTTCTTTGCCGAAACTTCTGCTAGTTTCTTTGATTCCTGAAATTTTCTCTCTTTTCATCTTGTTTTTCATTCCTGAGACGCCGAAATATCTTCTATTGATGAAGTTTGTGATTTTGACTCGAAACTATTTGAAAACAAGAAATTATGGAGAAAAGCAATATAGTAAATAGTTTTCCAAATTTGGCATACCTGTTCTTTTTAAATTGGAAAGAAAAAAATAGCTAGAATTTACATTTTGTGAAAAAAAGATCAAAAAAATGCCTGAAGGGGCAGTAATTTTTGCATAACCGGAAAAATAAATCATTAATTTCGGAATTTTTTTCTGGAGCTTTTTAAGACTTTTTTTGACTTTAATCAGTCTAGAGAGATTTCAATTATATTTTCATGTTTTAAAGGTTTTTTTGATGGAATTTAGGGTAATATTAGTTGGCTGTGGGTAAAGGTAGATAAAAAAATCTATTTTTCTCAGTTTTCATGATAACACTAGAAACAAGGAACTATCAGAGGCGATGGAGTGAAGGCTCACCAATCTTTGGAATTCTTCCAAGGCGTTGACTGCGAATGCGAGCTTCTGTTGTCGGAGTACCACGCGGAGAAGGAAATCGAACGAAATAGGCGAAATCCCATTTCCACGTTTCGAGTGGGTGTTTTTCAAAGGGAAAATATGAATATTCACGACGCAAAAATATGGATTTCAAGTGAAGATCCTCACAAACTTTTTCTCAAAATTTGAACGTTTTCCAGCTTTTTTTTAAAAGGAATGTGATAAATTTGAGTTTTATTTGATTAGAAAATGTTTTTGTTCCAATTGGTCAAGGTTTGACGAAAGGATAAAATATTTATTTTTCCAGGATTTATTCGCCAAATGGCACCTGAGACACGCGATGAAGCTGGCCTGTGCGACTTTGGTCCTGACTCTTTCTTCTTATCCGATTTTGCAATCTTCCACTTATTTTTTCCTCAAATCAGGAGTTCCGGTGTTAGTTATACTTGTAATGGAATGGAAAAAAAAGATTTTGATTTTCATCCCAGCCAAAATTAGAAAGATCACATAGGCAAAGTCGGAAAGAGTGGAAAAAAGCTCTACAGAAATGTTCCTTTCAGAATGAAAAGGCTCCCTTTTTTGCTGCCTTTTTGCGCCATTTCATCGACTCTTATGCACCATTTTTTCAGCCTCTCTCTCTTTCCATTATTTCTTGACCCCTCAAAACCCGAGACAAAATGGGAGGACCCTTTTTACTTCCTTTCTGCAACCTTTCTTGAGCCTCTCCCTTTTAGCGGTCATTATCCACGATTCCGACTTTGCCCGAGTATATTAAGCTACGCGAATTTTCTTGTGTTTCTAAGATTTGAAGAGTTTTATAGTTTTATCAGTAAGTCGAAAGTTGGTATTCAGCGAAAATGTATAAAACTATATGAATTAATTTAAAGCTCTCGGAAAGTGATAACTTTAGGGAACTTGCGGAAACCTCATCGACAGCGATGATGATTGTCTTGACGTTGTCCGCCGTCGTTGGAGCCTCCCTCATCGACGCCTATCCGAGAAGATTCCTCATCATTTCTTTCGGAATCCTTTCTAATGTTCGTAAAAATGAAAGTTATTTGAACATTCTCTCCCCTCGAAGCTTTTTAGCCTTTATTTGAGTTAAAAATTCCTAAAAGTCCATTTTCTGATTCCAGTGACCTTTGTAGTGAATTTATGTCCCAGAAGCATGATAACACTCTCAAATGAAAAAGAAAACAATCTCTGTAGGTTCTACTTGTCGCCTTCGCCGTTTTTTCTCAAATCTCGATGAGGAATCATCATCAAAAATGGCCGGTTTATGCCTGTCTGGCGTCTCTTCTGGCCTACTGTGTCTCTTACGGGTGAGTTTGTGTTTTCTCCGAAGCTGTGAGTTGAAAAATAACTCGCAAAATGTTAATTTTTAGACATTTTTTTGCTTCGAAGCTAAAAAAATCATTTTAAGCTCAACAAAAAATGAACGGTAAAGTGTTTCAGTATGGTTCTGGGGCCTGTTTCTTGGTTCGTGGCACCGGAATTGGTATCTCAACGGCATAAATCGACCATTTTCTCTGTTTGTTTTGCCATCCACAACCTACTGATTGCGCTGACGGATTTCGCGACCATTCCTTTGTTCAGGGTTCGTTTTTCATTTACAATTGAGAATATATATCTTAAAAATATTGAAGGAAGGTTGAAAAGCTAGTCGAAATCGGCTGAAAAAAATATTCAGCTTAAATATAACCTCAGTATCCATCAGACCGTTGCCGGTCACGTAAAAAAAGAGATTGGATTTTTTTATATTGATTTTGTATTTTTTAAGAAAAACTCTCTAGTGTGAGCAATAATGAGCAAATGTGAGATTTCAGACTTTCAAAATTTCAATTTAGTTCTCTTGTTTCTTGTGACAAACTTTGGTTGAGATTCGTTGAATTTTTGCCGAGATATGAACTTTCAAAGCTTTTTACTGTAATCCGTTGAGCCACCGTATCTCGCGCGTTCCACAGCATATTTGATTCAGAGAAAAAGTTATTTTCACGACATTTTTTTCCAACTAAGCCTAAACCCAATTGGCGCAGAACAATTCTCCGCTTAATGAACTTGGAGGAAAATCGACTTTTAGATCAGCTAGTGTATTTTTTTTGCAACTTTGATATTTTATTGGTGAAATGGAACATAATGAAAATAATTCTCTTTCCAAAAAAAAAAAATAATAACTAAAGATCCTTGCAAATAAAAAAAATAATATTTTGATGAATCCAGGTGATGGGCGGCGTGTCGTTCGTGATCATTTTTGTCGTGCCGTCGATCTTGGCCATGATCTACCTGTACCTGTACCTGCCGGAAACACGTGGCAAGGAAACTCACGAGATCGTCTACGACATGTTGCAGAGAAACAGCAAAGACTGTCTCCATTTTTGCGATACTCCCTCCTTCCAAATCCGACCCCACGTCTTCACTATATCTAACTCTTTGGTTAGAGTCTACTAATTTCATTATTATATTCATTTTTGTTGCACTAATTAGAGATCTACTTATATCATTTAATGCATGGCCCGTTCTTTGTTAACCTGTAAATACTCCCAATTGCTACACTTAATAAATTTTCAGAGATTCTTGGCGAGATCGGAAATATGTGACCTGTTCGAGTTTTCGCCGCCGATGGGAAAGATTGAAAAAAAAACTGGATAAAAGTCCGCGTCGGTCGATTTCGAAACAAACGCGCACACTTTTGCCGTCAATTCGAATTGAACAATTTGTCTTGGTGTTTGTAGAACAGTTCATCTGCATCAATCATGTTTATTTACACGCGTTGGTCATTTTTATTTTTTCGTGTCGAGTTTGGTAGAGAGAAGAAGAAGCCAAAAAGTTGACGAGTAGAGAAAATAAGTTAGGTGGATGGTGGTCGAGGTTTGAGATGGTAGTGTCGATGTTGGCGGTTGTTCGAGGCTGAAAGTCGCTCATTGGTTTTCGGTTTATCGTATTCTTATCACTTACCAATCGCTTAATAGCCTGGAGCGGTTCTTGGTGGTGGGCAGTGGTCGCAAGATCCCTTGTTGCCGTCCTTTCCTGGCGCTCCGTTGTCTCCTGGGGCTCCTGGGTTTCCTGGAGTGCCGTCCTGTCCAGCATCTCCCTGAGGTCCGGGGGGTCCTTGTGGTCCTGGCTGTCCTGGGTGTCCGTCTGGTCCGGGTGGCCCTTGTGGTCCTGGCTCTCCTGGCTGTCCTGGTGGGCCTGGTGGGGCTGGAACGGTGCGGACCTGTCCTGGGGCTCCCTTCTGTCCTGGCTGGCCGTCTTGTCCGGCTTGGCCAGGTGGTCCCTGTGGTCCTTGAGCTCCTGGAGTTCCTGGGCGTCCGTTTGGTCCCTGCTCTCCGGCTGGTCCCTGCTCTCCAGGTGGTCCCTTTGGTCCTGGGTTTCCTGGCTGACCAGCTGGTCCAGCTGGGCATTCGAAGCAGAAGTCGGCGGCGGTTGGGAGGACATGCTCATTTGGTGCGTCGGAGCCTGGAGATCCTGGCGCTCCTGGTCGTCCGTCGTTTCCTGGAGCTCCGTCCTGTCCGGGGTTACCGACTGGACCAGCTGGTCCAACTCCGCAAGAGCAGCACTGGTAGGTCTGACGCTTCTCACGGCTCTCAGCCGTGCGGAAAGACTCAAGCTTGGTGTACTCGCCGCGGAGAGACTCGGCGCGAGTGCGGCAGAAGTTGATCTCGTCCTGGAGGCCAGATTGAACGTTCTGCATGTACATGCAGAGCATCGGCACGGCGACGATGGCCGTCAGGGTGGCGACCGTCGAGACGGCGACGCCTACAAAGAATTCAAGATGAATACAAATCATTATAAAGCAGAAAAAAAAGAAGGGAAATAAAATTCTTACCGAAGAAGGCGAACTTCTTGACGGCCTCAGCCTCGATCAACTTCTGTTTCTCCTCCATCTGAAAGATGAGAGGTGATATAAGGTATTTGAAGAATTATCAAAAGCGAAAAAAAAAGAAATGAAAAAAAAGAAAAAAAAGTGAATAGCAGGATAGGATAATAGAAAAAAGTGCTTGATGAAGCTGAAGAAGCTGAAGATGATGCTGATGCTTTTGCGGCTAACGATCGGTGGCTTTTATACCTGAGTACCTGGTCCGAGGGTGACGGCCGCGCCTGGGGGTGGATCCGTCCGGACTTTTTTCTTTTCGTCGGTTTCTTCTCCACCGGCGCGACACCCAGTTTTTTTCGCAGACGATGTCGCTGAGAGGGAAGCCGATGAGCGTGGCGAGATTTAAGCTGATTGGCTTATGATATGGAAAGTTAAGCGGATTTTGGTCTTCTGCATCTTTTGAACTTTGGAAAAAAAAGAGAGCGAAAGGGACTTTTTGAGGTCATTGATTAAGAAATAAACTTTTGATTCACCGCTACAAACTGGATTTCGAATTTTCCAGTTTATGAAAGACTCTACAGTAACTTTCCGCTTTTTTTACGATCTGTAGATTAAGAAAACTCGTAAAATATCTCCGAAAAGTTATTTTTGGAAAGAAGTTGTTAATAATTTCCATGTAAAGTTTTTCTCCTGCAGCATCCTTTTTCATAATTTTTTTTTTCTAACATTCTTGCCCATATAAGGTGTAAAAGGGCTCCCTAAAGGGATAAAATTCAAGTGGTCCCTGTAGGGGTTTAACTTGATCGATAAACCGCTAACTAAAATCCCCCTTGAAGCTGTTTTCTCAAGCTTTAGAGGCTCCTATAGGTGGGCTTAAAGTGGTCCCGAGAGGGGACTTTTAAAGGCCCTAAAGGGACCACTCTGATTTTCCTGAGCTAGAACAAGTCAGCTCGTCAACCATTCTAAGTTTGATGAAACTGTGAAAGTTTTTAGTGGTCATTGTAGAGGTTCCACAAGGGCTTCTTGGAGATGACACTAAAGTGACCACTAAAGCCACCTCTATAGTGGTCACTATAGAGGATCTCTTTCAAGTGACCACTATAGTAGTTTTTCATCCAGTTAACTCTGATAGTTTCAGAAGAACTTGATTGAACCAGTTATGAGTCATTGACCCCTAATAAATTTTTAACGGTCTAGTAGTACCTTTTAGACCTAAATGGCCACGAAAACGTCAAAACCCTACAGTGGCCACTAGAAATTTTTCCAGCTCGATATATTTTCATTTTCTGTTCTGCGGTCTGTTCAGATCTCAGTTTTTCATCTTCTTATCACGTCTACAAGGTTGCTGCCCTTGAACACCATGTTCGCGTTTGATCTCTTCTCTTCTGGCATGCCATAGCCGTCGTGACGTCAGAGAGCTTCTGCGGAATGCCGAGGCGTCGTTTCGATCGAGTTCAGTGCCATCGGAGAGGAACGCTGGTTCCGCTTCTGGCGATCGAAGTTCGCAGAGAAGCAAAGGGGCGTGGCTTCTCACTTTGGGGCTGTTAACTTTGACGGCCTCCGTCAACGACCTGCAGAAGGTCGATTCTGATTTATAGACTCTTCTGAAGAGACTTTCAGTTTTTATGGGCAAAACTAGCAGATAAACGTTGTTAAATGTTAAAAATAACCTATAAAAAAATGGAAATTTGCACTGAAAAGTGCCATTTTTTTGAATAAAAAATTTTCTTACAAGTAGCCTTATCCTTGGTAAGACAAAAAACCATGATTTTGTAGAAATCGATACGAATAGATAATTCCAAGCACGAAAGTTTTCATCATATTTAGATTCTGAACAATTTTCGCCACAAGTTTCAAGGAGTATAAAACTTTTTAACTTTCGTCGTTTCAATAAACCTTTCAGAGTAGAACCCCCCCCACAAAAAAAAGTCACGTAAACTTTATGCATCTTTGAATTTTGTAGAAAACTTTTGTAAATGAACCATAAATGAAAGATTTGAAGTAGGCCTTCAAGAAAATTTAAAAACAATTTCGTCTTTTGTCACGGTTTCCCATGGTTCAGTATTTTCAAAATTTGAATCTTTTCAAAGAGTTTTTCGACGCGAAATTAAAATTTCAATTTGCTTTAAAAACATCAGTTTCGAGCAATTTCATGTAGGCAAGTATAGGCTACATTGAGTGAAATTTACAACATCAAACTGTTTTTTTCACAACACTTTTGAGAAAGAAACTTTAGTTTCATTGATCGGATAATAATTCGTCTTCTCTGCCCATCAATAACCGTGACAAGACGAACGGAACATAACCATCACGACGGATCACGCCTTTGCAACATCAAAATCGTCGCGGGCCGTCAGGATGTAAAAGGAAAGAAAAGATAAAAAATCGAAATCGCCTTTCGCCGCGCCCGCAGCAGCACTTCTCAGCCTATGATACCCGTCAAAATCGCGAAGAATTTGATCATCGTGCGTCTTTTTTGGAGTTTATCATGTTATCCTTTGAAAGTTCAAGCTTCATATTCGGTTCGAATATAGTTCATGCTTCATATTCGGTTCGAATATTTTGTTTTTCGGAATGTCTCTTTAAACAACGAAACAAGATTAAAAAAATCTATATTTATAAAAAAATTGAAAGAAACTGGAAATCATTAATATCCTGGGGCGGTTCTTGGCGGTGGGCAGTGGTCGCACGATCCTGGAAATTACGGTATGTATTGCAAAACAGTTCCAGAACTCACCCTTGTCTCCAGGGGCTCCAGCTTCTCCAGGCGCGCCGTCGTCTCCGTCCTTTCCTGGAGCTCCGTCCTCGCCGTTGTCTCCTTGGGGTCCTGGTGGTCCTGGTCTTCCAGCACGTCCTGGTCGTCCGTCGGATCCAGCCTCTCCTTGTGGTCCAGCTTCTCCTGGCGCTCCTGGCTCTCCGGCTGGCGATGGGACGCTTCGGGTCTGTCCGGCGAGTCCCGGGTTTCCTGGTCCACCGTCCTCTCCAGCTTCTCCGGCTGGTCCGGGTGGTCCTGGTGGTCCACGTGGGCCAGGTCTTCCGGCTGGTCCTGGCTCTCCGAGGCCTCCGGGTGGTCCTGGTGGTCCACGAGGTCCAGCTCCTCCTGCTGGACCGGCTGGGGCTGGTGGGCAGTCAAAGCAGAAGTCCTTGGCGGTTGGGATGGCATGTGGGTCTTCGGCGTCTGGTCCGGGCGAGCCAGCCTGACCTGGCTGACCGTCCTCTCCTGGCTCTCCTTCTTGTCCAGGCACTCCAGCCGGTCCGGCAGCTCCAACTCCGCAAGAGCAGCATTGGTAGGAGGTCTGACGCTTCTCACGCGAGGCAGCTCCGCGGACCTGGTCCAGCTGAAACTTGAGAACTTGAGGAAGCTGATAAGTGATAGAGTCAAGATTTTTCGGACTGAACGAACCTTGACGAATTCTCCGCGCATCTCGACGTTTCGCGTCTTGCAGTAGACGAGGTCTTCCTGCAGGGTCGACTGGATGTTCTGCATGTGCATGCAAAGCATCGGCACGGCGATGATAGCGGTCATCGTCGCGATGGTCGACACGGCGACGCCTAGCAGTTCATTTTCATGAGGTTAAAGAGGAGAAAATTTCCAGCTTTTCCTATCAAAATAGAGCTTCTTGATTTCTCAGTGGAATAAGATCTTGATAAAATTATTTCTTAAGCACAATGAAAATTCAAGTTTAGTTGAATAAATATAAAAAACATTGCTAAGTACTTGCGAATTTCAAAAAAAAAAATAGAAGATGCAAAGAAGAGAAGACACTGTCTCGTAGTATATTCAGGCTTTAAAGCTCAAAGATGTTCTCCTAAAGTGACCACTTGAGATTGGGAAGCTTAGAGCCTCTAAGGGGAGCTTTTGAAGCTCAAGTGATCACTGTAGGAGAGCCTTCTATCCTTCAAAGTTTGAATAGAAAGACACTTGTGAGTAGTCGCTCCTTAAGTGAACACTCGAGAGAACACCTTTCTTTAGTGATCCCTTGAGGGCGACTTCCGACTGTACTAGGTAATCTACAGAATGCGAGAAAAAAGCAAAGGCTATCAAAAGGAAAAGCTCACCAAAGAAGGCGAATTTCTTGACCTCGTCGGCCTCGGCGTACTTGAGTTTCTCGTCCATGTTGACTGGGCAGTTACCGCGGGAAGCGTCGGGAAGTGCCGAAGTAACCGGTCGGCGGCCGGCCGCCGTTTTATACTTTCTCGGTTGGTTCCTGGATGGCAGCGTCTCCACCCAACAATACACTGTCCACAGGAGTATCGTTCGATTCAACCAATCAAAGGAAAAAAAACCTCTTTTCTCGCTCTTTCTGGAAGTTACTCCTTTTTTTCTTGATCTTATCAGTGTCAATAGGTTGTAACGTTGGTACAGTTCCGATGATGAGAGTTGTACCAAATGGTATTTGAGAAGGAAAAAAAAGTGAAAAGAAAATTGAGAATCAAAAGAAACGTTCAGAAATCTTGCATGAATGCCTGCTCCATAGATAATTATTCAAAAATTCACGATTGGCGGCTTTCATTCCAATGACGCTTTGTAGAAACATTTCTCATAAAAAGTTAGAAGTTGAGCTGTTCGAGGAAACTGATTTTTATGCTCCACGGATAATATTTTTTTCAAGATTTAATTTTGCGCCTTTTTTTTTTACATTTCCTATCTGATCTTTATAAAGCGATTTTTTTGAGATAATTTTGCAAAAAAATTGAGATTTGAAAGAAAAAAAGACAAAGTTTTTCGCATGATAGTGCGCTCCACAGATAATTTTTCACAAGATTCAATTTCGCGGCTTTTTTACATTTCCATCTCCTGATCTTCACAATTTAATTATTGAGAAAAAATTACTTTGCGAAAAAAATTGAGACATGGAAAAAAAGGGCGAAATTTTTCGCATGATTTTGTGCCCCATGGATACTTTTTTTCTTTCCAAAAATCAAATTTTTGGCGAAATTCATTTATTATTTTTCAAAATTTAATTTTGTTCATTGACACTTTTTTTTTTTTGAATTCTGTTCTAGCAAGAACTAAGCTCTAAAAAAAAGAAAAAAATCTTGCGAAAATGAAAAAAAAACCAGATTTGAACGTGACTTCTTAAAACTCCCAAGTATTTCCAGACAAAGAATCCTGGGAATTATGCAAACAATACCTAAATTAGGCCCTTTTGTTGCATTTCGAAGACCGTAATTAGTTTTCAACTCGTTTCCGTACGAGTTTCGAGACGTCGCAATCAGTTTTTTGCGCTTTGAAAAGTGGCAGTTTAATAATAAGGGGTCAAAAAAGAAACAATAAGTTGGAGTTTTGGGTTTCGGTGATGTCATAGGAGAAATCAGCGAAAAAGTCAAAAAATTCTTACGAAAATTAACTTTAATTTTTTCTTTTAAAGTTTATGAATCTTGTGAATTCAGAATGTTTTTTGTCGCTGCAAAACTTGTCGAGAGACGGAACTCTGAAGATTCTTATCAAAATAAGGCACTTAGCCACTCGGCCACCCGACTTGTAATACCATAACTTCTGTACGCATGACGCTTTTTTGAACTTATTTTGTGAAATTCGTCGAGGAATTGAACCAAGGACCCTCCTCTCAACGTATAAATCAGTTAGCCACTCGGCTACACGACTTCCTGCGCTTTCCGTCTGACTTCTCTGCGCCGTCCGCGTCGCGCGTTTCACACCTTTCTCCCATCCGAATGCCGGGAAGGTCAATCATTCAACTTGCACGCTTTTTTTCGGTGCGGCTCTCCAAGTTTGTCTGCCGAGGAACCGGTACGACTATGGTAGCTGAGTTTCGTGGACAAAGAATTTCCAGTGAATCGCGTTGGTCTACGATTGCCGAATTCTGTCATTTTTTGGCTGGAGATAACATCTAAAGTTGAAAATTTCTCATTTGAAAAGGCGACTGATTGGCAACTAAAGTGGTGAAATTCTAGTTACCACTTGGGGATTTGTGAAGTCTTTCCTACAAAAGAGTGACTGAGTCAATGATTTTTGACGGAGGCAACATTTTCAAAGTTTCGAACAGAAAAGCAGATTGCAACCGAACTTTTTCCATCAATTTTGATCAGATCTCAAGTTTTTTTTTATAAATTAAAACCTGTTAAATTTAGATATTCCTTGTCCCTTTCGAGTTTCTAATCGCTGTGAAACCAGAAAAATAACTGAAAAAGAAAATCTTCAAAACCGCGGCTTCTTCAGAACTCTGATCGGCTGATTAAAAAAAAGATAAGGAGTTTTATTGCATTCAAATTCTCCTGTTCTCTTTCGATGATTTTTTTTGGTCTTTGAACTTTTTATCGGCTTCTTCTTGGAAATGAAAACTCGACTTCGAACGACTTTTATTCGTTGCGAAAAACTTCAGAAAAGACAAAAAATGGTAATGAAACAAAAGGAAGGCCCGTCACGGAATCGAATTAGTGTCGCGTACTTCTAGGAGGCGTCGTTGCCGTGAAGAGGAGAGCTTTTGAGGTGCAAAAGGTACACGAAATAATTAGTGAAGTGATGTTGGAAAAATAATAAGTTAAAAGTGACGAATCTAGTAGCCTGGAGCGGTTCTTGGGATTGGGCAGTGGTCGCAGCCTCCTGAAAAAGGCGATGATGATCATCAGATTTCGAGAAAAGAATGGCTTACCCTTTGGCCCGTCGAGTCCTGGATGTCCTTCCTCTCCTGGCGCTCCTGGGTTTCCTGGAGCTCCATCCTGTCCGGCGTCTCCTGGCTGTCCGGGTGGTCCTTGCTGTCCTGGCTGGCCAGGTCTGCCGTCTTCTCCGGGTGGTCCTTGTGGTCCTTGCTCTCCAGCCTCTCCTGGTGGGCCGGGTGGTGCTGGAACGGTGCGAACCTGTCCTGGTGGTCCCGGTCGGCCAGGGACTCCGTCTTGCCCAGCTTCTCCTGGTGGTCCTTGGGGTCCTGGAGCTCCGGCGGCTCCTGGTCGACCAGATGGTCCCTGTTCGCCGTTGTTTCCAGGCTGTCCGGGTGGTCCTTTCGGTCCTGGGTTCCCTGGCTGTCCAGCTGGTCCTGGTGGGCATTCGAAGCAGAAGTCCTCGGCGCTTGGAAGAACGTGCTCGTTTGGCGCATCTGGGCCTGGAGATCCTGGCTGACCAGGTCGTCCGTCGTTTCCTGGAGCTCCGTCCTGGCCGGGGTTACCGACTGGTCCAGCTGGTCCGATGCCGCAAGAGCAGCATTGGTAGGTCTGACGCTTTTCACGAGACTTCTCTTCGGCTTGGGCAAGCTCAATCTTTTTGTACTCGCCGCGGAGGGAGTCGGCGCGAGTGCGGCAGAAGTTGATCTCGTCCTGGAGGCCGGACTGAACGTTCTGCATGTACATGCAGAGCATCGGCACGGCGACGATGGCCGTCAAGGTGGCGACCGTCGAGACGGCGACGCCTTGAAATGACAATTGCAAATGGCAAAGGAAGGAGTAACTAACCGAAGAAGGCAAACTGTTTGACGGACTCGGCCTCAGCCAGCTTCTGCTTATCGTCTGAGCCCATCCTACAACCGTAAGATGTTACAAAATCTGTCCGTAAAGGTGGAACGAAAGAATAGCGTTAATTAAAATGAGATGATAATGAAGTGAAGGGAAGAAGCTGGATGAGATGAGATTTGCGACGTTTGGGCCTCGTTTATAAATGCCTGGGGCGTGACGGCCCAACTTTTTGCTCAGCTTTTTGCGCGATCCGCGCGCGCCGCTCGTCGCGACTGGGTCACACTGGACTGCCGCTCCGTTTTTTCATGCATTTCCTTAGTTGGAAATGGCTTCGGGGCTGCTGATACTTCACTGATTAGGCTCATTTGGGCGATTATTTGATGGTATCGCGGGGTGTTTTTGAAGAGTCTGAGGGTGATGGATGATGCTTTGTTTAAAAATCGCCTCCGATTTTTCTATGATTCATTCTTGTCGGCTTTATCAAAAACTTTTTTTCTGTAAACACAGTTTGATCAACAGTTGATTAAATGTGATATTTTTTGTAGATTTTCCGAAAAAGAAGCTTTTCGAGTATTTTCCAAGATTTCAAAACATTCGTGTTCCTCTCCGAAATTGCTCGAATACATTTGAAAGACATAATCTTTGCAAGACTGGTTCAAAGTCTTCTTTTTGGCTTTTGAGAAGGGATTTAAAGATTTGGCCCATGCCTCAAGGCTGCAACCGACCTCAAACGGTTTCGTGAGCAATTTTTTTTCCGGGTTACCAATCTGAGACTTTTTCAACTCGGATCTTGGTAACGCGAATGAGACGCGAATCGGACGTGTCGGGGAATTTCTAGTGACCACTTTAGTAACGTCAGCACTCTTAAGTGATTCCTAGAACCGCCCAGAAAGTCCGGAGCACGTCCGTTTGGCGTTACCAATGTTCGAGAATATTTATACTGTTCATCCAGCTCTAATTGGAGCGGCTTTCTCAGACCTTTGAATGTTTCCTAAATATTAATTTTTTTCAAATTTTTCACTGAATCAACCAAGATTTTAGATGCATATTTCAAGATTCTGAATCTTCCTTTCCTTTTTTTGGTGCTATATTTTCCTCTTCGGGGTCAAATTTAGTTTAAAAAAAACTAGAACATCATTGGAACTCAAAATCCTATTCTTAAAAGTTAAAAGACTCAATATTAAAAAAAAAACAAAAACCTATTCATTTTGAAGAAATGAAAAAGTATCAGCGAGTGATAAGAGAGCGCAGACAAGCCAGAGTGTCTGCAGTTTCGAAAAAGTTAGTATAAATGATAAAGTGCACGATATTCAACTTTTTCTCAACCGATTTCGGTTTTATTTTCGTTTTTTTCAGAATCTGTTCAGTTAAATTAATGAATGAACTTATAACAGTTGATCTTAAATCGATTAAAGCTATTTGATGTACAAACCATCTCGTTTATCTTTTTTTTTTCCTTCATCAATATAAAGTTTGGATAATTTTGGCACCATTGCGTGTGGCCATAGCCGGTTCCGTCACGCTCATAATCGCCTCCTTTTTTGGGCAGTCTTTTGATTGTCGCTCTGTATTTTGCCAGATTTGTGTAAAATTCCTCGGCTTGAAACTTTTTTTTTTCGATGTTTTGATTGATATTTACTTATGATCCATGGTCATTCATTCAAATTAATTTTTTGCTGAAGGTTTGTAAATCTTTTTTATTTTTGTTTGTAAAAATCAATTCTCGAACATGTCGGGCTGAAAAATATCCAGAAACCCCGACCTTACCGGCTTTTTTCTCATTGAAAAAGGTGCGTTTTTGCATTATTTTAACAGAAACAGCTTTATTCGAGTCAAAGAAGTTCATTGACCCATAACTTATGCCGTGTTCAAAGTAATTTCGCGAAATGCAAAATAGCCGTCTTTAAACACGGCATTATTTAGATAGTTCTTTCACTACTGGCTTCTTGAAATCGATTTTTTTGTTTTTCCCCAACACTGGTGAAAAAATCAAGTTTAAAGAATTTTTTTAATTTCATAACTATTCAGCAACTTTTTAGAACCTTATAACTTAACGGCGATACTTAAGATTCTGGCGAGAAACCGTCTCAAGTCGGTTGCAAATCAAGCAACTTTGAGCCATTCCACGTGCGCTCTACCAGGTTTGTCGAAAAACTCACAAAGGTAAGTTTTATTTCATCAATTTTTCAAGTTTGATCTTTTAATTTCTGCAGTATATTCGATTGCAAGCTTCGAACGTCTGAAAATAGCTATCTCCATGCTTGGAAATATGTAGTTTGATCCTTCCACTCTTCCAGCTCACTTATGAGATAAAATCAAACAATCAAGAAAAAAAAGAGAGATAAGTCGCAAATCAGTGTTAACACAAACCCGAAAAAAAAAAACCCCGCCTCTTTTTTTTCCCCGTCCAAAAAAGGGAAATCGAGAGCGACCTTCGCTTTCCGTCCGTTTATCACTCGGCTTCCCAAATAGTGTTGGAAGAGAGAAAGTTGGAACGTTTCTTTTTGCGTTTCCATTGTTTCGAATCTCATTAGAAAGAGTAATTTGCAATGAAAGGTGTTCCGTTTGAGGACACTGAAATTCTTGAACCGATCATTGACCTTTGACGGGGAAATTAGGGGCAAGTAAGAGGCTTTTATCTAGAGGGAAGGTCGATAATTTGCTAGATGGAGGGAAAAATTGAAAAACTTAAAAATAGTTCTTATTCGGGAAAAATTTTTTTGATGTTTCGCAGAAAAAGGGGTCATTTTTTTCGTATGAAAACGGAATTAAAATAGAGAAATGGAAAAAAATTTATTTTTTTATGGGAAAAACTCGTATTAAAAAAAGTGGAAATCTTTTTTTTCATGCAAAATTTAAAACAGGGTATTTCTGAAATATAATATGAGGTACTCAAAAATTTTCAAATTTGACAGCCTCTAAAGAAAGTGTGAAAAATGTCTTTCACGAATTCTGATTTTCAAAACTCGATTTTTAACTTCGAAATTGGGCCAAAAACCACGAAATTTTCATCAATTTTTGCAAAAGTAACTGGTAAAATGATTTGAGAGCTTTGAAGTTCATATAAAATTGGTCCGGCTTCTCAAAATTTTTTCTGAATCTTGAATTCCGCCGAAGTTTGCAATTTTCGACAAAATTCGGACAAAAATGAATTTTTCAACTTTTTAAAAGGATCAGAAGGTCATTCCAAGTTGATCAGACTCGAAAACTGTGCCTATTTTTGGACTTTGAACATCCAAAAAGTTCAAAATCTCATTCGAAAATTGAGACAGATTCTCGTCTCGTCGTCGTCGTCGTCGACGACGCTTCATCATCATCGGCCACGTCTTCTGGCATCCGCGGGAGAGACGAGGGCGCCTCCTTCGTCTCTTCGGAAAACTCGCTAAGCGACTGCTTTTTTGGGTCCGTCCTGGCATCCATCCGTCCACCTTTTCTCGACCCACCGATTCGCTTCTCAAACCGCCGCCTGCTACTTTGAAATATTGACACGCGGAAGAGGTGTTTTGATCGGGAAAACGAGTGATTTTTTTGCTCCTTCGAGGGATTTGAAGCCAGTTTTCCAAATGATTTACAACGAGAGTCATCTGGCTTGCAATTAAACTTTTGAAAAACCAGTAAATTAAAGGGTTTTATAATTATATACAGCAGCGAATGTGGAAATTACCTTCGGAGGGTGTTTTATTTTTCCGTTGGAAATTAAAAGAAAAGAAGTTATATATCAAATACCAGAGCGTATCGAAGATCATGGAGAAGTTTAATAAACTCTTTTAGAGCCCGCTTTTTCCTGTTCTACATGACGTCTGCTCCTTTAAAGGTCAAAGCAAAGAATTTTGAACGGATCTTTTGGATGAGAATAAAAAGCAAAAAAAAAATGAAAAAATAATACAGACTGCTCTGAAAACAATGGCAATAATATTTAAAAAAAAATGAGAAAGAGAAAAATTCCAAAAACTAAAAATAAGTTATTTTTCCCGACTATCGACTGACTTGAAGTGTAAATTTGTACAGGTATTTGAAAATTTCCTCCTCCCAAATACAGGACTAGCTTTGAAAAAATAAGCTTTGAAGGTTGGTTTTCCCCTCCGAGCGAATAAACACCTGTTGGAACATTATTTTTAGGGGTCCAGTTCAAAAACAACGAATCTAGTGAACCACTCGCACTAAATATTATGCAAAAAGGCGATTCATTTTTTTTTTTTTTTGAGGCGATCTTTTTCAACCTGTTTTCATTTGAACTGTTCATTTCTGTACACTTACTTTTCTACGATATAATATTTTTTAAATAATTTTTCAAAGCTTTTTTTCGTTTTAGTTATGGAACCATTGGATGAAGAGACGATTATAGGAAAATTTTAAAAGATTATAGATTCTGACCGTGAAATGAAAGTTACATCTATGCGACGCGACCATTCCGCATAGGCTTCCTCAATTTTTTTTTTTCTGAATAAATTTTTTTAACTTTTTCTGTCGATCATAACTTGAGCTAGTTCAGCCCCAAATTTTTTTAAATCCCAGCTCAAAAATTTCGTTGCGAAAAAGAGTTTAGGAAGTTTGATTAGGTCGATTCTTCAAGTGATTGTGCGCTCTATGGACAAAACTCTTTCCTCACGTCCAATTCGACTTTCTTAAAAAGATAATCATGAAATCTATCAGATTTTGAATACCTAAAATTGGTGTGTTTCTTGATCTGCGACTTTGAAAGAGATTATTTTTTTCAACTTCATCAGAACATTCAAAAAAACAAAGATTTGTCCTTGGAGCACATATGAGCCTAACTATTCGGCCTGCTTTTTCTCTTTTGTTTTCTTCTATTGGCATAAAAAAATTTTTAAAAAAATTCTAAATTTCAAGTTTTCCTTTTTTTGCACAAACTGAGCTGAAAAACAGTCTCACTAAGTTTCTCCATATTTTTTTCTTGAATATTTGTCGGCGAAAAAAAGTTTTTTTGGCGGGACTCAGCCGAGCTTTCTTCAAACAATGCTGCTCTGTCTGCCGCGGCACAAACACACAGACTCAAATCACGTACGCCATATTTCTTTGACTTCTTGAGGAAAAAAAATCTGAGAAAAAGCCTGTTTGACCCCGGTTTTCCATTTCGAGTGTTCAGTCAAAGGGATTGTTTCTTTGGGAATTTTAACCTTTTTTGAAGCTTTTTCAACGTCAAAGTTTCCTGGGAGTTCCCTACAGGCTCCTTGATTTCCATAATTTTTTTTAGCACTTTATTAACCCGGCTATCTTCATTTAACTTCAAATTAAAATTCATTTGGGTTCTTTTTTTCATGTTTAGCGAGCTCGAAATGAAACTCAATGCGCCTAAAAGCATATGCGTATTTTATTACGAGAAAGAATGACAAAATTTTTGATGACTAGAATTTTCAAAACGTCCTATGTTTCTTTTAAAATCATTTTTTTCCCGATTCTCCTTTTTGTTTTTGTCTTTCGAAACTAACTTACAATCCAAAAATTGCTTTTTTGACGGAAAAAAGGTTTTTGGACCATTTTTCAAAGTTCTCTACTAGAATTTCGAACTACATTCGAATCACAAAAGTTGTTCCAATACTCATAAAAAAGCGTGACACTTCCACAGAAAAATGCGTTAAGTCACGTTTTTTTTTTTGCTTAATTTCGCAATCGTTATAAACCACACTTTCGAACCGTAAAACTTCGAAAGTCATCCCGAGGATTACGGTAACTTTGAGAGCCGCGAGTTTACTTTCCAACAACTGTGTTTGTGGCACCACCCTGGCAAACAAGACACGGCTCCTCGGAGATTTTTGCCTCATTTCCTCGACTGTCGCCCTTTTGAACCCACTTTTCTTTGCTCTGTTCAGTTCATTTCCAGTTTTCATATGTTCTGTTGTACATTTATGGCTACTTTTACCTACGGAAAAAGATTTCCAAGTTCGAAACATTCTCAAAAAACGGAATTTGGAGCAACTTTTACGTTTTTTCAGCGTTAAAAAATCAGTTAAATTTTGTGAGCAAGCTATAAATATTTTCATAGACTTAATTATTAAGAATACCCTTAATGGAAGCTTTTCTTCGAATTTAGAAACCCTACCAGTTATTTGAATATCTGGACCTTCTCCATCAATAAAATCTTCTTTTTAGCTTTAAAAAAATAAAAATTATTCTTCTGTCAAAATTACAGATAAATGAACATTAAAAAAATGAAACTTTGTAGGTTTCTACACACAGGTTGAATCATTAGACTGTCTTCTTGAGTTCCTAAAAAAAATCCCGACTTTTAAAATTCAAAGAAAAATTATTTTTCCTGCCATAACCAAGAAAGATATCAAACCCAAAAAGTCCAATCGAACCAACCCGAAAAATGTCCAATTATTTATGGAACAGACCTTGTTGCCTTGACAATGTGTATATTAAAAAGTGGCACCACACATCTTGAAGAAAAAAAGTCAGAAAAAAGCTAACAGAGGGAGAAAAAAAATTATTGGGTTAGTATTTTCAGCTTTTGAGTGAATTATGTTGTTGGCGGGAGTTCTCAAGGTGTTATTTGAGTTAGGTGTAGCTTTCATTTTATTTATTAGCAGTCGAATGGGCGTGTCTTCAGAAAAAGCATGGAAAACCATTTGGAAGATCATTTTTGGGCTTGGAAGTTGCGAAATTTTCATTTTTTCTTGCTCCTAGCTTTTATTTTTCTTATTCGAAAGGTGTGGACGTACTCGGAACGGCTTTAAATAGACCTCCACGGTTGAAATGGATGGAGAGCCATTCCAAATGCGAACCTACAATTTAAAATTTGAAAAAGACGTGAACCTTTTCTTCTAGGCGATTTCTCCGAAATTGGAAAAATCTTCAAAAATCTTAAAATCCGCTTGAAACGATATCTGAAAACCTCAAAAAAACAGGACCAAATGATCGAATTTTAATCCCTCGCAACTCTATGAATGGGAATTCGCCCAGTGTTCTACATTCAAAAGGACATTCACGCCTCCAAAAAGGCCCATCAAAACAAAATTGATGGTCGTGCAGAAAAACAATCACTGGCGGATTAAATGTGTGTCGCAAAAAAAGTAATGATTTTATTTTCTTCCTATTTTGGCTTTTAGAGTAATGAAAAGGTATTTCAATTGGGGTATTTGGTTTTTTTTTGGGCATTTCGAGTGAATTTTGAGTTTTCCAGTTCTTTTTCTTTTTTTTAACCCTGACACCTTTTCAATTTTTTTTTAAAATTCTGTCTGCTTATAAATTCGAAATCACTGGATTCAGTTGAAGTATAAAGGGAAAGATAATCCCTACACCACGGCCTATCGGCTAAAACTTTTATAAATCAAAGAGGAGGTCAAGGGTTCAATCCCCGCCTGAAATATCTTATTTTTGCCAATTTTCCTTTCAGTTTATTCTTGGAAATCTCTCAAAAACTTTTCTCATCTTGTTCGAGAAAAAAGCTGTTTTTTTTTTGAATTCTAATTGTTTACCTGTGCTCACTACCGGCACAATCAACCGACCATAGTCTGAGCACAATTTTCGTGTTCTTTCCTACGTGGAATTTGCCGAAAAGACTCTTTTTCCTATCAATTTCTGTCTGCGGAAACGGCCAGCGCCGATAAAACGGTCCTTTTTTGGCTCAATGACGGAGATTTGTGATCGAAAGTAAACAAAACGATGAGCAAACCTCAAAGAAGTCATAAAAAACGATTTCGGTGACATTTTGAAATGCTTCCTGATAAGATGGCCGGCTCCTTGAAGTCAATCAAAATCAAAATGTTTTTTGAACCGATTGTGAAATTGCGAAAATGTTATTTCTGACCAGAATAATCGATTAAATGATGTTAGAAGTATCGACTATAATTCAAAAATTGGAATATTAGGTCTCAAGTAGAATATTTTGAAGGGTTACGGTTCAAGTCGGTCGTTTCAGTTGGGCGCATTCTTAACTTTGAGTGAGCTACAACCCCCGTGAACACAAAAAACTCCGAGTCAAGCGAAACCTACTATACTCGGAAAAACTCTAGGAGTTTGTTAATGGTTTCCTTAAGGGCTAAGGAGAGGACAATGAAGGGACCACTAAAGCACCTCTTTAGAAACAACTATTTTGCGCCTGTTTCTAATGATCTAGTACTACCACTTAGACCTCTGAACCGGCCACTTAATTTTTGCCATTTAAGAGACCATTATTTTGACTACTGTAGTGGTCACTGAAACGTCAAAAATCTAAACTACTCACTGAGAACTTTCCAAGTAAAAAGAAACTATATTTCAATTCTCGAACCGATCCGGCTGTTTTCTCTCCTTTGGGAGAAATAAAATGGAGGAGCAAAAAAAAAAATGGTGTTTGCTCATTTTGAGTCAGCGTTTCGCCAAAGGTCACTCTACCTTTCCTTTTCTCGTTAGGTCAACTCTTTTCTCACTTGAACTTCAAGATATGGCTAGTATGACATACTTGATATTTGGTCTCGTTTTTTCTTCCTCCTAACTTTTGAATGGAATATTTCCAGCTGTTCAGATAATAAAAGAAATATTTTTGGTAAACATAGGTTCAATAAATCATTTTTGGACAGGTTTTCTTAATCTCTAAGAAATTCAATGATGGTCAAAGGCCCTTATTAGTCAAGTCATTTTTTAAAATTTTAATCGCCTTGCCCCTACTTGTAAGCTCAGGATTTGATATGAAGCTATTTTTCAATTCAGTACCGACCAAAAACGACTTTCGCTTAGAGACATTGAGAAGGGAGAGAAATTAGAGCAATAATTCCGATAAAAAAGCTTTGAGCCATTCCAAGAGCGACCAGTTTTTTTTTTGAGTTCGAAAAAATAAAATGAACCCGTCTTCTCAACTCTAAACTATACAAGACTCTAGTAACTAGGCCGGAAGTGCTGAATGGTGGAACTCTCGCGAATAAGGTTCTAAGGACGTACTCGAACAAATCTTATCACTATCACTAAACGACATTTCGGCATGCGACACTGATAGGCGAAAAAGTATTCGTCGTATACGTCGCCATCGGTCGTGGTAAGTTGCCGCTGGGAAAATGTCGCCGAAGCTGGAGCAAGAAAGGTTGCTCCACGGCTACGAGTTCGCCAGCGACGATAGGTTAGTTCTTGAGGGTGTTACGGTAGTTTTAAGTTTTCGAAAAGAGAAAAAAATATAGTTCTGAAATTTCTTAAAAATCAAGCAGCGAAAATCTACTAAAATGCAGTTGGAGTAATTTTAAGGGGAACCTCAGAATTTTAATAAAATGAATAATTTTTGATAACGAAGATCCTTTGAGTCTCGATCTGTAAAAACCTTGTTTTTGGAAACGGGCGCCGCAAAGTCTCGGCCAACAGGACAAAGACATGAAAAACCAACTTTTAGTCGTCATTTCCCAAAAACTTGGATTTTTGGCAAGTTGAGACTTTCAGAATATTCATGTAATACGGCGAAAAATGTTCTAACTCAGAAAATTCTGAAACTGTTGTAAGATTACCTCCCTTGAAGAAAATACCTTTTTTTCGTTTCTTTCGTCTCTACTTTTCCGAGCTTGAGATCAGAATAAAATCCTTGAACAAATTAAAGACTCTCTATCATTAATCAAAAATGATATAGAGGATCAATGAATTCATAAAAAGGTCCCCCTTTCAGACTTTTCTTCCTTTAGTATAAAAAACTGTAACAATTCTGAATGGAAAACGAACGAATTCCTTCAAACCTTCCACAACTAATATCCTGTCAGTGTGGTTTTTTTTCTTCAAAAAACTTCTATTCAATAGGATTTTTCCATTTCCTTTCTCTTTTCTGTGAGTAATCTTCCATTCTCTCTTTTTTCAGGAACATCATTCAAAGTCGAATGAAAGATTTCTCTGTTAAAATGATTCAGAATGTTCCTATCAATCATTTCGAAAGAAATACTTTTCCAATTCTTTCCTGGGCTCAAAATTTTTGAACCGCTGTCGTCTGAAAAGTGTTAGAAATCGATTTCTTATCACTTCTTAACACTTTCCTAATCGCCTTTGACTCAGAAAATAAAACATTTAATGACTGTCCCATTGTTTTCCTAACGGAGAGCTTCTCAAAAAATTCTCAAGAATTCACAAGTTTCTCCTTGGTGACGTCGTCTCCAAGGCATTTCTATTGTTTCACGTTTTTCTTGCTTTCTTTTGCATTCTTGTTTTGAACTTTTTTTTTAGAATACTACTTTCAACTGAAGTTTGCTTATCTTTCATTCAAAAAAATTACGGTCAGAAAATAGTTAGAATCGCTTTTTTTGATTTGATAACGTTAACCAAAAAAATTTACACCGGTAATTTTAATTTATTACACAAAAAAACAGGTGAAAAAAACTCGAAATTTTTTTACATCTTCTCTTCTTCGAATTCAATATTTTTTTTCTTTTCATTGTTTTTAATTACCTTGATTAAGCTTTCAGAGTATTTTTGATCAAATTGTCCCTTTTCAGAATGTTCGAAAAGGAGAAGAACGACGGGATCTTGCCAACGACGATGGGCAAGCCCTACCAAGTCCGCCGGTGGCCCACCATCGCCGCCCTCCTTTTTGTTGTTGGTTCTTTTTTCAAAAGTTTCTTAGCTAAAACTTTCCGCGTTTCGGAACAATTTTCGTTATGTCCGATGAACACGTCATGAAAAAAAATTTTTTTGCGCGGAACAATGCGTTGCGTCTGCGGCATTACGTCGCTGTGATTTAAAATGTGCTTTTTTAAACTTCAAAAACTTCAATAATTTCTCCCAAATTTTTGAATAATCCTTTGTTCAAACATTAGGATATTTATATCTTCCACTCACGACTAACTTCTTTCATTATTAATTTCAATTTATCCCGTTCGTAAAATTTTTTGTGAAAGTCTGAAGGGAAAAATAACCTTTTCAATGTCAGTCATAGGTAAAGTTAGTTTTCTTATTTCTTGAAACATCAAATCTTTACAGGGCTTGGGATGGTTTCTCAACGAGGTTTCATTGGCGTGGATCCACGAACGAGTACCCAGAAACGTCGACCCTTTACCCGACTTTTGGTTTTCCTGGTTCCCTGAGGTATAATTTTAATGCGGTTCAAAGTTAACTAGAGTTTTTTTTATAGATCCGTGGAGCCATTCGAATCACCGAGTATATCATGATGATTTTGATTGTCAACGCTTTCGTCATAATGATCGGCCATCAACACAGGTGGATCGTGATGCGGCGGACGTTTTTCTGCATTGCGTTGTCGTACTGCTTCCGGGCTTTCTGTATCACAATTTTCCAGGTAGGAGTCTCGAAACGTAAAGGAAATAGGTTGAGTTGAGAAAGTTATATAAAAAATTTTCGCGTTCTTATCTGTTTATGAAAGTGAGTGATGGCTAAAAAGCGACTGCCTAAAATGCTCCTGACCACAAAACTACTTGAATATTGAAATAACTGCAACAGTTAAGAGATAGAATGCATCGAGCCGTTTTAAATGCGAGCAGAACTTCCCAATTCAGCCAAGAATTTTGGATTTAAGGTCCCGGTTCCATCGGTGAACACGTACTGCGCGCCGAAGCTGAACAGCTCCTTGGACTTGGTGGCGGGCCGCGTGGCGCGAATGTTCTGGAGCGCTGGTATTGAACAACTGAGGCCTCGAGAACTGTGTGGCGACCTCATCGTCTCCGGCCACACCCTCACAATCTTCACCTCGTTCATGTGCTTCAAAACCTACGCTCCCAAGAAGCTCAAGGTATTAAATTAGTACAAAACAAGGAAATCGATACCTGAAAATCAGAAAACCTCTTTTCAATCACTTCTCGAGTTTCGTACGAAAAAAAAACGCAAAAAGGTTCATCTCGACGGGGATCGAACCTTCGACCTTCTGAAGCCAAAAAAAGCCCTATCGACTGCGCCAAACTCAAAATTTCAGCCACTGGTTTATCTCTACAACTTACTGGCGGTGATGGCGATCGTCGCGATTCTGATGGCCCGGAAGCACTACATGATCGACGTCGTTCTTGGGTTCGTTAATTTTCAAATTTCGAAAACTCAAAAATTGACTTTTTGTAATGGTCGAATGATTCAGTAGCTCGAAAATTACGGTTGAATCTGCTCCCTTGATACTACTGTGAAAACTTTTTAGTGACCACTTTAGGGTTTCGACGTCCTAGGGGCCACTACAGTAGTCGAATTAGTAGGCACTCAAGTGGCTAAAAGTTAGTGAGTCTTGGTGGTATTTCTTGACCACTAGAGCTACTAAAGTGGCCACTAAGAGGCAGAATAGTGGCTTCTATCTCCTCTCCAAGTAGTCCGCCTTGAGAGACCTCTTGAGTGGCCTCTAGAGTTTTTTTCCTCTTTTTTCCTTCTGTCAAAACTTGAAAGTCGTATCATGATGAAGAGCTGAAAAATACTTGAAACACGCTCCAAAGTTATTTTCGCTCATTTTTAAAAGTTTGCTTGCTAACAATTAATAGCACTTTGAGCTAAAAGATTTATTTAAAATTTTTTTCATCTTTTTCTCTTTATTTTCTCAACTGCAACCCGCAACTCTAAAGTGGTTTTTATTTACTTTCCGCACTTGACAAGTTTCAAAAAAAAAACGCCTGATTTTGTGCAAATATTTGCTCTCAACTTGTTAAAAAGACACTTTTTCGAGGTACTTACTTACTTACTTAGATACTTAGATGGTCCATCTTCGCTTTCGACCTTTTATTGCCTTTTAGTGCCTTTTATTGATCGAAGCGTGGGCCACACGTTTTCCAGGAGATCTTATGCAATCGGTCATCCAGTGTTGTCGTCCTGGTTGACTGGTATTCTTGCGAAAAAGTTCCATCCGTGGTGTTGAACGTGTTATAGCATAATTGTGGTCTTATTATCCTTTTTGCCTTGCCAGGGCTAAAAAAGACCGCCCATTCTGTTAGCAGAAGCAAGCCGAATTGCGTGACCGGTGTACCGTTAGCCGCCATAAATGGCGTTGCCTCCCCATCACCGCGTAGAGGTGGTACTTGAAGGGGTTTTTCGAGTTGATATTTGAAAATAAAGTTAAGAAAACAAACTATTCAGGTACACCGTTTCAACACGAATTTTCATGGAGTACCACTCTTTGGCGACGTCTTTCCACGAAAACACAATGGATAAGAATCTTTTGTCCTGGTGGGTTTCCTGGAAAGGGTAACGAAAACCTGGTTGTAACAGGAAATGAGTGGGAAATATGAGGAAGCGGTTTAATTACATAAAGAAATGGTTTAAAAAAAATTAATAGTACTAAAAAACACTTCATTATTTTCACAGATCACTAATAGGCTCTGGAATTTCACACCTTTCGATTAAAAATAAAAAAACTAATTATCGAAAAAGAACAGAAAATAGATGAAATTACGGCAAAAAAGAGAATAAAAATCGATGAGAAAAAAAAAAAATTTTTTTTGAAGTGAGTCCAATTTCAGTGATTCTTAGAAGTAGGAAATTAGGGTTGAAGAGTTTTGATGACGTCTTTTTTTGAAATTAGGGAAACTTGGTCTCCTAAAGATTTTTAATTTTTGATAGGCATTTATGAAGATACTTGATCCGAAACTCCTCAATTTCAGTCATTATTCTGCAGGTCGTTCTGGTCGTGGGTAGTTCCCTTCATGGAACGCGACGCCCCGCCCCCGCACGTCTTCCACAACCACATCGAATGGCCCAGCAACTGTCCGAAGAAGATCCGCCGAAGAATCGCCTAAACCTCCTCTTTCCTAGACCCCGCTCGTTCAAAAATTCCTCCAAAATGGTGCCTCAAACCCGACGATTTTCTTCGAAGTACTTTGCCACCCCCTAGTGCCAATTTTCCTGAGCTTAAAAGACGATGAGTTTTTTTTTTTTCTTTGATAATCTTTCGCACGAATCAATAACTAGTCTCTGTGAGATCTGATCCGCTATTTCTAGTCACCTGTTAGAAATACCCGAAAATGTTGTTATATACTGTTAAATTGTTTGAACAATCATACCGGTCGATTTTTTTTCACAAGAAATTCTCCTCCTCTTTGGCATTTTCCTAACTTTTCATGTCGTACAAGTTTTTCCACACTAGAGATGTTTGGAGATTGAAAAATGAAGTTTTTATCATTTTAAAATTGCAAAAATGGGAAAAATAAGCGTTTTATTGCTTTTTAAAAAATATTTGAAGCAATCAATTTATTGTCGAAGCAGCATTTTGGAGCAAAGTTTTGAATACTTCATCTGAATCCATAACCTTAAGGTCAGTGAATTTGAATAGATTGAAAATTTAAAAGAATAAAAATGGAAAAAAGTTTTAAAAAAAGGCGATTGTTCGTGTTTCATGTGGAAATTTTTGACAAGAAATCATGTTTTGAAATTTAGAGACTTTCAAAAGAGCTTATGGTGTTTCGAATGCACCTTAAACAAACCAAAGTGACAAATTTTTCATTCTTTACTTATAATACACCTTTAAGGATGACTTCGCAAGCTCCGATTTTGAAAAACAAGAGGTTGGACCGGTCAACGACGAACAAACAATGGAAAAGGAGGCCTCAGCTTTTCCGCACGACGTGTGGCTTTTTCGGGTTCCGTCTGAGTTTCTTTTAAGGTTTTCACCCTTTTTAAATTTTTTTATCTTCTTGAAATCATATTTTTGGCTCATTATCAATATGATAATGGCTCAAAATCAAAAAAAAAGACGTTTAAAAACTGAGAAATTTGATAAAAATCAGCAGTTGATTTTTGGAGAAGGCTATAATTTCAATATCTACTTAATTTTTCTCTCAAAATGTGTTGAATTTTGTTTACAATGCTCAAAGATTATATTTTTCCACCCGCGCTTTTAAATACCCCTTCAAGTTGTTTATAAGTTTAACTTACCATTATTTTCTCATTTTGAATTTTATTTTGAAAGCGGATGTGCTACTAAATTCTGAGGTGATCGAAAGTTGTCGAATTATGAAAAATAAGTCTTCGTGAAGGCTCTTGGTTTTCTTTAATTTAGGAAATTTTGAACTTTGTGCAAGATTGACTAATTTCAGTATTGTTATCAACCAGATGAACGAAAATGTGATAAAAAAAAAGGTTTAACTTCATTTGGCTCATTAAATTTGAGTAAAAAAATTACTCCATAGTGACCTTAATTTAAGTTTTTTTTGATTTGATTAATGAACTTAAAAAAAGCTCCTCGCTATTTTAATATATTTTCTAGATCTTCAAAAAAATTTTTCAAACTCGACCAGTTTTATGATTTTCAACAAGTTGAAAGCTTGAGTTTGACTTATATCCCTCTATGAACTCAAGGATAAAATTCTTTTTTTGCAGTTATCCTTTAAAGGAAAATGCTACGAAAAGGTTCAACCACTATTTTTGAAAGTTTTAAACTTCAATTTCAAACAGTTTTTAATCGAACTGGGAAAAAAGAGTTTTCCCGCTTCTCAAGTTGAAAAAGTCCTTTTTTGCAGCGTTCCATCAAGGGCTTTTTGGGGCCTCTGACGCGTCGTCGGCTGACCAACCGACGACTGTTTTATTTGCACGTTTGGTCGCACCCAACTGAAGAATCTTCATCTTCTTCTTTTCCCGTTGTGGCGACACCTTTTTTGCTCAAGTCCCAGCTTTTTTTTCAAACTCAATCTGTGCTCTATTGGGAATCGAAAATTTGAAGGATGACGAGCGATATAAACGATGCTCCGGCTGGACAGGTTTGCATGAATGAAGCTTCAAGTTCAATTTTTGCATATCTATTTTGGCAGATTCCTAGTGTTTTTTTCAAGTTTTTTTAGAGAAAAATGTTCTATAAATGTTTCTAGAAGTTTTTTTAAAAAGCTTCTTGGCGTCTCTATCTTCAATTTTGGAAAGAAAAAAATAAAATTTTCTCCGTCTTTTTTTTGCCGCTCGTCTTGTTGAAACGTTTAGAGCTTTTTTTTCATCTTTTTTCGAATATCTGAAATTTTAGCTACTCGAGTTCCTTCTTGATTTTACTATGAAGAAACTCGACATTTTAAACTTCTGAACTTCTCCCAGTGTCGTTTACATTTCAAATCAAGGTTTCATGGACTTAAATTCAGATTAGAAAGTCTCTATGTACTTTATTGTTTACCTAAATCTTGAAAAATAGCTCTGTCATTCAGGAATTTCAAAAAAACTGTTTCAGACCCCGAAATGGCTCCTCCTCCTACTACCAATTACGTCAATAGTCGCTTGGCTGTTCTGTATAACCTTCATTGCTATTCTCATTGGAGCGATTTTGAAGAAACGCGTCAATTCATTTGATTACAGGTATTTTTTGCCATTTTATCAGAATTCCCCCGAAAATCAAGTGAATATTGGTTCGAAATCTACTTCGAATCACCATGAAAGCAATACGAAGTTCTCAAAATTTTAATAATTATTATTTATTTCGTTCACAAAAATATCATCGTTGAAAGATCAGGAAATAAGTGATGGCCACAAAGCCTGAGGTGAATGGAACTAAACAAAACCCGAATTTTCAGCACCCCAACGAGTGCAGATAACGGGACTGATTATACACGTAAATCTAGATTTAGTGAAGAGATCTTATGAATATGACCTTGAAGCTTCTTTTTTTTCGATTTTTTAAGAGTATACTTTCCTCGTAGGGCGAACGTTTCTGTTTTCAAGGTACTAGAGGAGCTCTAAAAATTCTGAGAAGCTCCGAGATTTTCTCGGACCGCGGTATCGCAAACCGGACGCACCCCGGACGTTTCTGAGCATTTCAAGTATGATTATACGCCGCTAAAGGGATTACTAGAAGTGCTTAGAACCGTCCGGGGCGCGTCCAGTTTGCTTTACCGAGTTCCGAGTAGTATTCAATTTTTCCCAGTACAATCATCTCGCGAACGATTGCCGACACATTCACGACGATTCTGGTGGGAATGTCGACGTGGGTCGTCAGAAGACGTGACGACCACGCCACGGACTTCATCGTCGTCGCCTTGCTTCTGCACGTCGCGACCTTCGGATTCGTCCAAAACTCGACGTCCTATGTCGTCGGCATCTTCCTGAGACATGTAAATTCCATCAAAGAAAAATGTTCAAACTGTAAAAAAATCGCTAGGATTTGAAATTTTATCGAATATTCATGAAAGTCCCTAGCTAGTAGTGAGAGAAGAGTTTAACTGAAGAGACGCCAGAGAAAGAGCGTTTCCCTTCTTCTCTGGAGTCTCTTCAGCTCATCGTTGCTCTCTCAATCCTTCCTTTCAGCTTCACGTAGCGCTTGCCAGAATAGAAAGCTTCAAAATTACTAATAAGTTACTCGCTATAGTTCTTCAAATTGAGTGAAAATTACATTTTTATAGTCCAACGTCTTGCGATCCATCAACGAGAACCTCACTTTCAACGTTCTTCTTACCGTAATCTCGGCAAAATGGCTCATCAGCGTACTGTACACAGTAACCTACGCATTCGTCTCAGAAGCGGTTATCGACACGATGCGAGGCCATGGTGAGATAGTTTACGGTATGAAAAAAGCTATGATCTGATTATTTTGAGCCGTCTGCAAGTTGGCCAGCTGTCCGACGATGTTGATGGTCGTTTTCGTGGTTCTTGGAATCGTTTCCATCTTCGTCATTGGTTTCCACTGGCTGGTGCTTTTTAAAGTGAAGCAGGCCCGACATAAAGAGTGGTTAGTTTTTTTTTAAATCACCAAAATATGGATTTTTTGAGCCTCTTGAAGTTGGGCCCTATAAGAAACCTCTACGCTCTCCCAATAGGGGCCCTAAAACGGTGTCATAGGGGTCCCTATAGGGATCAAGCTCTAAGGAATCCCTATATGAGTATAAAGTTTTTGCCTTACGAAAAAGGGAACGATGATTTTTCTATGTCGAAAATAATAATTTGAGAGCCCTATAGGGGCCTCTGCAACAACAAACCCCTATAGGGACCCCTCAAAATTCCTCACATTGAAGTGACCACTTCAGCATCAAACTTCATTTCTATTTTACTTTGGATACTTTAGGGACCACTTAAGGGAATTTTCAAGAGTTTTCATAAATATTTTCCCCGTACCCTTGCTTCAAATAGGAAGTCTCACCGAAGCCGCTGTCAAAAAGAAAATCTATTCTAGAGGTCACTTAAGTACCGCTCCGAGTGTTTTTAGAGGCCACTAGAGCTTCTCTATATCTAGCTTTGAAAACTTTCGATTTATTTCAAGGAAGGAAGACAAGCCGGAGACTTCTCTCACGCTTCGAAAGCTAGTGGCTTACGGTAGCCCTCTACTATTGTATACTGTAACCAGCGCCCTGAGCATAGTTTCTGTGATCATCGCCTGGAAGATCACAAAGGCCGACTCAGTGGTAGTTTCCCTCCTCAAATAATAATTAAATACAGTCATTTTTCAGGAGTCCCACGACGAATTACTTCCCAGTCTGGTTACTGTAGCCGCAGTTACTGTCAATCTGTGGTGCTTGCGTATCATCAATGACGTCATTTGCACGATTCTTGCCGACTACCGTAAATTATTGCCATTTTTCGCTGTGAAACCGACGAGGAGAGGTTTGCAAATATTTTAGATCAATAGAAAGCGAATCTTCAGTGAAACCGCCGGGGTCGATCGAGTTGTCATCGTTTTATTGATTTGTTTTGGTTTTTCAATAAATTCACTAAAAGAAGAGTTCTGTGATTCAATAAAACGAAACTCCAGATTACGCAGCGGGGAAAGATTCAAGATGAAGGGTTTTTAAGAATGGATTATTCAAACAGATTTTTCAAGTTGTTCGACCTTCGATTTCGCGAAAAAAAGTTTTTTTTTGAAAAATCAAGAGGATGTCTATATTTCTTTTTCTCCTTTAAACATGCGAGAATTTATTCTCTCACAGTTATATCAAATTTTCACGTTTTCTCGAAACAATTTTAAATAAAAATATTTATTCTCGAAAACAATAAAATGAAAAATTGAAGAAAATATTTAATGAGTTTGACCATCTATGGGTCAATTCCTATTTCTCGTGGAGCCTCGATACTAATTTTAATTTTTTGTTTTTAGTTGGTCAGCAGTAAATTTTGGAAACAGCGGCCAATGTATTTTCTAAATGTTTGAGCTGTACTGGTATTCGTGCTGAATGAGGATCTTGAACGGTTGACAGAATTGTAGAGCTCTGAAAATAAAGAAAAATAAAAATTAATTTGCTTCAAACTCACATTTATATTCCAAATATTGGATTTTTGCCGAATTTACCCAGGTGTTATCCTGGCGAGATCTTCTGTTGGTGTAGACTTCCGGGGTTCAGATATATTTTATCAGTCAGAGTGGTAGACAAGAGAGAGAAGATATAGTATCCGAGATCATCGTTACGAGCTTCCTGCCCTCATCTTCGCATGTTCTAATAAAAATGGCTGGTTTATAATAAAAACCCCCTTCAAACCACGTTTAAATTAATATAATTATAGAAAATCTTCAATATTTCTAATCTGAAAATCCCATCATTTGACACAATGAACTCATGCCCTGTATCGAAGCCAAAAAAGAGTGAAGAACCTGGAAAATTAGCATTACGATCCCTTCTAAATTAAATTTTACTGGACCACCTCTGTTTACTTTTGGCCCACAGGGAATTTCATATAGAAATATAGATTTTCCCACCTCTTAAAAAAAAGTTTCGTTTGAAGACATGAAGAACTCGAATCACCTTTCATATCAGAAGGACCTGCACCAAAGGTTGTCGTTGAAATTAAAATTCTCATCACAAAAAAGGTTTTTTTATTTTTCAAAGATTGCAATCCGAATAAATTAGCTTCATTATTTCTAATCTGAAAAATTTTATCTTTCAAAATAATGAACTCATGCCCAGTGTCGAATCCGAAAAGACGACAGAAACTGGAAATTTATGGCATTTGCAGAACTGAGATCCCTCATGATTTGAATTTTACCTGTGAATTATATCGGCACTCTGCTCAGTGTTTGGTTCATAACAACAGGGACTTTTCCTGAGAAATAAACTTTTTTTAACATAAATTTTACTCGAAAAATTGTTTTTTTCTCGAGTATTTTATCCGATTTTGAAAAAAATTTGAACTGGAACGCAAAAATTGGGTTTTGAAGAAATACAGCAAAATAGATCGACTCAGTAAATTTGGAAATTCATATAAATTTTTTTGAAAAAAATAAGAAAAAAATGATAAATTTTGAAACCTCGGGCGGAAAAATCGCACTACTTTTTTTTCCTCAAAAAAAGTAGCCGGCTGAAAAAAACAAGATGGGAACTTGTTTAAAAGCTTTCCAAGGTAGAAGATAAAAAAATAATGAAAAAAACGGAAGAGATATTTTTTTGAATCTTATAACTATTAATAAAAAAATTAAAAAGGTGAAAATTAAAACCTCGTGCAACAATCGCACTCTTTTTGTTTGAAAAAAGAGCCAGCTTGAAAAACAAACTTTAAAAAAAGTCTGTCTCCAGCTTTCCGAAGTGAAAAAAAGAGAAAAAAAGGTTGAAAAAGCAAGAAAGAAAAGAAAAAAATAAACATTTTCGAAAAAAAGATAGGTGGAAGTGGAACTTTGAAGTGGTTTGAAATGAGGGGAAGCTTAATCTTTCGAAATTTATCTTGAATATCTCGCAAGCTTCATTTTTTTCTCATGAAAGTTCAAGTCAAAATTATAAATGCCAAGTGAGAAAAAGGAAAAAAACCAGCGTTTGTGTTCAAAGCGGACCAATCCGTTTTCTCATTTGAATTATTGAAAAAAACTAAGAAAAAAATGAAGCTCGATAAATTTAAAAAGTAAAAATTTTTTTGTCTAATTTCTGATAACTAGCGAAAAAAAGATTATTGACATGGGAAGAAAACGAATTTTTTTCATCGTTTAATATATTTCAGTAGCGACCGACTAAAGCCCTATTGAAAACGAAGCATTTAGATTAAAAATGGACAGCGCAATAAGTTGAAAAAGGTCTACATGGTAATACAAGAAAAGCAGGAGAAAAAAGAAAATAAGAATGAAAAATAACCGATCTGGCCGGCTATTTATAGGAAGATGAGTTGGAGGTGCCATCGATCTGGGAAAAAACGCCCCTTTTCTGACTGTTTGACGCCTCACCAACAGATCATTTGCACATCTCAGGGTTGATCCTCTTGTTATTTGAATATTGCCGATTCCCAAAATATTTTAATTGGTCAATTAGAACATTTCACAGGTTGGATCATTTCCTTTTCTGAACTCACCAAGATAAAAATAATTTGTGCAGTACGAAATTGGAAATTAGAACATGATCTATTCGGAAATATTAAAATGAAGAAAAAAATAAGAAAAAGAAATTTCACTAATCTTTGACGTTACTAGCAAAAAGAAGAGGAAAAAGGCTATAAATGAGGCCGTTTTTTACCACAAGAGATTTGGCGCCAATCGAGGAAATATTCCCTGGAATTTCGGGGATTTGTAATGGGAACAAAACTTCTGAACCCAGTCAGACTTGCAATTTTTGATATTGCTGAGCTGGATTTTTGTTCGATATGCACATTAGAAGCAAATAAAAACTTTTCCAGCTTACCTGAATATAATTAAAACTAAAACGCAAACGGGTTTTGAAATGAAGAGCAAGGTACGGGCAGAAATTGTTTGTAATTTTCTGTTTTTTCTGCGTTTTAATGTAGTTTAGCTTGAAATTGACTTTTGGTTGTTTTGAACTGAAGGTGCGAAATACATAAAACTGGCATTACGGAATTCGTTAGAAAAATTAAGTCCACAGCAAGATGGCGAATTTCATCTGCTTCAATCAAAATTTTTGTTGTAAAAAGCCTAAAAATTGTTTAAATTTTGGATTCGCCCGTAAAAGTCGCTCGCTCGTTACAGTACATTTTATTATTTTTTTACAGCTCCCCAAATCATTTCAAACGAATAAAACGATGGTGATGAAGAGGCTCCACCTTGCCTGAGGCTCTTTTTCTCTCACGAGGTTGGAATGGAACTTAGGAACTGATAATAGTGGGATTTCCTCCAGGCAAACAGGTTTTGAGCAACAAAATTTCTAAAAAAAACCTGTATCATTGGAACGAAATTCAATCGCTCTTAGTAAAGATGTTCTCTACAAGCTGACAAATCGAAAACTGTCATAAATTCAGTTCAAAAAAGTTGGGAATTCTCAAAATTTTCGAGTACTACAAAGACCATTGAGTGAAAATAATTTTTTAAACTTCAAAGCCTGGAAACGCAAAAAGAGCGACTTCTGAGAAGAAGTTCATGAAGAACTCTCTGAAAAAACACTAATTATTGCTCATAGCTCAATAATCCCTCAGCCCTGAACCCTATCATTGAACCTCTCTTCAAAACAAGACTCAAATTGAACGATCAAACAAACTCTTTGAAACCCAATAATTATCTGAAAAAATTTCACAACTCAACACAGAAACTGCTTGGAAACGGTTGCCAACCATCGCCTAAACAAAGGTAAAATCCGAACAGGTGAAAAGTACGAGACATTTCCTCGTTTTCTCCGTCACGGGACATTTTTCGTAATCTTTCACAAACTTTGGCAAATTCAAGCGTTTTGATTTGTGTTTCTCCTTCGTTTTATTGTACGAAATCTGTAGTCTCAGTGGCCTTTCTAAATCTTTCATACTCTTAAAACTTAGTTCATTCACCTTAAGCTTAGAAAATGCGCTCTATCGAGCTTTGAACAGTTCTCGGACTTCCTCGGACATTGGGAACTCGAAAAGGAGGTACTCCGGACGTTTCTGCGCACTTCTAGTGACCACTCCAGTAGCTTCAGCACTCTTACGTGATCCCTAGAACTACACACAAACGTCCTTTTCGCGTTACTAATGTCTGAGTCGGTAACGCGAAGCGTAAGCGCTGCGAACGTTTCTGAGAAGTTCCAGGGATCACTTAAGAGTGCTGACGCTACTAAAGCGGTCACTAGAAATGCCCTGACGTCCGGCTCGCTTTACCGAGGTCCGAGGAATTTTCAGGCTTCGAAATTAGTTCTCCCCCCTTTTCCCCATGTCGCCTCCGTCATTTCACATTTTGTCCCTTTCATGAAAAAGTTTATTTTCAGAAATCACATGGAATCTGTCGAGTTTGAATTCCAGCACATGATCAACTCCTATCCAAAATGTGACTATGGAACTATTGGGACTAATTTATTGGAATCTATTTCTGATGTTATCGGCAAAATTTCCATTGGGATCAATATTTTAACAGTTTTGTGCATTTTTTTCAAATCTTCGAAACGTCTGGGCACCTATAAATGGCTGCTTTTAGCTTTCCAGTTTTGGTGAGTGATTTTTTTTTTCATCAGCTGCAAGAAAAGTTGTGACTCACACGAGTCCCGTTCTCGCCAACTTTTCTTTTTTCCAGTTTTAATTTAGTTTTTCAGGTTATTTCTCTCAAGTCTTCAAACGAGCCTCATATCCGTTTCTTCTTATTATTTCCCTGTTATTGGCGGTTCAACTACAGGCTTCACTTCAGATTTATCCCTGACTGTTCGGACAATCATATCGGTTATTATTTTTGGAGGTTACTGGCTGTTTTCCCTCCCTAGGAAATAATCAATTTTAGGAGTTTTTGCGTCGCTCGTAAGTTTATTTCTTTATCGGCATCAGAAAGTTGTCAAAGAGAATAGCCTCTTGAAGCTTAAAAATGAATATTTGGCTAAGCCAGTACTTTTTCTTGTATATATTTTTTACTGGGTCATATTTTTACCGATTATTATCAATATACCTGCTCAAACAACGGCTAAAGTCCACACTATCGAGGTTATCAATTTCGAACCAAGATTTCAAAAATGATCATTTTGCTTTTTAATGGAAAGAAAACTTTTGAAAAGAGTTTTTTTTGAAAGCAACTAGAAAAATACTCGATTAATAAATTGTTTCAGGTTCTCAAGTGCCTGCCTCAAAAAAATCGAGTCTGACTCTACGTTTTTCATCGAAGATCCCCATGCCTTAGCTGTACTGCCTAAACTGTTATTTATTTTCTTTTTATTTTTCGCTGCTCCAGTGACTTTTTGCGCTGTGCATAGCTCGCGGCAACTTCGCTCTACGGCGGAGAATTCTGCGAAACAAGGGAGAAGCTTCCACAGGCGAAACCTCCTCGCTGCGGTTATGCAGGTAGGTAAAGTAATTTTAGAAAAAAAATTCAATGAAAATTGAAAGCTTTCCTCTTTTTCCATAGATTAAATTTAGTAGCAAAATTGATTTTCCACCCCAAATAATACAAAGTTATTCTTTTTTATAATTTCAACTTTTCGCTAATTTAATCAAATTTCAAAGTACATAACATGTCGATTTACTCTACGCCACACCAGAACTGAAATGAACTTTTCAAAAGAAATTGAGTTTTGAAAGTGCTTCTGAACTATATTTGAACCGCAACGCGACTGCGACGCTTCAAAAATCTACAAAAGGCTAATAATCCCTAAACTTTTCAGGTGGCCATGATTTGCGCAACTATGCTTCCTCCTTTTGTGTATTTTTCATTATCTACCTTACTTCTATATCAGAACCAAAGTGAGAAAAAACGGATAGTTACTCAAATTCTGGCTAATTTTCAGCACTCACCGACCTTTTCACGATTTGGTTCGAGACACACTGCATCGCAGCTTCAGCCGTGCTCCTTTTGGCCGAGAAGAACTATCGAAAGTTTCTGGCTAGGATTCCTGGGAATTTCCTGAAGAATCTGAAACGACACGTCGGGCAGAAGTCGAGCTTGGGGCCGGTCAGAAACGGCCGATTTTTCGGCGTCATTCGGGTGAACCCGGTCAACGAAGAGTCGACGAGCGTTCAGGCCACTGCACCTATTGCCCTTGTTTCTCAGTCAACAGATAATTGAGTTTTCTTTTTTTCTGAAAAAAAGGACTGGAATAAAAAAATCTTATTGAATTGTATCTGAATACTAAAAAAAGGATTCGAACTGAAAAAGTTTCAGATTTTTTTCCTGTTGGTTGAACTAACAGCCCCTAAAATCGGCTTCAATGGCCATTAAAATCGTCAAAGATCGCTCAGGAAATTTCTTTAAAAATGTTGCAAGGTTCTCATTTGTTTCGTCCTTGTCTGAGAGGGGGGTTTAATAACTCTTCTCTAAGGCTACAACAAGATTGTGCACCCAAAAGACTTCTTCAACTTCAAGTAGACCTCTGGACTTTTCCACCTTCATTTCAATTTCTTCGGAAATTTTCTTGTCTCAAATATCAACAGAATAATATGTTCATTCTCCCTCCGTTTGGCCTTTGAAATTATTTTGGGATATGGTTGAGAGCCGCTTCGGAGCTCCAACGGTAGTAGGGCGCTCCGGGCGAGAAGCAGGTGTTGTCGTTGAGGACCCGGCCCTCGTCGGCCCAGTACATCACGTAGAAGTTGCACATTTCGTCGTCGCCCGTGGGTCCCATCTCGATGTCGCGATCCTCGTCGTTCTTCATGACGCATCTGGCGCTGAGCATGTCGCCTTGTTGGATGGTCAATGACGTGTTGGCGACCGGGGCGAACATTTGCGGCAGTTGAGGGTCACGTCGTCCGATCAGGAGCCACGAGTCGTCGCCCTTCTCGTTCTGAATTCAACAAGTTATGGCTTTTTTGAAAGTTCAGCATGGCTTTAATCATTACTAAAATCAACTCTTCGTCTCTAGACCTTTTTAAAATTTTGTCTATGATCCTTGAAAAGCCATGATAACAATAAAAATGATCGAAATTCAAACCTCTTGAACGACCCATCCACCGACGTCGGTACCGTGTCGGTGAGTGTGAGTTCTGAAGGCGAAGGGGTGAAGTTTGACGTCTTCTTCGATGACACACGCCGTCTCGAAGGTTTCTGAAGATGTAACAAGATGATTACATAACGATAATGTCTATTTTTGGGCTCAATTATGACTAAAACTAAACGGTTTTTTGGGAGTGTAGACCTTTAGCGAAAGATCAGGGATTCTGAAAACCTAGTTTTGTTATATTAAAGGCGCACAGGCCATCGAAAGGAAGCCTCTCGGAAGGAATACAATGAAAGCTTTAGACTAAATCAGAGGCGCATGCATAGAAACAGGCCTTATTCTCAGAAAAACCTGTGGATTTCGCCGGCAACGTTCCACCGGTCACCAGCAGCATGGTTTGGGCTAGTTTGGGTTGAGGGACCGATGTGTGGGACAAAGTGACGCCGGACTTGTCGGCCTTCTCCTTGGAGTGCATGTAGTGGACTTGTAGGACGAGATACTGAACGTCCGTATCTCCGCCGACGGCGAAAGCCACGTCTGGAACAAAAAAGCATAACCTAAGGAAGAGGTCAAAAATGCAGTTTTTGGAAACAGTTTTGAAAATCGGCTCGACCTTTAGGAAGTTCGAGAGGAGGTGCATCTTTGGCCCAAGCATAGATTATGGACGGTTTGCTGGCGCAAGTTGGGCCTTGTTCCATTCCGTCGGCGGCCATGTTCATCTCGCCGCAGTTCCTGAACTCAGAAACTTGATTTTTGTCAGTTCCAACCAGAAAACCTTCTTGAGAGACCATTTATGACTACCCGTCAGTTTTGAAATTTATAGGTCAATTTCACGTTTTTAATATGGCTGTTGAAAAATTCTCTGACTAGAAGGTCATTGTGCTTCACACTCTGGAAGTTTTAGAAATTCGCTCACTGCGAAAAATCCTACTTTCGATAAAGTATGCCTAAAAACAAAGAAAAACAACAGAAGGTAACAAAAAAAAAGCAATTTTCAAGCTGATCTTTCTCGAAAATTAAGATTTTTTGCAAGTTGAGACTTTCAGACTCTTCGTCTAGTATTTCAAGGATCATTTGATCAAATTTCCGGCTAATTTCAGAGAGAACTTTTGAGATGTTAAAAATGAATTTTTCGAGACTGAGATCAATTTTTGTTTTTGCGTTATCTCACGTCATGCACGATTTCCACATTTTTAAACACCTTAATATGAATTTTTAACCGAATAGACTTTCTGGATGTGGTTCTATTAATAAGAAGAACTTGCCAGGCTCGAAAACGTAAAAAAAACTTCTTTGAAAAGAAAAAAAAACGTGAGATGTTTCAAAAAGCTCATTTGTGAAATGGATAGCGTTCTGGGAAAGGGGGAGGCTAATCCTATTACGCCAAATTGGTTTTGCCATTTTTTTTTTCGCGAAGAATTATTACAACAGAAAAATCAATCAAGAAGGTTCTACAGAACCAAAAAGGCAACTTTTTTGAGATTCAAAGCCTCACCAAACTTCTTCGTCACTTCCCGGCGAACCGCAACCGAAGAGAAGAATGTGATGAGCGTTGCCATCGGCTACATTTGCTTCAAATCCAGCTGAAAAAAAAATCGTCTCTGAAAATACGTGGGCAGACCATTTTCAAAGGCCAGGGTAATTCTCGACCCCTAGTCTTTTAAATTAAAGACAAATTCACCCCCCTCCCCCATCACAAGGCTAAAGTTTACCATTGTTTCCCTCAGATTGAAACCAATTTTTTACCTTTTTTGTCAAGGTTTTTAAAAATCAACCCTACTTCCGGAAGATGTGGATTTTGTACCAACTCACGTGAATCTTGACTCAATTCTGCTTCAATTGAAAATTTAAAAAATTTTTCATCTCAAAAAAAAATTGGATCAATTATGCTGTTCACTGAGACTATTTCTGTTTGAAAAATCAAAGGGAGAATCTTCGGAATGTCCTAATTTTGAAACAGGAATAGCTCTCAAATTTTCGAAGATATAGTTCTCAACTGCAACCTAAAATTATCAAATTTTCAAGTCTGAAAAAAGCAAATTCCAGTCAACTATGAAACTACTTCTTGTGGATTTTCCGAAAAAACTTGAATAAAAGAGAGAAAAGAAGTCCAACTTACTTATGTATTGAGTGACGTCGCCGACCGGCACTGACGTGCAAATATATGAATCCGCCTGGAAGATTTTGAACTTCAGAATTTATAGCTTGAAGTGATGACTTTGATAAATTGGAAAAGACTAGAAAGTGTCAAGAGGTTTACGAATATTTGAATTATTTCGATTTCGAAAATTTTCAGCGATTTTCTTTCAGAATTGAGAAGGAGCTGTTTTTTTCCGAGAAATTTCGAGCTCAAAGTGATGTTTTGGCTATTGAAAATGATTTTGAATCGTAATTTTATTCCTCGGAACTGCAGTTTCTCAATTATGATCAAAAAAATCGCAACAAAAATTGAATAAAAAAATCCTTCGAAATTATGCAATTAGAAAGTAAAATTCAATAAAAAAATTATAATCGAATTAAAAAAATATCAACTTAAAAAAAGCTTTCTAGGATTTTTAAAGAACTGCTTTTTGAGCATTTTAAAAACCCTCACAAATTTCCATAAATTTGAAGCGATTCACGATTTCCATCAAAAAAATATCCTTTTTTCCTCATTATGAAAAGCTGGGAAAAATAAATGACCTGCGGGATAACATCGGGAATGGAAATGGGCGTCTGATGGGCGCAACAAACGGCAACCAGACAGGTCACCACGAGAAGCGACTTCATTGCGCTCGGAGTAAAAGCGGCGATCGATGCGAAGGAGCCGTCGCCTCGGGCTCCAGACTCCGCCCATTTGCAAGATGACGTCGGAGCCTGTGAAAGAGAAAAAGAACTGAGGAAAAACACAACAGCTCTGAATAAGCATACAAAAAAATAAACGCAGGTCTTCAGGCTTTTTCAGGGTTGATTGGAGCAAATACTGATTTAAATTTATTCAAGATCAAGGCTTTTCTTCAACTCGTGAATAAAAAAATGATGAGGGACATAGTTTATTCATGAAAGCTCTGAAGAAGCATATAAGAAAAAGCTAAAGAGGTCTCCAGTCTTTTTTTAGGGTTTATTGCGGCAAAGAATGATTTTTTTCTAATTTATTCAAGCTCAAATTGTTGAAAAAAATAGTCCATTCACAACATCTCTAAAGAAGCACACAAGAAAAAAATACACGCAGGTTTTTGACTTTTTTCAGGTTTTATTGAAGCAGAGACCAATTTTTTCATAATCGAGTCATCCTCGAGCTTTTAAACAATTTATGAGAGAAGAAAAGAAATTGAAGAAAAAAAATAGTTTATTCATAAATTTATCAACGAGAAAAATAAGAAAAAAATTAAAGCAAGTTTTTAGACCTTCTTAAGGTTAAACGAAGCAAAGAGCGATTTTTTCATGATTTATTCAAGCTCGCGTTTCTCACAAATATTATCAGTTTTGCAAAGTTTTTCAGATTTCAGAGAGTTTTGAACGCGAAATAAGGATTTCAGATAGTCTTATTTTTACAAAAAAATGTACTTCAATTGTAAATTGGACATTTATTTTTTTGAAAATATTATTTTTTTGCAAAAAGCAAGCGTGTCTGAAAAAAATTAGCGGAACTTAAGGAATATAATTTTTTTCAAAGAAAAATCTTATATTCTTTTTCAAAAATTTCATCAACGAAAACTATTGATTTTATTGATTTTATCATGGAAAAAAATCTTTAAAAAAACTCAAATAAAAAAACTGGACGGACTCTCGCAGGTCTGATGCTTGAGTTTTTTTTACCATGGAAAAATTTCAGCTTTTTCGAGTTTAAAACATCGCAACCCTAAAAAAATGGTCTTGCTTCTTTTTTGAAACATGGTTTCTCCAAGTTTTTCAGAATCGCTCATTAAAATTTAAGAAATCAAAACCGGAAAAAAAAATATCCCGCTTTTTGAAAGCTCATACCAAGGAAAAAACATGCGATTTTATTGGATTATTCCATGTCATTTGATATTATTATTTCATGCAATCATGAAACTTTCATTGGGTCAATTATGGACACAAACCGCAGAAAAAATTTCGCCAAGCAACAATGTTTGCCCAGGTTTCCTCGTACCTTGACAACCGATCAATAATCGTTGTTCTTTTTTCCCTTTCACTCCTTTTTACTTTTACGTTTTCCGCGTTTTCTTTTCAAAAACAGGTCATTATTAAAGAAAAGTTTCAAATTTGGTACAAGCTAGTAATCTCAAGGAGAAAAAGTTAAAATTCTAGGAATTTATTAAGCTTGAAAGTTTGAAAGGGTCATGTTTGAACTAGAATTCGTTTTTTCTTGCCTCAGCTTTTCTAAACGAGCTTTTTTATTACTATTTTCAACTAAATGATGATTTTAAATAGAAAAAAAAAGAAAGAAAGTTGAAAAAGAAATTTTTCGGAAATCTTACCAAGAAGCCTAACAGTGAGTCGGGTATTTAAAGGGGCGTATTAAAATTTTTTGAATTTTTCAAAGCGAATAACCGTTTTTAATGTTATTTTGGATCAAAGTTCATCAGCAGAAATTTTCGAACATCATTCAGATCTCCTGTCGTTTTTACTCAAGAAAAAAAAAGCCTTTTTCAGGTATTTCAAAATGTCGGGGCTGAACCAAGAACTGGCTGAGTTCTTCCCGAACCTGGCGAGTTCATCCCTTACTACTAAATCAATGGGAAAACCTCAAAATTGTGCGGTTTGCGGCTCAAAAGCGGCTTGCTATTATCACGAGGTCAGTTGCGCTCTATTGATGAAATTTTCTGCAATTTTTTCTACCATGCTAATCGTTGAATCGTTCCAAATGCGACCACATTTTTCAAACTCTATCTTTAGGTTCCAGCGTGCAACGGATGTATCAGCTTTTTCCGGAGAACCGCTCTTTGCAAAAGAAATTTCATATGCGAAAACGACGGAAAATGTTTCAACGGAACTTTTGAAAAAGGAAAATCGAAAAGAAGCTGTCGAGCTTGCCGGTTCTCGAAATGTGTACAGTTGGGGATGGACCCGAGAAGTTTCGACTATTTTCTTGCGGCAAAATTTCAATATTCTCATTCAGACGTCAATTCTGGCACTCTGAAACGGGCTCCAGTTCAGCAAACCTTGATGAAGACCAACGAGTGTCGGGAAATGAAGACGATTGATGACTTGCTGTACCTCGAAGACAAAATTGACGTTTTCCGGAGTTGCGCCTTCAATCCGAATCCCTTCGATTTTTCCTCTCTTGAAGCGGTCCTGGAAATGCTGTGCTGTATTGAAGTGGCAAAAAAGTATGCGGTGAGTTTAATGTTGTACCTTGGTCCTTTGAATGGCTCACTGCGTTGCGGTCGCGATGCGGTTTGAATTTGAAGTTCTTTATTCATTCTTTGTTTTTTTGATTCCAATCCTTCAAAGTTACTGCTCCTTAGGCGTCACGCTTTGAGCCATTCTAATTGCGGCCAAATTAATTTTTCACTCAATACTAAAATAATCAACTTCCGAACTTTTTTTGGGCTTAAAAATGTTTAAGGAGTCACTCAGACGTCATGTAAATGTTCTTGAAATTCAGAAAAATCCTTGAAATTTGAAATATCTGGTAGAATTTTCCGTCGTTAAAGCGTAAACTTTTGTAATCAAAATTGTTCTTCTCGATTATTTCCATCATAACATTGAAAAATTGAGGATAAAGTCGAATTTGAGGTTCCTGATCTCGAAAAAAAAAACTAAATTAACTTGAAGAATAAATATATTTTCAAAAAAAAACCCGATAACGCATTTATGAAACGGTTTCTGCAAAAGTTTAGTCTCAAAACTCGAGTTACTTTTCTCAAAATCCTAAAAATACCATCTTTCCAGCCGGTTCCTTACAAAGAATCGACGCCGGTGATCCGGGAGTTTTTCATCGAAAACGACTGTCCCTACGAGAAGCCGTGGTTCTTCGTCGACGTTCTCACCGCCATCGAGTACGCCAAAACGTTTCCTTTCCTTCGGTTGCTGGACCGTCTCGATCAGGTTTTCCCTATCTTTTTGAGATAATTTTCAAATCTTGACTTCAGATCCGACTTCTGCGCAGGGTAACAATATCGTGTTATCTTCTGCATTACACGTTCGTCGGGGAAAGACAAGACTTGTCGAAATTGCTGTTTCCAGATGGCAGCGGGCTTCATGCGCCACCCGAAAGGTTCGACATTGAGAAAACTTCAAATTAAGAGTGTTATCTTTGAAAATATTGAGACCCTTTTTCGTCCTCAGAAACCTTAAAAAAGTCTCTAGAGCCTCGAAAAGTCGAAAAAAAAAATGTCAGACATGAATATTCCTTTTCTAGAGCTCAAAACCACCTTTTTTTTCCCGAAAATGTGTTTTTTTTTCACCCAATATTTCTTTTTCCCATCGAAAAAGTTCAGATTCGAGCTGGCGTTCCGAAAAGTTTGCAAGGGGGTCGTGAATCTGGCGACGACAATGATCAAGGCCAGAGTAGATGTCCGGGAATATGTTCTACTCAAGGCGATTGTCCTCTGTAATCCAGGTAGAGTTGAAAATTTCAATGGGAAAATTTTTGAACTATCTCTATGACGATGAAGCTGCGAAAAACAAGCTAGCGAGATGATCCCGAAGAAAAATCATATAGTCTGTTCAGATTTTGAATGTCAAGTCGTCGCTCAAGCTCCGCCCTTAATGGTGCGATGAACCAATCAGAGAGTGAGCCACCCAAAGAGTGTTTTTGAATGACGTCATTTCACTTGACATTAAAAATCTAAACAGACTATATCAAGACAGTTGAAATCACCATTCACATCAGCCTATTTTTGCCAATTATTTACTCCTTATTCGGAGCTTTTTAGTCACAATCCTGCTTTTTGCAGCGGTCTCCGATCTCTCGCCCAGCGCTCAGAAGCTGCTGACAGAGGAACGAGCTCGGTACGGTCAGACACTATTCGACTACTGTATGGTCCAGCGAGGCGTCACCGAGGGACCTTCGAGATTTGCGGCGCTGCTCAACATCCTCGAGCAGCTCGAGCAACTCGCCCAGAAAGACAAGGATTTCTACGTTCTTCTCGCCGCCTCCCCACATGACGACTTTATCCTTCCTTACCCGAAAGGACACACTTCTAATCGGCTCATGTTGGAGGTCATGGATGTTTGATTTTTTTTCTCTCCTTCCTCAACTACCATCCTTTTCCTACTCTCAAGTTTATTTTTATAGAAAACAAAATTTCGTCTTTTCTAAAAAATTGTCAGAAATTCTACCAACTTTTCCACATTTTACTTGCAAATGATTCTCCCTCTTATGAAGTCTACAGAAATTTGAATTTTCAACTGTTTAGTGAAATTCCAACCTTCAGAGTCCAACCCTTCAGTAAATTAAACTCGATTCAAAAATTGTAATTAAAAAAGTATCTCAATCTGGTCACCAAACCGAGCTTTTAAAAGCATTTATCCGATCTCCAAACTTCTCAATTATGCCATTTCATTTATTATTTAACAATTCGTTTAGTTCCAATTATATGTGTCGATTTGAAATTAAACGATCGCATTTGAAATGTCTCATCATGCTTTTCGATGCTCACGATCGCAAGCAGTTTTGAGTCGGACGCGCTTTGAAGCGAAGCCATTCCAAATGCGACCACGGACATTTCAATAAGCTTTTTGCTCTTGAGAAAAACCTCTAGAATCCAAATTTATGAATCAGAAGTTAAAACCATAATTTTTCTTTTTGATAAAGTTCCTGCAAAAATTGCATGTGATCCGCTTCGTGTTGTTTCATTGTACGTTTTGCCTACGAAATGAACATTTTGAACCATTTGAAAAAAAGGAAACTGCATACATCAATTCTGGAATCCTTGAGTAAACTCGCCAAATACAAGTAGTCTGGAATGTCGGTACGGCCCAGGGTTCTCAGATAACTCTGAAAATGGAAGCGTGAGGACCGAGACCGCATGGAGAATGGCTCTACGAGTCGCGGTCTCGCAGCGCTTCAAGGCATTCTCCGCTACCATAATTACCTGGATACGGTAGAAGCTCGACGGGCAGTTGTCGAGGACAATTTGCGCAGGGAAAAACGGCGATTTCATGAACTGGCTAAATTTTTCTTTTTAATTTCATAAATTGATATCCATTCTCCTACCGTATACACGCAATGTCTTTGGCAAACCTTCCGCCATCATACGGTGTCCAGGCCTACAGAAAATTGAAGATTACTGTAGCTGAACTGTGGGAAAGTCCTACTTGAAAGGCATTCTTGTCGGTGAAACCGTTGAGATTGTCGACCATAGTGTAGAACCAGCCCCAGAGATCGTCTACTGGTCCCTGTAGGTTACGGTAAGTTGAAGAAAAGACAAAAAGAAAAGGAGACTGGTCCCAAAATAATGCAGAAATAGCTTGGAAAAAACTGAGAAAAACTGGAACTTGAGCCAATTTTCTAGGAAAATTTTCAGGAATTCGCATAGATAATTAAAAACTTTTTTCTCAACTCTCAAGAAATTTCGGTCTTCCCGACAACATTCAGGAAGCAAAAACCGGTCACGACTTTTTTACGATTGAAGCTTCAACTTCTGTACATTGGCTCAAAAACTATGATCTGAGATGTCGCAGTGCGTAAGCAGCTTTTAGTCGGGCGCAAAACTCTCTAGGCCATTTTTCGCGGAACTTTGATGTTCCCATTGAAAATTTCAATAATCTAAGAGCAGCCCGACCTGATCGCCGCCAACCTCGGCCCCGTACGAGGCCCATTCATCGGTGCCGCGCATTCCAACATGAGTTCGCGGTTTCCGCATTCTTCCCTCCTGGTCCAGAAAGTTCCTCACCATTCCCATGTCAAAAATCACTACGGATCGCTGAAATAGGGAAGATTTCTTCTCTCCACTTAAACTTTAACTAGAAGATAGTCTCAGGGCTTCTCAAAAAGACCAACTTAAGAGCTCCCGACAATTCCCGATTTCCGCGTCAAGATATGCTTCAAGTCAACCAGGTATTGTCTCGGTTCACAGTGAGACTTCTCAAAAAAAAAAAGAAAAAAAGTAGACAATGTGCCTGGATTATATGGAAACTCTGGAGAATCGACTCAAATTTTTTTCAAAAATCTCTGATTTTTTTATAATCTATAATTTTTCACAGATCTTTTCGGTACTTCCTGACCAAAGAATAAAAAAATCAGTGTGAAAAAAACTGCACCTAAATGAATAATATTTAAAAAAATTCAATTTACAAGAAAAAAAGCTAGCCAATGACTCAAATTCATCGTTAGCGCACCCTTTCCTATAAAAAAAAGCCCCCACATCCTCAAACATTCCAACGTTTTCCGGCTTCAGATCCCGATGGATCATTCCGAGCTGATGAAGGTCATACACGCCCTAAAACAATCAATTTTTTTTTTGAAAATCCGAAATTCCAAGACGAAACTCACCCGGAGCATCTCGATGCCGTAGTCGATGGCCTTGTTCAACCCTTTAGTGACCTCTTTCGCCTTTTTCAGATTATCCAGGATGGAGCCGGGAAGGGACTCCATCACCAGGAACATGTCTTCCTGTGTTTTTCATTTCGATGAATCTACTTTTTTGAATGGCTTGTTAGAGTCCAGAAATCCCAGAACAAAGCCTTTTTTTCAGATTTATATCCAAAAATTTAAAAAAACTTCGCACTTTTTTAAAAAATTTTTATTGGGACCTCTCTCAAAAAAATAACACAAAATTATCGTTTCTCTTTCAAGAAAAAAGACCGTTTTCTCAAATATTGTTGAATTTGTCCATAGCGCAATTTTGACCACAAAAAGAACCGCTTATTTCAATTTTCGCATCAATTAAATTAAATTAACGCCGTGTTCGAGGTGATTTCGGCGATCTCAAAATTTGCGACTTTTTCCTTTTTTTTTTATGGTTTCGCGAAATAGACAAAACTAGGACTTTGGAAGCTGTTGAAAAATGAAAATCAGGTCTTACAACGATTTATCGCGATTTTCAGTTTTAACGGCGGATTTTACGCGCGAAACTTCAGATTAAAATTATTTAGGCTTTCTTTAAGAGAATAAAAAAAAATCAAAATTCGCTCGCTATATCGCGATATACAGTTGTAGGATTCAACTTTCCTCATAGCTCTCAGGAGATTCCAATATCGCCCATTTCGCGAAAATATTTTGAACGAAGATCGCGTTAATTTCGAAATCGCAGAAATGACTTTGAACACAGCATATAGAGAATACACGACTCACTACACTTTTGTCCAGTTTTTCGAGCTTCATATTATTCGGAACTAGACCGCTGTCCAACTTCCGCACCAATCCAATCGTCCGGTCTTCCTTGTGGTCTTTTTTGATCTGATGAACACTTATGAAGCTCATGGAGTTTCTAATTTAAACTCACAATTACGTCCATCACAATGTTTTCGAACATGACACTCTTAGCCCCACACGTCTGTTTTGGAACCTCAAAAAAATTCCTTTCTTCAAAAAGGGACTTATTCCGGAACCTTCAAAATCAAAGGTTTATTTGATCCTATCTCGCAAACTTTGTACACATCGCCATTACCACCTCAAAAAAGTTACTTTTTTGTAAAAATCAAAAATGCCTTACCAATTCCGATGGGCTTCACTAAAACGTACTTTCCGATTCTTATTTCAGGGGTACTTCCAACGACAGATCTGCCATTTCTAAATTAAAGAATTTCAAGAAGCACGACAAAACGTGGAACGACTGCGCCCGACTAGAAACGACTTGCGCTAATTTTTAAAGAGATATGATTTTTAAGCAGGAATGATTAGAGCCATACCCTGAAGCTTTTTGTTGAGATGATATTTCATTTTATCAACTTTTCCCGTTTTTTGCACATATTTCTAAAAAAAAATGTTAAAATGACCAGGTTTTTGAATGAATCTGACACGCGAAGGCTTCAACTATTAAAAATATCTCAAAAAAATATCATGGAATATCTCGAATCGACCTTATAAAAACTAAATTCTGTTGCAAGAAACTTCGAGGTCGCGTTCCGCAGCGAAAAGAGACGTTTCTTTTGAGGATACTGTAGGTTTCACAACGCAGCCCTAGGCGTTTTCTTTTTCTATAGCTTTTCGGAAAGAATGTTTCAATTCGAAATTTTTCAAATTTTCTATATAAAGACAAGTCCACAGAACCTCTCTAATTGAAAAAACTGATGAATTCCTCAGAAACCATTTTAATATAATTGATTGAAAAGTTGGTCAAAGAATTTAAAAAATATATGCAAAAAAACTATAGTAAATGATGATAAAGTATTGGTTTTTAAATACTTTCCAATAGAAATTACCGTCGAAAGATATAAAAATTCAAATATTTCGCCTTGTTTGGATGAAAAGTCTGCTAACTTTGATCGATAAACATGAATTTCTGAATTTATCAAGTGTATCATGGCCTCTGATGAAGGATGAGATCATAAAAACCCTGTATTTATCCCATTGAACCTTATAAAAATGAACTAAAGTTGCGAGAAATCTCAAGGACATGTTTCGCAGCGAAAAGAGATATTTCCTTTGAGGATACGGTAGGTTTCCCCTCGTCGCCCCAGGAGTTTTCTCTTTCAGTTGTTTTTGCAAAGTAGTGTATTACCTCAAAATTTTCCAAATGTTCTATATCGAGAATGGTCTTCAAAACTTTTCTAATTGAAAAAATTGAGGGTTTTATGAGAAACCACCTTAAAAAAGTTGATTGAAAATTTGATCGAAGGATTTACAGAATATTGACCTGGGAAATATTGTCAATAACAAGGGTATATTAATTCAAAGTTACTTTGCAAAACAAGTTATTGTGGAAAGATATAAAAATTCAAATATTTCACCTTGTTTGGACAAGAAGTCTGCTGATTTTAATCGATAAACATGAATTTCTGAATTTATCAAGTGTATCATGGCCTCTGATGAAGTATGAGATCATAAAAACGCTATATTTATCCCATTGAACCTTATAAAAAATGTTGAGAGTTGTGAGAAATTTCGAGGTCGTGTTTCGCAGCGAAAAGATACGTTTCTTTTGAGGAAACTGTAGGTTCAATATCACCGCGCTATGTGTTTTCTTTTTTTCTGTATTTTTTTCCGAAAAGAACGCTCTAATTCGAAATTTTTTTCAAATTTTTCTATATAAAGACAAGTCCACAAAACTGCTCTAATTGAAAAAAACTGAAGAATTCCTCAAAAAAACCACTTTAATATAATTGATTGAAAATTTGGTCGAAGAATTAAAAAAATAAATGCAGAAAAACTATCGTAAATGATGGAAAAATACTGGTTTAAGATACTTTCCAATGAGAATTACCGTAGAAAGAACAAAAATTCTATGTCTTTCGTCTCGTTTGGATGAAAAGTCTGCTAACTTTGATCGATAAACATGAATTTCTGAATTTATCAAGTGTATCATGGCCTCTGATGAAGGATGAGATCATAAAAACGATGTATTTATCCCATTGAACCTTATAAAAATGAACTAAAGTTGCGAGAAATCTCAAGGACACGTCTCACAGCGAAAAGAGATATTTCTTTTGAGGATACGGTAGGTTTCCCCTCGTCGCCCTAGGCGTTTTCTCTTTCCGTTGTTTTTTGCAAAGTAGTGTATTACCTCAAAATTTTCCAAATGTTCTATATCGAGAATGGTCTTCAAAACTTTCCTAATTGAAAAAATTGAGGGTTTTATGAGAAACCACCTTAATAGAATTGATTGAAGAAAGGGTCAAAGAAATTAAACAATTTCTGGACTAGAAAGTTATACTGAAGAAGTATTGGTTAAAAATCTAAAACTGGTCTGGTCTCTTTCTCAAAAAATTGGAAGACCTTATCTTCGTCTCTTTTTTTACAGTTTATAGCATTTTCATAGCTGATCTTGATCAGAGACAACAGATTTTTCGACTTTTTAGGGTCTCTAACCGGTAAGACGCTGCCCTCCTACCTGGCTTCACCATAATGTACTTATCAGTGAGAAACAAAACTAACGCGTCTTTGGAATCCGTCCTGACGCCGACTGGAAACCGAGGCGTTTCCTTCTCTTCAGCGTCGCCCGCCTTCGACGCTTCGGCCATGTTCGACTCATCTTTGGCTTTGGACATCGAGGAACCACTGAAACCTTTGATTTTCTTCGAACTGCCGTATAAATTGATATGAAACTCAGTCATCTTTGATTGATCTTCTGTGACCAAACAACGAAAATAGAAGCTTGAGAAATGCCTGGCACCTATTCTTCACTTTCACGTGTTTCAAGCGTTTTGAAATGTTTTTTTTAAGCTTTATACATAACTTCAGGCCAGCTTCTCAGAATTTTCGGGCCAAAAGTCCTTTTCGGCACAAAATTCGCTTTAAAACCTCCGTTTGACAGTTTCTTGAATTTGAAAAAAAAAGCTTTTTAAGGCTATTTTCTTTTTTGTCAAAGAGCAAATGGCGAAAAAACGTATTTCACAAGAAAAAAGATACGTTCTAATAAGGTTTTTGCATATGAACACTCTCTTTTCTGAGCACTATTTTCTTGTTCTTCAATAAATATGTTAATTAAAAAAGGCTGGTTTTAACTCTTCAGACATTAGGAAAACCATTGAAAACAACAAAAGGTGCATCATTTTTCTTTCGATCCAGGCAACTTGGTTTTGCGGTGGTATACAGGGTGACAAATAAATATTGAAACCGTTTTTTGTTTGATCGCTGCTTTTTGCACAACGGACTGGCCTTTGAATTTTTTTGTTTATTTCGTTCATTCATGCTCACTTATCATGTGTTTGAAGTTACAGCTTATACTTTTCAGTTTTCAGGTAATGGTGGCCCCTTCTCCGTACCTACCGCAATCATTGATTGTGTCAAAAGCGGAATGACAAATTCAGAGATCGTTAAAAAGCTGAAAGTGTCTCGTGTTCTCGTTTTTCGAACTGCACAACGCTATCGGCATCTCGGTACTTCAGATGACATCCAAAGAAGGGGATTTCCAGTCACCGTCACGACCCCAGAAGCAGTCAAAGCCGTTCGAGAGAAAATCAGACGCACTCCGGAAGAAGCATGAGAAACATGTCAAAAGAATACGAAATGAGTCGAGAATCGATGAGAACTATTGTCAAGGACAAGCTGAAGATGATTCCCTACCGTATGCAGAAAGGAGCCTTCCTCAGTCAAAAAAACAAGACATTCCGGATGAAAAAGGCTCGAAAGCTGCTCGCTGGCACGAAAGATGGCTCGCATCTGACGACGCTATTTACCGACGAGAAAATCTTAACTGTGGAGACGAACAAGAACGGCCAAAACCATCCGATCATCGCTACTGACTATCAGAGTGCCTGTGAAAAAGAAAAAATTCTGAATAAAACTTCGCATCCGGCTTTTGTGATGGTTTTTGCCGGAATTACCGCTGACGACAAAACTCCGCTGATTTTTGTGGATTCTGGAGTCAAAGTGAACCAAGTATACTACAGGGAGTAGATTTTAAAGTTGAGGGTGTTGCCCTGAGCCAATTCTCACTACGGAAACCGACCATGGACCTTCCAGCAAGACGGCGCCCCCGCTCATCGTGCCAAAGGGACTCTAGAGTGGTATCGCGCCAATTTTCCGAGTTCATCTCGGCTGCTGATTGGCCTGCTTCCTCGCCCGACCTCAACCCGATGGACTATGCCGTGTGGATATATCTGACCGAGAAGGTCTCTTCTAAGAACTACCCAAGTATCAAAGCTCTGAAGACCGCGCTCATCAAGAAATGGGACGAAATCGACGACGACTACCCTCGTGCCGTGATCGATGCGTATCCGAAGAGACTGAAGGCCGTTATCAAAGCTAAAGGAAGACGTTTTGAAAACTATTCTTGAATTTTGTTTCTATATTGTATGAATAAAATTTGTATCAAGTTTGGTGATGTTTGATTGACTTTTGAGAAAGTTATAACGTTTCAAACGCGTTTCAATATTTACTTGTCACCCTGTACTTTCTGAAGTTGAAGGACAACATTTTACGATTGAGATCGAATAAATCGTAACTTCTCACGTCAATTTGGCTGCCTTCTTCGCCCCCGCCTTTCTTCCTCGTTTTTCGGCCTTTCTCGATCTTATACTTTCCATTTACTTGTAGCGGCTACTTTGTGGGCTTTTCAAAGAAAAAAAAAAGCCGCAACTTTTGACCGCCTAGGCGGCCACAAGGATCGTAGTAAACAGTTGCACATTTGGTCTGTAAGATAGCGGCGAGAAATAAAAATCATCACTCACATCCGAAAGTTTTTAAAAAATAGTTCAAAAGTGTCCGAGTGGGGTTATCGAAAAAATAAATAGTTTGCCCATAAAAGACGCTTCGTTGCTCCGAAGGTCGTGCAAAATTACTGCTTTTTCATTGATTTTAAAACGTTCACAATGGAAGCTGATTATACAATAAAAACTAAGAAGAGAATATTAGAGAATTGAGAAAAGTTATGCTCAGACCTGTAGAACCCGTATCTGCAATTATGAACAACGGAATTCAAAATTATCTGTGACTTTCAAAAAATTAGGTATATTTAGGGACCGCAGACGAATTTTCAAAAAATTTTTCGAACTTCAATATTACTATGGTTGGATAGCTGCTCTAATTTATTATTCAAAACAGTTTAGTTTTTCGAAAAAGGTTGAGAAAAAAAAAAGTTATGGTCAAAACAGTAGTGAAAAAAGTCGCGAAATTTAGTACTGAAAGTTTAGATTTTACACTTTTAGTCGTTCATTTTGTTTTCATATCGGATTTAAATTTTTTAGTAGTTTAGTTTGGTTTTCAAAGTCATAATAAGTCACTAAAACAGTATAAAACCACAAGTTTGAAGAGAAAAGCTATTTTTTCATGAAAAATAAAAAAAATGGCCGCTGCGAGGATCGAACTCGCGATATCAAAACTGTATGCAAGGGCACTTGCGCTGCTCCACGTCCATCACTCGGAGATGGGAGGCGTTCGCGCTATACACCACTTCACCTCAAAGTACAGCATTTACCGACTATCTTGTTTAAAAAAAAGTTATGATAGTTGAACAATTATTAGTCACGTTTGTTTGGACCACCTAAAAATAATTTATTCATAGAGATTCAGTTCAAAAATGCTTCCGTTTTTCGGTGTTTTTTTGTTATTTTAAACGTTGGCTTCAAGTTAACAATAATTAAACTTTTTAGGCACCGCTAAAATTTTTTTATTTTATTTTTTTAATTGATTGAAAAATTGAGATACGCTGATATTTAAGAAATAAAAAAAGGCGCCAACGACATCTGACCATGTTAAAATGGATTTCTAAATTTTCACTGTCTATGTTTTTCTCAGAAAACAAAGTTTTCGGAATAAATTTTTATATTAATAAAAATTTTTAGTTACAATTTAATCCACAAGTTAAAAATAAAAAAATTTTTTTACTTACACGCTCTCGAAAGCGAGTAAAACATTTTCAACTTTGCGCGGCCTCACGAAGATTAGGCACCGTAAAAATTTTAATTTTTTTGTCTTAAAAGATTTTTTTTCACTTAAGAATCGAATTCAATAATAAAAAAAGGCGCCAACGACATGGAACTAGGTTAAAAACCCGAAGAAAAAAAGTAGTTTTGGTTTTTTGTACGACACTCCGCTAAAACGCTACGAAAATCGGGAGAAAAGTATATCAGACTGAAGAGGAAGGTTTTCTCTATGTTTCCACCAAATTTCTCTGTGTTTGATTCAGTATTGCGCTTTTACGAAAACATCAAACACGAAATCTAAAAAACCAGTGCATTTCACTATCGCAAAAAGGGGCGTGGCTCTGCGGTCTCTAGGTATATTGTCACTCTGACGGTTATTTCAAACTTCGCGAAATCACTTTTCAAAAAGGGTAGAAAACGGACTTGCTGCAGAAATTTTCGATATTTTCTTGACCTCAGCGGGAAAGGTCAACGCGGCAGAACAGGCGCGAACTTTTTGAAAACATGGGTCGGCACGAGCCGCCTAAGGTCTCGACACGAGAAATATTGACGTAAGTGGAACGATGGCTGATATCGTCAGTTCTGCATTATTCTCCGCTCCGGGTAGACGGTCTTCGAAGGCTCTCTAGTTCATCGACGTCTCAAATGGTGTCGATGGCTCCTCTGGTTTCGATGGCTGAGGGACCGACCGCGTTATTCTTTTTTTTTTCTTTTATTCTTTCCACCTTTACTCTTCTCTCGTCGGTAATCTTAAAGTTCGTAAGTTCCAAAAACAAAAAATTTCAAAGGCATATGCCGAAACTTTTTGCCTTTCTGTCCACGGTAGAGCTTTTTCCGCCGCTGCACCTGGTGCCTTTTTTTTCTACATCTCCTCTAGCGTTTACCTTCTGGACTGAAATTTAAAAAAAAATTTCAAAGGCTCATGCCGAAACTTTTTGCCTTCCTCCCTTCCCCTGCGATTTTTTTGGCGCTGCACGTAGTACCACTCTCCCGTTTTTGCGCCGAATATTCAAAACTTGAAAACTCAAAGATCAGTCGCTAAATTCTAACTTTCGGCAGAAAAACATTGAAATTTTCAAAAAAAAGTCTTCTGGAAATTTCTTATCTATCATTTTAACCGCCTCTCATTTTTCAATCTCAACGTTCTACTTCCGAATTTTTGTGATGATATTGAAGGTAATCACAAAAAAGTTCCCTATCCAAAAAACCCCTATTTTCGCGCCGCATTCAAATTTGGCGGGCAGTTCATAGAAAAATGGCATGCAGCGGCCCCACAGTCGACTAGACTCCCAGGAAACGATGCGGAGCGCAGTGCTGGTTTCTGCGGAACGCGCGCAAAGTGAGCTGCGGAAAGCATTGCCTACGCATTTGCCCTAAAAAAAAGGTTGTTGCGTTGCGCAAAAACGTGGCTGGCGTTGCGCAGACCTTCTAAATTCGTCCTGGCTCGTCCCGCCCCTTTGGGTTCAGGAATTTTCGCTATACAGGAATACCACTGAGGCTTCTATTATTGCGATTTCTCATGTAAGAACAACGTTCAGTATATCTATTTTATCGAATATCATTTAACGACCACATTAAATAACAAAAATCATCAACAAAAAAAGGATACATTCACTGGTAGACAAAAAAATAAGATTATATTCAATTCAACTTGAAAGGCAAGATGGATAATTGGCAAGGTGAAGCGTTGCGTACGCGACGCATTTTTTTCGCAAGAATTCGAGGTCAAACGCGTTTATGGAACGAATGTAGAAAAAAATTCTTATTCTAGTAAGTTTTTTTAAAAAAATTTTTTTATACCTTCATTCGTTCAACTAAATTTATTAAAAAAACCATAAAAAAATCGAAAAATAATTTTTTTAGTCTGAGAAAAAAACATGGATGGCTCTCCTTGGACCTCAGGTTTAGCTCCAAAAGCCGCAACGCGCTTGCAACGCTTCAATCTACTCGTTTTGCCTTTCAAGTCGCGAAGTATTCCATATACAGTAGTGAACAGAAAAACATTAAAAAAACAAAGCTGGGTAACAGAAAGTACAAAAATAGTAAAAAAATAAATTGCTTGAAAAAATGGTGGTATGGAAAAAAAGCCAGCGAAATTTTTGAACGGCGACTTTTTCCGATTTTTTTCATATCGCTAGGGAAATTTCCGACGGGGACGTTTCCGAATAATTCCTTTCCGACTTTTTTTCCCTTATATTTTTGCGGTTTATAATAAATCTATTAACATTGTTTTCCTTTTTTTGTTCTTTAAGCAAGAATCAACAATCTTATTCATATAAGAGAATTGAAAAACGAATATCTCATCGAGAAAAAAAGTCGGAAAAAGAATCGGTCGGAACGTTCCCTAGCGATATTAAAAAAATCGAAAAAAAGTCGTCGTACGAAAAATTCACTGGCTTTTTATTTCATACCTCCTGAAAAATAACCACAGAAAAAGAAATCAGAAAAGAGTCTGCTTTTTGAACATATGGTAATGGTAAACATAAAGATCCGATAGCAAATAGATTTACTGAATGAAATATTGCGGAAAACTTGAATAGGTGAGACTTTATGATATACGTGTTATTGATTAAAAATAAGGAAGAAATAATTTCTGAATATGCCGTTTGGATGACTATTGAGAAAAATAATTTTTTTGAGCTTCTGAACAAGGGTTTTTTTTAAGTTCGCAGTTTTTTTGGCACGAAAAAAACGTTCGCAAGCTTGGAAACCAAAAAAACTTTGACCTTATTTAGGGTATGGTCAATTTTACTTTATCGCTATCGCTCCATATGAGTCAGGAAAAACTAGTTGAGAACAACCAATATATCTGTAAATTCAGAGGGGGTCTTCTATGACGCGCATTGCATAAAGTTTTGAACGTAAATACTTTCTTGATAGTTTTTGCCAAAAAATTAAATTTACCCTTATTTCCTATCTCCCTCTACGGCAGTTTACCAAAAAAAAAATTGAAACAACAGGAAGATATACCACAAATATGTTTTCCGTTTTGTCGAATTTTCCACAGACGCAGTCCGTATTCTATCCGGCAGTAGTTCAACTCAGTACGTCAATACTGCAAATCAGCTTTTTGAAAAAATAACTTATAATATCCCACCGATAACTGTTTGAAAAACTCCGCCTAGCCAAGACGACCTGTAAACACAGAGCACTTTTTAGAAGCCCAGAGACCATAACAAAAAAAATCAGAAAAACGGTTCCTCTTGTAAAAAAAAAGCTGTAAAACAGAATAGCTGAACACCAACCATCCAAGCTCAAAACCTGCGTTAAATTATAAAACATTAAACTTTTTGAGTTGATGCAATCGATTCAAGCAATCAAAAGCCTCCAACAAAATCAAGTTTTTAATTAATTTTTACAGCAAGAAAAAATTAAATTTCTTTTTTTATTTTGTCGTGAAGCCTAACTTTCCCATTCAGCTACTTCATGGAACTTCATTGAGATTTGCGGCACTTATTTTTGAGATTAGACACAAAAAAATAAGGAAAGTCTACCATGGTGCCAATATGAAACACGTTTGAGAAACCTTGTGGATGTGCCGGAACAGTCGGCCGCTTTTTTATAGTGGGCATTTTTGAAAATGTTGAAGTTATTTTTAGCTTTTTGAGTGTCCAAAATGTGTAAAATTCTCGATTGGGGTAAGGCTTTGAGTGCCGAAAAACCAAATACTGGCTGCCCAATTGGGAACCCATAATCAAAAAGTTCAAAGAACTGAATAACGTCAGCAGTGTGGATATTGTGAAAAAGATGCGATTTTGCGTCGGTTCTCGTCGTGTAAACATTTTTGTCAGTCTGAACAGAGAGCCCATAAAAGTTATAACGTTAGGGGTCGATCGAGAAGGTCCTTTAATATAGGAAATTATTTGTGTTTTTTTCAATTAATTTTTCCTATCAACCTGATTGACTTGCCCTGAAAAACAAAAATATGTTAGGTGCGAAATAGTGTTTATTGAGATTTGAGAGTACTTTCTTTTTCAGTGAAAAATAGAAAAAAATTCTGACAAAGAGGGAAACTTTGTAAGAATAAAGGCCAGAATTTCCGAAAAAAACTGAGTTCCAAACTCGCCACATAATGAAGAAATAAGTACTTTAAAAACCGTTGACATCTCAATGAAAAAAAGAGACCGACTTTTTCCAGCATGCCTACTTCTTTTCGAGAAAAAAATCCCAAAAACAAAAAGTTTGAACGAAACTTCAATTCCATATTAAAGATATTTGCTCATAAACGAAGTGTGAGAATCATCTTCTCCAACTTTCTCACAACCCGCAAACAAGGAAACAACGTTTAACGTACTTTTGAACCGTAATAAAAAAACAAAAAGAAAAAAATTGAATTGAAAAAAAGTGAAATGAGAACAGACGTCAAATAAAACGCTTGGCCGTATTACTTTTGCGTGGTCACGTACGTAGAACGCACCGTAACCTTGCCCTCAAATGTTTCCCCTTTTTTGCGCAACGCAAGCCTCTTGCTCGCTTTCCGCAAGGGCAAAATTGCGCTTGATACCTCAGCCACGCCCACTTTTTCGCTCGCGCTCCGCACCGTTTCCTGGGAGGAGAGCATGGTAAACATAGAGAAAGGAGATAATCGGCGCTCGGCAGACACGAAATCGATTAGAGAGTCTGCAGACAGCGGAGAGTATACTCTTTGATTTGTTTTTTTCAGTGAGACAGTATGGTAAAGATGGAGACATCTCCTCTTCTTGTTCATATTTCTCTCTTGGCAATTGTACGATGGCTTACATGTAGTATTCAGTAGAAGTTTTACAATTCCAAGGAAGTTAAGACAGAGCTCCAAATTTGAAATTCGAATATAGGACAAAAATTGGCTTCTTCTCATGTTTATCTTTCGAATTTGATAAAATATCAACGATTATTATTGAAGCTTTCATCCATTCCAATCAATACCAAAGCTGAAACTTAAAAATTCTTCACCGAAAAGGAAAATTTTCTACCTACTCGCCGTCTGAAATAAGCTTCTGAACCTTATCAAAGCGAGATATTAAAAACAGCCTTAGATGAATACAAATTTCAAAACCTAAAATTGAATTTCGGTTGTAACTGAAAATAAAAAGAAATACAAAATCCATTATTCCAAAACTCAAAAAAATCGCAGCATAACAATAAAACGCCTCATTTTGAGCGGCGGCCGAAAAATAAGACAGTGCGAGAAGGCGTAAACAATTGATGCCCTTCCGAATATTCCACTCTACTTTCTGCTGATTTTTTGGCTTCCTTCCAACAAGGTTACTGTAAAAGTCTCGATATTTTATCGATCAGGACAAAAATTAAGCTGCTCAATCCAGTGATCTTTGAAAATTTTTTGGTTGCTGACAAGAAAAAAATTTGATTACTGAAGGTTTTGCTTCTCATGATTAAATAAACCTCAAATTATCAAACATAAAATAACAGAGTCAAAAAATACTGAACTTAGACCCGAAAAATCGCAGGTTACTGTAGGAACTGGACTCTTCTTTTGCAAAGCGTTTTTTTTTTTTTAATTTCCTTAATCTCAAAATCAAACACTCAAACAAATCAAATAATATAAATTCCTGATGTTGTAGACAACATATAGATTCCCCGACTGCTTATCGAATTTTGAAATCAGGAATTTGGGCACGAGCCAAGAACTCTTGAAGTGATAGACAATAGTTCTTCCGGGTCCCTGAGAAAGCCATTCACTAGCATCCACTGCCCTTTACGGACAAAACCAACAAGTTGGCTCCCAGGCATCATTTTCTTGATCGAGGCAGGCAGGCGACTGTCGCCTAATGTGAAAATCCGCCATCTTTCGCGACGCTGACTCATGTGTGCCGTCGTCGCGTGATCCGACTATCTGCTCCTTTTTTTCTCGCTAAATGTCGCTCCTGGTCACAAATGCTTGTCACGTTTTTACTTTTTCGAGACTGTACTATTCTGATGTGAATATTTAGCCGGAAAGAAAGTTTAGAGTGGCAAAATCTGAGCGTCTAGTCTAGCTTTCCCGGCCATATCAAATGAACTTTTAACAAAAGCTGTTTCTAATTTCTTAAAACAAAAAGGGCGTAGACAAACTAGACTGTTCAGACTAGTGTTTAATGAATCGTACACTAATAAATTGTTAAGATTGTGAGAGGAGCTTTTTAGAGCTTTTTCGCAGTTAAGTCATTCTTCCGTACCAACTGGGCTTATCAAATCAAAGAAAAGTTCTGCTCCTCCAAATTCTTATAATTTCATCTCATGCTGACAGCTCTTTTGACTCGAAGAGATCTTTTCCCTGGGCGCTGGCTCAGCGCCAGGTACAGGCGACTCCGCCCATTTCCATTTCCGCCCACCTGAAATTTCACTTCGGCCATTTTGTCTACTACTTTTTCGCATTTTCGTTCTTCGCTTGCTTGTCAGAAAATTCAAAATACTTTGGTTTTTTTTTTCAGAAATTGTTCGGAAAATGGCTCCTGTTATGGAAAACCCCATGCAAATTTCGCCCATTTCTGGAACGGTACGTGATTAAAATTTTTAATAAATTACCCTTGATATTTATTTTTGAAGGATACACCTTATTTTTATTTTCAGAAAAACTCGCAATTTTCCCCAACTGTGGCGCCGAAAAATGGAAAGGATACCAAGATCCTTGCGGGTAAGTTCATATCGAGAATTTATATCACTTATCCTTAACTTTTAATCGCAACCTAGACTGTTTCGAGTTTTCTATTCTTCACTTTAAATCTTGAGAACATCCCAAAAAACCCAATTTCAGGAACCGAAACCCAAGCACAAGTCTCTCAAAAGAGGCTGACCTCGTTCATCTCCGAGCAGTTAAAGATAAAGTCTGGCTTCACGGCGAAAATTGAAGATTCGCTGAAGCATCTGCAAGAAGATGAGAAATTCGTCGGCCGAGTCAACGAGATTTTGAAAGGTTTGAACATTTTCCATTCACAAATTACATTCTTTGATCAATTGAACTGGGTGATTGGTTTCAGGACGTCAGCTCAAGACCAAGGACTATTTCGGAGAAGGTTTTGAGAGAGATTTTGAATGCTCTGGAGTCGAGCTCGTTAGTCTCACCATGTAATAATTAGAAGCTTTTTTCAAAATGCAATCTTTATCTAATTAAGGTTCAAGAAAGCTTCTTCTCACCATGCCTTAATAATCGATTGCGAGCCTTTTGAACTCGTTCATAACGGTCTTCTTTTGGTGGCTCGTGTACAGGATGAAATGTATCCTATCGGAGTCGGTTTTTTTTTTCTGAAAAATTGACTTCAAGCACTGAAATACGGAATAAATTGACTTATCTTTCCCCTCAGCGGGAAACTTTTAAAAAACCCTGAAAAAAGCCTGTAAATAGGACAGCGCAGAGAAATAAACAATAAAAATTGTAGCGGACGGAGTTTTTCAAACTTTCAAATCCAAACTTTTTCAGAACCTTGTGATCCTCGACGATGGACAACTCGTCCAACAACAGGTTCCATCCAATTATGTTGCAGTTCGTTTAATCACTCAAAAACCTTATCATTAAGGAAAAACTTTAGCGAACTTTGGCTCCAGATGGCCACAACGCAATCGTCTTCGAAGAGATCATGCTATTCAAGAAAAGGCATGATTCTCTCAAACTTGAAAAACAATCAGAAAAAACTATTCAGGCAGTCGGTTCCATGGAACCCCAGGCGGAGCGATGACTTTTGGACCAGCCGGAAATTTTTAAACCCTTGCAAAGGACTGAAGCTTCAGTTTTGGAGCACGAAGGTCTTGGATGTGGAGCTTGAAGCGAAACACAAGTTAGTTTTGATATAAAGACAAAAAGTCTCACTCATCACGACTTGGATCAGTCTAGCGTGTCTGACATCTCTTTTCTCTCACAAAGTCACAGGAAAATATGAAATGAGAGTTGAAGAGTGAGCAGACATTTCAAACTTTTTCCAAGCCATTGTGAATGAGTTTTCTTCCGCTTCCCTTCTAATTATAGAAAATTCCAGACAATTCGCTTCCGAATTTATCGACCAGCTGGGTGAAGCTGGCCTCACCACCGAAATCCCCGACAATTTGAAGCACTGTGCGCTGGAGCGTATCGAGAAAACCATCATAGATATATCCAAAGCCTCGGAAAAAATTTCCTTTTTGATCATCTATTCGACAGCCGATCAGAAGGACGACATCTCTCGTAGGGGATGAAAAAATTTCTTGTTGAACTTTCAAATTTTAGAAATCATCGAGAAATCAATGGCCTTTTTAGATATACAAATCCGTCAAATCGTTTTGGAAGACTTCGCCAAAACGGAAGTCGTCAAAGCAGCGGTTTGCTTAACTTTTCTGGAGCTTTTTTCGCGAAATACAACAATTGCAGGTTCAATTTGTAAGGCGATTAAATGTGTCTTGCGGCGGGATAAACTTCTCGCTCAAGCCGTTTTCGTATGGAGCAGAGAATCCGAAGTTAAAACCTTTTTTCAAAGTTTAACCTTCTGGTCCTTTTTTTAGTTACCGGGACTTTCTTAACGGGGATACAATGATTGTCGGTCTCCGGGAAGAGACACACAGGGGCAAACGCGGGGATCGAACACCAAAAGACTTTACTTGTTTTGGCGTAACAATTTCAAATATTTTTATTTTTCACCAGTGATTTCAGCTTTCCTACACACTCGGATCCGTGGTGAAAACGGGCGGATTCGTTTTCGTCCAGTTCAAGGATCCCGATCAGAAGAACATGTATGCTACTGATCCAAAACTGCGTATTTAATGCCTTTTTTTTAAGTCTCATCGCACAAAGCTTTTTGAAAGCAGTCAAAGTTTTTTTCGAGGAAGCCCATCGATTGCCTGTCCGAATAATCATCCATCGTTCGGGATTAAACGATGATGAGGAATTAGACAGAGTGAGTCCTTCAGTATGAAACACAGAGGAATATTTGAAGTACTCTAAACGAAGAATATTACGGTATCTCAAAACATCTTCTTTCCTTTTCTCCTCAGTTTTTCCTTAGGCCTACAGATATCAGTTTCCGAGTTTCTATCTTATCTCCAAACGAAAACTGCTGAATCGTCTTCTATCTTATATTAAGACGTCTTTTCTGGCCGCGATCGCCAAAGCTCTCAGGGACGAGAACGACCTGAGGGTTTACAACTCCCGAATGAATTATTGCCCGGAGCTTTTCCTCTTGTGGTCGCCAAGAAATGCGGATCTGTGCGTTTTGGAAAACTCCCAATTTACATTCATATTTTGCAGGTTCCCGACGAACAACGACCATGAGAAACTGCGTAGCGGAACATTTGGCTCGGCTCGGGAGTTCTTCCCCGGAGCCGCACACGGCTCTTTTTTCATAACGACAGAGATGAAAGACGGGGTTCGTTTTTTTTGTTCATCTGATTCAAATAGTCATGTCAATGACTTTTCCAGGAAGAGGTAACTCCCGACTTCTTCCTCGTACGCAAACACCGGGGTATGGTCACGGAAGACGAGGAGAGGCGGATCGGAATGCTCGCATTCCTACTGTCGTTTGACCAAACGACAGCTAGACCCTCGTCCGGTCTTAATGTGGCTAGAGCAGCAAGGAAGCTATCAAGAATCTCAGGCGAGACCCTTTTCAGCGTTGTGTGAGTTTTCAATCTTCATTTCTTAAAACTTGGACTTTTTACGGACATTTTTCATTCTTGATTTCAAGACCAGAGTAGAAAAGTCCCGACTAAAGTAATTGTTTCAAACTTGATCCATTTACAGGAACGATGTGAGCAGCGCAAAAGATTGGATGTTAAATGACTGGCTATTCCGCCGAATGTCGCAGAAAAGGAGGCCGTTTTGGTTATGAAATCTCCACTTTCAAGATCACTCCAGTTTCTGATCTTCGTGATCTTCAAAAATAATCCTTTTCCCAATCGGACTTTGCCATTTTCTCTTTTGATATTGAGCGTCTCTCCTGAATCCTTCTCTTATTGCTTCGTTATGTTAAAAAATAACCTCATCGATCTCAGCGTGTACAAATATATTTATTTATTTTACTCAATACATTTACTATCAACTCATCACCTGTATATTGATGCCTTCCACATTACCTCAGTCGACACATTTACCATTACTTAATACCTTTATCTCAGAAATGCAAACCATTTATTGCAGCAAGGAAACTTAAAACCCATCTAAATTATTGTTCTTGTTGTATAATTATTTATCATTATATTTTTTTATGATGTTTTAATATATTCCTATTGCATTACCTAATGAAAATGATTAATGTATTTGATATCGAAGAGAAGTTGGCATGAAAAAAATTGAAGCAAAAAAATCCTCAAACACTTTATCTAAAGTCCTAATAAAAAAATTCAGAACTATCTTCCGCCTCAGTGACTAAAAAAAACCTAGACAGTTTCAAATTTTCGATCAGAACTGGACTTGAAAACAAAAACGAAAACTTAATAGAAACACAAACCTCTGAAAAAACTCTCAGTCGTCGTCAAATGAAGGTTTTTTCTCGTTCTCTTGCTTATTTTGTTCGGTAAATCTTGCTTCAGTTTTCTAGGCGAATTCCGTTTCAACATCTTGAGAATAACGACGGGTTCAGGCCCTCATCGATCCTGAAAAAAGTTCAACGTTCAAATCAGAAAAAAACGTATAACAAAAAATGAGAAAGTAATATATCACATTTCAACGAGTTCAAATTTTCTATGCATTCAACGAAATTCCTCAACATCTCTTTGAATGTGTCATTAAAACGTCAGAAAGTTTGAAATCAAAAACTTTTATGAAAAGTAAAAACTTCGGTCCGAACACGCCTGTGTGCGCACCAAAATTTTTTACCGTTTGACCAAGATCATGAAAAATTCCGCCTTTTTCCCGCGTCATTAATCTCCGAAAATTGATGTAGATCAGAGCGACTGCCTAAAAGTTGAATAGCAAGAAAAAAGAAACTTGAAGTAGTGATATTCAACGGCTATTGCTGTGCATACTTTGAGAAAGTTATGTACAGTCATAATTCAATTTCTTTTTCCCATATTATTTGTTTTTACATCGGAAATAGTTCCCACGTAAGAAAAAAACAATCGAGTTAGGAATGGTAACTTCTCACGTCAATTTTCCATTTTTGTTTGCCTCGGCTGCCTTTTTTTTTCTTGAGTTTATAGCTCTTCTTGTCTCGCTACGGCAACTAACATGTGTGACCTCGGCTTTTGTGAAAAGTCGGGGCTTCTTTTGACCCAGAGGATTGTAGTAAACAATTCGAGGTTCGGTTGATAAACGAATTAGCGAGAAAAAAAAAATCTTTTTTATGAAGTCCTTCAAGAATGATTTCAAAGTTTTCCATGGAAAAACTTTTTGGATAAAAAGTTCTCAGAAAAGTTCTCTTTTTCTGACTTTTGTACAACTTTCCCAAGCGTTACTTACACAACATATTTTCAATAATATTCGATGAATAGTTCTGGAATTTCAAAACCGATCAAAAAAAAATTAGCATAGTCGCACAACTTCACAGTTACTTTAGAAAGGTGGTAGCGGAAGTGTCAGAATTCCTTCCATTGATCTTAATTTCAAGAAAAATGGTGTTTTTCACGTTCTTCTCACAATTTTAGCCATGAAAGATCAAATTTAATCTAACCTTCAGTGTTTTCTCATTTAAAATGAGCATTCAAAAAAAATTTTTAGGATTTCAGGACGTTTCTTCATAGAAAAATAAAGACTGGGAAAAATATATTTAAATTTTCTTTTTGTTTCCTTATCAGCATATGTAGAAAAAAAATCGATCTTGTTATAGAAAGAGAAAATTTCAAAGAACTCCCATTAAACAGACACGCGCTGAAAATGTTGCACCTTACAGTGACCCGAGCAGAAAAGGTCAACTCTTGGAAAATATGAGTCGGAACGAGCCGTCCATGGTCCTGACACGAAAATACACGTTTCGAAATCACAACGCAAAATGAATGATTCTTGACAGTCATCTCCTACACGACACCAGCTCTCCGATGAATTCGAAGAATCGAATCATTTTCTTCTTCTTAGTTTTTTTTTTCATATACCTTTTTCTTCTTTTTTTGCCTCAAGTTTGATCTGCCAGCCTAGAAACTCAAATCAACGAAGAGGTAGAAATTTCAAATGCACGTGCGAAAACTTTTTGCCTTCTCTCCTTCCTTCGAGCTTTTTTCGGCGCCGCACCTGGTACAACTTCCCTTTTGTTGCATCTCCGCGCCAACTATTCAAATTTTCAGATCTCATGGAACAATCGTGGGGGTTGAACATTTGACAAAACTAATAGAAAGCGAATCGGAAGCATTTGATGAACTTCGCCAAGATTTCGGCACAGGGGAAAAAATTTCCGTGTTGAAATTTCGTTCCCATCTGCACTTTCGCGCCGTTTCCAACCACTCAAAAAACTCATTGCGCAAGTAGAATATGTCCCTTTTTGCATGCCGGCTGCGGGGAAAAAAGAAGAGACAGTCTCCTTGCGCTCAGCCGTAAAAATCGCTCTCACTTTGCTTTCCCGCCATTATTTCCTGATTAGAAGCTTACATCTCGGAGCGATTCTAATTATAGTCGAGACGGCGCCGACATCGAGGTACGGTAAAAGGCGCAGGTTACTATAGAGACGTCCAAATCTCATCTGTTTGCAACAAGTGAACATAGAAGCTCCCTAATGTTGAAATCGCCGGCTTGTTTAGCGTTGTCCTTTTTAAATTATGATAGAAAAAGCATGCTCCGACTTTTTATTCGCAAGCTAAAAATTGACTGCAAGCCAAGAGTGTTGATCTCGAAGTGATATAAAATAGCCATACGTCTTGAAAAGTCCAAAAAGAGCTGTTTAGAAAAAAATTTCTTGATTCAATTCTTGAAATAAAAAAAAGTATATTCATTTTAAAACCAGGATGCAAGCCTGGATATTTGATATTGAAGTGATATAAACAAGAACAGCGCTTTGAAAAGCCAAAAAAGCTGTTGCGAACAAATTTTACTGATCAAAAAACCAACGAGTTGGCTTGGAGCCATCGTTTTTGAATATTCGAGGCACGCCGCTGCCGCAAACTGTCTCCGATTGTGAGATTCCGCCCATCTTTCGCGACGCTGACTCAGTCGCGCCGTCGTCTCCCCATCGGACAATCTGCCCTTCTTTTGTCCCCAAATGTTGCTTCTGGTCAGGGAATACCACAACTCGTCACGTTTTTCATGAGTTTCTTTTTTCTTGAATACTCAGACTTGGCTTTTTATATATTAGTTTCATCGAAGAAAAAAAGTGAATAAATAGGTTTTTTTCAAGACCATTTTAGAATAAAAATTTTTCTCTCTTTCGGCTTTATTTGGAGTACTTATCTAGCAAAAATTCTTTTGGTACTTATGTTTCATTTTATCAATTTTACATCGAGTTTACTTTTTTTAAAATCTTTTTCTGTTAAATAATGGCAGTTAATAAACTATTATTATGAGTGTTAAATTCCCGGCATCATTTTTTTGTAATTTTTTTATAAGTCTATCCAGAAGCTTTTAAAATTTTTCGGAACATCTGAAAATCGTTCAGAAACTTTGCCCACGCCATTTCAAAATCATCAGCAAGCCGTTATGAACAGACTGTCAATTTTTTGTTATTCCATGAAAAAAAAAGGAAAGATAGACAGAAAAAACAATATTTGAGACTTAAAATTGACCTGAGAAAAAAATTGTTTCTCTCCTCTTTGTTTACCAATTTCATTCATGAATTCTCACTTTCTCTCTTCCCTATTGTATATTGAGATTTTGTGATTGAAGAACCCAAAAAGGGATCTATTCTTGATACTAAGAGTCCGTAAATTGGCGAAAACACTTTTAAAGTACTGAATTTCTGTCGAAATGCAAAGCTAGTGTCCGATGTCATTTGATAAAGTTCAAAACTTGAATATTCACATTAAAACACACCAAATGATCTTAAGTAATGTGTGAAAAGGTATCCTGCGGCCTTTCATATTCACCGCCAATCACAGGTAGCTCCGCCCACCTGCACACCTGTTTTATACCTGCAACAATTTCGTATCTTTGTCCAGACTTACTGGCTTCAGAAGAACCGTTTTTTTTTCAGAAATCCAGCAGAATGACGTCATCTATCACGTCTTCGATGTCTGTTTTTGAAGCGGTACGTTTTTGAAAATAACTGAAAATTATGACTTGAAAGTCTTTCGGTCGTATGTAGAATTTCTAAACGCGGGCTGAAGTTCTAGTCAAGGGGTCTCTAAATTATTCGATGAAAACGGACGCAAGTCGTTTTAGGTCGGGTGCGCCTTTTTTGAAAAGTTTTTGAAGAAAAAATTCCCTTCAAGTCGTGGCTAATAAAGAACTGATGATTTGACAGTCTTTTTCTCAATTTTGGAGCTTTTCACAAGTTTTTTTAGAGCCACTCACAATCTTCAGCAGCCGTTGCGAATGATTTTGAAATGGAAGTAGACCCAGTACCTTGTAAGTTCAAGTTTCGAAAGTAAAACTAAAAAAAATTCAATAATTTAGCTTCGTCAATGAACACGGGGAGCTCGAAGTTTGTTTACAATCTCTTCGAGGTTCTCGTCAAGAAGAGCGTTATTATCACCACCTTGAAAATGGAACTCTATGCGTTCAACAAAGAAGACGACATGCTTTTTGTGAACGATCCTAGAGCCAGCCGCAATCGGTAAATGATTTTTTTTTTCTATGAAAGAGGCTTGAAAAAATTTGGGCTGTTTGTGCCATCTTTTCTTATAACGGTTTGGTCATAGACACGGGAAAGCGAAGAAGAATAAGAAATTTTAAAAAGTTGACACTTGGTCGTATGTGGAATGGCTTGAGCCCGACGCAAAAAGAATACTTTCACGCGGCAGCATCAGATGAAAATATTAAAGTTTCTCAAGTCTACTGTATGTCTGCTTCTTACCGCAACGCCACGAGCCATTTTAAGTGCGACCACGGTTTTTTTCGAGCTTACTATAACCGAAATAACAGTTAAAAGGCACAGAAAAAAAAATTTTTTTTTGAATTCAAGAGATACTGCGACAAAAAAGGTGAGCTCAGAAAGCAAGAAAACACTTGAGCGTCCTTGGAAACGACTCACCTGAATACATATTTATTTTAGAATCGAAGAAGATCTCCTGAGGCTGTCCATGTTGGATTTTTTCAAAGCGACTTTCAAAAAAGGTCTCGACACGCCAATAAGAAAATACAGAACTCTCGAAAAGTCTATCTACGACGGTGGGAGGACTATCTACACCCGATCGTCCGAATTCGCAAAGTCCACAAAACAAACTTTCACCTTTGAAGCCAAGGAGGTTGTTGTAGGGAGCAAAGTTTTATTGAAAAATGTGTTCCAGGTTCCGCAGAAGATCCGCAGCTTTTGTAGCACTTTCGATCCTACACGGTTCGAGGCGGTTCTGAAGGTTCATTCAAAGGTAAGATAGTGATTTTTTGAATCTCGAGTAGCGGTCGCGATGAGGTCCAATTCAGATTTTTGTCTTTCTTCGTGTGAAAAAACATTCAGAGCAATATGTGATGCTTTGTTTCAGTTCGACATCTTGGACAGAAGACTCGAGAAACGAGTTGAAATCAAAGAGTTTATTGACTGTCTGTCGTCCTTCGCCTTCTTCATGAAGTAAAAAGTCAAAAGATCCAATATCTAACGGAAAGTTTTTCTAGAAAGTACATCATCGTGCAGGATTATTTATTCTTCCCGCGAAGGGAGCCTTTTCCCGGGCAAAAGATCCTAACCTACTCTACGCCTGGCTACTCGAAACGCGCTTTAGTTCTCGAGAAGAAGATATTTATTCAATTCGACAGTGAGTCTTGGATAATTCATTAGTCACGACTTTTGACAGTTTCATCTGTCTTCGCTCTTTTTTCTCACTGACAAGGTAGTAGAAGAAAGAAATCGCGTGTAATAAGAAGATCGTGGAAGTTTCAAATGGTTTCAAGTGGTAAAAAAAGGCTTTCAGTTTAAAAAAAAACCCCTTTGTGTCCATAAAAAAAAGAAAGTCGCTGAGTTTTTTCTTACTTTTGCACAATGCAGAAGTTACAAGTTACAAAAGAAACTTCTCAACCAAAGCATGGATTTTCACACGGATTCGCTTAATTTCGTGTTTTACTATGAATTTTCTCTCGGAAATTTGAAAAAGGTTCGTGATTTCAGTTATCGATGAGCAGGAATTTTTCTCTGAGAACACGCTCGTTTGGTTTCTCACTCAGTTCATGGGAGTCACGTGGGAATTTTCGGTTAAGTACTGTCAATTTTTACAATTTTCAGCCAAGACTCGCTCAAACAAATGCAGTTCAACAATGAAGTTTTGTGGAATGCCAGCGAGTCGGTGACAGGTTTGGAAAATTTCTCATCTCTGTTCATGAATGCTTCAAGGAATTTACTTAAAAACGATGAAATATTTCGGATCTCGGGATGAACGCTTTTTCCTGTGTTCTGGAATCAAAGTCGTGAGCTTGGAAGCGTAAGGATCTCAAAACGTTTCAGCAGATTGATCAACTAATTAAGATTCAAATTGAAAACGGCCAGCCACGTTCGACGTGTTCAGCCCGAGAAGCTGAACTTTCTAAAAGACGGCTTTTTGCTGGTAGCGGAGAGCGAGGAGGAAATGTTCCCCGTTGAAGTTTGTTACCTTTTCCTAGAACTATGAAAAATGAGGAAAAACAGGTTATGAAAAAATTGGCTAATGGAAGTATACGCTCCCTACCAACAAAGCACTATCTCTTTTATTATCCTGTCAGGACTCTTTTCTCGATGGCTCAGTTGAGCTTAAGCTAGCCGTGAAACAGCTGTACCAGGTTGTAGCTTCTGCTAACTCAAACTTGATAAAGGACTGGAAAAACCGCTCTCCTTAACAAAGGAGCGATAGAAGCATGAAAAGATCCCAATTTCCCAAATTGTGACGAATGGAGTATTGAAGTCTCACTTTATCTCTCTTACTGCAATTTGAAACTCAAATCGTAGCATTTTCCAGCACCTGATGATCCCTGGCGGACAGCTCTGTCCACAAAAGGTTGAATTCATTCTTTTTCGCATATTTTCCTGATTCTTTTAGGTCCAAACATTCGAACCGTACCCACCTTGTTACGCCTGCGAGCAAATCATTCAGATGTCCGAATTCTTCGACGACTACGACGTGAGTTCGAAATACAAGGTTGTATAAAAGAGAAAAATTTTCAGTTGGAGCTGGAAAAGGAATTGGAAGCGAAGGAACCCGAGGTTTTTGACGAGCCTGAGCTCAAAACTCTCAAGTAGGATTCCTTCTAACTAAATCAACTCACGCAAAAAACATTGCTCAGTGATTCGTTTTCCTGGGGCAACAGCCGGGTCGATCGTTTTTGGCTGGATTGCAAGTATTTCGAACCTTGCGACAATTTGAGTGTTACGTTTCTTCACACAACGAGGATGACCCTGGAGCTGAGGCAGAAGCAAAAGTAAGAATTCTAAGTCGAAAACTACTTTGAAAATTATGAGACTTTTTTTTAACGTCCCAAATTCAGAGCTCGAAAAATCTCTTCTATAGTTTCCAATTTCAATCTAAAACTCAGAAAAACCTCATTGGTTGCTATAAAAAAAATTGAAAGAAAATGAAGTTTGAAACAGAAAAACACAGAGGAACCGAATGAGCTGGTCATTATTTCGAGCCCCTCTGAAAACCTAGTTTTTTCAAAAACTGCGAAATTTCAACAGCTTTCAGTCTTTATATTCGTATCCAAAAGTTTTAAAATACTCGAACTTGATTTTTTGTGAAAGAATCTCACTTGAAAAATCTTCAGAGTTTTCATTTGATCAGTCCAACTTTGAGCAGAGTTATCGGAAAAACTGTTAAAAAACAGAAATTTTTTCGTTTTTCCCTAACCTCCTTTCTTACCCCTCTTCAACTTTCATGAGATCTACAGGAAACTCGCGAGAGAGATGTCAATTCAATTCAAAGAAGCGGGAATTGAGAGCGACATGGACAAGGATATGAAATTCACGTCCACTCAGGACCTGGGAAAAAGCTTGGAACTGTTGGTCCGAGAAAAAGGAAGAAAGATGCCATGCGTGGTGATTTTCTCGGCCGCCAGTCAGAAGCCGTCGCTCTCTTGTAGGGAACGGATACAACATTTTGTGAATCTGAAATTTCAGGCGCCATCGCAGACCTCAAAGTCAATCAAAAAGCGCAATTATACCTTTACGAGATGGACGAGCTCGCCAGCACCAGTCTCGTTCAATTTTCGGTACCTTTATACTCTCGATTTTGAATTTGAAGCAGAATAAAACAATTGCAGAGGACTCTGGTTCGAAAGATCAACATCGCTTGCGGAGGGACAATTTTCAAAGTGACGCCATCGAGTTATGGAGACAATGAGAAGTGAGAAACGGTCTCAAACCTTATTTTTTTGATTTTTCTTTTCCTCAGATTCGAAACTCTTCACAACGGGGAGACGATGGTCGTTGCGATTCAAGAGCAGGTCAATAAAAAGAATGACGACGAGAAAATCCCCTTCGACTTTAATACAACTGGAGTGATATTCTGAAAACGTGCTTCAATTATCAAAAATACATTTTCCCAGGTTGCATACACGGTTGGCGCTCTGGAGAATCTCGGGGGATTCGCTTTTGCTCAGCGGGCAAACAAAAAGCCGGATGACAGGTGAGAGATTCTTCATTTTTATCTGGAAATCCACGTTTTTGAAGCCTCCTTTGCGATTATTTCGTGAGGATGATCAAATTTTTCTACAATAAAACGCAACAACTTCCATGTCGAATAGTGATCCACCACGCGGATTTTAATGACGATACGTTCGACAGGGTAAATTTGGAAAGTGGGAATCAAGAAGAAAAAATAATTGTGAAAAAGAGGTTACGAAAAAGAAAAGTTCAAATGGCTACTGTACAGAAAAGTTAGGATAAAGAGTTTTCTTGAATTTACTATAATTATATTTTATATAAAACATCTTTCACTTTTTGAGGTGGTTTTTTTCGTATAAGAATTCTATTTAAGTTATTGAAATTCCATGAATATTCATAGATTTTCAATAATTTAAATATAATTGATTCGAATCATTCAAAAAAACTTTTTTCCTAGCATTGAAAACCATAAGATCCTCTCAGCACATGTTAAACTTCTTCCAGTAAATTCTTCACTAAAAAAATTGCAACGCTTGAAAAACTGCTTTGAACGCATGACTAAATATTATTTTAAAAAAGGTTTTCAATTTTCAAAAAAGGATAAAAATGCATCGATGAAATGTGAAATAGCGTCGCGCCTCCTCTGCAAACAGGCTCCACCCAGTTTCTTGTACCTTGAAAAATTTCATGACAAAAATTTATCAAACAATGATTTTTTGTTTGAAGAGTGTAAATTTCATGCTGATATTTTTTTGAATTATCTGAAAAGGTTCTCTCAAACGAAAAAATGTTGAAATGTGCTTTATCAGTGCTCTCTTGAAAAATAACAGTTTTTGTCGGTAGCCGAACTACTTATTCTTTATTCAGCGCTAAAAGTTTTTCTTTCACAGGATTCCTTTTTGAACGTCATCGCAACGGCTTTGAAAAACAGCAATGCAATGCTGTCATACAATTCGCTCAAAAAAATATGTCCCGCAGTTGTTTTTTTGATAGGATCTTCCTATAATCTCGGCCTCAAGTGCGTTTTTTCTTTTCTTTTTGATTTCTACAAAAGTTACGGGATGTTTGAATTTCAGATTGACGGCGAAAAAAATGAATGAAAGGTTCAGAATTGGAACTTTTGGGTCTACGAGGCAAGTCTTGTCGGGGCCGGGGTATAGTTCATTTTTCGTCGTCGTGGAAAGTGAGAACAGGGTTGGTACTTATTCACAGAACATCTTCCGAGGAACAAAAAATTGTTATTATTATTTGGAAAATCTTTTTTCCAGAACTCTGTCGCGCCCGACCTCTACCTGCTGAGCAAGCATCGTGGGGCTGTCACGGAAGAAGACGAGAAATTGATGGGGATGCTGACTCTGCTGATCTCATTCGACCAGTTAAACGCGGTACCGTCCTCAGACCTCAACGTGGTCAGAGCCGCTAGGACTCTCTCTAAATTCTCCGCTACAACGATCTTCAGCAGCGCGTGAGCTTTTTCTCGATTCGGAAAACCTGCAAGCCCTCGGCTTGGTCATGCCGGGACTCTATTGATAGTTTCAATGTGGTCGAAGAGAACAGATTATGTCAATACAAATTCATTAGTTACAAAATTATATAATCAAATAAGATCGAGGGATGGACCCCAAGCCGAGAGACTTTCGACCCAGCTAATGATCGTCCTCTACTTTTATATGTAGGAGGCGGTCTTGCTCTGCGTCTCTAGTCTACTGCCAGAAGCATTACACTCTGTAATTTAATGTAATTTACACATACACACGTTTCAAAATTTCAAAACTTTTGATTTGAAAGGAACGGGCGTTCGAAATTAAATGTGAAGTATTGCATAAACAAAATAAATATTTAAAGCATCAAACTTCTTGATTAATTTCTTTTATCAACCGATGCGCAAAAAAAGATGCTGAAAAACGAAAGAACGCAGACAGTTAGATTATCATCGCGTTGAGAATATATCAAAGCTACTCTTTGAAATCTTCAGAACTCTTTTCTTTGCTGAAAAGCCAAGAGAAAAAAAAGACCAGAAGCTACCGAAATTTAGACTTTAATGAACCACAAATACATCTATTTCTTTTTAAGAAAAGAATTAATGAATGAAATGTTTATTTCGCTCACAGGCAGAAGAAAAATAACGTTGACTGGATGTCCACCAATGTTACCTCGCACGAGATGATCGGGAAAAAACGACCCTTTTGGATTTGAAAATATTGTATTTTACTCCCCTTTCTCCAAATCACTTCATTTCTTTCTGATTCTCATGGAATACTCGGTGCTCGCTTTTAAGTGTCAAAAAAAATTAAACCAAAGAAATTTCCTGATTTTTGTGTGCCTATGCGATTTTTTGTACATCTCTCTCTCTCATGGTGTTTCAACGTGTTAAACTTTGACCTCAGTTTTATCTTCTTCTAAATTTTTACTTACGGTTTTTTACTGACTCCCATATTTTCGCCTCAAAATATTTCTTCTGTTTCTTGATTATGTATATACCACCAAGTCAGTATTCAAATATGTACCCGCTCAACTCTTTGGCGATTATGAAATTTTGAACCAATGTAAAAAACGTTGTTAAAACTTTAGTATTCTTATTAACTTCATCAATAACTCTAATGCATTCCCAGTACAATTATGCAAAAAATGAATATATTGCCTACTCTATTGCTTTTTAAACATTATCCTGCAGAAAAATAATGTATTGAGAACTGGATTATTACACCAGCATTTTCATACAGAGTCTTCTAAAATGCCTAGAGATGAAAAACTGAAGAGGCGTTAGAGAAAGAGAGACGTGCTTCTCATCAGATTCCACGCCTTCTTGCGTTCTAATCTTGATTTTTGGAGTAAAAACTGAATCTGAAATTGTTCAGTGGAACGTGGAGATAAGAAAAACGAAGGATACTTCTGAGAAAGAGATGATTGCGTCTCCTCGATTTCTACACTCTTTCAGGAATTTCTGTGCAACTTTGAGCTCAAACACAATTGTTAGAATTTTATAATCTATGTAAAAATCAGTAGAACTTCATCTTCAAATCGCTGTTATATTTCTCTGGCATGATCATGGTGAGGGCCTGGTGGAGCATCACGGCGGACAGGCCCCAGACCCGCTGCTCCCGGTGCAAATACTCGTTTGGCGCGTTGAAATGGACCTTCAAATGAATGAATTCCAAAATTTACCCTGAAGTTTTTACCGTAAACTCGGTGGTCGGAAAAACGGGAAGGCAATATTTGAGTTTGGGATTTATGAATCGAGTGCAGCGAACGTTTCGGACGATTTCATCGAGTGGGATTGAGAATACGGCTTGGACCTGCAAATGCGCTCTAAGGAGAAAGATCTTCATGCCAACTCGGACATTGGTTACGCGAAACGAACGTACTCCGGACGTTTCTGTGCATTTCTAGTGAGTACTTTAGTAGCGTCACCACTTTTAAGTGATCCCTAGAAGGCCCAGAAACGTCCGCTTCGCGTTACCAATGTGCGAGAAGATTAAATTGCACCCTGGTAACGCAAACCGGACGCGCCTCGTTCGTTTCTGACCATTTCGTGATTCCTATAGCGGCGTCAGCCCTCTTAAATGCTCACTACGAAGGCTCAGAAGCGTCCGGTTTGCCATACCGGCGTTCGGAAAAACGAAAAAACGCTTAAGAGTTCTTCTGAATCTTGGTTCACCTTCAACCGTTAAATAATTTATACTTCGAAGTGATCGAAGAAAAGTATTGATTGACTGGACCTCGTCAGCATTGACGGTGAGGTTGCTCAAGGCGGTCTCTTCGCGGATCCAGCCAACCATCGGCGTGACCGAGGAGTCCAGCTGCTGAGTGACGACGCCGCGGAGCAGCCCCCAGACTTCGACGTTGTCCTCGCTGAGGCCGATCTCCTCTGTCGTTTCTCGTAGGGCTGTCTGCAAAGGAAGTTCCGTGGGAAGTCTTCATTTGAAGCCGCTACATTTTCAAGGATTCCCCGGCTCCAGCCCCACAAAATCCACTCGTTAAGGCACAACTCAGCAGACTACGCGCAGAAAAACGAGATGGAGGACCGTAGGATCATGCTTTCAACATGATCAATTAGACGTTTGGACTTCTGGTTCGCCAAAAGTTAGAAAATGCTTTGAAAGTTCATCTAATACAAGAATAAATGAATCATTGGTCGATTACAGTTTATGAAGCAGGATAGCGCAGTTGGTTAGAAAGGCGGCCATTGATCACGAGTTCGTGGGTTCGGTTCCTACATGGGCAGACCATTTTCGAAGGCCGCCAAGTTTTGTTCAGTTCAGTTTAATTCTAACTTCAGTTCTTCCTACGACCTCTCTAGACCTTTTTTTTAAACTAACTTCAGAGGTTAAAAAATTTCTGCATATCTTATTTTTTTAAATTTATTTTTCAGGACTAGTGAGTCCTGTGCTGGCCAAAGTATTGTTTTATTAGCTTGAGAAAGTCAAAAATAAAATCAGAACCGGAAATTTTCATGCCTACAAGGTAATTGGATTCTAAACTTTCATATGAAATTTTATACACAAGTCTGTGAAAAAGAAATTTCTCAAAAGATTCGAATTATTTTTTTTAAGTAAAGACCTGCTCAGGAGTCTCTCCAGCTTCGCCTCGCCCTCCCGGGAAGCAGACTTCTCCTCGATGAGATCTCAGATGAACGGATCTTTTCGTTAGAAGGATCGAAGGGCGGCCTTTGACCTCAACCAGAGGCAGTAGCACCTAAGAATGTAAGTTTATTCGACCAAAAAAATACCTTCGAAGTTCTCTCTCCTTTTTTTGACGCTAAAAAAGAAACTCACCGCCATTGTAGACTTTTCATGGTCGTTTGTAAGGCGGGGATGCTTCGTAGTCGGCGTTTCGGCAACTCTCTTAAATATGAGATGGTCTAGTGGATTGGGCTCCTGGTTTTGATTAAAAAGGTCACAAGTTCGAGTCTTACACAGTTCGAGTCGTGTTAGTCATGGATTTTTCGACTTTTTCTTGAATAATTCCGTGTGAAATCTTCACTCGAAGTGGTCGCTCTCATTCTGAGGCTTCCACCTAGAGCACGGTCTCCTGGCTCCAGCTACACCATCCAATACATTCTGAGCTCGTCAAGGCGCAACTAGATGGACTACGCGCAGAGGAAACGAGGCGAAGGGCCGTAAGACTATGCTTTCAACTCTTTCGACTACACGTTCGGACTTCTATTTCGCCAACGGTTGTTCGTTATAGCTTTTGAAGTTCTTGTTCACCGCCTAGTCGATTACATCAGACTAAAACAACAAAATAAATGATTTGATTCGATTGATTGATAAAGAGTTCAGCATTTGGTAAAGCAAACAGACTGAAAATTTCAATTCGAACCTTTACAAAGGCTTTCCGGGCCTCTTCACTGAACTTTCTCCTGGTCAGATAGGTCGCCGACCTTCTTAGAATCATCTAGGATCAATTCAAAAATAAAATAAAAAAATTATTCAAATAAACCAATTCGCTTGGAAGTTATCACAATTCTCATACACCAAACACAAGCCTGAATCATAAAATAATTTATTTCTTTGTTTCGAAAACTGCCAAAATACAAAAATTTGGAACAGAACAACAAATAATATGTAAGAATATATCGTAAAAAATATATTGCACCAAGTCGAATCCCACGATGAATAATGATAGCAAAGGAGCCGTATAAGGAGCGAAAGAAACTTTTAAGTGAAACGATTTATCATACAAAAAAAAGAGCACACGCTTTGACATGAGCATTGGAACAGAAGGATGAAGATAAAATTGACATATGGATTGATGAAAATTCAGTAAAAGCCGAGCGAGACATAAATAAAGGCGACCAAAAATGGGAAGGCGAATCAAGCCAATGATAATAAGAAAAAAAGGAGAGCAAGACAAAAAAGTCTAGGGACAAAAAGTTACCCGATAATATTGCGCAAAAAGTTTCTTTTGACGTTTGTGTATGTGTGATTGTGTTAAGTGCAAAGCCGGACCGAAATAGTTGAAAAAACTTGGAGAAAACAACCATGGAGCGCATCAAACAAGCAAGCGATTTTTGGAGTGCAAAGGTTGCCCTATTGACAATAAATGTTGAAATTATGAGTTGGACTTTGAGACAGAAATCGCTCTAGTTTTTTTCAAGGATAAGCATAATCAAGTTCAACAGTGAACCACCAAATCCAAGAAAACCGGTCAGAATCGCTCCATGGATAAAAAGTTCACAGATTCGGTTTCGACAAATTTCATGCTCAAAATAGTCTCCAGGACTTATGAAACAGTGCTCTATTGAAAGATAGATTTCTACAAAGTCGAAAAAAACCTTTCAAATTTTTTCTATGAAAAAAACTTGGTTTCACAACTTCCATTCAAAAATAGCCTCTCGAATCAGCACATCTAAGCTCCACAGATAAAAAAATCTTTTACAAGGCATTCTGAAATAATGGTGTATACAGATAAGTACGAGAGTTGGTGCGTGTAGAGTTGCTCAGCGACGTCCAAAACTGGAAAAATTGTACTTTCGACTTGGTAAACTCTTTTTTCGTTAAAATCGAGCTTGAAACTGAATTAAAATGAAAAACGAAGCGAGATAAAAGGACAAAAAACTCATTTTTGGACGCCAACAACCACAAGAAGAACACATGCCCAACCCAAAAGAAGAAAAGAAAAACAGAATGACAGAGGGAAAAAAGAGAAGCTCATGCGATGTGTATAAGGCAATGTCAACCAATCAACCAATCAAATCAATCACGACATGGGCGGGCCGGATTCGTGGTACTGGTGGACGGAGAAGAGCATTGTCGCCATGATCAAGAACGACATCAAGAAGATCAACACGCCCCTTAAGAGTCTGCCACTGAAAATACGAAAAAACGACAGGCGACTGTTGAATGAGTAAGTGAGTGAGTGTGTGAGTGAGCGGATGCGTGAGTGAGTGAATTTTTTTATTATAAAACAATGGTCGCGATTCAAAACAGTAAAACTTTTGGTTCATGAGGGAAAGCGAGAGCGCAGACAGTCAACTGTTTAAAATCGCGACGGATCAAGTAGTTACGAGTCAAATTTATTTCAAAGATTCTTAGGTTCATCTCGTTATCTTAAGATTTTTCGAGTGAACTGTTCAAAATCAGACTTCCAAGCTGTACAAGTGCGCTCTACAGAACTAAGTCTCTGAATGGCTAGCCGAAAAAAAATGCTGACGAAACCTTCTCGAAATAAAATTCCTAACCACTGTGCTTCAATTAGTAACAAATCACCATCACCACACAAAAAATTGATGTGACCAGCACCAATAGAAAACAAAATCATAAGACGCGATTTCAAAAAAATTTTCAAAGCTCGAGTTTTTTTTCGGATTCAAAAAAAACAAAGGGAAAAGCCCGAAAGCGATAAAAAATTCGAAAAAAGTGAACATAGGTACAGTTGAACAGAAAAAAAGGTAAATTGACAAAAATCCCTATTGTTTGGGGTATGTGAGGGTACGGAACACTCTAACGCCTAGTTGCATCTGAAAAAAATAAACGTTTTTATCTTTTTTCCAATAATTAGTTGAAAAGACTTTTTTGAAACTAACTTGACTTATCGATCTTTAATTCTAAACTACAACTTCTGTAATCTCAACTTATTATCAACTACTTTCCCCTAGATAAATACGATTCCTACAACTCCTTCTTTTCAAATTCTTCGATTACCTCCAAGGAAGTGCTTGGTGCATTTTCTGGCGGGTGAGGAAGGCGGCCGGTTGGCCGTTGGCGCCGTCGACGTCGGGGCTTCCGACGGTGCCGCCGCCCACAGTCCGTCGTTGCGGCGTCGTCGTCGTCGACGTCATCGCGTCTCGATTCCGGTCAAGGACCTGAGGAAATCGATATGGTCCGTTAAGATTTTGAATTTCAAGTGATCCCTCAAGCGCCGCCCCTCTCATCATACTCACATCCTCTCAATTCTTCATAACTTGAAGCCAGTAAGTATCACACGCCCGTTCAAAATCAACCTTAACACGTTAAAAGTTGACGTTATTTCTTGACTTTCAAATTTTTGTACCCGACTTATCAAAATCTTTACTTGCACTTCTTGGGCCACGATGAGCTAAACAGAACCACCTAGAGGACAATTTTAAATAACGCTCAAGATAATGAAGAAAAATTTCGTCAAATTACTTTTCTTTAAAACTCCCCTACTACTTCCAAATTTTCCGTGTGTCATCGCAATCTGGTACTGTGAGAATCATTTAATCCAGAAAGAAAAAAACCTACCGCCGCATGGAATCCAGTGGCGACCAGCCGTGTCTCCTCCTCGTATTTTCGTTTTCCGTTTTCCAGCTCCTCTTCAAGTTGCCGAATCTTGAAAATGAGCCCGTTATCTTCCATCTAACACCTTTTGTAAATATAAAAATCCGCAAATTTCGAAAAAAGGCGTAAAACAACATTTCAAAATTCAGGATTCAACCGCAGCGCGACCGCGACGCGTTGAGTCATTCTTAATGCGACCAGAAGGCTATAATCCATAGTGAATACATAAAATTCTTGTAAAATATTCTTGTCAATTTACAAACTCTAAAGGATAGTCCAATTTTCGCGACTTGAAACTGCTGCCTTTCTCTGCGCCCTCCTAATCTCTCGGCGACCCTTTCCCTGATCACGCCGGTGAAGGAACAGAGAGACGCAGACACTCGAAAACTGTCAAGTCACGGAGAATGGATTATATCTCATGGTAGTTCATTTTTTTTCCTGATTCGCGTCATTTTTATTCACCCTTTTCTCCTTCTGCTCATTGTCCATCTGAAGCTGTCGGAACTGCTGAACGGACGTCTTGCCGCCGTCTTCGTCAACGACCTTCACGTGACTCTCCTAGAAAAATCCATCAACTTCCATTCCTTCAAAAATCATCAGACCAAGTCATCAATGACCATTTTCGCTCCTTCGAGGCCTCTGTGAAGTTTCTCGTTCTCTTTCACTTTCTTCTCCAACTCGTCTGGAAAAAGTCCAACTTGAAAATCGAGCTTTGATTCTGGAGAAACCTTCCAGATCATTGAGCCTTCTTTCCGTTCTTTCAGCCACATCCTTCGACTTTTGGCCTTCAATCAAAGCCTTTTCCAGTTGTATAGTCAAGTCAGCGACGCCGCCTTGAACCGTCAGTTGGCTGCTGTCCAATTTCTGCTGCAGATCGGCTATCTGGACCTAAACAATCTTTTTTTTTTTTGCTATTTTAGCTATTTTTGAGCCAAGCATCTATATTTTCTACGTCTTTTCAACTGTCTTTCAACATCTTTCACACTAAAATGACTTCTTTCTTGAGCTCTTCAACTATTTTTCTTCCAAACCATTAATCCCCACCATCAAGTCATCCCTCCGCTTCTCGGCGAGCTGAGCATCACCCTCCAAGGTCGCGTTTCGGTTCTTCAGAATTGAAACTTCGCCTTGAAGCTGTTCGAGTCCTTCCAGCTCCTGAACACGCTCGTGCAGCCTCTTATTCTCAACCTCGAGCTTCTGACGTTCGAACGAGCTAAAAAAAACTCATTAATTTTTGTCGAATTTCTTATTCCTACTTATTATTGAGGAGCTCGTTGTCGGCGCCCAGGGAATCGTGAAGCGATCGTTCTGTGTTGCTATCCGAAGCTGGAAGGGGAGAAATATGAAAAATTATCAACATCTCAGAAATTTAAAGCTTGTCTTCCAAATCAATAGCCAAAATCGGCAAAGACTATTCCTAAAATATTTTTTTGCGGAGAACTACTGAGAAAACTATAAATAATCTGATCAAGTAGCTGGAAAAAAAAAATGATTCTGCACAACTTTCCAACATGGTTTGTCATCAAATCAAACAAGAGAAAAAAAAATGAATCAGAAAAATATATTGGAATCAAGGAAAAAATTGAAAACATCTATAATACCAAAATTAATGAGTTCGTAGACCTAGAACAAACGGGAAAACCTTAGAAAATCATTAAAACTCAAAGTTCTCTTTCTGGATTTAGAAGAACAAATATAGTTTTGGGATGATTTTTCTTCAATAAATACAACGCTCCAAAGTACGCACTTATATAACCATTTTTCGTCTAAATCTACCGTAATTTTCTTCACAACCAACCTTGAACATCCAAAAGCTTGTTCTGCAGCTCATTCCGTTCGATCGTCAGCTCCTCTTTCCTACTTTCCAGCGCGTTATTTCGCTCCTTCATCTTCACCAGTTCATTTTCGAGCTACAAATCTCAAGTTGAAAGGATTGTTTCTCACTGGATAAACCTCCGAAATCTGCTTTTCACTGTGGACCAACTTTCCTTCCAAGCTTTCGATGGTTCCATTCAAGTTTCCGATTTGCTGGCGTAGCGTCTGGAAAAGTACGAAAATGTGTGTTTCTCGGTGAAATCCACCTTGATTTGATCACGATCCGCCGATTCAGCCGTCGATTTTGTGATGTAGTGGTCGAGGCGCGACTGTTGCAGTTTGATCTAAGTCGGAAAGATCAAGGTAAATCGAAATATTCCGCGGAAAACTTTTAAAGTCTTTTAAAACGTATCCAATCTCGAAGAGAATTTTTTCATGAGGAAACTGATTTTTGCGCTCCGCGTGGGTTTTGAAATAAGAAGTCTTCTTTCAATTATTATCCAAAACTAAGCTGAAGAAGCACAGAATAAATCAAAATATTCCGCGGAAAACTTTGAAGACTTTTTGAAACGTATCCGATATCGGAGAAAATTTTCCCATGATTAAAATGATTTTTTTGGGCCATCTCGTGGGTTTTGGAATACAAAGTATACTTTTAATTATCATTCAAATATTTATTCAATTAAACAGTAATTCAAAATCAACTCTACTCGGAAAAAGACATAGTTGAATCTCTACTCCTTCAATATTATTATCTTTGAGATCCATAATATTCTGCAAAACCTTTTTTAGCTTTTCTTTGCCAATCAAAAAAATACATTGTAAGACAACTAGAAAGTTCGAAATAGAAAAAAAAATAAATTATTATCAAACACGTTGCCCGTAGAGCACTCAATCCAACCATATTCTGCCAATTACAGCAGAAATTTCGCAGCCGGTTTATTTTACGCTTATCAATGGCTGATTGACGACTGGCTTGAGCACTCGAGGAACGGGTCCTGGCACGATTAGAAAAGAGACGGTGCCTGGTAGGTGGAGAGCGCAGACAGGCCACGCCCCTTTGAGTCCCAAGCTATCCATGGATCGGCTATATTTTCACGTAACCCTACCTTGATTATAACATGAAATGACGCCACTTTCGCGGTGATTTCCAATATTTTTCCCTTTTCTACAGACCTGAGCATCGCGTTCCTTCAGCTCCTTCTCAATCTGTTTCCGTCGTTCGCTGTCGACGCGGCTTTTGCCCAACTGATCTCTTGAGATCTCTAGCTCATCGCGTAACGATTGAATCTCGCTTTTCAGCTGGCTGACGTCGCGGTTCTGGATAACTTACCGTAAGTTTGGAAATTTTTTCTTCGTTTGAGAAAAAGTTTTCGATATTTATGCTTGTTTCATCTAACTATTCATTTCAAACCTCTCGTAGTGACAAAAACAAAACTTTAATTTTCTTATCAATCCTAACTTTTGAGCATATTATTCTTCTTTCGCCACTGATAAGATCGCGAAAAGTAGAGCGAAATCTTTTATTTTCAAGTTCAATATGTTAATTTTATCACTCACTATTCTGAGAATTGCAATGACTTCAATGAAAAAACAGGGAATTTTCAATTTCATCAAAACAGAAAAATCTTCTCTTTTTTTTGAGACATACGGCCTAGAAAGTTTCATTTCCTTGTGGCCTATTACTTGAACCCGAACATTTACAGCAAAATAATGAAATAGTAGCGTAAATAACATTCTTTTTCCCCTTTTTCATTCTCAAAATGCCCAAACCCTCACTTCGGTCATAAGCCTGGTGTTGTTCTCCGTCAGTTCCTTGACCGACGTCCTCAACGAGTCGAGGAGGCCTTCCTGCTCACTATGTTTATCTTCAGACTCCCGCAGTCTTTCCTATAAAAAAAAACCTTTGTCTTTTTAATTTGAAAACACCACCTTGAGATTCTTGTTCTGGTCCTCGAGAAAAGTGATGGCCGGATCGCTGGTGCTCGCCTTGGCCGCCATTTCCGACTCCCTTAGCGCCACTTGCATCGTCTCCAGCTCCAGAGCCAGCTTATCCCGTTCCCGCGCAGTTTCGCTCAACTGAAATTAGATAATGTATTTTCTTTTCTAAAGAAGGAAGTTGATTCAGCCCGAGTCTACGTTCGATAAAGAAGAAGCTCATCGTCGGAATGCTCAAATTTCAATTGGAAGAAGAGAAAATGATTTTCGAGTCTATCTTGGCCAACGATATTCCGCAAACCGAAGATAACTTCTTTCTTTATTCCATGATTCAGCAAAAAATTTTCTCTAGAGACTAAATAAACTTGTAACGTGTAAACTCTACGTTCGAATCTTTGAAAGTTAGACTTAAAAAATGAGAGGTCTGGCGTTTTTCTCTGTAAACAGCCTCCTGTTTACCAGTACTCTCTAACTTTTGAAGATTCAAACGTGGTGGCTTCAGGGGCTTCGAATGAAACTCGACTAAAATGATCTTCAGGACCTCGAACAAGACATTTTCTTCTCAAGGTAGAGCTCGTTTCCGAGTTTTTACGCTTTATAATTCGAAAAAATCAACTAATTATGAAAAAAAGAGCTTGCTGATGCTTGTGAACCGTTACATCTCAAAAAAAAGTTTATTGCAAGAAATTTTATTTTGGGATCAGGAACTTTTGAAATTCACTTCAAAAGAGCTTCATGGAAAGATCGAGCACGGGCTAAAAATCCTCTTGTAAGTCATTTTTGAGGCAAAAAATTCGAAATTTCGAGCTACATTATTAAGAAAAGGTAAGAATCGTTTGCCAAAACTTCAAACCAAACGAAAGAATCAATGATAGAACAAAAAACCGTGTTTGATAAAATTTCAAGAGGAAATCAAACAGTTGCAAGTAGACATTGCGTCGGCGGAAATTTATCACACAATAAAAAAACAAATGAAAAAAAAAGAGTTATCTGATACCATCAACTCTCTCTTCAAAATTCACGCTCTCTCTGCTCTTTTTCTCTCCCTTATTGTATTGGAAACGTCGCAGACCATGAAAAAACCAGTTCTGATCATTCCGTGGGAAAAAAGGCCCGCGATAAACAAGCTTTCAATATAGTTATCATAGAGAAACTCGAAAAAGCTTGACAAAAAGGCTTTATAAACCATATACGTAACTTCGTTTTTAGCTCGAAGTCATGTGATACGAAAAACGTATAGAAACGAAAAATAAAATTTCTATTTTTTTCTTAAAAAAAGTTTTGAGACTCTGTTGATTTAACAATTTCATTCGCTAGTTAGATAAAATTTTTTTCTACTAATACTGATCAATTGAATTTGCATTCATCAGCCGGGGAAAAATTTTTAGAATAATAATTTTTAAATTTTTTTCCAAATTTTTTTAATAATTTTCTAGCGCTTGCGAAAAAAATCTCTTCAAGAGATAAATAATTTCAACTGAGCTTTTCTATTGTGTTGTTCTTCAAACTCGCATACTTTTTGTAGCGAAAACTCCTTTTCAAAAAAGTTAAAGCCCAAAAACCGCTTTCGGTGCATGCACAATTTTAACCTACAGTACACTAATCGGAACGAGCTGATCCCCTTTTCTAAAACTACTTTTTTTTCTGAATGACCTGTGTGGTCAACTTCTGGAGCTGATACGACTCGACGACTTCACTTCCACTGGAAATTCTGAACGAAGACTCGTTGAGCCGATCGGAGACGGCGGCTTCTGAAGCTGCGACGGCGTCGTTGTCATCGTCGTCACCTCCTTTGAGGGTTCCGAGAGCCGGGATTTCCGTCAACACCTCCTTGACCATGTTGGCGACGATGCGCATGCAATCTGGGGCCGTCGAAGTGAGTTCCGAGGAGTACGGTACGATTTCTGAAGGTAAGCGAATCCATTTGGTGGAAAAATTCGAAAAAACAAGGAAAAAAAATTCAAAAAATCAACCAGTTAATACATATTTTTGAAAATTCAAGGAAGGAATCAACAGATAGATATGACCTCTGAAGTTCAGGAAAAAATTTGGAAACTCAGCCGGTAAAATATTATTGAGAAGACCAGGAAAAATTCAAAAAATGAATGAAGTTCTCCAAAATTTAAAACAACATTTTCATTTATTTATAATCTTCGCAAAAATTCCACCAACTTTTAGCAGTCGGCCCGAAATGAGCGACGCCGACAATCAACGTGGCAAGGTTCAAGACAACCGGAAGGTCCGTTTCGACGGTACCTGAAAAATCAAACTTGGGATAAAACTCTGAAAATCTCTCAAAAAACCATTGATGAAAGCGTCCTGGTGATTCCAACGTTCCGTCTCAACACGGCACCCGAGTTCTATCGTGATATAATTGGTCAGTTGTCGCATGAGCTGCAAATGTTCCCCAATCCCAATAATCAGTGGATTCTTGTTGATTTTGAACTTATCGGCGTTAAAAGTATACGCAGCTCTTTGAAAATTCAGTTTGAAAATGGAAATTTTCTAGATTCCTTAATATATCTTCTCATTTTCTTTCAAGCCTTGAGAAACGAAAAGAAAACCTTCGAAATACTAAAAAGTATGGAAAATCACCAACTTCTGAATATTTTGGAAGGAATTTTTGAAAGAAGAAGCTTGAGTAAATGGAAATTTTTATTATATCTCTAGATCCTCTTTAATTCAAAGACTCCCTAGCTTTTTTTTTACCTCATATTTTTCAAACTTAAAACTAGTTAATCAGGAGAGCTATATTTTTTTTAGAAAAAATGAAAATCCACTTTTCTTTTTGAAATTAGAAATTTCAGTTTTCTTTCTAGCTTTACTTCGGGGTTTCACAATAACTAGAACAGATTGAAAAAGATCAATAAAAAGTCCCATTTTGATTTTGAAACCTTCCTAATAGCGCTCCTTTTCACGTGATTATTCGTCACCGAATTCCCCTTGACAATTGTGTTGAGCCAAGCGTCGTCAAACGTCCGTTCTTTGCTGAAAATTCTCTTTTTTTGTTTTAAAATCTGAGAAAATAACTGACATAAGGTGTAGGAACTCTGCGAAAACGTGACAATTGCACATGGCGATCGGATCTTCCAAATCGAGTTGTCTTGCTCTGTGGAAGCCGGGGAATCCGTGGAACTGTAGGAAAGAGGATTTTTTTTTATATTTTGATTTTAAATCAGCATGTATCATATTTTTAAATAGAAAAATAACGATTTTTGTCCGTCCCGCTCTTTTTTTTGAGCCTTAACAGCAGTTTCAGAGCTATTTTAACTTTGCTTACTTCAGTGCTTTTTCGTCGTCATTTTGTGGCTTTCGGACAAAAAAGGGCTAACTTCGTACTCATAGAGATTTTTTTACACCATTAAATATCACTATTTTACCCAGGAGGCGAGCTTCTGAAGTTCGTTTTTCATCTCCGCCAGCTCTTCGGGGCTGGGCGGCGGCTTCGACGGACCAGCATTGACGCGATTTTCGATGTCGCTGCTGCTGTCGCGGACCACGCTGTCCGTGTCGCTCTCCAGAGCCATTTTCAAGGACGGACTTTCTCGATCCTCAAATGGAAGATTTAGTACAAGTTTTAAACATTTTTTCACAAGTAAGTTTCATAGTGTCTGTTTAGATTTGCAATGTCAAACAGCGAACTCCGCCCCCGATGGAACAGTAACTTTTTCGGATCGAAATTTTAACGCTGCTCTTTCTGATAATTTTTAATCTATAGTGCGTTCCGGGCGAGAAATGCTCAATTTTGATCTAATTTGGTATACGGTCTTTTTAGCGGAAAAAAAGTGACAAGCTGACGCGGAATGGACTATACCAGCCCGAAAATGGTAAAAAAAAAAGCAACGCTATTAAAGGATTTCTTTCGTTCGCTAAAAAACTGCGACGCGAAAGATGCTGTATAGTCTGTACAGATTTTGAATGTCAACCAGCTAACTCCGCCCCTGCTGAGACGGTACCTTTTCGCATCGATGTTTCATCGCGCGGGACTAATTTTGATCTTTTTCGATCTAAAAGATGGAAAAAGAGGTCAAAAAATCAGCCTTATTAAAGGGCCATTGGCATATGTAGATAAAAAATTAACGCGAAAGATATTGTAGCCTTGGGGGTGGAGTTAGCTGCTTGACATTCAAAATCTGAACAGACTATAGCCACAGGGGCGGAGTGATATTCTTCAACTTCAAAATTTAAACAAACTATAGTGTACTTTGTGATCACACTTTTGAAACAAAGCATAAAAAAACTACCGTAACCACAACTTTTTTTCATGCACTGTTACTCTACAAAACTGCAAAAAAGTTCTCGAAGCGAATAGTTTGGTCAAGTTAAAATAATGGTATTTTTGCAGAAAAAATAACGAGACCGCCTGGCACGGAATATATAAAATATTCTAATCTCTTCAGAAAAAAAAAACAAAAAACAAAACGACCAACCTCAGCTTTTTTCGGATCTATTTGAAGAAATGAAGTCGCGTGTAAAACCTTTAAAAACCGATAAATTAAACTTTTGTCGAATCGCAGAAAATACGACGAAAACGACGTGAAAAACAGGAATTTTGAGGAAGTTTCAGCAAGAGAGCAAATGAAAAGTTCGATCTACAGAGGTCAAAAAAGACAGAGATGGCCTGAAATTGATGGAAAAATCATTCCGCTCGAGCCATGTTATTCCAAAAATGGATATTCGCCGTTTTCCTGCCGGTTTTAATCAAATCCGATGACCAATGTGGACGCCACGCCGACACCGATTCGATGGCCGAAGCCAGGGCTTTCCTGGGACCTTTTGGAGCGGATGTGAGCCTTTTTTTTGATTTAAAAAAAATTTTGGGAATGTAATTTTAGAAAGAAGATCGATTTTCAAAATTCTCCTTTCGAAAATCTCTTTCGACTTTAGATTTGATAAACTTTTAAGGAAAAATGTTGATTATCTCTTTAATCAAGATTTGATAGTTTTTTTTCTGATGATTCACATTCCAAAGATTCTTTATAGAAGGAATAAATACTCAGTAGGAGAAACAAACTAACTTTCGCCTTTTTTTTTAATGAAAAAGGTTCTTTTTTCTGATTAGATGATCTCATAGCCGACTTTGCCTACCTTTGAACCAATTTCAAAAATAACAAAATCGTAATTTGTCTTCTTGTTCACAATGAAATTTTACAAGGTGGACGGTTAAATATTCGAGGAAACTTTGCAAGCAATCTAAATAAGAAAAGATTCTTTGAATTCCCAATTAAAGCCTTCTCTTTTAGTTCCCTTAATTTTCCTTCTTCAACAGAACTCTACACAACTGCCAGAGCACCGACTGATCGGAGGAGTGGAGACCAAACCGCGAACCTGGCCTTGGACAGTCCAGCTCTTGCTCCACGGACATCATCGATGTGGCGGGGCTCTCATCGACTCTCAGTTTGTGCTCACTGCGGCGCATTGCCTTTCGAGAAAGTTTGTGTTTTTTTTCTCAGCTTTTATGCGATTTTTCTAGATTTCCTTACATTTATTATGCCGATTCAGTTCTTGCGATTGAGACTTTCTCATAGATTTCCTATTTTTGCGTGGATCTAGGTATAACATATGGTATTGCGAACCTCAATATCGTAGAAACTTTGAAAGAAAAATCGTCAATCCAATTGTTCTGTATCAAAGTAACTAAAAAAGTTGAAAGCGAAAATTTAAAAAAAAATTTCTTAGGGACCATAATATTAGTCAGTATGACTTCAAACACTCTAGAAGGACATTTTTCAGAAAGATTTCCAGAAGTTAAAAAAAAAATTGAATATTCAGTCAAATACCCCAACACTACACGGTCCGAGTTGGAGGTCAGCAATCTCACACCGGCTCAAAACATCGCGTCGTTCAGTTCTCATCACATTTTCTCTACAATGTCGGCGCCCCTACGGCTAACGACCTCAGTATTGCACAGTTGGTTCTTTTTTATTACAACGTACAATTAGAATTTTCTACTCTGTTCAAATCGCTAGAAAATCAAGAATTTTTGAGGTTATGCATGTGAAACTGACGCCTAGGAGAGTCCGATAAATTATATATTTTTTGAGGTGGAATTCATAATGCCGTGTTCAAAGTAATTTCCGTGAAATGCGAAATGGTCTCTGACTCTCCAAAATTAGGTTATCTTTTTTTTTTCTCTGACGACTATTTTGAATTTCGCGGAATTACTTTGAACACGGTTTAAAGAAAAAAATGTCTTGTCAAGAAAAGTTTTTTTAATATTCTGAAGATTTTTGGAAAAATGTCAAAAAAATCACAGGATCGATCCTCCAGTCAACATTAGCGAGAACGCCAGGACGATTTGCCTACCAAAGTGGCCAGTGGAAGAAAAATCGAATTTGTGTGGTAACAGGTGGGAGAAGAATTTGAATATTAAAGAAATTCTGTTGATTCGAAGCTTTTAAGAAACTCGAGAGTACGACAATAAAACTAAAAATATCGTACATTCAAAACTTTTTTGGGATGATTCAAAGTGAAAAAGCCAAATAAGCATTTTTTAATGAAAATGAAAAATTTTACGATAAATCTTCGAAGAGAGGAAAAAATTCAGAGGCATAGGCAAAGTCGGAAACGGTGGAAAAAGGCTTCATAAAATCTTTTTTAGAATTACAATTTTTGGCCCATTTCACCGGCTCTTATGCACCATTTTTGCTGCCTCACCCTTTTTTCAACATTTTTTAAGACTTTAAAACCCCAGAAAAAATAGAAGACTCTTTTTGCTGCTCTTCTGCAGCCTTTTTTGAGCCTCTTCCTTTTAGCGGCCATTATCCATCATTCCAACTTTGCCTATGCATAAAACGGAAAATTTAGCTTAATTAACTATTTTCCGAGCCCTACGAATCAATTAATTCGTTAAAACAGGCTGGGGATCATTGTACGAGAACGGACCACACACGCAGAAACTCCACGAGATTCGTGTTCCGATCATGCCTTTTTGGGAGTGCAACAACTTGCCGCAGTTCGCCGGACGCCTACATTATTCGTCAATGATTTGTGCCGGTTATAATCATGGCTCTATCGATTCTTGCCAGGTTGGAGCTGATTTTCTATCACAAATATAAAAACAGCGAAAAAAGTCAGCTTCCTTGGCAAAAAAAAAAGCCGTTTCAGAAAGATCTAGTTCATTCACATCCACCTCTCAAATGCTATATGGCTAGGCCGTTTCAAATTTTCTCACCCTGCAAAGAATTCTAAAAATGATGAGAGAATGAATCGCTACAACTTTGATGGATTTTCGCTCTTCAGATCTAGTTAAGGAAATGATAACTGTTTTCTCTATTCGAATTCAACAGCTAATGGCTGAATTTGAAAATCAGATGATTTTAGTAACAAAAAAAGATTTTTAAGGTTCTCAGTTGAAAAAAATCTTAAATTTTTCTTATTGAAAAAAAAATCATATCAGTTTTGGAATGGCTCGAAGCCTTGGAAATGAAATTTTTTTTGTTTTAAAATGAGGCTTCTGTACTGCGTGAAAATGCTTTTAAACTTTCAAAAAAATTAGGTCGATGAAAATAAAAAAGACGCTGGGCAATTCAAAAGCACAGACTGGCCTGAGCTTTCATTTTTTTTTTTGAAGCAATTTCCCTAGGCTTCTTTGATTATGAAATCAACCTTCAATCAATCAACTAAGGACCTAATTGAAGGGAGATAGTGGCGGACCGCTAATGTGTGCAAACGAAGGCCGCTGGGAGGTGGCCGGAATCGTCAGCTGGGGCTACGGCTGCGGCCGGCCAAGAAACCCCGGAATCTACTCGAACGTTTTCGCCGCCAAGGCTTGGATCGAGATGGAAATGTTCCGCATGAAGTTACTAACCAGATAATCCAATTTTCACTAACTACTTACACGTATCATAATTTCTCTAACGCTTGCTCACTTGTGAATCATAAAACTTTCGAGATTTCCTTTTTCAACAAGGAAAAAATGATAAAGGTTTTTGGGAGATCTATCATTCAAGAAGAAAGTTTTAAACGGAGCCTTTTACAATAAAAACGCCAATCTTTGCAGATTCAATCTTTTTCGATATATTATTCATAAATTCTACCGAGAGTCTTAATCATAAGGTCGGGCGCGGAAAAAAAAAACCGATAGAAAATAGTGGAAATAAAGAGAACAAAAATATAAACGGGATTTCTATCCGTTCGAAACTCAGAAAATCAAAGTTTTTACTAGTTTGTTCAATATTTATTCAATCATAAGCGAGAATCGGCACCTGGAAAGAAGGCATTTGAAGCAAATAAGTAATAATGTCATCAAAAATGAACCGTAACATAATGAATCGGAGACTAGGGAATGCAAGCACGAAAAAAGTTAGGCAAAGCGAGGAATTTATACATGATTTAATTACATTTTCCGTCTTGTGGCAGTGTAACGGTCCTGATAAGCTTCGTAGCCGTTCAAGTCCTGGAAAAAAAAATTAAAGGGGAAAACTCGGAAAAATTATAATAAAGCAAATAGTTTCTATAACAAAACACTTAACTTTATTTTTGAATTTTTTTTTACACTTTAAACAAGTGAAATTTACCTGAAACTCTCTGTCCTGGAACAAGTTGCCATTGAAGGCGATTAAGCTGATTTGGGACTTTTCCAAGAGTTCCCGGGTGAATTCCGTCTTGGCCAGGCAGTTTTCCTCAACTCTCAGAGAACGGAGTCTTGGACATTCGATTAATTTTGTGGCGTTGAGGGAGCGTAATCGATTCTGGTTCAGTGATAGTTCGATAGCTTTCAAGTCGCCTATCTGAAAAATTGAAATAAAAATAAATAAAAGTGGCACCAGGAAAGTATATTTGATGTATCGAACCACGTTTCCGCTATATATCCAGAAATAAATTTAGGCTGTAAGGTTAGAGAAAAACTTAACTATGTGAACTAATTGAAAGAATATTAATGAGAGAGGATGCATGATGAAGAAAAATCTGTAGGGTCCAAATAAAATTCTGGAAATTATGGGAAATAGTTAGATAAATAGAAAGCCCAACAAGTTTTTTTTTAAATAATGAACTTCTTTTTAAAAAGTTGAGAGAAATCTTCTTCAAAAGCTGTTCTTCGAACTTTTATTGAAAATTTCCCTTTCTTTAAATTAATCATTCAACACTCTGGGACTGTAGCGAACCTCATCGGGCAGTTCCTCAATACAATTTGAGTTCAGATTGACAAAATCAATCTGCATGACACAAAAAAGTGCCCGCGGGAAGACGGCAAACTCGTTTGAAGACAAATCGATCGATCGCAAATCCGTGCAGCCGGCAATAGTGTCAGGCAACGTTTTCAGCTTGTTTCCACCCAAATTCAAAATCTCCAACTTCTTCATCTGACCGATCTCGTCAGGTAAACTTTCTGTAACCACAAAACTGTGGGTTTGAAGCCCAAAAATTGACAAACCTAATACATTATTGGAAAAGTGAAGTTGTTTGAGCTGTGAAAAGCCGCCGATGAAACTGGGAATCTCGCGAATTTTGTTCTCACTCAAATCGAGTGTTCGTATAATTTCAGCTAGCTATAAATTGAGAATTATATAACTTTATTTATCATATTTTCTAACCTGTTCAACTTCTTCGGGCACTTTTTTCAATCCTGAACCTTTCAGCTGCAAAATCCTGCTTTTGCTGGCCATTTCAAGATGCTTATTGACGGTGGATGTTGATGGACCTGACTTACCTGAAACTTCAACATGAAAAATAGATTTTTATAATGAACCACCTATAATCTTCTTCAGCCCACCGCTTCCTGCTGAAGACCTTGGTTTTGAGGAGTCGTTACCCATATCCTCGAAAAGGAATAGATGAAAAGTGTTCATTTAAAGAATGAAGTTTAAGAAACACGAGAAACAAGTATTAGCAAAACAACTACATAAGTTTAAACTTTATATGCTTTTACCACAAAAATTTGAGAGAAAACATTTTTTTCGAAAAAAAGAATCATATTTTAAAAACCATTTTTTTTGAATCCGTAGTTAAATTTTTAAAAAAATCTATTGGGTCTATAGACTATAGATTTATAGTCCGTTGAAATTTTCTGAAAACTGAAAATTGTTGTTCATGTCGTAAGATAAAACGCACGCCCCGCAAACACTTGGTTGCACAAAAACCGGTAACAGTCCACCAAAAATTACCTCCGCTTTATCTTCAGCCTTCGAAAGATTGTTTTGTGAAGTGATTTTCCATGTTTTTGGAGCTTCTTCGAGCAAAGATTCAATTTCGAAGCGCGATAGTTGATTTTCGTCCAGTTGAAGAACTTTGATCCTTTGACATTTGACGATTTTATCGCTATTTATTGTTCTCAGCCTGTTTTTGGTCAAACTCAAAGTAATCGCTTTGAATTCTTCTATCTGAAATGAATTAAGTTTTTAAAATTCTTATACGTATTGACAACCTCATTTGGTATCTGCTCGATTCGATTGCCACTCAAATTGACAGTCTCAAGGTTTGTCAAAGAAAAGGAGCATAACCCAAGTGGAAATTCCGTCAGCCAATTGTTGGAAAAGTCGACTGTTTTAAGTGATACGCAATTAGCAAGACTTTTTGGCGTAGAGAGAAGTTTGTTGTTCTGAACGATAAACGTTTCGAGCTTGTCCAGCGTTCCAATCTCATCAGTAATTGCATCTAAAACTCCTCATATTTATAGATTATCCTCAACTGAAACTCACCAAGCAAATTTCTAGACATGTTAAACTGCTTCAATTGCGTAAATTTTCCAATCCATTGAGGCAACTCGTCCACGTAGTTGTCACTCAGATCAAGGTTGCGAAGTACGTTCGAGAACTTAGGAAAATGCTCATTTATTAGGAAAAAAAAAATTCAAAAACCTGCTCAATTTCCTGAGGAAATTTTCTTAAAGCAGAGTCTTTCAACTGCAAAATTCGAGTTTTCGGCGCGTTCGCCAGACGCATCTTAACCGTCGAGTTGTACGAATCGATCCCCATTCTGAAGTTGGCATCAATCAAAAAAAAAAGTTACTATAAAAAAAGCACTAGTATCAAAAAATTGAAGAAGATCTGAAGGTTTGCCCAATGACTTTGAAGATTTCTCACGCGCATTGAGTTCATTTTTACGCTCCGTCGAAACCATACTCTCTTCTGGCGCTCCGCCAAACGGAGTGTTTCCGTTTTTGTTTCATAAAAAGTTTTTGTTCCGATTAATATCAATAGTAAATTATTAAAATTTGCAGATGACTTCGGCGGAAGACATGGACGCCGCAATAGCAGACATAGAAAAGAAGGTAACTTATCACGCCTTTTTTTTATAAATCTTAGTTTTTTTCAGATTATTTCGTATTGCAACTTGGTACCCGTAAATTTCTGGGGATTTGATGAAGATGTAAGAGAAAAATTGCGTCAGAGAAAACATCGGATGCTCAACAAAAAACTCAGTACAAGTTAGCACACTTTTGAGAATTGATTCTTATTTTTTCTTGCTTTAGAAGAAAAGCAACGTCTTCCATCATCTAAAAAGCAACAATTAGCACGAGGGATCGGTGCAGTTCCGTCGACAGTCGTCGAAGTTCTCGACTGGATGTCAAAAAGCGGATTTGCCAAGGTCCAGCCGACGGTAAGCTCTGAATAATTGCTTTTTTAGATATTTTGAGCAATTTAGAATCCTGCAAACATTCCAAACCCGAAAACAAAGGCGTCTGCGTCTTCAAACAGTGAGCCGCCAGCTAAAAAGCCGAAAACAGAGGTATTCGTAGAAAAATTGAAGGATTTTTCAATGTTTCTAGGTGACAAAGAAGGTCGAGCCTGTCGACAAGACGAAGGATGGCGAGGAAAGTGAAGACGATTCTAGTGATGATGAAGCTGACGCGACATCTTCTGAATCTACCAAGAAGACTGTCAAAAAGTGGGGAATTTCATTCGATTGAGGTATTACAAGAAGTTTTAAGGGAAGCGCCAGAAGAAAGTGGCGATGAGCAAGAAGACGACGATACCACTGATGAAGAAGACGTGGAAGAAGAGAAAGTTGAAATTGAGAAAAAGCCAAAGGTTCCGGTTCAACAAAAAGCTGAAGTCAAGATCCCGAAATCCGATTTGAAACTCGACAGGGTGCGTTTTTACAAAGAGTTGATTGGAAATTTTTTTTTCTTTGGGAAGAAAAGCGGAGTAATAGAAACTTCAACTCTGTATCAACTGTTCGAGAAAAAAGAACTAACAAAGATTTTCAGGAAATTGAACGATTGGAGAAAGAAGATGCTGGAAAAGGCGATGATCCCGAGTTGAAACGCCAAATCGCGCAGTTGAAACTGCAGAAAAAGCTCAAGGAAATGAAATGTTTGTTTTGAATTAACATGGATCATTTTCCATAATAATTCACTTCTCAGTGAGCCGCAAAGGTACCTCCAAAACGAAAATGACCCCAGCGACGGCGGCGAAACTCGAAGAAGAACGGAAAATGAAGCGAAGGCTGAGCAAAATGAAGATGAAGCAACGTCGCGCCGAAGCGAAAAAGGCCGCCAATGGCGAAAAACCTGTCAAGTTGGTTTTGAAACGTTTTTGCCGTGTTCAAAGTAATTTTCTTGAGATTGAAAAACATCTTGAACTCTCTAAAAGTTAGTCATCTTCCCCAACCTCTGGCGGCTTTTTCGAGTTACCCGGAATGACTTTGAACACGGCATTCAATTTTTTCGAATTTCCTGGTAAAGAAAAACTTCAACTTTCTTTCCAGAGGTGAAACCAATGAAACCGCCGACGAAGCAAAAGAAAACGGAGATACGGTATCTCACTGTATTTTTCAGATTTCTAACAAATTTTTTGAAGGATGGTGAGAAGCTCAACGTTGCTTTCAACAAGTTCCAATTCGAAATCAAGGATGATTTGAAAGGAAAGAAAAAGAGGGTAAGAAGTTGTAAGAATTACGAGAATTTTCCGTTTTTTCTAGACCCCCAAAAGCGAACGAGCGCTGAAGCTTTCTGGAAAGGACTACACGGCTTTGATTAAGAAGGTGATTTTAAAAAATTCATTAGATTTAACTTTGAGTATCAGACTCAATGTATCTATTTTCCGCTTCATTCACGCTTTTAGCAACCTTTTTCACTTTGTTGAACCTTTTACGAAGAGTCATTAATTTTCAGGTTGAAAAAACGAACGCAGTTATCGACAAGGTCCGAGAAGCGGATCCTCACAAGGCCGAGATCATGGAGGACGAGTTGAAATGGGAGAAAACCTTGAAAAGAGCCTCTGGGGTCAAAGTCAAAGTAACCCAAACAATTTTTTGCTTTTCCCATTGTTTACATGCTCAGGACAACGTTGAGATGCTCAAACGAGCCCAACACAAGAAGGAAAAGCTGAAAGATCGCAAAAAAGCCAAGTGGGGACAACGGGAAGAGCGGGTTGAAAAGGAAAAGGCCACCGTAAGCTGAAAATGAAGACATGTGTAGATGAACCGGTTGAATGTTTCAGAAGAAGGAGAAACGGGACAGCAACATCCAGAAGCGGAAAGACGACGCCAAGAAGAGAAAGCTGGCGAAAATGCGCAAAAAGGGACGTATTCTGTAAATGTTTTCAGAGTTTCTTGTTATTTTTTGTTGTTGTTGTTATCTCATTTCTTTTTGTTATGATCATAAAGATTAACTTTTTTTATTTCGCATGAAATCAATTTCAAAAAGCCTTTTACCTCGGATAAGCCTAGAGTTAGGAAAAACTTTGAAAACAGCTCTTAGCTTAAGAACTAATCAATTATACTTGTTTAGAAGTCGTGTTTAGGGTCGTTTGTTTAGAAGACCTAAGAAGGATCTCGAAAAAACTTTTTGAGAAAATTTTCAGTGGAAATCGAAAATTTTGTCCATATTTTGAGCGTATTATCCTGTCAACCGTACATACGTAAGGGATATGCGAGAAAAACCGGTCTTTGTGGGTGGATGTCATTTTTTTAATGGCCATTCTTTCTGTTCTCGGCCTACCTTTTCGCAGTGATCCTTTGACCTGATTAATAATAAAACTAATCTTCTTCATGATTCCAAAGCTATTTGAACACTCACTGAACAAATAAATATATGTCAAAAATGACGCTGACTGTTTGCTTATTTTTTTTCCTTCTTTGCTAAAAAGATCCGAAACTGATAAGAAGAAGCTACACAGTTTGCAAACTTTATTGACTTATTAGTGGTGGAAAAACGTTGCAGATTAATTAATGATCAGTTTATCATTTGAACAATAGAATAAATCAAATTAGCGGGTCCAAATTGAGTGAAATTTAGATACCAAAAAAAATTCTTTTTCTTTCTACTGTTCGTGGCTTCTCTGAACACACTGACTGCGTACTTCAAACATAATTAATTTTTTTACGCGCAATTAGATCAGGGCAAGCCCTTTTATTTTCTTATTTTGCATCTGTGCTTCGAGATGTGTCGTCACAGTTTTTATTACCCCCTTTTTTATTGATGTATCCCTACAAGAATCGAACAAGCGGTAAACACTGGTCGCGTCGTTGTTTTCAAGTGGCTCTGTTTTTTTTTCTCCGCTGGGTTTAGGCGTTGGGAAAACTGTCCGGTCCGGCTTTTGGTGATTTCTTCGAAACGTTTGTTTTTTTTTCCGACTTTTGCTCTGAAGCTTCAACCTTTATCTGTGTAGCTTGTTTTTCAGAGAGATTTCTTTTTTTTTCAAATTTTAAACTTTCGAGATGTTTTTCAAATGCAGTCTTTTTTTTTATTCATCCGAATTTCGAAATTCGGAGAAGGCTTATTGCCTGATCTGAAAATCAGAAAAGCAGCTGAGGTTAGCTCTTTTCGAAATAAATTGATTTTCAAAAGAAGTAGATACTTTGGGCTAACGCAGATATTTTTTGAAAACTCTCCAGCTTTGCTAAGGTTTTTTTTCGGATTAGTTTTATTGACATGTATTCAGCTAGGCTTTTCACAGCTTTCAATGACAATAGAAGGTAATATTAAGCTTTCGGAAAAGCGCCGCAGTACCCCACCCACACATCCGCAATTTTCTCCATTTTTCAACGTTCCTAGCAGTATATTTCCCTTTTCTTGAGCAAAATGTGGAAAAGGATGCTCTCAAAAAAGACAGATTCAGAAAACATTTTCGGTAAGCGTTAATTGATTACTTTTATCAGTTTTCCGTTTGATTCTAATTAGAGTTGAATCGAATTTTTCCTTCTTTTGTGTCGTGTCTAAACCTATTGAGAACAAGACTTTTGGTCTTTCTAACGTTTTCGCGGACCGCTGACTCTTTCAAATCAAATTTCAAAAGATTGTGGTTCATTTTTGAGTCCAAGGCTTATTGACTTTTTGTATTTTTCAAAAATTCTTGTTGTAGTTTTCAAAAGCGCAGAAATATTCACTGAGAACAACTATTATGCCGTGTTCAAAGTAATTTCCGCGAAATGCGGAATTGTCTCTGACCCTCCAAAATTTAGTTATCTTTCTCTTTCTCTGACGGCTATTTTGAATTTCGCGGAATCACTTTGAACACGGCATTAGCAGCGAGGCCGTTATCAGGATATTTCATTTTATTTTCATAATCCAGCAAGTAATTTTTTGCAAAAGTTGTGAATCAGGGATTAATTCAAAAATATTTGTCAAATAACACAGATTGTAGGCAATTTTCTAGTTCTTGCATTGTTTTGTATTCACCTGGTCTCGGATAATAGGAAATGACTCCTACAGAAGGAAAATTGTTCAATTGGCCATGTGCCACGACCAGTTTTCACTTCAAAACTTTCAAATTCAGTGTGTTTCAATTCAGTCTATTTGTGGTCTGTTTCAATTCAATCTTATTTAATTCAGTCTATTTTTGTGGTCTGGAAAAATTTTTGTTCCTATTTTGATATTTTCAGTTTTTCATGAGCTGAAGATATTCACGTCATTTTATATCACTTCTTGCAGTTGGAACATCTTCAATAATTCATGAATAGTATATTCCAAAAAAGAAGGAAGTTTTTGGTGTTCGTGTGGAGTGATAATATAACTTTTCTTTAGTTTTTTTTTTTGCAAGGAACGGTATAAAAGGAGGAATTTAGAAAGTTCGTTCAGTTCAATTTCACTTGACATTGCGTTGAAGTCATTTTTTTGGATTTCTTTTAAATATAATAAACTACTCTTCATTCTCAATATTTCTCTGGAAAAAAATCTCAAGCTGTCACATTTGGAAGGGAAACATGTGGAAAGCTGGCACACCGGAAGAGCGATTTTCGTCCACCTTCATTTTTCTTTTCGTTTCCAACAACTGGCAATGGCTACTATACGTTTCCCGCAAAAAAAAAGGTGGATGAATCATGTATCCATGGCGTTCAAATGTCCTTTTTTGGTGGTCAGTTGGGCGAGACTTCTGAAGAAGTTTTTTTTTCATTTTTGTATGAATTTTTGAATTTTACTCAATCACTTTTTCTCTGGTATAGAAACGAGCAGAGAATTTGTGAAAGTTTGATAATTGAAGGAAAGTTGACAAAAATTAGTTTTCGAAGCTTATTATTCAAATCGGAAAAGAATCTTTTCAGTTCTTACCTTTAAAGCTTGTGGATTTCGCAGCCTATGTCTTTGTAACTCTAATCGAAAAATAACCTGGATGTTCTTTAATTATTTGTCGTTGAGAGTCAGGAGAACCTGGATCCGTTTGAATTTTGATTTTTTTTTTCTCTGCAGACGGTCTCAATTTTAGACACGCCTGTTTGATCAAAACCTTCCAAAAGAAATATAAACATCTTCACTCAAAGAAGAAGCATTTTTGTTTCATTTAACGCTCTTGATGAGCAAGACGCCGAAAATCTTATTATTGCCTCTTTGAAATTGGAAAGCGAAGACGGAAAAAAAAGTGGTGGAAAGGCTTTTCTTCCGGCTTTCAAATAACCAATTCATGGGCATTTAAGAGAGGGCCTTGCCTGCCAACCAATTTGATTGTTGATTTCTGATTTGGCCTTATTTTTTTGCGTATCTTCTTCTTAATTCGATAATTCAATCAATCACTGAATAGTTGTAATGTCGCTTTATCGATAAAGAGAAATTGGGGATTTTTCGAGCCTAAAATGGGCATCGGAAAGCTTATAATTGACATTCGTCCACCTGTGAATCGTTAATTAGGACAGCATTCAGCTCCTGAGTGCTTTTAGGCCTCGGCGAACCCTTCTCTCCACATTTATTCTGAAATTTTTTATTTGAAATCCTTATTATCAAAACCTTCTGGCAACCGGAGCCGAGTTCTCAGTGAGAAATCAGAGCCCAGCTGTCGTGTCTTCGGTAGTATAGTGGTGAGTATCCGCGTCTGTCACATGCGAGACCCGGGTTCAATTCCCGGCCGGAGAGAAATTCTTTTTGACACTTTTTTCATCCATTCCTCATAATCCTTTCACCGTTCTTTTGTTCGAAAAGTTTTTCGACACCCATTTTTCATTTATCCCCCCGTTTAATTCGCTTTGAAAGTTTTTTTCTCAATAACCGAGCTTGATTCTTTGTTTTAGTTTTCAGGTAAATATGCCGACGCTAGATCCCGCGAACTTTGATCGATTCTTTCGCGTTTTGATTTGTGGCTCCAGTGGGGTTTGTCAATTCGAAACGAGTTTTAAATTTTCAAAAATAAATTAAAGGTTGGAAAAAAGACGCTTTTGAAGTCTTTTTGTACGGATGGAGATGGCGAGGACACGTGGGCCTCCTTTGTACTCGATGGCGAGAAAATTCTCGTAGTTGGAAAAACAAATAAAATGGTTAGTATCAATGGAAAAAAGAAAAACTGACACACCCATCGAAAATTGATGAATGTTTTCGTCATAATCTTATGTACTGGATTTTCATAGAGCATCTTAATTTTAGAATTTGTTAGCACAGATTTTTCTGAAAAAGAATGATTCAGGGTTTTTTTTTCTGGAAGCTGAGTAGGAGAAATGCTTCAATTTCGATGAATAAAAAAAAAATTTTAAAATGACAACAAAAAAATTGAAACTTCAAAAAAAGCTGGTTTTTCAGTGGCGAAAAGAGTTTTACCACGACTATGACGCCGTCGCGGTGGTTTTCGCCACTGACGATGTTTTTGTAAGAGCTTCCATTGATTGCAGTACTTTTGAACCCAAAATGTCTAGAGTTTTGAATACGCCCTGGAAGTGATGAACGAAATGACGAGGGGTCCGCCGCTGCCAACCGTCGTCATCGAAAACAAGATTGACGTCGTCGAGAGCACCGAAATGCGGAAAGAAGACGTCGAATCGGCGATGCACGACAGGAGAAAGCGACTTTATAGGTCATTATTTTTCTGTCTTGAACCGCCCAAGCAGCACTTCGACTTCGCGATAGCGTTGCGGTTGAAAAAAATTCAGAAATTTGTTCTTGTATACTCTAACGCCTTCCCTCTTTTTGAATAGGGCCAGGCTGGAAAAAAGATTCAACTTGAGACAATTTTTTGAATTTTCCTTTTCAAGTTTTAAACAAAAACTTCACCAACCTTTTTTAAGGGACAAAAAAACCACGAAATGTTTTCAGGGTATCGGCGTCAAAAGAGTTCAACGTGATGCACCCATTCGCCTACCTTCTCGAGAGGTTAACGAGGTACAAGAAAGACGAAAACGCAAATGAGCGGAAACATTCTTCGCCGGTCGAGTCTATTCGTCTTGGCTCAAGGGAAGGTTGGCCAGAAATCCCGGCCACTGGCGCCAGTCGGAAGTCTAATAAGGACCGATGTATTGTTATGTGACTCTTCTTTGTCCTTTTTCAAAAAAAAAAAGTTTTTTCTTTGTTTCGTCACCATGATTGTCATATGAACCCCTTGATATATGCTGGATAAACTGTTTCCTAACCAATGGTTGATTTGGGATTTTCGTGAAGTTGAAATGACAGAAAAGTATTGCAAAAAAGGAACTCCAAATACTGAAATCGGAAGGTGGTCAAGCTGGATGCAAAAAGTGCGCAGAACACTTGCAATGCTGCGGCAGGGACATCGTCCTTTTTCATTTTTCTCTTCGTTTTTCATTTTCAGACTCGTAGTTTTTCAATAAGTTTTAATTTTTAACGATTTAATTTGAGAAAGCAAGCTCATGAAGCTTTTAGATTTAAAAATAGTTTCTCGTCACTTACTTTAGAAGAAATTTCAAAACTTCTTAAATATAATTTCCTGTTCTTTTTCCAATTTCCAACTCCATTCTAAGCGTATCGATACGTATCCATGCTCAAACCTGTGTTATTTTTAAAATTTTACAGTTTAAACCTAGACAGTGAGAAAAAAATGTTCACTGTGCGTTTATTGGGTGCTTCATCACGGTTCATCACTTTTCAACATCAGTTTCACACTGCGAGAGGTATTTTTGGTGAATTTAAATGGTTTTGTCGCAAGCTTAACTTCAGCTTCATTATTACCAATAGTTCAATTCAAATTGTCCGACATCGGCGAAGGTATCGCTGAAGTTCAAGTGAAAGAATGGTAAGCAAGTCTTGAAATTGAGGTCACAAAATATTTTTCTTAAGGTATGTAAACGTTGGGGATAAAATTCAGCAGTTTGACAAGGTTTGCGAAGTTCAGAGCGATAAGGCGGCCGTCACAATTTCAAGTCGATACGATGGTATTGTCAAGAAATTGTGAGTTGTTTTTAGTTTTTGGAAGAAATTAATGAATTTTTTTAACCATTGATAGATTAGATTCCCAAAACTATTGTATGTGAAAATTGGGTTCATGGAGGTATTTTTGAGTCTTTTACATCGAAAGAGTGTTTTAATATATATATTTTTCTGATTCAGTGTTTGAAGACCATTTCCTTTCTTTTCTTAGGCAAAAGGTTTTTTCAAAGATGCCATTCACATTTTTCCGTTCCATGTCATTGAAAAGAGCATTTTTATGTTTTTGTTCTGTTTTTGCTGCGAAAAAGTGTCCTGATAAGTGTCACAGCGGGTTGGGTGACACGGAAATACAATGGATCAGCGAGAGACGCTGAGAAATCGACGAAACTTGAACTTTTGCTCCTTTGAAACCCGGAGAAAAGTTTAAACAGAGATTTTGACGGTTGAACAGAAGATTGAAGACTTCAGAGGCTTACTAGAGACTTCAAACTTAATTTTTTTTAATGTATAAAACTTACTAAATTCAAAAATTCCTCACTTTTTTTCTCAATTTTTTTCTCTGGCTTTTTAACTTTTTGATCATAGCCAAGTTCTCCTTTTTAATTTTAATTGAAAAATGATGTACTTTTACGGTTCCTAAAAAAATTTTTTTCCAAGGGAAAATTTTTGCACAAAAATATACAATCTTTTTGTGATTTTGTCAATTTCAGATACCATGAGGTTGATGGAATGGCTCGGGTCGGTCAGGCTCTTATCGACGTCGAAATTGAGGGTGAAGCTGGAGCTGAGGCTAAAGGTGGTTTCAGTTGCTTCAAAAGAAAAAAAAAAATTAAAATATATTTTTGATCCCGATTTCGAAAATTTTCAGAGGCCTACATTCCACACTGTAGGCCTCTGAAACTGTTGTTTTTTCATCCAAAAAACTAAAAGTTTCCTCAAAATTGATAATTTTTCGTTTTTCTTTTCGATTGATGATTTTTTTCAATATTTTTTTGTGTTCCATTCCCTCGCACATATACCTCAAAGCATTAGGAAGAGGTTAGGAAGCAAATTAGTGAAGATTTCCCGAGGGATTTTCGGCCCTTTTTCTAAAGACTTCTCCAGCTCTTTTTTCCTAGTTTCTAGGGTTATATTCGGTTTTTTTCAATTTCTTTTTCAACTTGACTTCAAATTTTAGTTTTTTTTAAAATGATAATGAATAAGATAAGAATCTACTAAGATAGTAATAGGAAGTTTTTAGGAAATTTAGTGGTTCATTTTTATTCTGTCAATTCCAGTTATTGATGGAAAAACAGCATTTTTTTCATGTTTTTCTTTACAATTTTCAAAATTTTTTTTGTAACTTTGATTCCAAGATTTTTATGAAAAAAACACAGAGGTTCATTTTTTTCGTTTATTCAAACCAAAAAAACCAGAACTTACGGTGGAAAAAAAGTAGATGAATTCCTGATTTTTTTAATATCGCTAAAGTTTAAAGATCATATAACTAAAGAAATCCTGACTTTATGAATTGAATCATAAACTTTTTTAAAGAAAAACTTCTCGGTAAATGAAAAAAAGATTAGAAATGTTCATGTTACGTTTCAGTGAAAGCATATTTGTTCATATGGATTGAAATCGTCAATCTAAAAGCGATAGGAGCCAAAAATAAGCTTTATTGAGTCGACTTTTTCAGAAGAAAAGACTGAAAAGAAGATGGAATCAACGTCTTACGAAAAAGAAAGCAAATCGAAGCCCCAAAGTCAGCATTCTTCTGGAGATTTCCACGCGGAAAATGGCAAAGTTCTGGCGACGCCGGCCGTTAGAAGAATCGCCATTGAGAATAAGGTAGTTTGAGGTTTTTTGGGTTTGAAAAATGGTATTTTTGGTCAATTTCTCACAGAAACTCACCTAATCAGAAGAAAAGTTTGATTCGATTTGATGAAAAGGTAGAAACTTCAGAAATGATATCAATTTTTCTCAAAAAAAGTTTTTTTAATATGTTATGGGACACGTTAAGCCTGATTTCAAAAAGGAACAATTTTAAAAAATTTTGAAGGGAAATTTCGGATATTTTGTGAATAAAAAAACGCTGAAAAAAACTTGCTAGAAATGAATCTTTTCCCGTTTTTTTCAGCTATCGAATGTATTTATTTTTTTTGATTTTTTTCAATGTTTCAAAAATTTTTTTAGAGATTTTGGAATATATCCTAGAGTAAACTAGTTCGAAAAATGAACTTTTTAAACCGGAGTTTGTGAATTTTTATTAAAAACATTGATAAAGTTGTTTTTTTTCGAATATTTCAAGCTTATCGATTCGTTTTCTTTTTCTGACTTTTTGCTAGTAATATTTATCGAATATTTTCTTTATAGATCAAAATTATCCGATGTTCCCGCTACTGGAAGAGACGGGCGTGTACTGAAAGAAGACGTTCTGAAGTTTTTGGGTCATGTGAAATCGGGTTTGAATGTTTGATTTAAACTTTTAACAGGAAGAAAATTTTTTAGATCATTCCTCTGGATCGACCAATATTCGGAAGTCGCCAGCCGCTGGTTCTTCTCAACCTTCAAAAAGTGTCGGTTTTTTTAATTCAAAAAGTGGATATTCACTTGTTAAATTGTCCGGTGTAAAATAAGTGGTCCTTTTGAAGTTCAGTTAACTATGAAAAAAAATGATCAAAATGAATGGAACCAAGAAAAAATAGATATTTCTTAACAAGTTTTATACAACGATGCCTTGGAATGGTATCACGAAGGTACTATTTTTTTTGCCTCTATGCGGGTCACTTGAGTGTCCCCTATAGAAGCCACTAACTAAAACCCCTCTAGATACCACCAGCATGTCTTCTATAAGGGTCACGAACGGAAACCCCTATAGGGGTTGGTAAAAGGGTCCTTAGAACAAACCCTTCAAAAGCCCCAAAGGCTGCCCCTCTAGGGACCACTCTAAAGTTCCTAAATATACATCGATTAATCCCAAGCTCATTCCCAACAGGCCAACCTACTATCAATCAGAAAGGATGATAATAATTAGAGCTTTCTTTGCAGTTCGAACCTCTTCGTGAAGATACGGTGGTGCCGATCCGTGGCTACACCCGCGCCATGATCAAAAGCATGACCGAATCGTTGAAAATCCCCCATTTCGGGTACAATGATGAGGTTTTTTCACAGTTTCTGGTTGATGAAATTTCTAAAAATTGTCAAAAATTGAAAGTATAAACACACTCGCTCATTCTCAGTTCAAGGCAATGTTAATGATTTTGAGCAAAAAAAAAAATGCAAAAAATAGAGTTTTAGAAGTCTCAGTAATATTTTTTTTGGTTTTTTTAATTGCGGCGAATGGAAAAACTTTCAAGGAAAGGGAATGTTTTCAACTGGGCTTTTTAGTTTCAGAAAAACTTTTTTTTTAACTGAATGGTTCTGGTTTTTTGATTTTTGTTATTAAAACCCATTGTAACTTTTCTAATGGGTGAAATAAGAAAAAAACTTTAATGTCGATAAATACATTTAAAGTGGTTCTAAATATTCCGAAATGAAGATGATATAATCTTTTTTTGAAATAGTTTAATATGAAATTTCTATTCCGAATGCCGATAAACACTTTTATCAGGGTTCAAAAATATTCAGAAATGAAGATGTTATCATCATTTTTTTAACTAATGCTATAATGAAAATCTACTAAAAATGTCGAAAAATACATTCAAAGTTGTTTCGAAACAGTTTTTTAAAATTATTTTTTTTATCATTTTTAGCTTATATCTGAGATTTTGATATTTTTTTCTACACTTTTTGTGCTCCAAATTTCGTTCTTCCTTTTCAATTCAGTGTTTTTTTTTCCAAAAAGTTTACTCTGAGACTCTGTTCTGAAGACTGAAACGTATATCTTGTTTTTTTCAGTGTTCAATTTCAGGTTAATGTCGACGCTTTGGTGAAAATCCGAAGCGAATTGAAAGAATTGGCGAAAGAACGCGGGATCAAGCTCAGCTACATGCCTTTCTTCATCAAGGTCACTTATTTTTTCATTCTTTAGGAGATTCAAAACAGAGGTTTTTAAAAAAAAAAAAATCAAAAATTGTCTTTTCCCCTCCCTGCAGCATCGTGAAAAAGATGAAGTGATTTGATCCGAAAAATGAGGTTTTCAGGCGGCCTCACTGGGTCTCTTGGAATTCCCTTCGTTGAATGCGACGACCGACGAGAAATTGGAAAGCGTCACCCATAAGGTTGTTACCTCACCTTTTTGGAACTTTGCAAAAAAAAAATATCGATTTTCAGGCCTCACACAATATTTGTTTGGCAATGGATACGCCTGGAGGATTGGTCGTTCCGAATATCAAAAATTGTGAGCAAAGGTGAGATTTTACCTGTGTTCTTGTGCCTCAATGAGCGGATAAATTAACTAAAAGCTCATTTTTAATCATTTTTTTCATTCTAGGGGATTCTTCTAAAATGGCTACCTTGAAAATTTTTTTCTAAGTTTTACAAGAAAAAATGAATTTTCGAACTTTTTAAGTACCTATCCTTGTGGTGAAGCTTTATAACTAGGTAAAAAAATTATTTTCGGATTTTTCGAGATTTTATTTCCATTCATTTCGTGCAAATTCTAATCAATTTTTTTTATCGATGAAAACTTTGAGGGGATCAGATTTTTTTAAGAAAAAAAGATGAATGTTTCTTAACAAAATGAGAAAAAAAGTTGAAAAACATAAAAAAATCAAGCCCTGCCTCCACAAGGAAACTTAGACACTTTTTGCAGTTTTTTTTATAAATATTCAGACTTTCATGGATTTTTTGTTTTGAAAAACAAGTTTGTAGGTTCTGATTTTTACAGGAGTATTTTCGAGATCGCCGAGGAACTTTCGAGACTGATGCAGGCCGGCCAAAGGCAGCAAATCAGCAGGGAAGACCTCACGGGCGGCACCTTCACCCTGAGCAATATTGGGGCTGTAAGTAGTTTTTTTTTATTCGTAAAAGTTTTAAAACCAGGTTATTTTGAAGTCGAGCGGTTGGGAAGCAAAAAAGTCATGTAAAAGTTCGAAGTCTTTATTTTTGACTTCTCTTTTCCGTTGTGATGTTCGCTATAAACGTGCCAAGTTTACATTCTTTTTGATGAATTTTTTTAATTTTTTTCCTTCTTTAGTAGTTTGTATATTTTTACTTGAGAACTAGTTTCCTCATTGAAAAGAATGCTTTTTAAAAATTGATTTTTCCAGATTGGTGGAACCTACGCCTCGCCGGTGATTTTCGCCCCGCAGGTGGCGATTGGAGCGATCGGAAAAATCGAACGACTTCCGCGATTCGATAAGCATGATAATGTTGGTTTTTCCAAGATCTTGACAGATTTTAGTGAGAAAGAAAAGTGCAAAAAAAAAAATGAAAAATGATATTCAAAAGTTTTTTATTGAACTGAAAGATTTCAGATGAAATTTTGAGGTTTTTCACGAGGTTTTAGTAAAAAGAGTTTTTCCAAAAGGCTATGTGAAGTACAGATTTGATTTTAATCGATTTCCAGGTATTTGCGGCTCATCTTGTGAAAGTTTCGTGGTGTGCCGACCACCGGGTTGTCGATGGAGCGACAATGGCGCGATTCAGCAATCGGTAAACTTTTTTAATGGCAAAATTTTTCTGTCACGTTGAGGACTCGAACCTGTAACTATCAGCAAAACTGAAGCTGACAACTTGCAAGTTTAAAATCCTAGAAGCTCGAAATCAAAGTTTTTTTTTTTCAAGTTCTGGGATGAAAATTTTTTCTTTAACTTGTCATATACGGTCTTAGTGGTTTAGAGTCTGAAAAATTTCAAAAAATACAAAAATAAAAATAAGCCGTAAAAGAAAGCTTTAAAAAATTAAAGGCAAATTTTTCAGCTGGAAGTTCTACTTGGAGCATCCATCAGCGATGTTGGCCCAATTGAAATAGATTTTTTTTTCCTTTAGCCAGATTTTAATTTCCTCTGTTAATCAATTTCCTGTCCTCCGGTACTAATGATCATGTCACAAAACGTTTATTTTTAATTGCTCCTGAATATGTATTGATAGGAATCAATCCGTTGCCATAAAAAACGCTTTTTCGTGCCTTGCGCGCATTTGCCGACATATCTTTTTATAGAGATTTTTTTCTTCCCTGATACGAAAGATGATAGATTTACTGTTTGTAGATTTCTATGTGCGTAATAAAACCAATTTTATTGAAAGAATTGTAAGCGAATTATGTAAAAGTGAAAGTTTGCTGTTCGATGATATCATTCATTGCGGGAAGCCGAACCTGGCAGTCTTTGATAGAAAGGCAAAGTCGTTAGCCACTCGGCTACTTGGCGCAATCTTCATTGAGACGCCGCAGATGGTCTCGTCCCTCGTAGATTTGCTCCATGACTTCTTTTGTGTCTTGCTTGCAGCTTAATTCTTTCTTTTAAGACTTTCATGGTCGAGTGGGTATTTGTTTTGGCTAGGGTCGAATCCTAGCTTCGAATTCCGCAAAAATTTTTGAATCCTAATGTTTTTTTCAAAAAAGCACGACGTTCCCAAACGAGATGGGAAGACGTCAGAAAAAAATTTGGCGCGAATATTAAATCTCAAATACGCAGCCAAAGGCGATCGAACAAACAAGTTATTAACGTTGAATACTCATGTAATTTGTGACGTAGAATGACGTCATTTTATCCGAAGCGCGCACTTACTTTTTTTTCGTAAATTCAGAAACTTTGACGCGTCGCACACTTTCCCTCACCCCATTAGGAAAATTTGTTTTCGAGAAATGATTATTAAACTTACTCCGCTGTCAATGGACAGCACCGAGCCAAGGCTGAGCACTGTCGATGCCAAATTCGAGCGGCATTTCGGCATTCCAAAGCTTTTGCCGGGAATTCCTTCGCATCACGTTTACTTCTTTTGGGTGATCTGGAACAGATACGTAGCAGTCTTAGTTGATGCGCAGTGAAGTCTCAAACTTTTTCTGTCATCTTAAAAAGCTTCCCAGTCGCCCTAACCGAAAAAGACTCATATTTTCAAACTCCGGAGCTTCATTTTAACCATTAGTGACTAAAATAAGTCCAATCTCTAGATGAAGAAATGCGAGGTTATACCAAAAAGGGCATTTTTGATTTTCTAGAAGTATCCTCATTCAAATTCTGAAAATAAAAAACCTCTTTTTTCTAATTGGCGTCGTTTCATTTCGGGCATACTGGAATCTGTCATGTAGAGCATCGCAGTGTTCTCTCTGAATATATAATCTTTTTGAAAGAATTATAAGTGAAACTGACTTCAGAATAGTCGACCAAACTCGCTCTATCGATAAAAAGTATTAAGATTTTAGCAATTTTTACAGTGAAAAAAGCCGTAACAGTAGTCAGAACCAAATATTTTCTAGAACACTGCTAAAACACCTCTTAACGATAATCCCTAACAATATCAACCCATTTTTCGACACAGTCGAATAAAAGCTACCGTATCCGGGTCAAGAGTGCTCTCAGAAATGTCCGCATCAGTCATGCTACGCCGAACACAGTCTCGTGCCATTTCGGCTCTTCTGAAAATTTCAATCTCTAGAATTCCATCGATTTATGACGTCAGGCCTCATGTGAAGAGCGTTGAGCTCGAGCTTCTTGTCCCACTTGCTCCGCGAGCAGACCGTGTTGCTCCGGGATCTGAACGCAGATTTGAAAAGTTCAGTAAGGGGTTTGAGGTACTCTCATTTATAACGTTTTTTTCCTAACCAAAGTACTGTAATTTCTCGTCAAAGGTCTCAAAGCGAAAGCACAGAAACGTGCTGGTCTTGAAGCGGAGAGCTCAAAAGAGCTCCGTACTGTGGTTTTAGCCACTTCGAGAAAAAAGGTGAAAAGGTGGCGTCGAATTAACTATATTTCCTGTCTGCTGATTTTTCCCATTCTTAGTTGTTTTTTTCATATTTTTCAGATTTTAACACAAATTTCTTGTTTTCTTCTTTGTTTTGTTCCTTGCCAGACACTCGAAAAAAATGTAGAAGCGTGGCTAATTCAGCAAAAAAAAAAACGGGTTCTTATTGAAGAATGTATAAGTTTTGACAATCAAAATTTCTCCCTTGATCGAGATGGAATTAAGAAAATTGGAGCGCCAAATTCCAAAGAAAAAACGAAAAATCACCTTCTCTCAAAAAAGAAAAGCGGAAATGACAGCTTCCTGATTGAAAATCAAATTTCAGAAATAAATTATCGGTCATAATGGACAAATAATATATTACAGAATCTTACAGTACAAAAAAACACTCGAAAATGGATAAAAAATACCTCAAATTTCGCTCCAAAGCGAGGCATTCATGTTGCTTAACTTCAAGCTGCTCCATACAACGTAAATAATCTTGGCAAAGTCCATTACACTGAAAAATATTCTTTACCCATAAAGATGAAATGGTTTTTATTAACCTCAACACTCAAAATTATAGCGGCAAAAAGAAGAAAAACGACCCGAATAGCGTTCATTTTCGTCTAATTACGTCAAATCACAGCATTCACGACACCTGCAAATATTGTTATTAGAAAAAAAAGCCGAAACAAGTTTGGATAATACGAGTTTTTAACGAGAAAGAGACATGTGTTTACGGGGGTGCAGACCAAACATAGCGGCGCCAGTGTACAGATACCATCGGAGCCTCCTTAGCTCAGTTGGTAGAGCGTTAGACTTTTAATCTAACGGTCAGGGGTTCGAGTCCCCTAGGTGGCTGAACTTTTTTGCACATTCGTTTTATTAATTTACAAGATTTGATAGGAGTCTCAAAGTCTCTTGCCATATTTTTCACATTTTTGAGCAGAAAACTTATGAGCAGCCTTCAAATAAAAAGTAACAATAAAAGGCATTTTGAAATCAAACGTAATCGAGCACAAAAAAAATTTTTTTTTTTCAAATAAATTTAGAAAATTTTGCAAAAAGTACAACTGGAAGTAAGAAAAAATAAGAGGAAATCTTGGAAAAAAGTCGTCACGAATTAGCGTCAATTAAGGAGACGCGTTTCTCACACTTTTGAAAAGGGCGAATTTTTCGCTTATTCGAAAATGCTTTCCGAAATACAGAAGAAATAATGCGAAGAAATTTTTTGTCAACAATGATGAATCAATGTTGAAGCTTTAGCTGTGGGATGTACGAAACAGTGCAAACAAACGAAAACCAATGAAATATTTGATTAGGGGAAATCTCAAGAAAAAAGTCTCTACTAAATCTTACTTCAGTTTGAGGATTATAAAAGATGAGATTTTTAAGGATTCTTCTAGCGAGCTGAGTTGATATGACACTGAGGAAATAAAGAAAAGCAAAAATATTTCTCCCCGGCCGGGAATTGAACCCGGGTCTCGCATGTGACAGACGCGGATACTCACCACTATACTACCGAGGACACGAGAACTGTTGGCGCTGTAAGCAACCAAGTCGCTTCTTCATAACAGCTTGATATTAGTAGAAATGGTTTTTTTTAAAAGGGGAAATTGGGACTTTCCATGATTTAAGGTACACGGAACCGGTAAAATGTCAAATATAGACATTTGCGCTGCACAGGGCAAACAAATCGTGTGAGAACTGCTATGAAGGCGGCGAATTGGCAAAAATAAACAATTTTCATGGCGATGAAGGAGATTTCGTTCATTGTGGAGCAAGTTTATGAATTTATGAAATATTGAGAAACCGAAATAGAAAAATTTTTGAAAATCAAAAATTCAACTGAAGAAAACCAAAAACCCATAATTTTTTTGCGATGAAAGCTCCAAAAAGGCTCCTCGAAAGCTCCTAAACCTTCAACTCGAATTCCACTTTGACTGCAAAAACAATGAGAACAAAAAAGGAATGACACCCGTCAAAACAAGAGGGAAAAAGGGGAGAAACTCAAAAAACGAGGCAATTTCTGGGCGGATTACGTGTCACATAAATAAACGTCGTTTTCGTCAAAAAATGAGCGTAAATGTACTCTTTTCCGAGTTCTTTGTGAAGTGAGGCTAAGAGTTATGTCTTCAAATAAGGAGGTTTGATCGAAAAACCATCAGAAAGAGGAAAAATAACATGAAATATGACTCATATAATTAAATTGCAGAGCTTGAAACGCCATAGTCGCGATTGGAATCTCGTAGGGCGTTTTAAATCCTGGAGCGTCTTTCAAAACTTTTTGATGCGCAAGCTGTTTTGGGTCGGATGCCTCCTGAAGTAGTCTCGACGCTTTCAGCCATTCCAAATGCGAACACGGCGTTCAGAGTCACGGCGAATGAAGCGTGTTTGCCGCCAAACTTTCATCTGACAGTAGATTTTTGATTTTCTCTCAAAAACGAAGTTTTGGTTCTATTTGCGAGAAAGAGGTGTTTGAAGAGAAAAAACCAAGGAACAGATTTTCTTGCGCCTTGAAAAAAAAATGGGAGGATATCGGAAGAAAATTGTTTTCCGCTTGGACAAATCCAAAAAGAAGAGAAGAAATGAAGAAAAGTGAAATAAAGGAGCGATTTTCGATTTGAAAACTTTCTCTTTTGGAAGAACTTGGCGGAAAAGAGCGGCTTATGCAAAACGCGGCCGTTTTTTCGCAGCTAGCGAATTTTAGGCTTCGAAACAACCGACTAATGGATGAGCCGACCCCTCCGGCCGGCTCCAAATTGGGAATTTTGCTCCGAAGACGAGAGCTTCGACGTTTCCTCTTACTTGGGTTACTGCTCCAGTATAGTCAAGAGTGGAGTTCGGAAAAAAAGCCGTTTCATTCAGCAAAAATGAAAATCTAGATAAAAGGTTCATTTGAATGTACTATTCATGAAATCTAGGCGACACGGTTGGATGCACTCGATTACGAGAAGAACGGCAGCGATCGATTTCGGTCGCCGCTCATCGAATTTGATCTCTCCGATTGGAAAATATAACAATAATAGCACAGTTTTACGTTGTAGAGTGGAGACTCAACTAGAAAAATCAATTTCGATGGAAAAATAACGCACTTTGAAAACTTCAGAAAGTCTTCTAGAAACTTAAAAAAACAAAAAATGAATTAATTTTACGCACCGCTTCAAAGATTCTCGCTTAGAAAATAAGATGAAAATGTCAAAAAAATGTTTTTCAAATCTACTTGAAAACAAGGCCCAACAAGTCTGAAACCAGTTATGAATTGAAAACTTCGAAAAAAATTAATTTGAAAAATATTGGACCAAAAAAAGCCGTTGTTTCCAGAACCAAGTTTTGGAAACTGTGATGTTATGTCATTTGAGTATGAAAATGGGAAAAATGCGAAACGAGGAGCCAAGTATGGAAATGCGAGAAGATGGCCGTGCGGCGATAAGCCACAATTGCTGTGTGGTCAAGGGTCTCGTGGGGATTTTTTTTTTCTTCGGCATGAGGAAAGAAAAAAAAAGCAATAAACACTCCATCTTGAAAGCACTGACCATGAAAAATGGATATGGTCAGTCTTGTTAAAAGAGAAGGTTTTTTCGAAAAATCATTGAAGAAAACGTATTTTTCAATCTAACTACACTCTCTTGTTGATGAACTTTGAAGAAAAATTCATTCTTTCAATACTTAAAAAATAAAAGGCAAGAAAAGGAAGCCGACGAAACGTTTGAGGATTTATTGCGCACGCGATAAGCGTACATTTCTCTCTCAACGCAAAAAATGAGTCCCATGAGGCAAAATCCTGCAGTATTCGACAAAAAAGCATACAAGAACTGAAATTTGCTTTCAAAAACAATAATAGCAAAAGATTTCTCCCCGGCCGGGAATTGAACCCGGGTCTCGCATGTGACAGACGCGGATACTCACCACTATACTACCGAGGACACGGCAGTTGTCGTCCGCTGCCACGAATAGACACCTCCTCACTGGAAACGCAACGTCTGCAGGAACATTAGTGAGCTTAGCAAATTTTTTGCTGAAAACGAAGCTTCTGCTTTTTCGCAAGAAAAAAAAGGAAGGATGGAGAAGGTCCGGCTCGAATTGAATTTCGAAGACGTGCAAATGAGCTGAAAGCCGGCCGCGGAATCGCGCCGTTTTTTTCGAAGCGAAGAAATGGACTTGCATTGTTGATTCCGTCCTCTGGGATGTTTAGAGGTCGGAAAGTTTATTTTCAAGTGGAGGGCTTTGCAAGAGTTCGTGTGGGTCGAGAAGGAAAAGTTTTAACTTACAAAAATTCTTTTCAAGGGATTTACCAATTTGATTATGAATTTGGCCTCGGGTTCTCATATAAAATTATGAAGAGCAAAGTGACTTTTTACGAGGTTTTTCTCACCTTTTCGACAATTCAAGAAAAGTTCACGTTTCCCCGTCAAGATGAAGATCTAAAACGCTGCGTGGACCCTTATCCAAGACCATTTTACCCAGCAGCTCGCAAGCAGAGCAGACGACACCGCCGATCCGAGTGCCACCAATAAGAAAATGGTCTTCAAATCGACGTACCCACCGCTGAAGCTGAGCGGCTTGTCGGCCCACGAGAAAGTCCTCGCCGCTGTCCGCGCCACAGCCGCCAAGGATCCTAACGCCGTCGCTTTCGTGGGTACCTGAAAATAGACCTCTTCAATACTCTCTAGAGTGGTCCTCATAAGTTAACTGTAGTATTTATCAAGTAGGAAGGTGTAAAAAAGTCAGGAAGGTCTGAAAAAAGCTCTGAAAACTTGTAAGAAAATTCTTCCTAAACATCTTATTATCGTCCTCCGACAAGGATATAGTCTATTTCCATCAGATCAACGCGGAGAACACGACAAAAACGATGCTCTACAAGGACATTGAACCGACGGTCAATAGCCTCGCCACCGGCCTCAAAAAACTGTAATTTTTATCAAAAAATCTTTTCAAATCCAAAGTTGGTTTTCAGTGGCTTCGCGGCGAACGAACGGGCCGTTCAGGTTCTTCCGAACTGCGCCGAATATTTGGTTAACATTTTGGCCGTTCAAAAATGCGGCGGTGCCATGTCCAACGCCAACGCCGTCTCCACTGAGTGTAGGCTTTTTTTGAATCGAAAGAAAACTAACTGTATTGAAAAAATACGGAAAATAAAAATATTGGCTGGCTTTTCGCTTTGAGACTTGACTATCTAATCGGAGAAAATTTTTAAAAATCTTTCTCGGCAGAGTTTGAGTCAGAATGCTTGATAACTGCATATCGCGAACTTAGTATTTATTTATAGTTCCTCTGATCAAAACTCCTTCGAAGTTTCGTAGATGATCCTTGTTGCAGACGAGCTGATCAAGCAGTTCACCAGCTCGCAGAGCACCATCGTCTTCACCGACGAGGATCGACTACCGCGCGTTAGGACCGCCGTGGAAAAGTGTCCATTGATTAAGGTGCTTTCAATAATGAAAAATTAAGGATTACAGTCGTTTTCCAGAAAATAGTGTGCATTCGGACGTTTCCGATGGTTACAGAGTTCCCAGCGAACGTTGTCGACTACGACGTGATCAGAAAAACTCCCGCCAAAACCATCAAATGCGATTATCCGTTGGTTTTTATTCAGATGTTTGACAGCATTGTAGAGATTTTCAAATTTCGAAAAATGTAAATGAAATGTTGTTGGATACAAAAACAATTTTAAAGTGGTTTTTCTGAAAAATTTAGAAATTCTGTCATCTAGACCGTTCCATTCGCAAAAAAAAAACTCTATAAAAGTCTAATAATATCTCAGAAATCATATTTTATTGGCCATATGCCTTTGTGGGCTTATAGCCGATCCACGGCTAACTTGGCCGCTGAGGGGGCTTGGCGTGTCAGGCACATCTCTTTTATTATCGTGTCGGGACCCTTTTTTTGATGGTTCAAGCCGACCGTTAATCAGCTATACTCTTCATAGTGACTCAAAAATATTTCCTCTTATCGTGTTTTAATTGGATATTGTTTCAGACAAGATTCCATCGCCCTGCTACCGTACTCGAGCGGAACGACCGGACCACCCAAAGGCGTCATGTTGACTCATCGCAACATTTCCGCAATGTTTGACATGGCTGTCAAGTAAGTTTTAATCACGATTTATTCTCAATATTCATATTCAGTCACGCTGAAACGGAAATGTCAAAGGCGATGTTCGGTAAGGATCTTCCGAAGTGGATCGGCGAACACGCCCTGCTCATGCTGCCCTTCTATCATGCCTACGGTTTGAATGCCATGTTTGAGGTTGGGTTTCATGATGAATCAATTTTTGAAGGTCTGACTTACAAAAAAACTTTAATTTTTTTACAAAAACTTAAAGATATTCGAATTGTCATGAAATCAGAAAGGAACATCTTTTTCAGATAATTATTCTCGGGATGACTGGAATCGTTTTTAAGAAGTACGACACGATTATTATGTTGAATCGCATCAAGTTTTACAAAGTAATCAGACATAATATGAGAACGAACCTCTAATTTTCCTCGTGCCCAGGTGAAACTAGCCTATACGGTACCGCCTATTTTGGTATTCCTGGCCAACGACTTTATGGTGCCCATCTTCAAAGTTGAGCAGTTTTTGAAGGTTTTTCTATGAAATCTTTGGATTTTCTTTCTGAACTTTAATTTTCCCACTTAGGTCATTCTGTCGGCTGGAGCTGCCACGGCAAAGCGACTTTGTGACGACGTCAAGAAACGCTTCCCCAATACGTGGGTGGCACAGGCGTATGGAATGACCGAGATGGTGCAGCTCACCACTTTTCCCAAGTACGAACACGGCGACAGCACCGTGTCGGTCGGTTGCTTGGGCGCTATGTATGAAATGAAAGTGAGTTTTGGGTTTGAATAATTATGAAATAGTGAACAAAAAAGAAGACAACTGTGGAGCAGAAACCGGCTCGAATAAAAAAGTTTACTGTAATTTGAACTGGACGCGAAGTGCAACCACAGCCGGCGATTCTACGCGCATTTTGATTTTTTTTCTGATTTTTTTGATTTTAAAAATCAAAAATATTTTTGTTTTTTAAATTATGCATCTTCAGTTCACAGAGATTTATTTTGAGATGCCTGGTTAGAAATCCTGAAAATCTAATTTCACAGTTTCTTTTTCGAAAATTGATTAAAACTGATATTTTCCAAGAATTTGTATTTACTTCAAAAACTTCATCCGTAAGCTGTGATACTAGTTGTTTTCAACTGGAATTTTTAGAGATAATCAATTTTTTTCGCTGATTTATACTTAAGTATCAAAATATATTACTTTTTCAGATACTCGATACGCGAGGAAACGAACTGACGAAACCAGATGAGCGCGGCGAACTATGTTTCCGGGGTCCTACCATCATGAAAGGCTACCTGAATAACCCCACAGCGACGGCCGAAACCGTTGATAAAGACGGATGGTTGCATTCTGGTTGGTTGACGTAAAATATGGCAAAAGGTTTAAAATTGATTCGCAGGAGACATTGGCTACGTTGACTCGAAAGGCCAGGTCCACATTGTCGACCGCATCAAAGAGCTTCTCAAAGTTAATGGAATGCAGGTGGAATTTTTCTGTCCAATTAGACGGAACCGATGAGAATCATCAGGTGCCACCGGCGGAGATTGAAGAAGTGCTGATGGAGCATCCGAAAATCAAAGACGCCGCCGTTATTGGAGTACCAGATCCGACCTCCGGCGACATGCCCAAAGCCTTTATCGTCAAGAAGGAGACTATGTTGGCCAACGAAGTCAATGTATTCGTTCAGCGTTCGTTTTTTTTTCTTTTCTTACCGAGTCAAAAATTTTTTAATTCAAAACCATGAGCATGTCGTAGCGCACAGTTTCTTGAAAAGAAGAATTTATTGAATTTCTATAGTATATATTTTATTTTTTTGCCGTAGATTATGTCGAAAAAAACCCAATAAATTTTTTTCAAAGCTAATAAAAAAATTGAAAAAAACACTGCGTCTGAACCGAGAGCGCGTCTCGCAGCGAAAAAAATAGATTTCTCTCGAGACTACTGTAAGATAATCTTTTTCGCTCTGAGCGTTTTTGTTTTTTCTTTTTTAAGAAAAGTTCACGTCAATTTGATAACTTTTCGTAATGCATTGTGATCAGCTCAGTTGTAAAAAAATTTGATTGACGAAAAAAATAAAAAGATAAGATGAAGAACCTCCTTAAAAATAATTGATCGAAGTTTTTTTGATAATTTTGAAATCTAGATATTTTCCATAAGTAGTTTTATTTTTTTGCTGTTCGAAGTTCATTGTTTGTATGAAGCTATAGCTAAGAACATATGGAAAAATAAGTTTATAATGATTTTTGAAGTGTTTTTTTCTGCTCAAAATTCCAATTTAAAATGTGCTCTTTGATACATTTTTTTCGAATGTTATTGATAGGTTGGAACTCTAAACGCCAAAAATAGCTTCATATATTCGTTATATTGTGCGAACTCATCTTATAAATATCGAGTAAAGCCGCGAAAGTGCCAAGTGTCGGTTTCGCAGCGAAAATAAAATTTTTCATTAGGGTTACGGTAGACGCCTCAGAAGGCTTATCCTTGTTTTGAGAGAAAATGGGAGATTTCGAGTTTTTTGCGTTTATAGTGATGAGAATAGCTTGAAAAATTTCATTAAGTATATAGAAAAACTGAAAAAAAAGTTACTTGTTTTATAGTAACGAAATCAATGAAAAAGGTCGAAAATAAAAATGACATAAATCAGTTTTTTCTTCATGAAAGAATCGATTGACGAACTCGAGAATGACTTTTTCGAATATTTCGATGAGTTTACAGAAAAGCTTTCGTCGAACAAGTGGCTGACAGGCGGCGTGCAGTTTGTCGACGCGATTCCCCGCCTTCCTTCTGGAAAAATTGCCCGCCGTCGCCTGAACGACCTCAACAACCCCAGCGGCAGCAGCGAGAGCTCGCAGATGAATTCGCAGATGAACTCGCAAGTGATGGCGGCGGTGACGTTCCCGGCGCAGACGATGTCGCCGGCCGCCCCTAGAGGCCGGTCCGCCGAAGCCATGAAGGCCAGCGGCAGCAGCGAGAGTTCGCAGGAGACCTCGCAGGTGAACTCGCAGGTCGCCTCGCTCGTCGGTTTGCCGTCGACGATGGAGAAGAAGAAGTGAATTCCGTCCAAGACTCCCTTCTCCTTCTTTTTTTTACCCACAAACGCGACTTTTTGATGTCGCTCATATTGAACACTACGCTCAAGAAACTCTTCCCACGCTGTTTTTTTGTCGACGATTTGATAAACACGCCTTTTTGAGTTTTTTTGAGAAGAAAAAAATTCAAAAAAAGAAATTTTCATTTGGAGAGGGTTTTTTTGAAAAAAATTTTTCTCGGAGCTATGTAAAGTAAATATCAAGAGAACCAAAGTGAGAAATTATTTTAGAGCGAAGAACGTCTATTTGGATTTAAAAAATAAAATTGATGGATTTTGTCCATTTAAAATCCTTTTTCTGCGATTTTTGTCTTTTCAATGAATTGTCTACCTAAACAAAAAGCGATAAAAACTCTCTTTCAACAGAACAAAAATAAACGGGTATAGACGTGTGGGAGATCAACAGAAAAACCGGTAAAACCAGAGGTGGAGAATTGAGAAGGCAGTCCTTGGCTTGGCGGCCAAGCCAAGCCAAAAAGCCAAACGATAGAAATGAGCCATTAATTTACGTGGACTTTGGCAACTAGGTCAAGTACGTGGCGATAACGCCCTGAACTAATCATTATCAATTTTGTAAATTTTGAATTGTTTTTCGCAACTTTGTGTTAACGTTTTTAATCTACTGTAATAGTTATTTCAGCAGAGAATTGTCACTGAAACGGGTCAAAAGGCTACCTTTTCAATCTCACTAGAGAACTATTTCGACAAAAAAATTTTGAGATGCTATGAAATTGATGCAAAAGTATTTCTCTTGATTCATTTAGTTTCCAAAAAAGTCAAATGACTGAAAATCCTATTGCGCCAGGCCACCTCGTTAAGAGTGGAAGGCTTACCGTTCTCTACCTGGATTTTTCCGGTGGTATGAAAAAAAAAACCAGCGAATTTTCGAAATGCGACTTTTTCCGATTTGTTCAAATCGCTAAGGAACTTTCCGACTTTTTTCCCTTTTATTTTTCGGTTCCTAAAACATTTTTTTGTCTACTTTTTTGTGTTTCAATCATGAATCAACTACCTACTTTATATGGGAGGATTCAAAACGAAGAGTTTATTTAGCAAAAAAGTTGAAAAGGATTAGTCGGAAAGTTCTCCGTCGGAAAGCTCCCTAGCGATATGAAAAAATCGCCGTTCGAGTTTTCGCTGATCTTTTTTTCAAACCACCATTTTTTTCGTGTTTTTGTGTGTTTGTAAAAAAGTTTCATACATCGCTCAAAACAAGCGCTTCTAGATGCTAGGGCGATATCGCCATACAAATGACCGTCGCGCCACGCTGACTTTTGAAAAAGTCATTTCTGCCTTTTGGGCGTTTTTGGCTTGGCAGGCAGGGCGGCCAGAGGGCAGCCATCCTCCACCTCTGGGTAAAACGACAAATACAACAAGAGCGATAAACTTTGACATATGAAACTAAGTTTGAAAAACACGTGCTGAGATAATAATGAAAAAAAAACGACACGACGAAAGAAAAATTTTGTCGACAGAAAAAAGAAAAAAATTGAATTTAGAAGGTGCCCGGCTCGGGCGGATTGATCTTTCTTTGGAAATTGGACACGGAATCGTTCTGAAATACATTTTTCGAATCGAGATTTTGGGAAATGAGAAAAAAGAAATTGAAGCTGAATATATGTTCTTTTTTAAAGCCGTACCTTTTTCGGGTTTACAGCATAAGAAGCGGAAGATGAAAAGGGTAAATTCCTGAAAAAATTCAAAATTTTTTAAAAGCTTTCAAAACAAAGAAAGCATGAGCAACAATTTAATAACTTCTGGCCGCATGTGGAATGGCTCTACGCGTGGCGGCCGCTTATTTATAGTAGCCGCGTTAGCCATTCCCCAGGCGACCAGACTTTCTCAGGCCCAAGGAAATTCTATTTTCTCAGTACAAAACCAACACTGAATCAGGCTTCTTTTCGATCCAAACATCCGAAAAATCGCTATGAGCCGGCGTTTGTGTGAGAGAAGAGTCGCTGAAGTAGGCAGAGTCTGTGGAAAGCCGCCGCGAAACGTCGGAAGAAGAATTGCGAGTTTCTTTGTCCAGGACTGGTACTGGATTCGAAGACCATTCTGGCTGGCATGGCTCGTTTTCAGATATTTCGAGCGGTTCAACCCAATTCGATATGATCTCCGAATCGAGTTCCTCTGCCGCCTTTCTGCCACATGATTCAAAATCGACGTCTTCAGAGACGTCGTCGTCCTGGATTCTACGCTTCCGGCATTTGGACAGCAACTCCAAGACTTCTTCTTTCACATTGTTGCCCTGAAAGAGTTTGAACTAGATCCGCTGAAACACGGTGGTCGCGCGAGGAATGGATCAACGCGCGACGGCTGCGTAGCGGTTGGTAACTCCGACCAAAAATTATTTAAAAGATTCTTTAGAAAATGTTCTTGATCCTCAACGCGTTGAGCCATCGACCTGGGCGTTTCAAAACATCGCAAATTAGGAAATAAAATAGAAACTGAAGTCTAGACTTCCAGTCACAGAGTATTTTTGACAGGGAAAAAGCCAGACTCAATCAGATTTCGGAATCAAGGACGCCATGTAAAACCGTGATTACCTCCTTCTGAATCGCTGACTCGAACGTGGAAACAGTTTTTTGAAACTTCTCCACTGGTTGTCCAAAAATAAGATCTTCTTCTGGAAAAGACTGTCCTCAATATTATGGTTTCCTCGAAAAAAGTGAGAACTAACGAGACGTCGTAAGATCCCGCAGAGGGTGGCGCCTGGCGAGCCATTTCTCGTGCTCGTACCAGAAGCTGGTGTACCTGGAGTCGTCGTAGCTCAGCTTGATGTGACCTCCGTTCTTCGAGCCTTGGTAGGCCACCTTCAATTTTTTTTTTCTCATCTTTTTCCTTTCAGTCGATTCTCAGAGGTCTCCGAGTGACCTTTCACGCCTAATTTTGAGTTTTCAGAGACTTTTTCCGCATTAACGGGTTTTTAAAATGGATTCAAAATCTATCGATTTGAAAAAAAAAAACTGTAAAACTACGTCTACGTGTGCGACGAAAATGCCGAAGAAGTGAGTTCAAAAAACTTCACCAAATCTGTTAAGAGAGAAAATCTTTTATAATCAAACTAACAAGTTATCTGATGGGCTTAAAATTTGTGAAATATCGTAATCTGAAAAGCCTTTTTTGAATACTCATGAGAAACACAACAAAGACCAAAAAACGCCATAAAAACATGAAAAGCGACCCAATCTTTCGCAAAACGCTCTGAAGTTTAAAGGTAGAATATTTCTATCACTGAGCCTATTAAGGACCTAAAAATTACTTCCTTTCCTTATTTTCAGAACTTCTGACCACCTTAATGTTGAACTCGGCGCGATTTCCCCGTCGCGCTCGCATCATTTCGCGGATCGCCAGAAGAACGCGAGTGACGCAGGAGCGAGCCAATTTCGCGCGTCGGTCGCCCCCCGGCCAACGGTTGCGGTGCTCCCACAGCTCCTCCGCACTTACCTTTTCGATCTGAAAGCCTTTTGAGCTTCTAGTCCTTGTTAACAACGTAAAAAATTGTCTTCTACTTTTCTTACCAAGAGATGGGCTTAGGTACAGAGAAATAATGAAGAAATACCCTGGAAATAGGTTCGCCGGCCTTCTCATTTATAGCAAAAAGAATCTCGCGGACGCCAGTCCAATGGGCCGCATTCCACAGCCGGCGACATTCCGACTCCCTAAACTTTCAAATATTACCGATTTCCCTACGCACAGACCAAAATTCAGTGTTAGAGCTGCTCAAAATTCGCCTTGAGTCACTGGTCATTATGTGGAAGTTTACTGGAGCACCTAAAAGTTCAGTAACGCTGTTTGTAGTTATTGAAAGCCCTAGAGATTCAAAAGAGCTTTTATAAGTCTAAAACAGGTTTTGAGTATCTACATGTTCGGGAAAAGGGGGGGGAAAGAAAAAGATACCATCAGAAGTGTGAGCTTCGACTTCTCCATTGACGAGCAACGTGATTGGATCGTGATCCCTTCCCTCGATAATCGTCCTCGTGTGTCGGAAAATTTTCGACGTCGCCGTAGAGGCTCCTCGGAAAACAGTTTCCTAAGGAGTCTTGAAATACTTTCATTGTTTGTTATTCTCAAGTTTATCTTTATCGGGTTGAATAGAACAATTTTTCTAAGGTGCTGAACAAATGAAATGAAAACTATCTTTGCCTTGATATAGCTGATTCATGGGTGGCTTGAGTCATCGAAAAAGGGTCCTGACACGATAAGAAGAGACAGTGCCTGGTTGGTGGAGAGCGCAGACAGGGCACGCCCCCTCAGCGTACCAAGTTAGCTGCGAATGGGTTACTTTTCACGGGTGGGGAGACGTCAAAAAAAAATTGGCGCTAAATTTGAAATCTCGAGTACGCAGCCAAAGGCGATCGAACAAACAAGTTATTAAAGTTTAATACTCAGTTTTATTATGACGTCAATTTGACCGGAGCGCGCACTTACTTTTTTTTTTAAATCAGAAAGTTTGACGCCTCGCTCACCTTCCCTTACCCCATTAGGAATGCCGTGATTTTCCCTTTTTTAGAAAGCTCGTTTTCAAACAGTTCGAACTTCATGCTACTGAGAATTTTTTTCAAAAGCTTTTTCGAAAGAAAAAAAAATGTAACACTGGAAAAGCTATAAATAGTTTCAAACTTGGAAAGATTAGAATCTAATGTTCATAAGTAGAATTGAAACCGACCTCCTTGCCAACGTTGCTAATATGCCTCTTCCTGGCCAATTCCTTCGCGAAATACAGCCTTTCTTGTGCGCTTCGCTTCTTTTTCGCATTATTCAGTTGTCTGATCGAATTCAATTTTCAAAATTTATCAGAAATGTGAGGGAAACTTTTTGAACTGATACGGCGACTCTAAATTGAGGAAAATCGTCGATCCATCTTTTGTCAACTTGACATCCGAGTGCGCTCTCATGGTCCATTTCCTTCAATTTTGAGAAAAAGAAATCAGGAAAGAAGTCAATTAGAAACTGGAAAATGTATCAGTTATTCATTCAATAATAGAGAAAGAGTTTCATTGGTTTTGAACTTTTTTTTTCAAAACCTCTCCATTTTTTTCAATCATAAAATATGGATTTTAAGAATAATTGATGTTAAAAAGATTTCAATGACATAATCAACTGAAAAAAATATAAAAATAGGCCGCGATTTTTTTCAAAAAAACCGACTTTCGCTTCAATTTTTACAATAGAACCATTAAAACATCATTCTCGGCTTTTTTCTTTAATTTTTCCGCTTAATGAATCTTTACAGCAATAAGAAACAACCAACAAGCTCGGTTTATACAAAGTGTTCATTATTGTCTCCAAAACGCTGGAGTTCACGACGAAGTCGATATCGTCCGCGTTCTGAAAAACAAAAAATCATATTTTCCAATTTTTCAAATTTTTTGAGACTTGCATATACGAAAAAGCATAAAAAATTCTGTAAGTGCATAAAAAAGTTAGAAAAACGAACTCTCCGTCTATCAAAATGCTCATTGTCAAGAAGCCATTCAACGACGAGACTCGTATGCTGACAGCAGCGATCCTTAAAAAAAAATTTTTTTTTCTTATTATAAAGATTTCTTATTTCATTCATTTAAAAGGGGCGCGCCGTAGCGCAACAGGTTGTGTGCCTGTCTACGGTCCACAGGGTCACAAGTTCGATCCCCGACCCGACCCAACCAAGGGGTTTAAGAAATGTTGGTAGTGGGAAACCACGACTTCAAAATCCCCAGCCGTCACACACAAGGACGGATATGTCACTCGAGCCAGTCCACTGATATCAGGATAGGACCTGGGCTAATCGACTTGGGGCGCCGACGCCGCTCAAGCGGTACAAAGGCGTAGGAAGAAGAAGATTTCATTCATTTAAAAAAAGAAATATGAAATTTTCATTTGGATTCTTTTCAGAAATCGAAATCTGAAATTCCACAATTTTATAACTTTCTATAGTTTCGGAACCTTTTTTTTAGACTGGCTCGAGGAACGGAAAAATAATTATTACAAAAAAAGGAGCAAAAATCCGGAATAATTATCACACGGTTCAAATACTTGAAAAAGATGAAATATAAAGGCAAAAATTTGCAATTTTTTTGTTGAAAAAAATATGGGAATGAAACATCCTAAAAATGAAAATTTGAAAATGATTCTGAACCCTTAAGTCTTTTTTTGATACTAACCCACACTTTTAACCCGTAAATCACGACTTTTTGAGATAGCAAGGTTTTTTTCCCGAAAAATGAATGTAAAAATCCAAATATGTATTCTTTTCAGACTTTTCAACAATTTTATCAATGGAAAACCTCGTATTGAACATATTTCGCCTTGCTGATATCGACGTCCATTGGAATGGAAAACTCCCAAGTTTTCAATAGAGTACTGTCGATTACGTTCCGAAAGTTCTGTAGGAATTCCATGGGTGAAGCTTTGAAATGTTTTGAAAAACCATCCAATCGTCCAAAACTTTGGCCGAGTCGAACTTCTGGACATCGCATGCCATGTAGTCGAAACATCCGGATATCCTTAAACGGCTGACTTTTTCAATAAAAAAATATTTTTATTTAAAAACTTATTATTTATTATCTTCCAGATGGGAAATAAAGACTGAAATCATCGATTTATGATTTACACTTTAAAAAAATCTTTTTTTATGGTGTCAAGATTTGTTAATCTTCTTTTCTTGACTACAGTAACCTTCGAGGATTCGCTTCAATGTCCAAAAAACTCACACATATTTATTACTGAGCGGCTTCTGCTTCGGATCGACGTCCATTGGCGCCGCAAGGGCTGTAAAAAGCACTCTTAAGGGATCCCTAGATATACTCCGGAAGGTCCAATCCGCGTTACCAATGTCCGAGTGCTCATTCGGTCGAGCGCACTTATCACAAATAAATCAAATGAAGACGAAAACTTTAAGAAAACCCAGAAAACCAACTTTAACGCTCATAAACTTTATTTTTCGTTTTAGAATATCAAGGAGAACACAAAAAACAACAAAAAAATTGCGAGAAAACCAATTCAACAATGTTAGATATAAAACCGGGGGAGAGCAACAGGTGAAAACAACAAAAATTGAAAAAAAAAAGAGAAGGAGAATCAAGAATATTCGACGTTTCGGGTTATGAATCCGCCGGTTTTACGATGGAATCGTGAAGACGGCTGGAGGGTAGAGCCCAAGTTGACGGAAGAGGTCCCAAACTCGCCGCCTTTCGAAATTCCCCTTGTGTCACTGACAGTGTTCGGCTAAACTTCATCATAGGCAGATTATACGACTTTTTTTTTTTCTAAAAACCGTGGATCCAAAAAAGGCTACGTAAAAGGACCTCAAGTTTTCTTTAAAAGGAGAAATAAAGTCTCTTGAGGAACTTCTTCGCCATTTTCTGATCAATTTAGCGTCTTTTTAAGCTTTTTATAGCCGATTCACGGCTAGCGTAAGACGCTAAAGGACTTGGACTGTCTGCGCTCTCTGACAACCAAGTACTGTATCTATTTTTATCGTGTCAGGACCCTTTTTTCGATGGTTCAAGCCAGAAGTGAATTGGCTATAGTAGCCTTGGGTTCCAGACGTTGATTCGCAGAAAAAAAGAAATTAGATGTTTAAAAGATGGGGAAAAGAGATTATTTATAGAAATCGAAAGGAGAAAATTTATATTCAAAATCAAGATTGGTATCTCCAAAAACAATTTTAATTTATTTCTATAAGTTTTCTTCTAAACTAACCGAGTATTTGGTCATTCCAAAACCTCCGATGGAAGGCAAACTGCCGCCGCGCGAATTTGGTGATGGGGTCGTGTCCTTCTTCGGAAAAGTAGAATAAAAAAAAATATTTCTGGGTATACTACCTTTTCTGGAGTCTTCCATTTCTCATCGTCAGCCTTCAACATCACTTCCGTCGGTATCGGTTCATCACCACATGAAGCGCTGAAAAAATCAATGAGAAACTTTCTTTTCGACGCAAAAATTGGAAATTCAGTAAATTAAAATATAATTTATGAACTTTTAAAGCAATTACTCAGAGCGTCAAAAAATGAATTCACTTCTGCTTTTGCTGAAAATCTTCCTGATGAGCTCTGTCGCTTTCTGATGAGTTTGGAGCTTCAGAAACAGGAGGAGCCATCTGAAATTTCAAATATACAAATCAAATTAATACGGCAAAAACCTCAAAAAGAGGGACTGCGGTTATCGCAACACGTACGACATCTTTCGATGGTTCGAACGTTTCGTTAGTCTAGAAAAATGTTCTTGTTTAATAAAGAGATGAGTGAATAAAATAATTAAAAAAAAAAAAATTTTGAGAATTCGCGAAAAACAAGGTGAGTCGCAGTTTAAAGGATCCTATTCCCAAAAAAGGTATTTTTAAAGCCTCACTCTTTTTAGTCGAGATTTGGTGCATAAAAAACTCCAAAAACACCTTTTTTCGTACTGTAAGGGCGTTAAAAATTCAGATAAAAAGACAAAATATGTAAAAAAGACCCATTTTAGTTCAAATCAGGGCGCCCCCAAGAGTGTCAAAATAAAATAATTTTTCTAGTTTCTCAGATTTTAAAGATTTTGATTGTCTAGTAATTTTTTTTCGGAATTTTTTTTCAATTATCACTCTCTATTCAAGTTATCAGTTAACCAACTTAGGGGACTTGTAAATAATATACTTGAACTTCTAGAGAACTACTAAAAAAATGAATAAAAAACATGAAATCATTTGAATCTTTGACATTTACTGATTGAAAAAAAGATGAAATATCAGTTACAGTAACCTGTGGCTGTTGGACAGTCAGAGAGGACATTTGATAAAAGTCTCCAGCCGAATTTTGATCATCCGGTCGAGATGGCAACCTTCTCTGAAGAAATAATCGTTCTTAAAATTTTTTTTTCAATTAACCTTGGGCACTTCAGTGATCCCCAAGCTGTTTTTAACATGTTCCCTCAGCTCTTGCGAAGAAACGCTTTCTGGAAGAAACGCGTGTTTTGACTCCTTTATTTGACAATCTTCCCTCACCTCTTGCTTTTTGGGCTTCCATTAAGGGCTCATCTTTTTTTGAGTTGACGTTTCAAAAAAACGCTCAAACCATCAGATAATACAAAGTAATTTCATTGAAAACCTACTCATCGGGATCGACTTTGATAGTAGAGAAATGAGGGTAAATTGGAGGGCTCGAAGGTTTTTTTCTGGTGTCTCCGAAACTTTTGGGAGGCCCTGAAAGGAGAGTTTTAGAAAAATAATTTTAGTAAAAAAATTTTGCCATCATATATTCGCTGACGCTGGTGAAGCCCTCCGATTTCCTGGCCGAAATGAAAGATTCAGAAGAGCTCGAGTTGGTTCTCTGTGAAATTTCCGACGTCAGAATTTGCAAAAAAAAAATTTATTGGCAGATCTTAAGGATACACGAACTTTAGCTATAGCTGATTCAAATCGATGAAGCCACCAGCCGTGAAGCTGGTGACTTCAGCTCTCGAAAAAATGGTCCTGACAAATGCACGAAATAGCGCCTGGCTCGTGGAGAGCGCAGACAGGACACGCCCCTTAGCGTCCCAAGCTGGCCTTGAATCAGATATAGTATCTCATTTTCGAAGTGATTACACGAAATTCAAAATATGGGTCAGACAGTGAAAAAGATAACTGAATTTTGGAGAGTCAGAGATAATTTTGAACAAATTCAAACTGTAAAAACTAATCTACACTTCCAACCACAATCCCCTTCATAATGAACTTCGAAATCCTGAAAACTAGGAAAATCTTTTCAAACCTTAACTCCAATTCAAACTTCTATTACGCGCCAAAAATCGGAAAATTTCCTTTTTTTTTTAAATATTTATTTTTTTCTTTATATTTTCAACCTGAATTTCCGAAGGAGACACTTTTGCTGGAACTCCGGAATAATTCCTGGAATTCATCTCAAACTGCATATTCTCGTTCACATCTCGATAAGCCTAAATTTCATCTTTATTTAAAGTGATTTTGAAATTGAATTACATTTTGCGTTGGTCTTTGACGATATTCGTTTCTCGAGACAATCTGTAATTTTAATATCCGAATATTCAATGAGAATTTTTTTTCAACCGTAGAGCTTTGCCCAGTAGCGTAAGAGGTCGAACTTTGGGATGGATATTGAGATCTTTGACTCGAATGCGAAGCTGAATTTTGCTCTTGTTTCTGACGCCCTTATGATGATTATACCATTGTGTGTTTGATTTTGATAAGCATAAGATTGAGGATATCGTTGGTTTTGATAAGGAATTCTGGGAGAGAGGGCAGGTCTATAAAAAGAAAAGAAATTAAGGATGACTAGAATCTCAGGAAAAAACGGAAAAGCTCTTCAAAAGATTTTTTTTTTACAGAAAAATGGCTGTGAAAAAAAGCTCAAACTTTTTTCCTGTCCTTTTAAGAGCTTTTTTTTTTTTTTAAAGGAACCTTTTTAGCGAATTTTTCGTTCCAAAAATTCTAAAAGGGCAGTAAAGTCAATAGAAAAGAGTTCTTTTGACTAGAAAGTTTATACATTTTGAAACCTTGCGGTAATAGTCCCAAAATTTTGGCTGGTATGAAAAAAAGACCAGCGAAAATTCAAACGGCGACTTTTCCGATTTTTTCATATCGCTAGAGAACTTTCCGACGGCCACCTTTCCGCCGAATTTTTTTCCGACTTTTTTCTCGATAAACTCTTCGTTTTCAATCTTCCTATATAAAGTAGGCAAGTTATTCATGATTAAAACATAAATAAATAGGAAAAAAAAAATACTAAAAGATGTTTTATAAACCGAAAAGTATAAGGGATAAAAGTCGGAAAGGGATACGTCGGAAAGTTCCCTAGCGATACGAAAAAATCGGAAAAGTCACCTTTTGAAATTTCACTGGCTTTTTTTTTCCATACCATCAAATTTTGAACGAAAAACCCACGAAATTCAGGAAAATAGTAAAGGTGTAAGATTATATTTCCTAAATACGCGAAAAAAAAACGATTCAACGAGGTTTCGGTACGAAAAGAATGAAATGAAACTAGAGATCTTCAAGCTTTTTCGTGATTTTCGTGAAACTTTAAATTCACCCGGACGGCAGGATGTTCCGATTGATATTCGACGGCATATATTCATACTTTTGAACAGTATCCGCAATATTGGGCGCTCTTTGAGCCATTTGAGGTCGAAGTTCATGAGGATTCTGGTTCTTCAAAAGAAGTAATAGATTCGGAAAAGTTTTCCTTCAATTCCCACCTTGAGCAAAATTGCTTGATCCCTCCGAGCCCGCTCCATGAACATTTTATCCACCAAACCATGAAGCTCATTTTTGACAATTGGAAAGGGCAAATTAGAACAATCTGCAAATGAATTTTTGTTAGAAAAACTATCAAAATTTCAGAAGAACTTTGTGGAGCCGGCGGGACTTTATCGAGGACCTGGAGATCCTTCATTCCATTCTCTACACCTGAAAAATATTCTTTTTTTGTGTGATTGGAAAGAAGATAAAAACATAAATAACGAGAAAAGTTGTCAATCTGAATCTTCAACCGTCCAAACAGTTCATGAGCAGTAGACGAAGCTTTTGGGTCGAGATTTCCTGCAAATTTTGAACTTGTTATTTTGAGATTTTTTCTCTCTTTGCTCCTGCGTTTTAAAGATTGAAAAAACTTGAAAATTTTCAATTAATGATTCACCAAGTCCAATCTTGGTCAACGCGACTTGAACTTCCGAATGAGAGAACTCTTCCCGAGTGACTTTGAATGGATGAGCCGTAGAATCTGGAGATTCCGAGCCGCTGTTGACCAACTTGATCATGTTGTTCATAAAGTTCAGCGCCATGTCCGCGCAATCGGCTCTTTTGCTCTCTTTCTGCATTATTCACTTTTAATTTCACTCAGGAAGCATCAGGTTAACCGCCGGAATCGCAGTGGGATCGTTCGGCGGCAAAGTCTCGAGCAGACGTTGGACCCACGCCAAAATCTGCTGTTTCTCGCTTTTCATCGGCCCATTCAAGTAATTCCATTGATCCCAAGTCGCGATCAGTGTGGGCAAGAAATCTGGAATGAATTTCCGAATTTGATATTATTACTGGTGGAACTTGCCATTGTTTGACTTGGAATTCGCAACAGCTGAAGTGGTATTCATGAGGGGAACGTCAAAAATGTACATGAAGACTTGGATGAGATCGAAGATGGCGCCGACGGTTCGCTATTTGATTATATGTTTTTTTTTAAATTGCTAAGACAAGAGCGCGTTTTCTATTTGCGCGTTCTGTCATTTTGGTTTTGAACTCTATCGAAATGGATTTTAACTACAGGAAATAGTTAGTTACATCAAAAATGCATTCTAAGTTAATAAAAAAACTAAATCAAAACAAAAAAAGAGTTATTTGAAGCAACAAAAACGTATCGTAACAGCTTTTTTTTGAAATTTCATGTTTGAATTTTGTTTCGAAACTTCCCACAAAAAAACTTGCTCATGCATATTTTTCATTGAATTGATAAAAAATATTCGAATATTCGAAACGTCGAACGTTACGTATTTTGTTTATCATTACGAACCAATAAATCCTCACCAAATACGTGTTTCCCTGCATTTCTGCGTTAAATCCAAACTTGCATAGGCGTTTGTTCGCCATGATCGCAATTTCATTGACCAAGTCCCAATCGCTCAACATACTGGCCCGAACCAAAAGAGTCCGAGCCACAGTACACGCCGAAACTTGTAGGCCCTCAAAGAATCGAATTTGACGAATTTTCCAGACAGAAACCAACGCCAACCAATTTCAGCGACATATCGTTGGCTTCCATTTTGTCGATCAGAAAAATGAGCTCCGAGTACTAAATATTGAAAGACAAGGTGTTTTTCGACCAAATGATAGGAAAACCGCATTTTTGATGAAATCGTTCTCGATCAAAGCATTCAATGCTGGTGCACGCTGCTGGCTGCTAAAAATATTTTGAATAATTTTGTCCAATTTAAATTTTTTTTTTCAAATAATGGATGCTTAAATTCTTAAAGAGGTACTCGACATATTTACTGAGCTTAATTCAAATTCAAAATTTGAAAAAAAAACCGTCGATTGAACCCTGCATGCTTCTGGGAATGTTTCAGGGAGAAATAAAGGATTTTTGTCAGCTAATGTTTTTTGGAGCAAGTTTGTATGCTCTGGACGAAAATAAAGACAGTTTTTCTCGAAATTAATTCTGGATAGTCAATAAATACGAGCCCCATGATAACATAACTGTGTTTTCGAGGGAGCAAAGACAAATTTTATGAAAGCTTCATGGCAAAACATTTTCCAACTTTTTTTTAATCATGCAAGATTTCTAGACTTTTAAACGTTGTTCCAATCTCAAATACTTCCACGTAAAAAATTTTGTTTGATTTCTTCGTTCTGGACTCATTCGCAAAGTCTTAGAAGATGGACAAAACGACTCCAAAATAAAAAATGAATCTGACCTCAGCTCATACTCGAAACGAGGAAAAAAAGAAAAAAGTATATGAAGATGACGTGCCAGATAACAAGGAAATTATAAAAAGGTCGCCATTCAACGATCCATTTCACTTCAAAAACCCTCTGTGCGACAGAGTAATCGCGCTCGGTACGTCTGTCACCAGCTACCCACAACCGCTACCATGTCGTTGTACATCGCTTTGATGCTCGCATTCTTGCCCGTCTTCCTGGCGATCCAGTGTGGCGGCAAGAAGAAGGAGTGAGTAACTTTTTCATTGCTTGGATCCCAATTGTTCGAACTTTGAAGCAAGAGCAAAGGCTCGGCCTCGAAGATGGGAACTCCGTCCAAGATTGCTCCACCTCCGGCGGCTCCTGCTCCGCCCGCCGGAGCTGCTCCTCCTGGTTCTGGCGCCGAGGAGAAGAAGGAAGAAGAGAAGAAGGATGGAGACAAGAAGGAGGGAGAAACCGATAAGAAGGTATATATTACTTTTGAACTTATTTCTATGTATCAGTGGTAAGCTTTAACGTAATATGATTTTTGAAAGGGTTTTTCGTCTTTCTGAGATTAGTTTAACGCAACTTCAGATGGCCAAGAATCTTTTTCTACAGAACAAAATTCGAAAAATCCTAACTTTCATATAATTTCTTCACCTATTTAAAGAATTGAAGTTCTGGCCTTTCTGTTAACTACCACTTTTCAAACTTGAAGCCCGTTTAACTACTCAATTCAGGACAGCGAGGCCGACAAGAAGGACGAAAAGAAGGAGAAATCCAAGAAGTCTAAGAAGAGCCAGAAGAGCAAGTCCAAGAAGTCGTCCAAGTCCAAGAAGGACAAGGACGAGAAGAAGGACGACGAAAAGAAGGATGGCGACCAGAAGGATGACAAGAAGGACGAGAAAGACGGCGATAAGAAGGACGGCGACAAGAAGGACGAGAAGGACGGTGATAAGAAGGACGGCGACAAGAAGGATGATGAGAAGAAGGATGGAGATAAGAAGGATGGAGACAAGAAAGATGACGACAAGAAGGACGAAAAGAAAGACGACAAGAAGGATGATGAAAAGAAAGATGATGTGAGTTATTCTAAAGCACACTTCTGAGGTATTGTGAAACAGGAAATTGAAATTTAGGAGAAGAAAGACGACAAAAAGGACGAAGAGAAGAAGTAGATTCTTCTCTCCGGTCTCCAACTTCCTCTCCCAGTTCTCCGCCTCTGCCCTCACCACCAACTCGCCACCTACTTGTACAACGTTTTTGCGATCGCTTTTGCGTCTTGGCACGACTATTCGCCAACTTGTTCCTTTCAAGAGCAATAAACGTTGCTACACCAGCCCAAGTGCACAATTCTGGAACTACGTACTGGTATATGTAGAGCTTCTTGACTGACGGCGATAACTTGTTGATCAATCTTTTTCGCAATTCGACGTTGACATTGTGGAAACGTTCTCCGAGAGTGATCAGGACGAGGGTGTCCCTGAAACATTTTTTATGAGGGAAATGTTGTTTCTTTTGGATCTTGTAAAATACGAAAATTCTATGCCGTGTTCGAAGTTATTTTGTGAAATTCAAAATAGACATCAGAGAAAGAAAAAGATAACTGAATTACGGAGAGTCCATTTTGCATTTCGCGCAAATTACTTCGAACAAGGCATTTTTAGGAAACAAACCAATAGAATTTTCAGGAAACAAAACCAATGGAAAGATCCTGTTTATACGGATTTCAATTTCAAGAATTCCAAGATACCATCACGATGTTGCGAAAATGATTGAAGACCATTATTTTCCTCTAGAATAGAAAACCCATTTTTTTTTTTACGATTTCGGCTTTCCAAAGAGAAGCCAAAAGTACCGAAAATAGATTATGAGAAGCTCTTTTCGAATTTGGCAATACTATGGCGAGCATAAGTGAATGGAAAATCGGTTGCGCTTGTTTGAAATATTGAGAGAAACACTTTTGTCATTCATGAAGCTCGAACTATCGAAAAATGCGAACCAGTAATATCCGCGTTCTGCAAAACGCATCAAAGCCTTCCATTTCCCGTAATCATCCCGCGACGTCGCGAGGTCCAGAATGAAATATTTCAGCTGCAACTGCTCCAAATTTTCTTGCGGAAGCGATTCGTCAGCCAGGCAGTGATTGCTGAGAATCGATATGATACCTGTAATTTGAAATATTTATAATTTATATTTCAAATTATTCACTTCTATAGTCATCGTCTCTTTCCAAAAGCTCATATACATCGTGCTTCCCGCCGAAAAAAACTCCACATAAATGCTTGGCTCGATCTCGCTGTAATTTTTATTTGTACAAAAAATTCGTGTTGGACGAAGGAAAAAAAAACTATTGAGAACAATAAAACAGTTTTCTATACCGTGTTCAATTCAAGTGATACCACAAAATTCAAAAATCTATCAGAGAGTGATAAAGATAACTAAGTTTCGGAGAGTCAGAGATAGTTTTGCATTTCGCGGAAATTACTTTAAACACGGCCTCAGAATCCACATGATACTATTTTAAAATGATTCTCGTTTTATTTAAATCCATCGTCGTTATTTGAAAGCTGGAACGAAACAGAACATGTCAAGGTTGCAGAAATTGCAAAATATTTTTACTTTATTTATTATAAATTTTTTTAAATATACTTTTTTTAGGGGGCAAAAATGACGTATAATTTTTTTAATGAAGAGAAGAAATAATATTAAAAAGATAAAAATTTATCTTGGGTAAATTCTCTATAAACTCCTTATGAAAAAAATAGATCAATAAAGTTTTTAATTTTCGCTTTCCTTTTTTTTCTTTCTAACGATCAGAAACGACAAATCAAAACATACATAGCTTGAATCAGGCATGAAAAAAGAAAGACATATGAGAGCGTCTGTCAATGGACCAACAGTCGCCAAATCTGATCGTTGGCCTGCCGAAAGAGCAAAATTCGCTGAAAAATGGCCCATCCCGTATCAAGAACTCTTAAATGCTATACCTAACTTGTCGGCACACTTTTCTGGAACATTATAATTGAAAAAAACAGGCGCTGCGATCGGACCCAACGTGGTTAGATTTGGCTCATTCCTCTAAAACTCAAATCAAATCTTTGGAAATATGTGAATCTGAAACGAACGTTTCGGTATCCAGGTCGCGATAATTTTATCATTTCATCTTCATTATCACAGACGGCCTTCCAGGACTTTGTGAAAAAATATACTTTCTGTCCCGAGACTACAGTTGGGACCCGAAAACGTGGCTCCATTCGGATCTGAAAGTAGTTATTTGAAATAAAATCTCTCCATATAATTGAATTTTAAAGGCGCCCAAACGACGAGTGAAAAATTTATTATTACAATTAACATTTCAACGTTTCAATACTGATCTAATCCTACCTACGTGTAAAAATGAAAATAAGACGATTATAAATGCCGAAAACTGAACATTTCCTCAAATGAACAACTCTCCAGATGTTGGCAAGCGTACGTGAGTTGTATATATACAACTTCATACAGTTCCAGGATTTCTAAAAACTCAAATAATATAAGAACAGCGGCGAAATTTTTTTTTTAATATTCAATTGGAGCGAAGTATGCTTTTTGCCTCTTTGAAAATCTCATTAATAGGTTGTGATCGTACTAAAACAGGATATTCGAGATTGAATTATTTTTTATAGACACAGAAAGCGCCGTCCGACAACACAACGACAAAAATTAGGGAAAAAAGCTTCCAAATGCGATGTTCGCAATCGAAGCGTTTTTATGTAATTGATAACTTTTTCAGACTCAAGCTTCCGACCGTGGTTCGAAAGCAACAACGGTCGATGAAGAAAGCAGACCTAAGGAGAGAAAGAAAATAGAGGTTCCTAGCTTAATTATGTTTAAAAGGTGATTTCTGAGAACGAAAACTATCAACTTGAGTGATTCGAAAAATAAGCTGATTACCCTAAATTATGAGAGCAAGTGTCCTTTTTGTATTTACTCAGAAATCGCTTTGAACATTTAAAAGTTCGTTGTGTTTGGCGTGTTCATTGAAAACGGAACATGTTTCGAAACGGAAAAAAACGTGTTCATCGGCACATTAAAGTTGCTCCAAAAAAGTTCTAATTTTTGTTTTGGAGCAGATTTCTTGCGTTTCAAAACAATTTTCGTATTTTCCGATGAACACGCCTTCACCCAGTTTCGTGGACTATATCGCAGCGAGAGTGGCGCGACATAGCAGCGACATATCTCGCTGCCATCTCGCTCAGCTCTAGCAAACTCCCGGCGCGATATCGGCGCGAGGTCGCGGATTATCGATTGGTCACTATTTACGTGCCATCAAAAATTTTTACTTGAATTGTTTAATTTTTTTTCGTGTGTTATATTCTCTCTGATTTTTATGTCTATTTTTTTCACTTAATATTTCTAAAAATGTTAATTTTACAACTAATGTAACGCTCATACAGTACCGTCAGAAGAGGAAAAATATTTTTCGCTCACAACTTCCTAGGAAACGAGCTCGTATAGAGCTCAATCTTTCTGAAACTTTTTCAGCTGTGTTTCTAAGTTTTCACCACGGTGTTACAATCAACAGTCATCATATTTCCAGAGAGTTTCAAAAGGGTGAAATCCCATTAAAGAAAGTTGTGATTTAAAAAAAGCGTTTTTTTGTATATATTTTGACGGCACTGCACACCTTTCTTGAATTTGAAAGTCCTTTTTTTCGCATTTTTCATGTTTTAACCAATAATTTCAGGTTATTAGTACTTCAAAAAAACATCTAACATTTTTTTCGATCAATAAAAAGTCAAGAAAGATCCGTGGGAGATGGCACCGAAACTTTGCTTTTTGGATACAATCAATAAGATTCTTGGTAAACTATTTTTTTGAAACAGTATATCCATTTTTTTGCTTGAAGATATGATTTGCACTTTGGCGTCGATGGGTAAGGAAAAAGAAGAAATGAGGCATGATTTCGAGAAAGCACGAACTGCTGTCTTGATACAGTCGCTCCTGTGAGTTATTCTCTTATTCAAGGTTGGACTTTTTTTCAGTATTTCTCTTTTTTTACCGGTTTTATCATTTAGAAAAGTTCTTGACGCAGCAAATGAAGGATATGCCGAAAAACTATCAAGTCAAAGCTTACAGTAACATTTTTTTAAAGGGAACTTAGGGTCAATCTGATTGTTTAGCTTAATTTTCTTTTTTTCAAAAACTTCTTTCATTTTCATTTCGAGCCTCCCTCCTTTATTTTTCTAATTTGAACTTTTTAAAGATCATCTACGAGCTTACAATCGGTTTACTTTTTCTGTTTTTTTATTGAAACTACTCTTTTCCTAGTCACATTTTTTTTCCTATGAAAAATAAACGATACACATGTTTTTCCTCATATTGTCCTTTTTTTATTCTTACTTGAAGCTTCACTCTTTCGCCTCAATTCAATTTTTCTTCTTCAGATTTGTACATACTTTCAGTTTACTTCGAATTCGAAAAATGTATCATCAATTATTTGGAAATTTCTTTAATGCTCTCAAGTTTTCATTTAAATATATTGTTTATATTAAATAAAAAAAGTAAAGAAGGTTGATAAAGACCGATATGTTATCATGTACAACCCAATAAAAAGTATGAAGCATAGAAAGCAAATCAAGAAAAAGCCCAATCGAGCTAAAAAAATTTTTTTTTGAAAGAGCGACATAGCAGCGAGATGTGAGCGACCTTGCGCCGAGAGGCGAGCGATATAGCTCGCGGCTCCCCCGCGATATAGCGTTTCTCTCGCTGCGACCTCGTCCGTAAAACTGGGTGTTTAAATAATTCAGTGAAGCAATTTGGGCTGCAGATTTGAATCACGTCGAAAGCGCTAACCAAGATTGCATGGCGTCAATGAAATGAAATTAAAAATTTTTTTAAAATCAATTTTAATTAATAAATAAATTTATGTGAATATTTTTTTCTCCTTTACCTGACTTTTTCGCGTTCGAACAGATGTTTGTGAGAAGTTAAACTAGAATTAAAAAAAATTATTTTACAGAAACCTCTGACAACAGACCAGCAAAAAGCTTTCGATTGCATGCTAAACTTTGTGAACACAACTCTCGAAAGAAGTTGGAGCCATTCTAGCTGTTCAGTTTTACTTGAAGTGTTATAGGAAATGAAGATATTCTCAAAGAATACGAAGAAATCGCAAAAATAACGCCAAAGGAAAGCGAATGCTCAGCTTTCTACAAAAATTTGGAGAGAAATCGGTGTCAGGTGGGAAATTTCAGAAATTTTTCAACTGCAACGTTTTTTTTCCATTTTTCTTCGTCCATTTTAATTTAAAGACTGTCTTGTTGCTCGATTCTACACGTGTAGTTTTGGAATCACCTACAGGCGATTATATTCATGCAAGTCGAGTTACACTACCCCAAGTGAGTCTATTGAAAAAGAAAAAAAGGAATTATTTTTCAACTTAAAAAGTTATAACAAAAAAACAAGGACTTCTTCAGTTCAATCGTAAAGTGATTGCGGCCCAGCTTCCTCTTTCTGACTACATTGAAGAATTTTGGAGAATGATCTTTCAGGTTTGGTTCCATATTTTGAAATATTTAAACACATGCTTCAGCCTCAATTTTTGAAATAAATACCAGTACTGACTTCAACCGAACGCAATGCAAACTTTTTTTATTTATACTTTAAAAAAATAAAGTGTAAAGGAATGTTTTTAAGGAAAATCCAAGAAAAATTAATCGTTAATTTTGCCGAAGGATTTAGTTCAGCTTTCAAACTTGATTTTTCAGGAAAATTGCTCCTTGATGGTCTTGCTTGGTCGTGGGAAAGAGGAAGCTGAAGAGTTTATGAAAATCTTACCGAAAAATAATGGCGATTACAAATATTTCGGTACCATGTTTGTGAATATTAGAAAGGTGAGTAAGGAGTAAACGTTTCGAGATGAAAGTGCTGATAGCTCTATAGTTGAACAGTTTTGTTTCTTTTTTCACTATAGCTGATTCACGGCTGGCTTAAGCCATCGAAAAAAGGGTCCTGACACGATAAGAAGAGACAGTGCCTGGTTGGTGGAGAGCGCAGGCAGGCCACGCCCCCTCAGCTTCTCAAGTTAGCCGTGAATCGGCTATAACAACTTTTCACAAATTTATCATGTGCTCTACACACTTTTAACTTAATTGAAATTTTTTAAATCGTAGTTATCATTTTTCGAGCCGCTCCAAATGCGGCCATTACGAAAAATACAAAGTTCACTCTTTACTTATTGAAACGCTGCGATCGCACGTAGAAAGGCTCGTTGCGTTGCGGTCGTGAAGCTTACATTATAGAGCGCTTTACAAAAAAAAACCCTTCGAGCTTAAGCTATGAAATCCTCAGTTGAACTGCAGCGCGACCTCTCAATCCATCCCACGTGCGATCAAAGTAACGAGTCGTAACAATTTTTTTTTTACATTTCTATAGTAAAAGTTTGTAAATTTTTTCCTCGCAGATGGAGCGACAATATGACAAAAAGGTTGATCTTGACAAGGAGAACGAGAGAGAAAATGTAATTCATTTTTTTGTTTTTTGTTCTCAATATGCATGAATTTTAAGCTCGAAAACGTGACATCGATCACGATGAGCGTGGAAGTGCTACCTGATGGATGCAGTAATTCTATCTTCTGCAAGGTTCTTCCTTTTTCTTCTATTTTAATCTTGTCTTTTTTCACCGATAGGCTTCAGCTCAGAAAGAAAAGTGAAACCAGCTTGAAAATTTAAGGAAAATTTGCTGAGGTTGCTTGTAGGGTACACTGATCATGAACGAAAAAGAAACCTTCCTTCGACCTGATTAACAAGCTTGAGCGATCGAAAAAAGGGTCCTGACACGATAAGAAAAGAGAAAGCGCCTGGTTGGTAGAGAGCGCAAACAGGCCACGCCCCCTCAGCGTCTCAAGTCAACCGTGAATCGGCTATACCGTTTAGAGCACATTCCTGCGTTGAAATGTGAAAAAAAACCATCCATGTTTCATGAAATTCTCAAGCTGGGGCTATTTTTACTCCTTTTTTTTCAAAATGAATCTCTGAAGTACTGTGAAGTGATTTTTTCAAGGTTCTGATGCAACTAAACTGGGGAGTAATGATTGCGCCGCAGGGAAAAGCCGCCCCCCTCGCCACTTCTGCGGAGATTTTAGACCGGAAAGAGGTTTTCTACGAGATTTTTTACTCACAATAACTTTGAAGCAATTTTTTTTGAGCAGTATTGAGGCCAGTTTTATGTCACTTCACGCAGCGTAAACGTGCGGGCGTAAATGAGTTTCCACTAGGAAATATTTTTTGTGATCCATATTCAACAAGATTTGCATATTTGCGAAAATTTTACCTTCTTTGAACTCATTTACGCTGTGTAAACGCTGATAATATGCTCTCTGGTTAGGATAAACTTAAGATCAAAGTCGCACGACTTTTTATTTTTAAGGAATATGAAGTTTTAATTTTTCAGACAGGGACAGTCTGTGTGGTGAGTATGGAAGGGACTGGGCGAGCTGGAACTCAGTTGGCAATCGTCGCCGCCATGAATCTTGTCCAGAAAGGAATTACCCCGGATGTAAGGACTTCTGTACCAGTCAAATCTTGAAGATCAGAAAGCTTCGAATTGTCTTGAAAATAGATAGAAAAGAAATAGCCATCCCTCTCTGAGAAATCTGATTTTTCTTTCTTTCTAAATACCTGCCTTGAAACTTTGTATTTTTTGACATCCCTCGTTTTTTATTTCAAAATGTTCATGAAATTCAAGATTCGCGAAATCGTAACAGAAATTCGGAAATCGCGTGCCTTCGCCGTCGAATCATCAGTACAGTATGCGACCGTCTTCCAGGCCGTTCTGTACTACGCTACCGTAATCCTTCTGATAGCATACTGTATTTACAGTACCCCTGTTTAGGCCAAATTGAAGCGACAATCAGTCCGGGAACGCGTCACACAGTTCCAGCAAGGGTGGTACATTGTCAACCCCATTGCGATTTCTCGATAAAATGAACTGTTCCCTCATTTTCATTTCGCCACCTGATTAACACATAAACAGTCTCATCGCTGCGCCTTTAATAAGCAGTGATATAAACATTTTTCGACCGCCTCTCGTCGGAAAAAAGGGCGTTAAATGCCCGTAGTCAGGCGGGCCCATCCATCAAACTCGATCCAAGTTGTTCCGGTCGCTTATCAGTCAATCGGCCCCTCCGAATCAAAGATTTGTTCTTTAAACAGTCGGCATAGACAAAACCTTCATATCACCAAAGGACAGAAAAACAACAAAGAAAGCGTAGAAAAAAAAAATGAAAAGGGCAACAAGTTCCGAAATATAATAATAAAAAAAAGAAAAGAAAAAACAAGGAAAGAAAGTCTCTGAAATCTTTTCAAGGAAAGAAAAAGTGATCAATGCAGGGAAAATCTAAGAATTCAGGCTCATCTTCCTTTCCTCAACACCAAAACACGTTAAAACACGGTTCATCGAATCGAATAAAAGGTCGTTAACAACAAGAATTAATCTAAAGGCACCTGTAAAAAGTATATGAATAAATAACATTGTCTGTTAAAGATTTCATAGAAGAAAAGGGTTTGAGAAACCGGCGTCAAGCTGGAAACATCGAAAAAATATGAATAAACAAGTAGCCGACTAACTATACTAGCGAGAAAAATCAACAAACTGGCTACAAATGAGATCAATTCGTTATTTCCAGAAACTTGACGTCCGACTAAAAATACCCGTCGGAGGATAAAATCATCAAGAGCCATGAACAGTGAGCAAAGAGTGGGAAGAGAAAAAGGAAAGCATGGAAATGTGGTAAATACAAGAGAAAGAAATAACTCGAATACAAAGGTGTCGCGAATGAGAAAAGGGGGCAGAGAAACAGGAAAATAATACGTCAGAATCAAATCAACAGTTTTTTTTTTTCATGCACCGTATTTTTTTTTTAGTGGTTTTTTATAATTTTTGGCCGTATTTAACTTTTTGGAGTTGAGATCAAACTCACTGAAAGAAGAGTAAAGTGATGGAGGGAAACATCCAATATTGCCAAGATTAAGGTTTTTTTTCCCATTTCAGCAGGAGATAGAATGAAATTGGTCGAAAAATGATTATCATATAGTGCTAAAAGTGATAACGATGGTTCAATTTTTTTTTCTCATTTTTACAGAATATCTTAATATTTTGAAACCCGTCGCGTCGATACCACAGAAGCGTACAGTAAGCCAGGAAAAAAAGAAGTTGAAAAATATGTTTAACAGTTTTCCAAAAAATGAAACCGGAGAAGAAAAAAAGTCACATGAAAAAGCTGTTCAAGAGGTGAGTCTTGAACATTAACAATGAAAACTCAAGAGGTCGGCCTCGGAGCACCATAGGCGAAATTCTCCTCTGAGTAGTACTGAAGACCATTCCGATACCTGAGAATCAAGGTTTACTATTTACTGGGTAATTTTTTATTACTTGTAAAAGATAAAGTCTGGAACACTAGGATTGTCCAAATACGGCAACATGAGGACGTTGCGCCGTTCTCCACGGATAAGCCGCACCTCAAAATCATGATTAATTATTCATCGCTGTCAAAAAAAACTACCTTAACAGGGTTTCTTCTCGTGGATTCGGCGATCGCCGCCATCGCGGCGCTCTTTTCCTTTTCTTTCTCCGAACGAATCTTGAGCTCTTCCAAAGATGGTAACATGTCCATCCAGTTGATTTTCTTCCCTTTATCAACCGTCGAACTAGACGAAGAAGTCGTTGCTACGTCCTGAAATCGTTTGAAAAGTTTAAAGCTGTCTTTTAAGGCGTTAATATCATGAAGTCGCCAAAACCAGAAAGCCACATACAATTCTTTTTGATAAAAAAATTTTTGTTCAATGAGATAGTTGACAATTTTTTTGAAAAATTGATTACAAAAAAACATAGAAAAAAATTTTTTTATCAGTCATGATCAACTATCAAACATGATTTAAAACTATCTGAAAAAAATATGTAAGAGAATGATTATTACGGTAAAAATCATAAAATATTACCAAATTTATAGTTTTTTTTAAACTTTAAATTGATTTCCTATGATAATTTTTTGGAGGTAAGAAAAAGAAGCCAGCGAATTTTCTGATTTTTCATATCGCTAGGGAATTTTTTTCGACTTGGTAATATTTTATAACTATTACCGTAATAATTAACAGATCTTTTATGAACCGAAAGTTTCCGACTTTTTTTTTCTCAAAAAACTTTTCTTTTTGAGTCGTATTGTTTAAAATAGGTAGTTGATTCATGATTAAAACACAAAGAAAAAGGAAAACAATGTTAATAGATCTTTTTACGAACCGAAAAAAATATAAGGAAAAAAAGACGAAAAAGTTCCCTAGAGATGAAAAAATTGGAAAAGTCGTCGCTCGAAAATTCGTTGCCTTTTTTTAATACCACCTTTCTTTTTTAGTACAAAATAATTTTAAAAGTTGTGCTCAAAAATATATAAAAAGTCAGATAATAGTAAACCTCATCATCGTGCTGCTCGACAGGCTCTGGGTCTACGTTCTTCTTGACCGGCGCAGAAGTAGGATAGTTCGATGAAGGCGCTGGCGCAGCTTCTTCTCTGACGGTCGCTAGGCGAGGAATGCGCAGGATGAGTCCGCCACGGCGTTCCTCGGTGCCAGCTTTACAGAAATCACGGTTATCAACCATTCAATCAGTAAGCTTTGGCAATACGGCCCGTTTAGAGACACTTCACTCGGAAATTTGGAAAGCAAATGACCGAGAAAGCGCTCGAAACGAAGCCGTAGAAGAACACCGTACCAGAAATCGGCGACGGCTGTTGCACAGGCTTCTGCTTGCGCTCATATTTCCGCTTTTTGCGCTCTTGGACGTAGGGCGAGCTCGTTGTTGCAGGTCCGTAGATCAGTTGGTGGGCCAACTAAACAACTTTCTTTATAAAAATTTTTGCGTTTGAAAAAAATTGCCTCTTCATCTTGCTGCTCTCTTCTGACTTTTTCTTCATGTTTCCTGATGCTCGAGTCAATGTTCATGTGATCCGGTAAGTTTTGACTGAGTTGCGCAACCTGGAAAAAATCTCAAGTTCATCCAATGTGAACAAGAAATCATTAACTGACCAATTCACTAGTACTTTGAACATCTTTACGCGCGGCAGAAACGGAAAGCGGAGTCAGAGGAGCATGTGCTGCGAGAAATCCACCAGTCGTTTTTGTTCGCTTGATTGGATTAACCACTGTAACACTTTTTTTAAATTTCATCTACTGAGAAATCATTAACCAGTAGTGTCCTCGGCCTTCCGTTTTCCATTTCGAGCGTCTTCTGCTGAGCCTGGGATGGGCGTAGTGCTGGGAGCAGTATGGCTGAGCTCGGAGCCGACCGATTGCGACTTGTGAAAGCCATTGGTGATTGGAGCCGGTTGGGCCAACGCCGCTGGAGAAACTTTCTGACTTCTTGGGGCATAGGAGCCATTTGCAGGGGAGATTGTAGAGTTTGCTCCGTTTCTGCCTAAAAAGATGAATCTTCATGAAATCTTTGTTGATTTATAAGTCAACCGTTCGGTAAGCCGGTTGAGGTGACCCGCCGATTCACCGGAGTATTCGGCGTCACTCGACGCAGCCTTGCAATGCCAGGTGAGATCACATTTGGTGTTCCATTTGTCGAAGAAGCACCGCTTGAAATAGTGCGTCGCTAGAAAAAAAAATCTTGCCAATAGTTCAATTTGTGTATCAACTTCATTATAGAAATAAATTCTTTATTATAAACTTTGAATTTTTTTTTTCTTCTCGTTTTTAGATTTCATTAAATTAAAAATCATACTTTGCAACGTACATTTTCTCTCACAATTTTGATTCGGAAAAGTTTCCTCCGCACATTATGCGAGAGTGCACATAAAATATTTATTTTTAACTCGGTTATTTTACATGATTTTTTTATTTCTTTCCAACGATTAAAAAAATCAATAAGCAATTAACTTTAAACGCAATTAAAAATATTTTACCCAACAAACAGAAAATGCATGAATTCAATACAACGAAGCAAAATGAAAAACGCGGAAAAATTACGAAATATTCATTAATATTCACCTCGTCTTGTACAAACTCTTGCCATGCCTTGATTATCTCTCGACTCTTCTTGGACAATGCAGGCCATTTCTTCAAATGAGTTCTCCTTACGTTGTTAAGGTGGAAACCGACGCGAGTGACCTGGAAAAATTTTCTTGAAAGTTGAACTTTCCATTATTTTCATGGAAGTAACAATGCTGTTCAACGCTTAACTAAACATTTCCAGTTGGAAACTTACGCAACAAAAAAAAAGAAAAATCTCACAACACCCAACATAATTGCCGATATCGCAGCGGGCCGCACGCGATATAGCCAAGGCTTCTCGCTGCGATCTCGTCAACATGTCGCTGCGACCTCGTCAAAGTCTCGCTGCCATATCGCTCCCACTCAAAAATTTGAAATTTGAAAAACATTTTTTTCGCTTTATTTTTGACTTTTACGATGAAATCAATCAAATTCAAGAAAAAAACATTTTTAAAGAAAAATTTTTCAAAGAGCGATATAGCGCAAGACGTTTGCGAGGTCGCAGCGAGAAGCGAGCGATATCGCTCGCGGCTCCCCCGCGGTATAGCGTCACTCTCGCTGCTATATAGTTCACAATTTTGGGTGAATGTCGCAAAAGTTTTTGTAGAAAAAAAAATTTAAAGGCGCGCGCGACGAGTTGCACGTGGAACATCATCGCGGCTTTCGTGGAAGTTTCGGGAACGTTTTATTTCTTCTCCCAATCCCAAATTTCGTTCTTTGCTTTTTGGGATTTCCGATCAATTGAGTTTAAATGAAGTAAAAACGAGTTGAACTTAATTTCAATAGAAATATATTAATTTCGAATAGATTTTTTTTTCAACTAGTTATCATCATTCTACAAAGTTTACAAAAAAATGGTCTAAAAAAAGGTAAAGTTAAAAATATTTGAGATTGCGAAATCAATCAATTTTTAATTTTATTGAATCAAACTTTAAATAACAGTCGGAAGTCTATGGTTTGTCCTTTTTCAATGTTAAAACAGAGCGCGTTTTGTGTTTGTGAGAGGGCCCAGCGTTTTTGCGGCACCACCTGCACTCGGCGCGGCCAGGCCTCAGCAATGACACTGGCCGCAACGAATTATCGATCGAGGGAAGAATCAGGCGGCGCGAGCGAGCGAAATCTCTCTTTGTCGTAAACAGACAGACGCTAGGGACGCACAGATGCCGTCTGCGAGGAAAGTCAGTCAGTCGGGCTGCTGGCCGCCGACACCGCTCCAGCAGTCCGACTCGTCCAACGTTCTAAAGGGAACTCTGTCACTCTTACCTCCAGAATTTCGCGAGTTGTGATGAGCTTGCGGAGCTCCTCGAGCACAAAATCGCAAAGTTCCACATTGTCCTGAATCACAAAATTGTGAAGCCTTGAAACGAAAAATTTTGTAGGTATATATATATGTATGACTGTATTGTAAGAAAAATGGTTAGTCCGACGGTGTCGGATAGCAGAATGATGAATATTCTTGTGTGAGAAGGGAAAAGCAGTCCACCTTGCATATATTACAAAATTTACACGCGGATAACAATAAAAATATTTATTTTATTGATAATGAGCGATCGGTGAAAATGATATGCACTACTACGAGGAGATGAGCAGCGCCTTACATTTTCGGCAGCGAAGAGGAGCTGCTTCTTCAAGTCCTCGACAGACTGTGCATTCGAGGTCATCGGCACAGCCAATTTATCTGGTGGCTGAAAGGACGACAACGCAGCGCACGCCACCATCCATCCACAGCCCAGCCAAGGCAACTGAACGCGCGCGCGCGACGACTGCTCTTTTATACCCCTCCACGCCCATCGTCGGCCGTGATTGGTTGGCCACGCCTACTGCTGTGTTCGGTGGTCCACACTTACTGAAACCGCGACGCGGACACGCCTTAATTTCTGAAAATTTTTTTTTTTTATTTCATAATATTTATATTTTACTTCTATGTAAACTTTTAAAACTTTTTCTGCTACACTTTAGTAGGTTGAGCGAGTGAAAACATGTCCTTCAAGTTTTTCCTATAGTTTCATGTTAGGTAGTGTCGGAAATTTAGGGTTTATTTTTTTGAATAAATAGTTTTTCGTAGTAAAAGCAACTTGCATATAGAGGATGTCAATTTCTCATTTGTGACTTTGTTAACGTCGTATTAAAAAGTGATTCCGCGAAATTCAAAATAGCCGTCAGAGAAAGAAAAAAAGATAAATAAATTTAGGAGAGAGATAATTTTTTTCATTCCGCGGAAAAAAATTACTCGGAAAAACGGCATGAGAAGAAATACACAACCTTTTTAAATTTTGGGAGGAAAAATTTCCACAGAATGAACGTTTGATTTTGAAACGATGGATAATTTTTTTGAATACTTTCCTGCTAATAATCTGGGAAAAAAATGTGAAATCTAAATGTATATTTCTTGTATTTTTAATACGTATTATCGCTGATGTTCTCTCCAATTAATAAATGACGATATTTGGCCTCAGATTTTGTTTCAATAAAAAAAATTATGTATTTGATTTTTTGGAAATCCTGCTAAATGTGCAAGCTTCAATAATGAATTGTGTTGAACTTTCCGAAATCATTTTTTGAGCGTTCTGCAGAATTTAATAGTTGTATCCTTTCTTTCTGACTCTTTGAACCATGGGAAGTTTGGGTATAAGTTCTCCCAGCAAATTTTTCCCAGCGCACTTTTTCTCATCAAGGTTTTATTTCCGTCTTTTGCCGTTTCGTAATATCGTATCATAAACTCTTGTTATTTACAACGGAGAAAACCTTGAAAATCATATTTTGGAATGAGCCGCCGAAAAGCCGTTCAAGAAGGCGAAAGTGGTCAGCAAAGCGGTAAAATTAATTCGTTGTTTTGTAAAATTTGTGTCGTCTTGTTCCACATCTCACTTTTGAATATTTTCGCCCTTTTTTGCACTTTTAATACATCAATGTAACAATAATACAAAGTGAAAAGTTTCAGATGTCGATCTCACAATTCGCGTGCAGGATAAAGGGACGAACGACCCGGACGCGTCTTCCAGAAAGTCACGGATTGGAGCTATTTTGAAAGTAAGAACATTTTTGTCGAATTGACAGAGTCAAGCACCTTCCAACGTGTTCATCGTTTCAAGCAACTTGAAGCTTATTGTTTGCCCAGACATTTTTCGGCAGATCCGGTTTTTTGGGTCGTTCTATTGCTCTTCGCGTGAACGGCGGATTTCAAAGTGGAATAGTTCAAGAGCGGAAATAGAAATTTCTGAGAATCAATTCGATTTTTTTGGAAGGAAAATGAAAATTTGATTGTTATCGCAGCTTTTTGAAATCGGAGTGTCTCATTGTTTACACAGAGTTTCAAGAAAACACTTTTTTCTGTGACGCATGTTTTTGTGGGTTAACGTTCAAAGATTATTTAAGTGATTTTTCTCATTTCTTTATCCAAAAACTTTTTCGAAGGGAATTTTGAAACTGTTGGTTTTTATTTTAAAATTTTTTCGCTTTAGTAAAATGCTGGCACTTTCTGAAGTGCCATTTTATTAAAAACTTTCAGAAATATTTTTGGGTTCGTGATATCATTTTAGTAGCGAAATCGAGCCCTCTAATTTAATACTTTGGTATAGTTTCCTTCGAAAAAGTTTCTCGCAAATCTAAAAAAAAAGGTGTTTTTTCAGGATGGCCCAGCTAGGCTGAAAGAAGGCGCTGCTGAAACTATAAAAAGACCTTTAACTGGTAATTTTTTCGGCTTGATAATTGTTGATTCGAAAGCTGTAATTTAGGCCTTTTCCGTCGTCCTGGATCGCGAGGCCGGAAAAGGGAAGAAGAAGAAGAAATGGGCACAGCGCAGCCACCTTCAAACTTTCGGGGCATTAGTAAAATTTGTGAGTTTTTTGTGGCTCTTTTTGGGTTTTTTTCCTTTTCTTTGTGTGTGAGAATGCCTTCTTCTGTCGGAAAATCTAGATGCTACTCTTCGCCTTAAGACCTTCATGACATTCCTATGAGCTCCTTCAAAAAGAATAACAAAGACTTTCAAAATGATTTTTCTAAACTTCCTGTTTTAATCCTCTCTGAAAAGTTCAACGACGTGTTTTAGTGTTTTCTGATCTAATCATTGTTCGGTTATGAAACAAAAATTGATACGGCGTGGCTTTAGCGGAAGGAAAAGATAACAAGGTTCACATAAAATGAACTACGAAATAGTTCTATTGTACAAAGACTTCAGGAATTCTCGCCGAGGTTTTTGAATTTGCATAGACAAACTTTGAAAAGGCTCCCAACAAGGTTGTACGGAAGAGATTTGCGGAAAAAAAACTTGAAATGAAATGTCTGAAAGGAAAGCTTTTTTTATGCCTTTTGTAAATACTGGTGCTTTCTATAAAAAAATATTTTTTTCAATATTTATCTTCCAATTAAACATAGCTTCACTAGTGTCAACTTTTCTCCGATGAAAAACATTTTTCTTTCGGGGTAATTTTGATTTAAGTGCATTTACGTTAATGTCTTCCTTGCAAACCTGGATTACAAGCAAAATGTCATTTTCAGAAGGATTTCTGGTGATTTAAAGCTCAGTAAATCTTTAAACTGGATTTCTAAAACAAGGGGTTCTTTTGTTAGAAATTTCCTAGTCAAATTTTTTTTTTGAAGTTTTCTGTTTTCTAAAATGACTATCTTTAGCGTCGGCCCTAGAAGACGTGCACCTGAACGAAGATTCTCCGCGCGCAGCTCCAAATGTCCTGAGAGCTCCCATCGAAGGATCGGGACTCGAAGAAGTCGCTCGAGCCCCTCAACTCACGTCCACACAGCTCGAATCCATGCTCCAGGAGGATTCCGTCAACGACAGGACGGCTCATTTGCACAAGTTTGAGAAAATTGGTCAGTTTTTTTCTTGATATTCTTTGTTGTGCTTTCTTGCCTTCTGATTTTCGAACTGAGCTTAGTTTTCTTGTAAATTATGATGATTTTTTAAAATTTTGCTTAAAATGCTCAGTTAGATCATTTTAATGAGCTTTAAAGTTTTGTGCAGAATGAGATGATATTTTGAGTTTTGTCACTTTGATTTTCTAAAAAAATTTTTGCTTATGGAGAATTTTCACGACATATAGAAAAAAAGGAAAATTTGGCCTCCTTAGTTCAATATGCAGAGCTAAATTTGTAGTTTCACCTTTTTTTTTTACTTTTGCAAGAAAAAATAATTCTCTAGTATTTTTTTTTCAATTTTGTAGGTTATTAACGATCGCTGTAATGCTAAAGAAAACATGGATGAAATTTTCGAAAAAAGAATTTTTCAAAAAGCGCCTTAAAAGATTTTTTTAGTGATACATTTATTCTATACCTTTTTCACACGGGAAAAAACTTAATGATTTAGAAAATGGGCCTAAAACCTAATTTTACCGAGAGCATTGATGTTCGACCTTTCTCGTTGCACTTTTCACTGCTATTCGACAAATTTAATCGAATAAATCTTCTTTTTTTTCAGACCTCTCCTTGCTTTCGCGTGTTCTTTCGCTGGAGGAAGAGGTTCACGAGGAAGACACGGCCTGGACCTGGGACCACCTGTTCACTTCCTTGTCACAAGAGCTTCGCGAAGAATGGAGTCATGATAACCTTTTGACTGGAAGAATGTGAATATTCGTGTACTGTGATAAATATTTATCAATTTCTATTCCAGTTTGGTTTTTGTTTCTTGAGGTGGATGTTCCCCTTTGATATTTGACATTTGACGTTAGATTTTAGAGTATTTTTTGTGTAGTTTCACACCATTTTTTCGTATTTCACGAACGAATAAGGATCATTTATATACTTGTTCTTGGAAGTACACAAGATTTAGATGAGAAAAAAAATGATAAAAATTTCATTTTTTCGAGTCAAAATAAACCATTAGACGTCATCTAAACACCTGAAATTCCTGTCATTTTTAAAGTTTAAAAAAAATAGGAATCTCGAAAAATTCTTCAAAACTTTTCTGCCTTTTTTCGGACAAAAGTGAATAGTTCATGAAATTGTCCCTTTTTTCCCTTTCGAGGGATTTGAAACTCCTCTTACTTATGAATGAACAACTCCAGAATGCGGATCAGGCCGGCTAGCCTGTATCGCAACGTGTTACTAGGCCTTTTTGGCTTCGGCGTCTTGTACGGCATCTACAGCATCGTCGCCTACGACGACGGCTCCCATGTCCCTCTCCACAAGCCTCAGAGACACTTGTACCTCACTGTTTCGAAAGATCGGTACGGTTTTGGGCTTTGAAAGTTGTTTTGAGGGGTCGGAGAAATAAAAAAACGTTTAGAGTAAGACAAAGTTCATTAATAAGTGAAAATATCGTTCGTCCATAGCGACTTGACAGTTTTCGCGTGTCTGCTTCTCTCTGTTCCCTCACCGGCAAAGTCAGAGAAACATGGAAACAGAACATAAACATGCGAGAGACGTCGAGAGATGAGGAGGGCGCAGAGAAGTCCCGCCCTTTCAAGTCGCGAAAAACGGACTATATTGAAACCAGGAACAGAAAATTGAGTTTTGAAACGAACCATAGTGATTTAGAAATCATGAAGGGGGAATCATTGCCATTTTTACAGTTTTCCAACCGATCAACGTAAAATTATGTAGAGTTTATGATAAAATCAGTTGAGCCAGTGTTTTAAAAACAAAAACGAACTCCAAAACCCCTAGAACTTTCAATCCTACGAATCGTTTTCAAAATTACAACGTGAAAAGCAGGATTTTTTCCACTTTTTTTCTTTGAGTTATAATGAAAGCACACAGTTTCTTCAATAAACTAGTTAAAATATCCCTTCCAGAATAAGTGATCGATTTGATAACCTTGCGCCGAAAAGGATTCTGTACTGGACGAAGGTTTTCGGTCAGGAAAAGCATCATTCGGCCCTTTCCGACTGTCCTGGCTTGAATGTAAGCCTCGTGGATTGAAAAAACGAACCTTTTTTTGAAGGATCGCTGCATAATCGACACGAATCGGGATCAGATTTCGTCGGCCGACGCCGTCGTTTTCCACGCCGCCGACATTTCTTCGCAGCCTTTGCCCGCTCCGGAACAACGGAAATCGTCGCAGATCTACGTTTTCAACTCCATGGAGACTCCTAATAACAGTGGCCGATTTGCCGTTCCAAGTATGAAATTTTTTGATAATAATGGTCAATATAAGGGCGAAATACGAAAATTCACAAAAAAAATAAGGCTATAGTGCTTTGGAGAGTTTTTCAAGATGTCATTTTCAAGATCGAGGCGAGAAAAAAAAATTTCTGAAAAGGAAATTTTCGAAACGAAATTAGTTGTTGTCTCAAATTTGTCCAAGATTTGAGTCCAAAAAAAATTCCGAAATTTGGACCTTTTTTTCTAGATTTAATTATTATTATTTTGTTTCTGATTCAAGTTATCAAGTGAAAAAAAAGTATCAAAAATTTGCTTTTTCAGACAATTTTTTTCAACTGGACGTCGACGTTTCTGTACGCTTCGGACGCCATTCACAAGTACGGATCTTTCTGGATTCCAACAAAAAAACGGCGGAAAGTCGAGGCTTCAAAGTCCAGGTGAAATTCCAGGAACTTTTTATAGAATCTGTCAAATTTTGAAAAAAATGTTTATTGATTTGTACAGGGGGAAAAAAACAAGTCAGTTGCTGATTTGTGGCTGAGTCTGGACCTGCTGTTGGTTCTGCTGCGACGGACCGAAACCGGCTTCGCGTTTGCCGTAGTAACCATAGTAGCCGTAGCTCGGCCAGCCGTATCCATAGCCACCGTATCCACCGTAGCCACCGTAACCGCCGTAACCACCGTAGAGACCTTCGTAACCGTAGTAGGGGTAGCCGTAGTACTGGGCTTGGGCCAGAGCCAGAAGGCAGGCGAGGAGCAGGAGAATAGAGATGGATTTCATTCTTTGACGGTACTTTCCAAGAGACTTCCCCCCTTTTTATAGTTTCCTCCCAGGGTGTTTGCCAAGAACCGTTTGGCAGATTCCTTTGAGATATATTTGCGTTTGATCTATTTGATCGGTTTCCCAGTTTCTCGGAAGCTTTTTGACGGGCTCGAAGATCTTCGAGTTGCGAGAAGGTTTTTAATTGAGGTCAAAAGTTGGACCTGGCTAAAGGAGAAGTTTGAAAAAGCGACGTCTCTTTCTTTGATTTTCTTCAATTTTGAACTTTTACCGATCGCCTTTTATTGCCGTATTCAAAGTGACCCCGCGAAATCAAAATTCATAAAATTCAAAATTCAAAATTCAAAATTAAAAATGACCGTCATAAAAGGTAAATGATAAATATATTTTGGAGAGTCAGAGATAACTTTGAATTTGGCAAAAATTTTGAACATTGGTAACGCGAAACGGACGTGCTGCGGACGTTTTCTCGGCATTTCTAGTGACCACTTTAGTAACGTCAGCACTCTTAAGTGATCCCTAGAACTGCTCAGAAAAGTCCGGTGCACGTCCGTACCAATGTCCGAGAACGGTCAAAAAACCCGATTGGGAGAAGAAATTATCAGAAAAACTCAAAATTTTCCGGTTTTTTCAATTACTTTATTCACTCTACTGTAGGTCATCAGTTGAAGGAGCAGGTTCCTATTCAATTAAAAGGTCTTGAGACGAATATTGAAATATTACGCGAAGAGGATAGATTTTGACGTTTAATATTCAGAGCTACTTCATGAACCCACAGAAGCTGAAAAAGACGAAAAGCGGCATTTACGGACTAGTTTCCAACTGTGACACGGCATCTAAAAGAGAAGTTGCTCTTGCGGAACTCGCCAAGTTTGATTTAAAAAGAAGAAATAAACCATATGGTTCATTAAGACACATGGACGTGACTATCGGTGGGAAATGTGCCAATAAGCCGGGTCTTCGAACAATTTGTCCTCCGTATCAAGAATGCCTCGATATCTTCGAGCAATACCCGTTTTATATAGCTCTGGAGAATACGGTAGTGTCTCTTTAGCTGTGTGAGGGGATTAATTGAAAGTTCAGGTTTGTGAGGATTATGTGACGGAAAAGTATTGGAACCGCGTTGGCCTGCCGAGTATTCCGATTGTTATGCGCCGTCGGGTTTATGAGAAGTTGGTTTTTTTTGTTGCACGAAAGTATGCTCCAATGAATTATTTCTTTGATTGGCCTCTCAAACGTCCTTTTTTTAGATTTGAGGTGAAAAAGTCCCAGTTAGGGCATAAATTTGCCCGACGTGATGTTTTTGGCTCACTCTCTATGCGCCTTTAAATTGAGCATTGACTTGATTTTTTCCAAGTTTAAAGGCGCATAGGGTGCCATTTTTCAAGATAGCCAGAACGATTTTTAGAATCTCAAAAAATTCTGAATAAGATTTTATGCGAAAATTTAAATTCCAGGTATTTCCCGCCAAAATCGTTTATCGCTATGGATGACTACCGTAACCCGAAAGAAATGGCCGAACACTTGAAAGTCCTTCAAGCCAATGAGTGAGTTTCAGGAGTTTGCTGGAATTAGCCTTGGAGCGCATAAAATTGAAAAGTAATGGCGTTTTTTTTTTTGAAACGCCAAATTCAGTTTTTAATAAACTTGAAATTAAACAATTCAATTTTTGAGTTCAATTGTTAGCAGTGGAGCAAAGAAGGCTGAAAAATTAGAGGCTAGTTAGAAAAAAAATTGGTTTCATTCTCGGAAAAGTGGTGTTGAAAAACTGTGAAAATACGATTTTCAGTTTGCTGTTTCAGTGAAAGAATTTTTCTTGACTCCGATGCTCTCACCAGTGCTTCTTTCAATACCAGAAAGCTTTAAAAAATATACTTCGTCCATCTCTGCTCTTATTGCATGTCGAATGGCTTAAAACGTTGCGGCCGACCCAAAGCGGCTTGCGCCTGAGGATGTATATTTTTATAGCTATCTGATCAAGTGAAAAAAATTTGAAAAAAATTGATGATTTTATTAAAAAAATCTTAAAAACTTTTGTACGCCGAAATGTCCGAATTGTTGAATTGAACCATTTTGGAGACCTTTTTCCTCAATTTTTCCCGTTTTTTCAGGAGCTTATTTGAATTTTTAGAACAGCCTATGCGGAATACTTCAAATGGAGGAACGGCGAATGGACGACGGCCCCTTGGAACTCTCCAGGCTACCGTAACGGAGTGTGCCGCGTTTGTGAGCTTTTGTGGAAACGCGACGAGAATTCCACGAGCAAATCGGTTTTGATTCATGTTTTTTGTGCCGAAAATGTCTTGAAATCAACGGATATTCCTTCGAAAAATTCAATTTTTCTTAATCTTTCCTCACAGTTTATTTAATTAGAGAGGTAAAGTGGTCCCTGCAGAAAACCTTAGGGGCCCTCTAGGGACCACTTTACCAATCCCTATAGGGGCCACTAGATTGCGAAAGTGGTTCCTATGGGGGTTTCAGTTAGTAGCTTCTAGTAGGGACAAAAAAAGGAAAAATAAAAAGAAAGAGAAAAACAGAAAAATAATTTTTTTTGAAATAAACTGAAAGATCCTTATAGGGACCACTTAAGCTTTGGGGGTAAGGGGTCTGGCCCTACACCCCTATAGGGACCACATTTTGGGTCTCTGTTGGGGTTGTTCCCCCCAACTTCTATAGGGACCACTCTAAAATTTCTAAGTAAGCCTCCCACGAAAAGGATTATATCGAATTTTTGCAGATCGAAAACGTCTGGACCTGGTTTGATGAAACAGCCAAATGCGAAAAGGACGAATTTGTACAGTCTTGGATTAAATCTTGATTTTCTCCCAAAGTTTTTCTAATTTTCATTTTCTCATCTTGCTATATTGATCTCAATCGCTTGCTCAATCTATCCGCATTTTACCAAAAAACATAATTTTTTCATACGACGTGTCTTCAGAAGCCATACTCACTCGCTTATTTGCTTTCGGGTCCATTTTTTCGTAGTTTTTGAAGATGTAATGAATGATTTATCGATACAAGTGACCCGCAATGTTGGGATATGAAAGTCAAAAAAGCCGCGGTCGCATGAGGAATGGCTTGAAGCGCGTGCCAATGCTTTCCTATGCCACCGCGCTCAAGTCATTTTAAGTCGGAGGCATGGAAAACCGTTCTTCATGCGACCATTGGCCTGGAAATTAGGAAGAAGGAAGTATGAATAAAAATAGAAAAATCCGGAGTTTTGCTGGGAGAAAAGTTTTTTTTTCTTTAAAGTTCTTAGTTAGATGTGCCGTTGGTTGGTCCAGACGACAGAAGTGGCCCGATCCTGCTGCTCCAAGGAAATCCCGCCGGTCGACCGCAGGGCGGCCAGCGAAGCCGTACTCCCGCATTCGGCGTTGCAAAGGCCTAGAAAAAACCATTTACTAGTTCTACCACTTTAGGGCGTGTTATCAGAAGATGTTCTTCAGGAAAGTCCAGTCTCGAAAAAAGAACAGAAATTTGAAGCGTTTCTCCTTCTATTTTTTTTTTTGACTTTTTTGTTAAGCCTTGAAGGTACCTGCCACCGTCATCGGATCCGGCATCATGTGACGTCTTCTGAAATGGGAGCGACGAGCCGAGTCGAACTTCTGACGGCGTCGTATTCTGGCTGCAACTAGAGCCGCCACCGCCGTCACCACCGTGAAGATCGCCAGAAGGGCCAGGGCGACGAGAAGCGGAGTCGGAACTCGGCTGATCGTCCGGAACGCTGCGTTTGTCCATGCGACCGTCGAGTTCTGCTCTTTCTGAAGGTTGGAGATAGTTTTGATCAACCAGAAAGGTTATTCCACTCTGGAACTTTCTGAAATTTGGTCAGGTTACTCTTTAAATACGAGATTAAGACCCTGAAAGCCTCAGCCTGCCTAACTCCTCATTTTTCGAGAACTTTCAAAAAAGCCCTTCGGTGAGTTTCTTTGACTTTCAGGAGTCTTTTCTCGAAGACTCTGTGCAAGTTGAGTTTTCGGAGAATCCCCGAATCCCCAATGACGTCCCTTACATGGGCTCAGACTGACCTGTTCGACATGAAGATCGGCGTCGTCCAGAAGTCGGAGCTCTCCGGCGGTGACCAGCCGCGGAAAGGCTGACCGTTCGACAGGACTTGTCGTGAACGTCTCCAGGGCCACGGACATGGTGTGAGACGGGGATGGCGTTGCTGGAAAAGCTTAGTTTTTTGGTGGTAGCTTAACCAAAAACAGGTCTTTCTACTCTTTTCGGACTGGTCAAACTCTCAATAGGACTTCCTAATGACACTGGAATCTGCGAATTTTCAAATTATATCGATAATATGCTCAGGGAATGCCGAAGAGGTTTGTGAAAAAAGTTATGGCCTCTTAAAGTGGTTCGAGACCCATTTGGAATCTTTTGAACAGAGAATTCGTAATCAGCTTCAAGAAGAATATTCAGTAGATCAAGCTAGATGAATTCAGTGACGTAAACCTTTTCCAGAGGCGAAAATTCATTTCAACTTTCAGTTTATACAAAGCCCAGGGAAGTTTCAAATAAACCTGGCTTCAGAAGCTGATCGATAAGCTTGTCGAGGATTTGCGAGTCCTTGGAAGGTGTCGCCGTCGTCGCTGCGAATCTTCGACGGAATGCGGCTGCGAATAAGGCTTCCTGAAGTCGCGACCGGAGATCATCCATGCTCGTCGCGACGATGTTGGCTAGAAGTTCGTCCAGAAGTTCAGGATCCATCTGAACGAGTAAGGAGTTGAACAAGCTCAAAATAGTTACTATTTTTCACCTTGAAGTCTTGCATTTCGAAAGAAAAAGATTGAGTTTCGGACCCAAAAATATTTCTTTTGACCCCGATCTCTATGAGTAAAAGTTTCTTTGTTGAAAAAAAGAAAATTGAAACTTCTTTTTTTTTGGGGTTAGTAAATGCTGTAACTTGACAAATTTTAAAACAGACCTGTGAAGGAGGTTGTCGAATTATTGCCGCTGAACTAAACTCGAAGACCAGAAGAAGCAGAAAAATATAATTGAAAACCATCGTTCCAAATGACGGAGTCAGTTCAGAAGAAGAGGGCGTGAAGCTTTCAGGGCAGGTGCGCCGACCGTGTTGAGCCAACAAATGGAAGTTGCGTCGGCTCTTGTCAAACAACCATCCAAGGCGCAACACACATCTGCTTGGCACCTGGGTGAAGTCATCTGATGCTCCGGACAGATGCATCGGAAAGGAGGAAGAAGGAAGAAGATGGTCAGATGAGAAGAAACAGCCGTCTGTCATTTTCTGTAGTTCACCAGGTAAAGAAAAATTCCAGGTACCCCTTGTTATTGTCTGAAGTTAAAAAATAGCTTTCGTTCTGATGGAAGAAAGATCTCAAAAAAAAAAACGGTTTCAGCAAGAAAAACCAGTTGTCTGCCATCTTTTTGAGTCCTCTACTTTGAGAAAAATGCCAAGTAGTTCTTTTTATGACCTGAAGAGAAAATATAGTCATCCATATTTTCTAGGACATATTTCGGTCTGATGAGAAAATAAGCCATCTGTCATCATTCCCAATGTTTTCTTGTTAAGAAATAGGCTCTGAGGATAAAAAATAACTTATTTTGATCTTTTCTGATGTCCTTCTTCAGTAGTCTTAGGAAGGCAGTCGTGCAATATTCCCAATTTATCCTTCTGGCATATATTTTTTTAGTGAAAATGCGCTCTGATGAGAACCTAGTCACGTTACTTTTTTTCTTTTTCGATTAATTTCTTGTAAAGTTTTTCTTTTAAAGTTTGTGTGAATTATCCACCTGAAAAGCTTTATAAGTGAACAAGCGGAAAAGGGGAAGAAAAAGTGTGGCTAAAAAGCTGAATAGTAGTCGAGACAGGGATCTTCTTCGGGAAGGACGACTGGCGGATCGGCGACCAGTTGCTGCTGTAGCCGAGGGTCGAGCAATTCGCTGAGTCTCATCGCCGGACTGATCATTCTCTTGGTTCGGCTTCGTTCTGTAATTCAGAAATGTTCCTAGAAGGCTTGAAGAGGAGATTAGGGGCTTAGAAAGTTGTTTCAGGACCTTTCCTCGTTTTTCTGACAGTCTACTCGAAATCGCGATTCACGGCTAACTTGGGACGCTAAGGAGGCGTGACCTGTCTGCGCTCTCCACGAGCCAGGCACTATCTCTTTTACTATCGTGTCAGGACCCATTTTTCGATGGCTCAAGTCAGCCGTGAATCAGCTATAGAAAAACCTATTTCTGGAGAAAAAGCCTGGAAAAATATTGAACTTAATTTAAAAAAAAACACTTTTTTTTTAAACATTTCCAAGGCCAATTCGATCATTTAAGACAGATCGAAATGTAACGCGGATCCTTCGAAAATTCAAAAAATGGTGATTTTGAACAATCTGGGCCTAAAATACACAACTTGTTACAATTTGAAACAATCTGAATCCATTTTTCAATTTCCTACTTTTGCCTCGCTTTTCCAAGTTTCTAGGACTATTCAGACTCTTCTGAATCGTGTAAATTGGGTTATTTTTCGAAAAAGAAGCTCAGAACCTATGTAAAAAGCTGTAGTAACCTTTTTCCATTCGAATTTTATTGTGTTTCTAAAGGAAATCGCCCGAAATTCGCACAAGTCAAGGCCCACCTCGAAGCTGACACTTGACCCGTTGATTCATCATCTGAAGCTTCGCGATGCTGTCACGAAGGGCGTTTAGTCTGTCCAAAGCCAGCGACGGCGCCAATTCGCGTTTGTTGAAGAACGGCTCGGCGACCTCGTCGGCGAATACCGCACTCAGGACCACCGCCAGAAGAACGCCCACTGTCGAATGCATAGTTTTTCTTTGACTGAAAAATTGTTGATGATCAAAAATGACTTATGATACGTAGTGGAGCTGCGGACGGAAGTTGAAAATGGATGAAAACAAACTGGTGAAAAATTTTTTAAGTGGCTTTTTCGACAATCGCGGATCGGGCCGCCCCGGGACCACCGGTCTCATCAGAAGCTCTGATACGAAAGGAAACGAGGTGAAAAGACAAAAATTCTCAGATTCAGCAATTTTTTTCAATTTCGGAACAGGTAAGTCATGTGAAGGGGAGTATAATCGGTGTTTTCCCCGTTTTTAAGATTAAATTTAGTTTCTGATTGGCTGGACCCAATCTTTTCTGAACAACGTAAGCCAATAACTGATTCATCACGTTAGAACCAACTCCAGAACCTTGAAAACTTATAGAATTCAGGAGGAAAAAAGTTTTTTTTTTTCTGAAAATTGTAAAAATCTAATTTTTCAGCTCAGCAAGCCTTATTCTAATTAAAACTATGCACAAAATTCATTGAATTCCAAAAAAAAAGAAGGAAAATTCCAACAAAACATAGAAAAGTGACGTTACTCCTGTCTCGAATCGAAAAAAACCGAAATGAACAAATTTTAAGCTCAAATTTACCTGGATACTCAAATTATAAGCAGGTGTAACTGAAAAAAAGGTCAATAAGTGCGGAAAAAAGGACAGATGGAAAAGAAAATTCGTTTTCGTCTGTATTTCTTAGAACTACTTGAAAACTCCTCCTCAATCCAAAGTACACATCTAGTTTATTTTTTTACATCTTTGAATGAAAGGAAAAAAATGAAAAAAATTGTGATGGAAACATGAAAAATGACTGATAGAGCCGGAAAAATTTCTTTATTTATACCTTTGACTGCCAAAAAAGGCGATAAATAGAATTATCAAAAAAGTTCCTGTTTCCTTCTTTGTGTGGGTTGACAAATTGTTCGTGAAACGGGGTTCCAAAACAGGAAATGAGGTTTTCTATAGACTATCAGAGACATTTTTGAGTTCCGGATGGAAATTAGGAACTTATTTTATTGATTAAGCGCTGGTCACAGGGAGAATGGATTGTTGAACAAAAATGCATCTCCAGAAAACTATGAGTGTCCGTACTTTAAAAAGTACCATTAAAATAAACTTCTAATGAAAATGAAAACTGGGGAACTTCTTTCTGACATGTGTCAAAATCAGACGTTTCCAGGGACCAGGAAGTTTTTTAGCGTTGGAGCGCGAATAATACTTCCAAAAACGCTTTACATATTAAAAATGGAATTACGGTAATAGGGGCATGAGGATCGTGAAATAAAGATTTCTGTTCAGGTCCTTGAGGTGAGCAATGATGAGAAAGCTTTTCAGGCTAATTCGTTCGGAGTTTCAAACTCCAGACACCAGAAAGGAAGACTGAAGAAAAAGAGGCGGAGTTTATCCGCAAGTGTGGGTGGATCCTTCAGGTCACATCTTTTTTTTTTCTTTTGGCTCGGCTTCGAATTCAAGTTTAATTCATAATTATGGCTATGGAATGCAGGAACCTGAGGGAAATTACAGGCTCTTTTCCCATAATTTTCTTCAGAACTGAGGCCGAGAGTAAAAGATCAAAGTTTCTCGGAGGGAAAGTATAAATTTTCCGCTCTTATATATTTCTCGAATTTAAAATTAGAATGAAGGTGACCAAAAACCCTCGGGAAAAGGGAAAGCAGGCGTTCAGACGAAGGACAAATGGCCGATCGTCACTCGTGTCGTTGAATATTTATCGTGTTTCTTTTTCTGCCTGCGATTTCAATGATCACGAAGTATTACGGTGGCTCACGCCAACTCTTTATTATTCCGTTTTAATGAGAAATGAGCCGAGAATAACATATTTTCGGATTCGTTCTTTTAAAAATAGCGTCGAGGACTTGAAATTTACAAAGAAGGTTCAAAAATTCAGACTTTGAGAAGATTCGTTGAAGATATGCCCGCAAAGGAAGTCTACTTTGCGATTGGGATTTTTCAGAGAATTGGCTAGAACACTCCTTGATGCACTTGATGAAGGTCTTGAAAGTATCAACTTGCAAAACCTTCCAGTTTTGGAAAAAAAAATAGCTTTGAAGTAGCATATTTTCACGGCTTTTGAGGGTTTTCCCTGACTTTGAGGAGTTTTTTTTTTTCGAAAACTACAAAATTGTGCAGGTTGACAATTTCAGAATGTTCTTTTCGTACATCAAGGATTGTTCTGCCCATATCTCAGGAAAATCCCAACCGAAATTAAAACGACCTTCCTTGTGAACTTTTTTTCGGAATCTTAAAAAAAATGAATGTAAAGGTTGGCCTTTATAGGTCTACGTCACTTTTTGAAGATTTGAAACTAGAGGACTTTGATTTTCCAGAATGTTCCGGGAAAGGTGCAAATAAGGGTCTTTTTGGCCTTTCCGTGCAAAAAATTTTTCAACATCTTTTCACCCATTTAAAAAGGAATTTTCTAACAAAAGGTCGTGAAAAGGAACTAGAAAGCAATTTTAAGATTTTATTTTTTCAGAAAATGATGTGGGGTCCTTCTGGATTTTCACAAAAAGAAAATAAAAAAATTTTGCCCGCTTTGTCATAAACAACTCATAAACAAAATTACTATTTTAAAATTTTACGGTGGAAAAAGCGAAAATGTTCAAAACCCAGACAATCACACCACTGAGACTTGAGACATATGAAAAGAAGTGGACGAAGAACAAAGGAAGAAAACTTTTTGATGAGCCCGAGAAATTCGAATAAATCGCAACTTTCCGCATCATGGGTCCCATTTCTTTTGTTGCCATTTTCGTGAAGTTTGATACGAAAATAAGAGATCATGGAGTATGACCAAAGATTATGTGAATGTTCAAGTTTTGAAAAAAATTTTTTTTAAATATCTTATCAGCTTTAATTTAAAGCTTATTTAGATATTTAAACTTTAAAGCCTTTAAAGTTCAAAACAAAATACCAAGTTAAATTTGTCAAAAAGGCGCCTTTGAAAATAAATTTTAAGAAAAGAAAGTTCAAGATTAAAAAGGCGTGAAAATAAAACGAAAATAGGTTGAGATTTTAAAAAATTGGAATGAAAATTCACTGTCAATGCTTCAAAGGTTACTAGCGGAGCCGAACTGAAAATTTCCTTTTTATCAAATTTCGCATCTCAAAATGAGCAGCTCCTCTTAAGTAGCCTATCCTAACTTTCTTCGAGCAGGAGGCGGTGCTGTCATTTTATGACGAATCTTTTCTCTTCGATAAGAATGACGAAGTTTCAGCCCCTGGGGAATCGTCCAGAAGTCTGATGAATGATCACTTGAGAGTTCAAATAAATTATTTATTAATACTACAAGAAAAAATCAAGACTAGAAAAGTGCAATAAATTATTAATAACCGCAACATGATTTAAAAGGCAATATACGACTTCATCCCGGAAAAAAAAGAACAAATACATAATAAATGAAAAAGATATTGGCATGAAAAAATGCATGAGAAGGGGTATTCAAGCCGAGTGAATCGGTCTGTACTGATGTGGCTCGTATCCATAGAGGAAAGTCGAAAGAATCACTATAGTGGCTCCGACGGCGAACATCCTAGAATGATATCTCTTTAACGTGTAGAGGAAAAATCTTTTATGAGCATTTTCGGGTTAAATGTTTCTAGAACTATTCAAAGTGTTTCCCGCGAAACGCAAAATTATCTCAGAATCTCCTAAATTTAGTTATCTTCTTCTTTCTCTGACGGCTATTTTGTATTTCTTGGACTCAATTTGAACACGAAATATAGTCTGTATAGATTTCTAAACTTGGAAAAAAAATTAATCAAATATATCTTAATATCTACTGCTTCTCAAGTTTGCTACCCAAAATTGACAAGTTTTGCAAAAAGTTTCAAAATGCCGAATCTATAATTATTTTTTCTTCTCAACCTTTGCAGTACCTAAAATCATAATCACCCCTATCATTTTTTCGATTAAATTAAAATACGTTCAAGAAACATACACTGAAGGGGTGAAATCATTGAGCAGAAGCCAGGACATGAAAGAAGACAGAATAATGGAGAGCGAGACGGCGAATCCTTTCAGAATATTGTCAGCGTACTTTACGACGAGGGCGATGACCAAGCCACCGTAGGCCTGGAGAAAAACTTGATAGAAAAAGCCTCTACTATGAGCAACAATAAGCAAATATCTCAAATATCTTCAAAAATTAGAATTATCTTTCTGTTGCAACCAATAATGTAGTTTGATTGGAAGTCGTTTTCTTTCCGCGAAAATATGATTTTTAAAACTTTTCACTGTAATACTTTAGACCACCGTATCTTGAATATTTTTAATACAGTCACGACACTGAAACTACTTGCACGCGGGGGCATCCTATAGCATATCAAAGCCAGAGCCGCTCTAGATTGGGCGCAGCCATCAAAATTAACATTCAATTTTGAATTATCCCATGTTGTTTCAAGTTTTCAATTCCGAAGAAAATGAGAAAAGGAACAAAAAACAGACAATTGAATTTGAAGTGTGGGCGATGCAAATGAATTGAAAGCCTCTTGAACCGCACTTGGGAAAATCCAATCTTTTTCGAAACTAATTATGCTTTTCTGCGGATTCAAAAATCTACTAATTAATCAAATTTCTTCAGAGTTTAGAAAATTCTTTTCGTATTGAAAACTACCTTAAAAATATATTCGAAAACGTTCTATAATCTATAATTGTTCGAAAAAACGGGTAAAATTGGGAACTCTAATGACATCTGAAAAAATTTCGAAAGGTTAGTTTTCACTTCAAAATCTGTGTATGGAAACTAGCTGCTACAGGAAATGGAGGTCAAAATGAATGATAAAACTCCCAATATTTGTTATTATTTTCGAATTTCACTTGTTACTGAGCCTCTGAACGAACCTGAAGGAACACAACGACCCAAATGATTCTGTTGTAGCCCTGGAGGAATCCGTCAAGCTGGATCGCCTCCCAATCGTAGAGCCAGCACATGAAGAAACCGCCGAAAATCGAGAAGAAAGCTAGAAAATCATCATTTATGAATTTTTTTCATGTTTTAACAAACCAAGTTCAAGGTTCCGGATCCAGAGGGAAACCTGTGATCCCTTAAGTATCTTCTCGAAATAAACGCCGGCGAATCCACTAGAGAAGCAAGCCAAAAGGACGGCTCCGAGGCCCAGAAGGCTGTCCGAGGAATCGTGCTCTACCGTCTTTTTCGAGTCATCGGAAGGCATCTCGAAACATTTTTTGAAGGAGAGGAAATTGTTACGTTTTTGTGAGCTTTGAAGCGAAAAATGCCAAATTGGTTTTCTCTTTTTTCTCTTTGAGAAAATATTCTTGAAAGAAATTATTTTTGAACACCCTTGCTGAGGTTTTTAAAAGAATAGAAGTATACTAAATGGTTCCTTTCCTTTCAATCTACATTAAACTCCTAAAAATTATTCTTTTAAAGTTACAAAACAACATCTTTACAAGTTTACCTGAACCAGAGCGACTCCCCGGTCAATAATAGAAGTGAAACCCATTGATAACGGTTCAAAGATTTGCTCAAAAGAACAACTGAGAAGAAAGCCGTAGTGAGGATTTTGAGCTGGTAAGTTACCTGAAATAATTATTTTATTGTCTTTTTTCACATTTTGTTTTACTTGGTAGGTAGCCGCATCGAGCTTGCTCAAGGCGAAAAAGAGCAAGTTGTTCTGGATAACGTAGAGCACCGCCGGAACAGCCACCTGAATAAAAGTAATTTAAAATTACTCCAAATTATTCAAAAATTACTTTCAAAGCGTCCATGACTTTTTGCTGGCTGCTGAAAATCTCCTGATGAACCTCGCTTTGGAAGCTTGACCAGCGGTAACCTTAAATATTGGTAATCCTGCTCGTCCTCAAACTTTAGATAAATACTATGATTCCTGAGTAGGACAAAGATACAGGTGAAAAACTTGAGGATCTCAGCTAGAACTACGGCTGTTGACGAAAGATATTTGGTTCCAGACTGAAAAAAATCATAAAATATCATGATTCCGTCCCGAAAATCTTCTTCACCTGTGTTCGGCTGTAGCGAAGCGTCAACACAAGTGCTGTCGTTTGGACAATCAAAATAACTAGCGAAAAAAGCTTCAAGTTGGCTGGTGTAACAGCCGTTTGAGCCGCCATTTCCGGCTGCAAAAAATATTAAGTCAGTACAAATTTATAATTGAGAAAAAATTGACGCGCAAAACGAATAATGAGTGAAAAGACCCAATAAAGACAAATAGAACAAAGCAGCCAACACTGCAGTTCGTTATGCAAACAGTACGGCAACAAGAAAGAAGCTCCAAAAGTCGCTGCACTTTTAAAAGGCTCTTTCGAACGTTTTTGAGGAGTTTTTGACATAAATAATGTGTGGCTGAGGATGATGAATTGTTAATATCAGCTTTCAAACAAAGATTAATTGTAATACATACAAATAGAAGTCACAATAGTTATTCAAAAAAAAGGAGAATTGAAAAAAAAGTGAAACAGAAATGAGCAACTGCGCTCCTATGACAAGTTTTGGCGACTGAGCGCGATTTCATCTGTGATCGTTCCGCCGGAATTTCGGAGAAGTTTTTCTTTTTCATTTCTTTTTTTTCTCTGCCGTGTTCAAAGTGATTCCGCGAAATTCAAAATAGCCGTCAGAGAAAGAGAAAGATAACTGAATTTTGGAGGGTCAGAGACCATTTCGCATTTCGCGGAAATTACTTTGAACACGGCACTAGCTTCTAAATCGGTTTATTCATAATTTTTCCTATTAAACAGCGACAAAAAAGTCTTTGTAAGTATGTTGACCGTACTAGGTCGCTTTCCACGTAGATTATTGCCCTTGGGCGCTATTAAGGAGCATTTGAAATAATAAGTAAATTCTGCTGTATTTGCCGCTTCTTTTCTTTTATCCTATTTTGTTCTTAGGGTGCTCAACAACTTTGTCAGAATAGGAAAAATCGAGTAGAGAAAAAGCATTTATTTTTTTCTATTTTTTTTATCTGATTTCTGTGCAAATTTTATTGATTTATTGTTGAAAAATAGATTCTTTGATGGCTCGTCTTCTATCAAATTTGTGAATTAGAGTGTAATCTACATAATTTCGTTTGAAAAATATTGACATTCTCACTTTTGATAACCATTTTAATTAATCTCGTTTGTCGTGCTTTTTCGAAGGTAAAACATTTTTTGCTCAGAAATCACAATGGCCGGCTCGCTGCGACACTTGGCGACGTACCAAAAAGCTCTGTTGGCGGCTCGCAGCTCGCCACGGCTGAGCACCGTTTTGCCGGCCAATTTCACCGCCATCCGTACCTCCACCAGCATCAACAAGGACAACGAGGCTTTCGCCAAGGTCCACGACCACTCCACGCACTTTAAGGTTCGGTATTATTTGAGAGGATAAAAAGAAAAAGGAAAAATTTCAGATTGAACGATACTGGGCAGCTGGCATGCTTCCAATTCTCCCGGCCTCTTACTTTATCCATGGTCCAGTCATGGACGCCGTTCTCACCGTCGCCATCACCCTTCACGTTCATTGGTTCGTTTCAAACAATATATAGAGAAAAGTTGATGATTTTCAGGGGAATCCAAGGAGTTATGGCTGATTATGGCCGACCTTACGTGATTGGGGACGCCGCTGCCAAGGCCGGCAAAATCAGCGTCTACATTCTTACTGGTCTTTTGCTCGCTGGTGATTTATTTTTTTTTTAACATTTAAAATTCAATTCGGGTTTTAGAGTAAGTTTTTTTTTTAGGGTAGCTTTCAATTTACTCAAAAAGTTATAGAATTTGCAAGAAGAAAAGTTGATTCAAAAAATAGTTATAAAATAGGCAGTTAAAATTCAGCACGCGAAATGTAGTACATAAATTTTAGAAAAAAATTCCGATTTTTTTTCTATTTTTTTAATCAAGTCCCCTTTGATTTTAGCATCAAAAATGATTTCTAGGCTTTATATGGATCTTAAACAAGGGTTTAGTTCCATTTTTTTCATCAATTATGGTTTAAAAAAATGAAGAAACTTAAGGAAAAAAATTTAACTTGAATTCCAGGACTTCTCCACTTCAACACGAACGACGTCGGCCTCACGCGCGCCTTCGAACTCGTTTTCTCCCTTTTAAATTCATTCATAATACAAATTTTCCGTATGTTCAAACGAATATTACTCGTGTGAGCTGTGTAGATTTGAAGTGGTTAATGCCTCGTTAGGTATCCTTCCATATAGATTCAATTGAAGTGATATTTGAAAGATTTTTTTCCAATAAAGTTGGCTATCCTATGTTTTATTTGTTCATTTTGTTTATTGGATTCTCCAAGGTCAATTTCTTCTCTGTTTCTTCGAATTTTTCAACTTTTCAATCAATTTTAGATGGGTAAAAATAAGTCGAAAAGACAGAAGAAGAAGTTTTTCGCGCACCCGAAGAATAAGAACCGAAAGTTTGTGAAGAAGGAAAAGCCTATCGAAGAATCAGAGCCACGGCAAAGAGGACTTTTCACAGTGGTTCCGACGACGAAAAACGACGAAATTCCTCATTGCTCTCATGGTTTGAATTTTTGAATAATATTTTGAATTATCTTTCAAAATTAATTCTGATTCATTCGAAGGAAAACATTGGTAGGATGAGCTTTTTTTAAAATTTAAACAAACGAATAGGAAGAGAATGTTTTTCTTGGTTTTTTAAGAAAATAGTTCAATTAGCACGCATGTTTAAGGCAGTGCTACGGCGGCCGGTCAATACTGCGCCGTGAGTTTCGAAGCCAGGGAATTTTTCAAAATTTTTTTATTTTTTTGCAATTTGTTAAGGACCTATTTCTCGAGGTTACAAGGTAAGTTACGCCACAAAAAGTACACAAGATTTCATTTTATTATTGAAAAACCTAGCTTGATTACCGTAATACGATCGGCCGCCTTGAACAGGCGTGTTAGTTTAAAAAAATCTAAGTTCTGTTCTTCAAACTCATTTGAGCGAAAAAAATTCGACCATTTCCGTTTATTCTAACTTGTAAAGGTTTTAGAGAGTTTTTTTTTATTGGTTAGATGATATTTGAAAATGAAAAATGCTGATTTTACGAACTTTTTCGCTTCAGGACCGTGTCTTCTCTTCAGCAAAAAAAGTTGAAAGGAGGCTCCTCGGAGAGATTTTTTTGCCTGTGCTGTTTATCGGTTCGTCTTCCTCCCTTTAAAAAAATTTCTTAGCATCGAAATTTATAATTTTTTTAGAGAAAAAAAGTGAGAAGTATAATTTTTCATTTTTTTGAGCAAATTTAACGAAAAACTTTCAAGTAACAAATCCTTTTTATAAAACTGTTAGAAGATTCTAGATCAGACGAAGCCAAGTGCAACTTCCACACCGAGGTCGACGAGAACAATAAAAAGATTGAGAAGCCTGAACCCGAGGAGCCGGCGCCGAAAAAACCGAGAATAGTCAGGGAAATCGTCAAGAAGGACGTTCCCTGGGACTATGGCTGCATTCCAAAAAAGTTATTTTTGTTTCTCATCTTCATGAAAGGAACTTTGAAAAAAAGGAGTTTGGAGGCTCCTTCCAACCTATTAGTAGAATTGCATTAATAACATTTTTGAATAAGGCTAAAAAAATTTGAGAAGAATAAAAATCGAATCTAGATTTTCAGAAAGTTGGCTGTTTAGATTTTAAATGTCAAGTCGTTTTCTAAAGCTCCGCCCCTAATAACGCGATAAGCCAATTACAAAGCGTTTTCGAATGATGTCGTTGTACTTGGCTTTCAAAATCTGGACAGACTGAAAAAAATCTCCAAAATAAGCGTTTTTTTGTCTTATTTTTTTAATCAAATTATTTTTGAAATCTTGTTGAGAAAAAAAGTTTGAAAACAGCTGTCGAAAGGCAGAAAAATGCCTATAAATTTTACAAGTTTTGAAAAAAATTCGAATATTTTAGACTGAAGAAGATCCCTAAAGAGGATACTCTTCTGTATTGTCGCGTGTGCAACGACGTTTTCGCCAATAAACACGCTTGTATCTGCGAACCAGTGAAGAGGTCGATTCTGAGAACGCCGACGAGGCTTCTCCAGCCGCTGGATTCTCAGGCCGGAGAGGCGGTTTGAATCGATTGAAATTTCAAAGTTGAGTTGAAAGTATTCTAGCAATATTTCTTCTCGGACGAATCTCTCGGCGTCGTTTTGTCGGCCATCGACGAGGCCAAGGTCGACGGCGTTCTGTGCATCGGCGCTCCAAGGGTAATCAATTCCAAGAAATTCATAGACGAAATTAGGAAGATTCTGCAAAGCCAAAGTCAAAATTGTCGAAAAAGCATCATAAAAATGTTCCTTTCAGGGTGACAAAGGCTTCTTTTTTTGCTGCCCTTTTATATTGGCTCTTATGCACAATTTTTGCTACCTATCTCCTTTTCAGCCATTTTTGAGCCTTTGAAGTTCTAAGAAAAGGAAGGCTCGACAGAAAGACCCCCTTTTCTGCCTTTTTGCTGCCTTTCTGCGGCCTTTTTGAGCCTCTAACGGTCTACCATTCCGACTTTGCCAGAGTGTTAATTTTCTCAAGACGCATATGATCCTAAATTACTTTCTAAAGGACAAAGAAAGAATTTCGCAATAAAAAAACTTTTCAGGTCATCGAAACGTTGAAAATTGCAAAAACTGAACATCAGCTCTTCTTATTGGACTATGATAGACGGCATGTAAGAGCTAATCAATATATTCAATCATTAATTTTCCCCTTAAAGGCTCACTTTTTCCCCTCAACTCAATTCGCTCAATACAGTATGCTCGTCGATCATTTCTTTGACCCGAAAAGCGAAGAAAAACTTGTTAATTTTTTCAAGGTTTTTTCAAATCTCTTCGGGAAAAAATTCAAAGATTATGTTTAGAATAGCGGAAAAGTGCTGATTGTGGTGGATCCGCCGTTTGGAGCTTTCATCGACCCGTTGATGAAAAGTTTGGAGAAGATTAAGCACCGATTTTTGGGTTCTAGGTGAGGAATAATCGACTTTTTGTCGCTTTGGTCACACGTGGAATTGCTTAATGAGCCATTATACTGTTGTATGCCGGCTTGAGCTTCCTAAAATCTTTTTAGAAGCTCAAAAGTCCAAGTCGTTTTAGTCGGGTGCACTTTGAGCCATTCTAAGTGCGACCTAGACGTATAATAGCTTTCAATTTCATTTTACCTGAAAAGAAGAACATTAAAAGCGACATTCAAGATTTTCAAGGATCATTTATTTGATTTTCCTTTCTTGCTAGTTTTTTTTTGTTGAAAAAACGGGTCCTAGCACGAAAATGTTGTGCAAATGGTAGATATTTTTATAAAGTTTTCATGTAATTTTTCATTATAATAGGAGTTTGTTCAAGCTTTTTGGATTTTCAGACCCCCAAACTCAACTGGAAGTTTCCATTCGATCATTATTCTGCCGATTTACGTCGGCAAACACGTGATACGAAATGATAAGTCGTTTTGGATGAGCGATTATAGGGTTTTTCTATGAATAAAAAAAAAGTTGGTGATCAGGTGACTTTATTTAGGTAACCTACGACAATCACAAAGTTTTTTCTAAGCCTTCGAAATCGATTGTTCGGCTATTCACAGACTTACCCGCTAAATGTTTCGATTTGTCGGATGTGGAAGGATATCGGTAGGGTTTTCAGGCTGTTTGAATGCAAAATAATTGATTTTTCAAGGTTTTGCGACATGTGTGAGACATATGTGACGGAGAAGAATCAACACTGCTTCAAGTGCATGGCTTGTACTTCTCTGGTGGGTTTGGGAAAGAAAAAGGAGAAATTTTGGCACCAGAGTGTGTAGATATTGGAGAGATTAGAGAGAAAGATTCGGTTGAAAATTTACTTCCTCCTGGGAGTTATGAAGTTGGTTCAGTTTCAGCAGAGTTTAGAAACAGTACTGAAAATCTCTAGGAGGAGTTGGAAAGAATGCGAGAGATCAGGAGGCTTGAAGAGATAATAGAGAAACAGAAAGGGCCAATGTCTTTAACGTCTCTCTATTCCTACCACTCTCTGACCCTTTACCCTTTTTATGTTTTACAGAACTGCAAAATCTATTCAAGTACTTGAATTTTTCGGAAATTTCATTGGAGCAAATTTTATTAGATGCTTCTTATTTTTCTGCGACCTTGTGTCTTTTCGTTGGTTTTTTGTAAGCCAAAGGGACCATACCTGTTTTTCTGCGATTTTCGAGATGAAGGGAATGTTCATTTACAGGCCGGGCAGTACAACCACTGCGACAGATGCAAACGTTGCGTCAAAGTGAGCTACAAACACTGTCGCCAGTGTAACCGGTGTCACTTGCCTGATCAGTGTCGAGAAACTAAAAATTGACCTTTTTCTGTTTTTTGAACTTGTTGTTATTGATATCGTTTTCTGTTGAGGCGATATCGTTGTTGGTACGTTGAACAAAATAATAAAAATTCATAGTTTCGATTCGACTTTTCAGATCTTGAAGAAAGTTGAGCGAATGCCAAAATTATAAATAAATTACTCGGGGGAATTGTTTTCTGTTAAAAAAACCTTTTCTTGCTGTTTCGTTACCTCAATTTAACGACTCCCAATTTTAACTGGATTATCAATAGAGCAACTTTTCATTCGGAAAATGGCTGTGGTAATTTCAGCGACGATGCGAGTCTTAACCACCTCCGGAAGTTGAAAGTTTTGTCAATGGGGCAATTTTTCTTTGGGAAAATTAGCCGAGAACACATACTTTTTATTGATCTCAAAAAAATAATGTAAAAGAAATAAAGTTTCGATAAATCGATAATTTCTTCTTCGAAGCCCTAGTTTTGAATTTTTTTTTTCAGTTAGACTATTTTCACAAGTACAGTCCTATCAAAAACCATACGTTTGAAGTTTAGCTTTATGGTCTTCAAGCTGCCCAATGTATGATTTGTGAACTTTTTTTACGGTGTGGATTTTCGAAAAGTTTGCCAAGGCCGAAAAAAGAAGGTCTGCGGAGTATATAAACCAGCCGATCGGCGGATTTATTTTTCTTGGCCCACAATTACCGGTTTCTCCCACTTTTTCGCACCTTTATTTCCAAGCATTCGGTTTGGTTTTCCTGGCTCGAGAGAACAAGCAGGAGGTGGGTGTTTTAGTGAGGATTTCTCGGTTAATTTGTGTTTTTGAGGTTTTGAACATTTTCTGTCACGTCTTCTCTTGATGGAAGAGAAAGAAGATGAGATTGCTGGTCTGAGGCAAACGGCCTGTTTTGCCATCGGCCTGGCGACTCTGGCCTTGAGCACGATTATCATAATCCTCCCTTTGCTTTTTAATCAAGCTCAAGACGTCCAGTCGAAACTTGAGCATGAACTTCAGTTCTGTACTGTTCAGACGCATGACCTGTGGGATGAACTGGCCAAGGTGATGATTAATAAGTCTTACTTTTCGATTTTTTATTATCTGAAATGCTCGGCTGAAAAGAAGTGGCTCTTTCGTTGTGGTTTGAATTATACTCAATTCAAAGATGGATTTATAGACCCTAGTTGTTTCTAGATTCATTTGGGGCTGTTAAACATGTCCACTATCTTTTCGAAAAGCTTCAAACTTCAGGACACATTTTGGAAGGGTCATCTTCTGAGTTCTCAAGATTACTAGAACTCACTTGCATAAGATCATCTGAAGTTACTAAACAGTTTAAAAAAATCTAGTTTTTCCTGACTTAAATTTTAAGGTAGAAGAAGTGACGGGGCAGAAATCCCGTCTCAAACGGCAATACGCTGTCGGTTATCCAACTGATAACTACGTATCCGGAGGGCATCGTAGCTTGGTCAACAATTTCAATTCGGGAAATACTGCTGAACAAGTTCATTTTCAATATTTTTTCAATCATTTTATTTTTATAGGTACCTAGCCCACCTGTCAGCCAAAATTACGAGACTGAGGCGTACATTTCTGCGGCCACTGCTTCAGTGAGTTCAAAAAATTAGAAACGAGTTGATGAATTATTTAAGAAAAAAAAAATTTTCCTATCTTTTTATACACTGCGACGCATAATTATAGACCCACCCTAATTTCTCCGATTTTAAGAAAGATTGAAAAACTTTCAGCCACCAAACTTTTTTTGTGATAAACCTTGTTGATAAGGAACATAATCATATCATAATTATCAATCACCCAGTTGAAAAGTTTTTAAATATACGAGAAAATCTGATTTTTGACCGACGCAGAATTATAGACCCACTATAAGTAATCAACAAAATTCATTTCACAAAGTCAACGAAGTATAACAAAAAAATTAATTAATAATGTGTGATACCTCCTTGTTTCTGAGCGACTTCGAAAATCCTGTTCGGCATGCTGCCAACGAGTGATTGCAGCAGTGACTTGTCCAAACCATCCCACTCGGCTCGAATCGCTCTTTTCAGATCGTTGACCGTTGTATACTGCTTGGCATTCGCGTTGACCCTCGTACAAGGACTGACCATAAATTCTCTACAGAGTTGAGGTCAGGACTGCACGCGGGCCAGTCCAGAAGAACCACGTTATTGGCCGCAAACCAAGCCAATGTGGAGTTGCTCGCGTGAACAGATGCATTGTCTTGTTGGTAAATCATATTAGCACGTCGTCGGCGACGGAGATAGGGCAGGAGATGCTGGGCAAGCAGTTGCTGGTAGTCTTGCGAATTCGTTCTGGTCCCAATAAAAGAAAGAGCTACCGTCCCGTTGCCGCAGAAAGCCGCCCAGACCATGAGGCTGCCGCCGCCGAAGTTTCTCTTGGAGAAGTACATCGGATCTTTCCTCAAATCTCTCCAGTAGTGAGCGTACCCATCTGGCCCATCAAGGTTGAATTTCTTCTCGTCGCTGAAGATGATCTGAACAGAAAAATTGGGAATCATAAGGTGGAAAACATTGATACCTTATTCCAATCCGTGGCCATGTTAGAGCGTGCAAATTGTAGCCGTTCATTCTTATGGCGTTGCTGTAGACGAGGTGCTGCCTTCATTGGAGTATTCACAAGTCGACCGGACCGATGAATTGTTCGTAAGATGGTGTTCTTCGAGACGTTTTCAGGAATTTCGGATCTGATTTGGTTGGCGGACTTCGTAGAGTTTGATGCTTTTCGACAGACGTCTCGTTCAGCTTGAACCGATAGCAGCCTGTGCCGTCCAGAATGTATTGCTGTGCCGTATTCTTGCGGATTCCTTGCATAACGGTCAATTGTTCGTCTTGAGCGACCCGTTTGACGAGCGATTTCCCGATGGGACAAGCCGTTGTTGAGTAGAGCATCGATTACCGCTTTTTCGGTATTATCAACTTGAGTAGATTTAGGCATTATGGTTCATAGTGATACACGAGGACTTTTTCTCTTATATACCACTGAAAAAAACAGGAAAAACGTGGTACCGGAAACGGAAACTTGGAAAACTCTGGGGTGGGTCTATAATTCTGCGTCGGTCAAAAATCAGATTTTCTCGTATCTTGAAAAACTTTTCAACTGGGTAATTGATATTTATGATATGATTGTGTTCCTTATCAACAAGGTTTATCACAAAAAAAGTTTGGTGGCTGAAAGTTTTTCAATCTTTCTTAAAATCGGAGAAATTAGGGTGGTTCTATAATTATGCGTCGCAGTGTATGAATGAATGTTCAACTGGAATAATCTGTAAAAATTGAAAGTTTTAAGTTTTGCCTTTGAAGCCATTTTGTTTGGAAGTCTGAATGATCTTTTTTTAAAGCTATAACTGGTAGGATCAGGTCGTACAGTAATATGTAATCTTTTTCCTCCTACAGAGCTGCGTGATTGGCCCACCCGGACCCCCAGGCTTACCTGGAGCGGATGGAGACGACGGACTTGACGGAATCCCTGGAGCTTCAGGGCCTCCAGGCCTTGACGGTTTTATTCCACAAGGTCCGACGATCGCCGAGTTCTGCTTCACTTGCGCTCTGGCGAGACCTGGCCCGCCAGGAGCTCCGGGACCAAAAGTTTGAAAATTCCTATTGAAACCCAAAATCACTTTTTAGGGAGCTCCAGGGGAACCCGGAATACCAGGACTTCCAGCGCTTACCTCACTTGTAAGTCCGCCAGGACCACCAGGAATACCAGGACCGCCAGGATTCGACGGAGAACCAGGAGCCGATGGATTCCCGGGAGCCCCTGGCCAAGTCTTTCACATTTCAGGAGGCTATCCAGGACCTCCAGGGGCAGATGGTCCTCCAGGACTGGCAGGACTACCTGGAAGACCTGGCGAGCCTGGTAGAGAAGTACCTGGACCTGTAGGTCCGGTTGGAGATCGAGGGGCTCCTGGAAGGCCTGGCAAAGCTGGAATACCTGGTCCTCCAGGCATAGCTGGTCCAAACGGTTCCCTTGGAGATTGTGAACATTGCCTGCCTCCTCGAGTTGCACCCGGATATTTTTGAACGTATTTAATGACTTTTTTTGCTCAAATCGTCCAGAAAATAAAAGTTCTGTATTATGCTTCTGTATTAAATGTTATTTGCACAGCGCACTTGGTAAAAGCGTTCCGGCGGACACCACTCGAGCTTCACATGATCATCAATAACATTATACTGTTTTTTTATAATGAAACTTGCGTGCTTCGTGTTTTTTTATTTGTGTTCATTTCTCGTATCTAACAGTACGAAAACAGCCGCTTCGGGTGCGTTATATTATATTGTAACAAAAAAATTTTTTTGAAATGAGGCAAAAATTTTTATAAAAATTTAAAGAAGATTCTTTAAAAATTTGGAATGAAAAATGCCACTGCAATAATTGGAAAGTCGCTCTACTGACGGATTTTGGTTACTGTACTATTTCGAATTTTTCGGCGACCTCTTTTTTGCGTTTTCTTCTTTTTCGGATTTGTCATTCATTTTCTGCTTTGTTTATTCTCTAGGTGATGATGCCGTGTTCAAAGTGATTCCGCGAAATTCAAAATAGCCGTCAGAGAAAGAGAAAGATAACTAAATTTTGGAGGGTCAGAGACCATTTTGCATTTCGCGGAAATTACTTTGAACACGGGATGAACAATGATTGATTTTTGATTATATGAGGGAAAATTAAGCTGAAAGAAACTTAAAACGTTCAAAAGTTCCACTACTACGCTGATTTCGTTGAAGGTTTGCGGATATATGTAGTTTTATTTTTTGGACTTTCCGTTTTATTTTTGTTTTGAACTCGATGTTGCTATATACTAATTTTGTTGAGCGTGGTCTGACCAAAATATTCTGTTAACTGTTCTATATTAAGAAGGTGAAGAAATATTTCACAACTGGTGTGAAAATTTTTTCTCTATTTGAAACCGGTTACCTATTATTGCACAACTCAGCGTCAAGTTGACAGGTTCTTTTTTCGAACGTTTCAATTCTCTGTGTTTTTGAACGCTCGGTTAATTTTTTTTGTTTTGCGTTTTAATTAAATTTTTCAATATAATTCTTATTAGCGTGTATACTGGACAAACCGCATCATAATTGCCTGAGAAAAATATATATACTGTTTCGAATTAACTTTGGGGCGCCAATGAACTCAGTTTCAAAACATGCTCCGTTTCTCCGAGGAACGCGTCATGACGTCAGATAATTTTTATTAACTTCTTTCTCTGCTTAAGGCTCGTTTTGAAGCTTTTCATCCTTTCCTTTTTATTAGTCTCAATAGAAATGGATCCGCGAGAATAAGCGAATTGTCATTCAGAGGCTTTAGTTTAAAATATGAGGGTCAAAAAATATGTGTTTCTTTTTCGTATAGACTCAGTTCCGCTATAGTCGTGGCGAAAGTAAAAAGTAGTCCTTCTGTCATGTTTATCTATCTGCTAGTTGAGAAGATTTTAATTATTTTTTCATAGCCTGTTAATTCATTCCTGATTAGGACTCCTCTTCTTTTGTTTGGCAATATCTGATGTTGAGCTTCAACTATTTCATGCCTAGTTCCCACAGCCGTGCTTCAAGCGCTCCATCGCGGAATCCAAAGTGCGAAGACCTCAATAATCGGTCAACAAAACAGAAAAAGTACTTTCTATTGTTTGGGACCTTCGTTTCTTCGCGAGAAAAAAAAGCGGTTGGCTGGCCGCCACGACGAACGCAAAGGCTGTAGTACGTGAGAGCGAGCGTTGGAGAGGACGCCGAGAGCGCGTTGGGGACGAGTGTGTGTTTGGGGGTCGGCATCGGCAGCGACGGCGGAGGAGCGGACCGACGGACGGAAGGCATCGATTGGTTTTGGCCGAAGCAAATCGAGGCGGAGGCCGAGGCCCCCACCACGCCGTTGCTTGGCTGCTGTTGTCCTCGGTCCGGCCGTTCCGTTTCCTCGAATTGCTCACGCGGCTTGATTTGCCCTCTCTTCGTCTGGTATTTTGATATCTCTAGTTTTGGTCTCTCAGCAAGCGAACTCGTTTTGCCTAGTTAAGAAGCCGTCTTCGACAGAAGTAATTTGAACCATGTTAGTTTTGCTATGGAAAGAAACTTCAAGAAAGCGATGTCCTGTTAGTTTTTAGTTTGACCGATCTGCCGAGAATTTTTCACGGCGTTTTCATTTTTGGTCTCTTTTCGGCAAGTAAACGCACTTTGATAGGTTCAAAGATCTTCTTATGAATGAACAATTGGAACAACATTTCTCCACTGTAAAAAAAAATTCGAGTTGGCGAACTCTTGTTATTTTTCAGTTTGAGCGGCTTGGTTTGTATGAGCCGTTAGAAGAACACTTTTTGCACGTTTGAAAGGAAATTTTAGAGCAAAACGTCCTCAGGATCTCTGTCGTTGATAAGATACACGAAAAGGTCGTCATAGCATTTTTGAATACTCTATTTTCACTCTACCGTGAGAAATATCGAAAAAGCGAATTACTGTTAGTTTTTGGCTCAAGAGGCATAACATAAGAAGTCCTAGTTTTTGAATTTTCGGTACGTCTGTTTTTAGATCTTATTGGCAGGAAATGGCAGGAAGTTTCAGGAGATCAGATTTCATTGGAACTTCGAAGCAGAATTTTTAGTTCCAAATTCTGATAAACTGCTCAGAAGAGTTCAATATTTTTTCGAGTTAAAACGCTTCAGGTCAAAGTTCAAAGATATATCTTTTTTAGATTGGAAAAAGAAAATTTTGATACCATTTTTTGGAACCAAAAATCCAACGGCTTATTGTAGAATTCCTGAGAAGCTTTCTGAAGTTTTAATTTTTTTTTATTGAGCCGTTAATATTATTTTCAATGCTTTTTAACCTGTAAAAACCACTCTGAACGACACTGCCAGTGAACTTTTGCAGTCTTTGAACGTAAATAGATGTCTATCGAGTAATATTGGCAGGCTGTACTATAGACTGTCAATCAACTGGACAACGCCCCGCGCCACGGTTCACCGATTAGTTGGATTGTTCTTTTTCGTATCCCATTCCAACTTTTATTTCGATGCACTTTTACTTGGTTTTCCAAGCCCAAAAAGGACAGGAAAAACCCCCTGATTTTTTATTTGAACGGTATGCCAACTCTGGAAGTTTTCGACGCGATTTGTGTGTTTAGCTGTTCCTTATTCTTTTTTAGCCCATAATCTAGCTTGTGACGCATTTCCGAGGTGTCAAATTGTCTTTTTATGATTCTATTTTGGAGAGGTTATCACTTTTGTTATCATTTTTCAGGGGGGTGGGTTTGAAAGTTCGTTGAAATTTCAAATTTGAATCAAATTAACTGAAACCTTCAACTTTTTAGAAAAAAATTTTCAATTTATATTGATCCCATTTAAATAATTTATTTCAGCTTTTGATTAATGGACCATTGACTTATAGTCTCTATTATTCGATTTGAAGTGGGTAGAATGTTTGACATAGTAATTCATCGCGGTCTATTTTTAGAAAAGCTATTCGATTTTTTTTTTATCATTCAAGTATCACAAAACGCGGTAAAGAGTGGACACTTTGTACTTTGCGAAACGACAGGCGCGTAGATTTTCGCGTTGAGGTGTACATATCATATATATCACTGGCTTAAACACATAACACACTCTGCGTTCGCGGCACGGCCGGATGTTACAACGGTGTCGGTCGGACGGACAGAGGTCGCCGCCGTCAATCGGAGGGTCAGCTTTCAGAAGGGAGCCGTTTCCTTCGTGTCGTGATAAATGTGTAGTAGGACGAGGCGCCGCCCGAGAGCTCTCGAATATCTCCTGGGGCGACACATACGTTACGATGTGCTCCAAAGTTGACTCTTTTCGTCCCCCCGTTTCATCATTCCTCGAAAATAAAATTTTGAGGTGAATACAGTATTATTAGATTGAGGTTTCAGCCGTTTGAATAATGCGATTTACCTTCTGACAGCAAAAACAGCGTATCTTTTCATTTTTACCCGGGGTCAGTTTCTGCATCGGACTGGAAAGCGTTTTTGATTTTAAATACACGAGCAGCCTCACTTTCCATCCGTTGTCCTTTAAAATTAATTTTTCACGTTTTTATAATATTTTAAAGTGAACGAATTTTGTGTTTTATATACCTATTTTGAGCTCTTTTCCCCGAATTCAAGGACTATTTCTGGTTTTCAATGATAAGTAAAGAAATTTCTGTTATTCCTAATTCTCTTTATTAATTAATCCCGAACCTACTGTTTGAGTTCACTCGCTAATGAATTTTGATCCTACAGTACCGTTGAGACCGTCTAAATTAACTCTTATCACGAATTTCGGCGGCATTTCTGTCTATTTGATAAGACGTGTAACTATGTTTGGCTGTGGAGCACATTAACGTTATCTTTTGTTTTGGCTGCCCTTTAATTGATATACGCTCCGATAATGTTGCTTTATGAGTTTGGATGTAGCACATTTGTTTGCTTGTTATGTCTGAACACTACAAGAAAATTGATAGCTCTTCAAGATTTTTTAATTGGTGCTTCTATGTAAAAAAAAAAAGGCCGTAGGAGACCTTTGAAAATTTTGCCTTTCACACGCCTCAAAAAGCATTCTTGATTGAAGCAAAACCAAAAAGAGCAGGTGCACCTCAAAAAGAAACACATATGGTCACTTAATAGTTCGAGATAAATATAATCCTTGAGAAGAGAGGAGGCCGATCAATTATATCTCAAACGGCTCAGCTGTTCTTGAGAACCTCACGCGCATTTGGTAATTAGTGGAGGCGATAATAATGAGAAAATTGTCATGTTTTGGTGTATTCGCGTGTGTGTGTGTGTTGGTTGAGTTCTGTGCCATTTGCACATAATGAACTTCCCACGCACCTCCTCCCACTCCTCGTTTTGGCTTTGCCTCGGGGTTTCTCCGCCGAGCCGACCCCAAAGTCACGCCCTCCGAAGACCCTCTTCGAGTTATTAGTATCGACGCTGTTGCTTGTTTTCGTTGCTTTTCTCCCGATGATTCCATAAAACTCATTTTGAGGATATGACGTGAAACAGAGCTCAAGGGCTTCGTGACGCTGTCCTCCACCCACTCATTCATTTTATTTTCCCGCCTTCCAGCGCTTTTATTGTATCTTTTTTTACCGCAGCAGGCTTTTTTCAAAGCGTTCAAAGACGTAGCACAAACTGAAATCGTCACGGAAAATAGAGTTTTGTGGCCGAAATTCTAAGGATTTTTACTTTTTTTAGTGTGTTTTAAATTTTTCGTGCTTAATTGAACTTATTTAAATTGTTTCTGTTTGATAAAAAAATTATTTATTTTCTACTTTCCGAAATACTTGATAAAACGCAAGGAGAATACGTCGAATCATTTAATAATATTGAACTTACGAAATTCTTAATTTTTTTCTGTTGTATGAACGCCAAAAATGTCGCAAATAAATTTATGGATTTCTGCGCTCTTTGATTCTTTTTCCATTTTAAATGTTTTATATGAAGTTTTCGAACGCGAATCGCCCTATTAAAAGTATTTGTGTAAAGAGATTTTCCCCTTCATCTTTTTTTTTTGGCATCCATTAAAACCGCATCTTTTTTTAAACTCGTAAAAAGCTTTTGGAACGATTTGATCCATTTATTTTGCAGCGCTTAAGATCGCCTAGCGCGACGACTGAAACGACGCACAACACCAACTGGTAACATCAGAGGCGTCGAAAGAAACCATCTGAAACATCTTGAAACAATGGCCGACCATAAGAACGTTGGTATCAGTGTTGTAAATGAAAAATAAAACCGAAAAAACTGTATAAAAACGTTCAAAAAAACACTTTTTTTGATTTTGAGGGATTTTTTTCGAGATTTTTTTCGTTCTAATTGAGCTGAAGAAAAAAATGGTGGCTTTTTTTCGATTTGAAGAAAAAAATTGAGAATTACGAATAAAAGATTTTTTTGGAAAAAACTTTTTTTTAAATATTAGTTTCAGAGTGAAAAAGTAGTACTAGCTTTTAACCTTGAAACTGAACTTGTTAATTTAAAAAAAAATTTCTTCGTGTTTTAAGAATGCTGACGCGACCGAGCAGCCGGAAGAGAAGGAGAAGCCAGTGAAGGCGCGCGGCATCAAGGGAACGGTCAAGTGGTTCAACGTGAAGAACGGCTACGGGTTCATCAACCGCACCGACACCAACGACGACATCTTCGTCCACCAGACCGCCATCAAGAACAACAACCCGCAAAAGTACCTGCGGAGCCTGGGCGAAAACGAGGAGGTGCTGTTCGACGTCGTCGAAGGCTCGAAAGGCCTCGAGGCGTCGAACGTGACTGGACCCGATGGCGGCCCCGTCCAAGGATCTAAGGTGCTTTCTTTTGAAAGAACTATGGTCAAAAATATGTTTTTTTTTAGGTTGATTTTTTTTTAAGTTGATGAAAAAATAACGATTCAAATTTATTTTTCTAGCCTTTTTATTGACAAAGGCCTCTATTAGCACCAAGAGGTCTTTATTATTTTAAGCTTTTTGAGAAGATTACTTTGAAAATAATGATTTTTTATCGTGATTTAGTTGAAAGCATTTTTTTATAATTTGTCATTCCACTCGGTTTCCTACTTTAATATTCTTCAGCTATCTGCTTTTCCGAGTTTACTGAATTATTCACATTTCATGCTTCATGCTAAGGACGTCAGTAGAATGACCAATGTTCAAAAATTTCAGACTTTATTAGTGCAAAGTATATTTCTCGCTAGATTTTAGATAATTACACGGAGAATTTTTTTCTAGGCCGATCAGATAAATCGGATGAGAAGAAATCATAAATTATGTACTTGTAGAAGAAATGAAGTTCTTTTCAGTACGCTTCGAAAAGAAAATAATTTTTTGCAGTACGCTGCCGACCGCAACTCAGAGCGCGGCCGTGGAGGCTTCCGTCGACGTGGATTCCGCGGCGGACGTCGCGGCGGTGCCAGCGGCAACAACAGCGAGTCCAACGACGGCCCTCAAGAAGACGGCGGAGAACAGAGCGCTGAGGAGGGCGGCCAACGTCGTCGTGGACGCGGTGGCTTCCGCGGCCGAGGCTTCCGTGGTGGATTCCGTCGCGGAGGTGGCGGCGGTGGCAACGGCGGCGAGGAGTACGGCCAGGAGCAGCAGGTGCGAATCAAACCCTTTATGCAGAAATAGAGATTAAAAAGTTTGATGAAGAAAATTAAGATTACTTTAAAAAATTGAATAACGCGATTTTCGTCTTGCTGATTTTTCTATTGCCACGTAAAATTTTTTTAACACTACCTTTTTTGGACTCGGAATATACCATTAGAATCGAAGATGCTTGAATATTTTCTAAAAATTACTGCGTCCAGCTGAAATTTTAAAAAAGCATTTCCGGTCTAGCTCTAATAGCGCTGATATCTCAAATTTTAGTTTTGAAGGCCCAGAAATATGAATGCGGATCTAAACTATCGCTTTCCAGGGAGGTGAAAACTCGAACGGCGGAGGTCGTGGACGTGGCCGCGGATCCGGACGCGGCGGCCGTGGTCGCGGACGTGGCGGTCGCGGAAACGCTGGTGGCAACGACGAATCGCGCGCCTAAACTCCATCCACGTCTTCTCCGAGGACTGCACGTTAAACATTTCTTCTGGAATAAACTCTCTCTCTGTGCTCTTCAATATCTGTCCGAATTTAAGTTTCCATCAGTGCATAATTAAACCTAATATCATCCACTCTAAGAGCCGTGGCTGTGAGTCTTCTTCTGATTTATTTAGAAAATCCATAGCCCCGCTCTTTCCAGTTATATCCACACACAATATACCATCAATTCTATTAGACCTATCCCCCCAATATCCGTCTAATGCTTTACACTACCAACTGTTTTCGATCACAACAAAAAAAAGTCACTACCTTTCTTTTTCTCCTCCCCTCGTTACCTTGTTTTGTTATTAGTAATTTTGATGACACACTGGAAACTCTATTGTTCGTTTATTCGTTTTTCCTTTCTGTAAACTCTTTTTTTCTCTCTTTGATACGGCGGACACGTTGGATTTATTTCGAGCAAGAGAAAAATCATCCCCAGAAAAAAATGGTTAATTTTCAGAGAAGCTTAGTGGTCAGTGGTCATTTCCGGCTGGATGCGCTGGAAAATGAATCAGATAGGGAAATGGGAAGAATAATTCATTTACCGGCTCCGGGAGCTTGCTTTTGAGCTCGGTGAGCTCCTTCTGGACGGAGGCCGGCAGGGAGTCGAAGAACTCTTGGGCTTTCTGCTCACGGTTCTGGAACTTTTCGAAATTTTCAGAAAGGATTTGTAGTAAAGGTTATATTTATCGTCAGAGAGAACTAAGAACCCCCCTCCCTAAAAATTACCACCGGCAGCTGCTCATTGGCTTGGATTTTTGTGGAGTCGTTGGATGGCTCGACGAGCTTCGGGGCTCAATCCGGCAAGCTGAAAATGGCTCATTCTCGGCTCAAAAAGGTCTCACTTTGATCAAGAAAAAGCACAAACCTGCTGTCCGACGCTCTCGTTGAACCGTTTGCGATTCGCGTCGACCTTGGCACGGAACTGCTCAAAAGCGTCCTGAAGGGTTTTCATTGTAGCTATCTATTTTATTATCGTGTCAGGACCCTTTTATTGATGGCTTAAGGCAACCGTAAATCAGCTATATATCTTAAGTTCTTTCAGGGTTCAAATTTTATAAGGAGCCTAAGTTTTATTTAGGAAAATCTCAAAAGCACTATAAATTGCCTTTTGTCCTTTTCATGTAAATGTCCCTTTTTTCAAGTAATCAGGATCATCTCAAAAGTCAATCAAACTACTCTGGAACTATTTTATGATATAGACTTGAAATGCCTTCAAAAATTATCAAATTTCCCTTGAGTAGCACCTTGATGTTCTGAGGTTGGGTGGCGATGAGCGCCTCGACCTGATCGTCCTTCTGCTCGCGGGTCAACTCCTCGTTGTTGACGATTTCGAGGAATTGCTGAAACTTATAGACGTGGAAATTAACTAGTTTCAGGGCGTAGGCTGCTGACTTTTTGGTTGAATTTTTTTAAGAAATCCGGAAAATAAAGCATATAAAAAACTGAATGAAAAAAAGTGAGCTAAACTATAAGATCGTTTCTATTCTTATTCTCCATTCAAAGAACGAACGTTCTTGGCGGCGTCATCGGCTCCGCGAAGGAAGACCGGAAGGGCGGGCTTCTGGAAGTCGCAACAGACGACGGCGACCAGAAAGGCGGCGATGATCAGCGTCGACTTCATCGTTCCAATTTTAGTGCACCATCACGAAACTTGCTCGACTTTATAGGAGCCGAAATTCTGCATAATTTTGTGTACGCAGCTTGCATTTGTCGACGCCGCATGAATCCTAAAAAGGTCGAGTTTTGATGTAAGTTATTGGAAAACTGTGGATAGTAGAGTTCTCAAAATGACCAATTGAAAAAAATGACATTTTTCAAAAACGAAAAATTTTCTTTTTGACATTTCAAACGAATGTCGTTTTTGAAAGATCAACCAAAATTGATCACTTTCATTCTTTTCATTTTGTGACTTTTCAAATAATGACTGAAAAATAAATGGTCATTTTCTAAACAATCATATTCTGACTAGTAAATAAATGTTCGTCCTAATGACCAAATTTTTCAAAGTGAAAAGTAAATGGTCACTTTTTTGACCAAAATTCTCAAAAGTGAAATTTAAATGTTTACTTTTTTTGACCAAAAATTTCCAAAATGAACTTTGAATGTTCATTTTTTTGAACAAAATTTTCAAAAATGAATTTTAAATGTTTACTTTTTTTGACCAAAAATTTTCAAGAGAGAAATTTAAATGTTCATTTTTTTAACCAAATTTTTTTCGAAAAAAATAAGTAATTGTTCATTTTTTTAAATGCTCAGTTATGAAATTTAACCAAAAATGAAGTTTTTTTAACAAACGGTTCATGTGAAATTTAACTAATTGGTCGAATTCATCAAACGTTCGGAAAATGTTTGGTTGAACGTTCGTTCAAACATTTACTTTTGAGAACTCTAGTGGATAGGGTTTTTTTTTAATAGAAAACGGGCGGTCAGTAAATCACTTGATTATGAATGGTTAATATTAAATTGAGTAACCTTCGAGAAATCGTAAATCGAGGAAATGTTTCTTTTTTTTTCGAACGTCTCACCAGATAAAAAATATTTTCAACTTGCGAATGAAAGTTCTAGTAACATTGAATGGCTTATCAAAAGTTCTTTAATTTCACGACTTCATTATAAAAAGGAAGCATCCCTTGAGGCTTCACAAAAATCCAAACAATGAAAAAACAGGAATTCAAAGGATCAGTTCATCCAATAATTCATCATGAACACAAAAAAAAAATCGAAAAGAATAATTTATTCGGCGCATAATCAATCAACCCATTGAACCTATAAACAGCTTTACAATCAATAATTACAGACAAGATGATAAGAATTTACACTTTTTACAAATTTGTGAGCTTCTCGTCAAATTCTTTCCTAACAGCCGACGACATCTTCCCATAAAGTTCTTGAATTCGCTGCAATCTTTCGTTTTCTGGAACGCCAGGAGCTGTCATCAGTGCGGAGACCTGGAAAATTGATATTTTCGTAAAATATTATAGAAAGCATGGAACACGGTTTTGTGAATTTCCCATCCAACAAAAACAGGACCAGTTGGCAAACTTGGCAAGCGGCCAGGATGACCCAAAACTGTCAATCCTCGAGCGACCGTGGTAATTGGTCGCTTTGTCCGGGTAAAATTTCATGTCCAGCGAAAATAGCGAAAATTTCACTTTTTGAAGAATTGAAAGCGTGTCACTTTCAGCCGGAAAATCAAATTACGGAGAAGAAATTTTCGATTTTATAGTTTGTGTGGCACAACTGGAAATTCCCTCGAACGACATTCCGCTGTTCCGCTGCGGGCGTTCGCGAAGCGTCTTTCGAATCTCGGTTACGCGTTCAATTGATTGGTATTGCTGTGAAAACACATGAAAGTAGAGTACCTTAATAAAAGAAAAAATAAAAAGCGCGACCAAGATTCGCAAAGGCGCGCAGCGGCACAGTGGAATGTCGTTTGACGAAATTGCAAGTCATGGTACACAGGCTATACAGTTTAAAAGCTTTCCTTAAGCTTAGGTTTTTGAGACTTTGAGAGGGAGCTTATTTGATTTTTTTTGCAATTTTTTCAAAATCAAAACCTTCTGAAATTGAGTTTTCGCCTCCAAGCTCATTTCCTCGACGGCCTTGTGAACTTTTTCGCGTCGAGCCTTCGTCTCAGCGGACCAGCGACCGTCGTAATCCGAATATGTTGCCTTAATAATTTCCTTTTCTGATATATTCAGGGAAACAGAAAAACCTGGCTCTCAGAGCTCATAGTTCTCATGAACTCTTCGATCCGCTCGTTTTTCTCGGCTCCTGACCACGTTGGATTTTGGACGATTGCGTAGAACTTAAGAATACCTATTTCTTTTTTAGAACTTCTTTTCGAAACTACCTTGTCCTGCTCTTCCTTACTGGCGGATTTCAAAAATGGTGGGATGATCCGGGTGGGACCCGTTTGAAGTTGCGGTTGAGGAACCTGAAATACTTTTCTGATACCGTATCATGAGTATTGTTGACCAGTGATTTTAAGTTTCATTACCCTTTTTAAAAAAATAAGGTAAGTTTTTCAAGCAGAAGCACAAGAAACAAAAAATCGATTACTTAGTTGGTATATCAACCGAATTTCGAAATAACGCAATAATTATCAATGTACCCTATTCTAGTTGGATTGTCCGAAATTCTAACAACCCCTCTCACCTCTTTCTGAACCAAAGGCATCCGCTGATCGTTCTGGAACTGCTCGGCGCCGGCGCCGAAGTTGAACCGTGGCGACATTCGGACCTCGCTGCTGGGATACGGATATATTCCGGGAGCTTGAAAAAATCTTATTTATTCCAAAATGTGAGAAAAAGAAATACCTGAAGGGCTCATAACTTGGATCCCAGCCACCGGTTGGTACATCATAGTAGGACCTTGAATGGTGTTACCGGAGTATGGAAACTGCTGGGAATAAGGTCCTGGAACATAAATCAAGTTGATCTGATGAGCAAGGAAAGTTTATGAGAGGATTTTTGCAGGGTAAAGTCTTCAGAATAAAAAAAAACTTCGAAATATACTGCTTCAAAGAGAACATGAACGAATTCCCACAAGTTCTATAGCTGATTTACGGCTGACTTGAGCCATCGGAAAAGGGGTCCCGACACGATAATGAAAGAGAGAGAGTCTGGTTAGTGGAGAGCGCAGACAGGCCACGCCCCTTTGCGTCTCAAGCTAGCCGTGAATCGACTATAGAGAAAAGTTATTTTCTTGTTACTGTATGATTGTTTAACACTGAAAAGACAGGAAAAACAGAAAAGCCAAAACGAACCCATCGACGAGAGAGGAAAGGTGTTGACGACGGCTTGAGCCTGCGGATACGACTGTCGAGACTGATAAAACTGAGCTCGACAGACCTGCGCCAAGGCCACCGAAACCAGGAAAAGCCTTCGCAACATTCCGCCAAAGTAAATCCAACCGTGCAAAACACACCGGTCATCGCGGGGCTTTAATAGAGTTTGTGCAAGCGACCTCCCGCCCAGAACACGTCCTCGGCACGTCTGCCTGACCAGTTTCAACCTGAGGATATGCGTGTTTGGCGCGCTATTTCGGACACCATTGTGGCGGTCACTCCGACGAGAATCTGCTAGAAATTGTCAGGAATGAGGAAACTTTCTACTCTATTTTCATATTCGATCCGGAAAAAGGTCTGAAACGTGATTTTAAGAAACAAAAAAACGTAAAACTCGGCATTCTTGTAACCAATTCAGGAACATAGAAATTTAAAATGATAATTTTTCCGGTGCATTCTGTTTCAGTTGAATCCAGAAGTTTTCGCGATGTCAAATCAAATTTTCCGACTCAAAATTTGCAAGAAAGTGATTTGGCATGTCTGATCTGTTAGGCATTCTATAAAGTGCGACCGCTTTTTTTGTGCTCCATTGAAAATTAATAAAAGCGTTTTTACAACGAAAATTCAATTTATTCGATTATTGAAACTTGGCCACAAAATATCGAATTTTTCTTTTTTTTTTCGAAAGCTTTCAGACATGTTTCAAATGATTGAAAACTTAAATTTACTTAAGTTTCCTATCAATCGATTTTTCCAAATACGCAACCATGAAGTTTCAACGGAGTTCGAACAAAATCAAAACAAAAAAATTAAAGAAAGACGAAAAAAATTTATAAAAAAATTTTACACGAACATGTTGCGCTCAACTCCCGTAGGGAAAGAAAAGAAACGGGGTTAATCGAGAGGAAAAAAAAAGAAAGACAAAAGAAGGCGAGTAAAGCTAAGAAAGATATGTTTGCGACTAGTTTCCAATGGGTTGATTGATAATAGGTTAGACATAACGGTCGAATAAGAAAAAAATTCTATTTTACAAGCATAATAGTCGTTAATAATTGCACAAGCACAGACAAAGATTGCCTAGAAAGAAAGAAAAATGAGATGATGAGTCATTTGTTAGATGGTGGCGAGAAGACGGGCTGAAGACGTCGGAAATCGTAGCCGGCGTCGACGAGGTCTTGGGCCGAAGGTCGCGACGACTTCAGGGACGAATTGCTGACGTCGACCCGAGTTTTGATCTCTTTCTTCTTTGCCACGACCTCCAACATCTGCTCCAGAAGTTCGGCCTGGAATCGAAAATCCCATAGAAAGTCGTTCGGATGTCAAAATACCCGTCGGGAGCCGTCGTCATCGTCGTTCAAAGCGTTGAGCTTCTCGTTCAATTCTTTGTATTTCCTCTGAAAAATGTTCGTAATTCATCAAAAAAATGTTTGTAATTCACAAAAAGCAAAAAAATCGGTTAGGCTATTTTTGAGCGAGGTTTTCTGATTTTGGTAACACTGGTGCTCGATTTGGCAGCTAATTTTTTTTTAAAAATAATAAAAAATGGGCTCAATTTTTAAATCTTACAGGTTTTCTAATGCTATTTTGGCTATTATTCCACGATTTTTTTAAAGCCAACTATTAATCTCATACTTTTAAGAATTTCAATGTTTTCAAGTAATTCTGCGGCGTTTTTTTCGTATTTTTTTCAAAGCACCTAAAAATCTGAACTAGTTCTTTTCGTCTTATATCGGTTATTTTTCTTGAAATTAAGTTAATTTGACTACATTTTCATCCATTTTTTTTAGAGTTACTTCTAAAAATTCTTATTCCAGTACCTTAAAAAGTATCGAAGCCAAATCAGGCCTTCAACCCGGGAAAAAAAAACCAACCTCAAGCTCAAACTGCTGCTTTCGGAGCATGAGACACTCCTGACGCCACTTCAAGAACTTCTGCTCCTGTACAAGGGCGTTCCAGCAATCGAGCATGAACGAGTCACGCGGTTCTGAAAACCGTCATTGGATTTTCACTCGATCCGGTTAGACTTACTCAGCCGAAGTTTGGCCTCATATTCGGCGCCTTTGGATTTGAGGGTCTCCATCCGAACTTCGCACTCCTCCAAACTTCTCTGCAGGTCCTGCTCCCGTCGGAGACGTTCCTCCGCTTGTTGGCTTCAAATTTTGATGTTAGAATAGTCTCATTTGAAAATTTTGAGCCATTGTTTGAATATTAACGCTTGAAAATCTGTTGGAACATTTTTTCCATTGAGAAAATCCTATAACTTTCTACGGACTCTCAAATCTCAAAATAAGAAAATTTAAAAAACAAATCAACCGGTTGATGACAAAGGATCAAGAAATGGTGTTCGTACCGCTCAAATGAGCATTTTTTTCACCGCCTAGTCGATTCCATCGGACTAAAACAACCAATAAATATTGATTGATTGACTGAAAACCACTTTCTTGAAATCAGGAAGGTTTTTTGCACCTCAAATTGCAAAAGGCATACTTGAGTACTCTCTCAACTATCTGAAGCTGTGAACAACAAGATTTTCAGCAGGATGGATATTTGTTCTACATGGAAAAAAGATACATTCGAAATTTTCCTCACTACTCATGTTCCAATAATAATAAAAAAACAAAAATACCGAATCATTTTTTTCGGCATGCTTTTGAATCAACTGCGCGGCGCGGTCAGATTCGTTGCGGCTCATCATCGGCGACGCGGTTCGCTCTGAAAAAAGTGTTATTGCTTTAGATTCTTTTTTCTCAATTTCTATCGTTCAGTTGGAAGAGAATCAAGTAATAGCCAATTCTCTGAAAAAATTGATAACGCAATTTAAAAATCCAAATTTTTTTCAACTACTTCGACTTGAATAAAATGACTCTACCATCAGAAGCGGGGTGCACGGAAGTCGACGTCGAGGGTCCGATCGGAGTCGGAGTCTTCCTTGGCGACGGGGCCACCGCCACACAAGGTACCTTCCCGTTCGGATCGCAAATCGTGCTCAACGGCTTCTCCATCGACAATTCTGTCGATTCAAAGGTGAGAATCAATTTGTCGATAATTCGATACTGGAAGCTGGCGGAGGAGGCGGGCCGACTTCAGACCGTTTCAGCCGCATTTTCCGAACCGGATTCTCGAGCATTTTCACCTCGCGTTTGCTTTCACAATGAAGACGGTCAGGATCGAGTAGATTGACCTAGATATTTTTTTTTAGCCTCTCATAAGATTTTTTTGAGAGTGCTCTGAATAACCCTTAAGAATCTTTAATTTCCATGTCTCTTTTTTTCATAATTTCAAACAAAGTGGACTCGTTAGGGTCCACAATAAACTGTGAATTAATGATCATTCCTATTAGACCATAATCGAGTAAGTTGACCTGAACTTTTATTTCAACCTCTCATTAGATTTTTAAGAGTGCTCTTGGAATGAAGGTGAGGCAATGAAAAAACGTTAGAAAAGCCGTATTTTTCTGTCCTTCTCAAAATTTATAATCAAAATGAACTGGTTGGGGGTTCCCACTGATCTATGAATGAATTATCAGTATTATTAAGCCAACAATCGATTACTTTGCGAATAGCGTTGGGGCTGAACAACTTGGAGAGTAATCCTTGGGACGGCGCGACCGGCGGCGGCGGTATCGGCCTTCTTACCGGCGTTTCAATCTTAAAAAAACATTTTAGTAGAACTAAGAGGGAATGTAAGGTTCATTATAGAGGTGTATTTGGGAGTTTGGCGCCTTGTTAGTGAGCAACAAAGATTCAATTTAAGCTGTAAAATTTCGTTAAACAGCATTATTGAAGTCATGAAATGACGGCGGCAAGTTAGAAAAGGTCACTGGTTTTTTAAAGATCTAGAAGCTATTCTGAAGGTTTCAAAAAAGTCATTGATATTTTTTAAAATATTTTCAGGATTTTTTTCAAGCTGTGTGACTCCCGTTTCTTTTTGTAATCATCTCACTAGTCAGAAATCCAGTTTTTTTCAAGGATTAGAAACACTTTTTGGGATCTTCAGTGGTAGCTGTCTACTGAAGGTTGAATGAAGGTTTTAAAGCTCCTTAAATGGACTCTAAAAATCCAAGTAGTTACTACAGTGATCACTCAAGATTCAGATAGCCTGGCCGCTTTTTCAAACTCTTCATGAAACCATGATAACTCTAAAAAGTTAAGGTTTCTCTTTTTCAAAATTCAAAAGTCAATGAGATGTTTTTCAACTCCTGAATGAATAAAAATGAACATTCCTATGACAAATCCCTTTCTCTCACCATTGGCGGCTCTGACGACGGCACTGGAGGCGTTTTTGGAGTGACCTCTTCAACCAAGGTCATTCCCGCCGTGTCCCGACCACTGCTGGTTCTCCGCATCGACGGCATATCATCGAGCAGCGAGACCGCTTTTTCCGTCACTTTCTGAACAAGTTTCGGGTTGAGTTCTCTTTTTGATCTTCTTGATTCACTTTTCCACGATTCGTCGGTGGAGAGACGGTACTTGCCCTGGCTGTGACTTTTCCCGCAGATTTCTCAACTGAGGAAGAGATCTTTTCAAGCGACGATCGTTTTGTCGAAGTGGATTCTGGATTTCGAAACGAATCAGTTCAAAGTTTTCGCAGTTTCCATGAAACAGTAAACTATTTTTCTACTCAAATATCAACTGAAAAAAATTCTGGTAGAGTTCAAAGCTGATTTTGAAAGGTTTCCTCCAGGACTGTCAAGTACTCTTAAGTGACTTCTTCAACCTAATTTCCCTCTACTTTCTGAAAGTAGCTTTGAACTCGGATAAGAAACTCAAGAAAAGCTACTAGTTTACATTCAAAAAATGATAAATGTTCAGTTTTTCGAAAGTTATTAATTTTTTAAACTTCGAATCAAATACGCAAGTTGAACCGTTATCAATCTATACTTTTTGAAGAGAAGTTAGAGAAAGATATATCTCTGCTTTCTCTGGGATCTCTTCAAGTTGCTGTTGATCTTTCGCTTGTACTTTTTGATGGTTATTGAACCTAATTTTGTTCTCCCAATTTTGATGTTACTTTTAATAACAGAAATCTCTACCGATTCCGAGTTGCTCATCGGTCTTTAACTTGGCCCGTTGCCTCGCCTCACTGCGCAGCTTTTCCAACTCGTTCATTTTTTCCTGGAAAGAAGAATATTTTTTTTTGTCAGCACTGAATTTACTTCAATGCGAACAGATTATCAGACCGCGAAAGCTTAATCTATCCTTGAGACTAAAAATTCAAAAAGTCCTTTAGGACCTCAAAGTTAATGTTTCTAACATTAACAGCCCCTCAAGCTTTGGGTAAACTTTCAGGGCGTTTCTGGCATCAAGGGGACTCTAAAGGGGCGTTCAAAACACTTGAGTAACCACTTGAGTGAAAAAAGACTTGAACTACCGAGAAAGCGAAGAAATTTTACCATTTTCATAATATTTCTCGATTTCAATTTTTTTTTCCAAGAACTGAAGCGTTTTATGAACTTTTGAGACATAGCGATGAAATAAAAACTTGCTATATATTTTTTGACCTTTTTTAAAAATAATTCAGAATCGCTCAAACGCCTGGCGCTATAAAGTCCGTTCAGATTTTGATAGTGCAAGTCATCGCTCAAGCTCCGCCCCTAATGACGCGATAAACCGATCAAAGAGCGAGACATCCACAGAGCGTTTTCAAATCTACTTGGTGTTCAAAATATGAACTTTTTTCTGTGTCCGGCTCTAAAAATCTGATAATCCTAAGAGTTGTGCCATTGGAGCGTATTTTCTCGTCTTCCAAAGCTTCAATCAGGTATATTTCTGATACCTGTTGAATATTAGCAGCGCAGGGGGTCATGTAGAGCTCATAGTTGCCAATTTCACTGTCGACGGCAATACTGACGGCTCGATTCCGCGATTCGTCATCTTCTTCTTCCTCTTTTGGCTTTCGGAATGAGACAGCCGGCGTGAAGAACAAATCTTCGTTTTGGATGCTCTGAAAAATTGAGCGTATTTCATGTAATTCGAGTCCAAAAGAAAGCGAGATCTCCTCAAAAACCGACACTTTGCCGAGGGGTTTTGAGGCTTTTCGGTGGATAGCGAGCGGCACTCGGCGTCATGTAGACACTCCGACGGTGGTTGATCCGTTCCAGGGCCGTTTTCACAAGGACTTCTTTGTCCTAAAGAAAATGAAAAAATAATTGTATTGCTAATTTTGAGTTTCAGATATTGGTTGATGAATTGAAACTACGACAGTTTAAGGCTATAATTTGATCCATAACGTTCTTGACTGTATGTTTGAACCGTAGAAGCTACTTTTCTCTCGTTTTCCACTAAATATCCTTACCAAGAAATGTTCAAGAAAAAAAATTCTCGCAATAGATCTTGTTTCGGAGTTATGGAGCTTCAAAGTGTGCAAAATACGCAAATTAGGCCAAAAAAGCGCTATTTCGGGCTTTTGAAGTGTCCTGCTTTTGAAACGTTCCCTAGCTAGCTTAAGTGACCACTCAAGAAAAGTTTTTCAATAAAGACAGTTCTTCCAAGATAAATGAACATCACAAAAAGACCAAGGAAAATTTAATTTTTCAGAAGACTTCTTTGCACGAAAATCGCTTAAGAGACCCCTCAGAAGCCCTTTTAAGTCAAAACACGTTAAGAGGCTACTTAAGTGGAGTCATTTTTTCAAGAGTCACTATGAAAGACTGAATCTATAACTCGAACCCTTAAAAGACAACTTTACACAGTTCAGTACTCGATGGGGCTTTGCAACAAAAACAGTGATTTTTGACAGAAATGGTCTTGACACGAATAAAAAAGTGCGTACCGCTTGGCTATCAAACTGCTGGTCGGGATGCTGTTCCAGGATCTCGTTGAAAGTTCTTTCCACCTCTGCCAAATCCTCATCCTCCAGCTCGTCTTCGACGTCTTCTTCATCCGGCACGGCTTCGTTCGTCGGCGCCTCGTCTTCAGAAGCGACGGGATCTGACGATGAAAAAATAGGAACACACAAAAAAGACAAACGACATGGAATATATTTCAGAAAGGTTTTTCAGATTTGATAACCGGAGATTTTTTTTTTCGCTAAAAAAGTAGATCTAGTGTTCCAAGAATAGGTTTTTCAAGTATCTACCCAATCTTTGAAAACTTTGAAGAAGTTCTATGAAACAAATTTCAGGCCCATTATTTTTCCGCTTGAAAGTGCGCCCCTGGTTGAACCCTACTATTCAAATTTACCATTATCATGCCGTGTTCAATTTGATTCCGCGAAATGCAAAATGATCTCTGACTCTCCAAAATCTAGTGATCTTTTCCTTTCTCTAACGGGTGTTTTGCATTTCGCGGAATCAAATTGAACACGGCATCAGAGACGATTTTCTTCAGGTTGATGAGCAGGGAACTAATTACCATTAATAATTCCACTGAGTTCCTCTTCCTCTTCATCTTCGCTGTCCGAAGTCGAATCCGTCAAAGTGACCCGTTCAGCTTCCTCATAGTTCAACGCCTAGAATATAAATTATTTGCTTCTCAACTACTTTAATTTTTGGTAAATTTCCATGTGTCAACCCCTCCTCCTGATCTCATGAATTCTTTACTTGAAAATGTCTGTTACAGATCCAGGTATTTGAAAGCGGAGAAAATATCTTTAAAAATAACGCCATAGAAGGTATGGCTATCATTGGAAGTTCAAAAGGAAAACAATTTTTGTTAGCGATTGGAAAAATCCTGATAAATGTCCATAAAACGCTTGATCTCTTGGATTTAGCTGGAAGCAATAAGTCCATGGAAATCGGTGGCTTTTTGTAAAAATCAAAGAATAGCTCGCTTTTCAACCAATATAACCTAATTTGATCAAGAAAATCATATTCCTAACTTCAGTGAGTGTGAAATCGAATCAAGAAAGGATACAGGGAGGAGAACATCTAGAAACTCTGGAAGCCTAAACAAAAAAAACTCAATAGGTTGAAATTAGGACTCAAAGCCTAACAAAGTTTGACTTTTGGGATCTTTTCTGGTGAATGAATGAGTTTTTGGACCCCTTTTCAGAGAATCTCTGAACCCTCTGAGTCGAAAATGATTCTAAAGACTTCAAAAAACCCGATGATCTTCACGAAAAAACAAAATAAAATGTTTGAAGCAGCTGAAATCCCTACAGAAGACGAGGGCCGACTGTTGCGGATGTGGGCTCCGAACTCGGCTCTTTCCGGGGTGTTCTGCGAGACTTGGCCGACTTCCAACCCAGGGGAGGTGATCATCGATGCCTGATTGCGGATGAATGATCACTTCAGACCTATTTTGATCATCTACCATCGCCGAGTTCTTGATTTTCTGCTCGGCTCGGGTTCGCATTTGTTCGGGCGAGAAGAAGTTGAGCGTGGTCGTCGACTGTTGCCGCGGAACTGCTGTTAGCTCTGGTTCAGAGGGTGATCTGAAGATGAAATAATCAAAAACAATAAGTGTCAAAATTAACAGGAAAGTTGAAATATAACAATATCAAACTATTTTCTAGGAATCGGCTTTCAAAAAAGGTCATTTTTGAAGATATCCTGAATACTACTTGATGTACCAAAAAAGATCCTGGAAGCCAAAACTGCACATTTTCTTGTTTTCTGATTTATGAGCACTCTGAACCAAAACGAACAACAGTAACTTTGAAAAAAGGATATTCTGAGATCTCAAAAACTAAGAATTTTCGCGGAATGAGAAATTTTGAACCTTCATCTAGCAGTTCCAAAAATATTCTGGCCGATTTTCAAGGGATTCCCAACCTAGTTTTATTTCGAAAAAGATGATTTTACACTTTTTATGGTGCTATTTCAAAAATTTCTATATTTTTCGGTTTCTTACAATTTTAAAACTTACGATTTTTGCACAGAAATCTCTTCCAGTTGTTCTTGTTTTGCCGTGGCCGAACTGAAAGTTTTCAGTTTTTCTTCATCGAAAAGTTGGGTTAAAAGTTTCGTGATACAAAAAAATAATGAATCAATGAACAGAAATCAAAAAACTTGAAGTCTACAAGTAAAATGGTCCCTATGATGGAACTAAAAAAAAAGAAAGAATTTCAATAGCAGATCCGAAAAATTATTTTTTAGGCCTTTTTGGGTTTTTTTAGGCCGGAACAAATTTTTTCAGGGCCAAGTCAAAGTTGGAATCGGAATCCTTTCTCCATTTTTTTTTTGGAACGAAATTCTAGAAAGATCCAACAAATTCCTTTTTAGTCCTTTTTGACCTTTTTGCGGCAAAATTTTTAAGCTTTCAATGTCGATTTAAAGGGGAATCAAAATCCTTTTTCTCTCTCTAGAGAATTTGAAGACTCAAGAGATCTATAATTCCCCTTGTCAAACGGACCTCGACTCCTCGTCCTCGCTGCTCTTTTTCCTCTGAATCGCCCGTTCCACTCGGCCAATTTTCGATATTTTCTCTCGCAACGGGATTTGCATGTGCGTTCGACAATAGTAGAATAATCTGGGATGGAAAATTTCAATAAAAAGGCCGTTTTTTTTTTCGGGCTACCGATTAGGATAATGATATTCCAAGTCCTTATCAGTACAGTAGGCGCCGATTCGGAGCGGTTGTGAGCAATACGCGCATCGGAAACAGTTTCGATGAACGAAAATCGTTCCGACCTGTACTCTTTCAGCCAGGTAGACCACCTGGAAAAATATTTTGGAAAAAATTTTGTTTTCAGCTGCTCTATTTTTATCAATATACTTGTAGATATTGTAGGAACTTATAAAACGGGCCCTAAATTGGCACAAAAAGATGGAGAATAAAAAAAGTTCAAATGAACATGAAATTAGGCCAAGTTTTCCTTATTCAGACCAAAAAATCGAGAAAAATGCTGTAAAATCGATTTTTTAAAAATGTATCAAGGCCGATTCTTCACCGTTTTTTACAACTTGAATCCTTATTTAGTCAAATTATTTTAGAAATAAAAAACTTATGATTAGCAGAAAATTAAGCCGATTTTATTCCATTAGATTATTACTGCGAAAAATTTCAAATCAGTTTCTAGAATCTCAATGTGATACCTTCTCGCAAAGCTTGCACGTCTCCTGTTTTCTGGGATTCAGGCTGTCGAACGCGGTTTCCACCATCGAAGTTTGTCTTTTCGGTTCCACCGACGCGATCGGCTGAAATAAAAAATTGATAGAACGGAATTGAATTGATGACAAGCCAAGAACAACTTTCAATATTGAATAAATCGAACAAACTTTATTGTCACAACTTTACAAGTTAGCAAGAAAAATGAATGAAAAAAAAAGGTGAGCTTGGCTCAGGTGAGTAGTAATAAACTAACAATGGTTGAATAAACCTCGTTGTTGAATAACCGATTTACTTAATATGCAAATAACAGGGTAGTTTTTGAAGACTTTCCAAGTATAGTTACATTAATGCAATTTGAATATGAAAATTCACATCATAATCGTACGAATTTCGGAAATGCCTAGGAAGAAATGAGGTTTCTAGCTCTCAACCAGCTCAGGATCCTGACTTCCATGCCTCTAGCCTTAGAAAGTCGCTTGAAACCATACTTTCTCTCGATATTCAATCATGAAGTCTGTGGTTAAGAAAAACCTCAGGAAAACACGTTAGTAAAAATGCGAACGTAAATGAAAAATAGTTCAGAACACAATAATTAACTAACCATAATCGCAAGTTAGTTTTGTGAACATCTGGGTTCACGAATTTCAAACCAGTTTGGGACCCGAAATTTTTCAAGATTTGCTTCAAATCATAACTCTTTCTAATATCCTTTCATAGAGCCTAGTTTAAAGACGAAAATCTAGAAAAAAAAGACAGCCAGCCAGTTATTTTTGATAATAAGAAAATCTGATTTTTACGAGCTTTAAACTAGGATAGAATCTTAATTTTCATGCAACTGCCCTCGAGAAATCGCTTCAAACTATATTTCTTCTCAAAATCTTCTCCTGGAACCTAAAAAAAACGCGAAACTTGAAAAAAAAAAAATCAACCGGCAAGTCAATTTTGAAAATTCTTGAGAAAATGTCAGTTTTCCAGTTCTAAAGCAGCTTAGGATTCTGAATTTTTGTGCAGCTGGTCTCAATAATCCCTTCTAACCATAACTCTTCTAAATATCCTTTCATGAAGCCTAGATTGAAGAAGAACTTCAGGACAAACAAGAAAGTTATTTCGGAAAATTATTGTGAAAATATGAATTTTTGAGTTCTAAACTAGCTGAGACTCCTAATCATCATGCACCTAGCCTCGAAAAAGTTGCTTAATACTTTCTAAAGTCTTCTCATAAAGCCTAGATCAAAGAAAGGCCTTAGGATAACACGAAGCAGACGATGATCAACGACACGAGCACGACAAGGAGACCGACCCTGAAGACGACGCCGTTCTCGCCGTTCTCGACGGTGAACGACTTGACCGGCGGATTCGGGACGGCAGAGGACGTCGAGGCGCCGTTGGGGAAGACGATGGCCGTCGTGGCACGGCGTTGTCGGTTGAAGGGGTCGATGCCGACGAGTTCGCGTCGTTTCGCCGCCTTCTCCGACTCGTTGATCACCTTGTCGTACTTCTGGAAAATCAGTTCGTTAAAGATTATGGACAGTAATTTCTCAAAGGATCTTATAGCCCACCTCAAACCGCAAAGTCTCATATTCGCGACTGAAGCCGCTGGCAGCTTCTTTTCGTGCATCGGCGGCTTTTGCTCGGAGAATCTTGAAAATAGTCAGCTGAATTTTTTGAAAAGCTCTCTTTTTTCCAATAAATATACTTGTTCCTCTAACTTGACTTGAATTTTGCAAATAACTATAAAAAAACATATAAATCTTGAATTTGGACAATATTGAGCTGATCGTGGCGAGAAAATTTCTTCCAATGTTGTGCTGATCCTTTAAATTTCAAATTTTCGGGTTTTTTCTGAACGCTTATAGCCAAAAAAAGATATTTTTAAAGGTTTAATGATCAACTTTTTGAATTTTAGATATCTGACACTTCTTTTAAACATTGTCAAGTTCTTAATTGCCCTTCTTTTTCTTCAAAATTTCCTCCAAACCTTCTCCTCCTGACTCGAAAGATGCTCGGCCCTCGTAGGCGTCGGAGACTTGTTCAGTCGATTCTCCAAGGTCGCGATTTCCGAGGGATCCAGACGGCCAGTTTTCGACTGTTTCTTGTCGTACATTTCCCGGAGATTTTCCTTTTGTTTCTCACCCGAGACAATTTTCTTGACCTAAACTTTGAAAACTTGTTGTCCCGGTTCTTTTCTCGTTAAATTTACCTTTTCAACAAGATCCGGGTTCAACTTCTCAATCTTGGAGGGACTCGTCTCGGGCATTCTTTCCAAACGGATTTCAGTTTTGATTCGCGTTAATCGTTCCTCGTGTCGCTGCTGTTCGTCCTAAAGGAAGAGAATATGAAAAAAACTGCTCTAGATTAACTGGTGTAGGTCAAGATTGGGGACCTCATAACTTTTCGTCTAATCATCATTCTCATCTATTTTTCCGAGTAAAAAGAGTGAAAAGGACAAGTAAAAGTCCCTCGGGCAAAGCCGGAATGGTGGATGATGGCCGTTAAAAGGGAGAGGCTCAAAAAAGGCAGCAAAGAGTGTCCCTTTATCGAGTCTTCGATTATTCTAGGATTCCAGAGGATCAAGGAATGGTGGAAAAAGGGAGAGGCGTCAAAAATGGTTCACAAAAGCCGATGAAATGGCACAAAAAGAAAAAAAGGAACATTTGTCACAAAAAAGTCATCCAGTCATCCATTTCTTTCAAATTTGGTGCATTTTTCTCCAAATACTTCGAAGGGACACGTTTTTCAATACGAAACTAGGAGTTTGCGCAGCTTGAAACTTCCTAAATCTTCTTTTTCGATACCTCATGATATTTTATAGCCAAGTTTCAGACGTTGAAATGAAAAAATCTCTTTTGTTGACCTTGAAATCACATCACTATCCCCTAGAAACTCACCACAGCTTGCGAAACGATGAGCGCATCATCAAAGGATCGGCCGAACAAAGAGGCGCTCAGTTCGGCGATGGCGCCGCTCTTTTTCGCGTTGACCGTGATTTTGAGCTGCAGAGATTGATAATTTGCATCTATCCTCAGATTGCTGTTTTACCGGCTCGATGATCCTCCTTTTGAGAGAATGGGCTCTGGGAGTGATGAGACATCTGGCGACGGCCGATCCGTCTTTCCGGATCGCCTCGACGATCGCCGACACGTAGGAAAACTTGCGGGGTCGGCTCAAGTTGGGCCAGTACTTGGAGGTACACGGGGAAAGGACGTCCAAAGATTCTTCGATCGTTTCGAAAACTTTCTGAGAGTCACTAATATTTATTCTGTACAAAATCTTTTTTTTTAGAGCTTTCCGTTGAGATTTTACCACTTTACTTGGACTAGCACTAGTTTTTGAAGAAACACAGAAACCAAATTTTCTAGAACCAAAAATTTGAAATTTTTTTGTCCATTTTTTTCCTGTTTTCATCATAACGTTTTGCTTGTATTTTTATTGAATATCGGGTTTTTTGAAAAGAATCTTTGATTTTCTACCTTTAGGAAGTCAAAAACTAGTTTCAATCACCACAAAACAACTTTGTTTCATAAAATGCCTAAATAAACTACGAATAAAATTTTCAAGCTTTTCCGATTTTTTCCCCTTTTTTTTATTACCCACTTCGACCCTCTGAACGTTCTCCATCGACAAAACTTCTTGTAAGTCCAAAAGATCTGGTCGAAATTTGGCGACGAGTGCGGCAAGTACACGGCCATCACGTAAACTGCAAAAGCATCAGATTGAAAATTAGTTTTAGGCTGAAAATTCAACCTCAAGTCAAAATCAAAGACTTTGAGTTTGTGGCCAGCGAGGGCCGCTTGAACGAATCGCAGCACTTCGTACATTGCAATGAGATCTGATGGATCCTCATGGGCACTGGTAGTTCGGTTGAGAGGAACCCTATCCGCGGCGGAAGCTGGAAATTAAAACTTCATCTCTCTGTGACTTAAAAATGAAGTGAAAAATGCAAATTTTAATGAAAGTTAGAAGTCTTGAAGTGAAAAGGAATGCTTTGAAGGCCAAATCCCCAAAATTGTGAAGTGATTTTCAGTTCTAGATTTGATAACCTCGATATTTGTATCAAATATCTCGGTTAATATGACAATTTTTTGATTAACTACCTGGCCGCGGATTATCAGAGCAAATAATGTCGACGACGTCCGCCGGCTGCAGAGTCATCTCCAGGGAGACGTATCGAGTTCGTGGATCAATCGTGTACTGAAAAAATTGTCGTAAACAAGGTCTATTCACACGAAATTGCTTGAAAACGGAGGCCACTCCACGCTAGGTTGTCACTTCTTTTCTACATTTTTTGACATGAAGCTTAAAGGCGCACCCGACTTGAAACGACTTTCGCACTAACACGTAGAAAAATACCAGAACTTGCTCTCGCTTCAGAAAAAGTTCTTTTTTTCCAATGGTTTTCAAAAATAAGATAACGCAGATAAGGAAGACATCAGTAGACTTATGACCAAAGTGGTCCCTAGAGGAGTTATGAGAAAAACAGCTCTCCTATGGGGACAAAATAGCGATCCCTTGAGGAGTCGAACTTACGAGGTCCCTATAGAGGTTTAAAATCTGACCTCTAAGCCCCTATAGTGTAGAGTTCTCAAAACCAAACGTTCGAACGAACGTTCGACCAAACATTTTTCGAACAAATGTTGAAACCAAACTTTTGGTTCAAGTTTGCTTTTGAACGTTCAACCAAAATGAACGTTCATTTTTCCGTTCGTAAAAAAAGTTCGTTCAAAAAAATGAACGTTCATTTTTTTCATTTTCAAAAAGTTCGTTCAAAAAAATGAACGTTCATTTTTTTCATTTTCAAAAAGTTCGTTCAAAAAAATGAACGTTCATTTTTTTCATTTTCCAAAAAAAGTTCGTTCAAAAAAATGAACGTTCATTTTTTTCGTTCGTAAAAAGTTCGTTCAAAAAAACGAACGTTCATTTTTTTCATTTTAAAAAGTTCGTTCAAAAAAATGAACGTTCATTTTTTTCGTTCGTAAAAAGTTTGTTCAAAAAAACGAACGTTCATTTTTTTCGTTCGTAAAAAGTTCGTTCAAAAAAACGGACGTTCGTTTTTTTCATTTTAAAAAGTTCGTTCAAAAAAACGAACGTTCGTTTTTTTATGTGAACGTTCATTTTCTGTTCGATTTTTAATTGCAAAATGTAATAAAATTAAAAAAAGTTTCCTGGCTCCGAAACTGACTGCGCAATATTGACCGGACACCGGCCGCTGTGGTACTGTCTCAAACATGCGAGCCAGCACGAATGTCAAAAAACAAACGGCATGCCAGCGCGCATACATCCGTTTAGAGAGAATTGTAAACTTGGAGTGACCAGACTCGTACTCTCCCCGCTCTCCACACTGTCGAGGATCTGCGCGCTGGCATGCTAATTTCAACAGAAAAACGGTCTGCCATTTTTTTCTTCTGAGTGTCTTCCTCTGCCAATAATTCATTTCGAGTTAAATCGCACACCGCTACTCCCTGACATCATCCCTATGACGTCATCGTGGCTTGGCGATTCGCACACGCAGCCATATTATTTGATTTATTTTTCACGTTTTAAATTTATAAAATTAGATTCGACTCGAAAAAATTTTCATATTATTTCAGGCTCTTCCCATTCTTCAATTTTTTCGGCGTACTTTCAACCCAATCCATTCTTTCCGAATCGAATCCGAATCGGCCATTCAACCGAACCCATTCTTTCCGAATCGGTTAATTATCAATCCGAATCGGATATTTTCAACCGAACCCTAGAAAATTTCCAAATATTCTTCCGAATCGGGCGTTCAATCCGAATCGGTCAAAAAAAAATGAAACCAATTTTATTCAAATTTTTCTTTCTTTACTATTTATTTTCATTTAAACTCACTGTATATTCAGAAATTTAATATGATCTGGGAGAGATAAACGGAGTACAGCCAAAAGCCTATCAAAAACTTGAGTGTGTGCAATATCTTCACAAAGCTGAAGACTTCTCATTGCTACAGATCATTTTTTTCGGCTTTTTTTCCTCAATTTTTTTCTCGCCCATAGCCGACTTTCAGCTTTGCCCTTGACTATTTAGATACATCTGTCCAGATCACTTTTTTTTCAACATTTTTTGATTTTAACCCAAGTTTGAATTTGAAAGTATCTGGTCTATGACTTCTTTTAGGGTCGTCTGAGAGTAGAAATGAAGTCGCTACAGATACTGCCAAGTTTCCTGATCTTGGCATGACTTTTCAGATTTTCCAGACATTTTTTTAATTATTTCTTTTTTTCAGCCAGTCAATTATTTCGCTGTTTTTAGGCACAAATATTATCGACTGAGCTGGATGCAAGAGTTTTTCAAACTTCATCGAATTGGAAGTCCAAATTTGTAGTCGAAGGAGTGGATAGAACTGTCTGACGGTCCTTCACGAAGCTCGTGCTCTAGTTCAAATCCTTGAAATGAAAGAAATCACTTCAAGGGAAGATTTTTATAAAAAGAGCTGATCTTTTCGCCTTTTTTTCTATCTTTTTCTAGGAACAGAACTTTCAGTTCATTTGTTAAAACTGTTCTAACTAAATATAATTTATAGTTTAAACTCAGGTTTTTTTCTATTTATAACTTTTTGAAAAATATCGCCAAGTTTTTTTTGTTTTCTTTTAAGTTGTCAGATGGCGATTCTACTGTAAACTTCTGAACATTTTCGGAATTGACGGTGACAGTCACTTGAAAATAGCTTCGAGAGGTTTTCCTAATAAATAATCTTGACTAAAACTAGTTCTCAGTCGTTGCTTACATAGCGCTATATATAGAAAAAAATCTGCGGACTTATTAGTAAGAATTTTTTTCGAATTGTTCACTACGAAATTCATTCCGAATTCAGAGCGTTTTGCAAAAACAAGAGTTGCAGACGGTCACGCGGAAGTCTCAAGCAGAATTCAAGTATAGGTCATTCCGCGCCAGCTTGTCACGATTTTTAATTTTCCTCGGAGCTACAGAACTCCCTTTTCGGCGCTTCGCTTCAATGCTCTCGGTGTTCCCCCTTGCGTGCGCCTTTAATAAAATATTATTTCTGATTAAGATATTGCTTCAATTTCCTCTCACTCTTCTATTAATTTACGAGGTTGTTTTCGATGGATTGATTTCATTTTTCGCTTGGACTATACACACTCAGATTCTGTGCTGGATTTGTAAGAAAAAAAGAAAAATCAAAAAGATTGAATTACTACTTTTTTTAATTGTTATTAATGAAACCGGCTGTTCGAGCTTTTTCTTGCATATAGTTTTTTTGGGTTAATGTGATATAAAATTTGATGTTACAACTGTTTTTTTGTAGAATAGGAAAAATTCCAAAGTTCCAAAAATAATGAGTTTTATTAAAGGCGCACGCAAGGGGGCACACCGAGAGCATCGAAGCGAAGCGCCGAAAAGGCTTCTCTAGCTCCAAATAAACTGGAAATCGTGACAAGCTGGCGCGGAATGACCTATATTTTATACCGAACTTCACTGGTTTCATCCGAAACGAGCGGAACAAAAAAAAAATTACAGCCCAATTGCATTGACTTTATCAATCGATTTCAAACTAAAATTTAAAGTCGTTATCACGCAATATTTCTTCCGAAATGATATTTAATTTCGGTATAATCCGACGTTCATGCTGAAAAATCAAACATGTTGGTAACGTCGGATTATTCCTTAATTTCCATGAAACTTGATAGGGAAATGAAATGAAAAAAATTTTTAAATGACGAAAAACCGATTAAAAAAATTTTTTTGGGCCTAAAATTTTTTTCTTGAAAAAGATGTGAAACCTGCGAATAAATATAAGAAAAAAAGAATGACTATAGCAAAAATACTAATATTAAGCAAAGTCTATAAGTGATGAAACTATACAGAAAAACACAAGAATTGAAAAAGAAACATTGAAGAAAAAAACAACTAAAAAAACGTAATTTAAGCAGGCGCCAAGAGTTTTGGCGCGCTATCTCATCGCTTTGGGACCCTATGTTCCCGTACACTTGGATAATTGCCAGTTTTTCGAAAAATCCATTGCCAAAAAAATAAGTTTCTGGCGGGTTTTTTTCTCTGCTCTTTTTTGCTTTTTTCATTTTGACTTTTTACATTTAGTGTTAGTTCTCTACAGTCAAATTACTTGAAATTATCGACGCTAAATCTCAATTTTTTGAAAAAAAAAATCTGGCCTAAAATTTCGCTGATTTTACTTTGTGTTTTATATTTTTTATTCAGGTTTTCCAACAACTGATATTCTACAATGAGAAGAATTAATGTTTTAAAGTTCGTATTGAACTTTTTTTTTCACTTTTCTCCAAAAAACAAAATTTAGGCCCAAAAAGTTGAATTTTTTACATCAATTTTTCATGTCAATTAAGCCTTTCAAAGTTTGAGTTATAATATCGTGAAAAGGAGTGCCGTGTCTTTATGCCGCTCTCAAAGTGATTCTAGCAAGAAGACCGGCAAAAGGAAAATAAACGAAAATTTTTAAGAAATCATTTTGCTAAATTACTTTGAATGATAATTCACGCCAAAATTTGTTTTTCTTTTGAAATTTGTTTTAAATATGTGGAATTTGATCGCACTGATTTTCACTCATTCTCAAGGCTGTAGGAAAAGTATATCAATGGTTTTCGAGAGAGCTTCCAGAGACTTTTGGACCTCCTCAGACCCCTTTAACACAGTCTTTTTTTTAAAAATTTGCCTCAAAAATCCAATTGATAAAGTCAATGAACTTGAGCTTTGATTTTTCTCGTTCCTCATGTTTCGGATGAAACTCGGAAGAAAAACAGCTAGATGGGTTCTCGAATGGGTGAATTCTGCTTGAGATTGGCCTTCCGCGTGACCGTCTGCAAATCTTGTTTCGCATAACACTCTGAACTCTGCATGTACTAATCTTAGACTGTGTAACGATCTGAAAGAGATAAGATTTCTTCTGGCGACGCGTTTTGAATTATTGGAAAATTTGGAATTTAAAAAAAAATGAAATCAATACTAACAAGTCGCTAGCAGATTTTCTTACATTCTGAATAATTGCAACGACTGAGAATTAGTATTAGTCAAGCTCATTTATTAGGTGAATCTCGCTGAGCTTTTTTCTTAAATCATTATCACCCGCGCTAATGCGAAACCTGTTCAGAAATTGACAGTAGAAACATATCTAGAAAAAAACTTGGCAATTATTTTAAAAAAAGTTCCAGCCAGAAAAAAACCTGAGATTAAACTAAAAATTTCTAATTTTTTTGAGATTTGACCTGTAACACGATCTCCGCGCTCCAATTCCAAAAATTAATCAAATTTTTGAACTCGTCATAGCGCAACTGGTGAACTACGCTCAGAAGAATGAACCGCAGGAACGTCAGAAAATGCTTTCAACTCCTTGAACTACAAATTTGCACTTCCAATTCGCCAGAGACGATTTTGAATGGGGCTTCAAAAGCTCTTGAATCCAGCTCAGTCGATAATATCTGTGACTAAAACAGAGAAACAATTGACTGACTGAAAAAAAGAAATAATTAAAAAAATGTTTGGAAAAATCTGAAAAAGTCATGCCAAGATCAGGAAACTTGGCAGTATCTGTGGCGACTTCATTTCTACTCTCAGACGACCCTAAAAGAAGTCATAGACCAGATACTTTCAAATTCAAACTTGGGTTAAAATCAAAAAAAAATGTTGAAAAAAGTGATCTGGACAGATGTATCTAAATAGTCAAGGGCAAAGCTGAAAGTCGGCTATGGGCGAGAAAAATTGAGGAAAAAGCCGAAAAATGATCTGTAGCAATGAGAAGTCTTCAGCTTTGTGAAGATATTGCACACACTCAAGTTTTGATAGGCTTTGGCTGTACTCCGTTTATCTCTCCCAGATCATATTAAATTTCTGAATATACAGTGAGTTTAAATGAAAAATAAATAGTAAAGAAAGAAAAAAATTTGAATAAAATTGGTTTCATTGACCGATTCGGATTGAACGCCCGATTCGGAAGAATATTTGGAAATTTTCTAGGGTTCGGTTGAAAAATATCCGATTCGGATTGATAATTAACCGATTCGGAAAGAATGGGTTCGGTTGAATGGCCGATTCGGATTCGATTCGGAAAGAATGGATTCAGTTGAAAGTAGGCCATTTTTTTCACGTAAATAAAAATAATTATATAGCCAAATATTTAGATTACGCTTATTTCTTGTGTTTCGAATGATGTCATAGTGACGTCAGGGAGTAGCGGTTTGCGATTAATAGATGATTCACGGCTAACTTGGGACGCAAAAAAGGCGTGGCATGTCTGCACTCTCCACCAACTAGGGCACTGTCTCGTCTCTATTCGTGGCAGGACCCTTTTCGCGATGGCTCAAGCCAGCCGTGAATCAGCTATAACGAAAACTCAATATATCATGTTCCATGTCGTAATTATAAGAATATTCGCTGGAAATTCGAAAGTACGTTCAAAATGAACGTTCATTCTCGATCGCGAGTTTGTTCAAAAATGAACGTTCATTTTCCGCTCGTGAAAAGTTCGTTTAAAAAATGAACGTTCATTTTTCATTTTAAAAAAGTTCGTTCAAAAAATGAACGTTCATTTTTCATTTTAAAAAAGTTCGTTCAAAAAATGAACGTTCATTTTTCATTTCCAAAAAGTTCGTTCAAAAAATGAACGCTCATTTTTCATTTTAAAAAAGTTCGTTCAAAAAATGAACGTTCATTTTTCATTTTCAAAAAGTTCGTTCAAAAAAATGAACGTTCATTTTTTTCATTTCCAAAAAGTTCGTTTAAAAAAATGAACGTTCATTTTTTTCGCTCGTGAAAAAGTTCGTTCAAAAAAAGTGAACGTTCATTTTTCCATTTCAAAAACAGTTCGTTCAAAAAAACGAACGTCCGTTTTTTTATGTGAAAAAGCAAACGTTCATTATTATAAGAAAACGATTTTTCGAACTTTTTGGTTGAACGTTTGAAAAATGATATATCCTAAACTATCGAAAAAAATGAAAAAAAGTTCATTTTTTTCAAACGGTCATTTTTTGAACGTTCGGTTTTGAGAACTCTACTATAGTGGTCATTCAATTACAAAAAATATCAATACCGAAAAATGTTTCCCAGAATGGCCCCTTTTGCAAGCTCTAGGCAAGGTAACTGGTCCTAGAGGGGAACCTTAAGGTAGCCCCTCCAGTGATCACTCCAGCGTTTTTGATTCTCAATTCAAATGGAAATATTCTGCTAACAAAAACAAGTCGAGTAAGGCTCTAAAATATCTTCAAACATGTCGTTTTCAATCAAAGTGGTCTACCTTGCTCAAAGCCTTGTGCATGTTGTCCTTGGTGGTTTGGGCGAGGAGACGGTAGATGCTCTCCCGTTCGGCGAGAACCTCGAGCAGTCCACGCTTGCCGAGGCCAAACTCTCGGATGAGCCAGGCCGTGTCGAGGACGCCCAGGAACCCGCGGGCACATCCAGAGCCCGTCGGCCAGAATGGCTGAACGGTTTCCGGTTCATTTTTATCACCAAGAAAAACTGATCTACCTCATGCAACGAGTCGCCGACAATCCCAACGAGCAGACTTTTTCCGCGACTCTCCCAGATTCGGACGGCGCATCTTGAGGAGAACAAAGACGTGAAATCGAACATGGCAATGTCGGGATGACCTCGGTGGTTCTTGGCAAACTCCAGCAAGGGAAGCTTTTCTGAATAATCATTCTTACAGATGTTTTGACAGTTTGAAGAAGCCTTTTTCCACATTCATAGGAGCAGTTAATTGAAAGTTCTCTATTCAGGTCAATCGCCTACAATGAAGTACAGTACCCTATTCATTTCATTAAATTTTCGCTTTAATAATTTTCTCCCTTTTCCCTTACAGTGACAAATTCGATGGTCTACGGCTATTGCAAAAATGAAACTGCATGGTTTTTACTATCGTCCTACCTTTAAAAAGTCCAATTTCTGCTTGGAAACAGCCCGACAGCTTCAAGCATGAGCTTCTTTAAAGTGGAGAAAAAAAGCTTTTGAACTTAAATTTCAGCCAGAACTGTTAAACTTTTACTTTTTTCCTATGGAGTACAGTAACCATTTTTTCCAAATAATCGCCCCAATCTCTAATTTCCCTTCTCTTTCTTCACAGCTATGAGTTCGACAGTCTCCTTTTAATAATATGATTATATTTGCTTGAATAAAACTGCCTGGTTTTCCCTATTTCCGTACAGAACCAGTACTAGATTCAACTTCAAGGCAGGTTTTTTTCAAGTTAAGAAAAAATTATATTAAAATTAAATTCTCATTAAAAATATTCTTTAGTTGTCCCTTGTCCTTCCTATTCAACCTAATCGCCTCCAATGGGGGTACAGTAACCTTTTTTTCAAAATTTCGTTCTAATCTCCAATTTTCTAACCATCAGTGGCGAACTCGGCGGCCGACTGTGCATAATTGGCGAGGGCGTCTCGATTCACGTTTTCCGGCGACAGAAGAAGGCCGACGTCTTCGTGATCCTTCTTGATGACGCCCAATTGCAGAAGGCTTTGCTTTTTTGCCGTCATCACGAAATAATGAGTTTCATCCTTTAAAGCCATCATTCAGAATGTCGTTTTTGAAAAGGAACATCATTTTACTTTACGGTGTCGAAAAATTATCGAAAGGTCCTAAAAATCTGGACTTGCGAAAAAATTCTAGTTTTTAAGAAAAAAAGGGCTCGATCTCTAAAATATTCCACTCAGCCAGTTATCCATGAATTTCCATTTGTCGAGATTTTGAGCTTTCTCATAAATCTGGCAAACTTCCAGGTAAGTTCAAAAAGTTCAAGGTAGAGTAGAGTCCGTTCGCCACGGCTTGAAAGTTTTCGACTATCTGCGTCTCTGTTCTCTCTCCGGCGAGGTTAGAGAGAAATGAAAATACCTAATTAAGACGAGAGACGAAGAGAGCGCAGATAAGTCCTTTCAAGTCGCGAAAAACAGACTTATTGTTAACAGGAAAAAAAGAAACCTTATAATACACAATGTTCTCCAAGTCGACACCCGTCGCTCCTTTCATTCGCTTGAAGAATTCCTGGTTGAAAATGTAGGCGACACCGCTGTAAAATAAAATGTAAAATAGCTTTACTTCATCCATGATAAGATGGGTGAGGGTGACGCGTTGCGTATGCGACGCGGTTTTCCAGCGGGGAACTCGAGCTACCATTTTTCGACAAAAAGTCGCGCCGCATATGTACTTTGGACATAGGTTGGCTGGATCCCATCGCAGGATTTTGGGCGGAAAACGAAAATTTGAAAAAAATACTGAAATCGGCCGCAATTCGTTTACCCCACTAGTGGATCCAGCCGAAGCATTTTGAAGAAATTGTGGGAAGAATAGAGAGAAAATCGTTCTAAGTACTAAATGAAAACTACAATTTTGGGTAATCTCACTTTTGACGTCACATTTTCAGCTCCTAATGGTGACTAAGAGCTGAAAAAGTTTTCTTGAATTTTTACAGCTCATATGCCTTCGAGATCACGTAGCATTGAAGGGGAAGTTCAAATTTAGGTGGTTTAAATTATAACGTCACATTTTCAGCTTTTAATAGGAAGAACAAGCTTCACCAAACATTTAGGGTCAAAAAAGGTGAAAGGTATCAAAATTAAAGGCTATTGATAGTAGATAATGATATTCACAATCCCCATGGCAATATCTAACTACACATATATCTATCTGAAAACGCTAATGAATAACTTTTTTTAAAAATATTTTTCACAGCTTTCAAAATTCTTTTTTTCCTGGAAACCAGTTGAAATTCGAACCTTATTTCAGGAACCCTCTCCTCGGCCGCCGTTTTTTTCGATTCACGAAATTGGCCGTAATCCCGATGGCCAATCTTCCACGCATTTCATTGCGTGGGAATCCTGGGAAATTTCAGAGTTCAATGGGATCATTATTCGATGAATATTTGAAAAAAAAATTTTTTTTTATCCTTTTTTTCTCGAAAAATCTGCCAATCTTAAGAATTTCAATTTCTATAGGGGTTCGGCAGGGAAAAAGCCCCAACGGTATCCGAAAAAGTGGTCCCTAGGGGTAGAGGTAAAATCAAGGTGGACCCTAGGGGTTTAGGGTCTGACCATTTCTGGAAAACCAAGTTTATTAGGCAAGATAAAATGCAATTATTAAGTGATTGTCGAGTGAGAGAGACAAATTCAATTGTATTTTTTCTCAACATGAATGTTAGGTTATTGTTACAAACGGTATCATACAAGTTAGAATTTACAAACATTCACAAGAAAACTTTGACAAGTGTGTTAGAATGGAAAGTCGGCTGCTCGGTTTTCGCCCCTATAGCTTAAGGGGTCCCTATCGGAGTCGTTCAAATTTATTCGAAAAAGGTTCTTTTTTTAGTTTTTCGCATATAATTCATAAAAATTATCGACTAGCATGTCCCCTATAGAAGCCACTAACTAAAAGGCCTATAGGGACCACTTTTGCAAGCTCCAAGGTTCAATAAAGTTGCCCCTCTGGAGTTCCCAAGATTGAATTCGAAAAACTGTCTGAGGAATATTAGAAAAAGAACAAAATTCTAAATCAAGTCAGAAATTCTTAGGAACAAGATGAATGGGTCAAACGTTCAAAAAATGAAGAGAAAAGCTTCGGATATTTAAAAAAAAAGACCAAGCTCAAAAAAAGTTGTTAAAAAAATCTTGGAATTTTTTTGGAGGGATTACTGAAAAAAAGTTCATTACAAGTTCGAAAAAAAGATTTGATAAAAAAATGAAGGTAAAAACAAACAAAAAAAAAGCAACTTATAAATTTTTCAAACTCACCCTGTATTGTATTGCGTTTCCCATCGGCCCCAATCAATACATCGATATCAAATTCGGATAAAATATGTCCGGCCGGCTCTAAAAGTGCTCGGAAACCCGTAGTCCCTCCTAAAAGATTTAATTGAATTTTTTATTCTCTGAAATTGGATTACCTTTCTCATCATCACCAGGGGGCTTAATCTTGACAAAACTGACAGATTCGTGGACCTGCACCCCGAACATCAGGGCCGTCTTCATCAAAGAGCATTGTAACTGTCGGATGCCTATTAAATCCTTTTTTGAAATTTAGATTTCACAAAACGTTTTCAGAAACAAAACTCGAACAAAGTTAAACTTGAACCTAACCCTTCGTAGAGCTTAAATAAGACTTTTTTTAAAAGATTAAAACAGAAAAACGCACTAATGTGTTCGATGCTGCCGGCGCAAAACTTAGGGTAGAAAATTTTGGCGCCGAGGCTTTTCAAGTCGTGAATGACAAACTCCCACAAATGCAGGACGTTGTTTCGGCTGAAAATACACTATTAACCTCTATAAAAATCTGAAAGGGCAAAGGTACCTGAATTTATCCCGTTCTTCTACCACGCAAACTCTGGCGCCAAGTAGTGCGAGTTCGATTGCAGAACGAAGGCCACAGGGTCCTCAAAAGATTCCATTTTCTCGATTTCTTTCGGGAAAAATTAAAAAACCTGCCCCAACGACCAGAGCGTTGATCTTCTCGCAGGCTCTCTGTTTCCCGTAGACCGGGTTGTCGACTTTTTTATCAAGTAATTTCCATAGTTTCTGCGCCTTCCAGTAGGAAAATTGTCGTAGTCTAAATAAATAATTTTAATTTTTGAAAAAAAGGTGAAACGAAGCCTCATGAACTGAGATAAACCGGGAATTGAATGTTTAAGGTTTAATATTTTTGCCGAAAAAAAGAGGCCCAATTTTGAAGTTTTCAAAAATTTTTCACAGAAAAGGGTTTCGATAAAAAAAGAGATTTTAAGAAATGAAAAACTTACAAATTTGATAAGAAAACTTTTTTTAAAAAAAGTTTCAAAACGAACCCCGAGTAAACATTTTCTGCCATCGCTCGGGTTGATCTCGAGTGCCGTACACAACTGATTAAACGTGGAGAGGATGGATTTGAAGGTGGCGGCGGCGACGAAAGAGTCGAATAGCGACTCGACGTCCATCCCCATCGCCATCCTCCGATCCAACCCGTGGGTTTTCTCACCCTTTTTCGAGGTTTCCCGATGTTCCTGAAACGAGGAAGTATTTGAAAATTGCAAGATTCGTCAGCTAAAAGCATTTCAAAACGCGAAAAAGAGGCAAAGATACAATGGAAATAAAAATGCCAGATATAGACTGATAGTACAAAAAAATTTTTGCTCCTAGATCCTTGCCAACTACAAAAATAAGACGAAGAATACCTAGGCTCAATGAAAACAAACATATATTTGAACGTATCGAAGGGGTCAGCCGAGGTTTTTCAAACTGACGAAGGACAATATTTGAAACGAATATTCTCAAATGTCAACAACTGTCCTCCTCAAAAACACAACGCCGAGCAAATATGACCACTTAAATGGCGCATTTACCAGTTCCATTTTGTTTTCTGCAGTATAGCGGAAAAAAGGTTTTTTTTTGAGATAGAGAAAAAAGGTTTTTTTTGAGATAGTTTGTAAGAGTGAAACAAGGTGTAAATAAGAAAACTGAAAAAATTAATAAAACGATTAAAACTTTTTTGATAAAAATATTACTGTAGTCAAAGGTACGTGACAAAACGTGTCTGCGGTCATGCAGTATATCTGACGAGAGTTTCAAAAATCGAACATTTTTCTTTCTTTTTTTAAATCAAATCTGTCTAAATAAAATAGAGTCGAGTCTTGTTTATGTGATCGAATAGAGGATTAGTGAAATTCATCAAATTTTGAAGAAGTTTGGGTCCTTGAGCTGCTTAACTTTTAATTCTTTGAATATTTTCATTCCGAATTGAATTAAATAATTTTCAAGAAGAAAGAAAAAGCCTCCGAGGTCCAATAGGGTCACTTTTTGGTTCAAAAAACCAGTTCAAAACGGGGAAAGAGGGTTGCAAAACGGTTTTCAAGGGCAAGACAATACAGCGGTCGGAAGAAAATGAGAAGAGAACGTAGTAGTGAAGTGAGTGGGCGAGTGAGCCACTGGCCTGGCCCATAAATTGACGAGTCGCCGGCCGCTCATCTGGCGCTTGGGCGGCAGGCTGCGCAAAGCGTGGAAAGGAGACAAAATAAAAGGAAAAGTGAGCCCGGGAGCAGTGTTGTTGGTCAATTATGGACTTGAAATAGGACCTCTTTTCGCGCGCAAAATTTTGGAGAAGTAAGATTTCTATGAAAAATCCCATAACTTTCCAAAAGGGCAATGGCTGATTTTGTAGAGGTCCTGAAGCAAACTGAGAAAATTCTGTGCCTTTAAAAATCCCAGAAATCTATTAAAAAAAAAGATTAAGTCGATTATAACTTCATGATTTTAAGGCTGAAAAAAGCTCTGCGTTTCTTCTTTAAACATTCCTATCTTTGGATGAAATCAAGAAAAAAGAAGTGGATTTGAATTTCGAGGTTGAAAAAAACGATCGAGTAAACGAAAAAAAAAAAACACGTTTTGGGGTTTTTGTAGGCGAAATGTAGTTTTTTGGTGTGGAAACGTCGAATTTTCAAGGATTTTTAGCCTTTTTCAAATTCAACGCTTCTGGAAGTACAGGAAGTTCTCTCAAAACAATCTCAGGACATTTTCAAAAAAACTACACAAAGTCGAGATGTATGCCACTTTCTCAAAGAACTCATTTGCTAGAGAAAGACCAAAAGGAACCAAAAAAGATGCCAAAAAACCAGAGATTGACAACTACAGGTCATAACTAACGATTGACGACCCCAGATGACCTTCACTTTGCGCGAAAGATAAAAAAAAGTGGAAATATATATAACGGCGGGAAACGAACGTCGCGAAAACGTTTCTCTTTCGCGCCTCCTGCCTCAAATCGACCAATATCCCAACCAGTTGGACCAGTGAGATCAGCCGTTGATCCGACTACAAATTATAATAACAGCCAAGCTTCCCACTGTACAACTTTTACGGTTGAAAATATGGTTTCTGGAAGCTCAAAAAAATAATTCACTGATTACAAAAGGATTTTTCAACTCCCAAGTGTCTGCAAAACCGAGTCTAGACAAAAAAAAATTTTTTTTTCAAATATTTAAAAAAATTGGTCCGCACTTGGAATGACTTATCCTATTGCAGTCGAGCTGCTGTTCAAAAAAATCACTTTTTGGATGAGTTGAAACTTCAAAAATATAAGTTTTCCCGTAGACCAAGAATAACTGCATAATTTGAATTCATTTTTTTCTCGTAATATCTGAATTTTCTACCAAAAAAAATTCTACAAAACTCTTATAAGTTAACCTTCACTTTTAAAATCTATTTTCTCTAAGAGTTAATTTTAAATGAATCTTTTTAAATCATGGAACATGGAAAAATCCGAAAAAAAAAACGGTAAGAATTCGAACGAAACCTTCAGGAAGACTTAACCAAAACGGACGGAGCAAAACGGCGTGACGTGCTTATCAGCCTTTTCTTATCAGAGAAAATCGTGAGCGATAATAAATTTGAAACAAAAGACGATCAAAACTTCAATTTGAAAGGTAAACAAACAGAAATTGAGCCGGAAGTGTAAATTGGAAAAAGAAACGTATTGAAAACTAAAATGCGACAAGTTTTTGAAGTTGAAAAAAATGCAGAAATTTCTGTTATTTTTCTTGTACAAATTCGTCATTTCTTGGATGGGCCACAAGAAATGGCTCAATTTCACTATACGACTTGCTGAATATATACAAATAATTCCGGGCAATTCAAAGCATTCGGTCAAAAATAATTTGAAAACAAAATTTTAGTAGATTCGCAAAATTTTTTTTGCCTCATGGGGAATGGCTCAATGCGTTGCGGTTGTTACGAATTTGCACCCGACCATAAAACGACTTTGATACTTATTTGAGGCGCAGCGAGACCGCGACGCTTTGAACCATTGTCCAAAAGCTTCTCATTTAAAAATAATGGGTTGTAATAAACTTATCGAGCTCAAGATTCTTTCAAATTTCCATAGTTTCAAGGCATCGAGATCAAAAATTCACGAAAATCAATTTTAAATGCTTCAACTTTCAATAACCGAACTTCAACGCAAGAGGAAAAACAGCCGAAATTGGTACTGTTCTAACCAGAAAAACTCCAGAAAACCAGACAAAACCTATATAAATCCGAGGAAAGAGTTGGAATCGAGAAGAAAACTTCCAAGTGGCCACGCCGACGTTGTGCAAAGCAAACAATGGCTAGAAGAACGGCATTGAGACGCTTTAACCAATCGACGTGAAGAAGATAAAACGAGAGGTTTCAGACAGGATGCTACTACTTTTTTTAAGTATATCCACCTTCCTATGAAAAAAAGAAAAAAAGCGGTTTTAAAAAAAGTCAAAAGATAAAAATTTCGAGTTTATAGAATCTTTTAAATGACCATTTGCCCCTACAAAAACTTATAAAAACGACTAAAATTCTTGGTCCTGATGAAACTTCTGAATTCATTTTTTTCTTCTTTCGACTTGCTGGAACGTCTCAAAATCATACAATTCAAAAAAAAAGAGTCCTTTCTCGATGGAGCGCACTTATCGCGTCAAAAAATTCCAAAAAGTGAAATTGTGAAGGAATGATGAATTTCAGTGGAACCGCCAAAAACGAAGCCACTTTTTTCATAATGAATAGGGGAGAAGCCGTCGGGCTGTAAGAGCCGGCCATTCCGGTTGTTGATATAAGCTCATCGGTAAATAGGCCGGTAGGTAGGTGGGCATAGGCAGAAGCTTCTGCGCGCAAAACGGTCAACAGGGGCGAAAGACGTGTGGATGGAGATAACGGAGCTGATCGAGAGAAAAAAAATAGCCTTTCAAAAATATTTTCAAATCCGATTTCGCACTTCCAGTCCCATCATGAAACCTTAAAAAATGAGAAAAAAGATTTGAATTTCTAAAATCGCTCTAACTGGAAAGGTCGCTTTCAGAATGGTTCAGTACGTGAAGGATGAATATTATATCGAACCCAATCAATAGGAGATTTAAATTTTCAGTCTATTTACAAAAAGAACCTAACTTATAGCGATAATTTTCAACCCAAAAATAGTTCAAAAATCGTAAATTTCCCAAAACGTATTGAGGAGAACACTTCGAAAACCAATAAAACTGAAAGAACAACAAAGTCCGAAGAAAAAAGGCCGATCAGATCGCACCAAATCTAATCTAATCCAGCTGATGTTGTCTCCTCTCGGCGCGGAACGCTCAAAGAGGCCGAACGGCGGCAAAAAGTACAAAAACCCGTGCGATTTGGGTCGGTTTCGGAGATCTGGACAAATTTCAACCGCAAAAAAAGAAAGAAGAAAGAAAGAGAAAGTAAGAACGGAAAGGAAAAAAGTGGCGGTCCGTTCAGTTTGTTTATAGAAAGAAAAAAGAAAGAAAGAGTGAAATCGCGGTCAAGACTGTTGGGGCATTTAAAGGAGCATAGGGGGAGTTGAACGGCTTTTATTTACGTCACATGCGCCTTTAAATGGTCTGTAAAATAACTTTGAATAAAATCTACAAAGTTATCGGGACCGCTTTTTTTTCGATTTCAAAAAAAACTTTAAAAAATAACAAGACATAATTTCAAGCATAACTTCGATTTCAACAACATTACTTCAATACACGTTCTGTTTTTTCCAAGCCTTTTCAAGTAAGAAAACTCGCTAGAAAGCTCTTTTGTCAATAGAGCACATTTATAAGCAAAAAAAGCTTTCAACGAGATCGATCAGGAAAAAAAGGCAACGAACGATTCACGTCGTGAATCTGTACAATACAGAGACCTTTCAGTTTCGAGAACCTTAAGAGGGATGAAAAGTGCGCGGCGATGCACAAAAAAGGGCAAATTTTCTCGCGCACATCATCACCCGCCGTTTTGCGCCTTTAGTGAAAGTGTTTCTTTTCCCTGGATCGTAGTAAGGTGAAAAGAAATCGTATTGATGAAGTCGATCCGACCAGAATTGGGACATTTTTGACGCATGAAAAAATTCGACCGACCAAAAAACTACTTGCGCATATAGATATTGTAGGCGTTAAGTTTCAACAATGATGTGAACATTTCTAGTCATTTTACATGAAACAAGAGATATTAACGTTCGAAAAAGGTTCCAAAAACACAGAAACGAATTTTCCAGTCAAGGTTTCTTTTCAAGAAACTTTATAGTCTTTCAATTTTCAGAAACCTTTTTTTTCGAAAAAAGAGGAAAAACTGTAAAATTTATAGGTATGAACATAGGATAGAATTCATTATTTAACTTTTATCAAGGGAACAACATAAATTCCATTTTTTTGATTCCTTTTTATTGATTAAATTTCTGTCCAAAGACTTCTCTTTTTTTAATTTTTTTCGATCTGATTGTTTTAGAGCAATTTCAAAAAAATATTTTTTTAAATTGCTTTTAAAAAAAGAAATTTCAGTCCCGAAATTATGTAAAAATTGTTCTTCAGTAAACTCTTTATAAAAAAACGAAACTTGAAAATATCGAGAGCTAGTAAACACAGGAAATGCAGTTGAGAAAAAAGAACCAAAACGAAAAATGAACTCAAAGGTGACCATGGCGCGGCGCCAACTTGTACGATTATACATCTATTTATTTATAATCCTTAATCGTTCTGAATTCTCCCAATACTGGCAAATGCGCTGTTTGGATTATGCAAAAAGGAATAGCACGTCAATATTTTCGTTATCAGAACGTCAGAACTGACAAAATGCCGAAAATTATAATCAAGTTCAGTGAAATAAAGGACTTTGAACCACAAGAAAAGTGAAGATTAAGTATGTAATGACCTCATTAGCCCAATTAGAGTAAATTTGAATAAAAGGGACAGAGAAAAAACATTCTTCAAACACTGGAAACATTCAGAAAACGCGAAAATGCTCACCTGGCGCCGGAGGTGATCAAAAGGCGAGCAAATAAGCTTGGAAGGTGGGAGGAGAAGAAAGAGGAAAAGATAGGAAGTGACCCGAAGAACTGGAATCGGCCCAGGCTAAAATTGGAGCACACTTTCGCGGTTCGCGAGGAAAAAAGAAGGAAGAAAGCTTCGAGCTTTAACAGGCTTTTCACGATCAAAGCTATTATCAGACGAAATTTTTGTATTTCGAAAAAAAACAGGTCAATCACAATTTTTAGAAGACAATCGAGGACCGAAAAACTTTAAAAAAAAGCCGCAACTTTAAAAAATCTCCGTGTATCCGTTTCGAACTTCATAACATACCCGACCTCATCGAAATAAATCAAAAAGTTGCAAAAGAAGATCAAAACTAGACTTGAAAAGAGGACAACCGCCGCCGGCGGACCCGAGTCCAATCCAAAGAGACGATTTGGAAACCGATTCATTTCGCAAAGAGGGGAAGAAAAAAAACGAAGAAGAATACGAGATGAAGCCATTTGCGTAGCCGTTTTTAATGTTGTGTTTTGTTGAGAAATCTCAGGAAAAGACGGTCGGAAACCTGTTGTTTTGGAGGGCCAAAAGTGATTCCGATGAAATTCAATTCAATTCCAAATGTCGGAATGAAGAGCTGCTTTTAAGCATCTGGAAGTCGACGTGTAAATTGAGGAAGATTGATGGTTTATTAAGAAAAATTATTTCAACGCAGAATAAAGAATTAAGACATTAAAAAAATTCAAGAAGAATTTAAAAATTATACTCGAAAAAAATCTTCAAAAAAACACGCTGAAAAATGGTTTTCTAAACAAAAAAACCGGCTTTCGAATCCTTTTTTTCCAATTTTCGTGATCCCAACCATGGCCTTTTTGAACGCCTAAAAATCGTTACACGAACTCCTACAAACTGATACGTAAGTTTAAACAATGACGGTCGCAAAATAACTTTTTATGATTCACTAAAACCACAAAAAGTTGATAAAATGTCCAGTTTGAATGATATTTGCTGAAACTATACGATCAACTTCATTCAAAAACGAAAACAAAACTTTCTTGAAAAACCGGAGCATTAAAAACGGTCCTACAAGCCATTTATATCATCAGTTCAGTATGACGGCGAAAATGTCAACCTTATCAAGAAGTGAGAAGGTAAATAATAGGAAAAGGGTGGGGCAAAGGGTAACTAAATTTAATAAAAGAAACTCGAAAGGATTTTCCAAGAGATTGGTGTGATATGTTGGCTATCTGCATACACTAAAAGCTCCGAATTTGACGCGCTTAATTGGCAAAAAAGGTAATGCCGTGTTCAAAGTAATTTCCGCGAAATGCAAAATACCCGTTAGAGAAAGGAAAAGATCACTAAATTTTGGAGAGTCAGAGATCATTTTGCATTTCGCGGAAATTACTTTGAACACGGCATAAAAACCATTCAAAAATTTTTTTCTGGATATTTAATAACAACTAACTCATAAGATTTGTGAGGGAGTTCGTGTCGAGACCCGTTTGTAAAATTTGCCGTCACTTATCGGCGTTTTTGAAGGACTTGAATTGCGACGCGTTCAATGTGAGAAATGGAACGTCTCGGAATCTGAATTCGTGTCAAAATAGCGAATCCCGTGTAGGTTGAAGTGTCTTTAATATATCCTAGTGAATACAATTTTTCGTATCTTAAATTATTGTGTAAATGTACATTTTCGAAGCATTTTCGATTTTGAGACATGCTCCGTTTTCCAATTGAACGAGGTATGAATAATAAGTCGGAGAAACTTTGGAAATTTCAAAGCAAATCGGTAAAAACTTCCCATTTTTTTCAGTTTTTTTAATTATTAGACTCGTTTAAATGACAAAAAACATTGAAAAAGGAATAAATATGGCAAAAAAAGCGGAAAGTAGAGAATAGAGTGACCAAACTATTAGAAATGGAAAAAGCGGAAAAAAGAGCTTTTAAATGTAGAAGTTTTAATTAGAAAAGATCAACAAAAATAGATAAACAGGGTGAAAAGAGCCGGAGAACAGCGAACTAACCAAGCCATTGAACAATGAATGAAAAAAAAAAATGAAAAAAAGCCTTTACATTCTAAAATTATTAAATTCGCTCTAATCAAAGGAAATTATAAAAACTAATTCATAAAACGAAAAAAGAAAGGAGATAAACGAAATAAGCCACTAAACGATTAGAAATGGAAACAAAAACGAGAAAACAGAGCCCGTAAATGGATGGCCAAGGTCAAATTTGCATTCAAACGCGCGCCATTTGGCGGCTTTGGCGCGGGAAAATGGGCGTGGCGATTCCGACGTTTTTCTCCTCCCTTCAGGGCAAATAACAAACATTTCCACGTACGTAAATGTGTACGAATGCGTCAACGCCGTATATGATTCAGTGCGATTTCTTCTCCTCCATGTGAAAGTGGAAATTTCGGACGGTTCTTCCAGGAAAAAAACAAGCGAGAAAAGTCAAAACAAAGCATAATTTTCGGTTTATTTTTTATTTTTAGAAGTTCCAAAAAGCGTCCAAGACTCAAAAAAATTAAGATAATTTTTTTCTCTCAAATAACAGCCAAAGGTTTGACAAAAATTACACGACACGATTGCTATTATTGCTCAGGCTAGCAAAGTTTTTCTAAAAATAATCAGGACCTTTTTCTTGAATTTTTTCGATTTTTTTTCAAATTTAAAAACGACTGTCCCTCTCAACGCTGTCTAATCCAGAAAACCAGACTTGGATGAGGATTTTTTCGTAACCCTTGATCACGATAAATTTGAAGTGTACGCTCAAGGGAAACTCCAAGATTTTTTTTTCCTTTCCTGATATCAACCTTTTGTTAGTGTTTTTGAGCATCAGTAAACTTTAAAATGTCCTTATTCCATAGGTTCTTAACATGAATTCTTTTTTGCTTTTATACAAAGAAAATCACTGGAAACAATTTACTGAGCAAAAAAGCTTGGTAGAAGTTCAGTCGATTTGTTTCATGGCCTTTCGTTTTCTAGAATTCGTATGGTGGAGAGATTTGCTGAAAATAGAAGATATCAATTTTTCGAAGAAAAACAACCTTCGTTTCCATTTCTGGTTAACCATTTTTTGTTTGGAAAGTCGTCTTCAGGGGAACGTAGGCCAACGTCGGCGACTGAAAAACCATTCCAAATGCGACCACGAAGATACAGTGTTGTGAAACCTGAGAGGCTGGTGCGGGTTTTGGCAAGTTTGAAGCCGCTGGAACTGGCAGGCAGATATCAGACAGCTGAAACTGGCAGGCAAATATCAGACAGCGGAAACTTGGCTTTAAGCCGAAATTTTTGATTTTTAAAGTGCGAATATATATCTCACCAGAAGGTTAGAAAATCATTTTTTCGAAATAACCAATGAAAGGCTTTTAAAAGGGATTATAAAAATTGGATTATTGGCTTAATCCTATATTCACAAGAAAAGTCCGTACCTCCAATTTTAAAAATTCCTTTCTAAGATTAAGATTTAAAAACTATTTTTCCGTTAGTTGAAATCAAAAACTTATTTAAATATGTGTATAAGTTAAAAACCTTTAGCGTCGGCGCCGGTATTGGATTGTAAGTAACCGTCGCGGTTGGCCAAGGAGAATTTGAACATTGCGTTTCCAGATGCTTAACATTTTTCGAATCCTTCATTTATGATACTTGTTTTGAAGCCTTTATTTTAGCAAAAGGTCGCAAAAGTGTCGCTCCATTCTCGCGCGGGACTCGCATTTTTATCGCTTTTCTCTCGCAGACAAAAAAATTTTCCAAAATGCGAGGTCGTGCCGAGAAAAATTTAAGACCGGCGCAGATATATACAATGCGGGACTTTCGCGATGTCGTCAATGTAGCTCAGGCGATATCGCTTCCATCTCGACAGTTATTCTTACATTTCGTGACTATTATTAAGATTTCAAAAATTTCAAATTTCTCTAGCAAAACCTTAAGATTCTGAGCCGTCGGAGTCGATTGCTGTTCATATGGCTAAAAAAATCTTCCATTTTTTTTTTCTTTCTGAACTCCAAAACCTTCAGCGTCGGAAGATGCTTTCTAGCTATCGCGGCTGGGAATTGCTGGTGCGGTTCGAGGGGCTGAATATTAAATAATTAAAAACTATTTCTTAAAAGAGAACTATAACTAAATTTTGGAGAGTCAGAGACCATTTTGCATTTCGCGGAAATGACTTTGAACACGGCGTCAGTTTTCAAAATACTCAAAACCTTGATTGGAGGCGGAAGATTCGCCAAGGCACAGGGCATAGGTACGGGCAGAGGTTGACCCTGTTGTTGAGCCATAATCGGCTGAAAAAACCATGAAAAAATTATTTCAAAAAAAAAGATCATGCGACGCGGACCCGTAGCAAGAAGGAGTCATTTCAAAAAATACGAAATTTACGGCTAAAAGCAGTCAGGAAAGTCTCTCAGTAATCTTCTCTATCTTTTCTTCAAAGCAAAGTATAAAAACACTAGAAAACGGCCTATTTCTGTAAATATTTTGGATGATTGATCTCTTTGACTCCGATACATTTCTTGAGAGAACTAAAATCGATTTTCTGAAAATTTCTGAGCCATTAGCCAGAAAATCTAAACGACCGCGACGCGTACGCTTCGCTTCATCCATTCCAAAGCTCATGCTTCTCCAAAAATTACTGAATTCATGTGTTTCATTGTGTTCTGCAATGGTACTGGTAGCCGTGGAGAATCAAAAGTTTCAACTCCCTGGAACTTTCAAATTCCTTTCAAAAAAGGGTATAATTGTATAATGTATTCTATTAAATTCTAGGTCCAAGTGAACGTTAGGGTTCACGCTTATCTGTCAATAATTATTATTAAAAAGGAATTCTATCAAAGGGAGAACGACAACTTCTACCAAAGACATCCAAGTTTGCGATAAATATCAAACTGGCTAGAAAAAGGGACGAAATGGTGTCATATCCCGTTTCAAGTCATAAAAATGAGCTGTGGAAACAAAATAAACTTTGCAGAATATTTATTCAACGGTAATTAACCTTGGGGAAGCCTGCAGCCGGTTTTCCAGCCGCTGTTGACGGTTTCTTGCGAGGCGCTACGGTCGGTCTCGCTTCTGGCTTCTCCTTAATTCATTTTTCTTTTTCTTGACCTAGTAAAAAAAGAAGAAAACCTTGCTAGCAGGTGTCGGCTGATAGGGCTTCATAGGGGCATAGTCAGACTGAATTTCAAGAGAACTTTGAAGAAGAAATAACTCTTGATGAAAAAAAGGTCTTTAGGTAAATTTCGTTACGATTGTAGCCTTTCCAAATGCGACCGTGTTTTTTCAAATTATGCGGAAAATTTGATTAGCCTGTCCAAAGACAGATAATATCTTTTTTGCTCTCTTTTCCAAAAATGAGCGGTTTTTATGGGCCTGATTCGATATGTTTCCCAAACTGATGAATTTCAAAATCGTACCGGAACTGGAAATTGCTGTTTCGTAGGTGGCAGGGTTGCCGCATAACACGCAACCTCGACAGTCTGAAATTATTCAATTTTTAATCTTTTTAGACCTTCAAGGCAGTTGAACAATGATAAGGTCACAAAAAAGTCAAAAATTACCCCCTTAAAGGCGGCAAGCGGCGCATATTGGTTGTTTGTTGGCGGTACCGCTTTGTTCCCAGTTTCCGGCATCTTAATTTTTTTAAGATTTATTGATCTTTCTTTCTTACTAGCAGCTTTTTTTTCAGCCCATCCTCAAACTTTTTAAAGACTTCTTAGGACCTCTGGCTTTTAAACGAGAAAAAAAATGTCTCTCAATAAACCTAATTTTCAACTTATTGAGCTTCGAAACCTTCAAAAAACGAAAAAAAAAATGGGTGCATATTCGAACTTTAAAGCTCTATAAACAGAAGAAGTAGCGAAACTTTAAAATATCCTCCTAGGAAAACTTGGCTAGAGTGTACCTAAGGACATCCTGACTCTAGAAAAAAAAATGTTGTCTCAAAAACCATCCGATTGAAAATTCATGAGGTCTCAAAACCCTCAAATAACGCATTTTTCCTAAAAATTTGTGTAATTTTCAGACTTTTGAGAACTAAAGCTTGAGGAAAAGGATCTATTGCGAAAATTTTCTTACTTCCTTTGGTGAAACTTGGCTAAAGTTTCTTTATAGATCTTTAAAACCCTGAAATAATCTAAAATATTTATGTATTTTTCGAACTTTAAAGCACAATAAATCGGAAAAAAGGGTCAGTAGCAAGACTTTCTTTTTTTGTTTCAGAATCAGGTCCTAGAGGACGCTTCAGCCAATGTATCATCAAAGTTCGAAAGTTCATATACTAAACCGACATCAAAAGCTCAACCAATGACTGAAAAGTTCCCTAATTAGAAGAAAATGAAAACCGGATTTATTGGAGGAGCCGGCGTGAAAAGGTGGACGTGATGAATGTGCTGCGGCTGCTGTTGGCGTGGTACATTATTCGAGCTACGCTTAAACATTTTCATGATTTTTCTATTTTCAACTATTTGAAAAAAAAAACCTTGGATCTTCGGGGAACAGGAGGCGCACCGATAATTTCAGCCGACTGGAAAATTTTCTCAATAGAGCGTAAAAGGTTGATAGTTCGTGGCTATTTTTGTATCAACTCGGACCTCGGTAAGGCGGAATGGACGTGTCGGGACATTTCTAGTGACCACTTTAGTAATATCAGCGCTCTCGAGTGATCGTTAGAATTTTTCAGAAACGTCCGGAGCACGTCCGGGTCTCGTTACCGAGGTCCGAAAATTTTCAGCCTATATTTAATTTTCACAGCAGAGTATATGAGACCAAAGGCCATTTCTTAACTGTTTTTTTATAACTCCCGTTTCAATTTTTTTTTTTCGAGAAGCCCTAGCTAAGCGTTTATCCATATTTCAACCGTTTCTCAATAGAGCGCACATGTACGATTTCTCAGGTATTTTTTGTGAATTCTAAATGGCGTGTTCATCGGAAAAACGGAACATGCTTCGAAACGAAAAATCGAGTCCATTGGCGCGCCGAAATTGCTCCAAAACAGTACTAATTTTTGTTTTGAAGCAATTCTATCGCGTTTCGGAACAATTTTCGTTTTGTCCGATAAACACGCCAAAAACTTTTTGCCTACTTCTAAAGGAACTTTTTCGGACTTCAATTATTTTTCTTCTCATCCAACAAGGCTAAAATATTTTTTGATAATTATTTTTCCATTTTTAACCTCAGTAATCGTCGGCTGCTGAAGGGTGCGTATAAACTTCTCCGCCTGTTTTTTCTCCTCCGATTCGTCTTCCTTCGTTTGTCGCTGCATTGAGAAGCTTGATGAAACGGAAGAAGCATTGAAAAACGCGTACAAACTGAAATTTGGGCTCCAGGATGGGCTTCTGCATGACGGGAGCCGCCTCGGGGCCTCTACTTTGCACGAAATTGGCAATGTTGGCTTTCAGCAAGTCGTAGCTCTGAAATACGGCCACTTATCGAGTCATTTATTGATTCTAGACATCTCTGAGTGAATGATCGTCCCAATAGTACATACTCCAGCCAAAGTCGGCAATTATCTCGGCGACGGCCAGGTACTGCACGTCCACCTGTACGCTGCTCATACGAAAGTCTGAGAAAAGCCAAATAAGATACCATTTTTTGGAACAGAACAAACTTCTCAAGAGTTGACAAACTTCCAGCAAGTTCAGCCGTTGACCTGCGTTCAAGGTCTGGAGTCCAACTTCCGCGGCTACCTGTGAGTTTGACGTTATTGAGCAAGTCTGTGATGAGAGAGAGGGTGGGATTAAAAATCTCTCAATGGTCTTAATAATGTAGCCTATGCAGGGAAAACGTGTAAGTTGGTGCAGCTTCAAATTTAAAAAAAAACCAATACAAGTTGCTCTATTTTTCTTCGACATACGCTTAAAATTCCAGTTTCTAGCGGAAAGACACCCCAAGCCTCTATAAGTCAAAAAAGCTCTCCGAGTACAAATTTCATTCCGGCCGGGGCCGGGCTTCAGGTCTCACTTTTTGCGAAGAATCAGGCTTCGAATAAAATTCATGTAATCCCCTTTACATACGTTAAACCATAGCTTCTGTTAAACTTGACGTGAAAAAAAGATAGAGGTGATTTTTGTATTAAAATGCCTGATATTCGACTTGAGGAGGAATTGCGCTCTTAGGGTCAGGACGACCGTTATTGTTTGAGGGCTCGCCCAGGGCGGGCCGGGCTGGGTTTGGAGAATGGTCGGTGACCGACAGGCTGACGGGCAGGCTCTCACTTGAGCCTGCGTTTAATGGAGTTTTTCTACAGAGGTAGGTTTTCTGTACGATTTCGTGGACCCGAAAATTGCCAGAAAATATCATTGACACCCCTAACCCCAAGATTCACCGGCCGCATGTCTAGAAACCGTTAATGACTTTTTTCTGGAACGAAAAGATTCGAATACGCACAAAAGAACCAGTACGACCGATGCCAGCCGAGCAGTGGACGACGACCGGGCCGAGAGCCTGACGGACGTGGTAGAGGAGGGTGAGGACCTCGTTGTTCCGGATCGGGACCGTCTTGTCGGGCCAGCCCTTGAAGAGCAGGTGACGGACCTTCAGCTTGACGGGGCCCGACTCTACGAACAGCCAGCACTTGCTCAGGCTCCCGTCGCTGTCCTTGCTGCCTCTCATCATTGTCACCGAAAAGTCTGAAAAACGAAGAAGGTAAAGACCTATCAACAGTTGTTTCAGTGCTGGAAAGGGTCCTGATACGATAAATAATAAGATAGTGCCTGGTTGGTGGAGAGCGCAGACAAGCCACGCCCCTCCGTCTCTCAAGCTAGCCGCAAATCGGACATATAATTCCCATTCATCGTCTCGAAATGGCGGTTCATATTGACTTCCGCGCGAACTTGTAAAGTTTAAGATAACTAAGGAAAACTACAGTATGCAGAGCTTTTTTTTACCGCTTTTCGCTTCAAGACCTGCGATTAAAAATTATACTGTATTTCGGCAAAGAATAAAGTGAAAAGCTCGCAAAAAATGAATCTATTTCAGGAGTAAACTCAAAAAAATTTCAACTAGTTAAATTTTATTTTCGAAACTAATAAAAAAATGCTGAAAAACATAACTTCAAGAAGTATTTGACTTATTTTTTTAATACAAAAGGTAAGCCCAAAAAAATGCAAACGGAATTTTTTCGAATTGACGCCAAAAAAACGCTGCGCAAGTCGTAAATCGTCGCATCAAGTCAAGAAAAAAATTTGAAACTTGCTTATCCTACCTCCGAAAAATAAGAGGTCTCCCTTCTTCCAACGGCCAGTACTGGTGACATTTTTTTCTTTCCCATATTCTACTGTCTAAAGTATTAAATTTTTTTCGAAATATAAAAAAACAAATTGAGAAAAATGAATAGACCCAACCTCACACAACATGCAAATTGTGTGCACCTTCTCTTGGACCACCATTCGCCAAAAATCGACACTTGTTGTGGCTTTTGGTCCCTTAATTAAGCAAAACAGTTGACTTATTTTGATAGGGGCAAAGAACAAATAAAGATCTCATTACATAGTCTGATGAAAGTTTGATGAAAAAACGCAAAAAGACACATTTTCAGGAACAGGTCACAAAAACCTTGGAACACTGCTCGGAAGTGCGGAAAACGGGTGAAAAAGGGAGTGACTGCAAAAAGGCCGGTAAAAGGGTCCCGTTTTGCGGCCTTTATTCAGCCTTTCTTTCTTGGTGGGCTAAAAAGGGTAAAAAAAAAAGGGAGAGGCCGCAAAAAGGGTGATGAAAGAATGAGGGTGCAAAAGGGTTCTGAAAGTCTCTTCTATTGATAATTTCCGATTTCATTACTGTTGCATATTTTGGTTCATACATAGCCCCTTGTAAAAATTATTCTCAATCAAAAAAAAAATTCGCAATTCTCAAAAGGGTCCAAAAAGACTGGATAAAGGCCGATGAAAGGACGGAAGAAGGCGATAAAAAGGGAACCGTTGTCCATCGTTCAGGAACAATTAATGGAAACAGACTGATCCATAACGGACCCTCAAAGGGCCCGTAAAAGGTCCTTCCGACTTTGCCTATGTTAGAAGTTCCCTAAACAACCTTTTTCTACTCTGAAAGGAAACCTCCAAGCGACTTCGCCTATAGAAATAGACCCAAGTAAGAAAAAAGACCTGGGTCAAAATAAACGGAGCAGTGAGGCCGTGAACATAGTTGGCGTGGATGTAGTCGCCCGGTCGACCGTCGCGCAAAATGACACGGTTCACATCGTTACAAACGACGTCTTCAATATCAAATATCAAAAAACATTTTCTTCTACAAAAAGAATTTTGAAAAAAAAATATAGTTAGATACGAGGGCTTGAGAATATTTGAAAAAAAGGGGGATGAAACAGCAAAAATGTTGAAAAAAGGATAATACCGATGGAAAAAACTTTTGAAATTAATATTTTTTCAGAGGTTCACGGCTGGCTTGAGCCAACAAAAAAGGGGTCCTGACGCGATAAGATAAAAGATAGTGTCTGGCTTGTGGAGAGCGCAGACAGGTCACGCCCCTTTGAAGTCCCAATTTAGCGCCTTTATATCAATGATATTCCAAGTGATTGAACAAGATGAAAAGCTTCAAAACTCCGCAAAAATTGTTCTTTTACTTTAAAGAAGAAGAACATTTTCAGTTGATTTTCCCCTTTCAGACCAGGCACTATCTCTTTTATTATCGTGTCAGGACCCATTTTTCGATGGCTCAAGCCAGTTGTATAGTAGCCAATGATGGAAAATAACTTCTTCTCTCCAAAATTCTAAAACCGTGCTGCACCTTGGTATCGATTCTTATCCTGATTCGAGTCGAAGGCTTCGCGCCTGAGTTGCGAAGGAATGTAGGACTTCAGGCTCTGCCATTGGCCAAGAAGTCCATCCACCCCTAGGTTAACTATTTCCTGAACAAAAAAGGCCTTTGAAGAGCACTTCTTTCGAAAACTAACTCTAACAAAACTATCATAGGCCGCCAATTGTTGGGGCGTCTTCGGCGTTTTCGGATCTTTCGGAAGAACGACCGCTCTTTGGAAATTGAACACCGGTTTTCCGATCTTATCTACTGAAACTTATCACATCTTTTTTGTCCCCAAAGTTGGAAATTACCGCTTTTGTATCGTCTAACTCCGCCGTACTTGTCATTTTTCGGTTTAACCATCGTCTTTTTCGGATTTCTCTCATTCTGGTAACACAAAATGATTAATTCTGAGCGTTTGAAAGTTGGTTCAAGTTTGATTGGTTCCATGAAGCAGTAACTTTTTTGCAATCTCCGCTTCAAGACCCTTGACTGATACCTTCTATGCGCCTTTAATACCAATTCAAAAGTTCCCCGAAAAAAGTTAGGTATTTGACAAAACTGTCAAAAGAATATTCAATATAGTCTGTGTGCCACGACTTGAAATTTCACGAAACGACATTCCGCTGTTCCGCTGCGTGTGTTTGCGAAGCATCTTTCAAATTTAGGTCACGCTTTCAATTGATTGTTATGGCTGTGGGAGCACATGAAAGTAGAGTAACTGAAGGAAAAAAAAATTAAAAGCGCGACCAAGGTTCGCAAAGGCGCGTAGCGGCACAGAGGAATGTCGTTTGGTGAAATTCCAAGTCGTGGTACACAGGCTATAACATATTCTGAAAGTTTAAAGGCGCACGCATCCATCTCAAACTCCATCAAAGTTCCCTCAAAAACCCAAGAAGAGTCAATAAAAGAAACAATCGATTCAAGTCAAGTCAGTACCGAAGATCCCATCGCGCGGCCGTTGTATGAAATGCTGTCGATTTCCATGCAAAATACGGATTTCCTTTTTTCGTTCACTTCATTTTTTCATTGAAGGTTTATTTCTCGACGTCTCAAAAAGAAGGTATACTGTAATTGGCGAGATGTCCGTTCGTGGGAAATAGGAAGTTATTTATCATTTGTAGCGCAGGTCCAGGTCGATCCAAGGGCACAAAATGGCCGGAACCCTGAAAAATTAAGAGATTCAGCGAACTTTTAAAAAGTCACGTTTCAAAAGTTATTCACATTGTCAAGTTGAATTAGTTCGTGTATTTGAGTTGAGATTTTAGAATGTTTCCTTTCAAACTTTTTTGTGAGTCTTTTTCTGAGAAAAATCAACCTTAACTCATCTCGGAACTCTTAGAAAATTCCCCAAGATTTAAAAAATTTCCTTTCAAAAACTCCCTCCTACTGACTTTAATCGTAAGGACGTCGATGGAAATATTCGTTCCATGGCCATTTTTGAGTTCGTAACGGTGCTGGAAGCCGCCTTGACGATTATTTTCTTTGTAGAACCATGGTTGATGAGTTTGTGTCTGTAAAAAAATATCCTTTCCCAATTTTCAGAGAAAAGGGATTATACATGCGTTTGAACCCGATTTCTTGAGCGAACCATAATTTTTGGTCGCAGCGCGTTCCTTCAGGGTAAGCCCATTTACGGCTAGCTTGGGACGCAAAGGGGCGTGGCCTGTCTGGACTCTACACCGATCAGGTACTTTCTCTTTTTTTTATCGTCTCAGGACCCTTTTTTTTCGAAGACTCAAGCCAGCCGTAATCTTCAAACTTCAAGGATCTTTATAGAAAAAAGACTTGCGCGCGGCGGTGAACTTTAGCCTAAGATATTCCAAGTAGCTCAGGGTCGGGCGCAGCTATTTGATATGCTTGAAACTGCGTTTAAACTTTCTTCAACTTTTCAATTTTCAGCTGAAAACCTTTTGAAAGGTTTAATTTAAACCTTGTTCATTCGATTCCTTTTGGCTAGGGATCTCATAAAATACTGATCGCCCAGGAAATTGCAGGCCAGGTCGACGTCGCCGCTGTACACGAGGATTCGGAACGACTCTCTTTTCGATTTTTGGATCAAATCGTCGAAAAAAGGCGAGGTGTCGTTGAAGGTCATGTGGTAGTTGTCATACATAACGAGGCTTAAGATTTTCCTTCTTTTTCGCATCTTTTCTGCAGAAAACTGACTTGCAAGGAAGCCATTTCTCACCGCGTTTCCTCCAAGTTTCATCTATCCCGAGGGCTTTCTAAAAAAACTTTTTTTTCTGTTATAAACCCGTTTAAAGCCCTAACCTGCACAACTTCACTATTCAAATAATTTTTCAGGGCGACATCTTGCCAGCAACTGAAACCAAGGTTACCGTCCGTGGAATATTTGTTGATGAGGCCCTGAACAATTAAAATTCCATATTATTTTTTTGAAGAAATAACATACCCTTATGCCATGTTTTTTAACATTTTCGAAAGCTTCAGAAACTGGATCGATCGGGTTGGGAAGAGAAAAGTTGTAGTAGCAATCGTCGTAGAAATTGAAAAAGTTGAAGCTGGAAAGAAATCTTTTACTGCTCATTGACTCAGAAATGATATCTTCTCACACATTATTGATCGATAATGAGTAAATTTCGAGTCAGTCGAACCTTTAAGAGTTTTAATAGCGCAGCGCCTATGCGCTAGGCTCATTTTCTAAAGGTCGTTAGTTCGGTTCCCTCAGTGGCCGATTTTTTTGCTTTTATTCTTTTGATTTCCAAGAATTTCATTAAAATTAATATTCACTTTCATTTCAAAAGAACACAAGAAAAAAATTCAATTTTTTTATGTTCGAAAGTCCTGATCTGCCCCTTTTTTATTATAACTTTCCACAGCCTCAACCTTTATCCAAAAACTAAAAAAACTTAAATAAAGCGAAAAAAGTCAGCTTATCAGGGAAAATTTTCCAAAAAGAGTCTCTTACCCCTCATCCTCTTCGAAATTCCCTCGAATGATTGGATCCAACAGTTTTCCGCATTCACTTTTGTCCCCGTAAAAGTCCATTCCATTTTTAGAAGTCATGAATTTCTGAAAATAGATATCAAGTTATAGTTTGTCAGAGATTACAGTGTAATCATAATGATCCGCATCAGTGGCCCCTTCCGTTTTGCAGAGTTCCTTGATTTTCTCCCATTCACTGGAAATCAATATTGATTGATTTTTGTTGAATATTCAATAATTTCAAACTCAGGTGAGGTCCTTCCGTGATAAGCCGCCCACAAAACGAAGGTATTCATCGAGAATTTCACATTCATATAACCATTGCCGATACTGATTCCCTGAAATGAATCTCTGAAAATTTAGTAGATTCCTTGAAATTTTCAATTAAAAGTCTTTGATTCAGGAATAATTCCAAAAAAACGAAAAATTGACCTTTCGAATCAAATTTTTTTATCCCCAAGCTTGGTATTGAAAGTTCATAAAATTTTGAATTTTTTTTTTTGAGATCTCGTTTATTTTATGAGTCATTCAAAAGCTAACTTTTCAGCCTCAAAGTTGGCGATCAATGTGGTGAAAAATGAATATTTTTGAGTGGTCAAGGTTTTATTTAATTTTCAAGTTCAAGATCTCCTAATCACCTGGAAATTCCTATTTGGGAAATCGTCTTGATTAATGGCTTGAAGGATCTTCTGGGAAAGCATAGGAACATAGACACCGGCGTAGGATTCGCCGCTGAGAAAAAACGTCGAATTCGAGTATTCCACGTGTTTTCTGAATTTTTTTGTTGTTTTCCAACTTTGGAACACTGAAAGTAAATTCAAAAACGATTGAAATTGGAAAAGAAGGAACGAGAGATCACTGAGAGTCATAAGAGACGCCAGAGACGTGGGAACCTTCTCTTTCTATGGCGTCTCTTCAAGCCTACTTTGATCTCTTGATTTCAATTTTTACCCCGGGTTCTCAGTAAAAAGACCATTTTTAGTCCATTCGAAATAGAATCTAGAGAAAAAAAAAATTTTCTCGTTGGCTGGCGTCTCTTCACACCGCTCTTGATCTCTCGCTTCTACACTTTTGCAACACCTCACTTTTGAAAAAAAAAAAAATGTGAACATCGTAAAAAAAAATCAGAAGCGGTCTGAAGAGACTTCAGACAGCTATACTGCCGTCACTTCTCTGGCATCTCTAAGGAACCCCTTACTCTCTGATTTTGTTCTTCCTGGACTCACTTCTCGAAAAAGTCCCGAACCGCGTGGAAATTCTGTTCCGCGGTCGTTGTATCATCAGCTTTGGTATAATTGGCTTCCTGGGCACTGTAGGAAAAGCCAGTTCCTACTGGCGACTCGATAAATAAGATATTGGCTTTCTGAATTTTTTGATAATTCTATTGACTGATGAAAGAAGAACACCTGTGCCCAGGTGAACGGATTTTCGAAAACGGATTTCCCATCGAAATTAATGTAATAAGGACCGAGTTCCTCAAGGAACCCACCCAAAGAGGAACAACCGGGGCCGCCGTTGAACCAAATCAACAGAGGAGCTTCTTCTCTTGGTAAGTCCCGAGCTTCCACGAGTCTGAAAAAACTCGGAATTTTCAAATTGTATCGAAGAAAGGGATTAAAATAGCATCTAATTCAACTTGCTAAAAAAATCTCAAGTAATTTCTCCAAAAATCTCTTGTTTATCGCTGAATGCGTTAAATCTTTTTTATAAATTGCTTCAGAAAGCTTCATCAATCACTATAGGGGCCACTAGAGCTTGCAAAAGTGGTCCCTATAGGTGACATGCTTATCGATAATTTTTATGTGCTTCATGCGGAAAAACATTATCACGTGAGTAATTAAATAAATGAGCGTTTTTTAAAAATGAAGTTGAAAGACCCCTCTAGAGACTACTCCAGCTTTTGTGGCTAAGGGGTCTGACCGTAAACCCCTAAAGGGACCACCTCGATATCAAGACGAAACTGAGCTCTTATCCTTGGATTCTGAGAGGGTCACTTCCTTTCCTGTGGACCATTTTCTTGAACTTTATACGAAATCAGTAATAATTGAGCTTCTATTTCTCAAAAAAAGGAAATATATCAGATTGAGACTTCAAAGAGGCTTATTCAATGATTTTTCTGGCCAATTTTCAGGAGATTCTCAACCGGAAAGTAAAATGGGACGTGATTTTTGCAAATCTCGGTACTATGTAGCATTGTAGAAATATTTTTTCAGGTTATTCATAAGATTTTCTGCGTCTATCATGCTGGTGTCAGTTTTATATGGAGGACATGTGGAGTTTCCTTTTTGAGAATTTATCCTAAAACTCCTCTAAAAAGGTACTAATATATTTTTTTCCAATTGCACCCCACAGGAGAAACCAGATAGACACTAAACACCTGCGAAAGAGTTTATGAAATTTCAAAGCGACACAGATTTTAACTTTTTGGGATACTATGTTGATCAATGATCCTATGCTCGTGAAAAGAACTTCCTTTTTGCGCCTTGGTAACGAAAATCGGACGCGCTCCGGGCGTTTCTGAGCAACTCTAGGGACCACTTAAGAGCGTTGACGCTACAGAAGTGGTCACTAGCGTTAAGACCGAGTAGTTTCATTAATCAATTCAAGAACCGACACATAAAACAGTCGCCAGGTGCCGCTTTCATTGGCGTCGAGGTAGCCGCTGGAGATGTTCCAGCCTTCAAAGCCAGGCAGTTCCACGAAACCATATGCACTAATAAACAGCAGCAGGAAGTTGAATAGTCGCAGCATTTTACATTGAAAAATGGAACGAGGAAATAGAATCCGCTCAGGTGTCGGAGCGCGTTTCCAATCGGAAAAAAGGCCCAATTTCTCTCGACGATTACCGATTTCTTCGGCCTTGAGAGGTACTTTGAGTCTGAACGTTTTGCGCATGAGAGACTGAGAAGCTTTTTTTAAAGAAAAATAAACGCTTTGTTTAGAATAAATCAAACCCGATATCAAAAAACGTATAAATTCCTTCTCCGAACCTCAAGAGACTTCAAAGGGAAAAGTGGAAAACTGAAAAATGAGAGAAATTTTCAATTTAAAAACTTTTCCTTACATTCTGAATATAAATCAATTGTCACATTGAAAAGAGATGTGTTCCAAGGAAAAATTAAACTTTTCCGTTGAAAAACCGGATTTCTCTTTACATTTTTCTTATTTTCATTACAGATAGCAGTTCACTGAAATTCTACAGAAAAGGGTTTTGGAGCAAAAGTTCTTCTAATGATTAGAAAATCCGTAAAGCTTCAAGAAATTGGAAATTTCCTTTTTATGCAATTTTTCAGCTTTCTATTCATCATTCAAACTGAAAAAAACACATTTCCTTCACAAAACCTTTCCATAACTTTTTATAGACGCTAACCCGATAATTTTATTCCAAGCTTTTTTTAGAAACTTGAAGTAGTTGTTTTTTTGGCTTGATAACTTTTTAAATTTTTCAATATCTAAAGTTTAATTGCTCATCAAAATGCTGACGAATGAGAAAAAGAAAAAAAAAATTGGGGACTGAAAACTATTATTAAACTAGAACTTTCCTTCGGTTCTCTTCACAGAAAAAAAAATGTTCGGATTTCTCTTCCGAAATCCTAAAAATCTGTTTTTAATTAGGTAAATTTCCATAATTCATTTATGAATAGAGGTCTGGAGTTTATAACATAGGCAAAATCGAAAAGGGTAAAAAAGGCTCAAAAAAATGTACCTTTTAGGGTGACAAATGCTCCTTTTTTGCTGCCTTTTTGCACCATTTCATCGGCTCTTATGAACCATTTTTGCTGCCTCTCTTTTTTTCCATCATTTCTTGGGCCTTTAACATCTCACCAGGGAATGGTCTCAGCTCACAGTGGGACTTCTGAATGAGACCATATTTTCTAGATGTAGTTTTTTACGCTGATTCCAAATCCGTTTTTAAAAGCTGCCACCGAGGTCTGTGAAAAAAGTTATGGACCCTCAAAAGTCGAAAATTTCATGGTCTCCGATCGAGCTCATTTTTGAAGGGTATATAGTCCTTGTTTCCCTTGTCACGAAAAACCATCAAATTTTTCTCAAAAAAATTTCGAAGCCAAGATATGGTCTCATTCAGAAGTCCCACTGTGAGCTGAGACCATTCCCTGGTCAGAAAAATAGAAGACTCGATAAAAGGACTTTTTTTGGTGTCTTCCTGCGGCCTTTATTGAGCCTCTTATATGGGTATTAAAATATACACAGATCCATTATAATCAAAATAAAACTTTCTAAGCTTTCTTCACCCAAATCACAGCTCTCATCATCTAAAGGTTCTATCAAAAAAAAAAAATACTCGGAAAAATCAAAAGGTACACGGAAAGGCACCTTTTCCCACAAGCAAACCGTCCAAACGGGCTCAAAAAAGTGTGATTCAGGCGCCGACGACTCTCAAATTCGCACTTCCTCGTCAAAATGTGCCAATGGTCAACTCGCAGGTGGGAAATTATCACATATTCTTGCCATAGGGACTGGCTCCGCCCCAAAACGGTCATCGAGACCGGGACAATCCCACTTTGGATCATTCGACTCGTTTGCTCTTCTCGAACAACGTCTTCGACTATTCTCTTTATCGTCTAATCTCTTGGAGCCATGGAGCGCGCTATTCGTGACTACTACGCTCAACTTCAAGTCGACATTCCGGAAGGACTGATCAACTGGGAAGCTACTCGACCGGTTAGTTTTGTCTCCATTTATCTTGCTTCTAGTTGCTTAGGAATTTTATGACATATCTTGCTGAAGGAAACTGTTTCCTAGAAAAGTTATAGCCAAAACTCTTTTGAAACTTGTTCTTCTATGTATTTCTACGGTCTTTTTGAACTTTCGTAGCATTTTAAGTACCATTTTCACTCATTTTCCAAAGATTATCCCAAAAAGAGATTTGTTTTCGATGCATTAGAAGGGAGAATAGAGCTTTGGAGCCAGTGTGAAATCTCCAGGTTACTGTAGAAACGTCGAAATTTCTTCCTTTTGCACACTGTTACTTAATCGATTACCATATACTTTCTTCAAAACCCATCCCTGTGTTGTTCCAGATTTTGAAAAGAACATCAAACGGCTCTAGACCTTACCTATGCTCCTTTAAACGATCTATCAGGCCTTTCGAATTGACTTTTTTTTTTCGGAAAATTCGCTAAAAGAGTAGCAGTTTCTTAAGATTTATAAAACCATATGAAAGATTTGTTTTGGAACTAACCTCAACTTTTTCCAGAAGCACATCATGATCCAGATCCAGCACCAGATCCAGCTGGCCCAACAGCTTCACTACTGGAACACGTCGCCGTTCTGGAGCAGGATCCTTGGCGCCGACCAGGCTCGAGCTCAGGCTCAGAACCAAGCTCAGGCTCAGCCACAGCCTCAGGATCGATCGCAGAGCCCGATTCCAGCCGACCCCGACCACAGTGCTGAGCAGAGACCCGCACAGCAGCGCAGGCCGACTCGCGAGCTCATCCTCGAGCCTCCTGGCCTCGTCATCAACCGAAATTAATCATTTTTCCATTTTCCATGAGCAACTTTTCGTTTTCACCCTCATATTTTTGTCCAAAAATTGTGTTTTTTTTTTCTGATTCTCTCAAGTAAACTTGCTCAATTCAAACTGTGTTGATATCACATTGAAGAAAAAAAAAAGAAGAAGCTAAATTCGTCTACATAAAAAAATATAAAGAAAAACCTGAGCTTTTCCTGAAACTTCTACAGGCTCTCACGAATTTCAAGTGGAATTGGTTTCAAAAAGAGGTTAATAGGACAAAAAAAGACAGTTTGAAACTGATAAAAAAAGTTTTTTTGAATATTAAGATTGAGCACACGACTCTATCAAAAATATTAAAAAAAGACATAACTCTATTAATTTTCCCTTTCTGCACATTTTTTTCTTTTTAATTTCTTGCTCAAAGTTGATTCGAAGTTGAGAAAAAAAGAAATCATTTTCTATAAAAATAAAGATTAAGAACTCGGACAAAGTCGGAATGGTGGATAATCGCCGCTAAAAGGGAGATGCTCAAAAAAGGCCCCAGAAAGGCACCAAAATTAGTCCCTTTATCGAGCCTTCCATTCTTTCTGAGATTTTAAAGTCTCAAGAAAAGGTGGGAAAAGGGAGAGGCAGCAAAAATGGTGCATAAAGAAGCGATGAAATGTCGCAAAAAGGCAGAAAAAAGGAACATTTTCATGGAGCCTTTTCCACCCTTTCCGACTTTGCTACTGGAAAAAAGAACCAAACAAGTTTTACGGCCATATTCAAAACTTCTATCATTTTTTCAAAATATACTCATTATTGATTAAAAAGAATATCATGAAGCCCTTTTCAAAAAATATTCAAAAAACTTGACAAATAAGAATAAGGAACACATAACCGCTTTCAATTTACATTTCCCGTAAGATTAAAAATAATTTATACACAGAATAATGGTAAAATTTGTAGATACAGTTCAAGGGAATCAGAATAAAAGTTTGGCAAGGAGGACAGCAAAAACTGTAGAAAGAAGAGGCATCAAATCCCGCGCATTTCCGCCAACCATCGGGGCCAACTGTAAAGAGAAAAATAGAGAAATTGAACAGGAAAGACTGGGAAAATTTTTGGTGGTCACTGTAAAGAATCCTAAAGGACTACTCGAAGAGGATACCAAAAAAGGCCATTAAAACCACCTTTATAGTGGCCACTATAGGGGCTTTGTTTTCGTGAATCTTCAATGGAAAAATTCTCTAACTAGACTTATTTTTGGATAAATCTGACAGATGAACTTTGAGCACGGAGTCCTGAGAAACTGTTGGTTTTTTCCGCAAGAACTCGCTAATAGCACGACTTTGTGAACACGCCACTAATTTTTAGCCTCTTTGGTGGCCCTAAAATTCGACTACTACAGTGACCACTAGGTGGTGTGAAAAAAAGACCAGCGAAAATTTGAACGGCGACTTTTCCGATTTTTTCGTTTCGCTAGGGAATTTTCCGACGGCCACCTTTCCGCCGAATCTTTTTCCAACTTTTTCCCTTATATTTTTTTCGGTTTATAAAACATATATTAACATTTTTTTTTGTTTTTAATCATGAATAAACTACCTAATTTATATAGGCAATTCAAAACGAAAAGTTCATCGAGAAAAAAAGTCGAAAAAAGATTCGGCGGAAAAGTGGCCGTCGGAAAGTTCCCTAGCGAAATGAAAAAATCGGAAAAGTCGCCGTTTGAATTTTCGCTGGTCTTTTTTTCATACCACCGGCCACTAAAACTTTAAAACCCTATAGAAGTCACATAAAATTTCCAGCGAACTGAAAAAGATTTATAGCCTGTTTGAGAATTTTCACTGAGGTCCACCGTTTCATTTATAAATTTAAAAAAAAATTACGAGAAATATCTTCCATTACCATTTTATAGCCTACTTCACGCTTGTCACGTTTTTTTTCCTGGCCAGAATACCGTAAAACTTCAGATAAAAGGTCTTAAAGCGAAGACGCAAAAGCGTGTTCTTCATTCTGATTTTCAAGAAATATCTTTTCTTTCATTTCAAACCTTGATATTCGTGTTGAAATTGCTGGAACTGGTATAGTCAACACTGCCGTTGGCACTGGGGAACAAGAAGTTGGTGATCATCTGAACGGAGGGTCCAGCTCGGTCATAGGGAACCATGTGACCAGCTCCCTAAAACTTCTCAACTTTCCTCAAAGTATCTATATAGTGCTTCAGTTCGTGCGCCGCGACTCGAAAGTTTTCGAGTGTCTGCGTCTCTCTGTTCACTTTCCGTTAAGGTATGAGTAAAATGGAAATAGCACGTTAACATGAGAGGGTCTCCTAGAGACAAGGAGAGCGCAGAGAAATCCCGTTTTTTCAAGTCGCTAAAACGAACTATAATAATATAAACCTTGACAGTGACCACATCGATAAGAACTTTGGATCCGCTCAAACTTTTTCCGGAGTAGGTCTGATAATAACCGGCCAACTGCTGGTTATCGCTGTAGAACCACGCCTTTCTCTTGTTCGTCTAGAATATTTTCTTTTGGTTTGTTTCATTGTTTTGACAGAAAAATCCTTTTGCTTCGAGGCGGCGCTGGATTATACTGGTATACCGCTTTTTAAAAGCCTAATTCCCAGACAGAAAAAAGTAAATCTGTTCATTTTATTTATTTTTTTTCGAAAAAATTTTTCACAGAACAATTTTCGCTTCTATTCATCTATGTTATTTAAATTTTTCTTCACTCACAGTCAATCCATTATCGCTCGCAACTTGGGCGATATGCCTGGCGTCGCCCAAATAGTTGCAAACAGTGTCGACGTCACCGTTGTAGACCAAGAAACGGAAGTCGGACTGTAAAGAAAAGTACTTTCATTTCTTTTTTCAAACTAAATCCACTGGATCATTCCCAAAAAAGGTGTAAGAAGGCAGCTGAAAGGTTTCCGTTTTGCGCCCATTATCGAGCCTATCAAAATTTCTAACGTTTTAAAGTCCAATGTAAGTTTAAAACAGCAAAAAAAAACAAGTCAAAATAGGCTGATTGGAAGGGGCAAGAAGGCAGCTTATTGGTTTTTTTTTTGCACCTTAACAAGGACAGTTAAAATGCTGTAAAAAGTCTGAATTTGCCAATGTTAGGTAACAAAAGGTTTCAATGAAGCAGAAATAAACAAAGCAGTGAGGTTCTCAGGAGAGCTCAAAGAAGTCAGAGCCCTCATATTGCTCTGATGTCTCTTTAAGCCACTGATCTTTCGCTTCCAGCCTTTTCTTCTTTATTTTTGTGGTGAAATAAAGGAAAAATGAGTCGAAAAAACGAGCTTTTACTAATTGCTCATATCAGAAGAATAAAGCAACGAATTCTTTTGAAATCGAAGAGAAATAGTTTTTTGTTCGGGTAAAACACTTTCACGCTTTCTAAAAATCTTCTTACACGATTTTCGTATCAGCTGACCTTTGTGTTCTTGATGATACGGTTGAAGAAATCGTTGGTTTTGTCGTACTTCAGTTTGTAAGAATTATAGATGCTGTCCCGGCAATCCACCCAACCATTGTTCTGTTGGCGCCACGTTTGCGGAATATTCAATGCATCCTAAAAAAATGAGTTTGGAATTTCTGAATTTTTTCTGGAAAAATGACTTTCGGTTCTTTTTTTGTTAACTCTGGTGCATAGCAACTTTGAAAAATTTTTTTCAATGGCGGTTTGAAAAAAAAGACATAAAAATCCAATTTCTTATCGATTGCCCATGGTAAAGATTTTATAAATTGCAAAATGAATAAACTGATGACGATGATGATTATTGTCCCTTCCCCACTTTTTTTTTTCAATGAATGAATGTTTCTGGAACGAACTTGAACAGCGGGAGTATTCAGATAGGCATAGACGGCGTCTTCATTCCAGCAGAAGTAGGCCCATTGATTGTCATTGGAAAAACGGTTCACGAGCGCCTAGAAAACACGAAATGAGAGTGAAATTTCCTCTTTCGTCGAATACTTTTTCAGAGGTTTTGATCCTTTCAGAGGCAATAATGAAAAAAAGAAAAGCTAGGAAAAGCCAAAATTAAACATTTTTTTTAAAGATTGTAGACTGGGACATCGGTAACGCGAAACGGATGTGATGCGGACGTTTCTGGGCAATTCTAAGAATCACTAAAAGAGGGCTTGAGCTGCCAAAGTGGTCACTAGGAATGCCCCGACACGTCCGATTCGCGTCCGTTTCGCGTTGCAAATGTCCGAGGAAATCGATTACAAGTTAAAGTTTTTTTCAGATTTTGAGTGACGTCCTGCAAAACGCTATGTGGAAATCTCGCTCTCTGATTGGTTAATCACGCAATTAGGGCGGAGCTTAAGCGACAACTTAACATTCAAAATCTGAGCAGACCCTAACGGAAGAAAATCTGTTTTCACGAAGATTTTGTATCAATGGTCCGTTTCTGCGTCTCTTTTCTCTCACACAGACGTACGAAACATCACGTAAACACAAGAGAGTCTTTGAGAGATAAGAGAGCGCATAGAAAGCAGAATATTTCAAGCCATGGCGAATGAAGTACACTGAGTTTTATGCATCAATAAAGAAAACTTTTTGAAAGTCAGTTTAAAAAAAATGAGCCTATCCTGAACAGCAAGGATATCAATAATCATTACTTTTAGAAAATCCGGTCACGGAACATCTTTTTTTCCATTACTTGTCTTTTCAAAGCTCACAGCGGTGTTCGAATTAAGGGAAGAAGTTCCTTGGAAGGCGCGATTCCGCGGTCGTTTTCCAGGCGCGCTAGGCGGGGGCGGAGCTTGGAAGACTGACTTGTCGTAGCATTCTTGATAGAAATTGTACTGGTCGAACCTAAAAACCTCATTTATTTGTTCAAAGTTCAAGCAAAAGATTACCCTTCATCTCCATTGTAGTTCTGTGAAATGAGCGACTGAATAATGCCTCCGCAGGTGGAATTATCGCCGAAATAGTCCATACCATTGCGAGTGTAGGTATATTGCTAGAAAAAACGAAAATAGGTGTGGAACTTGAAAAAAATGAAGTAGGCGAGAGATCAGCTGCGATCTGAAGGAACGCCAGAGAATGAGAAATATTCTTGTTGTCTGGCGTCTCTCCAGGCCCTCGTTGCTCTCTCGTTCCAAGTTGATTTTGGTGGTTTGTCAGTGATCTGACCATTTGTTTGATAGGCATTCAAAAAATTGGTTCAGCAGGAGAAGCAAGAGATAGTTGCCGACTTAAGAGACCTCAGAGAAAAAGCAATATCCTCGTTGTCTGGCGTCTCTTCCGGCTCTCGTTGCTCTCGCTCACGGTTATTTTTTCCGGTTTATCAGAGAAAAGTCCATCTTCCGAAGTTTTAATAGACTTCGAAAAAAAAAGGCTGAGAAGAAGAAGCAAGAGATAGCTGCGGTCCTAAGAGACGCCCGAGAAAAAGGAATGTTCTTGTAGTCTGGCGTCTCTTCAGGTCACCTCAGTTCTCTCATTTTGGACTTCCCAGCTCTATGACTAAACAATGATCCATCTAATGTATTTTATTTTAAAGAAAACATACAGAATCTTACATAAATCCGAAAAAAATTTTTTAAGCGTGAGAGGACATATACGACAGACAGCGCGAGTGTCTCTCCTTCTCTGGCGTCTCTTCAGAGCGCCGCTGACCTCTAGTTTGCGCCTGTTTTGAGCTTTTTTTCAAGCCCTATCTCTATTGAAGCAAAAAAAAAATCGCCTTTTTTGAACCTAAAAATTTTCCTCACCGTAAAATCGAAACTGTCGACATCAGCGCCCTTTGAGCAGTTGGCCTTGACGTAGTTCCAATCTCTGAATCATTATCTCAATTTCATTTTAAGATCGAGAAAACAACTGACTGAACAGAAATCCTGCCGTGGTAGGCGCTCCACTGGACAAGAGCGTTCATCAAAACTTTCACGTTCATGAATCCGTTTCCAATCGCTGAGCCCTTCAATCAAGACTTTTACTCAGTTTTCCAAGCTGGAAAACTTTAAAGTTGGTGTTGGGGAAAGTGTTATTGTTTATGGCCTGGACGAGGAGGTCGGTCAACATCGGGATGTAGATTCCGGCATAGGACTCTCCGGACAAGTAGAAAGGCCGATTCGCGTATTTCGGTTGGGCTCTGAAGTTTTCTTTGGAATTCCATGAAGAAGGTCATTTTACTTTGTATTTCCATCAATTTCTCTCAAAAAATAGTTTTAGATTCTTAAGTTGATACGTCAGGAAATATTCTAACCGGCGTTTGTAAAAATCCAAACTTTAATTTTAAAAAAAGCTCCCTTGTTAGGTAAGGAGCTGTTACAAGTGATGAATATTCGAAAAGGACAAAACTGTCACGAACTTCAAGAAAAAGTTCTTGAGAGCGAGGAAGTTCTGGGCGGCGGTCTGATCGTCGTTGGCCGAGGAGAAATTGGCCGTTTTCGTGTCGTAGGAAAAGCCGACGCCGATCGGGGATTCCAAATACAAAACGTTGGCTTTCTTAAACGTCTTGTTCTTACTAGGAATTCGGAACAAACAACTGAAATATATTCAACTATACATCAAGTTGAAAAATCTGTTTAATCCCCAAGTCACCGTGAAAAATTTTACTGGAATCTTCACAGCAACGAAAAAGTTTATAATTTTCGGCTTTCTAGAGGCGGGAGGATCTCAGAAAAAAACAAAAAATCAAACGAAAAGCTTCAATTTCCTCAAACCTACCGCATTCCAAGCGTATGGGTTTTCATAGAGCGTCGCTCCATCGTAATTCACATAAAATGGGCCCAATTCTTCGAAAAGGCCGCCGAGAGAAGAACAACCGGGACCGCCATTGAACCAGACCAGAAGCGGATCTTTGTCCGGATTGGATTTCGATTCGGTCAGCCTGAAGTATTCCGAAATTCAAGCAAAAAATCGTAGCCTTCAAACTGAAGTTCTAAACATTTTTTTTTAGGTAAAGTACCTGAAATTTTTTTCGAAGAAACTCATACAAAAATTCCTAACAGGGAAGGTCATTTTTCCTTGGCGGATGGGAATTTCCTGAAAAATTAGCCAGAACACTTCTCAATTTATTCAGATGAAGATTCTGAAAGTTTGAACCTGTCCAACTTCCTAGTTTTCGAAAAATAAGGGCCCAACGTCTCAAAATAGTCTATTTTATAATTTTGAGGATTTTCTTTGACTTTGAGGTGTCTTTTCCCAAAACCGAGGGAGTTGTGCAGGTTGAAACTTCTAGAATCTCCTTCTTGTACATCAACAGGCGTTCTGACTAATTTGCAGGAAAATCCCAACCGCAAAGGGATATGACCTCCCTTACAAGGACGTAGAACTTAAATTACGGCGTAATTGAAAGTTACCCCGCCGTAAATGATCACGATCTTCAAGTTAAATTTCATCTTTTTTTCGTATATTTTTGCGGATATTTAAAAAAATTCTCAAGTTTCACCATTGACTTCAAAAAACCCTCCCTTCTCCGTCTTCTTTTCTCTCTCAGCGAATCTTGTTTTTTTTTCTTTATTAATGATTCGATAAACTCGACGGTGAGGGAAAAAAAAGCGCAGGCAGGTCACAATGTGTCTTGAAAAGAAAAGCTAATTTGAACCAAAAATAAAGAACTGAACTCCAAAAAATTTAAAAAAAAACGAGTCTTTTTCTACAGAAGTCGCTGTCATTTTGCACTCTTCGACTGATTGCAAAATTGATAAAGAATGAGGGACAGTCATCAAAAATGATTCCATGATAAGCCCATTGTCTGAGTGGTCAGGGAAACTTGAGCTTGATAAAAATGAATCCCAAAACTTTGAAATTAGTGGAGAAAAAAGTTTTAGGATAAGCCACCTTTTTGAATGCTCTTTTTCGCCTAGATTGGAATGAAATTTACTACAGGAGTTTGGAAGCTTCTTCCAATAACAAAAACGCCGTGACTGAAACTCCTGAGAAAAAAATTTTTGGATATATTTTTACCGGTTTATACAAAATAAATGACGGTTGTTTAAAACTGTATGAGAAAGCCAAATTTTTAATTTTTTTTTTCAGACTATGCTTTTGATAACTACTAGACAAGCTATAAGTATTTTCGCATAACTTCTCTTCAGTTAGAAAAACTTTCGGTTCCTAGCCTGTATCTGAAAACAATGTATCACTAACGTGTAGTGCATCTGCCAGTTGCCGGCGTCGTTGGCGGCGACGTAGCCAGAGTAGACTTTGAAATTGGTCTGAAACAGGAGTCCTGGGAGGTTCTTGACGAGGTCGGCTTCGCCTTGGCCCCACGCCGACGCCACCAGAGCCGCTCCGATCAATGTCAATGCTAGCATCTCGAGTCCGGTTGTTACCTAAAGTTGATAAATCCATTCTCCAGGGCTTGAAACATTATTCAAAAACTTTCATTTCAAGTCGAAAAGAAGGGACTTTAGAAGTTTCACAGCTTGAAAAAAACGGGAATCATCTTCTAAAAATTTTCAAACTTGGTTTAACCTCTTATGTCTAGACCTTCAGCGGTTTTTTGGAAACTCTGAAACTGAAAATCAGAAACTACGCAATATGTCAATCGTGTATGCTTCAAAAAGTTCTTAATCAAAATTTTGAGCTTTCATAAAACCACTTCTACAATGGAATTCGTAATTACAGACCTTTTCGAAATTTTAATTGAATAAAAATAGAAAAAAGACGGCTTCAAAGTGTCAAAAAACTCTGATTCTAAGGATAGCGAGGCATTTTTCCTATCAAAAAAGGCATTAAGGCGTTTTAACTGGTCTGAGAAAGTCAAGTAAGACGAAATGATACCTTGTGAGCTTAGGCCCTTATCAGTTATAACCCGGTGGAATTATTAAATGACCTGCTTTTGAGGACTCGCCGAAAAAAGGTACAAAATGGTGGGGAAAGAAACGCAGTGGAAAGCCCTTATCTCAAACTCTGTCTCTACGTGGACGGTCCACCAAAAGAGCCAAATTCTGCGGTGCAATCCAAAAACGAGAGATGACTTTACGGTCCATTTCGTTGCGTCACGAATATTAATGATTCATAAAAAGTTGGGAGCAAAAAACGGACTTTGTATACTGACCACAGAAACTTTCGAAATTTACCTTGAGTTTTCCCAGGTGAATCGAGCCTTTTGGTATAGATTCGTTCAAGAAAAACTGGATAAAAATTAATCAAACTTCAATCAGTGAAAAATAAATTTTTTTCAGAGTCAACTAAAAAAAGTGTCAATATGCGCTCAAAAAAACTTGGTTAAATATAACTTCCAGGGCAAGTAAATATTTGTTGTTTGAGCTGCGAATCATCGAAATTTCAGTTTTTTTGAACTCAAATTTTTAGTCAAATTGAGAATTTTTTTCAAGAAAAAAAGAAAGACTTTCATGTAATCTTGTCAACCAAACGAAAAAAACAGAAGGATACGAACCTGTGACAAAAACTCCGTGAACCGACATCTCTATCCACTGCGCGAATCACCCTGAATTTGAAAATTGTGAAAGTTTCTATTGGCAGGTTTTTCTTCTGTCTAAAAATATTATTTGCAAAGAACTCCATAAGAGAGTTTTTTTAGTTCGCTCTAGTGGTCACTTAGAGCCAAAAATTGAAAAATTTAAACTTTAAAAAAAGTTTTTTTAGTGTCTCCCCTAGCTCTCCCTTTTGCTTTATGTGACCCAATATTTTATTCAAAATAAAAATTCATTCTCTGCGAAAAAAAAAAACGTGAACCTCGTGGCAAACTTTCATTTTTCTGATAGCGAAAAATTTAACACTTACAAAAAAAAAACCACGTGGCAACGTGTCATTTCTGTGCGTTCAAATGTCATTTCTGCTTCCTTCACGACTCCGTCCTGCTCCTGATTTCGCGTCAAGATGAGTTTTGAACTTCCACAGAACTTCTAGGATCCAAAATAGTTCTCTTAGTTCTAAGCGCTAGTAGATTAGGCCCGCGGGACTCCCGGAGTGCCGATCCTTTTTGCTTGCAAATCGGATACGCAATGTCACGCCGAAGCCCATTCCTGTGGCCGAAGCATAAACTGTTGGCAGCGCGATGCTGACAAAGCGATGATGGGACCCCCGCGGAAAATGCCGTAACGGCCTTCGGCGTCTAGGAATCTTAGTTTTGACAAGGCCGAGCGGAGCTCTAGCGCACCGCCTAGTTAGTTTTCCTGACTGAATAAAGCTCCCTAACTTACTTGAGACTTTCCATAACTAAGTCAAATTTGCGATTGAAATAATCCCATTGACTTTATTTTTTTCAATGTTGAAACTATTGCAGAGAGCTTTCAACGAAATTTTTCTGTCCAGTCAATGGAGGATCGACGACAACTTCCAGTAGTGCAGTTTGATTCCTAAAAAATTATTTTTTAATCTTTTTTCCTTCAGAAAAGAACGAATGGATCGATTGTAACTTGGAAAAGAAAAAGCCATCAGGCAAAAAAATCGATCGACGACTACTGGAAGAATTGATGTGAGGTTTCAAAGGTTTTCATTTCAAAAAAACAAATTAGATTCAAATTTTGTATTTATCACGCTGTTTGTGAAATTCTCAAACAAACGATTTCAAACATAAAAAATTTTTTTTTGATTTTGATGAAATTTCAACCAGTGTTATCATATGACGTCAGGATTTCGGGCACAACTTTTTGAGCCATTTCCTTCAACCATAGCCGGGTTACGGTAGGAAAGTGGTTCCCTGCGTATCTAAGAATTGAGTTTTTTTTCAGGCAAGTTGTATACTAATCGATAGGTAATGCAATTTTAGAAATTTTTCAGTATATACAATCTTGAGTTACTGTAGAATTTCCCTTGATACGGTACTTTTTGTGATCGCAATTTTTTTCGGTTTTTTGGTCACCCTGTTTCTAATTTCCCGTTGGAGTTACGCCTGTAAAAATTTTTTTTCGGTCATTTCTCCATGAAAACAATGCGGAGCGCATTGCAGGTTTCTGCGGAACGCGCGCAAAGTGAGCTGCGGAAAGCATTGCTCACGCATTTGCCGTAGATTTCGAACGCATTTTCAATTCGATATTAACAATATTTGTTAATAATGCCGTGTTCAGAGTAATTTCCGCAAAATGCAAAGTGCATTATGACTCTCCAAAATTTAGTTTTTTTTTTTTTTCTCTCTGACGGCTATTTTGAATTTCGCGAAATAACTTTGAACACGGCATAAACGATGTATGAGAGTCATCTTTTCCATCCTTCTCACAACAGGTGAACAAGGAAACAACGTTTAAAGTACTTTGAACTGTAGTAAAAAAAAAAAGAAAAACTGTTTTCAAGAAAGCGAAATGAGAATAGACGTCAAATAAAACGCTTGGTCGTATTACTTGTGCGTAGCAACGTACGTAGAGCGCACCGTAACCTTGTCCTCAAATTTCCTCTTTTTGCGCAACTTCAACGGGAAATAACTATTGTGAGCAGGGTGACCGAAAACCCAAAATTGCGAACACAAAAAGTAAAATTGCAAAAAAAAAAAATGCTAAAAGTGTATTTACCTATCGATTAATATACAACCTGCCTGGAAAACTCTTCAACTCTTAGATACGCAGGTGCCTGCCGTAACCCGGCTATGGTTGAAGGAAATGGCTCAAAAAATTGTGTCCGCAATCCTGAAGTAATATAATAACAGTGGTTGAAATTTCATCTGAATCAAAAACATTTTTGTTTTTTACTCGTTGTTTCTGGAATAACTCGGAGATTTTCAGAGAGATCGTGTTAGATTCTCTTTTACCGCATTTGAAAGTATTTTATCTTTGAAAGTTTAGTTGTCGCGATGAAAAGAAGTCCGCCTCCTTCCGTTAGCGGCGACGTTTTGAAACGGAATGCGTGGCGGACGAAGTTCCAACTGCGATGCAGACTGGACAATACCAGGTACCAGCCCAAAGCTCTTAAAAGCAGCTGAGGGTTTTTTTTTATTCTGTGTTGAGTTGCAAAGGAAAAAAGAGATAACAGTGGGCTAGCCAGGCTTGTGCGAGGTCTGGATTTTCAACCTTTCGGCCTCCGTCCATTTCCATAACTTTTGATAGACTTTCATGAAACATGTGAGAAGTAATTTTTGGTGAAAATTTCAAGTTAGGATGGCAATTTTTTTGAAAAAGTTTGAAAATCTTTTCGAAGCCTGGCTTCGTCCGAGCCGGTGCAAACTTCGGGCTTCAGTTGCTCGGACCTTTGTAACGCAAGTCGGACTCGACCCGGACGTTTCTTAGAATTTCTAATAAACATTTGAGAGGGCTGAAGCCGCTGAATGAGTTATTAAGAATGCTCAGGAACGTCCGGGGAGCGTACAGTTTGGGGTACCGAGGTCCGGGCAGGTGCGTCTGGTTGGACTAATTTTTGCAAAGAGTCTCGCGCAGGCTAGGGACAAGCCAAGCTTCAAAAAATTTCAAATTTATTTTGAAAAAAATTGTATCCAAACTCAAGTTTCTCACCGGAAAACGCTCATTCTCAAATTCGTAGTTTCTGTTGAACTTTAACTATAAAAAGACCAGAAACCTAATTTTTGTCGTAAAAAGAAAAGAAAGGGATGTCCGACTTGAAGAAAACCTTAGCTTCGCGGGCCTGTTTTTGCTTTAGGCTTCGCTAAAACCGGACCGGGCTCACAGAATGAATTAGGCCATTAGACTGAAGAGCCGGCCCTCGCACAAGCCTGTCTCGGACCTCGGTAACGAAAACTGAATGCGCTCCGGATTTTTCAGAGCAATTCTAGGGACGCCATTAAACTGGTCAGTAGAAATGCGTTCGGTTTGCGTTATAGCCGATTCACGGTTAGCTGGGGACTCAAAAAAGCGTGGGATGTCTGCGCTCTCCAGAATCCACGCACTGTCTCTTTTCTCATCGTGGCGAGACCCTTTTTCTTTATCGATGGCTCAAGCCTGCCGTGAATCAGCTGTACCTCCTGTACCGGTTGTGTAGTCCGTCCGCCGCGACTTGAGAGTTTTCGCGCGTCTGCGTCTCTCTGTTCCCTCACCGGCGAGGTCAGAGAAACATTGGAAAAGCACGTAAACATGAGAGAGACGTCGAGAGAAAAGGAGGGCGCAGAGAAGTCCCGCCCTTTCAAGTCGCGAAAAACGGACTAAACAAACTGTACGTCTCTTTCATGCAGAGAAAGAAATTTTCATTCTGAATTTCTGAAAAAGTATGTTGTTTTTTTATGCAGAGAAATGATCTTTTTTTCTGAAAATTTGTTTTTTTACTCATGTTCTTAAAACATGTTTCCCTTTAACTCTTGCTTGAAAGTTTTCAATTGATAGATACCAAACTATCCCAGTTTTTGACCGAAATTAAACAAGCCAACCAAAATTTACTTGAACGCTTTTAAAATTCGATTGGCTACGAAATTCAAACTGCTCTGGTTGTTTTTTGTTTGAAAATTTTCACACTTCTCTTGAAAATAGTTTCTTGAATTTTTTTTGATAGTTTTGGTTCAAATTTCCAGGCTTTTTCGCTAATTATACTTTTCGAAACAATCCCTGCAAACCGCGATCCTCCACCCAAGAAGCTTCCTGTTTCTAAACCCTCCTTCCTTTTTTGAAATGTTGTCTTCCGTGCAACACTGAAGCACACGAGGAACGATCCATATCGAAATGGGTGTAATTCTTTCAAGGCATCGTCAGTTTTTAGTGACAAAAAGGAAGACGCAAATCGGCCATGTCGGGGCGTTGCTAGTGACCACTTTAGTAGCGTCAGCACTCGTTAGGTGATTTCTCAAATTGCCTCGAAACGTCCAGTTTCTGTCACCGAGATGCAGGCATTTTCCAAACAAAAACAATATCATTTCTATTATGAAGTTGCTCCAAAACGTTTCTTATTTTCATTTTAAAACGATTTTCTTACGTTTTGGGACAATCTTGGTTTTTTTTTTCGATGAACACGGCACAGAAAGAATATATGCGGTGATCTCATAATAAAATGATCCACATCAATATCCTTTGCACTTTTTTCACCTTTTCATTAATGAAAAAAGAACTTTTTAAAAATCCTTTTCCATCGGACTCACCGTCCGTCCGTCCTACTACGTCCGAGTAAAAAAACATTAAAAATAAATAAATGTATCTCAAAAGGGAGAAAAAAAGCTCTATAGAAGCTTCCACGATAATAAAGACAGCAGAAAAATGAGAAGACACTCGGAAAATTGAGCCAACGAAAATATCTGAAATATTATCGAGATAGAGCTGATGGATTTCTCTTTCAAACGCACCAATAGCCGAAAACAAAGTCCACTTTCTGCTCAGTCTTGAGCCTGAGAACATACTCAATATCGGGCCTCTCTTTTTCTCCACACGCATCGACTTCAACTCATTGAAGTCCTGAAACACTATTTCTCAACCATTAAAAAAAAATAGAATTAGTACTAGTTTCATACATTTCCTCGCTTTCGGTTTAAAAAAGAGCAGAATTTGATAGAAAAAATGTTCGGAAATTTATTTAAAAAAAGTTTTAGAAAACTTGAACA